GTCTCCTGCGCCTCAAGGACCAAGATACATTGAAACAGGTGCGTCGTAATTTTCGAAAGGTCGAGAATCTTCGACACAACAAGGGCACGTTCGTCTCCTGCGCCTCAAGGACCAAGATACATTGAAACAGGTGCGTCGTAATTTTCGAAAGGTCGAGAATCTTCGACACAACAAGGGCACGTTCGTCTACCCCGGCAGCGACAAGGACCGATACCATGTCGAACACCGTGGCGAGACAATACAGTTAGAACTAGCCCCACGACCTGATAGGCAACGTTCGCGCGTCTACTATGGGCCTATTGGTTCGGCGAGTAAGCTCGTGCGCGACGCTGCCTACAGGGACAATTTGAGGGACGTCCACGGTGTCCTTGCCTTGGAGATGGAGGCAGCCGGCATTGTCGGCCAGTTCAATGCCGGCGTCATCCGAGGCATCTGCGACTACGCGGACAAGCACAAGAACAAGGACTTTCAGCCGTACGCGGCGGCCATGGCCGCTGCATATGCCAGGCTCGTCCTGGCCAAGTTGGACGTCGTTGCACCCGCTTCCAGACCGCAGTCGCCACCGCCTCGGGAGCCTGCCGCTATCGTTGAGAGAATCCATGGGAAGAAACCTGACAGAGCAAAACAGACATGGAAGCAGAGGTGGTCTGACAGGTGGGACCGTTTTCTCCGGCCCCGGCCCCCAAGGACGAGGTATTACGATTCGTTCCAGTCGCCCGACAGGTTCCAGTCGTCCGAGAGGTTCCAGTCGCTGGACGCGTTGAGCGTCACCTCGAGTACAGGAGCTGTCGCAGACGCGTAAAGTCGTCCACCGACCCCGACACGGCGCTCGGTGGGACGGCAGACGCAGGATGGCAGTCGTGCGAGGAGATTCTCTGCCGAGCCCGCGAGATTTCCGACGCACGAAAAGCTCGGAGCTGACGAGTCTTCCGACTCGTGTTCGACATGTAGCTCCATCGCCGTCCCGCGATACCTCCCCCAAGAGCAGGAACATGTAACGGATAGGGTATTGCTGACTTTCGACATTGGGTGGGGATCTGGGAGGCGAAAAAGACGACCTCAGGCTTGAATTAATGAAGTTGTATTATATATCTATGAACTACATAGTATATCTAGCAAAGATATTCTATCTGCACCCTTTGAATTTATTCATTAGCGTTATTATAAGTATTAGTGAAGACATGGTAATTAGCTACCCTACAATAGTCACGTCCGGAGACGCGCGAGGACCCGCCCGCTCCTTGTCTTCTCTCGGCTCTGGAATGTAGCCAAAGAAGTCTCCTCTTTGATATTGTATAGAAGAGGGGAAATGATGTGACATCCTGTTCAAGCGTTTCAATGGGTACGAAAGTGAAGCACATGATTCTTCCCCGGAAGTTTTAACTATCTAGCTTATCCTTAAATCCCCGCATTGGCCGATCCCCGGATTCTGGCAGCCCCGGACACGGACATTTGCAGCCCTCGGAATCCCGGATCTTGGCAATTCCCCGCCGCCGAGCTTCAAGTGAAGAGTATATACAAGGAGTCTAGATCACCGCGCTCTTCAAGGCTTCACTGCACTACACTGCATTACACACTGGGCTGTTCATATAGCAGCAAACCTGACTTGAATCGATCGGATCTCTACCTGATAGGATAACAAAAGGCACACACACACACACACACACACTAGCAAACATGGTCTTCAAGGTTGGCAATGTCGAGGTGTTGCTCATGCCCGCGACGCCTCTCGACCACCCCCTGGCTCATTACGATGGATTGAATCCTGGCAAGACGTTGCTGAAGCGCGGGCACAAGTCCGACCCGGAGCGCGCCGCCTTCCAGGCCGACACCATCCTGGAAAGCGATGTAGAGGTTCGGATGCGCGATGGCGTTGTGTTGCGCGCCGACATCTACCGTCCGGCCGCAAGTGAAACCCTCACTCCCACCAGCACCCCTCTGCCATCAAATGCTAATCAATCGTCTCTCGCTGCAGCTCAAGTGCACCGCAGATATACGGCCATGCATGAATTGTCAGCTCTACGGCGCCGAGTGTGTCTCGATGCCCACCAACAAGCTCGGTGGCACGAGGCGTAGGACGAACTCCAAGGGCACACCCGACAGTACATGTAGGAAGCTGTCCACTGATGAGCGCCAGCGCCAGCGCCAGCTCCATGTCGCGCTCGCGCTCAGGAGGCGACGGCAAGATCGATGGCGCCGAGACGTTGGCATGCCCGCCCGCGGCGAGCACCCGAGCCTCCATCTCGTCTGGGATATTCAACCGCAAGGCGTCAGGGAACAGCCAGTTCTTTGGGTTCCCCTCCACGGCGGCCATTGTCGCCTTTTGCGCGCACGAGGCACGTCAAGCACAGCGCCACACCGCCCACGCCGAGTCGATGCGCTGTATCGTGGATTGTGGTCCCATTTGCGACGAGATCTCATGCTCCGTGGCAAGCGACGAGCCGCCCGTGTCGCCTATCCAGAACACGACGCTCGCCGCGCAATGCGCCAATGGTGAGTGTCCTCGTCCGTGTTTGTCTGTCACTCACTCACTCACTCACTCACTCACTCCCTGTCTGTCTGTCAAACCATGGCTTTCTTCGAGGACTCTAGGAAAGTGACAAGGAGCCAAGTTAAGTACCGAGATGCTCAAGTATTGCTCATTTATATACTAGTGAATCGAAAATGACCAGGACAAGAATGGTGCTCTTTCTTCCCCCCTCTCACACAGACAACAAAGCGTCATCCTCCACATCCGCGGCCGCGTTGAGCTTCCCAACGTGGTTGACGCCGTTGGGGGCCAGCACCACACCATAGTCCCAGTAGCGACCCGGCTCGGGCGGTGGCGTGTCGATGGTGATGTGCTTCTCGACGGCCTTGCCTTTATTGTACTGCCGGTGGGGGACGCCGGCTGGGAGCACGACCAGCGTGTTCGGAGTGATAATGTGCTTCTGGAGGACCACCTCAATCGTCAGCTCGCCCTCGAGGACAAAGTAGTACTGGTCAAACTCGTGCACATGGGTGCCCGGTCCGCCCCCGTTGGGCGCCACCTCGGCGTACAGCACGGCGGCGTGGGCGGACCCAGTCGACGGGTCGGCGAGCGGGAGGAGTCTGAAGCCGGGGAGGGCCTCCTTGATGCGGTCTTGCCTGACAGTCCGCACATAGCCCTTGCTGCTCGTCCGCCACTGCTCGGGCACGTCCTCGGGCGTATCGACCATGTAGGCAATCTGCTTGAGCCGGTCCGGTGCCGGTATGATCATCTCGAGGTGCGTCTCCGATGGCCGTCCGTACAACATGAAGATCCGCCACAGCCGCCTTGGAGAATTCGTATACGTCGCTGGTATCGACACCGGCAAGTGGGTAATTGTCTATGTAGCCGTGCCGGGCGTCAGCTGCCAACTTTCCATGTCTCAACATGATTCACAGTAGGGTGGCTTACCCGGAGTAGGGAGGAAACGCCGAAACCCGCTGGCGGTAGATGATGTCTCCGAAGCCATGCTGCGTCTTGTGACTCTTGTCCTTGATCTGGTTGGTGTCTGCAGGCTCTAGTCTTGACAAGGGGCAGGCATAAATTAAATACGCCTTGTAAGGATCGGATTCGATGGTAATAGCAGTGAGACCGGTCTAGATTCAAACTGATGAGCCTCGGACGAGAACGGGAACAGAGCCATGGAAGAAGGCGGGATGGCTCTCACATCCCCGGATGCTAGATATCTACGTATTGCTCAAAGCGTCCACCCCCCCTAAGTGAAACCCCTACCCCACGTGTCTGGCCAACCCCCCGGATCGGTTATTTTCTATACTGCTGGGGTAAAGGTGGAGGAGGGTTGTTTACAAAGCCAGACTAGCTGTAGCTGCAATTAGTGGTACGCCTTGGACGTGGTTGGCGGGGGGTGTTTTCGAAAGCCATTCCCTTGCCTAGAGGAACGCACCGACATTGGAAGCATGATCGGGGAAGAGATTCAAGCCATGCTCCCTATACACTCCGAGGCACTTTGCTGGCTTCCCCGCGGACACAGAGACTCTACCCCAGACTCAGGCATGAGTACATGTAGGCAACGCACTGGGTCCCGGGGAAACATACGGAACTCATACCTCATGTTATTACCGGCCAGTATGCAAGCAGAAAAGGATTCCTAATTTACTTGTGCCCCCACTGATTTGTCAAGCAACGAACGGCTAAATCCTACCGCGACTCAGCGCAGACAACATGACCGTACTGAACAACCCCCCAGCCACCATCTTCGCCATCATCGTAGGCGCTGGCCCAGTCGGCCTGTACACTGCGATTGCGCTGTCTCACTTTGGATACAGATGCGTAGTCCTCGAGCGCAAAAAGGTCCGTCGGCTGCAACAGCCGAAAGCGCACGCCATCAACTCTCGATCATTGGAGATCTTTCGACAAATCGGCATCCCAGTCCCGACGCTGAGGAGCCTCGGGGCAACTGCTGATGATTCTGATGTCCTGCGCTTCGAATCATCTCTGGCAGGGGTGGAGTACGGCAAGTTTAGGTACGAGCGTCAAGACGAGGACGTCAAGGCGTTTACGCCGGAGCCCCTGGCCAACATCCCTCAGCCGGCGCTCGAAACGTTTCTTCGAGATTATGCCGAGGCCACTGGTCTTGTCACCATCTTTGATGGCTGGCAATGGCAATCCTTCACGCAAAAGCCGCATCATGATGTCCTGTCCGAGGTGCTCAACGTGGAGAACGGAACCAGCACGTACATTGCGAGCAAGTATCTTTTCGCTTGCGACGGCGCCCACTCACGCGCCCGCACGGCACTCGGTATCCCCTTGAGAATTCCGCAAAGCGCCTATCCTTCCACAATTCGCTATGTCTCAATCACGATCAAGACCGACTGGACCAAGTACCGAAGCGGGATGCTCCATGTCATCATTCAAGGCCAGAACTTGAGGGTGTTCATTACCTACGACCGCAAGTCGTCTTGGGTCTTTATGTTTGGTATATCGCATGACGATCCTACTGACAAGTTCACCGAAGAGTTCTGCCGTGAGGCTATTGATAAGGTAATGCTCAGCCCCCTACACGTGTGTACATGTACATAGCTGACAACATCCTAGGCTGTTGGTGAGAAGACAGACTACGAAATCGTCAACACCTGTTTCTGGGAGGCAGGGCTGAGTATCTCGGACTTTTATCGATCCAAGACGGTTCCCAATGCTTTCGTCCTCGGAGATGCCGCGCACACGTTCCCCAACGCTGGCGGTCTTGGCGTCAACACGGGCTTTGCCGACGCGCACAACCTCGTGTGGAAGATTGCGGCCGTGGAGAAGAGATGGTCTCGGCAGCCCGACACGCTTCTGGACAGTTATACGCTGGAGAGGAGGCCGGTGGCCGAAGCCAGCTGCAAGATCAGCGACCACAACCAGTTCCGCATTACGGAAGTATGCTCCAAGGTCAGTTCCGTCATGGGGGACAATCCCCTCGAGAACCACAAGGACCACGAGAAGCGAAAGTTCCTTCAAGACACCATCAGCGCCCAGTGGTCTTTCAGCGACCATCTGAATCTTCACATTGGGTACGTCTACGGCCTGGACGATCTCGGGTATGAGCCGCAAGGGGATGAAGAGATTCCTGCCAACAGCGCCTTCTTCAAACAGCAGTGCGTCCCCGGTGTGCGGCTTCCACACGCCTGGGTCACTTGTCGAGGCAACACCATCTCGACCCTTGACTTGGTCAAATTTTCCAAGTTCACAGTGCTCGCGGCGGCAGGCCACAAAGTCTTGCCGACGTCGACAAAAGGTCCCAACGGAATTCCCCTTGTTTTCCAGCAATTGGGTCGTGATTTCATGGACGAGAAGGGCGACTGGTCTACCATTATGGGTCTTGAAGACGGAACAGGCTTCATTGTTGTCCGGCCCGATCAGCACATTCTCGGTCGAGCTGCCACAGTCGACCAAGTTGAAGAGCTGTTGGTGAAGGGGGTGCTGTAGTGTATGCACGCAGGGCCGTCATGCACTTGTTTAGGATTTTGTTTACTACTGAATTATTTGATTCAATCTTGCGATGAATTTTCGTATCAACAGGCGGAATCTTGACTCCCCGGTTGTCGATACTCTTCCAATGTCTCTTTGTGTGTACCGTTGTTCCGGGGTTAGAATGGATCCCCGGGGTCGCGGTTCCCTACACAGACTTATAACATCTAGAATACTTTCAGGCTAACAATATGTGCATCAAGTATACTCAATTTATTCACTACAGTGCAATAAGATTAGCTAGCCCAATGGAAGCATCCACGTTCATTCGCTTTGAGGACGACAATGGGACGATTCGTTATGGAGAACCTACAAAGGAGTCTCTCGCTGGCGACCTCATCGGTGCAACAGTCGAAGTCTTGCAGGGGGATCCGTTCCAAGGACTGAAACGCTCGGGAGAAAAGGCAAAGGTGGGCGTCGTTCTTTGTCCTCTCGAGTCCACCCCAATCGTGCTCTGCATCGGCCTCAACTACAAGAAGCATGCCGAAGAGGCGAACTTGACTATTGCGCCCTATCCGGTCGTTTTCACGAAACCGCCCACCGCGCTCGCTGGTACGCCATTTGATCAAACCCTATTTAGCCCTCAGGGGTACTCCAAGGCCTTTGCTAACCATATCGAGGTCCTTACGATGATATACATGTACACCCAGACGCAGCATCCATGATGGACTATGAGGGCGAGCTCGTGGTGGTGATTGGGCGGGATGCAAAGAACGTCTCGGTGGCCAACGCCTTGCACTACGTCCTTGGCTACACCATGGGCAACGATGTCAGCGCGCGGAATTTCCAGCTCCCCGACGTCAGCGGTGGCCAGTTCTGCTACGCCAAGTCGTTTGACGGATTCGCGCCCATGGGTCCTGCGATCGCCACGACAAAGGCCGTCTCCGACCCTCAGGCCTTGACGTACAGCACCAGAGTCAACGGGGCAACGAGGCAAGAAACGTCCACCAGTGATATGATCTGGACTGTCGCACAGATCATCAGTCATCTGAGCCGAGGAACCACACTTCGCAAGGGAACGACGATCATGACCGGAACGCCCAGCGGTGAGTAAAGCACGCCGTGGAAAAAGCTGCTCGTGAGCTGTGCTAACAAACGGGGATAAACTCGAGCATCTTCACCTTCTGCTTAAAGATCTGAGTAACAGTGGCGTGTTCAAGCTCCATAACCCTCGAAGCCGTCTCCTTCTCCACCATGGTCGTAGCGGCAGCAGTGTCGATAGAGTAGGGCTTTAGGAGCCTGAGAAAGTATTAGCCAGGTCTGATTTTCGGCAGACAATCTCCGCAGGACATACGCTTGATCTTGCAAGGTCCAGATGATAGTCTGGGGCTCTCCAAGCCACTTTGCTTGCATTGTCGCAAACTGGGCAGCCGATCCGTTAAAGGGCCGACCGTTGTAGTTCCCCCGGCCTGCGATTCCTAATATCGCAACATTGGGCTTCGGCTCCAAGTCCCGCCAAATGCCTTCAAAGGCACCAAGATGAGCGCTCCAAAGGAGTGTTTGATCTTGGCCAATAAGGAAGTTGAAAGCCATTTGTCCGCCGTCAAAGTGCGAGAAAATGTTGTTCTTCTTGTCGTTGAAGTATGCACCCATCGACTTGATCCCATCATCCTGATGTTCCTTTGGCACAAGATCAGCGATTCGGAGTAGGCCAAACTTCATTCCAAATGTGATATCCAGGGTGCAACCGTAAAGACCAGCATCACCTGTGAATTCCGTCCCGGTGTCGAGAACATCTGGCATGGCATCATGAGAGATACCCGGCATCAAGCAGTGCAACGCGGGCCACGCGTGGACGTGCAGGGCGGACAAGGACACTGCGGGCATGGCTGGTTGCCCTGGCATTGTGGGCGAGCATTCAACCTCCCCCTTGCGCGCCTTGTCCCTAATTTCTTTGGTGAAAAGAGGAATTCGTTCTCCGCCCTGCACTGGCATCAGTTGTTCCTCTGGGACACCAGCGCTTCGAAGGCAGTTGATGGCTTCTCCGTTGGCTATGACAACAGCGCCCGTACGCAAAGCAATTCTATCGGCACCTGGCAAGCTAAACACAGGAGATGATGAGCACTGCACAAGAGATGTGTGCGGGAGGGGGGTTAATTACTGATCGAAATGTGCGTGAGAGATGAAGATATAATCCGCTTCTTCGACCTCATCAGTACGCAGGAATTGCGGCATTCCCGCTGGCTTGTCGAGCCAGGCATCCAGGAAGATTGTTAGGCCATTGGTGCGCAGCCTGTATGTCGCGGCACCTTGATTACCTTGTTAGAGAGAGATCGAGAGCAGCTGGCTGGGTCAAACATGGCCTCCATCTGGTATAACTCACCGAACCATTCTAGGGTCGTCATTGTAAGGCAAAATGTTATGAAAACAAGGCCAGTTTGTCTGATGGATCGATTGAATGGTGAGGATTATTTACTGAGCTGGACAGTTTCCAAGCAGAGTCGGGATTCATCATTGCACATCAGCAAGCCATGGGTCTTGTATTCTTGCCCGGTTTTCGTATTCAGCAGAGGTCCGGGCTCCGGACTCCAGAGTCCAGCCTGCGCGCGTTTCGGCAATTACTCTCGGCAGCTACTCTATGTCTCCGCACGCTGCCATACACTTCCCCGGAAAGCCTCAAAGCTGGGTGCGTGCGCGCCATGTCGCGAAAGCTGAGAACCCTGGCACGGATATCATTGTACCCCGTTCACCGAGGACGCCAAAGCTCGTGAGACTTGTTGTTTTCAACCGATCAGCCAATTTGAGATGGTCGTCCCCGTCATTTGATGTCTCTGCAGTAAACTCTCCATCACTGCCGCAGCAAGTACGACATCATCCTCCAATTGCTACTACCCTTTGTCTTCCTATCAATTAATTCACACACAGCGCCGCCATGGGCAAGCTCAAGGTTATCATCGTCGGGTGTGGTCTTTCGGGGGCCCTGCTTGGGAACGGACTGGCGCGACACGACGTAGACTTTGAAATTTACGACCGGCTCGAGGAAACACAAACCGCGATGGCTACCAAATCCGCCTTGGAGAGAACGCATTGGTTGGTATGCGTGCCTGCCTGACCCCGGAAAAGATCCAACAGATTGTCCGTTTGTTCGGAGCCGCATCAGACGCATCAGAAGCCCCTGTCATTGTCGACAAGAACTTCAAGCAACTGCTTGACCTCAGCTCGTTCCCCAACTACTCTCGGTCCGCGCCCATCAACCGTGTGCTCTTGCGAGACTTTCTGTGTGACCAGATCAAGGGGACTGGTCGGCTGCACTATGGCAAACAGTTTACAGGCTTTGAGATCATGAATCCAGGCAAGGCGGAGGAGCAAGTCCGAGTATCCTTCAAGGATGGAACCACGGTCGACTGTGATCTCCTGATAGCTGCGGATGGAAATCAGTCTCTGGTATGTTTGAGTTGCTGTCTCCAATGCGGACTGGACTGATGGAGAGTGCTAATGAGATTGATAGGCCAACAAGCAGCTTGGCTTGAACAATATCGTCACCTTGAAGACGCATGCCTGCTTTTTGACCAAGAATGAAATGCCATTCTCAGCCTATCGAAGCCTGCCCAAGGAACTGCTCGGGTCGCCGATTCTGATGTCGGCTGATGGCAACACCCTCTACTGGTGTGGTGAGTCAAATGTCACTTTCTGTGGCCCTCGTCGCTCCACAAGGGCTGCCCGCTAACACAACATGCCCCGTGAATTAGTCTATCTGCCAAAGAAATTTCACGACGATGTCTCTGGCCAAGACGGAAATAACGCTGCCAGTGAGGCTCTGTACGACGAAGAGAAAGCTTCCTGCATGTTGGGAGTGGCGGTGCCAATGGAGAAGCTCAAGGGAAGGGCGATCCGATCGCTTGACGACAAAGAGAAATATGACCTGATCTCTTCTGGTTTCGAAGGATGGTCGCCGATCTTGTGCGCGTTGATTGATGCCACTTTACTCGGGTAAATGACTTACAACGTGCACAGTCACAAAGCTCTTGAACTCTGTCAGAATCAGAGCATTCACGGATACGAGGCTCGCTGTGGTTTGGACGTGCCGCTGAACTGGCGAGAGAAGAGCGCCACCAAAGAAGACATAAAGAAGGGTCACCCACGCGTATGGCTCATGGGCGACTCCATCCACCCCATGCTGCCCAATCGGTAAGACTTTCTGGCTCGCTATGCCAAGTCATCGCAGACGGACTGACCATGTGCACGCAGGGGCATGGGTGGAAACACCGCGATGCGTGATACAGCTGAAGTGCTGCCTCGCATCCTCAAACTCAAAGAGGCGGCCGCCGGACCCGATCCGCTCTCAATTATCGAAATCAAGAAGCAGTGCCAGGAGTACGAGCAGGACATGATTCCTCGGGCGTTTGAATGGGTGCAAAAGAGCGGACGAAACCTCGAGGTACGCAAGGCCTACCTACCTACCTACCCATGACTTTGCCTGCCTATATATCCCGTTGCGTGAATGTACTGACTTTTTTTCGTTCCGCGACAAAGCCTTTCAATACGTCCAACAGGCTCACCAAGCTGGCCCTGTCGATGGCTTCATTCGTCGCCGTTCCGGTCGTCAAACTTTGGCTTACAGTGTTCCATGGAGGATCCGAGGCTGGCACTGTTGCCGAAGCTGCTGAGTTGATGAATAAGTAAGTTCGGGGTAAGAGCGCTGGGCCGTGGTCGAGCATGTCCGTTCAAAATGTCCGCTTTGAGGCGTGAGACGTCTTTGTGCCGGTTTGAGGCTCCATGTCAGTGGGGAGTCGAGGACTGCACGCTGGCTATCTCGGAGGATATTTTCTCTAGTCTGTGTGGTAATCGCGTGTTTGGCAACGTATGATAGATACAATGTATAAGTTCGATTCTAACGCCTACATTCCCTCTACATTACAACAATCCTTCTGTCTGTGAAGACGATATTGTCGTCGTTCAGTACATGTATTCACCGGAAGTGGTTAACTTAGAGTGTCTCGGCTGGCTGCACAGTGTGTTGAAGTCCGTTTCCGCGGAATGCCGATTGTGGGGGTCCGGACTCCGACTCCGGGGGAATTTAGGGGTCTCTTTTCGCTAGGCCTTCGGGGACTACCGACAACCCGACGGACCGGGGCGGAGGAGGTGGGGCACCTAGAGATCCATGCAGCCCTGTTATTGAAGTCAACGTGTACGTACATGTAGTGCAGTACGAAAGGAACCACTAGGGTTCTTAACTTATAATTACAAGTTACAACATCCAGGGAGGTTGCAATGCCGAGCTGCTTGCCGAAGCCACGGGTCGAGCCAACTTGCGTCAGCATCGGGAGGCCATGCGCTGGTGTGGCGATCCTGGAACTGACTACTTAGGTTCCAATGCCTCCTCGTGATCAACATATTGAGCTTTAGCATCGTTCGACACGCAGTGACGAATCATTCACTCAAGCGTATATAACTATTGACACCACAATGGCCTCTGCATTCTTCGATGAGGCGGCCGATGCCATTGGCGCAGACAATGTGTCTCGAGACCGCCTCACCGGTTCGTTGCCAGGTCCAATGGGTGAAGTATTGTACGGAGACGTATGGGATCTATTTCCCCAGAAGCCCATCGGCGCAGTCCGGCCTAGTTCTGTGGAGGAGCTGCAACAGGTCATTCGACTCGCCAACAAGCATCTCGTACCTCTGTGGACCGTGTCTCGAGGAAAGAACTTGGGGTAAGAGTGCACTCTCTCCTTGTGCGATTCGCATCAAGTCATCAAATCGCCACGCTTGGGCTGACCTTTCATGAACACGGCAGCTATGGAGGCACTACGCCCGTCGCAGAAGGCAACGTTGTTCTTGATCTCCATCGGATGAACAAGATTGTCGAAATCAACGAGGAGTTTGGCTACGCAATCGTCGAGCCAGGCGTCTCCTTCTTTGATCTCTACGAGGAGATCAAGCGTCGCAAGCTCAAGCTATGGATGTCCGTGCCTGCGATCGGTTGGGGCTCGGTCGTCGGGAATGCTTCGGAGCGAGGCTTCGGCTTCACTCCCCTTGGCGTCCACGCCGACGCGCAAACTGGTCTCGAGGTGGTGCTACCGAGCGGCGAGTTGCTTCGCCCTGGCATGGGCGCTGTTTCTGATCAGATGTTTGCGCTTTACAAGGAGTATGGTTTCCCCTTGCCGCATGCTCCCTGCAAAGGACAAATACTGAAAATGATTCTCTGGCAGTGGTTTCGGTCCCGGTCTCGAGAACATGTTCAAGCAGTCTAACTTGGGTATGTGAAGAACTCTGAAGATCGACCTTTTGGCTCCTCAGTTGCTGATCCGGAATGCGTAGGTGTCATCACCAAGTTGGGGATGCACATGTACCCTGCACCGGAAGCCTATAGCCGCTGTGTACTATCCGTGCCACGGGACGCAGATTTCGTTCGAATGGTGGACACAATGGCAAATCTCCGACGCCGGGGTGTCGTTGGAAACGTTCCGCACGTTTGGGACATTCAGCGACAAGTCGCCATTAACCGAGACATGGACGTTTTGCAACTGATGCGCCCGCACTGGGGAGCTGATAAAGCATATCCCCTCTCTCTCTACGAGGAAATTATCCAGAAAACAGGATGGCACTGGTGGTACTGCCAATTCGCTCTGTACGGCTCGCCTGAGATCGTCAAGGCCCAGCTCGAAACCGTCAAGCGTGTCATCTCCCAGGACTTACCTGGCGCGAAGCTTCAGGTGTGGGACCACGTTGCCTCACCAGGCGAGGTGCTCGACGCAACGGTGGAAACAGACGCGATACCGAGTCCCACTGGCGTACCGTCTATTCTTGGCATTCAAATGCTGGATATGATCCGCGGAGAAGGTACGGGCCACACCGACTTTGCGCCTGTTCTGCCACCATCCGGCAAACTTATCTACGAGTGGTTCACGAAGGTCAGGGTAAGTCTCCAGCCACCATGGTCCCCGCCCTCCAATCTTTACCCAAACAGAGAAGGAAGGCTAAATTATTTGTTATCTACAGGCAATGTGCATAGAGGCTGGCTTCAACTGCGAAGCCGACTTTCACATCCATGCTCGTTACTCAATCCCCATGGCCCTCATCTGCTTCGTCCGTTCAGAGAGAGAGCGTGTCAGCCAGCTGTACCCCAAAATAGTGGACGCAACCACGGCCCTGGGCTATATCTCATACCGCGTGCATGTTGGCGCCATGGATCAAATTCTTGGAGCTCACACGTTCAATGATGGAGCTCTGGGCAAATTCTTGACGAGCCTGAAGGACCACATGGACCCTAATGGAATCTTATCGCCCGGCAAGTCTGGTATTTGGAATTCGGCGGCAAAGGCAGGGCGTTGAGTAAGCCAGAAAGAAGCCGAATAAGATTCCTACCTTGGCTTTCAACCGTCGGGTTCTTGATGTTTCAATGTGACCGAGAATGACCCCAAGAGACGACAAAAGATCTGGCCATGTTATTGTCTTGCGGGCCAGTGCGTGGAAACGCGGTTGTCTTGCTGCAGATCACAACTTCATTGCATTCGAGGCTACTCTATCGCTCTAGGGGTTACTTAAGAAGTTGTTCCTCTTCTATATATCTTTACTATTGGGTTGGAGGGACGAGAAAAGCAGCAGGGAATGTGTTTCGGCCACGAGGCTGCTCGAGCGTACCCTACACCCCATTTGCTTCCGGCGTCCCCTGGAGGGGCTGGCCTCGCTTCTCACAATTAGCCTAACCTATACTGCCCTTTCAAGCATTACTAATAATGTAAATAAAGGAGGACGAAGTCCAAGGGGGGCAAGGCTCCCCCTTTTGTACTTAAACGTGAGATCATGCCATTGTCGCAGAGGGCATGGCGCTTCTAGGGCCACAATTGCCGATCAAGCATCGCTACCTTGTATCGTTTCTTAGTGGCAGCACAAACATTGCCCCAGAGCAATGGGTCACCTGGAAAATGCTACTTTTTGTCTATATGAAGAACAAACTCGCGTGAGTTCTTTCGTAAATTAGAAGGCTATATAAATCGTTGCGAGCACGTTCAGTGACCAAGCAGGAAGAGAATGACCCGGTGGCAGTTGCCGCGGTGCACTACCGCCCTTTTCACTATTTGCGTATGTTCATTGAAGCCCGTTCCCATCTCCTGGGGCGATCTTGCCACAGCAACCTCATGAGCTGACGGGATTTGTGCGCTCTTTGTATGTCCATGGCGTCGCGGGCGCCTCGCGGAGGGAACGACAACCCGTTGGGCGTATGTTACACCCTGCCGACGGAGACAAGTTGTGTCTAGTGTAGGGCATGTCCTAGGAAGGTTTACCTGGCAGCTCCAAATCGATGATTATAGTATAGTAAGTAGATACAATACAATACTGTACCTTAAGTACAGCAGACGTCTTTTCCTTCTAAAGCTGCATAGCTTGCAAAGTATCAGGATGCTTCTCTCCCAGCACCTCTCGTCGGAGATCCAGCACTCCAACGTACATTCGTGATGTTTCGTAAATATCAAACGTCAATTCTCCCATTCAAAGCGCCATTGCAAGCGCGATCCCAATTGGGAGCTTGCAGGACCACCAAGATTGACCCGTGACGGCAGGCGCAGCGTCCTCACTGGTAGTTGTAGCTACTTCCTCGGAGGACGAAGAAGTCGCAGCCTCCAGAGAGGCTGAAGGCTGCGTAGTCCTGGCCGTCTCCAAGGAATTGGAAATAGACAATGAAGGAGGCATTGGTCCTCCACTGGGCTCTGGTATTGTGGTTGGTTCTGTTGATGATATATCATCCGGCAGAGACGTGGTGAAGGTCAAGGTCAGCGATAGCGTAGCCGCAAGGCTGGAGATAAAGGCGCTGTTGTCCGACAAGACTGACTCGACCTGGATGCTGAGAGGGCCAAGCGCAAAAGCCGACTCGGTGGCGGCGAGGAGCGGATCGTCGCATACGTAAGGTATATCACCTTCGCTGGCAGCCTGGCAAATTTGACCCGTAAGACAACACCAGGTGTCATCGCAGACCACGGGGCAGAGAGAGCTGCGATCTTCCAAGGCTTGTTCCCCTAGCTTAAAGGCCGAGGGAGTAGCCGAGATGGTGGAAGCAGTTGCAAGAAGATACAGCCAAGTTTGGGGCATAAGGTGCATGGTAGTATATTTCATTTTGCTGGTATGAATCGGACCAGTGACGAATCTCGGGATATAGAGGCAGCAGGTAGACCGGAATGAAAGCATGAAATATTGCTAATTGAAATTGAGAGTACTGTATTGCCCGAGTCGTACATGGCAGCTGGGTTCCAGCCTTATACAGGTCTTCGGCAATGGCGGCCTGCCCTGCGCTCCCAGTACCTGTACTACGGGTAATAGAATTTGAAAACCAAAACATCCATTTGAGTGAGGTGACTAGGGCTTTCCCGCGATTGGCGCTTTGCAATCACCACCTGAATGAGGCTTGGTGACCCCCTTGCTACCGGCAGTTCTAGGCCTCGATTGTCGAAAGAAGGGTGGCGCAAGCTGAACAGCCACAACGTCGGCAGGGCTGCAGGCTGATCGACACGAATTTCGCACCGGATTTGTCTGTTTGGTCTGATACTATCCGTACATCTAATAAACGTAGATCATATTTGACAGGCTTGCCTCTGTAAGTAGCAGGGAAAGGGGTAATGATTGAACTGCTGAATACGTACATCGATATCTTAAATTGATCATAATGTCGGTGACCCAAAGGACCCGGCAACAGCACTATTGCTTTTGAGGCTGTTGCGGAAGATCAATAGTTCTATGTGGTTGAAAAAGGTGGTGTGTTTGATCATGAAGCTTGTGGTGAGGTGAGGCACGCCGGCGTTGGAAGAAGTGGGCCCCTGGGCCGTGTCCGGTGTCGGGGTAATTTCTAACGTACTGATTGGTGCAAAGGCCATAAGGACGGTAGGTTCAAGGTGGGGCGTTCCACCCTTCCACGCCGTTTGATAGGTTTGAATTCATTGCCTGATTGAAGGCCTCAAAACCCCTGATCTTCTGACTGTTGATTGCGAACGAACAAGATGGACGGACTGACAGCCCTGATGTCGGAAGCGATAGGCAGACGGCTGATAGGGTCTGCTAGCCGCTCCACCATGTCGCAATGATCGATCTCGTAAATCCTACGTGTGCCTTAAGCTGATGATCGCCGCTGCGAAGAGGACATTGTCGCCTCAACCAATTGCTACATGATGAACGAACACACATCGCAGCATTCTGTCCAAGACACAGATGCTGGCAATGATATTCTTGTTTCACTCCCCAACCAAGCCGCCAAATTGATTACGGCGACCAGTGGTGAAGATTCAAACCCCTCAGGCGAATATATCTCACTACCGCTCACCCCAGGTCTTTCCACTACCGATCCTGCACCCAGTAGTCAGTCTGCATCGATCATTACATGTCGCTCTCCAAGGATTTCTCTCCCATCAGATCTTCGCCCACCGGCTACACCTCCGCCAGCTTCACCTCCCCCGGCTTCATCTCCCCAGGCTTCATCTCCCCAGGCTTCACCTCCCCCGGCTTCGTTCCGGACGGGTAGTCCTGGCGTCCAACAGCCAATAAATCTCGCCGCACACAGACTACCCCCCAACGGCAGCTCTGTGGCAATTCCACTCCAGACGCCATCAAATACTTCTACAGGCAAAGGCTTCTTGACGTATAGTGTGCTCTCGACTGCTATTTGTGCTCTGGGACTGTTTATCTTCATAACATTGGTTACCTGGAAAAGCGCATCCTTGGATTGGCCACTCGCCAACCTCTCGATCACTTCGGGTATCCTTCTCTTGTCCTTCGTTTCCAAGTTTATTGACTGGGCTCTTGAGATGCTTTCGGACGTGGGCTGGGAGAAGCTGTACTGGGGATGGTTATTGCAACGCAGCGGCGGCAACCTTCTCACATTTCTGGTTGTGAATTCTGGACTCAACGCGTGGTTGAAGGCCCTGGTCTATGCTCCTAAACAATCCTCTCGGTCATCTTTACGTCTTGTTACCCTATCGAAACGACAATTGCTGGCTCGCTGGCCTCAGTTCTGGGCCTTTTGGAGGCAAGTTCTTAAAATGAGTGACGAGCTAACAGGGCATTACTGACTAGACAACCGGCAGGATTATTATCTGGCTCCTGATGCAGTTCCCCGGGCTCATCATCATGTCCGCAGTGGACACCCAAACGGCATACCGGCCAGCGGGCTGGTCTACTGTGAGCGGTGGCCTCGGCATCTTCAACTCCAGCGAAGCTTTCCAGCTGCCTGGAGACTTTGTCAGCAACAGCTACGTTTTCAATGTCCTTCAGGATATCACCATGTCTGTTCGCACAAGTCCGATCACAGCCGAATGCCGGGGCCGGGAGACATGCGAATCGTTTCTCCTTGTCGGAGGACTGAAGTGGATTGCCCCATGGCCTTACCGTTGGCTGTCTGACCCCAATCTCACGGCCTATGTAACGCGGCTTATGCCGGTCTATCAGTTGGAGGGATGGAACACGACTTTCGAAAAATCCATTTTCTGGGCGGATAAGGAGTGTCGAGTCTATGGCTCCGCCAGCAACGCTGTACAGATTTGCGCCAAGGAGAGCAACAAAGGCGGCTCAATCCTCACAGGTGCGTTCCTGAAAAAGAAAGGCTGTTTTTTGTGATTCCTGACAATACAAGGTATTCGTGCTTGCGATCCAGGGCAATTAGACGACACAGGAGACTGCACACTGAACCCAGACTGGCCAGGGTGGGATTCTTTCGTAGCTTTCTCGTCAACACTCGATATTCACCGCCTCAACACAAGCATAGCGGCAGATCGACGAAGCAGCGCTATCCTCGACGTCTTGGACAAAGGTGAGGCGCATCGCCAGAAAATCGAGTCAACGAACTTTCTCGATGCCTTCGACAATCTCCTCTGCCCTTTCAACCCCGACAACTCTTCCACTACCTCACGATACTGCGAGATTGGCCAAGCAAGGTCCGACCTGACCAATTCATTATGGTCCGTCATCTACAGCAATTACAATGTTGGCGCGATGGAAAGCTCACTTGCCGTTGAAACACTGCGAAACCTCTTCGCCACCGCCCTTTTCCTCTTCAACCCCGTCTACCGCGGGGCCGTCCTGACAAGCGAGCCAGTATTTTCGCGCACTACCCAGGCAGGACTTGCCGATGAGAACTACTTCCCAGGGTCTGCGGCCCGAGTATCATCGTACGTGGCACCCAAGCCTTGGAGTGTCGTAGCATTCACCGTTTCGGGCGCTTTCATGATTTTCGCTTCTCTGGCAGCGGTATGTGTCTCTTTATACTTCAAGCAGCCTACGACTTCAACATTCGATCCTATAAATGTATTTTCGGTCAAAGTGAGTGAACCAGCTCAGGTTGGTAGCCATGAACTGGGCAGCATTCAATATGAAGGACAAGACCGAGAAGGAGATCATGCGGGTAGCAGCCGGGCTGTGGATCGAGCCAAGGGCATAGCTAAAGAATGATTGTCACGCGTTATAAAGGATGTTCAAGTGCCTTGATCTATTACATAAGAAAATACTAGGCGTAACGGCTATTTATACGATCTATACAAAAGCCGAGCCAGGACGATGAGGGAGTGAAATATGTATGGAATGAGCAAACCTTCACGCCGAGGAGACGTCTATGCCGCTTACTGATCAGAATCCTACTGTACTGCAGATACGCGCTCAATAACGTAGTCCAGACTCTCAAAGCATCCCAAGTACTTTATCCAATCATGTCTTCCCCGAGAACATGAACCCAGGCTGCCTCGCCTGCATCAAAGGTTAATAAAGAACTCCCAGGAAAGTGACAGCCAATGAAAATGGATGAACTCAACATTCGCCGCCGATCTGCATACGCTTGGCGCTGCCAGTGCACCAACGGTCACTTTTGATAATATCAATCGTGATTGAGACAAAAGTATCAATATATGGCCCCCAATACTTGAACCAACACCAAAGATTGTCTTCACGTTCCTCCCTCTCACACACTCCACTCCTCGCTTTTCCAGCCACCATAAACAAGAACAACTCGGTAAAAGTTCCCTCAATGTACACTCCAAGCACGAAAAAGACCTCCCAGTCCCCAGTTTGCGGCAACCATTGCGGAGGGACAATGGCATTCAACCCAGGCGCCTTGCTCGGCAGTCTCATCGTTTCCTTGAGCAGCTGGCTAATCGTCGGGGTCTTTGCTTATATAAGAACACCTTCGTCGGGTACACATATGGATTTCAACGGGTTCTTGACCATCTCTTTCATGCAGATTCCCAACTTCTATGCGCTCATAGGTGTCATTCACCAATGCAGCTGCCACCCTAACCTTCCGTTCAACCACACGGCCGCTGGAATTGCCTCCATATTAGGGTGCTTCACGACGATTGCGTTCTGTATCGCCACAAGCGAGTGGAGGACTACTTCGCAGCATAAATTCCTGATTATGGGGAGCGTGTACGTGTCTTGGGGCCTGGAGTGGTACTTCAAGCCGTTGGCGGCCTGTCTAAGATGGTTGGAACAAAGTACATATCCAAGACAGCGGCTAGATGTTGCATCGTCTCGTTGACAACGTCTGGTCTTGCAGATCAACAACGCCCTGAGCCTTGATTAAGCCTCCCGGCTGCGGACCCTGACCTACGTAATAGATTGCACGAATAAGTACGCGCATCGCCAACGTTATTTATTCGGCTAACGTCGCTACACTCTACATGCAGTCATCCAAACAGACCGAGGCCTGTAAGGGGGTCACATTGGACGGTGCACCAAATCTCTGCCGGCACCCACACCTCGAGCCCCAAAACTCAATTCATCGGAGAATTCTGTCCGACTTGACTTGCATGAATAGCTCGTCAAAGAGATCGATGATGCTCTCGTCTTGGGTCTGTTTAGAATGCTGCTTTTTTAAATAACCTCGCCCGCCAATTCTTGGATCAGGCGAAGAGAAGTATAGCTATCTAGACCGACCCTCTTCTCGGCGCCGACAACCCGCTGCCCACATTTGTCCTCTCTTTTCCAGTGTACAGCACTCTTTCTTGGATTCCCAATCTGCCACTCCTCTTGAGTCTTGAGCGATGGATTGGGAGCGTACGCCACCAAGACCTCCGCAAAGTTCAGCCAGGCCCGCAAGCCGAGGCACTATTTGCCCTTGACCAGCATCCTCGTGCGCTGCTAGAACCGTTCTTGGGAGCCTTGCCCCGACCCAGAGGTCAAGTCAAGCTTCTTCTTCGCCCGCCTCCAGCGTTAGGAGGTGAGCACTCGTCCCATGACCTCTCGTCCGTCTGGCAGCCTCATGAGCCAGCTGCCGGGCACGTCGGCGGGCCAGATTTGTCGGATAGGGATCGCCTACGACTGCTCATTGAGCATGTCAGCACGCACTACGGACGCCCAGAGCGTGTCATTGTGATCGTCGTGGTCGATGTGGCAAATAGCCAACATCTAGTCTTGACCTTGCTCGGGTCGAGCAGCCAAGACCAAGGGCTACTGCTGTCCGGCCCCTGGTTGTGCCCAAGACGTCGTGATGCATGGACCTAGCGACTGCTACCATCCTTTCCATCGTCTGTGTGATGCAGCTCCAGGCCGACATGCTGGGATCCGCCTGTTAGGCGGCGACCATATCAGCGCCACACCGGCGGTGGTTTCCAACGTATGCCCTGCCACAATCCCCCAGCAATGAGCGGATCTTGGGCATTCGTAAAAAGCTGTGTCCCGATAGGTTCCCCGGCTGCACCCTCAGGGGATCCTCGTCGTCCACTCCTGTGTGGAAAAGGGCAGGGCACATAGTCCTGGTGCGCAGACGTAGCTGCACGAGCTGGGGAAGCAACCGTATGACGAATGGACAAATGTGATCTGTTCCGCGCTTCTCCCCGTCAAGCGTGCACACGTCTGTTTCTCGGGTATCTATCTCAAGGTGGATGCAAGCTGGCGGAAGAGACTCGACGATGGTGTTCAGGTCTTGGCGCGAGACAAAGCAGATACCAGTCGGTGCAGCCACGACGGAGACGCAGGCTAGATTCTCCATGGCCTTGAGCATGGGAGCCAACCTCTGGACGCCCGCGCGGAGGTCCGGATGTGGCGCCTTGCCGTTAGAAGGATCAAGATGTGACCCCGTATCGCCTTGGATGCGGAGTGTGAGAGACTGGACATGTATGTAGCGACCCCATCTTTCCGCAGCGAAGGTGCGCGTGAACTCTTTCAGTCAAGGAAGGTCGAGTGAGACAATACCGCAGGGCATGGCCGCATCGTGTCAGGCCCTATCCACATACCAAGGCGCAGGCCAGCAGATCGTCTAGGCGACCTTGTCCCTGATGTCTGACGTGCAAGAGGACAGAGTGCAGGACGGCAAACGGCAGAGGGCCCATCTCGGCCCCATGCTGCCTTGGAATGTTCAAGGGACTGGAAGTATCCTATGAAAGGTCTAGTGTGAAGTGATTCGGAAAGGAATAAGTTGGCCAGACGCTGTTGACAACCAACAGCGCACCCCGACTTTCGGATAAAAACTAATAACAATATTTACTAGTACCCGTGGGAACAACGGTAATCATCCTCAAAACGAGAACAGATCCGAGCTTTGGGGGCCACAAGTCTACTCCATATATGCACTCCGGGTATTTGAACGGCACCGTCCACCAGTCAACGTAAGGTACGCGCGTAGGTCAGCTATTTGGGGTCCATCTTTAGACAGGTAGGCAGAGGTGTAGGGCTCGTGCAAGGTGTAGGGCTCGTGCAGAGTCTATGGATGTGGCCTTATGTTCGCCTAACCCGTTGCTTCACAACCTACAGACGATCTTCCCCCTGAGCGCTCTGTACCATGATATGAGAACTCACTTTGCTTTGGCACTCTGTGTGTCAAATGCTCTCCTGAAGTCGAGCGACAAACCATGTTCGGGGACAGTTGATCTCCTCTCGGAGTCAAATCGACCATGTCGAACAGACTACTCCGGAATCCAAGCCGGTCGGCCCCCAATTTGCACTCATATACTTCGTATGTGGAGCCAAAATACGTTTGTGCCGACGACGTCGCCTCGAGGATCTGGTCCGCTACTTGGGGCCACGGACCCCAAACCCCGTTTCTGCGTTATACAACAGAAATAACCAAAAACCTTGTGAATATTGGCACAAGCCAGGACTCGCTGGCTGTTCCTCAAGGGCTTGTTGAGCAAGTAAGGTGGAGCGACGACGCCTCTGGGTTGCATGTACGGTTAACTCGCAGGAAGAAGCAGGTGTGATTTCGACTTGGGTCGTAGAGAGAAGCACGATAGCTTCAGTGCCCAGTTTATCATATTCAAACGGGTATATAAGTCAGGAGTAGTTTTCCTAGTTGAGTTCTGTTCCCCAAGCCTCAACTCACAACAACAACAATAACAATCACTATTTGTCAAGCTTCCCCTTACCTTCTTTGCAATGCATTACCCCACCGCTCTTATCGTCGTCGTTGCAGCTCTGTTGCCAGCCACTTCCGCCTTTACCTGCGCTGTAGGTCAGGCTGGATCATGCTACTTCCGGGATGGCAACCCAGTTGGCAAGCAGCAGCGCTGTGCTGTTCAGTGCACGTACCAAGGCGGTAACTCTAAGTGCACCTGTCCCGACTACTACCCGAGGAACAACAAGAAGTGGGAGTACACTGGAAAGCACGAGTGTTTCGCTTGAGCGGCTTACCCCGGGCGTCACAAGTGCTACGGCTAATGCCACTCCGTACGAGCTGGTGACGCGGAGAACGCTGCCTTTATGGACTGTAAGTTTGTTCAAATCTTATGCGAAACCACAATCGAGTTGACTTTCAGCATAGACGGTTTCGAGGCAAAACTCGTGGCCTTTCAGCGCAACATCAGGACTCAGGAGGCGGAGGTTTCGACCAGGTTACGCAACGGCTATATCAGCATAGCGATGAGCAGAGAGCAATGGGGAGACAATGTACTACACAGCTCAGCTTCCTAGATTGACCTTCAACGTACGCCAAATTATGGACAGCTTCACCCAAAGCCCTTACCGTAGTAATCTGAATGAACTTAAGCTAGGTGCTGTCTGTTGGTGAAGAGAATACATCCAGCCATGATAGGGGGGCGTTTTCCAGGGAAAATGAGACCCCTGCACGGGCTAGAGAGGTGACGGCGGGGGGTATGCGGTGGAATAACATGGCAGGATTGGGTTGGTAGTTTGTATGATGAGACGAAAAACGAGTTACATGAAAGGGATGGGTCTAATTGCTTACCGTAACTAGGGCGCGCCCCAAAGAGGATACGGGGAGATTTGGGGGGAACAGGGTAAGAAGGAAAGGGGTTGAGAGTATTGGTATTTTCAGTACCCTGGGGGATGCATTGGGCCTGACATACCAACCTCAAGTTAGGGTTGAAAGCGACATTCGTACAGCTAGGCACCCATCACCTTGCATATGTACGCAGCGAAGGCCCCATGGCAATGAAAAGCTCGAAGGTTAGGAAAATGCTTCTGTGGCCAATATAGTCGAGGTCCATATCGACATCGGCTAACCATGTCCATAGACATTCGACAGGTGCGCGATGATGAAAGTCCTGCAGCTACACAGCGCCCACGTCGCGCAGGAAGTTGAGGTCGTATCGGCGAGACGACTTGACTTTAGGCTGATGTAATGACCCCGGACTCATGACCGTCGTTCCGGGGCGAATCGGCACCTCCAGGGGCTGCCTGTGAAGTAGATTACCTGCATAACTATTCTCCGCGCTGGAAAGTGAATACCAAACTGTGGCGGCCCTAGGTGTTGAGAGGATCGTGTCTGGCATCTTGGAAGCAACGCGCTTGCTCTACTTCCTCGCCCAACTTTTGCCATACGCAAGAATATACTGGAACAGGCCGGACACAAAGCAACGGAGACTCCCACCGTCAACATGCTTTCAGCTCGCACCTCACTGCCGGTAAAGCACGAATGACGCACTCCGCCATGATTCGGGCAGGAGTTGTACGGCCTGCCGTCCTGCAGCCAGCTGAGCATCCTTCATTGGACGAGGATAGGCTTGAGGGCATGATACGGGCTTGTTGTCCTGCGCCATGGCATGCATTGTTACACCCGTGCCCCGACTTTGCCATCGAGGACGTCAGAGACCTTGGTTGGCAAGGGAATGAGGGGTGCAGTGAGGGGGATTTGTCGTCGTAACTGTGCAGTTAACGGCGGCTCAGGAGATATAAAAGCATGGCTCACTGACGACGAAGACGGTCAACACGATCTTGTATCTGGGCATCCTTTGGTTCCATCAATTGCAAGTTGGCCCTGAGTTCTCACAATTGGACAAAATGGGTCTTGCTAAAGTCTTCAGCCTTGTGCTGCCACTCGTGCTTGGGGTTCTAGGAGCCCCTGCCGCTCAGGAGGAGCCCGCGCATGTCGTGGCCAGACAAGGCGCCGATCCCCACTGGTACAAGTACTGGGCCAACGACAAGGCCGAGGTCGAAGCTGAGGACCTCAGCGGAGGAGAGTTCACCGTCAACTGGGACGAGCCCAACGGCGGCAATTTTGTCATTGGCAAAGGATACCGGACTGGCTTCGACACGTAAGGCCTTCCTTCTCCCGATGGCTTGTGGCATTCGGTTTCCCACAGGCCCCTCGATTTCCATGTCGTCCTGAGGATCTCCCCTCGCTGACACTGCTCTAGGAAGTTCAATTACTCCGGAACTTTTACACCTGGCGACAACTCGAACACGTACCTTGCACTGTATGGCTGGACCTACGGTCCGACGGTACGTTATTGGGAGAAAGAACCAAGTCAGTGACTGATACTCTGTACCAGAGCGAGTACTATGTGATGGAGTCATTTGGCGTCCACCATCCTGCAGACAACGCCAATAGTGTCTGCTACGGACACTTTGAGTCCGACGGAGGCACCTATGAGGTCTGGGACAAGTACAACGGCAACATCCACCAGCTGTGGTCCGTGAGGACAACACGCCGTGTTGGCGGGACCATCACCACCGGCAACCACTTTCGTGCCTTCAATGCCGTCGGTCTCACCCTGGGGAGACATGGCGAGATGGTCATTGGCATCGAGGGCCAGTGGGGCGACGGTTCTGCCACCATCACCGCCGGCGTCCCGCCTGCCACCAAGGTCGTCGAGAGCGCGACACCCACAACCAGGACCCAGGTGTCTACGCGGAAGGGCACCTGCACGGCCACGATCGATATAAGTTAACGTTCCTCGAGCTTGGCGTTGGCAGTCTTGCCCCATGTACATGAGGTTGTACTACCTAGTCGGTCTCGGTTTTCAGGGTGAGCGCTGGCCTTTGGGCTGTAACGGCTGTCGAGACGCAAAGCCGGTTAGTTTTTTTTGGCGCTGGTACCCGTAGTCGATTGAGCTGCCAAATGCATTCATCTCTAGACTGTTGTGTCCTCACATCGATGGGTCTGAGGCGCTCATGTTGGTGATGGGTGGAATCCGCATCTCTGTGACGCCATCACACCGTTGGCACTTTCTGGGTCGGAAGTCTTCCGGCCCTGAGTCCTCAAGGTCGATGTCGACCCTTACTTGTTCAACAGGTTGGAAACTGTCGTGGATCGAGTCTACCGTAGCCAGTGGAATACCGAGCTGGCCATGTCGCAACAAAATATCGAAATGCAGATGGGGACCGGATTACGAGCGGAAACTCATATCGCAGGATCCTTTGTGTAGCCCATATCTGATCGCGAAACATATTTTGTGCATTAGAATGACTAGACGATGGTGAACTGAAGTCCAAGTCCAAGCTGAGGTAAGGCAAGTTGCCTTGGCCAGGAGCACTTGAAGAAACCCCACGTGATTGCTTGGCGGTATCGACGCACGTGACCCAAACTTTTCGCCGACCATACTACGGAGTATCGCGACCACCTTCAAGCAGCGCGCCGGAGACAGCAGCTCGACTCCCCAGCCTCGCAAGCAACCCAAGCGCCATCATGACCGGTCACAAACCCATGCGGCTTCCGCCCCTGCCACGCTTGCGTGTGCACAACCCGAAGCGACAAGTCGAGAACCCCTGTTTGACGATCATGTCCAGCATGCTCTGTACGCCCGCCTGCCCTCCTGCCCTCCCGACCTCGTCGCGTCAAAGAATAGCTCGGGGAAGACATGTTGAGAACTCACAACTAACGCGCTCGCAGCATGCTGGGCCTCGGCCGGTTACAATGCCACGGGCTGCCTCGCGATCGAGAACCAGCTACGGGCCTGCATGGACGGACCCAAAGCGCCGCGCACCTCGTCGAATTCGATCAACTACCACCTGGGCCGTATGAAGAACAGTGTCACACAAGGCTCCAAGTCGAAAGCTGGGCGAGGCGGTGGTTCAGTTTCGTAATCACCCAGGAGGAGGCACAAGGGGACCTGCAGGAGAGATGGACTGCCTGCCTTGGCGTGAGCGCCCTGCGCTGGCCGGCCATCATCATCCTATGCCCACCCACACTATTACAGAGGGAGGGAACTGCATACTGGCGTTTGGGAATTTGTACTACAGACCGGCGATGCTGGCCGGGAAAAGATATTGCAGCGCGAGGATTGTAAGACTGTACAATTATGGACGACACCACCATCACCACCATACGCGATGATCAATATTGGCAAGCTTGAATTCAACATGAAAACCGCAAAAACACCGCTATGTGGATATTCCGTTCTCATGCCCTTTCATCCATGCTCAAATGTGTCTAGCAATCATCCCGCTGAATCATCCAAGAAATGCCGCTGCCCGGCCTGATGCTGCACGCCTCGCCCCAAGCTGCCGTTTGATCGGCGCTCCGCCAACAACATAGCTCCTGTGTCACTACCAATGCCAACATCCTATGCCAGCCGCTGCAGGTTGTATATCTATGCTGCCCCTGAGTCGTCGACGGGAACGTTTGCGGGTGACGATGATCGTAACTGAAAAAAAACAAACAAGTAGAATGTAGGTAAGAAAGATTGTTTCGAGTTGAATGCGCCGTTGGTATCCTGAGGTTGGGTGCAACCTGATGCTGGTAGTGTAGTGATCCATGTTTCGTGAAACTCCCTCCGTTATCTCCGTCTCTGTCTCTCGCCGACGTTCATGTGCCGTGTGCTTGTGACGTATCCGTTGCCGAAATACAGTAGAGGTCAATCTCGCCGACGCCCCCAGAGTACATGCTTTTCATGCCTTCCCGAAGTTCCAAGAATGCGAGCTGGATATCCTCGTCGCTCTGGATGCGGACCAAATCACCGTCCTCGTCACGGTAGTGCAGCTTCAGATGCTCCTTACCGATACTGCTCGCTGTGAACCGTGCGAGTTTGGCATCAATCCTGTCAATCAAGGATTGGTATGAAATGTTGAAAGCCACGACTAATGTCACGTAGTTCCCGCCATCCAGATTCACCTTGACCTTGAGCTGCGTCGGGAATGGTGCGTCGCCCTCGCCCATCGTGTTGGAGCTGGGCGGCGCGAATGTGCCCGTGGCAAGCCCAGGCGACACTGTCCGCGTGTTGGCAGCCGTCATATCAACACGAAGAGAGTTCCCACCGGACGATGGGTTAGGCGTGGTTCCTCGGGGATAAATTGGTTGCGACGGGAAGTGTGACATGGTCCCTCCAAGGCTGCCCGAGTGCTGATGCATGCGATGTTGCGCACCCGGACTCTGCGTGTGCGTACGGATTGGCGCATCATTGCGTGGGGAGCCATTCTGCGATCGCGGAATTCCGCTATCGTGGGCAGGGTGAAGGTGTTGGGGAATACCGGGGACAGCAGGAACATTGCCCCCTCCTTGACTGGGTTGCCTCTGGCGAGGAACACCGGGGCCGTTGATATCGGGTGTACTGTATGATCGGCTTCTCTGATTCTGCGCGGCGCTGTTCTGTTTTGCCATCGCCGGCAGCGACGGGCCCCGAGGATTCCGCCCGTTCATACCATGGGGACCCGGAGAAGTACCGTCGCGTGACGGCGCTCGAGGGGCAGCCGGAGCCGTGTACTTGGTGCCCTCGTCCCAGACTGCCTGGGGCTGCCCTGGCTTGTAGTTAGGAAACATGCCGCTAGCTGTGCTGGTACGGGAGGATGCGGGAGAGTTATCGACGGGCGAGAAGTAGCTGTCGCCGATGCGAGAGCCGGGCGAGATGGCACCACTGCTCTGTGTTTGCAAGCTCAAGCTCAAAGGAGCCGGATGGTGAGGCAGAGGGAATCGTGGCGGCGGTGCTCTGGCAATGCCGGCCAAGGACTGCGAACTTTCGTTTGTGGCAGAGCGCTGCCTCAGGCTCGAGCTGGACGAGGTTCGTGGCATGATGGCGGGCTGCTGACCGGGCATGGGAAACTGTGCCGGTGCTGTAGCGGGTCCATCGAAATCATCTTCGTCGTCCGTCTCCTTGTACGGGTTTTCTATTGCGCCTGTGTGGTCCCTCGTCCAGACAAAGTCGTTTGCCACGGACCCCGATTGAGCAGATACGCGAGCACCATGCACCTTGCGTTGCTGCTCGAGTACGTCCGCCCACTTGCGCATGATATCTTCCTTGGGGAACTTGATGGTGAAGTTTTCCACTGCTGGTTCCCCCTTCCACCAGATCTGGACACAGTGCGACCCAGTACCTGTTCTCTCGTTAGTTCCGTTAGGTGTACTGCGGGAGGGACGTGGGCTTACCAGGTTTCGAAAGAGATATCACGTCAGTGACGTTTGTCATGAAGATTCTGCCCTTAAGAGTGACCTTTGCGCTCTTATTTCTGGGTTTGCTGCCCGTCGACTTGGTCTTGTCTTTTTTGTCTTTGACCTTGTTGGGTGAAACCTCCTTGCAACATAGCAAAATCGCCTCGAAGAGATAAATTTCGTACTGGCGAATGAATGTTAGCTAGCTCTCATTTGTGGTGTAAGGGACTGCGCACGTCTTTCTCAACGTCTGTCTTGCCCGTGGCGACACCGTGCACGCCATGCATGAGGAGTTTGCCAAAGGACTCGACGTTGTGGTTCTTCCAATCGTCCACGCGTGTCTTGAGATCGACGAGAGCCTCATCCAACAAATCGCGATTGACAGCCTCGTTGGCGCGGTATAGGACCCGCTCTGCGGCCTCACAGCCAGCCAAGAGATCATTCTTGGTTTCTTCATCTTCGGTCTTTTTGTGGAGGTCCTACGCGGTGTCAGTGCCTGCTCTTTGGGGGGTCGGGTAACCAGGTATCCAAATCCCACTCACCTTGAGAAGTAGAGGGTATTTGACCAGACGCTGCATAGGCTTCAGGAGAAATCCGTCCAACGTATTGAACTCGAGAGCCACAGGGTGGTCTATTGACTTGATCTGGTCAAACACAGCTTGAGCCGTCATAGCAGCCTTTCGCTGGTTGGAAATGAAGGGCTCATAGATGCTGAAGGAAGGTTCGTGGTGCACAAAGATCTCGCCCCATTTCTGGCTCGTCGCAGCTCTCGAATTCGTCGTCTCGACTCTAATGAGGAACCGGCGTTGGAAGTCGAGAATGGCGTTGATGTTGAGGAAGATTGAGTGAATGGCATCACCAGGAATGACCAAATTTTGTTCGAGTGTCGTCTTGAGATCGTGTAGGTTCTCCAAATCTTGCACATATTTCCGTTCTGTATCGACAAGCTCCTTGACGATGTGGTCACGATATGTCATTTGCGCCTTCTGGCTCGGGTCCGCGGGCCCGTCGTCAGGGTATGGTTGTACTGGCACGAGGTTGCCTCGTTGGGCAGCGAGGTCAAGGACGTAATTGACGACTTGGGTGACCTTGACGAAGCCACTGGTGTCGTTGTTCATCACGTCGGACACCACAAAGCAGTCTTGCGACGGCAGCTGGAGTTGTTCGAGGCATGCCTTGACGAATTTGAAGATACCGATCTTGGGCTTCTGTATCACCTTCTCTTCATCGACGTCGAGGGGCTCGTCTGGCTGCAGCGCGTTGTTGTAGATGACGATGAGGGGCAGACCAGTTCGAAGCAGATTCCAAAGTGAATCGACGGGATCTAGAGGGTCGAGCTGGTCGAGATATTGTTCGAAATCGGGGACCTGGGCTAGTCGATTCTTGAGCGCAACGCATATCTGATATAATGATCGTGAGGCATCGGCCTTTTGGTTGATGATGTTGGAGGTAGGAACAACGTGACCGTTAGGACCAGGTGTCATGCTGTTCAGCGAGCTGAGCGACGCTGAAGAGCCACCGACGGCGGTCGAGCCCGTCAACTGGCTTACGCGACTCATCTTGGGCGTGCAAAGGGTCGGTGATTGTCGACTCGTGTGGAGGTTGTGGTCTAATTATTCCATGCGTTGACAGCACGGTCCCGTAGTAAGGGCGCGCTGTTGGGAGTCGGGTTGATTGAATGCGATTCGGAGGAGTTGATCGACGGTCGATGGACGTTATCGAGGAATACCCTGAATTCGGAGGTCGATGAGGGAGGCGCAACCTAGAGGCGGCTGCTACTGCGTCACTGCCGGCTGAGAGGCGTCGGATGCCGTCAGGCGAGCTGCCGCTCCCCTTTTTGCTAGATCCTTTGAGAAAATGGAGGGTCTAGCCGTCGAGGATTACAGCTGGAGGTTCCTGGTGTTGAGGGTGAGGCGCAAAAGTGGCTGTCCGTCACGTCACGGCCGTGCACCAGCGGTGGAGGTGAGCTCGTCGAGTCCGGAGTCCAGCGTCCTTGGTGTCAGAGTCGAAAGCGCAGTTCGTCGTCGTAACTCAAATGCGGACTGAAGCCTGCCTCTGTCCGCTGGATGACTGGCTGGTTGGCTGGCTGATGCAGCAGAGGGTATGTCGTATGCTAACTTGAGCAGCCCTCGCTTGGCTGGCTGGCTGGCTGGCTGGCTGGCTGGCTGGGTTGGGCGGGTACGTATAGCAGTCAGGAGAAGGAGGGGTTGCGGTCGGGCTGGTCTCGGGCTGGGGGTCCGGATTGTGGTGCCCAGGGACTGGACCTAAGAATTTAAGGGATTTGGCTGGGCGCTGATGCAGGGCAGCAAAAGCAGAGGGGTCAGTCGAGAACGTCAAGGATTGCCCGCCTGGTGCCAGGCTAGACGAGGCTGGTCAGGGAGAGAGAGAAAAGAGCAGCAGGCAACACTGATGATAGTTAGATATCTTTACTACTGCTGATAGTTATTAGAATGTCACCATTTGTCGGTTCTACTTGTTGAACCGCCCTTCTGATCGGTCGGTGACTGGCCGCTGGCGGAGTTCGAACACGTGGGTCTGTCCCAAAAGGAGAAAGCTTCCATGCGTGGGTAAGATCAGAAGTCGGTCAGGCTAGCCGCTGGAATTCACGTCTGTTAACTCTACGTAACAAAATCGAAGGTTACCTTGATTATCAATGTGTTGACAATAGCTATTGTCTCGTCTTATTAGAGCCACTTGTTGTTGCCTATCACAGCACTATTGTCAGTTAGAGGTGTGACAACGGCCAAACTCAAGTCGAGTAGCTTGCCGCTTCATTTCTTGACATCTCTGAGCGAACTCATTATAAGCAAGTTGCTGATATTGTTCCTTGGGTTCATCGACGTTCCCCTGACAGAGGAGCATCGTTCATCGTTGGCTCATCTCATTCTCGCCTAACAGTTGGCGCTAATGCCCATTATCCTCACAAATCCCGGGTGCTGGTTGCTCAAAGCGCAGCTTTGCGCCGAGTCACGACTGGGCGACAATGTACGATTCGATTCGCATTCTCCCCGTGGGTCTCTCCGCTGCTCCCCGATTGTGCTAGTCTGCATGTATCCGTAGTACCTACTGCATCGGTAACGCGTACATAGGCCGCACGATCAGCTTGCCTCGAATTGCCATATGGGCGGGCGTACGGACTACGGAGCCATAACTGCGGCATCTGGCATCTTCTAAGATGCGCAATGGCATTCGCAACTTACAGGCTTGTGCAGCCCCGATCCGATCCGCCACCAAGTGGGACAAACTTGGTAGGCTGGAACACGCTGATTGAGGGGCTAGACATGTGATACTGCTGCCCATGGGCCATAATTATGGGAGCTGTGACGAGATGCACGTCGCCTGTCCAGCTGGTCTGAGGTTGTGCAACACCAATTTCACCAAAGCCTTTCTTTTATCGCCCACGACTGGACGTGCCAAGCGCGCACCTTTGACTCGACTCCTCCTCCCGCCGATGAATCAGTCCATATTGTAATCATTAATAAGCCCTTTTCCGCCCTCTAGGTTTGTTACTGTTCAGTGGGTACGTGGTCACTACGATACAAATTACTCGTGTCGCCAGCAAGTTACTCCAGCTACTCTTACGTCAATGGCCATGAAAGGATCAAGAAAGCTGTGTAGTAATTGCCGGGCGGCTCGCATCTTGGAGTGGACCTTGCAGAGCACTGCCGGCTTGGCAGCTCTTTCAGGTGCGTCGCCCATCACGACAACACGTTCGAGTAGTATTGGTCTCATCACTGGCATAAATTAACAATGCTAGCTCGTGTTACGCTCTCTCTTAGTCCCGCTGGCTTAGCTGCACATTGTGTGCTGTCGCACGACATCAGGGCAAGTGAGGGCAGCAAGTGTTCAATCCTGTAGGTTACCTAGTTGTCAACGACCATCCACGAGCTTCTTTTTCTGGGAGGTCAATGAATCGCCTTATTTATTAATAGGTTGGATGCGGCGAATCACGCAGACCACTGGTGAGCAAAGTTCAGAGTCAGACGCATTAACAATCACTAGTTAATCGTGGGTTGAACAACCTAAACAAAAAGATCAGCCAAGATTACTAACTTGAATACTGACCAGGACATTTTGCTATCAATGTTTTTCCCTTTGACGAAAACAAAAGGCGAACACCGTCCATATAGCTTTATTATATGCTACCTATCCGTACCGCTCGGAAGAAAGCCAGCGCTCCTTGTAAGCTGCCCCGTGGTCTAGGTTAGGCTAACTTGATCTTTTAACGCTAGGGTACAGGCCAATGCCAAGCTTTGTAAAGGTAGGTAATTAGAAGAGGGATCGAGGGCATTGTCGCAAAGCCAAAAGTTCTTTAGAATGAGCGACTATACGTATACTTCTTGGTAGTATTAATTATCCTGATTTATTGCAGGTACCAAAGTACTTGCACTGTAGACAATTGTGTCCACTGTTCCCATCCCACACTGACCTAATCTGACGGATCCTCTTGAGGTGGGATTGCCCCACCTCAAGATGGCACTAGCGCCCGCCGCCTTCATTCCCTGTATTTGGCGTAGGGTCGTCACTTTCGCCCAGAGCCTTCCTTGTTTGCTTGCCAACAACAACAACAATAGCATCGTCGCCTCTGTCCAGCGACCACCACCATCGTTCTGCATTCACTTCCAACTCGATTCCTACCACAAAATATTTAGCTTCTACAAAGAGTTTCTAATTTGCGCACCTCCAAGGGTGTCTTCGATCTACCCAGTCGCATCCTTGTCACCTTCTTGCGCCTCAACCCCAAGCGCCGTCCCGCACCCGGCCCGAGTCGTTACTACCTGATGCTCGTCCAAACGAGGCTTGAACTACGCGATCATGTCGAAGAGAGATCGCCTGGCGATGGACACCTTCTCCCCCACACACCAGCCCGACGAAGGCTACTCTGAGGATCCCTTGGGAACCTCCGGGGACAACGAGCTCTCGAGCGCCCTGTCAAGCGTCAAAACCGAAGACCTGCCAGCCTGGATCGCCTCGAACGCTTCTTACCTGCCCCTTGAGCTGAAGAAAGAGCTCACCATGGCTCTCCTAAACCAGTTGCCCACGGCGGCCGTCTGCGAGATTGTCGAACGATTAAGCCCCCGACTGTACATCGACTTTGTCCGCTATCTGCCCACCGAAGTCTGCCTCAAGATACTTAACTTCCTCGACCCCAACTCTTTGATCAACGTCATCCGCACCTGCAGAGCTTGGCATGAGCTCTCTCTCGACTACAAACTTTGGGAGCGAATGTACCATCTCGAGGGTTGGAAGGTGGTGCGCAGCGAGATTACAAAATGGGAGCAGCGGGTGACGCACGGTCTCACAGAGTCTATAGGGCATTTGCAGCGCATGCAGAGTACGGATGGGCACTCCAGCAAGATTCGACGGGTGGCGCGGGATGATGGCGACACTGACATATCCATGTCCGACAGCAGTGAGCGTACACGAGGCGACTCCAGTAGCAATTTTGGCGCTGGTGGGGGGTCGCGGAGCATCTTCAGTTCCCCAGACTCGTCTTTCTCCAATAGCCGCATGGTCGCGGCCTTCCCAGACGGTCCGGGTCAAGAGGAGGGGATATCACGAAGTTCAACGGCAGACCGATCACGACGACGCGACCTGTGTGCGACTCCAGAGAATATACTACCTCCCACGTTGACCGCACATAACCCCCAACGCTTACGAAGATCGACTCTTTGGACTTGGGATGCGCGTGAATCCCGTTATCGAATCAACTGGAAATACCTATACAACATGAGGCGGCGCCTCGAGTCGAATTGGGAACTCGGGAAAGCAGTACCCTTCACCCTACCACATCCAAAATATCCCGAGGAAGGCCATCACGAATGCATTTACACCCTCATGTACGACAGCAACTTTCTCGTGAGTGGGAGCCGGGACAAGACTATGAGGGTTTGGAATATGCACACGCGGAGACTAATGAGGGCGCCTCTGACCGGTCATCGCGGTTCAGTGCTGTGCCTGCAATTCGACGCAGATCCTGCCGAGGATCTACTCGTTTCAGGGAGCAGTGATTCGGATATCATTGTGTGGAAGTTCTCTACCGGCGAGATCCTCCAGAAGATTACCAAAGCCCATTACGAATCTGTGCTCAATGTCAAGTTTGACAAGGACGTTCTGATCACCTCATCCAAGGACAAGAGCATCAAGATCTTCAATCGGAAACCGCTGCGATTTGGTGAACTCGGGTACGATTCTGATGTGTTCCTCCCCGCCGTCAAGAAGCTTCAGTACATGGGGTATGAGCCAGAGCTGGCCCGCGAACTCCCCGTCAAACCACCATTCTCCATGATCGGGAGGTTGGAAGGCCACGGTGCTGCTGTGAACTCCATCGCCATCCGAGGGCGTCAGGTTGTCTCAGTGTCTGGTGACAGGCACGTCAAGGTGTGGGACTGGCCGACTATGACCTGCACCATGACCATACCCGCACACGAGAAGGGAGTTGCATGCGTTGAATTTGACGGTCGAAGAATCGTGAGCGGCAGCAGTGACTGCGCTGTCAGCATCTTCGATGCCCCGACGGGTGTTAACATCGCCACTCTCAAGGGCCATCAACAGCTGGTGCGCACTCTGCAAGCTGGCTTTGGCGATCTACCTTATAGCCGGCACCAGGATGTCGTTGATGCGAGGCGGATCAACCAAGACTTCTTGGAGGCTGTCAACAGTGGCCGCATTGACCTTGAAGACCCGAGACCCCGCGCACGTGAAGCCAGCGCTGGTGGATCACGACCTGAAGACATCCACGCATATGGAAATCTTAGTTTGCCCCCAGATGGCGGTGGCGGCAGGAGGTATGGCCGGATCGTTTCTGGTTCATACGATCATAGCATCATCATCTGGCGGCGGGATAAAGAGGGTGTTTGGAAACCGGCGCATCGTCTCCGTCAGAACGAAGCTGCTACGGCTGCGCACCAGCGGGCCGTGGAGGAACTCGAGAATCCCGACCCTGTGGCGAGACTGGCCCAGCAAAGCAGCGTCCTCGCGCAAGCGCCTGGTCTGGGACAAATCTCTCTTCCAATGCCCAACGTCCATGATTCACAGCCCTACCTGTCATCGGGAATCTACACCGCGCTCATCGACCAAGTCGTTCCTTCTGGATCATCGATGCTGCAACAAGCGCTTGCGAATTATCCAGGTCTCTTGGCCCATTACACATATCTACAAAAGGCCATTGATCGAGAGACATCACAGGATATGCGGCGTGACCTGCGACTGGTGGTGGAGGCAGCGGTGAATGGGCTACAGACTGCACGCAGACTGCAGCGGCAGGAAAGCATGGCATCGAACATGTCAATGGCACCTACGGCAGGTTCTACAGTCTCCCAGGGCGTGGCATCGGTCAGACAAGGCTCGCAGACCTCGACGACTGATAACGATGGTGATGCGCCAATGCCCGCTGCGCCACTAGCACAGACGCCAGCGCCGCCGGCCGAACCTCATCAGCACCACACCGTGCCAAGCAACGTTCCAACCCTGCACGCCAATCCACCCGCAAACGCGCTTCACCCGGGTCAGCCATTGCCCTTTGCAGACAATGCGTCGTGTCGCGTGTTCAAGCTCCAGTTCGACGCACGCAAACTTATATGCTGCAGCCAGGCCTCGATCCTGGTGGGATGGGATTTCTGCAACGGAGATCCCGAGCTAGAGGAAGCCAGTCGCTTCTTCGCGGCGATTGACTGACTGAATAGTCGTGTGTATAGCATGTCTCACGGTACATACCTGTCCCATAAAAATTACTACCAAGCCGACGATATCCATGATAAGCGGAGATGAATACCTAATATCTGTTCAAATTGCGCTCGAAATAAACTGTGGACGTAAAATATGGACAAGAGAAGGCATACTCTGTCGCCAACGCTCAGCCTGCTACCTGCTTCACCTTGTCTTCTGCCTGCGGTGGCTCGTCCACAAATTCAGGCACCACTTCGTCTTGTAGGAAGCCAGGCACCGCACCACCCATCTCTTGCTCGAGCTCCTGCTCCAGACCCAACGCCTCGAGCTCGGCGTCCAGCTCCGTCTCGTCCACGTCATCGGGGATATCGTAGCCCCTCGACAGGCTCTCCTGTATGTCGTTGCCCACGTCCATCAGATCCGCCATGTCATCCTGCAGCCGCTCAATCTTGTCAATGTCGATCTTGCCGTACTGTTTCCGCAGCTCCTTGTTCGTCGTCTTCATGGCGTCCACCTGGGTCATGACGTTCTTCAGGTTGTCCTGCATGCTCTGCGCCTGCTCCATGTTCCAGACCTGACTCTCGAGCTTGTCCTTCTCGGCCTCGTAGGCCTTGCGCTTCTGCAGGACCTTGAGGGCCTTTTGCTTGATGGCCTGCTTGCCGGGCCCCTCGCGCATCTTGGCGAGCTTCTCCTGGTAGGCGGAGAGCTCGCCGTTGAGGGCTTTGAGCTTGGTGTCGATGGAGGCGACGCGGGTGTCAATGTTGGAAATCGCGCCGTTGAGGGTGGGCTTGGGCCCGGTTTGTTTGGCACCGAAGAGGCGGTTCATTGTGGCGCAGCCGTTCGGGGGTCTTGTCGGAGAGAGTGTGTCTGGTTCACAGAGATGTGCGATGCGCGTGGGATCGTTTGTCTGATGCGCGGTGTCGTCGGGAGATCTTGGTCGGTGATTGATAGAACGATGCCTGCAGCTTGTCTGATGACGTTGAGCTTTCAGGCTGCCAGCCGGCTGGCGATGTGGGAGGGACTGGGGCCTCGTGGTCATGGAGGGAGGGGAGTGGCATGCGCGCTAGTCTCAAAAGGGTTCGAGGTGGAACTGCAGGTTGATTGGTCAAAGACTCAAAGTGCTCAGTCACAATCATTTGAGTACTACAATGCGGCATTCTGAGCTCAGTTGCTACAATAATTTTTTGGAAGGCCGTAATCGAGTATAAGCCAGTGCACTCCGGGTGATTTTTCGAGTAGGATTCATGTGCAAATCTCTACAGAAACAAGGTCGGACTGCACCAAATTGTCGTACGCTCTGGTTGACCTACCCTAATGTCCACGGCTGGCGTAGAAACGGAAACGACACTCTTACCGGTCACCTTTTCATCGAACCGAGGATATATGTATTTGTTTAATGAGAGCCTGTCTCAGCTACCTAATATAAAGTGATGGAATACGTAGTCCACGGACTAAGCACGCTGCGATCTATGCGTGGGTGAGGCTTGAGGGCACCACGACCAAATTTGACACGAGGGTTTCCATTGCGCCATTGTACACAGACAATGTACGGCACATTCTTATTCACCAGAGCTTGTTAGTCCTTATCTCTAGCACTTTCTTTGGCCATTCGCAAGTCTTTCTGGCATCTCTCAGACATCTACTCCATGACAAACGGCCATTGGCATCACCGTTCAGCAGAATGAATGGCAGCAATGATGACCCAAGGTGCAATGATTAGTGAGCCACCTACAGTAGCCATTGCAGTAAAATTAGACCGTCAGAAGTAAGGTTTCCACCTCACCGTCGGCTGCCATCGTCAAAATCTGCAGCGTGAGAGGCCCAGTGGCAAAGCGAGCATATTTGGGCTGCATGGTAGCCAGGCCACCTTTGAACCGGTGGCCAACCTCCTTCCACTGGTCGTTGCCAATGGGATGTGGAGGATCTCGGCGAGCAGCTCGGACATTTGGTTGCACAGATGGTGATTCTGGCGAATCGATAGGCTCGTGTCACAATTTCACCACGAACATTATGCCATGTTGCATCTTGAACGAGCCCTGGAACAAGCTCATACATTCAGGAAAGGACGTGATCTAATGCCAAACGTGGTTATGTTCAGCCTTATGACTAGTCTGACCCGCACTGTCAAACACTCGTCTTTGAGCTCTCTACGCCAGACAAGAAAGATGATATGCGTACATAGTAGATGCACGTCTCAACCGGTCAGCGACGAGGGTGGCAGTACGAATCAGTCGAGACACCTTTGCAGCCAAACTCAATCAAAGGGGACTGGGCGAAAAGTGCGCAATCAGCCATACGTTTCTGTGGTGTGTGCGGCGTCCCAATTCGGGCACTTTGCACTTTGGGTTGCTCGCTGTCCTGGAGTGATCTCTGATGATTTCAAACGCGATTTTTGATAGGCGGCGAGCGTTGAACTCTGACAGCCATTTGCCGACCAGTCAAAGAGCAAGAAATACGACAACCTCACGTCCTGATTCCTGTTTGCAAAGTTGGCCTAGCGAGAAACTCGCATGTTGGTGAGTTCAGTCGTGCGTGGGTTCGATCCAAGCCTCAACAGAATTGAAACCACGTCTCCTGTTCTGATGCATCTGCGTGGCTGCGAGAGAAGGTAGTCTGGCTTTGACTTTGACATGTCATAGAAGACAGTCACTTGAGTAGACTTGGTGGTAGTTTGTCGCCTATAAAGTTCCAACCTTGTTGAAACCTTGACGTTGAACTCAATTTGATAGCCCTCGACATTGGCGGTCAGGCCAAATGTGGCTTAGCGCCGTGGTTCTGCCGGGTGATCCTTGGATTTGTTTACTTGGGGCAACCGCGTATAATTATCATGGGTCGCTCCCGCCCTCACGAGACAATGTCTTTCCTCCCCCCCACACAGATTCAGATCGATCAATCAATCAATCAAGATAATTTTTCTGACTCAACTTCGCAAGAACGCATTCCAGACACTGGCTGCATACAACTCCGACACACACATTGGACGATTACGATCCAAGTTCACAACTTCACACTTCCAAGTTCTGCGACAGTGTCTCACCATGCCACTGAACGATCCCCCCCTCGGGCGGATGCTGGCAACCCCCTCCGGCTGGTTCGCCAAGCTGCTCAAGCCTTGGGATCGCGTCGCGAAGCCCAGCGCGTCACTTGTCCCACACACAAATCCTCGGATGATGATCAAGCCTGTTCGACCTTACTACACCACTTTGGCCAACCGCATTGGCGATTCAGTCACCTCAGCGCCCTCAACTCACGACACCTCTTGTCTGGACTCACACTACTTCGACGAGCACCACGCGACCAGCACCCCCATCAAGCATCAGCGTGTCGAGGAAGACCTGGTGCCCGGGTTCACGACCATTGAGCCTCCCACCAATCTGCGGCCCATGGAGTTCGAGATTGAGCTTGCGTACAGCATGGCGATCAAGGAGCTGGCCGCGCGCCCAGACCACTTGGCCCGACCCAAGCGCACATTGCACGGAGAGCCCGTCGAGAACGGCACCGCGCTTCGCTACCGCCCAGGCTGCATGTACCTGCTGGCTGAGTCTCGCCAGCCACGCACTCGACTCGCCGAGGCTGGTCGTCCTGCGCTATCCGACATTGCGTCTGAGTCAGCCCACAGCTCGCCCGCGCTCAACTACACACCCGTGCTCAACCAGTCGCCTCGCGTCTTCAAGGTGCCGTCTGCCACCGATTCCGAGCGTTCTCTCTCCGTGTCTGCGTCGCTTCTCATGACGCCTTCGAGACTGGATTGTGCTGAGGACGCACCATGCGCAACACCTGATGTCTCTTCGCCATTTGCTGGACCTATCCACGTCCCAGGAAACGACATGTTCCGCGACACACGTCAGAACACAGCCGTCAATAAGCTTGCTCGTCTGGTCGACACAAAGTGTGGTGGTGTTGCTTTCAAGGTTACCACTGAGTTGGAGGACGATCGTTGTGTTGTGCGGATTAAGCTTCCCAAACGATACCTCGACTACATGCCTCAAGAAACACCTGTTGCTGAATCCTTCTCTGAAGACAGCACGATGACGGTGGGAAGGGACGATACCCTTGCCGCCTATGATGCCTCACCGGCTCATTCACCGAGGACCGACGACGTTACTCTGACCGTCACGGACTTTTCTCCTCTCATGGATTTCGATGATGATACCCTCGTGGTTTCCGATTTCTCTCCTTATGGTCGCGACATGTCACCGCACCAGAACCAGCCACAGGCTGTTGATTCCTTGCTCCCACAAGAAGTGGTTGAAGCCCCATCTACGCCAATGGCGCACAATACTCAGCCTCAGTCACAGGCAATACATTCATCGCTCCCACAAGAAGTGGTTGAAGCCCCATCTACGCCAATGGCGCACAATATTCAGCCCCAGTCACAGGCAATAAATTCATCGCTCCCACAAGAAGTGGTTGAAGCGCACGACACACAGCCCCCGTCACAGGCTGTGGAACTATACGACCAGCTCCCGCACATGGCGGTCGACGCTACGGCTCCGGACAGTCCTGGCCGCGCCTACCTGCGCGCCTTCATCTCGAAGTCCAAGCCTGCCCTGGCGCGCGCGCCACTGGGCGAAAGAAGCCCCAATGCCTCCCCCAGTCCCCCCAAGCGCAAGCTGGAGGACAAGCCGGAGCACGACAAGGAGAACGAGCCAGAGCACGACAAGGAGAACGGCAGAGACGCGAAGAAGCCGCGCCTCACAAAGGCGGCGCCCACCACACCCTCCAAGCCGCCTCCCCGTAGATCGGTGCGAGCGCGCGCGCAGCCTGGCCCAGCTGCCTCTACCAAGTCCGCCATACCCACCGCCGTCAAGGTCGGAAAGGCGCCCACTCTGAGCGCCATGCGGCTGGAGCAGGCCGAATTGGCCCGCCGCACCAGCGCCAACACGCGCAGGAACCGCGGCAAGGGTGACTCGCTCGAGGTTGTCCAGGCTAGGTACCTCGAGGCTCACTCGAGCTCCTCCCCCTCGGAGAATGACGAGTCCGAGCGCACCAGCACCAGCACTCAGGGCGTGGTGTGGAAAGAACCCCTCGAGGAGTTCGCCCCGGCCGTCAAGGCTGTCGCGGCAGCGAAGAAGGCTGCCACCCCCAAGCCCAAGAAGGCCAAGAAGGCCACCGTGGCCCCCTCCGCCAGACCTGGCACCCCTCGTGTCACCAGGTCGCGAACGCGGTCTCAAATGGTATGACTATCATGTTGTGTTGGAGTTTGCTTACTACTGTTTTTTCTGGCATGGATTATTTCGCGGTCGTTTGTGTGGTTTGGTTGAGCATGGATTATCTCGCGAGCGTTTTTGGATCGGTTGGAAAGTTTTGTGGCATTGCGTCGGCGTTGTATCATGGAAATACCCCTATTGTTGTTTTGGTTTGAAAGTTTTTGCTCGCCCGGATGAGGCTTGAGCAGTTGTACGGAAAGATGAAGCAGTTGGCGCCGCTATGGCGCCCAGATAGACAACGTTTCAAAAATCTCTGCGTGTCCTTCTCCTTTGTGACAAGCTAAATACACACGGGCTGGTTGCTTGGCTTCGAAACACCGTTGTTGGGGTTGGTCTGGCCACATCCTTGAACAGCGCCGAAAGCAGTGTCATCAATGGCCGCATTGAATGCCGCGCCGCAGTTGGGGTCACTATCATTCTGCCTGTTAGCGCCTAGAGCCGCTTCGTCAAGCAACTTATGAGCCACGTACCTGGCACCTCCGCTTGCGTTGTTGAAGTACGAGCAGATGTCGTGGGAGAAGCAGTCCAGGGTGTAGGCGTTGCCCAGAGCAGTACCACTGCACCCAGCGCCGCAACGGCCGTTGCACGAGTAGCTTTGGCAATGTTAGTCTGTCTCTTCGTCATTCAGATGCGTGGTACGCACTCTCCGCTCCCAGAGGGGCTGGCGCCAAAGTTGCTGCCCACGACGCCTGTGAAGGTGCACGTCTTGCCAGCAGCGTTGGTCCACCGGGCTGTGGCCGTGGTACCGACACTCACACAACTGATCGCACGCTTGTCGAGAGTTGCCGGCGCGGGCGAGGCACACACGAAGCTGGCGAGAGCAGCGAGGGCGAGACTTGTTTGGAGCATCATGTTGTCGGAAAGGTCTGGTGGTGTTGGAAGTACATAAGACTAGGGGAAACCTGGCTCGTTTTTATGTGCTTCTGGACGAATTAGTCCAGCGTCATGAGGGGATCAGCGCTTTCCCCTCGGGGTCTGGAGATGTCGGTGTGCTGGCTACATGGAGTAATTCTCGGAAGAGGGATCTGGATCACGCAATAGGTGGTCATGAGGGAATCCTCAGGTGCCTTTTGGGACACTTCTGCCGAGGCGTGACGCGATGATCTGTGGTAAAAGCCGGGGGAGATGATTCAAAGAAGACTAGGTCGACGAGATATCATGCACGGCCCATGCATCAGGGATATAGTGTCTGGGGACCATGCGGGGAATGGTACGGAGTTTCGGGACTGGAGTCCTGGACAGAAGAGCGTTAAATCTTTTGTTCAATATGGTACTGGTGAGAGGTACTGGGCATATCTTGAAGCTGTCTCATGTGCCTGGTCAAAGACTTTGCTAGCAGATGCTGTCCACAGTAATGCAAGTACAGTGATAAGTGCCAGACCCCCTTTTCCTCAATGTTGTGCACGTACGTATCTCACGGTGTTGTGCGCCTACGCACCGCCAAGGGCTAAAGAAAGAAATGTCAGTTGCGCGTCCAACACGCAAGGGGCCAAGTCAAGGGACAACTACTCACCGGCAGCGTACGCCATGTACCACGACCTGGAGGCACCACCATCGATCCAGCGGTCCTGGAAGCTACCGGACGCAAAGAAGGACCAGGCAGTCTGCGGGTTGACCAGCGCATACTGCGCGTACGCGATACCCTTCCAGGGGTTGTCGAAGCGGTCGACCCGCCCATTGCTGAAGAAGGCATCCCATTCCTCGCGGATGAAGTTCTTATTGCGCACTAGGCCAGTCGGACCGTGGACGGGGATCATGTGGATGCCCTGGATGGCCTCGATATCCGGCGAGAAGAAGGTCGTGTGGTGGATCTTATTCTCGAACAAAATACCGGCGACCTTATTGCCAATGAAGCGTGCGGGCTGCGTCGGGTTGTTATTCTCGTAGTAGTAGTAGTTACGGAACGAGCGTGTCTGCACGGCGAGCATGAGGTTAGCGCGCGCAACCATGTCGGCGTCGCCAATAACGGTCCCCCACATCTTGATAGCATAGGCGGCCATGGTATCCTCCGAGGACGATTCCTGGTTCTTCCCATCGGCGGATGGATAGAGGCCGTGAGCCCACGAGTGGCCGTGGTACCAGTCAAAGTTACGCCACTGAGGGAACCAGGTGTCCGAGGTGGAAGGGTTGGCCACGTCGCGGACGAGCATGTTAACGTAGTCGCGGCTAGAGGTAATCCAGTTGCGGTCCAGGTGCCCAATGTACGCGGCGGCCAGAATATGATAGCCATAGTGGAAGTGATGGTCGTTGTAGTAGGCGTTGCCAAAGTCCGCGTTGGCGTCACCGGTTGTGTAGGAGGCAGAAGAGACAACGCCACCCCATGCGCTCTCGTAGACCAGGGGGTATTGCTGCCTATTGCTAGCGAAGCGGTTGAAGGCAGCCTTGAGGTTGTTGAGACCGGCTTGCGCCAGGCCAGCATCGCCGAGAAGGTCGTTGGTTAGGTAGACAATCTGAGCAAACTTGGCCAACGCCTTGCCACTAAAGTACATGGAGTCCAAATTGGACTGAGCATCCATGTTCTGGGAGATGTCGGAGCGGGCAATGGGCAGGATGGCCGATTTGGCAGCATTCGACAGAGTCCTCTTCGTCGTTCCGTCCCACGGGGCAAAGTCCATGCTCGTCGGGATGCTGTTCTCCAGCATGGTCCACGAGCTTCCCCTGACGAGCCTTGCCTGGCCCTTTGTGAGGGTGACCAGCCTGATACTTTGGGTGCGGCCCGCCGTGTCGCTGTTGAAGGACTCGACGTGGTGAGGCAGCGCATACATGTACAATTTGCCCTGGCTGTGTCCAGCGCGGCTGAAGTTCAATGAGTAACTGCCAGAGCTGCCCGCGACGGAGCCGGAAAGGCGCACTCCTGTGGGATAGATACCAGCGCCATCGTCGAGCGCACTATCGGCGCCGCCAGGGTTCTTGACAACCTGGACGACACCAGTGAAAGCATTGCGGCTCTGTGCGAGACCCTGGTTGACAAGCTGGAGGTCCAGCATGCTGCCGCTAGTCGCATATCCATACACGATCCATGTTGTTCCATCTTCGAGGAGAAAGTTATACTTGGCCACGCCCGACTTGGGATCGTTCTGCACACGCGTCATGGAGCGGAAGAAAACACCCGTCTGGATCATGGGACGTCCACCCGTGAACTGACCCGTGACATATGGCATGCCCTGCACAAGGGGAAAGGACACAGCGGGTGCAGCACCAGCGCTGGGCCTGAGTACGGCACGAGCAGAGAAGGCCGTAACATCCTCGAGCTGCATCACCGTGGCAGACCCCAGCTCGACAGCGGACAAAATCATGGACTGGATGCCCACGGGGTTGAGATAGTACTCGGCCGCACCGTTGAACTTGTCGGCGCCGAAAACACGCTGGCGCTCCTCAGAGTGCGAGATGGAGATGCCCCAGCTGCGGGCGACCCCCCCGCCGCGAGGCCACTGCAGGGCATAGGGGAAGGGGTAGATGGGGTCTGTCTGGGATCCCAAGTGGAAGCCAGCGTAGAACTTGTTGGTGGAGAGGACGCCATTCTTGACAATCGTACCGTGGGAGACGGGATGGTCGCTACGCCTCGGGATCTGGGAAGGGGGTCCATTGGTACCAATGGGGTTGGCGAAGATGTCGGCGCTCTGGCGCTTGTCCATGTCCACTGTAGTCATCTCGGCTCCGTATGCTTCCAGAGTTGGTGAGGCAACAGGCTTGAGCAGCCTGCGCGGTTCGGGAATAGAACTTGTCAAGAGTGGGTTCCTCCGGGAAGAAATGTCGGTGTAGACGGTACCGGTCGTCTGCGGCGCAACACCCTCGGGGAGACCGGGAAGCACCTCTCGAGTACCGGTAGGCACGGGAGTCGACTCTATCTTGACAGTCCTGTCGGTGGGGATAATCTCCTCGGTGGAAAAGACTTCCGCCTTGAACTGCTGTCGAGGCTGGAGCGGAGAAACGGTGAAACTGTTGGCCTGCCCGAGCCACAGCAGGCTGGCACAGACTGTAGTGAACTTCATGGCGATGACTAGCTGCCCATATATCAGCGATCTGAAGTTCAAGTCGACTGGACTTGGACGTTCATTGCTCTCAAGAGGTTTGGCAGGCTTTATACTTGCAACTGGGTGCCCTCTCGCCGTAGGCGCATCTCAACGACACCCTCTCCTTCTTCATCTGGCTAGACTGTTTGATCCCATGCCCTGCCAAGTTGATCAAGGATCGGGGTGCTCCTGGTGATGGTCGAGTACTCCTCATCAAGTGCCTTGGTATCCGTGAGACGTTACCTCGGACAAGAGGAGAGCGCATCTGTCCCAGTCAATGCTGTCACTTCTAAGTTCTGCGCGCCCCCTAGACCAGTTCATGCCAGTCATCAGCTCCACGATGGCTGCATGCCCCTGTCTCTGGCAAAGCTTATGTTGCGAGCAGTATGGGGTAGTGTCGCTTTGAGCCAAGCCATAGAATCCCAACCTTCCTATTCAGGCATTCCAGACAGTCGTTGATTAGCTCTGGACAAGGAACGACCTAAAAGGAGTACGCTCCGGGGAGCCAAGTTCAATAGCGTTCCCATGCCGGGCCGAATCTATGCGGCTGCGTGGGTGACAGCGGATTCACTTGGTAGACAGGTTCGTCCCTCTGGCAGCCCTCCTCGCGGCAGGCCTGAACCTCTGGGCCGCAAGCGTCCTGCCCACGGGGCCACATCTTCTCCCCATGGGGTATTTCTAGGTCCTTGGTACCCATTTTGTATGGCATCTGGCCGGCGTTACTGCCTTCTCTGTGGCCCAGATTCGCCGACTGCAACGTCAGTGAGCCTCACATGACAGCCAGCGCTTTTAGCCGGAGCATTCCAGGCCACTCTCACGGGGACATCGACGTGAAGAATGCTGAACTTTCAAGCTCTTGAGACCCCCCCTCGAGTCTCGACTAATCGTCAAGTGATCAATGGCAGCATGCGCGTGATAGAGGGTCGGGTGCGATGGTTCGTCCGGCTGTGACTCTGCCATGTCACATAGGGGAGGATCCACAAGTCCAACTGTGTAAGTAACCCAATCTATCGACGGGTGAAGAATTGGAAAATCGAAGCGTGCTTGCGATAGTTTGCTGTAATGTCAAAAGGACGGCGATGCGGCAGAAAATCAACAGAGGAGACAGTGCTGGCACTTGACAAATGTAGGCCAATGGTACTACGGTCTCTATGTCCATGTCGATCTTCCAGTACGATCCACAGGGCACTGTCGATCACGCCACGCATGTCACTCACGACGTTATGCTTAATTTGAAATTCTCCGAGCTTGGCTCAAAGGGAGACTTTCACAGATTAACATTGCATACATATTTTCTGCAGGCAAAGTTTGTGACAAAACTTTCTGGACAAATAGGGCAGTCAATCTCACAGCTACCAGTCATTTAGCGGCATGTCGACGGCTGATCCTGCCACCGTGGGATAAGTGTGGCAAATTCAACCAAATGAGCATTCTACCGAGTGTCAGCTCACTTGATCACTTGAGCTTACAAGCACTACGTACTTGTACCGTATGGAATTGCCGACGATAGGTCTCGTGCGGGCAGAAAGTCTATCTCTAGGGTAGGTAGGGCTAGGCCTCTGATGTGGACTTGGGATTGCCTGCTTGCCACGTTGATATGGCCCCATTCACCACACAGAATGAGCCAATCATCGCTCCCGCTGGCTCACTCACTTCTCAGCCCGTCTCCAAGTCCAAGATACGACAGTGAGACTCTCATCGCTCGCACATGGTCAACATTGAGAACCTTCAACCCTCAAAGTCAACAGTCATCCCGCACAATGGGTATCATCCGTACCACAGTCATCACAGGTCTTCTGGGCACCTCGAGCGCAGCCGCCTACCTGGCCGCCCGGAACCCCGTCATCTCCCCTCTGGCCGCCAACGACCCCATCTGGGCCTCAAAGGTCTTCAAGAAGCACAACCCCTCGCGCAACCCGGTCACGCAGGACGTCTGTATCAAGCGCATCCCCTTTAGCAAGATCCGCCCGGAGCTGCTGCAGAACGACGGCCCCCTCGCCCTCGAGTTCTGCCGAGGCGTGTGGAGCGGATGGGGTGAGTGACGGACGGATGGCCGGACTATCACGATACGCAGCTAGCTAACTAAGTGAACCCACCAGGCTTCGCCGTCCAGCGCCGCTATCTCGACTTCAAGTGGCGCGGCCCCGAGACGAGCCAGCATCTCTGGACCAACGAGCAGCTCGCGGACAGCACCTACGAAAAGGGCACCGCCATCACGGACCACTTTGAGGTCGTTGACAAGACACCCTCGGCCATCACCGTGCGCTGCGGCGACTCGCCCCGGAACCAGGCCCTGCGACCCTCGGACGGTCTCTTTGAGATCAGCGCCACCATTGACAGGCAGCGCGAGGAGGTTGAGCTGCGTCTCAAGAGCTGCCTGTTCTCAAGCCAGGGCAAGATGGACGGGGTCAAGGGCCCGATGCCCTCGTGGATGGAGGAGCTGCACCAATGGTACGCGAGGATCTGGGCCGAGACGGGATCCTGGAGGCTCCTCAAGTAATCAAGAGGCCGTCTCTCTCTGTCTTGCGTGGTTTGTCAGCTCCATCTGACACATTCCTGTTGGTCGCCGTTTGTGGCTTTGTTGTTATCGGGTTCAGCAAGCGCCGTCACACGTCCCTCTTACACGTGGCGCTCCTCCCCGTCCACCCATGGGCCATTACCAGCCTCTACTGTGCCCTCCCGACGTCCTGTCATACTCTCCAGAGTAGGTACTACTTGCTACATTGGCCTCGCAGCTGCGCGGGCCGCCCTGCGGCCCGTCAAGAAAATCTGTTCCACATTGTCTATCCCAGCGTCACACTGCATAGGCTATTCAAACAGCCGTGGGTGGAGTCCCGGTTTTGTTATTCGTCATGGAACGCGCACAGTCGGGTTCACCATGTGGAGAGTTGCATATGTACTGTATCAAATGTTTTTGGTATTAATTCATTTCCTCATCTTGATTCGTGGACGCAAATGGGCTCTTTCGTGGGAGGGAGGGAGCCTCGTGTTGCTCTCCTTCCCCCCTCTCTCCTCTATCAGTCTCCTAGCCACGTTTTCATCTAGGCTGGAGGACTGCATCGCTCGTGCAGCCATCATGTCTTCATCCGCCGCCAAAGAGAGTGGCCCACCCCTCATCACCGTGTCCGCCTGCTAGCAGGGCGCTCCTTGAACGCCTGCTCTTCGTATAGTGTCATAGAACAGTGTTGTTACAGCCGTTGTACCCGCGGGCTACCTGTCCTGTCCTTCCCTATCCCATGCTCTGGCTGTGTCCGTGTCTGGACAGCAGCAACCAGTGCTGCCAGCGACAGTAAATGCAAATAACTCCGTGGCCCAATGCTGACCATCCGTCGCTCGAGTCTATTTTTTCCTGGCCGAGTTCTGCTCGGCGAGTCCTTTATGTAAACGCCGTTCGTATCCGTGTGAATGTCCCTTTCCTCTATGTACAGTAAAGGAAAGCAAGTCGTCATTGTATACATGGCGAAAGCTCCCCGTTCCGCACTCGGAACGAGTTTGCTAATCTCCTTGATTTGGTAGGTCGCATGTCGTGTGTAAATGATTCGTGAAATGAGTGAATGTGAGTTCGGGGTATCGATGCTGGCTGGGCAGGGAAAGGAGGTCCGGGAGGGATAGGACAAAAGAAGCATGGCAACCCGGCGGTAAGCCAAATAGTGGCGCGCCTCGGCAGGCTCAGCTACTTGCGGAGTCCGACCCTCTCGGCCAGATTCTTCCAAAACCTGACGCCATGCTTCTCTTCACTCTGCGAGCGCTCCATGGCGACAGCTCGATACATGGGACCGACAATGTCCTCGTCTCCCCGGGCAGGGAACTTGCCCTCGTCCAGCATGCGTGGTACAGCGCTAGGGAACCCGTCCTCGATACGCTGCCACTGGATGTCGGCAAAGTAGTCGTCATTGGTTGGGCGTCTGTTCAAGGCGGCGCTGGCGCTACCAGACCTGCCACGCGCACGACCCCTGCTGCGGCTGCGCGGCGCTGCCGTGTAGCCATGGTTCGCTGGCATGGTCTGCTGGGTCGCGCTCTCGTAGGCAGCTCTCCACCGGCTCTCCGTCTCCGCCCACTTGGCTTCCGTCAGGGCGTAGATCTTGCTGGTCTGTCCGTAGTTCTCCCCAGTACGCACAATGTGCTTGGTGTAGTTGACCTTGGCTGCCTCCCAATCCTGCCTGAATTTGTTGATGGCGTCCGCATCCACCTGCGGAATCTCATAAGGCTGGGGCATGATGGTAAAGTTGGCGTGGCCCAGCCGATCTGACCATTCATCGTGCTGCTGCATAATCGAGGGAAGAGAAATGGGCAAGTCCATGCTCGACTTGGTCGTGTTGCGGAGTGAGGAGACTGATGGCTTCGTGCTGATGGAGGGACGCGAGAAGTTGGGGCCCGCTGTGGGCTGGTAAATCTCCGTGCGGGCGGACGAAGGTGCAATGGTAGGGGATTGCAAGGGCGATTCCGCAGGCGGTTGGGCCAATGGCGACATCATCAGAGGCGGCAACAAAGGGGTGATGGCCTTTGCGCGATCCCTCTCCAACGCCAGCCGGGGGTCAACCGGGGTGGCATCGTCCAGTTCGCCAAGTGATTCGATGCTATCCATGCTGCCGTGGGGTGATCGGACAGGAGTGGCCGATGGCAATCCGTAAAAGTGGTTTGCGTGTTGCTGGCTCGGTGATGACAGTGACGATGATCGACTAGACGGACCATGTGACAGGACCTGATCAAAGCTCATTTCGGCGGTCGGCGAAGATATGAAGCTTGGCTTCCGAGACATTGTGTTGAGTCGTTTCATGGTGTTGAAGCGCGACCCGAACCGGGCTGTGAGCCCCGTAAAGGGCGAGTCGACGCTTGGCTTGGCGGAGCGAGATGCACTAGAGTAGTCGCCATCGCTCATGAAGCCAAGCTCGTAGTTGATGTCATGCTCGCCGGATAGACTGTTGCCGGTGCTGTTGCGGTGCTCGCAGGGCTCGTCACCTGTCGCTCGTGGTTAGTTTGCGTAATCGCCAGATAGCCAAGCCAACACGCTTCATCTTACATAGGCAGCTGTACAACTCCGAATCTTCGTAATTTGCGGACCTCCTCTCCTCCTCCCGCTCATAGGGTTCCTCTTGCACATCAGGCAGGAGCTGTCGTTTACTCTGTTTGGTGGTGAGTGGCTGTGTGGGCGATGCAGGGTTTTCCTGATGTTGCGAGAACGACAGGTCGAGTGACGAGGACGAGCTGGAGCCACGAAAGTGGCCTCGTGTGGAGAAGGTTGGCGTGACCGGGGAGACGATATCTGAGGAAGACGAGTTCGTTGTGTAGGACGAGTAGGGGAAGAGATCCTCCTCGATGTTGGGGTGGTACATCTGGTCGATTCTCTGGCGTTCCGCCTCTACCTTTTGCGGCAGCAGCAATGGTCGTATCGAAGTCGCCATGGTGACCAAGTTGCCGCTGCGGGCGTCACAACGAGGACGCGAGGTCGGGCGATGAACTTCAGCGTTCGCCGTCGTCCAGGTGGTCGTCGCGTGGCTGTGGGTTTGGTGTTTGGTGTGGTGTTGTTGTTGTTGGTGAGAGAAACGGGGGAGAGGGCAGCGTCGAGTCAAAAGAGCAAAGGATGGGCGCCGGTGCGCCGGGAGCTAAGGTGGTTAAGCTGGGGCGGAAGAGCTTGGCTGCGCGCTGGACTCTGGCAGAAGAGACGATATCCAGTCGCTGTTTTCTTGTCGGCCTGGTCGCCTGCAAGGTGATGGATGGATTTGCGGATCCTGGTGGGTCGACTTTGCTGGAGCGCCAGTCCCACCCGCGGGCGGAGCCAGACACAAAAGAAAAAAATTCCAGGCGGATGGATGGAGGAGGGATGCCAGCAGCCAAACGGACCAGGGTGCTAGCCAGTCTGTTAAGTTAGTGTAGTTTCCTTGCTCGTTCGTTTCCGGCCGTCTGGGAGACGGCCGGGGGTTGTTCTTGTACGTACGTAGTATGCGAGTTTGTTGGTACGCTCGCACGCGTGTGCCCGGTCCGGGTCCCGTCCAGCAGGGATTGATACCGTAATTAAGCGGGCCAGGTAAGAAACCGACCGGTGAAGCGTTGCCAGAACGGTCGCGTCTGTGTCCAGTCTGTGTGTGACGACTGCAGTGATCTGCCTGACGGGAAGGAGGAAAGCCACAGATTTAAGAAACGAGCGCGGGGAAGTCTGAGGCCAACACGGCCTGTTTTCTTATTATTATACACAGGCCAAACGAGCAGCAATCAGACGCAGCTTGCCGTCAAGGTGCTGGATGTTTGTCCACGTGTGGGTGGTTGGGCGCGACTGCGTAGCTGCGGAAGGCCTGTGTGGTGAGTTGTTGATGCCGCCCGCACCAATCACAGGCTTGCCGAAGCCGTTGGACTATCCACACTGAGTGCCAGAGTGTGAATAACCGCGGTGAAGAGAGCAGTTGAGTCGACGAGGCGGTAACAGTCGGTAGCCGCTGGCTGCGATCATCGTCACGAGGAAGATGAGGTGGCCGTGGCTGTTGAGACCGCTCTTGTCGTGGACCTCACAGTTGGCTCGCTGGGTCTTGCCTGTTTGTTTTCTCCGACGCGATGTGGAGAGCGAGACATGTCAGTCACTTAGGCGACGTTCTACAGCGGATGCTGGCACAGCGGTTCAGCAAGTACACTTCACCTTCATAGCTCTGACATCATTGCCCGTGTCTCTCGAGCTCACGAGTGATTAATTCTGGCATTTTCACAAGACAAATCGATCATGCACGGATATTGGGATCCTATCTGTGAGATCATTCACCACCTTCCAGTCTTGCTTCCTGCGTTCCTTCCTGTATTCCTTCCTTCCTTCCCATCACTTGTTGTACGTACCCCGTTTGTAGAAGGCACTGGCAGCGGCGGTGTTGGAGCCGCTGAGCCTGAACCCCCTCCCGTAAATTTTGATTGGTGGGGTTGCCCAAGTAGGAGAGTCTGAACTTCCAGTCTGAAGTCCGAACAGCCAGAAAAGCCCCACACCCACATGTTCCGTTTCGCCCTTCGTTCCTTCTGGCTCGACGACCGGTGTTGCGCCATGCCCTGAACAAGCCAGCGCCTCAGGCCTGCCGCTGGCGTCCACACCGCGGCATGTGCACGAGTCGCCAGCCACCTTCAAGCTCATTTGCCAGTGCTACAGATACGCTTTCTGACAATGCATCAATGCATGCTCATTTGCGAACGCCTCACCCGGGCGCGATAAGTCGTTCATGTCAAAAGTGCCTGGACACGCGATGGTATGGGAGCCCGGCCATGCGCGCCTCGACTAGCCTACTCAGGACCCGTCTCAAGGTGAGCCTGAGTTCCCCAAGGTCGGTGCATGGTGCCCGACTAGGAACACGGCTCTTCCACCAAACCCTTCGAAGCGTTGCTTCCCCAGCATTGAGAAGACAAGCTCGGAATACAGATACAGGCCGGCAATCGTCTGGGCCGCCCCAGCGTCGCATGCGCCGGGAGCCAATTGACTCTACATTTGTTGTTTCTTCTGAAATGGCCATTTTAGTTAATACGTACTTATACCTATCACAGCATCATCACTTGTCAGCGAGTTGACACTGAGAGGCCCATCCTCCTTCCAATCACGGCCAAGTGCCTCAGTCGGACTCGCGGCCCATCCTCTTCCTCCCGCGGGACCCTGGCTCGTGGGGCCTTACCGACTACTTGCGTACTAGGGCCTAGGCTCTGTCAGGCTGTCAGCTCGCGCTTCGTCCTTTTTTTCTGGCGAGGACGCTGCCTCTCTAGCTAATCACTGCATGATATGGTTCCTAGCGGGTGTGGATGCCCATGTTGTGGTCTTTGGCATGACAATGCGAATTGGATTCCCCATGGCGGTTTCCTTGCCTGCTCATCGGATGAGTTACGATGAGGGCATTGACTTGTATTGTGGGCATTGTTTCAAGATCGAGCTTCCATCGAGATGGATTTGGCGGGGTTACGTGAGTGAGCAACAGCAGGGCAAGACGTCAGTCAGGGCTACCTTGCCTTCGGAGGACGGTGCACCGCCGCGACGCGTGGGATCCGAAGCAGACGATTGGCCAATGGCTACAGACCAACATTGATTCCTTTGCCTTCCATGCGCTCACAACCTCTCCGGGCCTGACATCAGCGGCAGAGAGACTGGGAGTCACTACGGATAATGAGGTCCTGGATGAGCGAGCGCGACGCGAAAATGTAAACATGAGTCCGAGGTCTCTGTCAGTCTGCCGCTATTGACCCAATGTCTTGGAAGAGTGGATGGAACAATGGCAATAGAGTTTGCGCTTGGACTAATTTAGCCCCTGGCCTCACGCTCGAAACTGACAGATTGATAACTGCACGTGTGGCCCCGCGCAATTGGATGCTCGTTGGCTCAAAGAATTCTAGCGCCCTTCTACAATATGGCGACCGGACGCCGCGTTAAACTCTGAAGCCTTACCCTTTGTTTTGAATCATGGACAATTGTGGCCGGACAACAATAGGCGGATTTCTTTTCCTCATCGGCGTGGAGATGTCGCCTTTTGTGTCTCGTGACCAGGGGTGAAGTATAGGGATTATTGCTCAGCATGGCATGGCTTCGCAGGCACCAAGGCAACAAAGCATCCATACACAACCGGTCCAGATGCCCGCCTGCCACGATTCATTCATACATGTAAAGAAACCCCGATTCGGCCTGGAGATAATGATGCATCCGTGTTGTTGACCGAGCCATGCACATGCGAGAACCCTGCTTCCGCTTGAAGATATTACTTGCAGAGGTGGGCCGAATTTGTGCGCTCTGCCTTTTCCGCAGGGTAGGGCAGTTTGACATGGAGCCTGTACGCTACAAACCGCGCACGGCACAGAATCAGATGCATCGCAGCCTTGGTTCTCCTTCAACTTCGGAGTAGAATACCTGATCCGGGCTAGGACTGTCGGACTCCAACTCTATTGATTCCAAAGTGGCAATAGCTTTTGAATGCAAAGCCTGAGAGTGGCACAACATTATAGGGTAAGCTGGTATGTCGAAATCGTTTTTCACATACATACTAAGCCTTTCACAACGTGGCAAGCCGGACGGCCCGTTTTTGGGGGACCTTGGCTGGGCATCCCAGGACCCTGAAGAACACGGTGAGTTCGCTTGGCTCGGAAGCGCGAGAAATAGACATCTCCCAACTTCGATCCTGGCAGCTACGCGCATGCATGCCCGCGTGCTTGGGCTGGGCTAATTATTTGCTGCTGGCATATCACCAGCAATGCAACAAATCATGCACAATGCAAGAGAGAGGTCTGGTGGCTTACTACGCGGACCTGGCCGGAGGCACAGTTGCAGGCCCAATCCGAAGTTGAGAGCCTCCAAGATCCCCAATCGTTCCGCGAACGTGAACTTCACATGCTACCACGAACACTGGAGTCCCCGAGGATCTTCTCCTGGACTGATTGTTGATTGCCGCGGTGTCTCTGTCGAACTGACCGCTCTTCTCGAGCGAACTCTCAACCCAGAGGCAGCTTGGACAAGCTATGACGTGGCGCGTCCATACACGTCGACAGCATGGATGCTGCCAAAGGCGACAGACCCGACTGGCTACTAAATACCAGTTGTCAGTACTCAAACTGTACAGACACCTCGAGTGTCAGATTGGTGCAATCGCAATGACTACTGGTCCATCGTGACCTGAACATGCCAAGCACCTCGACGATGAGTCGCGTCCTGCCGGCCTGACTGTTTGCTTCTTGACAATGGTCGTCTTGGGGAGTGGTGCCACGTACACACTCTTGTTTCAGCTACCTTGCCAAGTCATCCGAATCTCTGTCGCTCCCTGAGATCTTGGTCTCGGTAATGGTCATCTCTATCTTTTTGACTACCCCACCCGAGCCCTCCAAAATACACTCGGTGCTTGCGGTGTCGTCTTTGTCTCCGGAGACGTGGTGACCGACCCCGTGGCCGAGGGCTATGATGCCATTTGTTTTGCCTCCCCAGTTCTGCAACGCATAGCTCGCTTGTTGGTGCTGCTGTTCCGAGAAGTTTGAAACTTGGTGGCTTCTACTACCCGTCGCGTACTTTTGGCCGGTGACATTGGACGTGTCGCGGTTGGACCGGACCTTTTCGTCAAAGTACTTGATGAAGGGCGCGAAGGTCGGCACGCAGACGACAATGACACCGAGATTGTTCTCAATGGTCGACCACATGATCAGGGGCGCCGAGTCGAGGTATTTGGCGAGACGGACGACGGTCTGGATGCGGAAGATTTGGATGACAGTGATGAAGATGCCAAGGCCGAGAAGAATTAGGAGGACGAGCTTTTTCCGCAGCTGTATCTGCGCCTTGAGCAGGACGGGGACTGGGAGGAGCATACTGCCAAGTGTCAGATCGCACTGCCAAGAGAAGATACATTCAACATCGGACTTACACCACGATGCCAAAGGTGATGGTGAGAGAGGCCATGCTGAGATAGAAGGGGACGGTCTCAACGCAATTGCCCGATAGTGACCGATCCCATTGAAAAGCGACCTTCAACATCAGTCAGCGGGGCTCAGCGAGAGGAGGACGTGCGTACAGGGGTACAGAGATTAATCTGGACAATCAGGAAGCAGACGTGATACGCAAAGCAGAGTCCAATGACGACGGTAATACCCCAGCTGTACACGCCCGCTGGAACGACGCGCAGATAAGTCAGTAGAAGACTGAGCTTGAAGCATAGAATGCTTGTAATGTAGCTGGAAGGGTCAGGGGGGCCCAACGAGAGGTACGAAGCATGTGATTCACAATGGCGCGCCAACAAATTGCCAGAGACCAAAGTAGTAGTTGTTCTCATCCGGCAGATCGTCCAGTTCCAACAGACCGAGACCCCATTTCGTTTCTACCACGTCAGTAATGGCGCAACAGCGAGTCGACGACAGACCTACAAAAGACAGTGACCACGGCAAATCCGCAGCATGCGATCTGAGTCTGTTAGGGGGATATGTACTTGAGCAACAAAAAGGAACGGCGTACCCAGGAGAGGCAGGCAGTCCAGTCGTCTACATAGAGAGTCAACCAACCACTTGACCATGCGTAAGTATAATGTCGCTTACCTGCTCCCCTGGCCTTCACGAAGACTGTACGGACATATATCCGCAGCAGAAGGACGACAAGAGACAGCGCCGTGAAAGCTAATGCGAGCCCAGCGATCATGGGCCCATCCGAGGGCGCGCTGGGAGGCGTGTTGTAAGTCCACGATCCGGCCATGCTGGTCTGTCGACGGTCGTCAGTCACAGGAGTGAATTAGTCTTCAACAAAGAGAATCGCGGGCGGGACGTTTTGAACATCAATTTGATGAGCTGGCTGACTTCTTCGTAGAGACATGTTTTGTGTCTGTCTGCCTGCCACACCATGTGGCAGAGGCGCAGTCTGCAAACAGGCAACTTGTCCTGCGCACATTTATGCAGTTGATTGGTGATGCAGGGAGCTAGTCCAGTCTGCTGCAAGTAAACGACCAGTCCCGTGATCCCGTTCAATCAGGTTCCCCAGGAAAGGTCCACGCTGCATGTTGTCGAAGTTTGCCAAGCCGGGGATATGATCACTACAGGCTTCATCTCCCAGCCGCTTCGTCTCAGCCTCTTTTGGCCATTTTAGCGTATACGAGACCGTTGTAGCGCAGGGAAAGAGGATAGAATGTTCCCAAGACGTCTGCCTCGGTCCGCCAAGGCCACCAAAAGAACTACAGTCCCTATCTAGTTAGCAGTGCCTGCCCTTGTGCTGGCCTTGAGAAGTTGAGAGTTGAGAGTGAGATCTGTACGGAGTACTACAGGTTGATGCGGAGAAGCTGCAGGGCGCGAGGTACCAGTTGAGTTGGGTTCCCAGACTCGATCTGATCTCCCTCGTTCCAGGAAGATCCCACGCTCGAGGTCTCAAAGGTGCCGGTTGATCCGTGCCAAATCGTCTGCCATTTATCCTCACGGACCGGCGGACATGTCGCTCTGATGTTGGAGACAAAGTCGTCCACGATGAGTGGCGACCAAAGCGAGGTGCGTATGCATGCAGCAAACCCCGCGCTCCTACATATATACCCCTGATCCATCTGTACGCTGTTCCTGGACCCTGGACGCAGGTATATAACGCGGTGCGACCTTCACGCCTGCCTGGTGGTGGAAGCTGTCCTGCAGCTCGCGCTTTTTGCGTCCTCTTCCTTCTCTCGGGCCGCAGTATGAAGAGACTACTACGAGTTCTGTTGTCCGCCGTCGCGGTCGCGGCCCAGGACTGCAAATGCCTGCCCGGCGACTCCTGCTGGCCCTCCATCTCCCAATGGGAGGCGCTCAACTCGACCGTTGGCGGTCGTCTTGTAGCGACTGTTCCACTGGGTTCGCCTTGCCATGACCCCGACTACGACAGCGAGAAGTGCGACTATCTCCAGAGCCAGTGGCAGTATGCTGGGATTCAGTGAGTATCCTCATGTCCTACCCAACAGTCAGTGCTGATTAGGCAGTATGGACGACTCGTCTTCGGTCATGGCTCCCTTCTTCGCGAACCAGAGCTGTGATCCCTTTCAGCCCCAAAGTCGGACCTGCGAGCTGGGCAACTACGTGGTCTACTCGGTGCGCGCAGAGTCAGCTTCTGACGTCCAAGCTGCCATTGCCTTTGCCCAGGAGCACAGTATCCGCTTCGTCATCCGGAACACCGGCCACGACTATAATGGCCGATCCACCGGCGCAGGCGCTCTGTCTGTCTGGACTCACTACATGAAGGATATTGAGATCCTCGGCCGAGCCGACGGCAAGGCGCTCAAGGTCGGCGCTGGTGTCCAAGGATTCGAGGCCGTCGACGCGGCTCATAAAGCCGGTCTTGTTGTTGTCGGTGGCGAGTGCCCTACTGTTGGCTTGGCAGGAGGCTACACCCAAGGCGGCGGCCACTCGGCGCTGTCGACCTCCTTTGGCCTCTCTGCTGACAACGTCCTTGAATGGGAGGTCGTTACTGCCGCCGGGGAGCTTGTCAAGGCCAACCGCGAGGAGAATTCGGATCTCTACTAGGCCCTCGGCGGAGGAGGTGGCGGCAACTGGGGCGTCGTGACCTCCATGACCGTCAAGGCCCATGCGGATGCAGCTTGCAGCGGCGCCTCCGTTGTCATCATGGCCGCCGAGAATGAGGAGACTGCCTTTTACAAGGCCATTGATGCGTTCCACGAGGAGCTGGCTGACATGGTTGATGCTGGCGCCCTTGTCATCTACTACTTCTCCGCCGACTTTTTCCAGATCGCACCTCTCACTGCGTACGATCAGACCGAAGCCGACGTGCGCGCCATGCTTTCGCCCTTTATCAACCGCCTGAAGCGTCTCGGCATCACCTACACAGAAATCTACTCGGAGTCGCCCGACCACCGAACCCACTTTGATCAGTACTTTGGACCCCTGCCCTTGGGCAACATCCAAGTAGGCATCGCGCAGTATGGCGGCCGTCTCATCCCCCGCGATTCGATCAACAACATCACCTCATTCACTCGGCTCATCGGTGCTACTCCCGGGGCCATCTTTATCGGCGTCGGCACTGACGTGAGCCCCTTCGCCGCCGGCCAAAGCAACTCTGTGCTCCCCGCCTGGCGCGACGCTCTCGTCCATGCGACCCTCACTACCCCCTGGGACTTTGAGGCTTCCTGGGAGGACATGATTGCCAACCAGGTGCTCATGACGAACGAGCTCATGCCCGCGATCGAGGCACTCACGCCGGGCAGTGGCGCGTACATGAACGAGGCCGACTTTCGCCAGCCAAACTTCCAGAGGGAGTTTTTCGGGAGCAGCTATCGCCAGCTGAGCTGCATCAAGAGCAAGTGGGATCCCGAGGGTTTCTTCTACGCTTTGAACGGCGTCGGGAGTGAGAAATGGACGGTCTCTATTGATGGGCGTATGTGCAGGGCGTCGGACGACATGGACCTGTGAATTAGAAAAAAGGGGAGCGCGTCCACTTTTGATAAACTCTGAATGAGTGGGATCGCATGAAATGCGGCTGGTACCTTATTGATTGAGCCTCATCACGTGTTTTGTTTAACTCACACTGAGTACTAAGTAGCTACTTGCCCCGCCAAAGCAGCCAGAGCCCAATGAGGTCATCGTCTTCCACATCTCCGCGCCTGTGAACTAACTCAGTTCGACAGTTCGGCCAGACCTCAGTTCACAATCACATCAAGGATGAGGCTGAAAATCCACAATACTTGGCGGAGCTGCATTCGCTGTCGATCCGATCAACTCGATATCTGACGAATATTACGCAGAGAGCAGCCACATAACCCCACTATATCACTACTAGTAACCAACTTGAAGTCTCGTAGTGTGACGTAGCTGGTCGTAAACCTTGAGTTGGTTGCTGGTTGCGTCAAATGGCAACTGCAACCGTGCACATCAAATGCCAACAAGCGCCATCCTGTCATTGTGCTTTTGCACTCATTACTTCACTATTAGCTTCCCGCAGCATACCCCCAGATCCGTATCGAACGTCTGAGTACATTACAACATCGCCAAGGACAACCTGGACAACCTTGCTGCAGCTGCCTGTACGTGAGCCAACAGTTTGGCGATTGCCAAGCAATCTGCCCACCCGTCATGGCAACATCAAGGCTGGACCAGGCCACCCCTGACCCTATCCTCTCTCAACCACCTACCAACGACGCCGCAGCGGGTGAGCAGCCTCAGATCGTGGAGAAGCACGAGGAGGACCATCCGACAGCTAGCCATGCACTAGCTGAGGAGGCCATCTCGACGGAAACAGAAGAACAAGGCGTCAGTCAGATGGACCACGACCACACAGAGGTGAAGAATCTGGGGTGGAACGATGAAGGCATACCAAAGCCTCTCGTGGGGGGCATTGAAAATGAGGAGCTGTGGACGCTGGTGCGACGATTCAACAAGCAGATATTCCATGTGAAAAGTATCGAGGAACCACCCTTGGCCAACTTGGACATGAACATTGCAGACGGCGAGGAGTTCTCACCCGAGAAGCTGAGGGCGCAATTGGAGAGGATGTACATGGTCGTCCTTGTCAGTCTACTTTCGTTCTGGAAGCATATTGTCCGCCTCAGATCATGGCGTGAGCAGAAGCGGACTTGGGCGTTCCTGGGCGTCTACGCTCTTGCCTGGTTGCTGGATATCCTGGTACCGACAATCGTTGGGTTCTTGATGGTTTTGATTGTGTACCCACCATCCCGAAGCTACTGTTTTCCACCAGCGCCGCCATCTCTGATCAACACAAACACAGGAGGCCTGCAGAAGCCGCCCGCCGGCGTTCTGGGTTCGGATGACTCCATGACTGGCGCTCCGGAAAAGCACGAAGGCGAAGCCGTGGAGCAAGAGGCGCACAGTTTCGTCACCAGTATCTCTACTGTATGTTCTGGCGTATGACACTTCTTCTTTGATGCTTTCCGACCACGCTCTTACTGACGTGTCATCAAGTTGGTGATCAGCACCGCAGCAGGCAAACACCCACAAGGCGATCCGGAGCACGACAAGAGCAACAATGCCCCCGACCCGACCGAGATTACGGCTGATGTCGCGCACGCGAGGGACAAGTCCAATGGCGATGAATCGACTCACGAGCACGACCGCACAAAGGAACCTGTGTCGAGCGCCGTTTGGAGCCAGGCAAGGCCAGTGATGCATGCCATGGCAGACTTTGTCGACACGTGGGAGCGCTTTGGCAATGCTCTAAACGCAACTCCCCCATTCCCTCGTCAGAGGCCGCGTCTGACCCTTGCCGCGTGCCTGCTACCCATGCTCGTCGGATCGTACTTTACAACGTCGTACATGCTCCTCAAGGGGATGGGCTTCGCTGTTGGGTTCGGATTCTTCGGTGATCCGATCATGACACCCGCCATCCGATTCTTACACGACAAGGTTCCTAACTGGTCGAAGTACTTGGAACTGCGCCACACAGTTCTGCGCGGCATCCCGACCAATGTTCAGCTCGTCGTCACGCTTTTGCGTATCGGCGAGAAGAACCAAGCTCCGATCCCGCCTCCTCCCGCGTCCGATGTGCCTCCTCCTGTCGAGGCTCATCCAACCGCTGGGCAGGATCTCGATCATCTAGGTACGCATGCCATAACACGTGGGTTGAGTGATGCTGACACCAGGCAAGCTGTCACCGAAGAGGAGTTGGATCACGCCGTGAAACCAAGCGAGAATCCACCCGAGGAGGACGCCAACGAGGGTGCCGTCGCCGGTGCCGATGCCTACGACGACTTGGGCAAGCAAAAACCCAAAAAGGGGCGTCGAATCTTGAACCTCCTCAAGGGTACTGCCAAGGGCGGCATCCAAACAGCCCTGACAGCGGACAAGGCGAAAGCCAAGGTGGGCGCCAAACACGCCAAGAATCGTCTTGGTGCTGTCAAGGGCTCCAACTCGTGGCCTCCCAGGGGCCCAGTCACCTTCCCTGCGCGGTGCAGAGGTAAGAAGGGACATGCGTACATCACATCAAACGCGACAACGCCAGCTCTCAGCTGGACGGCGAGCATCGACGACGTCAACCCAGCCTGGACGGTCGCCATTGCCGACATCTCAGACCTCAAGAAGATTGGCGGTCTGGGCTGGAAGAGCAAGCTGATGGTGGGTTGGGCCACGGGCAAGGAGATTGTGGATGGCATGATTATCCGAACCAAGTCGGGTGAGGAATTCCAACTGACGGCCGTCACGATAAGAGACGACCTTTTCAACCGTATTATTGCCATGGGGAGCCAAATGTGGGAGGCATGGTAAAAGTCTATTGCATGCTAGGGATTAGGGACAGGGCGACATGGAGTTGGGGTGACTTGTGACCGTGATCGGAGGACACGGGGCATCAGAGGCAGTATGTATTCAAATGCCTTGCTAAAAGTAATTCATGTCATACGTAGTACACGTTTTCGCTTACAATTCTGTGCTTACAAAGATCCTAAAGTCACTATGAGGGTGACCCCTCGTGTGGGGAGTCGTTGACGTGGGGTTGGCTCAGTGGCTGCCGAGGCCGGCGCAATCAACTTGAATTGTCAGCAAAACAGCATCTATTTAAGCTATCAAGGGCTCAAAACCTCGGCAGGATATGCCCAAAACAGGCGCAGTCCAGAGAAAGCAATATGGAATACCCAGAGCCCTATGACCCTAGCCTCTCGTCCCAGTTCCTCGTCTGCTCGACCTGTGGCACCCAATTCCCCGCGACGGATCGGCTGCAGATCAAGTCATGCCACATTTGCGATGACGCAAGGCAATACGTCCCTCGGTCCGGGCAGTCGTTCACCACGCTGCAGGCCATCTGCAGCGCGTCCCATCACAACCAATTCGAGGCGTACGAGGGCGACGAGCGGCTCGTCTTTGTCAAGACGGTGCCGCAGGTGGGCATAGGCCAGCGATGCATCATCGTCCGGACGCCCCAGGGCAACGTCCTCTGGGACTGCATCACCCTGCTCGACGAGGCCACCATCCAGAGGATCAAGGACATGGGCGGGCTCCAGGCCATTGTCATCAGCCATCCCCATTTCTACACCACGCACGTCCAGTGGGCGCGCGCCTTTGCGTGTCCCGTGTACGTGGCGGCGGAGGATGCCTCCTGGACGACGATGCCGAGTGCGCATCGCAAGCTCATCACCGAAACAGAGACGGACATCGTTGGCACCAAGGTGATCAAGATGGGGGGTCACTTTCCCGGGTCCCTAGTCCTGCTTTGGCAAGGCCGATTGCTGATTGCCGACACGATCCTCACCACGCCCTCCGGTCTCGGCGACTGGTCGGTCAACGCCCTCGGCGAGGACACCAGCCACGTCCCTCCGCCGCCGAACAGGAACACATTCACCTTTCAGTGGAGCATCCCAAACATGATACCGCTCTCTGCGGATGAGCTGTTGCGTATGTGGACCATCCTGCAGCCGTACACGTTGACGAGCACGCATGGCGGGTTTATGGGCCAGGACATTGAGGATGAGGGTGTCAAGGCCCGCGTGCTGAGGAGCATGCAGATTCAGTGTCGCTACATGGGCGGCCAGAATCACCCTCTGATGAAGGTCACATTGTAGTGGACGCTGTGCCAGAAGAATAAGTAGGTATGGTTGTGAATTTATAAAGATGTATGCTGTAAATAAAGTAGCGCGGTGAGAGCGATGAGTAAAAGGGGGTATCCGTGAAGTGAAGTGTGTCCCAAGGGATATGCTTTGAACGCCCAAAATGCCAGCTGTGAAAGGAAGAAAAATAGCCAAAGTATTGAAAGGGGAGATGTGTTGATTATAGAAGTGGTCGAGGATTTCATTTCTTGAGGGAGGACTCGGGGTGCAGGCATTTGTCCAGCAGCTCCCAGCCTTCCTCGGGCAGAGAATCAATGACCGAGTTGTTCAGGGTGTCGATGATGAAGCGGTTGGCTGTTCACGCAGAGTCAGTACTGGTGTTTGTCTTGTAAACCATGGGAGCGAAACGTACGCATATAATCCACACCCTCGTCACCGGCTTCCATGGCGACATCAATCCTCGCCGAGTGGTAGCAGCCATATCGCTCCTGGAGCTCTAGCATGCACCGCCATAGTTGCCTGATGCCGCTGGCGCTGAGTCCCTCACATGAATGGTCGGGTTCGCAGGCGAGAGAATGGCGGCGAGCAGGTGTCGGTACGCTCTCGACGGAGGAGGAAGATGCTCGACGAAGACGGTTGAACATTTTGGTATATTGTGGTGGGGCACTGGCACTTTTGGCGAATGCTGTTGTTGGAGTTGAAGAGTGATTATTCACTGGGCACGCCAGATGAGTGGGCGTCGGTGGACTATTAAAGGCTGGCGAGGGTGGTGATGCGAGACAAACGGCGGTGGATGCGTCAATGTCACGGTTGTATGACCCTTTGATGGCGTTGCTTTGTCTTAGGACAAGGGACTGGCAGCTGGGTGAGGCTGGATGGGATGCGTTGGCTTTTCAATGCCACAACAAAGGGAGGGGCCGGGGACTAGCCCAGGGTCGGGCAGGATCTCCTTATAATATAGTAATGCTAATAAGCAGGTTGTGAAATCATCAAGGAGAGATTTACTAGGTGCATGACTAGCAAGCTCCACGCTCGCGAGGTGATGGATGCCCGATCAGCGCCCGGAAGCACCCTTGCCAATGAAGTGCGGCACGAGAAAGCTTAGCCTTGCGCTGGCGCACTGACTGAGAAGAGAGAGCAAAACAAAAAAAAAGGAATGCCCAAATCAGTGGGCCTCGCTGGGCCTGATATGTCATTCATTGCAGACGCCAATCCAGTCGTCAAACAGTAGACGGGGCATTGGACGGATAAGGCGGGTGTTGCTGGAATTGCTGTCGCAGGAGCACAACCTGTTTGTTCTACTGTACAGCGATGATGCGGTGATCACCATGGGCATGGCAGTGAGGGCAGTGGGAATGTCGGCAGTTGGGGGCTTGCAGTAGCTCTGTCTCTGCCGCCCGCGCTGGCCCAAGGTGAGATAGCGATCAATGATCGTCCATCATTGGCGACGGATTGTCCGGCACCGGATGGACTGTCATAGTACGTGGGCGCCTCAGCATGGGATCAATCACCTGCTTGCAATCCCACGTATCTGCTGCGTGGGACGTATTTCGTGCCGCGCTTGGTACTCACTGCCACAGCTCATATATGACGACGACTTTTACACACCATCGAGCAACGACGTCCACGATCAGGGTCTGTCTACCTTATCCAACAGGGCAGAATCCGAGCGGTGCTGCGCTAAAACGCTGCCAGAGGTGCTGTCACTCGCGGGATGCACAGGACCGAGACAAGTGGCGTCAGCCATCACATTCATTCGATCCATCTCGACTCGCATCCCAAAGAGGAATACAGGTCATGATTGGCGTGCTGGCGAGCAGCAGACGAGCCTGCTGACCTGGCTGTCAAAGTCAAATGGCGGGCTGACGGACGGTAGCAATTCGCAGCTGTATCACAGTTTCAATAATTCCTAACTCATTGATTGTGAAACTTCAGCATGTATGACTTTTTCGTCGGCACCACAGAGCCGTGCAATGCCACTTTCGGCCGACGCTGCCGGTGTCGAGGTCCGATGGGCGGGTCCCGATCGTCTCCGATGCGTGGATCTCGTTCCGGTGCCTGAGCCTGAAAATAGCCTTTCTTGTTTATCAGGGGCTTTGTCGATGATGTGGAAACTTGCTGGAACTCGGAGGCCACGCAACGCGCGCTGCGATGCGTTGGCAGCAACGGTCAATCGTCTGAGCCGCACCGAACGCGCGTTTGGCATGCACGGTGCAGGCAAACAAGCTTCAGTTGCTACCGCTGGAATGCCACAGCCAGGCTAGAATCAAGATGGCGGTGACACGCCAGTGCCCTGAGCCCTGAATCTCCCGACCCTTGGATGTGCGCACGGACAAGCGTGAATGCGAGTAAAAGACGAATGCGTGTGTGAAAATTTCGACATGCAAGGGAATGGATAAGCAACCCTGCGAATAGCCTCATTCTTCAGCTGCACACACCGGGCACGGACATCAGACGGCAACACGCAACCGCGTCCGCACCGCGACAAACCAGTACGGAGTAGGGCTGACGTTTCGGCAATGTCAGGCCTGCCAAGCCTCCAGCTTCCAGTCAGTCCAGTCTGGCTTACATACCCTGCACTTCGTAGTACAGTCTCCGTCCTGCAAGTCGCTTGCGCGCGTAAGCTCATCTTCGCCCAGCTTTAGGAAGTGAAGCATCATCAACTTCTTTCGCAATCGTCTGTACAGAGCTCGGCATCGCCCTGGACAACCTTGCCAGTACGGCAGAAACCAAAGGGAAGGGTCCTTCGATCAATTCCTAGGTACCCGGAGTGTCCAGTCAGCAAGCGGCGGCTGGCCAAACATGCCCCGAGACACGTCGATCACTGCAAATCACCACGCGACCGAGCGATAAGCCCGCCGGACCCCGCGATTCTACTACGATCAGCAATTTCGCGACATTACAACGTCAATCAGACCGCACTTGGCCTTCGGTGTAATTCGCTTCGACCCAGGCTCGCGCCTGGAACACCTCGCCTCGACTGACGCTGGTCCCGACCCAACCGTACGACCGACGTCGACCCCAAAAGGGGTCACACCAAACCGAGCATGTTCCTCTTTCGCAGCCGTCGCCTGCTCCTCGTGGCGTTCGCCTTCCTCATCATCATATTTATACTCCTCGCGTCCGACCAACCGCGACGAGACCAAGCGCGAGACTATCTGCATCAATATCTCGACAAGCCCGCGTTCTGGCGGGACGGCCAGCCTCCCAAAGACCCCAATGCGGATAACAGACCAGAGGTGAAATACCGACCGGAACCAGAATGGGTGCCGCCCCCGGTGAAAGACCCATTCCCATCTTTGGCGACCGAGGCACCGCCGCCTATACCGAAATGGAACATGCCCAAGAAGGATGTGCACAAGAAGTATGGTCTGGACTACAAGCCCCCGCTCTTCATCGGCTTCACCAGGAACTGGCCGATGGTGTTGCAGGCTGTGGTTTCCTACGTGACTGCCGGCTGGCCGGCGGACCAGATATACGTCGTGGAGAATACGGGTGTGCAGAGGGCCAACATCGAGGGCAAGCTCACGCTGCAGAATCCCTATTACTTCAACCACGAGGAGATGAAAAGACTGGGCGTCAACGTGGTCCGGGCGCCCGTGCTCATGAACTTTGCGCAGCTACAGAACTTCTACACGCACCTCGCGCACGAGAACGACTGGCCATACTATTTCTGGTCGCACATGGACGTTCTAGTCCTTTCGTATGAGGATGGCAACGAGCACACGCCTCCCGCGACGGATCCCGAGTACAAGACCGTATACGAGCTATGCCTCAAGGAGCTGAACCACACCATCCATACTGATGATCGCTGGGCAGCCCGTTTCTTCTCGTACGATCACCTCACGCTCGTCAACCGCGAAGCATACGACGAGGTCGGCGGGTGGGACACATTCATCCCGTACTACATTACCGACTGTGACATGCACACGCGCTTGCATATGCACAAGTGGTCTATCAAGGACACGCGCGCTGGCATCATCACAGACGTCGGCGCTGCTCTCGAAAACCTGCTCGCCCTATACCGCGACCCCAACGTTCCAGTCCGATTTGTCGACTCGAACCCAGCGCCGCCATCGCCAGAGGAGAAGACGAGGAGGGAGCAGAACGTCAGCAAGCGGGACGAGTCGCCCGACCTCGCCTACTTTCACAAACTACAAGCCACGGCCAACGACATGTTTCATTACAAGCATTCCCGGGACAGGAATACGTGGCAGACCGGTCAGCGTGGTGGTCAGGGCGAACCCTTTTACTATCACTCGCGTGGTATCGCCGAAGGCATCGAGGTCTTGACAGAAGCTGGGCGGGAGGTGTACAGGCGCAAATGGGGCCACGAGAACTGCAACCTGCTAGGCGAGACCAAGCTCGGCCTTGAGGACGCATGGCTAGTGGAGAAGGACTTTTAGTCTAGTCCTGGATAATGTAGACAGACATATATGTAAAGACAGATAGACAAGACCCAGGGGACGCTGTAGACTAGGTCTCGATGGGCAAGCACATACGATAATTTATAGGTACATTGGCATATAGATGTTTGAGTGCTAGCAGTATACGAGCATGTCGTATCGGTGATCACAGGATACGAGAGGGCCAAAAGTGGCTCGGCCATTACTACAGCCACGGCCTTTTTCCAAGGGGAAACCGGATGTTGAGCAATCGTATCGTCAGGATGACATGTCTGTCAGGACAGCTGCCCCTCGAACGCGCGCAGGGCAGATTCCCATGATCCCACCATGCATTTCTCACTGTCTCCGCCTGTCGATGACGTCGACGGGGTGGCACTGACAGCCGGTCTGGTGACTGACTCTGAGGCTGACCCACTCTTTTCTCTCACGGCGACCGCGGCGTGCGCTGCAGCGCTGCTCACCGAGACCGGCGGGAGATCGTCCTGGAGTGATTCAGAGCCACGAGTCGCGATTGTGCGAGAAATTTGCGCTCATCACGCTTTGGGGAATTTGTTCATTGCCACGAGGTCACGCCAACAGGAGATGGTAATCAGAAGGTAATTCATGGTATTTCTGCCATTCAGTGAGCATGCGCTGCCTGCCAGCCCATGCTCAAAATGCGTCCTGGTGCGCGCGCACAGTCTAGTTGCATGCACTCAGCCAAGCCCCAAAACAAACAGTGATCGGTGGTATCATGATAGAAAATGGTTCTCCCGCCCAGGAAATGCAGGAACAAGAAAATGCCAAAACAACAACGCCGTCCCCAATGAGTGAGTGTCTAATGCCGGGTGGGTGGGTGGATGGGTGGATGCAGGGTAAAAGAAGAATGATGCAGAAAATCCAAAGCAAGGTGGTCCGCACGAAATGAGCGGCCCTTTGTGTGCAAGATCCTCTCTAAGTTAAGCGCTTGGCCTCCTCATGCATGGGCTGAACGTCGCTGGTGACCATGGGCACCTGCTCCAGTCGCTGCTCCTCCTCCTCCTCCTCCTCCTCCATCTCGCGGATGGAAAGCAAGGCGTTACTGCGCCTTCTTCTTCTCGTTATGGTAGCTTCTCCGGACGCGCTCACGACCTCTCCTCTCCTCCTCCTCGTCTTGTGAGGATGTGGAGTGGGCGTAGTGATGTGACGACGAGCACGAGCTAGCGCTGCTGAAGCGGCGACGGTCTTCCTCGTGCCACTCGCTCAGGGACTTGCCGCCGAATGTGAGGTCCTCGTCGTCAATGTCGATGGGTTGCACCCAGCTCATTTCGTGGTATTGTGCGCCAGACATGGTGGTGGTGGTGTGATGTGTCTGTGTGGTGGACTTGGCGTTTGGATTCTGCGTCGACGCTGATGAAGTGGAGGGAGCAGCAGCAGCAGCAGGTGGATCGACGGACGTTGCGGGATTGACGGTAGATGATGAGGGCGATGTGGTGTTGGTGTTGGTATTGGTGTCGGCGGTGGTGGTTGTCGTTGTCGTGGTGATGATGCGACCAGCGCTGGAGACGTCCGTGTCCGGCCCGCCTGCTTCTCTCGGCTGTGTGCGGTTGTCCAGTGTAGTAAGTGTGCCTTCGCCCGCGACTGTATTTTCCGGGCGTGCTTCGGTGGCGACGATGAAAGGGTGAGGATTGTGTTCTCGGTGTGTTGTGAGATGTGGTGAATAAGGGGAAGGAGAATTCAAGGGTCCGCGGGATCGGGCGGGAGGGTGGTTCGATGCTTTTGAAGGACTTTGCTGGTGGTGGTTGGTGGTGGTGGTGGCGGACTGGCGGTTCCTGTTGCGCTGCGCGGGGAGGTAGAGGAGGGGGGTGTGTGCAGTCAGTCCATCTCAGAAAGGGAGGAGGGTCGGGTGCGTCAGGAGGATCGGCGGCCAGGCGCGCCTCTCATTATCTCCCAACGATAACGATGGCAGCTGTCATCTTCTTGTCCTCGTTGTACCATAATGATGATGGGTTGGCACTGAGTTTGGACAATCAACAGCTGATTGATTAATTGATCCGCTGCTTCTCTCATGTCTGGTTCACCAATCTGCCGGATTACTTGCCACGCACTGCGCCCCGTCATGATTACTCTCGGCGAATGCGACCGCAGCCAGAGTCATGGGCCTTGGCGGAGGCGAAGAGTATGCTGACAAGATACCACACAAGGCTCGGGCGCGTTGAGCCAAGAACAACCGCGCAAGCCTCGCCGCATCAGAGGCTCGATCGTTCCCTTGCGGGGAATGGGCAGAACTTTGCTTTGCCTACGCAATAAGTAAATCTCACAATGGTCATCGTGGAGCATCCAGAACCAACCTTGTCGGGGTCACCATTAGCAAACAATGACAGCTGGCGTGTGGTGGGCTGTTTATCGTCTAGGCTATCGCTTGAAGACGCTGGGCCAGGCCTTGTCCATTGAATCCATCCATCTGCATTCTTCACTACATGAACCTTGGGCATTTCGCACCAACCTCAGCGTCAAAAGACCTTTCCGGAAAGCTGAAAATCAAAAGTGCTGCAATCAATCACGAAGCACGCTTATCGCGATATCAGCCTCGAGGGGTGTGCCATTAGCATCCCGCCATTTCGCCAGCCACGCAACTGGCTGCTAGGCTCGACTCGGTGTCGCGGTGTCACCGAGACTCAAGATAGTTGGTAAGAATAATATTGAGCAGCTGCTCATCCCGTACAGTATTCCCTCTCGCGCTATGACCTGTCAGCAGGTCCCAAAGTAGGCCACTGCAACAACAGCCGGTGGTGATAAGAGCAAGACACGGCGCACCCTCTGCGACGCTGAAGCAGCAGCAGGACACAACAGCAAGACAGACGATCGCATCACATGCAACCCCAACCAAGCACGATCAGGCAGAGCCTCAGCGTCCGTTCGGTGCAATCCCCGCGACGCATTGCGGGGGTTTTCGGTGATATGCAGCCGCGGCGGCTACGTACTCGTGGTCTTCGGTAAAGTACTCGACCACTCCGGTCGCCGATAAGCTTGATCGAGTGATCAGTGTCCGAGATTCCCCAGTTGCATCGTAAACTGGGGAAGGTGGATGAACATCTGTTCCCCCCTCATCTTGGCATAGCCAACGGTTGATCTCGCTCCGCTCTCATCATCCTACACTGCAGTATAGCGGATGATTAGGAGCCGAGACAGATAGATAGATTGGCAAAAGCTTGCGCTCCAGTCTCATTGTCGTTTTGGTTTCTCGCCTGGCTCTTTGCTTGTTCTGGACACCGCGCATTCAGTCTGCGACGCCCCGGCCACCGAGGAGGTGGGGCGGGTCCATCTTCTGGCGACCGACTCTCATCATGTCACAATGCACGAGATCCATTACGAGTCATGTGGCTGCTAACTGTCTTTCAACAGACATTCTATTCTCCTATGTACGGAGTTAGATTGGGTGCACTACCTTCGTCTAGTTGCTAATCCGCTGTGCCTAACTTGCCATCGGGGACTGGCTCATCGTCCTTTCGATGTTCATCAGCCACCACGCCTCTACAATATCGAAAAGGGTAGATTACACAATCGTGGTCTCATGATCCACGGCTGACATCCTGGCATTGACATCATCTGCGACCCCCAGGAAATTCTACATTTGGATGCTCGGGTATTGAGGTCCAATATTGGCCAAAAGCCGCGCCTTGCCGGCTTGCACAAGAGCCGTGTCAGACTGGACCATGCTCAATGACGACACGGGAAACGAGAAGGGCTGGACCCTGCATTTTCACGATGGGATTTGGCTCCTCCCATCAGCAGCTGCAGTATAATATACTATGCACCTAGCAAATACCAAGCCGGAATCCACGTGCAGCCTGGCCTCAGTGCATGTGTTTTTGACGTGCACTGCCAGTCGTGCTCTGGGTGTTGAACTTGCTGCTTTCGGTGCTTGGATCCAGACCTATGGTATTCAAGTTCACTACTAAGACTCGGCACCAGCATATGCCGTGCCTGCCAGCATTCCCATCACGTACCGATAGTAAAAGCCAAGTCACAGCCCGCTGCACACACACCCGGCCACGTGTGCTGCCCATTGATCAGAGCAAACCATCAGCCTGGTTCCGTACATACGGTAACCTCTCGCATTCACATCTCCGGTCGTGCCGATTGCTGATCTGGAGTCGTCAGTCTGTCGTGTGGGTGAGTCCACATTCCAGCGCAGCAGGGCCTGGGGCGATCCTACCACGTGGGAATGCGGAGGGATTGGATGCGAGGTGCGTCGGAGCAAAAAGTCACGCCACGAGGCGGATGACCCCCCGATGCTTTTGCGGGGGTTGGGTAAGGTATGCACGATGGGTAGATCTCCGAGTCTGGACACAGCTCTGTTGCAGCAAGCAGTCGGGCAGGTTATCGTCAATGGCGCTTCTGGTGTCTCCAACTCTAGCTAGAGGTCCACAGCTACCAATAGTAGTCGGTCACACTCGAGATCACTCATTGTGTGAGCGTTCCAGACTGCACTATTTACGACTGGAGCAAGTCAAATGGTTGTCTTTGCAATTGTATTAATGAACATCAAGTCCGACTGCCCCCCCCCCCCCCCCCCCCCAATCTCCTGATCATGAGCACCTAAGGTGGTCCCTCCTATGCTGAGATGTCGCAACGCTAGATGCATGTGCCCAGGCCATTCCAATCCTCGGGTGGATAAAAATATCCGTAGACGCCTCGAATCATCGCGAATTAAGATCTACGTGGCGTGATAATCAATCGCCCGAAACCCCGCGATTGGCAGCGATATCTCTCTCCGACATGAGCAGAGGCTGATGCCGTCAGTCCTACAGGACAGTGGTCGCATACTTGGTCGAAGCCTATTAGTTCGAGGCACATTAGGCTTGGGCCATGGGTGCCCAGAACGCAAGCGATTTGATTGTCCTTTGAGCATCGAGCCACTTTCGCGGGGGAGTCATCAGCTTCTTGTGGGACCGTTGTTTGACTCTGTAAGTGCAAGCTTGGTTTGTGTATGGGTGTGGGTTATTGAGGGCTGCACAGATGCTTGAACAAGCACGCCCACCACGGAGAATTGCCTAGTCTGACAATTGGATGGAACATAATTGGACGACAGAGAGCGGGCATATCTCGATTGAGGGTCAAAGAGGACAACTGGTCGCCGGTGTCCGCTTCAGTCATGGTAGCTTGTCCAAGAACTATAATGCTTAATGCTTGGTTCATGGGTGCCGCATGTTGAGTCCGTCTTCAGGGGTCTGCTTCCAGCGTCACTCAGGGTCGTATTCACAATATGTATGTTGGCTGTAGACGACGACAAGTGTGAGCTGTATGATCGCAGCGTCGGGGCGCCCAACAACCTGAAGATAGTGAACCTCCCTCTATCCCCGTTTGGGACTGTACATGCCATAAATGGTAGCGCTCAACCTTGCTCGGCGCTATCGGCGGCCTTCTGCCACTGAGGGCGACGGTGCGTGAAGATCTCCTGAGCTGGTGCAGCAATCGTGTCGAACAGGACAGCCTTGATGATGGCCTTGCCTGGGAAGGTAGGGGTTCGGGTCACCACGGGACTACCACAGTCGCCGCAGAACGAGCGCTGTGCAGGATATTAGTATTCCAAAGGTCTTGAATCAAGAACAACAGCAGGGAATATCAGGGCGACCAACATCAACTTTGTTGCCCGAATTCGCGTTCGCAATAAAGGTCTTGAGCGTGCCCCTTGTGTCATGGATCTGAACCTGCTCCTCGTCCACGACGTAGTTTGGTGCAAAGACTGGACCAGATTAGTGTACAGGTGCGGCGGGCTGAATGTGTCGTTACGCACGGCCACCCGCTCTCTGACAGTTTGAGCTTGTACAATGTCAGTATCAAGTCCAGCTCAGCGTGCATCCCGCACGTCTTGTCGAAGCACTGAAGACAGGAGACACCTCACCCAAGTACTTACCAAAAACATGATAGAGTGTTCTTCTGCAGCTCCGGGTCCAGCGTCACCTTGATACTCTCGCAATTGCAGTGGCCTTGGTTCGACATTATCGTTTCGATTCCTGAATGGCTCTCTTGAGGTTTTGGCAGATTTATAGTAACATGAACCTGGCACCAAGCCATTGCGTCATTTGTTTGGGATGCGCATCGGGCATCGCCGAAACTCCGTTGTCGACGACGACAAAACTCCGTATATAAGTTCGCTTCCCCAATCTCGCTCCAGGTTACAGTTATCCGTTACAGTTAGCCATGTAAGGGAGACATCCGTATATTCAGGGGCCACCACCGTGTCACATTACCTTGTTCCTTGTAGTCGAGAAGAAATGTTGGACACTAAACATAAACCCAAGGCATTCTGGTTACGATCAGCGTGACCCTTAAATTCTAGACATGACAATCCCAATACAATAGAAACACGGCTATGACTGAGATATCTGTTACATAATAAGTGAGGAGGCCGTATCAAAGACTTGCATCAGTGACTGCGTACTAATGTCAGGCCGAGGTGCAACTGTCTAGGGTAGGTAGCCACACTCATTTGATGCACCGTCTGTCACCATGAAAGTGTTTGGTCACCAAAATCGCACAGATTGTTTCCCGCATGTCATTTATCTTATCTGTCACGCATCGCTCCCACGTTGAGGGCAGTTGACACCGCAAGATCGGCGTGGACGACTGCCTCTTGTGGCGATGCACGGGGGATCAGCTGCCGCTAAGGCCTCCGATGATTAGATAGACCGTGATATCAGGGCGATACGTAATGAAATGTCAGATGTAACCTTTTCGGAACTTTAAATGAGCATCCTAGCTATGCTTAATTCAAGGCCGTATGGCGCAATGATCTTCAACAACCCACCCACACATCCATAAGACCACACAGCCGTTCGTTCAGGTGGTGCACCCATCGGACGGTTCGGCCTCACGAACAACCGCAGATCCCCTGATGGCCCCAGCAGCCGGTACCGTGGGATATCGGCTGTGCGATTCCTCAAGATAAGCTACGTCGAGGACGGCTGGTGATCTGCGCTGATGCTCGGCAATGGTGGTTTCCGGGAAATGAGGCGCGAGGGAAGATATCAGCTCTGGCGTAGATGGGATGAAGTCATTGAGTAACGGACCACGGAGCGCGTCTATAAAGAGCTGTCCAAGTTCGTGCCGTCAGCGATTGAATCATCCAGCTCATATTCGAGTCCTTCACCAAGCACAACCCCATCCAACGAGTCAACATGCGCTTCGCCATTGTCGCCAGTCTCGCCTTTGTCGGCGCCGCTCTTGCCGTGCCCTTGCGTGAGTCGAATATTGCTGTTTTGCGATGCAGACACTGATATCGAAAAGAAGCCGAAAAACGATCTCTGATCACCGACGTTGGCAACGTCATTGCCGAGCTTGAGGCTGGCCTCGGTGTCACAGAGGTCACCGAGAAGCTCGACGAACTCCTCGGGGGTGGTCTGACCAAGGTACGACCTTGTCAGGGATCCAGTAGAAACGATGCATCAAGACTGACACGCCTTAGCTTGAGGACGCCCTCGGCGTTACTTTTGCCGAGTATGCTCTTGGCCTCCTGGAGGACGGCGCTGAGCCAGGCACCGTACAGGCCATTGGTGAGGCTATCGCCATGCTGGAGGACGGCATGGGCGTCACTGCCGTGAATGAGTTCTTGGACGAGACCACAGGGGGAGCCATCACATCCATTGAAGATGCGCTCGGCGTGACTGATGTGTTGGAGGCCCTGGGTCTGGCCTAGGCTGATTCCAAGTTGACCCAACCCTGTTAATAGTTATCTTTGTCAGCCAAACGAGACCAAAGTCCATCCTCTGAACTGTTATGGCTAGACCTTTCCTAGCGTGACCCTTTGCGGCAGCACTTGGATGTTCTGTTGCGGCTGGGCGACTCTGGTATCGTGCACTTTGCGATCAATGGATTTGAAGTCAAAGACGCCCTCCAGCTCAGCCCGGATCCCCTCCAGCTGCCCTTGCGCCTTCCTCGACGCCTCGAGATCATTCTCCTTCATGACGTGTGCCTTGACCTGCAGCACCCAGCGGTTCTGGGCGTCCACGGGTGTGAGGTCCTCGAAGGCGGGGAGCTGGCTGACTGGCGGCGCGGTGGGCCCCTGGCGCTGTTCCACGGGGGTGTAGTCCTCGATCGGTCGGAGGAAGAATTGCCGTGTCAGACAGAATTCAACATCGTCGCGGTAGAAGCGATAGCACTCGTCAATCACTTCTGTCTTGAACATGCAGTTGTTGTCTGCCATGAGCGACCAAATCTTCTTCTGCTCCCACAGCTCGATCTTCTTCCTGTGCGTGATGTGCGGCCTACCCTGCGGCACCGACGGGAACTCCGTCCACCTCAGGATGCCCGACATGGCGTCAAAGTCCATCTCCTTTGCGTCGGCACCCATGTCGCGATCCTTGACAACGTCGTACCGGGCTTGCATGATGAAGGATTGCCGGCTCAGCGCGGCGTTGAGCTCCTTGAGGAACCATTCAGTGTCACGTCGGAGAGGTTTGTCGAGGCTCTTGTAGTTTTGAAACCCGGCTGGTCGGCCAGTTGCTGAGGCACATTGGAAGTAGAGTATGCGCTGGATGGAATGCCATGACTGCATGCCGCAGATGCCGCTGAGGACAGAGAGGGCAGCTCCAAGATCGCCCTCTTCGATGAGCGCTGTGAGAAACAACTCGTACATCTTGTGCGGGGTCGGGTTGCGACGATCGAGCCTGGTCTCAGGAAGAAAAAAAGCAGCTTTGCAGTCGCGTAGGTGTAAGGTAAGGCGGAAGCAGTGAGCAGATGGTGATTCACAAAAAGAATTCGGCTCGTTCTTTAAGATGCCAGCAGCTCAAGGTTCAGTCTAGTCTAGAGCACGTGACTTCGCGTTTCCCTAGGCAGGCGCGGCCCGCCCTCAGCAGCCTCCACTCTTAACCGCGCCGGCGATTTCACGTCGCCCCAGAAAGTCTGAACCACAAGTTCACAACTCTAGACATACAACTTGCCTTTGTGACCACCTAGACCTTCAATGTTTCGAGTATCGTCTCCGATATGTCACCGCCATCTCCTAAGCGCAAAGCGTCAGACGCGCCCATTTCCCCGCCGCCTCTCAAGCGCAAAGTGCAGAGCGGCACGACCAGTAGGCGGTTCCTCCCAAGCTTCTGCCAGTGACAGCCACGCTGACAGGACGCAAGAGAGCGCTGTTGCAAGCTTCTTCACACCTGCATCCCAGAAACCGAAAGAACGGACATTATGGACAGAGCGAGCGCCTGACGACGATTCCCCTGCAACGCTGCTCGTGGGTAGATACGAGCCAGAGCAAGCTGAGGACAAGACAAAAGTCAGGCGAAAAATCGCGGCATTTGACCTGGACTCCACGTTGATTACGACGGCGTCGGGGAAGACACATGCGAACGGTGCCACTGACTGGAAATGGTGGAGCAACCAGGTCCCTGGCAGATTACGGCAGATGTATGAGGAGGAGGGATACCGGGTCGTCATATTGTCAAACCAGGCCGGGCTTACGCTTCACTTCGATGCCAACCACAAGGGACCCAAGGCCGGAGCGCAGAAGCGGGTATCCGACTTTAAGCTCAAGTGCAACAGCGTCCTGAATCACCTCGATCTGCCAACTACTATTTACGCAGCCACAGCCAAGGATATGTACCGCAAGCCCAGGTTGGGCATGTGGAAAGAGCTGTGCGATGATTACGACATTCCCGAGGACGAGATTGATCTTGGTGCGAGTATCTTTGTGGGCGACGCCGGTGGTCGAGTCGCCTCCGTAGCAAACCCCAGCACGGGCGCTGTTGCTGCGAAGAAGGATTTCAGCTGCTCGGACCGCAACTTTGCGCACAATGTGGGCATTGAATACAAGACACCGGAGGAGTTCTTTTTGGGGGAGAAGCCCCGTGAGTTTGTAAGAGATTTTGATCTGGCGAGCTATTCGTTTGTCGAGAACGGTGCAGCTGCCGAGCAAAGGGTGTTTGAGAAGGCCAACAAACAGGACATTGTCCTCTTTTGCGGTCCGCCGGGTGCTGGCAAGAGTACGTTCTTCTGGACGCATCTCCAGCCACTTGGCTACGAGCGGATCAACCAGGATATTCTGAAGAGCCGAGATAGATGTGTCAAGGTCGCGCAGGAGTATCTCCAAGACGGCGAGTCCGTCGCGATAGGTACGTTCACTGGAACGAAACACACCGGCGATACGTACTGACCCCGGAGAAGACAATACAAATGCAGATGTCGATACCAGAGCCGTTTGGGTCGAGGTGGCTCGCAAAGCCAAGGTGCCGATTCGATGTGTGTGGTTCAAGACGCCGATACACGTTGCTCAGCACAACGATGCTGTCCGGTCACAGAACAAGGTCCTGAACCGCGAAGGTCGATCAGGCCTGCCGCCAATGGCTTTCAGTGGATTCGCCTCCCGACACAAGGAACCTCGTCTGGAGGAAGGATTTCAGGACATTGTCGAGATGCCTTTTGAGTTCAAGGGTACCAAAGAAGAGTACGAAATTTGGGCAAGATATTGGTGAGAACCACGGAGCACAGGTGCAGTTTAGATGGCCGGGGAACGCCTTGACGCAACACTTGTCAGTATGACGGCTAGTCATGTCAAACTCTGCTGGAAGGACCAGCCCAATCTCGCAATCGTTTCCCCCAACACCATCATGCTGCGTTACGAGGGTCCTGGAATGTTGGGTATCGTGTCGTCTGGCGTTGGCGCGAGGAACTTGTCTCGGTCTACGAGAAGTACCACGATATCTGCGAGATGTCCGCGAGAAATCCGAGCGAGATACCGGAGACTGCCCGACGGCCCCGACGTGCTCGTGTCAGGGCGCCGTTCTCGAATCTCGCGATCCACTGGCTGCCCACCCCAAGCGGGTAATGGATCTGCACGCGAGACTGAGATGTGGCATGCCATATCTAGCAGACAAGCTACCAGATTTGCACTTTTCTGAGTACTAGACCTCATCTCAGACGTCCGTCTAGTCTGGGTTCTTTGATACCTGCGAACATGCCTTTGTCGGCATCGTTGGCTGTCGCTAGAACAGACAACACTCGCATGGCGTCGTTGCGCATCGGTAGTCGAATGTGGAGCAACGTCAGCTCCTCGCTGTGCCGTCACAGCCGGGAATTATGGACACATCCGCCGCGCAAAACGTGCCGTCTTTGCCGGAATTCTGACGGATTTGAAGGCGACAGAAATATTGATGGGTTCAGCTTTCCATGCCAAGCAATGGAAGGACTCGTCTTGCTTCGAGATGTGCCGGATTGAGTTTCGATTGTCAAGCTTTGTGGTTGTCTTTGTGCAGATCACTACAGGGCCCTCCACCAGTCTACTCGGAAGGCGAGAAAGCAGTTTTCGCAACACGCAAACTCTTCATGAAGAACCAGCTGCGTTTGCAGAGCTTCACGACGTCGCGGGGGACGCGCTCATACCTCCCGTCCGCGTTGCGGCGGCTCCCCTGGCCCAAGTCAGAACTTTGCGGTTCCTGGCGCCATGTCTCCATCAAAATCAAACAACGCACCCATCTTCAAATGCGACTACCGACGGAAACTGACCGAGATCCTCTTTTCCCGAGCGGGGACGTCGTTGAAGGTGGTCTCGTCGTCCGCCTTGTGGGCAGGACCAAGCGGCGGCGTGCTCGGAGACTCCCCAAACTTTGATGCTTAATCTCAACCGACTCCAGTGGCGCAGGCCAATCCACGCGGTTTATTGCCCCGGATGGTTTAGTTCTCCAAATATCCCGACCTCCGTAGGGGAGTCCCGCGGAGTAGTCCACAAGACGACCACTGTTTCTCCAAGCTTTGTGGCGCCACTGGTGGCCATGGCAGTAATCCCGACATCTATGATTGGACCTCATGCAGCAATCCTGGGGAGGATTTAGACTTATACGCTGCTCCCATGGAGAAAACGACATTCCGTGAGGGGTTCGCTGGGACCCCGTACGGGGTGTGTAAGCGAACGGGGGAGGGAGGGAGCCTGCGTGGTGCCTAATAACTTGCGTTGACTGGCGCTCGCCTCGTGGCACTCTCTTGGGTATATAAGACCAGCCGATCTGTTCCTCCCAACTGATCATCTCCCCTTTGGTGTCCGAGCTACCTTCCCTCCATTCACCTTTTTGCCCACTTGTCTCACAGAACCGTCAACATGGCTGGTGGTGTCAAGAAGCCCGTCAACATCTTCCGCCTGAAGAACACCGGCGAGCCCGAAGGCGCTTTCAACTGGCGCCTGTGGTTCGCTGTTGTCTCCTTCGGCCTGCTCGGTGCCGCCCGTGGTATCGACGAGGGCCTGATCACCGGTGCCTTCAACTCACACGATTTCCAGGAGGCCATCAACTATGACTCCTTCTCGACCGTCGAGCAGGCCAACATCAAGGCCAACGTCTCGGCCATGGTGCAGATTGGTTCCGTCGGAGGTGCTCTCATTGCTTTCACTATCTGCGATCGCATTGGCCGTATCTGGGCCACGCGTGTTCTGACGACTATCTGGGCTGTTGGCATTGCCATCTTCATGATCACGGGCGTCAAGGGCAACCTTGGTGGCATCTATGCCGGTCGTTTCATTGCTGGTCTCGGCGTTGGCATGACGCCTGTCGTCGGTCCCATCTACCTGGCCGAAGTAGCTCCCGCCTCCGTCCGTGGTGTTTGCACCTGTTTCTTCACCGGTGCTGTGAGTCTACCTGCGCGCATCGCCCGTTCTCTGAACGTGACACTGACAATCTCATAGGTGTACATCGGAATCGTGCTTGCCTACTTCGCCAACTACGGTGCCCATCTTCACATCTCCAGCGAGAGCCACAAGCAATGGCTCGTGCCCACCAGTTTGCACATTATCTTTGCCGGCATTGCCTTCATCCTGTCCTTCTTCCAATACGAGTCACCTCGCTTCCTCGTCAAGCAGGGTAAGATCGACAAGGCTGCCGAGTCCCTGGGCAAGCTCCGCAAGCAGGATCCCAGCGGCGACTACGTCCGCAACTGCATCCAGGAAATCGTCAACGCTCACGAGATGGAGAAGGAGGCCACCCGCGGCGTCGGCTGGGCCGGCAAGCTCAAGGAGATGTTCCTGAACAAGAGCAACCTCTACCGCTTGTGGTTGGCCTCCATGGTCCAGTTCCTCTCCCAGTGGTCTGGTGCTGGCTCCATCACCCTCTACGCCCAGGACCTCTTCGCCCTCATCGGTGTTGCCGGCGAGAGCGAGGGACTCTTGGTGACCGCTGTCTTTGGTATCGTCAAGCTCATTGCTGCTATTAGCTGTGCCCTGTTCCTGGTCGATGTCATTGGCCGAAAGCGCTCCTTGCTTATCGGCATCACCCTCCAGTGCGTCTCTATGATCTACGTCGCCAGTTTCCTCACTGCTGCCCCCAAGCTCGGCGTCGACGACAGCTGGGTTCTTTCCGAGAGCCTCAAGCCCGCGAGCCGCGGCGCGATTGCCATGATTTACATCTCCGGAATGGGCTGGGCGCTCGGCTGGAACACGATGCAGTACCTCCTGACCGCCGAGCTGTTCCCTCTCCGCATCCGTGCCCTGGCCACCTCGTGGTCCATGACGCTCCACTTTGCCAACCAGTACGGCAACTCGCGTGCTGTGCCCAACATGCTGCTGCCCGTCAGCGCCGGCGGCATCTCGCCCAAGGGTACCTTCTGGTGCTTTGCCGCCGTCACCTTTGTCGGTGGCCTCTGGGTCTGGCTGTTCGTCCCTGAGACCTCGGGCCGTACCCTCGAGTCCATGGACAGGCTGTTCGACCTCCCCTGGTACAGGATCGGTCTGTACGGCAACAAGGACGCCGATGCCCAGGACGAGGTGATCGACGAGAAGCAGAGGCAGGCCGAGGAGGAGCATGGCCGTGCCGAGCAGTGCGAGAAGCGTGGCGCCGTCGACGTTTAAGGTTTAAGCTTGGATGACGTGATGAGTTTAGCAAGCGAGGAATGATCTGTTGCGACGAGATGAATGAATGAATATTGACTCTCATATTGCAGTCGTCAGTGCACGTGACTAGTCTTAGTAGATTGTGCAAGCCCAGTCTGCACACAGAGCCTTCTCGTCCGAGTGAGAACATGTTTGCCCTTGGGCTGGGTAGTCTTTTTATTGAGCGGGGGGTTCGCTCTCTCTCGCTGACTTGTCAAAATAGAGTGTCCGATGAAGGTTGCCGATCTTTGGCTCAGGGGTCGGCATGGCTAGACAACCGCGCGGACATCCCCATACTTCACTACACAGACGGTGGAGTGCGTTGCGCTGGGCTAATGCCACTTTAAAGGTCTAGAATATTTCGACATCAATATGTGCTCTCCCCCTTGTCATTTCATGCTGTACTCCATCCGTACGACAGCTTCGAACACAGCAAGTGTAACGGTACTGGGAACATCTCAATGCAGACTGGGGTTTTGGGTATCATCTTCTAATTATCTTCTACGTTTTACAAGTCGTAGAAGTACGAGTAAGTGCAAAAGGGCCGAGACCAAGCTTTGCACATGATAGTACCTGGACTGTGATGGAAAGGCAAAGATGATTCCACACCTACAAGCCTTCTGTCCATAACCACAGACCAGAACGGCCGCTAAACTAACATAGTTTGCGACCTTTCACAGACACCACCCTTCAGTCCCAATAGCTGTTAATGCCTGGCTTGGGCAAACGGATCGCCAGGATTCTGGCAACGCAATGGGCTGCACAGCTATCATGAAAGTGCATCACGGCTGCGCGCAGCTCATGCAGCTGTGCTTTTGATTCACAAATGCATTTTGACGCATCTCCCTTGTAGCCTTTGCACCCAATGTCCACAGATATCCAGACAGTGTGATTGTTATGGCGTTTGCCTACATGTACTTCATGTGGCGTGCACAACCTTGCCTACATGTCCATTCATGTAGGTGCAACGACATTGGCGCCTTACTTTCTCGCAGCTTGCCGCCTCGTGCCGTCCCATCACGATGCGTCGATGCCTAACTGTTCTATGCTGTTGGTCGACGTCTGCATGTCTGTGTTTGGCCAGCACAGCCTGCCCGGCCTCCCGCATGCAAGCGCCCGCGCTCAAAAGTACCAACCCGACGCGCTGACGCTCAGCACCTTCTTCTCTTTGATGCATCCAGAAAGTATAAGACTGGATAGATGCTCCAAGTTCTGTCCTTCTGGCACTTCATATCGGACTTTGCACCATACATTACAAACCCACCATGGCCATCGGCACGCTTCGCTCGCCGGAGCATCGTGCCCTCTTTGATCTCATCGACAGATTGCGCCACCAAGGAATCTCCAAATATGTCGATCTACCTGAGATCATTGTATGTGGCGATCAGTCTTCTGGAAAAAGCTCTGTTCTGGAAGCCATCTCTGGCTTGTCGTTTCCCACGAAAGACAACCTATGCACCCGTTTCGCCACTGAAGTAGTCTTGCGCCATACCACTGGCACTACATCGTGTGTGGCATCTATTACTCCGGATCCCAAGCGAAGCGAGTTCGAAAAGGAAGAGCTGCGCCGTTTCTCCCCAAAGATCGATCTGGACACTCTGGAGTTGAGCAATGTCGTCGAGGAAGCCAAGGAGTCCATGGGGATCTCCGACACCAACGCTTTCAGTAACGACATTCTCCGAGTCGAGCTCTGTTCCCCTGATCAGCCCCATCTGACGATAGTTGATCTACCTGGCCTGTTCTCGGGTATCGACAACAATCAGTCCGAGTCAGATGGAGACCAGGTCGTCTCTATGGTACGGGCACACATGAGCCGTCCTCGAAGCATTATCCTTGCGGTCATCTCAGCCAAGTCGGACATTGCTGTTCAGTCAGTCACCAAGATGTTGTCGGAAATCGACCCCGAAGGAAAGCGCACAATGGGCCTGATCACCAAGCCCGACACCCTTCATGCAGGCTCGGAAAGCGAGAACAACTTTGTGGAGCTCGCTCACAACAAGAAGAAGATTTGCGGCTTAGGATGGCACATTTTGCGCAACCGGGACTATCCAGAGCGGGATTATACCAGCCAGCAGCGCGACGATGCGGAACGCAAGTTCTTGTCCAAGCCCCCATGGTCTACTTTGCGTCAAGATCAACTCGGCATCCGTCAGCTCAAGCCACGTCTATCGTCAATCCTTAGACAGCAGATCTTGGCTGTGCTTCCGGATCTCATGGCCGATGTGGCGGCCGGCATCAAAGACTGCGAGAAGCACCTGTCACTACTTGGAGATTCGAGGAGCAGTCCTTCCAGGCGCCGAAAGTACCTCAACCGCGTGAGTCAAGATTTTACCCGGTTAGCTGAAGCCGCAACATCGGGTTACTACAAGGATCCTTTCTTTGGCGATGCCATGACCGAGGCTGGAGCTGCTAGACGATTTCGCGCCGCGGTTGAGAGACACTACCGGGACTTTGAGGAGCGCATGTTGAAGCATGGTAAGACATGTCGCATCCTGGAGGATGGGTCGGATATGCCGGATGAACCCGAGAACCACAGCTATATCTATCGCAGTGACTATGTGGAAAAGGTCAAGGAGCTGATGCGGCGGAACAAAGGCCGCGAGCTGAGCGGCACTTTTAACCCCCTTGTCATTGGGGACCTCTTCCTCGAGCAGTGCAAACCGTGGCAAGGCTTGGCTAGCGATCTACAAGTTCGTATCGATGCGGATGCGCGTTCTCTGATCAAAGACATTCTCTCAGAAACGACAGCCCCGGAGACACAGGATGCAATCAGGGGTGTCATCAACGAGAGAATGGACAAGATAACCGACCTCATGGCTGAGAAGACACGCGAAATACTCAGACCACACATCAGTGGTATACCCCAGACGTACAACCACTACCTCACCGATACCGTGCAGAAGATCCAGCAGGAACGCCGTGAGGCTAATTGGAAGAAGAAAATAGTCGACGACTTTGGAAAAGATGAAGGGGGGGGATATCTTGTGTCGTGGAATGATTTGCAAGCTCTTTTGCAAGATCAAAACGACCCCGACATGGAGAACAACGCTAGCTCCGATGCCATCGATTTCTCTGAAGCGTACTTCAAGGTCAGTCCCTTTCTTACAGTCTGGAGACTATGAATGCGCGTTTTTCGAATACGTATTGTGGGAAAGGAAGCTCACCCGTCTCAGCTCGCTGCCAAGACCTTCATCGACAACATGGCACAGCTCGTCATCGAGCCGCAACTCATGGAAGAGATGCCAAGCCTTCTCAGTCGAGATTCTGTGGACGAGTCTCCCGACGAGTACATCGAGCAACTCGTCAGGGAGAGTGAGGATTCTCTACAGGAGCGTGAACTCTGCCAGTCGAAGCGGAGCACCCTCAAAGCATGCCTTTGCGAAATCAAAAGTCTACAGACTTATGGTTGTGAGTATGGCACATCGTTGGCTTCTCAAATTCTAACCCAGAAAATAGACACCACGAAACTTTCCGAAGAGTTGACTCTAAAGCCAGAGACCAATGGGAAGGGTGAACACACGCAGTTCGAAATGCAAACCCCGGACTCGTTCACGCCGGAACTTGAGCCTGAGGCACCTGGAAATTCACCAACCGTTAAGAAGATGGTGAAGAAGAAGATCAGGCCTGTTGTCAAGTTGCCTGAGGAAGACCCCTTCAAAGGCAGATCCTCTCCACTCTTTGGTGGCGATGAAGACGACGAGGCTCCAACATCCACCCAGGCTGTGGCCGACGACAGGTGGGATTATTGAGGGTTTTAGTATTCTTCGGAATGGAAGATAGTAGTTGTCAATGGTATTGAACACAAATAAACGAGTCTCCGCATAGTGTGACCAGACAATGACAATTCACGAACTATCTGATCAGACTGTAATGAGCACTTGATACGACACAGACCCCAGATGTGTCGACTACGATGGCGGCGAGTACTCCTCCAGAGCATCTCTCGCCAATGCCAGCCCCTGGATCCCAGCCAAACCATACTGAGCAGCGGCATTCGTCGATATCCACGCAGCCTCGTGAATCGGCAGTAGGACCTCTGGACCACTGATCTCCTCCATGGCCCACTCCTGGTCCGCAAGAAATCCGTCGGTCGACTCGTAAAACTCCTTCCAAGCGCGAACTGCCACGTCCTTGTCATCCTTCTGCTGCGCATAATACGCCGTGAGACGCATGTGGGCCTGGTACAAGTTGAGTTTCCCAAACGCCTCGCCGTAGCGCTCCTCCTGCTCCGAGGCGGGCGCGCTGTAGTAGTAGCAATAGTCCAGCCATGCGTCCTTGAAGCCCTCGGGTGCGTCGTCGCCCCAGTACTCCAGGGCTTCCGAGATGACCTCGGGGGCGCCAAAGACGGCGGACAGGTGCGAGACCTCGACGATGCCCTCGTTGTTGGGATCCGCGGGTGGCGCCGTGAGCGTGCGCGCATCAATGTCGTAGGTGGCGCTGCCCGTGACGAAGCCGTTGGTGAGGTTGGCGATGCCCGCGGCTGTGTTGGTGAGCTTCTCGCGGGCCTCCTCCCAGCGTGGGCCGCGACGCTCCCACTCGATCAGCCACCCAGCGGCCATCGCACCCCAATCCGTGCCCAGGCCAAAGGTAAAGGGCTTCCCTGGCTCGGGGACCCATCCATCCTCGCGCACCTTGCGCACGGGGTCAAGCTTGCCGTAGGTCTTGTCAGCGTCGAGGGTCTCGGTGAGGAGTTCGCCGACGCGCTCGTCGCCTCCTGTCAGGTAGTAGAAGTACTTGCGGTACTGCGGTTGCGCGATACGGCCCTGTTTGGCGCTGTCGGAGAAGTGGAGGACACCGTGACGAGTTCCCAGGCCCTTCCAGTCGCCAATGTGGTAGCAGTCCACCTCGCCCGTGTGGCGTGTCATGGCCTCGGCGAAGCGGTAGACTTTGGCGTCGCCCGTGTGGAGGAAGTATTGCCAGAAGAAGAGATCGGGCGACAGCTCGGAGTTGTCCCAGGCGTAGCCACCAATGTCGTATCGCCAAGTGTGGCGGTCATTGTCGTAGGTGTGCATCACGTCGCCATAGTTCAGGAAACCGAACCAGCTACGTTCATCGACTTGGCCTTGGTAGAACTCGTTGAGGAAAGCCATGTTGTCCTCGATTGTCGCAGCCCGAGGGGTAGAACGGTCCACAAGATCCCAGTACGAACCGAAACCCTTGGTGGCATGAATATGCTTGGGATCGGCGTACAGAACCGGAGGGGCCTGGAGGTGCTTGCTCAGTTGTCCCAGACGCTCAGCGGAGGGGGTAGCATCGAAGGCGTGGATGTAGATTTCGCTGGTCTTGGCGATGCCGTAGGGGGTGTCGAAGCCAGGCTCATAGTCCTCATATGTGATCTCAAGGGCATCGAGCTGTTCCTCATACGTATCCAAGCCCATGCCGTCGTGGTAAGGACGAAGATCGAGAGGCTCCGCGTCAGGACTGTGCAGCCAGAGCGTGATCTCGCCATTGTCAGATGCAGCCTTTGATATGTCGAGACCAGAAGGGTACTGCTTGTAGAAATCGCGGAGCCCAACAGCGAGACCACCCACTGTAGCGCCGCCAAGATAGGCCAGACCAGATGAGCGGGTGCCTGCCGAGATGTCGATCCAGCTTTGACCGGGCTTGGTACGTTTCTTGAGGTTGAAACCGTCCGCCGTGAGCTGCCTCAGGCTGTAGTCATTCCACTCAGGGATCCACTGCATGCGCGAGGAGACGCGCGTGTCCCAGGTGTCGATGTTAGGGGTCTCCTTGCCCTCGAACTGGGCGGACCTGACCTCTTCGCCAGGGTCTCTTCGCAAGCCAGTGATCCCCTTTACAGCCTCGTGGAGGAACCATCGTCAACACCACCCAGCCGGACGTGGCGGTTGTACAGTTCTTCTTCGGCCAGAGGGACTTGAAGACGGATGCCAAGACCAGAGACGAAATCTTTGTCGGCCTCGCCGTCAAAGACCACAGAGTGTATGACGCGGATGCTGTCTGATTCGGAGTAGAGATAGAAGCGAAGCACGAATGGTAGCCAGTCGTCGTGCTCGCCTTCGGATTGGAGTTGGTACTTGCCGCGCACCGTCACGAGGGCACGCACAGACGAGTCCTTGCTGACCTCGACCTTTTCAATGTTGCTCTCAAAGTTGAAGTAGTCGATCGAGGTCTCGGTACGGCTGGCCGCATCGTCGGCAATTGTGGATTGAGAGTGCAGAATGAGCTTCCCGTTCCGACCGACCGTCTTCCCACTGGCTGTCTGGATGCTGCTGATGAGAGAGTTGCCCTCCTTTGGGAAGGTGACGGTGATCTTGCCCGTGTCGACAGTCACTTCGGAATCCGAGTCGTCCACGGAGATACTGCCAGTTTTCAGGGTGGATCCGCGAGACGCCTTGATGGTGTACTCGTCCTGTACGTCTTCGATGGGCGGGATTGCGTGGGCGGACCATTTGACGCTCCCATCACGCCAGTACCCGGTGACCCAGGACTCCATATCCATCCCTCCCGAGATGCTGAAGGACGTGTCATTGGGCTTGAACTTGCCCTGCGGCCAAGGTACACCAAAGGTGGTACCTGTAGTGTAGTCGGGCGTGTCACCAACCCATTGCAGCTTGACTGAGTTGCTAGTGCATCCTGACGGCGCAGTCGCCGCAGAGCCCACGAGGCCCAGCAAGGCGATCAGGGCACCTTTGAGCTGTGGCATTGTCGAGGCTGCAGTTTTGCGTTGCTCGTCGTCGACTAGTACAGATGCGTGCTCCAGAACCATGCAGGCGCCGCATTGTTATATACTCTGGCCATCGTGCTGTAATCTTGATCCGTCCATGGGTAGACTACTGACTCCCCCGTGCCTGAAAGAAGTCAATTGCGGGTTCGCGAACCGATTTGCCATGTGGCCTGCTTCTGCGTGATCTCTGCTCGGGTCAAAGATAGGGCGAAAAAGAGAGGTGGACGGTGGCGCCGTATTAGCCTGAGAAGACCCCGGGCTCTGGCCGCCCTAGCCCCTGGCGAGCAAATAGTCCTCGGCACTCGACGTAATGCGGAGTGTGACGGTGTCCTGTCCTTGGTCAGGAGAAAGCCAGGATGGTGGTTAGATCGGCTCGCTCAAGCTCGTGCATGCGGGGAAGCGGGGGAGACAGTTGACGCGAAATGAGGCCAGAGTGAAAGCGTTGCAACGGTCCCTTTGGATGCGACGAGTCTTCGCCCGAAAGCCGAGCGCGTTGGGTCATTGGTGGATGTTGGCTTGAGATCCTGCGTTTATACAGCGCGTTCGTGCCATTAAGGGTCCGAGTGTGTCCTGCGTTGGACTGCAGCGCCGCCATGTGAGGCGAGGTAGGATCAAAATACCGATGTGCATTGTTTGATCTGCGAGAGGAGGAGACGAGTGCGGCGCGGTTGATCTCGAAAGGCTGCGGGCGACGAGCAAAATGTGCCCGATGTTGTCTTTCGGGCGCACTTGAGAGCCACGTGCGGTACATGAGATGCGCGGAATAATCAAGTGCAGCAGAGTGTGATCAGACAACCTCGATCTTGAGTGACTGCAAGGTGACGCGCTCAGGTGCTCACGTGACTGTTGCCACGATGGGCTCCCCTATGCTTCAGCACAAGTGCTGACGGCCGTCGTTGCAGACGGTCATCTACAAAGTCTTTGTAAGCAAATGCATATCATTTGAAGAGCTCTGCATTCTGATTGGGGTCTCTTGTAGTGTTGAATGTTGAAGGACAGCTACGAGCCAGATGATTAATGACAGTTCACATTCCTATGCCTCTGACCTACCCTATATGTCACATATCTTTGTGTCTCTGCCGAATTGTTCTTGTTACCGAGTAAACTAATAAACAATAAAAACACGGAAAACACTAGAAATTGAAGCAGACATGAGACTGGAAGTACCATTTGAGTGGTTCAGAAGGTTTACACCTTGTTTGAACGTTTTGCGGGCACAACTAGTCCAACAGACTTGACGTTGATGATGTTTGCTAACAAGACATTCAGGAATTTCAACGAGTGTTTAAGGGGCTCGGTTAATTTGTAGTAACCCATTGTTTGATGTCTCTGTCGTTGTACTGCGGAAGACTAGGCACATCAATTTAAGTTTGGACCTAGGGTCCTCTGTTTATGATTTTAAGGTTAAATCGACCCGCTCATACCAATAACCTTAATTAGCGCCACGCCCACGGCAGTATGTTCAACGACCCAAATACGACTCCAGGGTGTTAAAAAAGCACTGCAGGCAGCCATATAATTCGAGTCGCGTGCCTTGGCTTCCTATCTTGGAAAAAGTGTTCTTCGAGAAAGCTGACGTGGAATGCAGACTGCGGTCGGTTGCCGAGAAAACGGTGCATCCAGCGGTGCATGATGGAGGGCCGTCAATGTGCAGATTCCCACTAGCAGTTGTCATGTAAAAAGACCAGCAGTATGATGTCGTGCTGTTGATTCACGGTGACGGGGAAAGAAGCAGGCTACTGATATGAAGAGGTCAAGACTACTCGACTTGGGGCCGCCCAACTTCAATCGTGTAGGGGACAACATCAATACCTTCGATGGCTAAAAAAGAACAATGCAACGTTTTGGCCGGCTGTCTATCCAACTCGTCTTGACCTCCAATTCTCAGCATGCGTATGAAGTGCTTGCAAAGCATTCTAAGGATCCGCCCAGTCGAGGAAGCCATTTAAGCATCACACCCCTACAAGAATACCCCGAGCTGCAGCGGCATCTGCGCGGGAGACTGGAATTGAGCTCCGTGCACATATGGCGCACTGTGTGCACAGTAAAGGTGGTCCAAGTCGCAGTTGGTTGGGTCATTGGACTTGGACAATCTCCATTAGAACCAGGCAGCAGCATTGGCATGCGGACAGACGGCAAACAGAAAAAGGCAGTCTCATCTTTGTCCTGCGAGATCCTCTTCGAGGGGAAATCGCTCTCCAATGCTTCTTGTTAAGAAATTGCGACGGCTTGTGATGTGGTGAGGTATTGATGTGGCCAAATTCGGACTCCCTGGCTGTCACCGCGCTCTAGTTTCGGCATGCAGACAGGGGCGAGCGAGCAACGGGCGACGCACAGGGATGGATCTCTGGCACTCGGTGGATTTACCAGGGCCTGGTCATGCAACTTAAATTGAAGAGGGCGAGAATGACCTCACACCACGCAGAGGAGGGTTGCCTCGTGACGGAAGTTGCACTGCCCAGCGTCACCTACTTTTGGGTGACGCGAGAGCGATACGACGGCGGCTTCCACGAATACTGAGGACCCTGGACCGACACTCTCAAGATGGTTACCGGCTCCAGATCAGTATTTGCAAGCCACGATACTACTCAGGCACATGGTTTGGCGCACACCCGCTTTAGTGGTTGGGAGGTGAGAAAAGGTGAGGCCCTGACGATCGTTTCAAAGTACGAGAACATTTGACGTAGGAACAGCGGCATCGTGGGGAACGAAGATAGCAAATACATGCTAATCGCGCAGAGCATATCATGCACACGTGGGGAGAGCATTCTCTCGACCGATGAAGGACTGGACCCCCCAGATTGGCCCAACTTCGTTCCATTCTCCACGCCAAGCTGTCTGTCCTTGTGAGGGTGGCCTGTTGCGATTTGACTTGCACGACTTTGACTAGTATCTTCTTGGAAAGCGATACTACGTACACTGTCCTTACTGTGAGATGACACGTCCCTCCACCCACTATATGCTCTAGGTACTTGGCATGCTTTGATTATGCGGCAGCCTGGACAAGAGGTCGGGTCCGTTTCTTTCTGACGGACATTCCGAGAGAATGCGTCCAAGTACATACTGTTGTTTTCTTCACTTGGGCTCGTTTAAGCCCCACCGCCCCTTGCCCACGGGCCACATCTGCTCATGAAATCACGATGTGTTCGTTGGAGCCCTGAAGGGCGGGTCACTAGATCAGACCTGGTTCTTCCTCCCCTGGATTCAAGCTCAATCCTTCAATCTAGGGTGATTAAGCATATTTCACTCGGGAGGAATCCAGAGATTGGAACGTCTGCTGGGAGACTACCAGCTGGAGATGTACGTCATCTCGACTGGCTGGCTGGCAAGGAATGACGACGGTTGCTGCACGCAGCAGAACAAGGCGAGTGCCAAGATGCGGGCGAAGACCACCTCGGGGGTTAAGGCTGTGGCACAGCCAGTAGATGACGCGCTATTCTCCACCAGCCTGCGCTGAAGCTGCCGGGGCCCCAGGCAGCTCCCAAAGCGCTAGCGCCTCATAGGCTGGAGCATGACTTTAAGCTTACTTTAGGCCTTATTTTAGGGGGGCGTGAACATGGGGACCGCGCCCAGCGCCCACTGACTGGATACTGCAGTCCTTTGCAGAACGCAATTCATCAGAATTTTCGAAAGAAATCGAGACTCAGATCAACATCCCGTTGGCTTGTGGACCTGATCACAACGTGGTGCGCATCAGAGTCGCCCGACACAGGACGGACAGTCTGAATGAGACCAGCAAGGGTTCGTAGTAGGTATGATATTTGACTAGTCTGCCATTCAACCATCGGAGCAAGCCGTTTCAAGGTATGGGCTCTGGCCAACAGACGAGTTCTGCTTCTACCTACACTATCCGTCTTATGACAGTGACTGCGTTTGCAGCCGCAAAGTCTCAAGAGAACACGGCGAGGCAATAGAGGAGATCAATTTGCGTTTGAGGCCCGGGGTAGAGGATCCAACCAACATGCCAATACGTAAACTGGACAGCGCTTGTACAGTCACTGTCGACGAAGGATGAGGAGGCTGGCCCATCGACGTCATTTCGTTGCTGGTCATCGCCAGATGCTACGGTACTGTTCAATTGGCAAGGTTGATCCAGAAGCCCCAACCCACCGTCTAGTTTGCTCAACGCCGCTGTTGGGAACCGGCGAGGTGCTGTAGCATTTCATCAAGATGAACCAGACAGCATCTTCGCCAACCAGTGGCAGACGGCCAGCGAGACAGTCCATTGTGCCGTCGCGTGCACTGTCCCAGCATGCGGCTCATCATGATCCCTCGATGGTGGCTCGAAATGGGGGTGTGTGGAACAGGGGGAGGCACACATGTCATGGTCAGGGGTGTGTGCACATGTGGACGGGTCTTAGCTTGTCAACCACACACGCACAGTGTTGCTCTTCTCCAGCTCTTAAGCCTTCCATTGCTGAGAGGATCGAACATCAACAGCATCCAGCTCCAGGATGGCCATCCGCTCGAACGAGATGATGAGCACGGTCCACTTCTCCACGCCCCACGGTTCCCCCAGTCTTGGAAGTTGGACCTTCCTTCTGTCCAGAACCGAATTCCTATATCTGCGCGGTTTCCCACCCTTCACCATCCAGTTCTCTCCTTTCCTTCATCAGTCACTTCACTTTCTTCGAGTTGCTCCTCATTTGACTCTCTGCTTGGGCTGGCACCGTTTTGAGGGCTTGCTGCTTCCTTCGCATCGATTGCCAGGCGAGCGAGGTAAACCACCACCAACACCATCTTGATTTTGCAAGGCATCTCTCCCCATCATGGCCAGCCCCAACACAGACGCCGAGCACACCGACTCGAGCAGCACCCACTATGGCACCGCCAGCGGTGAGAAGCCTCGCAAGGGCTCCATCCTAGACAGCCGAAAGGCCTCGACGGCTGCCATGCTGCGCAACCCCCTGGCCGGCCTGACCACCGAGGAGATCCTCGCCGACGTCGACGTGTTCTACGAGAAGCTCTACAACGACAAGGACGCCGTCCGCTCGCGCGAGGGCAAAAAGGCCATGCTCAACTTCAAGAAGCAGAAGCCCTTTGACTTTGAGCAGTGCCGTGAGGACTTTCGTCGCGGTGCCCTGCTCGCCCAGGTCAACAACACGGCCGGTGCCTTTGAGCACATTGATGTCATCCGCGAGGAGGAAAAGGCCGTCCTACGCCGCGAGGAGACGCATAGGTGGGACCAGCCCTTCGCCCTCTACTTCCTATGCACGCTCTGCGCTGGATCGGCCATTGTTCAGGGCATGGATCAGACCGCCGTCAACGGTGCGCAGGTCTTCTACTACAAAGAGTTCGACATTGAGAAGAGCCCCAGCTTACAGGGTCTTCTTAACGGCGCCCCCTACCTCTGCTCTGCCCTCCTTGGGTGCTGGTCCAACCCCATCCTCAATAAGATTGGCGGACGTCGTTTCACCATCTTCTTCTCCTGCTTCATTTCTGTGGTCACCGGCTTCTGGATGGCGGTGGCCGACTCGTACGCCAACCTGCTCGTGGCCCGCTTCGCCCTCGGTTTCGCAGTCGGTGCCAAGTCGTCAACGACGCCCGTCTACTCGGCCGAGTGCACCCCCAAGAATATCCGTGGCGCTCTCACCATGATGTGGCAAATGTGGACAGCGTTTGGTATTTGCCTGGGGTTTGTTGCCTCGGTGGTCTTCTCCAATGTGACCGTTTTTGGCGAGCTCTCTCCCTGGCGCTGGATGCTGGCTTCCACCGCCATCCCGCCCATGGTCGTCATGGCGCAGGTGTATTTCTGCCCCGAGTCTCCTCGCTGGTACATGGAGAGGGGCCGCTTCCTCAAGGCCTACGAGTCGATGGTACGCCTGCGTCGCCTCCCGATCCAGGCCACCCGCGACATGTACTACGCCTACAAACTGCTTGAGGTCGAGAAGGCCAACAAAGATGGCCACTCGTGGACCGAGTTCTTCACCGTTCGCCGCAACCGTCGCGCCGCCCAGTCTGCTTGGTTTACCATGGTACGCAGCCCCCGTCTCTGCTTTACAATCTTGTACCTTTACTGACCCATCTTTTCATTCAGTTCATGCAGCAGTTTTGCGGTGTCAACGTTATCGCCTACTACTCCACAACCATGTTTATGAACGCTGGCTTCCCCAAGGACCAGGCCTTGCTCGCATCCATGGGCGGGGGTTTGATCAACTGGCTCTTTGCCATTCCTGCCGTCTATACCATCGACACGTTTGGGCGACGAAACCTCCTCCTCGTCAGCTTCCCGCTCATGTCCCTCTTCCTCTGGTTCACCGGTGGCTCCTTTATGATCGACGGTATCGACAACGAAGACTCCACCACCAAGCTGGCCTGTGTGGCGACTGGCATGTACCTCTTCATGATGGCCTACTCGCCTGGTGAGGGTCCCGTGCCGTTTACGTACTCGGCAGAGGCCTTCCCGCTGCACTTCCGCGACATTGGCATGTCCGCCTCGACGGCCATCACCTGGGGCTTCAACTTCATCATCTCCTTCTCCTGGCCCAATATCTCGGCTGCTTTTGGTGACCACGGCGGTTTCTTCTTCTACGCCACTTGGAACATTATCGGGTTCGTCTTTACGTACTTTATGCTCCCCGAGACCAAGGGCCTCACACTGGAGGAGCTCGACAACGTCTTTAGCGTTCGCAACCGCGAACACGCTGGCTACTACACAAAGAAACTGCCCTGGTACATCAAGAAAAACCTCCTGCGCCAGTATGTCGAGCCTTTCCCTCCCCTGTACTCGTTCGCCAGCGAGACGTCCAACGGCAAGGAGCAGCCCACCGCCCAGCATAGCGAGGGCCTCTTCAACCCGGACGAAGAGAAGCGCGTCGGCATGTAAAGGACGAGGCGATCACCCATCGCTTGTAGACTTTTAGGATGCATGATTTGTGGCCGAGAGAGGCTGTTGGCAGATATTATACCCTGATGATGAGGTGGAGGGAGACGATACGTCTTGATGATGATTGCATGAGTCAGGAGGGACAATGATTGAATCTCTTGGTAGCGAAGCATGATTAGGAAAAAATGCTGTTTCTATTTTGTTGCGACTAGCATTACTGTACGTTCTGGAGATAGACTCCTAATACTTTCTTGCACATCTTCTTCTGCTTGGTGAAGTTGGCTGAGATCCTGTCCACTTGACACCTCAAGCAGGGACGCGTCAAGGTGCGCTTCTTTCAAAGGAACCAATCCATCACTTCTTCATCATACCAAGGCCTTGTGCCCTTCTCATGACCACAGGAACCGCCGATGGCATCTGTTTGCCCCACGTTCCCCTCATGGTGCCCCTCCAGCGACGAGACGCGGCGTCGGCCACAAGTCCGATCCGTGGGCACTCACACGACCAGATGGGTCTTTGGAGAATACCATCTCCGACTTGTACGCAATCCTGCATTGACAGCAAGGCCGTCATCGGCAGCTATACTTGTACGTAGTAAACGTAAACACTTGTCTATACTTGTACATGCTTGTTCAGCCTGCGTTTGCAAACCATCGTCTCTGAACAAACACAAGCCTACCGGAGTGACAACCATTTCCCTTAACGGAAGCATTTCAGTCTAGCTCGGTCCAGAAGCACCTCCATCATGCCCTCGAGCAACATCGCGGCCAAGGCGTCGCCGCTGCCTCCTGGCGTCTACACCCCCGTGGTCACCATCTACGACCCCTCGAGCCCCTCGCAGCCGGTGGACCACGATGCCATGTACAAACAGTGCCAGCACCTCGTCAAGGCCGGCATGCACGGTCTCGTCTATCTCGGCACCAACGGCGAGCTCGCCCTGCTCACGACGACCGAGCGCAAGGCCATCCTCAAGACCGCCGCGCGGGCCGTGGCCGACCTCCAGCTGCCGTCGCCCTACCCCCTCGTGGCGGGCATCTCCGCGCAGAGCACCGTCGAGACCATTGAGAACGCGCGAGACGCAGCCGAGGCGGGCGCCAACTTTGCCCTCCTCCTCCCGCCAAGCTACTGGCCCAAGGCGCTCAGCTCAGACGCGACGTTGGGCTACTTCCGGGACGTGGCGGACGCCTCGCCCCTCCCGATTGTCGTCTACAACTTCCCGGCCGTCACGTCAGGCGTGGATCTCGACTCGGACCTGCTCGCCGCGCTCGCGGAGCACCCCAACATTGTCGCCGTCAAGCTGACCTGCGGCAACGTGGGCAAGGTGACGCGCCTGGCGAGCAAGTTCCGCCACGAGCAGTTTGGGGTGTTCGGCGGCAGCAGCGACTACCTCGTGCCGACCCTGTGCGGTGGTGGCAGCGGCTGTGTGACGGGACTGGGCAACGTGTTCCCCAGCAGCACGGCAGGCGTGTACGACCTGTGGACGAGCGGGCGGACGGAGGAGGCGCAGAAGCTGCAGGCGGACGTGGCGAATGCCGAGTGGGCGTGCAAGAAGGGCATTGCGCTGACCAAGTATGGTGCCTGGTATCATGTTGGGCGCGCGATCGGCGTGGACAATGAGAGGGCGTGGGATATGAGGAAGCCGTATCTGCCGCTGGGCGAGGCGATGAAGAAGTGGGCGCTGGAGACGATGGATGTGCTGGTGGCGGCTGAGCAGGCCAAGCCGTGGAAGAAATAGATTGCAATGGCTTCTGCAGCAGGTAGAGAAGGAAAAATAGAACTTGACATGACGGACAATATGTAGTATCAAATGTCTTGGGATTGTGTCCATGCGTGATGTGAGCTACAGCAGGACGAGATGCCGAATCTGCAATAGATTATAGTTCTTGACACCTCGAAGACCAAGTTCACTCGTTTGGATAGGAGCATGCACATCTTCGGTCGCTTTCTTTCGAGAACAGGTACTTTTAGTCTGCTACCTAAGCTATAGGATCTTCGTCCACCCATCCAAGCACATCGTCGATCCTGACATACTTGATATGCTGCCTATGGAAAGTAAAAGCAATGTTCGTCGTACCGTCGTCGTCGATCAAGATGCTCGGGTAGCTCAGCTCGCGGTTCGTCTTCTTCATCGAGTCGTTGGTCATGCAGAACCCATCGCCATCCTCCAAGATCCTCTCCTTCCACGTGAGCCCGTCGTCGTTTGAGTAGCCAACGGTCAACGCCTTGCGGGGCATGCCCCAGATGGCTTCTTTACCATGCACGGCCACTTGGTTGGGCCGCTTGTCCGACTCGGGCGTGATATCGTCGTACAGACCCTCTCGCTTGGCAAGTCCAGGTTCGTGGCGCGAGCGGTTGAAGACGACGACGAGCTGCCCCGAGGGTAATCGTGAAGCGCAGATGCCACTGTTGGGGTTGGGCAGCTTTGTAGGCTGTGGCGGCGCCCAGTTGAGACCGTCGGGAGACGTCGAGCGGTAGATGTTGTCGGCCCAGCGACTTCGGAACAGGGCGATCCATGGCGAAGACGCATCGCGTGGGCGGATGGGGTTCATGTGCACGGCGCCCACGCCCTCTGGCACGTCACTGGCACCCCAGGTCTTCCCGCCATCCTTGGTGTAGAGGATCGTCGAGGTGTCGTCGTTGCCGATCCATCGCTGGCCCTCGGGGGCACGACAGTTGAACACGGGGAGCGCCCATGTGCCGTCTTGTAGAACCTGCACAGGCTGTCTCGCGAGTGACCCCCGTCGATCGCCAAAGGGGAAGCTGGGCTCTGACCACGTTTTGCCGTCGTCTTCTGATGTGCGCGTCAGCAAGACAGCGCCATCTTGGTTGCCGACATCCTGTGCCGTGTGGAACAGCCAGAGCTTGCCGGTGTCAGGGGCCTTGAAGAGCACTGGATTCTGGCAGCTGCGATTGTCGACGGCAGAGATCTTCTGGGGCTCGGACCATTCTTCGCTTCCGGGTGTGAGGCGCGAGAGCCAGATGGCGATGTCGGGTAGGCCTTCCTGCGAGCCACCGAACCAGGCGCAGAGCAATGTGCCGTCGGGGAGTCTCAGAAGGTTGGAGGCGTGGCACTGGGCGGTTCGCGAGGGAATCGCAGCGGAATGGAGGGCGGGACGCATGGTAGATGGACCTTTGCGGTGTTGTTTGTCCCTTGTGATTCTTCAGATCTTGCAGCAGCTCAGTCGTCAGGAGTGTGCACAGCGAGTGCTGGAGTGTCTAATGTACGCATCAGCTGTACAGGTATCCGCGGATGGTGTCATGCTCTGACACGCTCTTCTGCGCGAAGGCCAAGCAAGCATCTCGAGTTTCGAGTCGCCAAGGCTCAACCCCAAGGGCCCAAACTTCCGGTCGCTCCTCCAACTCGGACTTGGATCCCTGTCCGTGCTGGGATTCTCCACAGGGGATTGAGGGGTATCGGCTTTCTCTCCGACCGTCGACAGCGTACATGAACGAGGGTACGTAGCTTCGACTGACTGTCTGCTCGCAGGGCGCTGCTTAGAAATAGAAATTCAACTCGATGTGAAGATGCTAGAGGCTCGAAATATTGGCAAGGCTGTGTTGCGAACGAGAATCAGATTCTCGTGGCTCAACCAAAGGGCGTTGACTTTTCTCATGTTTGTTTGTGTCGGTGCTCGTCAACCTTTTCACACTTGTCCCACCCATTCCGATGAGCTACTTCAGACCAGGCAAAATGACTAAAAAGATAAAAGCTCGTGCCTCAAATCCATTGATCAAGAGTTTCCAGAGAAATGATTTGAATTTGAGAAACTGGCGACATGAATTGGCTGTGTAAACTTCACGGTGCAGGTAGCGTAGCTGTCTGCCCTAGGGTAGCCTGGATTCAATTCGAGCCTCGGCTTGAATCTCGTTAACAACATCAAATGACCACAACCACGCCCCAGTGACAAATTCGACCTGCCCACCATCAAGTTGTGCCGCTTCAGCAGCGAATCGCTATCCTGCCAGATCATGGGATGGCGCTGTTCTAGCCTCTACAGCAGTCTAGCCTCCAAGAACCCTGAATGTGACCCCGCGTGTTAGCGTCGCCAGGATCCATCTTCCAGGGCCAGACTCCATTTCTTCACGACCTGGGCTAGGCTGGCTTGTCCATCATGGGGTGGGTGGAATTGGTTCATGTGGGGAGGCAATGTCGCTGGACGCCAGACTCAGTGGCCACCGCACCTTTCTCCCTCCCTCAACCTCAACCTCTAATGGCTTTCTGAACCGCGATAGCAGTTCTTGAGACACGCGACGCTTCCAACATCTCCCAGCAACACAGAGCGTTCCACCCGCAGCCATGGCAAAGCGAACGTGGACAGAGGCCAACGGCCATGACCAAGTACGTCTTCAAATCACAACGAGCACGCTGCCCGAGCAAGCGCGTAGCTGACATTGATGAAAACATGAAGAGTGGCAAAAAGAAGACTGCCAACAGCACCCACACCAACGGGGTGACGAGCAATGGGGCCGACGACAAGGAGCCCTTTGTGCCGCAAATCTCGCGCAAGATCAAAGCATGTGCTGCCTGCAGACGACACAAAGTAAGACAGCCCTTCCACCTAAGCCCTAGAAGGTGACTGACAACTTAGATCAAATGCCTGATGGATGAGTCGGGTCCTCCCTGTCGACGATGCGCTGAGCGGAATTTGGGCTGTGTGCTTAGCAAGAATCTGCAAAGCATCATTGAGGAGAAGTCACAGTGAGCACATGACGCATCTCAGGCTTCACCGACTCATACATGCGTGTACTGACAACCTATTCCTGCAGATACTCTGAAGCCATCGCGCAGGACCTCGAACACATGCACACAGCATTGAAGGAGTTGACCAAGAACGCCGGTCTGCCTGACCTACCACCACTACAGAGCGCGGCTCTACGCGACGCCGATGGATCGCCAGGGGCGGACAATGTGCAAGTCGGCCACATCAGAAACGGCCTGGGCGCACACCACGACGATTACGGCCCGTCCTGCGACAACTCGCCCAAGATCTCCCCCGAGGACGAGGGCCTGCCGTACGTGCCCATCCACTCCCTCTACGCCCTCACCAAGATGCGCGCCCTACGATCACCCGAGACGATCGAGGCACAGCGCCAGAAGACAGTGGACGACTTCATCACGCGGGGCCAGCTCGGCCTGGACACGGCCCAGCGCCTGTTTGGCCTGTATCGCGACCGCCTCGACCCCTTTATGTACGGCGTCGGGTGCAAGTACAAGACGCTCGACGAGCTGCGCAAGAGAAGCACGATCCTCACGGCCGCCACGCTCACCGTCGCCGCCCTCCACGATGCGCAGTCCGACTCCATCTACGGGACGTGCAGCACCGAGTTCCGCCGGCTCATGGAGAGGAGCATGTTTGAGAGGCGGGTCGACAGGGACTACCTGCGTGCCATGTGCGTGGCGTCCTACTGGCTGAGTGACATGTCGTGGATGCTCTCGGGGTATGCCATTCGACGTGCTGCCGAGTGTAACTTGCATGGCAGTCACAGTCGCGCACTGGCGGAGCAGACGGAGGAGGCAGCCGACAGCGCGAGACTGTGGTACATTCTGTACATTTGCGACCAGCATCTGGCGACGCTCTATGGGAGACCGTCCATTGTGCAGGAGGACTCGTCGATACAGGGCTGGGACAGCTTCTTGGACCTTCCCGTGGCCACCGACGAGGACAAGAGGCTGGCCAGCCAAGTCACGCTGCTCAGTATCGTGAGGAGTGTTCGCGAGCTGTTTGGGCCCGACAAGGGTGAGGCTATCCCGCGCGTCTACATCAACCAGATCAACCACTTCAACCGTCAGCTGGATCAGTGGATCGGACACTGGTCGAACACGATGAATGGTGAGTTATCTCCAAGAACCAAGACACACAGGGGACTGACCAGGCAGATACACACCACCGCATAGGCGCATTTCCCCGAAAGGGGGCGCTTCTGCACTTCCACTTTGCCAAGCTGCATCTGTACTCGCACGTCTTCCGTGGCCTCCCAGGCGAACAGCCGGTGCCTCACTATTTCCTCGAGTGCGCGTCCATGGCCATCGCCTCGGCCACATCCATCATCACCTTCATGCGGACAGACCCGGACGTGGCAGCGGCGGTCAACGGTATTCCGTCGTACCTCCACTCCATGACGGCCTTTGCCTGCATGTTCCTCATCAAGGTGGCTGTCAAGTACGGCGGGGATCTGATCGAGAAGGACAGGGTGTACGAGATGATTACGGGCCTCGTGCACCAATTCCGCACCCTGCCCACCGGCAAGTGGCACCTGGCCAACCTCATGGCCGGCGGCCTCGAGAAAATGGTGGCCACGCTCAACCCGGGGCTGGACGGGCAAATGATGCAGTTCCCCGACGGAACCACGATGCGGAACATGATGGTCAACAGTCTTGGGGGTGGTGGTGCCCATGCCCAAGCGCACCTGGGCGACCCAGCTTTTGGCGAGATTGATACGGACGCCTTCTTCGACTATGGCATGAGCTTTGGCCTGTCACCAGTGTTCCCGTTTGATCCTACGACGTTCGCCCTGGACGGTACCGGTCAGGTCGCCACCGCACCCATGCGAGACTTTACGACGGTCGAGTACCAGCAGGTTGGCTCGAATCCAGGGACTTGATGACTGGGCTGGACTGTACACACATCTCAGAAAGCTATTTGTGGTTGTCTACATCCCTGTTATTGCCCTGGGCCGGTACTCGCTCTCCAGATACCGCACCTCCTCGTCCGTCAGCTTCACCTTGAGCGCCTCCACCGTCTCCTTGATGCGCTTCTCCGAGCTGAGGCCAACAATCGGGTAGCAGCTCTTGTGCAGCACCCACGCCGTGGCCACGAGCGCCATGCTGACGCCCTTTGTCTTGGCCACCTCCTCCACCCTGTTCACAATGTCCATGTTGGCATCGGAAAACCACGTGTTCGTCTTGGCGTCATTTTTGCTCCGAAACGTCTCCTCCTGGCCCCCGAGCGGCTTGGTCAACAGGCCCCGGGCCACGGGACTCCAGGGGATGACGCCCACGCCCGTCGCCTGGCAAAACGGGATCATCTCCCGCTCCTCCTCGCGGTAGAGCAGGTTATAAAAGGGCTGCATGGAGATGAACTCGGTCCACCCGTTGGCCTTGGCGATGTATTGCAGACGCGCAAACTCCCACGTGTACATGCTCGAGGCGCCAATGTAGCGCACCTTGCCGGACTGCACGACCTCGTGGAGCGCGCGCATGATCTCTTCGGGTTCCGTGTCGCGATCGAGGCGGTGGATCTGGAGGACGTCTATGTAGTCGGTCTGGAGGCGTCGGAGGGACTCGTCGACCGCGTGGAAGACATGTTTCCTGCTCAGGCCCATTTGGTTCACCAGCGGTCCGTCATTGACACTGGCCGGTCGCGAGTCGTCGTCCATGACGGGGTTGAAGATCTTGGAGAGGAGGACCACCTTTTGCCGCGGGATGTTGTAGTGCTGGAGCGCCTTGCCCAGAATCTCCTCGGACTTGCCGTTGGAGTATGTGTCGGCCGTGTCCCACGTGTTGATGCCTGCGTCGTAGGCGGCCTTGACGACGGGGAGGGACGCGGCCTCGTCGAGGACCCAGGGTGAGCCCTCCCATTGCGACGAGCCAAAGGCCATGCAGCCGAGGATGATCTTGGAGACCTTGAGGCCGGACTTGCCCAGGCTGGGGGTGTTAGCGAGGAGCCACATTCACTGAGCTCATGAGGCGATATGGACCTGTATGTACTCACCGAACGTATTCCATGGCTGTGACGAGACTAGATAGACAGTGTTAGGGAGAGAACATGAAAGCAGGTTACAGAGCCGTGTTCATGTCGAACATATGAGGAGAAGCCCCTCGTCGCAGGGGATCGCAACCGGAGGAATGTCACCCATGCCCTTCTCCAATTATCCGATTCAGTGAGGATGCAGCCGCTACTCGGCAGAAACACCGCCGACCGTTCTGCTGTATCATGTGGGGACAGATTGGCGCACATGTATGATGGAGATGGCCATCGGGCTTGTCTCCGCCAGAGCCGAACCCAAGCAGCCAGTATGAATAGTAACGGACTTGTGGACGCATCGACGGGGATGCTGGATACTGTCAGATTTCTCTAGTTCGCCATGTTCTCTACACACCTCAGCAGCCAGACATGAATACTCACGCTTGCGTTGGGGCGTCTCTTCGCTTCTACGGAGACGTTGTGTGCAGCAATACATCAGATCCCTGAGATCACACATGTCTCTTGGGAGAGTTCTTGTCGAGCACTTTCATAGATATGAAGCATGCCGCACATGCATGCGATTCTGTTGATCTATGTAATTACAGACTTGACACGCCCCTGGTAGTGTCATTCCACGACAAACTTGCACGCTCTGCCCTCCCATAGTCTATAGCTTCGACAATCTGTGCATCCTCGAGATGGGTTCAAACCGGTCCCCAGACGTGACGAGATGCTCGATATCAAGTGTGTTGATCAACGAAGGATTCGCCTGATCCAGGCTCGTGATACCGCAGAGGCGCATCGACACCTCAAGCTCGTCTTTCAAGACTATCCGTTTGTTAGCGGCGCAGCCTGCACCTCGACAAGACTGGTACTCACTTTGCGTCAGATGCTCGACGCCATCTTGGCCGTACACCAATGAGTACAGATACGGTCGTCCAACGCCCACGGCTGTCGCGCCCAGGCAGATGGCCTTGAGGATGTCCGAACCGCGCTCAAAGCCGCCGTCAATATACACCTCGAGACTCTCAAAGACCTCGGGACAATTCTTGCGCAGCTCCAGAAGAACGAGGATAGACGCTTGCGCCCTGGAAAACTGTCAGCAATCTGTGATCCTTCACCCTTATGGCCATGCATCTTACCCGTCCAGTGACCGTCCTCCGTGGTTGCTCAGCATGATCGCATCAACACCATATTTGACAGCCAACTTTGCGTCCTCGGCTGTCTGGACACCCTTCAAGACAATGGGCAGCCCGCTTGTCTCGCGAATCCACTCGAGATCATCCCACGTCAGCGCCTTTTCAATGTACTGCGCCATCAGTCGTCCCAGACCACTTCCCTTCTTGTCCTTGCTGCTCTCACCGCCACTGATGGCCGAGCGGATCTTGATGGCTTGCGCAGCGCGCTCGTCCGCCTCGCGCTTTCCCGGCACAGGCGCGTCGACCGTCACGAAGATGGCTTTGATGCCCAGGTCGCGCACTGTTCGTAGGAGATCGGCGGTCTTTTGCCGTTCCGAGTTGACGTAGAGCTGGAAGAAGAAGGGTTGCTCGGGGGGTGCGGCGTTGACAATGGATTTGAGGGTGTATGATGCGTTGCTGGAGATCTGTACGTATCTGTTAGTACGGAAGAGTGACTGTATAGCGAGACGTCAAGCACTTACACATTGGATGATACCTTCGTTCGAGGCACCGCGCGCCACCGCCAGCTCACCATCCGGATGCGCCAGCCTCGCCATGGCAGTCGGGCTGATGAAGAAGGGTGCCCTGCTCTTGAAGCCCAGAATGTCCCTTTCAAAGCTCACGTCCTTCACGTTTCGCAGCACCCGCGGCCGAATCATCAGCCTCTGCACGAGCTCCTTGTTTTTGCCGTACGTGATCAAATCAGTGGCGGCAGAAGAGTAAAATGCCCACGCCTTTGGTGTCAAAGCCTTTTTCGCAATGACCGCCAGATCAGGGGCTGCCAGTACCGCCTCCATGGGAGGAATCACGTCTTCCTCCTCCGGTTGCGCAGGCACATCGACCGAGCTGGCCATCTGGGACCGTTTCTCACTCGGTGGCGGCGAGGAGACCTCACTATCAGGAGGCGTCGCGGGCGTGTCGGGGCTCGGTTGCTCGAGGAAGCCTTTGAACTTGTCCTTGGGCAGCTCTTCGATGATATCCGGCGCGTGGACTTCATCAAAGGATGCTGTCGCATTGGTGCCAGCGCACTTGAGTAGCACAGAGGGACCACCAGGGTGCTCACGGATAAAGTGCGTAATGTCCCACACTTTCGAGTGCACCGCTATCCAGCAGTCTTGCGGCGAGTTGTGTCGATTCAGCTCGCTGAGCGTGATCAGCTGCGTTTCCTGCGCTTCTGCCATCTTTCCCTGGGGTTGCGCTCGTGGCAGGAAAGGCGTGAGTGTGTAGGTGTGTGTCTGTGCAAGATAAAGTACCAGACCCCGTGATCATCAATCAGCGCTTGTCGGCCATTTTGCTTCAGAGGGACCAAGATGGCTTTCAGGCTTCAGCCGAGATCCTTGCAAAGGCATGGAAATCCCCAATGTCTGAATTTCCGATGCGTGTTTGGCGGTATGCCGATCGCAGGCTGGCAACCGGTGGCGGGCTTCGCTCCTGGTGGGCCGTTCGGCTTTGTGTCCGATCCGTAACAACGAACGTTTCTGGGCACTTGCAGGACATGGGATTCTGGGGTAAGAGCGGGGAAGCTAAGGCCGCCAGGCATTGTGGCAACGAATTTGTGCATCGATGGCCGAGAGGCGAGGACAATGTTGGCCCTCGCGGCCAAAGTACAAACCCATTCATTGACAATTGGACGCAGGCGGCTGACGGCGATTGGGCTGGATTTGAAAGTGTACGCGGAGTTCATGCTTCCCGGATGCTAAGTGTGTGCCCGTATCCTACATGTATTGTTCTAGGGTACTTGGGCGATGTTTAGTTTGGTAGGGCGCCTTCTCCCATCTACATGTATGCATTTAGAGAGCGACTCGAGCTTGACGCTAAAAGACCTCACGACACTTAATCATTAAGTGATAATTAATAGAGGAGATTTACATGCCGAATTTTGCAACAAGATGTCAACAGAGTCGAACAAGAACGCATAATGCATGTGTTGAGTCGAGCTGCACGGTTGCTGGTTGTTGAGGTCTCAACCCAAACATTGAACAGGCCCCTATCTCCGTGGACAAAAACCAAATCCCGTTCAGTCTTGCCAAAGTACATGAACATACTGAACTCTTTTTTTTTCTTTTGAATAATGTAGGGCCCGCTCAGGTGCCCAAACAGGGCAAGTTGAGCATCCGAACAACGGAATCAGGTCATCGAGTTGCTGGACAGGAGTGAACGCGGCGCTGCAGGTCAACTGAGTGTCAAAGTCGCATGGGCCGAGGACTGTACTGCTACAGGTCAAATCGAACACTTCTTGTCTCCTCAGGTTCATGTTCTCTGGCTTTGTACCTCTCAATCGGTGCGTGTTCTGCGTAATGGTCAAAGCGCTTCAACCTGTTCGCACATGTAGATAAATAGTTTTTGGTGTTTCAACCCTTGTGGAACAAACATACTAGCGAACTTCAATGAACCAAGAACATATGCCGCCGAGACCTTATTTACTTGTTGTATAAAAGTCGAGTTCCTCCGCGCCAACCGTCACTTCTCTTCATTCTCACACTTTCATCTACATTGCAGGCAGAGCCGTGCAACAGTCCACCAACCACTTCAAAGGTCTCAAGTATCCATTTTCCGGTCAACCCCCCTATCGAAAGCTCTTTAGGAAGTCATGTGCGGCTACCGTGGAATCCTGATCAAGTGCTCCGGCACCAAGGCCAAAGAGTGCCACAAGTTCATCTACGAAGTCACCGAGGTGACAAAATGCGCCAACCCTGATCCCGCTAACCCAGAGACTTGTAGGAACGGCCAGTACTTCAAGAAATACACCAAGGTCCTGGAAGCGTCCGCCCCGCTGGGAGGCATTTGCGTCTCTTGCTGCGCTGAGCAGAAGAATGAGTCCAACGGCTCAGACCCCTTGGGAGGCTTCACGGGCGATGTTGAGCGTGACCAGGAGCTGGCCAACTTCTTCCGCTCCCCCTTGAACACGCACGCCTACACTGGTAAGTACGGCAAAGTCAATGCTCACGACCTGTCGGCGGCTTCTCTGGCTCGCTCCACGGGCTGGGAGATTGCCACTCTTCACGGCGGCGCCGAGGGCCTTCACCAGGAGGCTGAATTTGTTGTAGTCGACTTGCCCTCTGAAGACGATGATTATGATATTGTTGACGCTGCGGAGGCTCGCGAGGGTTAGACTGGGGTTTTAACTGCACTGACATGATAGGACTTCTGCATGGCAAAGGGGCCATTCGTCGATAGGAGTTTGGGAGTTTTGCTAATTGATACTATCTTTCACGGTCCTCGTACAAATTACATGACGTGATCCTTCATAAATATGACTGCTGCGTGACAGACGTTGCTGTTGCAACATCGACCAGTCTCTGAGAGTACATCTAGGTCACTCATACGACTGTAGACTGTTAAAGTGCTGGCTTGTTCAGTTCTGTTTGAACAAGAACGCCGTTGCCGGCTCCTTGTACCTACGTGTGTTAAACTGTCCCCAAAGCAGATGCTACGGAGAACTACCAGAACATTTCACGACAAGAAGTAGCGAGTGAATACGGTGAGTTTCGACGTGTATTTAAATTTCGATCTCGAGAAGCCATTCTCGTTTTCTTTCTCTTCCTTCCCCATCCAAAACAACATCATCAAGTCCACTGCACCACATCACACTATACTACACGAAGCTACAGCTGCCCTCCGCCAAAGTCTGAACATGTGTGGCTATCTGGGTCATCTTGTCAAGTGCTGCGGCACCAAGGATGAGCAGTGCCACACCTTTGTCTTTAGCACTGTCTTTCGCGACTGGTGCAAGAACCCCGAAGGCCACGACATGTACCTCTGCCCCCGCAGCCACCACTACGTTACCTACATGCCCGAGGCCCTGGAGTCCACCGCGCCCCTGAGCGGCATCTGCCCCAGTTGCCATGTCCGTCGTCTCGCGACGGACAAGGCCTCTTTGAAGGACTTCACCAAGGCCAACATGAAGAACTCGGACATTGTCAATGCTAACCGCCACATTCTAGATACCATGAAGTACTGTGGCAAAATCGGTTGGGCTACCCCTGAAATGCTTGAGCTGCCTCCCGTCAAGCCTGATGACTGGGTTTTCCTCCAGGCTGAAGAAGGTGAGCAAGCCGTCGAGGCCCCCAAGGCCCCAGGCATGGGACAGATCGCTGAAGACCAAGATTGCGATGAAGCCTGGGTCGAGGTCAGCCTGTGCTAAATCATGGAGCCGCTGCTGACCCGCTGTGGCAGTTTTTTAGTGTTCTCAATATTTCTGGTAAAGGAGGGTCAAAGGGACGGAAATTCGGAATATGTGCGGACAATATCTGGTATGTTACAGGACAAGCTTGAGGGACTTGGTGAGTACGCCCTAGCACGATTCCATACAGAGTAGAGTCTCCTTTAGCTGAGTGAAAGTAAAGTTGTGTTTATCTATATCTACTAAATGCTATAATGATCGTGATGTCTCAGTCCAAGACGGGAATAAGTAAAGACTGCCTTTCACACTTGTTTAAGTAAACCAGGCACACTGCTTGTTCAAGAGTCATTCCTCTACTTAAGCATAGGGACCAGCTTGAGATCGGGGAACGTCGGACCGCAAGGGAGGTACCAGATGACCCGTGACTTGCCCACCACCGTACGGCGAAGACGCCTCGGACCCTACTCCCGATTGGCGCGCGATGGGTCTGCCGGGATCGCGCAGGGCCGCGGCTGGTGAGAATCCCGGGATAGGGGCGCCGTATCCGCGAGTCGTTTGTGCCATCTCAGGTGGACTCAACCCATACATGTACGTGGGATTCTCCTGTGCGCCTCGCGTGCGTGAGTCACGGTTGGCCCAGGCATTGGCTGCGTAAATTCCTCTCTCCGGATCAGGAGGCGGTGCGGACGTGGTGATTTGAACAGGGGAGAGATTGGTGAGTTGGTCTTTGGCGCTCTTCCTCCGTTTGTAGAAGAAAATGGCCACGCCGATTAGCATACCAGCCAGTGCTAAAACTGAAGTTAGAACGTATTCCAGACGATAGGGAGCACTGGTTAAACTCACACACTGTTCCGATGAGGATGCCCACATCGGTGCCAGTATTGGTACTGCCGCCCGACGTGCTTCCCACCTGCTCAGGGGCCTCAACTGCCGTGGTGGCCGCGCTCGTGCTCTCAGAAATTGAGGTCGCGAATGTGCTCTCGGAGATTGAAGTCAAGAACGTGCTGAGATCCTCTGGGATAGCGGTCGTTCCGGCACCGTCCTGAATGGAAGTGGCTCCACGTCGTGTCGACTCGTCCGCAATGATGGAAGTGATTGCTTCCGTGGTCGTGGACTCGGGAGCTCGAGTCACACTACCGGCTGGGACGTCTTGCGACTTTGTTGTTTGCGAGTTGCGGGAAGTTGTCGTTTCCTTTGTCGTTTGCGAGCTGCTTGTCGTTGTCACTTCCTCTTCTTGGTCCCTGCCTGTCGTCTCCGGGAGCTTGGGAAACAGCGTAGGCACGACCGGTGCTCCAGACAGTGTTGGTCGTGGGGGCACAATATGGGAGAAGATTGGTATGTTTGTCCTTACTCCTCCTGTGGGCTGCGGCTGGAGGGTATTGTCGGACCTTGGGGACAGCGACTGGGATTCTCCGGGGCTTGGCGCGCCCAAGTTATCTCCTGGCTGACCTGGCGTCGTCCCATCCAAGATGTCATCTGCCTTCTCGTCTTCATCATCCGAATCTGGTCCTGATTCGATTCCATCGTCGGAGTTGGAGTCGGAATCGGAGTCGTTATTGACGTTTGGCTTCGATCCGGCTGCTTGACGGTTCAGCAGGTGGCGGCGTCGAAAATGCCGAGGCATGCCAGATCTATTGGCGTCAGCATAGCTCGCCGTCTGTCGTATGTCGACATGAATCTCACCTCCGCCTGGTTGACCTCGCGTCGGAACAATCCATCCCACTGAGCCAGTCGCTCACCGATTGTGACAGATGAGAACACTGCGTATCCAACACGGCTGGCACGATATATTAAGCAAGGCGGCCAGCGCCAGACACGAAAATGAAATGAACAAAGATGTCGAATTTTAAGAAGGAAACATGGCGAACACCAGCGCTGCATCAAAAGAGAACAACGAGACCATTTGCGCGAGGCATGGGGAGGGACACCTTAAGAGTGCTACACGCGCACATGCAGATACAAGCTTAATTCCGACTCTAACCCAAAAATAGGTAAAATTGAATAGAGTCCTACCTGGACTCCCGACTCATGGCCGTCCAAGGACCAAAAGTAACGGCGCGAAACCAGGCCCGCGACACTTGGCTGCCGATGTGCAGGGATCTGAACTGGACATGGTGCCCGTACTGTTTCACCACTGAGTCGCCAACCCCAGACTCGAAAGCCGGCTCGACGATGGCGACCCAGAAATTCTAATCGTGGCACTCTTGCCAGGCCCAGACATGCAGCGTTTCACTATCGCCGACGACGCCCACCTCCCGTGTCGGAGGCATCAAAATGGCAACCCATGCTCCTTTGGCTTATCGACGTCAAACCTATGCGACATCAACGGACCCTAGATTAGAAAGGGTGGCCCTCATTGTGGGCGGCGCTGGAGATATCCACCAAGATAGACGTCTACCTTCTCATTGTAGAAGCAGACGAGCTCGGCAATCGAGGCGCATTCGGGCACCGGGTGTCGATAATACCACACAAGACCCTCGTGCGTCTTTCCGTCAACGACCAAGTCGTAGTACTCCGCCTCCCCCTTGTACGGGCACTTTGTCGTCAGAGAGCTCTTGCGCAGCACGGATTGATCGACGCTACTGAGCGGCATGTAGTATCGCACGGGCAGGGCCGTTTCATAGAGGTGCATTGCCCAGTTTGTCTTGGCCACTGTCTTGCCGGAAACCTTTATCTCCATGGGCCGCTGGGAGGGCAGAACGTCGACACGCTTGTAGGGGTCTTTGGGGTGGACGTGTATCGGCATGTCCTCCTCGAGCCACTGATCTGTGGGAGGGGTCAGCTCCGAATGCCCCCACATGGAATGCCATTGTTATCGACGGGGAATACTGACCCATGCTGCCGAACTCGAGTCGGACCCTACCTGCCAGAGCACCATTGGCTGTGTTGTTGTGGAAGCGCAGCACGCGGTCCGTCGTGACTTGATCCAGACCATCGTGGGCCGCCACGGTCAGCTCACAGACAGAGGCGAGAACCTTTCCATTGTACGATATGTCTTGTTTGTTGAACAGCGTGCAGTTCTGGAGCTTTCCTTCGGCGAGGTAGTACTGCGGATAGTATGGGTGCTCCCAGACGAGCAGCGCATCCGTGGCATCAGCAATGAAGGCATGATTATGGACGACGCGGACTCTTTTAGGTGTGCGCTCGGTCTTCTCCGGGCCGTGCATCAGAATGTGCAGTGCGAGTTCGCGCAAGCTGGGTGGCCTTGTGAGCTTTGCGAGCGTCTACTGTGCGGATTGATGGTGGACAAGTACTCACTCGCACCCGTGAGCGCCCGGCTTAGCCATTGCGCTGTCTTGGTTGATGGTACTTGTGTGTGTAAAATTGTTCACTTGTGAGGTCAAGACGACACGAGTTTCCAAAAGGTTGCAAAGTGATGATATCAATACGAAGCTGGTCAAAGGTGGCGTTGAACAGTGAATACCATACCCCGCATGGCGTGACGCTGACACAAACACTTCACGCCGTCTTCAGTCAAACTCCGTTGCCTTTATTAAGGCACAGTTCCCCTGCATAGTTTACAAGTCATTGACTTTTCTTAAGCGTACGGATTCTTGAACCTAATTCCAGGATGGCGTGTTGCTTGACAATCAGCCTGTCCAGACGCCGGCGAGCTGGCCCCGACCAGGTTGCGCAATTTGACGCGGCGACCTGTGACTTCTGCGCAACTGTCTATTCTCCGATTCCAAATACTGTGCGTTCTTTGCATAGTCTGCAGAGCCTTCTCCCCAAATTCGCCTCCCAGGCCAATCTTGATCCGGGGTGCCGGGTTGGTTAGACCGGGACCGGACCGGATGTGGGTCCATATCCGGCTTGTCGTCCGGGTCCGAGTCCGGCGACGGGCTTGATGCATCGGCTGTATGTATTTGGCGATGCAATGTTACACAGGTCCCTTGACACTAGACCTCAACGTAAATGAATTTCTCGCTGTCCGGAGCAGTCAACTACCAGTACAGTGAACCTAATGACCAGCCTGATAAGCTATCAGATACGGTTACCCTAGAGATACGGGCCTGGTATACTTGCTCGTGATTTTCAGTCATTAAGCAATGGATGAGCTACCAAAAATATAGACGGGTAAGAATGGCGAGTTAGTTTCTTTACAGGAAGTCAAAAAGTTCGTGATTGAATCTTTTTAGTGGATAGGTCGATAGGTGCCAAATGCAAATTGAATGTCAATGAAAATAAATCAATTGACCACGGAAGTGAATAGTCGATCGAGAAAGAATCAGACGCGGGCTAAACAGATGTACACCATAAAGCATGGATTGGTTATATATTGCCAATGGGAAGGCCCGCTACATTTATCTATTGACCCGACTTATAGTTCGATATCACACCGACGACGCCACCAAGGCCAAAAGCGACGTGTTCTGGTTGGATCTTCTTCTTGGGTTTATAAACAAAATAATTCACATGAAGACGCGACAGCTCGTAACTCTTCGAATGATATGGTATGGTATAGAGTGGTTCAAACCTTGACGACAGGAGCTTGTGGGCAGCCACGGTCATATTCGATTGCTCATTCATACGGATCACGACGATCACACTTTCTGCGGCTGCTGAATCATTGCAGAGGCGACAGCCTCAGAGCCAGGCGAGCAGTTCGACATATCAAAGCAAGGGCCTCGGTGTTTTGTCATTAAATATAGTTGTCGTTGTCTTGAGGTGTAAATTGCATGTGGTCCTACTAGCAGTCGGCCGAGCTTCAGCCCTAGTAGAGAACTCCTTGCAACGACCGGAGCTTTTCTCTCGGACACGCCCAGGGCACCTAGGCCTCCAACCTAATCCTCCTGTCCATTAAAGATGCACTGAATCAGCATTAGAATCACCAATCGCATTAGTACACGTTGTGCTCCGGGCCAATCTGCTGTCGGCATGCGGAAAGGAGGTTGAATTCACCTTGGACTAAAGCCACACAATGTACATTAGCATCCGAAAATTTTCAAATCGTTCTCAGAAATAAGGAAGTACTTACGCCCAGTCTGGTGAAGGCGCCAGTAGCCCAGGTACAGTTGCAGCCAAAGACGTTGCAGTCGCAAGCACCGGACGTCTGGGGACCTGAGCAGCAGGTCTGCGAGCAGAAGAGGCCCCTCGCCACGTTCAAGTTGACGGACGAGACCGAGTCCGCGCCGGGGAGGGGGCTGGAGAGCGCGAGCCCAGAGAGAGCAGCGAAGATGGCCAACGTGACCTGCATTTTGGCTAGTAAATGTCTGAGTGTTGATGGGAATGAGCGTTTGAAGGTGAAGGAAGATGCTTCTGAGGAATGCCCCTTTACCAGAGATGATAAGCTCTTTGAGAACTCCCGGATGATGGCGCATTCATGATGTACTGACTGTTTACGCATCCGCATGTAGATGGGCATGCGAGGGTATGTCTTGGACTTCAACTCTGCTACGCTTGGGTTTGACATGCATACGGTACGTGTATAGAATGATCGGCGTTTGATATCAGAGGAAAATGTCCAATTGCTGGGTTCAATGCGGAGATAAAGTCATAAGAGTCCTTCATGTTGCCTCCGTGCGTCACGTCAGGGCAGCTGTCATGTCTCGGCGGTTTCTGCCTACCATCAGCAGCCTTCTGACAGCCAGCTCTCCCCTAAATAGACGAGAGAGATAGTCGGCAGTGTGAGAATGAATCATTTTTGACTCAGCAAAGACGCTCGTGTTATGTTTGAATGTGTGGACCTTGGTCCATGTGCTTTGTGAGCGATGACCTGGACAATGTGAACAGCAGGCACTTCACGAGTCGGCCTCACCCCGGATTGCACCAACTCGTTACATGTAGTACCGCGCACGGAGCGTGCCGCGATTCGATGTTTGGTACCTATGGCTTGCCGATTGAGCATGGCAGGTGATCGCACTGACAGACTGGTCCCACGGTCTGGTCGCGCAATGATGCGAGTTACGAACTAAGACATCAAATGATGAAGAGGCGCTGCTGATGTGAAGTGTCGGATAAAATGAACTCTCCACAGTGCTTGTCAAAACCGAGATAGTCTCAGCTGCGCAATGGCCCGCAGCGTGTCTCGCTACGAGAACTGCGTCAAATGAGACCGGTCAGGCACTCCTCGGCTCACAAGCTGGGCGTGAGCCACGCGGCGTGCATTGTGTCTTACCTCCAGTCCAGCTGGCCGCCAAGGGGACGAGTTTGCGAGGGCTCTGGTGATGACTTTGCGTCACTTGGATGTGGTATCTGCCGTGGTGCGGGCGTTGTCCGCCGACCTGCCGACCTGTGTTTGGATTTCTTGTTGCACAAGGAAGAAGCTGCTGCTGCTGCTTGGGCGCACAAGGGCGGCTACTCGCATTTCAATTGCTGTCGACGCGGATGGAGCCCGAATTGAGGTAGGACAAATATCCCCTTGGAACGGACGCTCACATATCCAGAATGCATGGAGGAGATTGTCCATTCTGCCATCACATCGAAGGCTTGGACCAGACAGTTGAGACAGGACACGGAAGTTCAGCATCAAAAGGCCACGTTGGCTGACTCGGTGCCTTTGGGATGATCATGGCTTGAAAATGGCACTATTGGATAAAGGGCGTTCGATATCCCACAGGAAAACTGTATGCAGGTAGCGAAACATCAGGCAGGTTAACGACAGGAGACGTCAAATCCCAATCGACCGTTCCCCCACTGGAGATCTGGTCCGCTGCCCATTGCCAACTGCCTGTTTAGGCTTAATTAAGCCCAGAGCTAGGCTCAGCTAGCGGAGCCAGCCCAGGCACGCCTTGTTCTGGGACTTTATCCGCCGTCTTGGCGGCGCGTGTCCGGGCGAAGCGGCAGGGTCCAGTCCTTTTCGTCCGCGCGTCCATGTCCCTACATGTATCAACCAAAGTCAGGATATCGACAAAATTCCGAAAGGATGATGAATACCATCAATCGAGCCTGGCTGCAGAGTTCAGAGCCTAGACCAGCAGCTCGCGCCCGAGACGGTGTCGGGAGGCGACGCCACAGCCGCACAGCAGGACAAACATGAGCGGACGGAGGCCCAATTTATCAGGGGCCATCTTCAGCGCCTGGGAGGAGTGGAGCTTTGAGAAACGTGCGATTTCTCGACTGCAGTCCTGCATCTTCCACCTGCAGCTCTGCACGCCCAGTCTTGGGGACGCGTGGTCTACATGTACTACGTACACGTAGCCTGCGCCCAGCTCGTCCGCCATGTGCCACTACAAGAATCTCGTGAACCTTGGACTCTTCAAGGACGTCAATGGGAGGCGATGATAGACACAGCTGAGCAGCACAATGGGGCGTCTCCAGCCAAACACGTGTTGGCGGCTGCGAGCCTGCGTCGCGCCGAGCTCCCTGTCCACCAAACGAGAACGAACGACCCATGCGCTGCGCTAATTGGGACCAGGGGTCGACAACACCAACAAAAGACCATCTTGGGCCCTTGGCACGCATGGCTGCATGGGACTTCGGATGTTGGCTCGATCCATTATCGCGGGCAGATCCTGGTGGTGGTGGCTAATATTACTTGCTTGACCTTTGTCGTCGTCGGTCCCTCTCTTCTCTCTCTCCCCACAGCCATCCTGTACGGCTTCACACTCGTTTACTACCCTTTGCCGACTCGACAGCAGCATGTGGAAGGGATTGCTCGTCGCGGGCGCGACCGGCCTGCTCGGGCTGGTCAATGGCCTCGCCTCGACCGACACCATCACCTGGGGCGGCGACAACTCGCGCGCCGGCTACCAGACGACGCACAACATGGACCCAGCGATTGTCGGCAGCGCACAGTTTGGACTCGCCTGGCAGACGAAGCTGCCCGGCAACTACGGCGGCGAGGCGGAGCAGATCTACTCGCAGCCGCTGGTGTACACGCCGGCGGGCGATGATCGTCAGTTTGTCTACTGGTCCACGACCCAGAACAATGTCTACAAGGTCGACGCCAAGACGGGCGAGATTGTTGCGTCGCGGAACCTGCACATCCCCTTTATGACGAGCGACCTCGACGGCTGCGTAGACATCAACCCGCACATTGGCATCACAGGCACGGGCGTGATCGACCCGGACACGGAGACGCTCTACATCGCCGCCAAGACCTATGCCAACGAGGACATCACTGGCGCCCAGGGCCGTCCCCAGGGTCGCTACTACATCCACGCGCTTGACGTCAACGATCTCTCGGAACGGCCCAACTTCCCCATCAGCATGAACGGCCAGGTGCCCGACAACAACCCGGATCGGACGTTTGTCAGCGGCGACCTGCTCCAGCGACCGGGTCTCCTCCACCAGGGCGACTACATCTTCATCGCCTTTGGCTCGCACTGCGTCAAGTGGCTCTTCACCGGCTGGATCGTCGGCTTCCACAAGACCACGGCCGAGTTCACGGCCAAATTCGCCACGCAGGGCGAGAATGTCGTCGACGAGGGCGCGGGCGTCTGGATGTCGGGCGGTGGCCTCACCTCGGACGACGCCGGCAGCATCTACTTTGCGACAGGCAACGGCTATGCCTCGCAGCTGTCGACCATTCCCGTCTCGGGCTTTGACCCCCCGACCGCTCTCGAGGAGGCCATTGTCCGCCTCAGCCTGGCGGATGACGGCAACGTCAGCGTCGTCGACTTCTTCATGCCCTGGGAGAAGCAGCAGCTGGATGGTGCAGACGACGATCTCGGCACCAGCCCCATCCAGATCCTGCCCTCCGAGACCTTTTCATGTGGTGATGTCCGACGCATGGGCGTCATCACGGGCAAGACGGGCAAGACGTACTTTGTGAACCTCGACAACCTGGGCGGCTACCGCAACGGCGCAGACGGTCTCGATGCTGTCGTCCAGGTCTACGCTGGGCCGCGATCCGTCTATTCGGGCGCGGGCGTCTACCCCCTCGAGGGAGGCTACATCTACATCAGCCCGACAGGCGGCAACCCAACACACGTCTTCTCCTTCTCATGCGAGAACGGCCAGGCCAAGTTCACGCGTATGGCCGAGAGCAAGAACCTCAACGCCGTCATCCTGGGCGTCAGCCACGGCACCGTCACCTCGCTCGACAACCAGCCGGGCACGGGCCTGCTCTGGATCACGGACCGTCGTGGCGACAGCGTGCGTGTCTACGACGCCGTCCCGACCGAGGACGGCTACCTCAACCAGATCAAGGGTATCTCGGTCGAGGGCGTCGGCAAGTTCAGCCGCGCCGTCTTTGGCGATGGCATGATGTACCTGGGCAGCGTCGTGGGCAACATCTACGGCTTCGGCGCGCCCACCGACCCGCCTCTCGCGTGTGAGGAGACTCTTGCCTTTGGCACCGTCGATACGTCCGAGAAAAGCGCGGTCAAGGAGGTCACCTGCAAGGCCACGATTGGTCTCACCGTCGACAAGGTCAGCCTCACCACGGGCACCCACTATGTGCTCTCCTCCCTCCCCGATGGCGAGCTCACCCTCCCCGCTGGTAGTTCGTTCTCGTTCAACGTTCAGTTCACCCCCAAGCGCGTGGGCCTCCACTCGGACGCGGTCAAGATCGCGACCAGCAACAACGTCGAGGGCTACAGCACCACGACGAGCGTCCGTCTCTCGGGGACAGGCGAGTCAGCCGACGCTCTGCTCGATGTCTCGCCCGACAGCGTGACCTTTACGGACGTTGTCTCGGGCGATGGGCCCTCGGACCGCGTCGAGAACATTATCCTCTCCAACGAGGGCAATGCGGCCCTCACCATTGACAGCATCTCCTTCAGCGAGTCGGTTAACGGCACCTTTGAGGCGTGGAACGGCGAGCTGCCTCTTCGTGTTGGCAAGTTTATCATTGCCAGCATCCCCGACACCATTGCGGCCACCTCGCGCGCCACGCTCGACATCCAGATGGACGCCACCGAGTCTGGCACATTTACTGGTGCTGTCCGCATCACCTCCAACGGAGGCGATGGCGCCTTCACCATGGAAGGATCGGCTGGTCCTGCGCCTGTAGCCGTCATCGAGTTCCAGAGCGCCGACGGAGAGGACTGGATCCAGTACGAGCAGGGCGTGCCCTTTAGCTTTGGCAACGTGACCCAGAACACAGCCTCGTCTCGTCGCATGCGCATCACCAACGCAGCTCCCGAGGGCGGCGTCTCCCTCACCCTGACCGTATCCAAGCCTCCCTTTGGTGGCTCCGGCCTCATCCGTGCCGCCAACCAGGTCGATCTTGCCGAGGGCACCAAGCTCTACCCGGGCGAGAGCGAGACGGCCGTCCTCTCGTGCGCCGCGCCCAAGACCCAGTGGAACACGGACGTGATCCACGCCAACGCGACGTGGACACTCAACCTCAACGACCCGACCTTTGAGAAGAACATTATCGAGTTTGTCTGCAACGGCGTCGCCCAGCAGGCGCCCCCTCTGCTGTACCCGGGCTACGGCCAGTACCGCTACCTCGGCTGCTTCAAGGAGAACAACCCGGGTCGCCAGCTCGAGAGCCAGATCTACGGCAGCGACGAGAACACCAACGCCCTCTGCATCGACAGCTGCCACGAACGCGGCTGGATCTTCTGCGCCACACAGTACCACCGCGAGTGCTGGGGCGGCAACACCATCCCCTCCCTGCAGGTCGACGACGCCAACTGCAACTTTGACTGCGAGGCCGATGTCAACCAGTGGTGCGGCGGCAACGGGGAGGGTGCTGGTGCTGGGGGCAGCTATCTCTCGCTCTTTGCCGACGTGCTCGAGTGGGATGGCAACTATACCAACCCGGACACGCCCACGGACCCGGAGGATCCTGGGGACCCGACGACGCCCCCTGGTGGCCCCGAGGCCAACCCTGGCGTCGATGGGTACGCGCACATTGGCTGCTACACCGAGGCGACGTCCGGCCGGGCGCTGCCCTTTGGCAAGTCGATGGAGAGCGCCACGGTGGCCAACTGCGTCCAGGCGTGTGCTGCGGATGGCTATACTTACGCGGGTCTCGAGTACGCCCAGGAGTGTTGGTGCGGCAACTCGCTGGGCGTCGGCTCGGTGGAGGCCCCTGAGGGTGATTGCAACCTGGCCTGCAAGGGTGAGTCGTTCTTTTTTCTTCTGTTCTTGATCACGCGTACTGACTTGTTCATCCAGGGAACGCTACGGAGCTCTGTGGTGCCGGATCTCGCCTCAACGTCTACAAGCTGGGCGGCAGTCCCTCGTCTAGCGAGACGTCTACGAGCATCTCGCAGACCCCGACAAACACTGCCACCGTCTCGGAGTCCACAAAGACCACATCTGTAGTGACATCGTCTGCAGTGACCACATCTGCAGCCGCCACTACTACCACTACCACCACCAAGGCCGTCACAACCATCACACAGCCTGCGCCTACCAGCACCAAGCCCGTCGAAAAGGCCACCGTCGGCGAATACGACTCCCTGGGCTGCTACATCGAGGTCACCACGGGCCGCGCCCTCACGCCCGGCTTCCTCGCCGACGACGACATGACCCTCGAGATGTGCGCCGCCTTTTGCGACGCCTACACCTACTTTGGCGTCCAGTACGGCCGCGAGTGCCGCTGCGGCAACATCCTCAAGGAGGGCAGCATCCCCGCCCAGAAGCAGACGGATTGCTCGTTCCCGTGCCCCGGTGACCAGAGGTACCTCTGCGGTGCCGGTATGCGGTATAACTTGTACATTCGCGGTGGCAGTGCGGCTTTGTCCTCGACATCTGTGTCCACAAGCAACCCAGCCACCACTGCACAGTCGACGTCGGAGTCTATTGCGCCGGAGAATGTGTCGTCTACTACAGCTGCGCCGTCGACGACTACCAAAACTTCTACATCGAGCAGCAGTGCAGTCTCCAGCTCGACTGTCAAGCCCACAACTTCTACTGTCGAGCTCTCTTCCACCACTACTTCCACCTCCACCACCAAGACAACCACCTCCACAAAGACCACCACCTCAGCCAAACCAACCGCCACCGGCCCCGTCGCCTGGGAGGGCAACAAGAACTTCACCTACTACTCCTGTGTCTCCGAGCCCTCCTCTGGCCGCCTCCTCCCCAAGCAAGTCTACAACAACGGCACCGCCATGACGCCCGCCCTCTGCCTCGAAAAGTGCAACGGCAAATACAACTACGCCGGCGTCGAGTACGGCCGCGAGTGCTGGTGCGGCGACGAGCTCAACTTTGCGGGCAACGAGGGCGCCACGCCCGGCCAGAACGTCACGGACGACAAGTGCTGGTTCGAGTGTCCTGGCGACAAGAGCATTCGCTGTGGCGCGGGAGGACATTTGAGTCTCTATGTGCTGCGGGAGCTGGTACGCGAGATGTACGGGCCGGATGCGGCGTGAACTGGGGGGGTGTTTATAATGAGAACATACGGACGTCTAGACTAGACCTTTTCTTGTAATTATTTCTTGACTGTCAATACTACGCAAATGCCAGAGTAATGCCCTCTTCAGCCATCGTCGTCCTCCACGCCCCGGTGCTCTCGACCGTCTTGATGATGCGCTTGTAATTCGCATACTTGCCGTCCATGTCAAGTCTGTTCCGACGGGCCCAGTAGAAGAAGACTGTCATGTAAAAGTCGGCGGCAGTCAAGGCTTCTCCGACTGCGTACTTCTTGCCCTCAAGCTGCCTATCCATGAGGGCAAAGTACTCCCCAACCCTAATCTTGCCCTTGGTGCGGACGGCGTCAAGACAAGCCTCGCTGTCTGTGAACCGTTCAGGTCGCAGGAGAGCCCCAAAGGCCTGGGCGTGGAGGCCTCCTGAGAGGAGACTGAACCATTGTATCACCTGTGCGTACTCCAGTGGGCTTCGACCGAACATTGTGTTCTCTGGGGCGAGAGAGTTGATATAGGCGAGTATGGCTGCGTTTTCGGTGATGACATCGCCAGACGCGAGTTGTAGAGCGGGCACGGAGCCAAGGGGGTGGATGGTGCGATACTGGGCGGCTGACATTGACGCGTCTGCTGCCGCGCAACCTTCTGGCGTGATCACCATGTCAATGATGTTATACGGGATTCCAAGGTGCTCCAGGAGGGCATGTGGCACCAGGGAGCATGCGCCCTTGACGATGTAGAGGGTCAATTCGGACATGGTGACGGGCTGCTGGGAAGATGATGGAACTTCGGAGAGAGGAGCTTCAGGTGTTTACTTTTCTTTGTGGTCTATACATTTATACAGGGCCGACAATCCTGGGCATTATATAAGCTTACTTGCCGGTGGGATATATTTTCCAATCAATTCCGTATTTTGACGTAGAGGATGAGACCCACAGCATCGGACACCTATCCCATGTCCAAGACATTCAATTAGATCTGGAGGCTATTCATCTAGATCCTACTTGACATATTGCTTCACCACCTCAGCGACTTCCTCGTCCGTCTTACCCTTGAGACCCAGCAGCTCATTGTCATTCCTCTCAAAGCTGCCGTGATTCTCCGCCCCAAAGATGGCGCGGTAGATATACGGCACAAAGGTGTGGAAATCCAACAGCCCCTGGGCCAGCCTCTTGTCAGCTGCCCCTGTGATCTCATCCAAGGTGACGTGCTCCACGTCCCAGGACTTGCTAGGGGCCGCCTGCTTTGCGAGCCGGAGGAGCTGGTTCTGGGTGACTTTCGCGTCCTCAATGTACACGGCGCGGTTCTTGGTCTCCTCGGGGTGCTTCAGGACACCGTAGACAGCATCGGCCACGGATGCCAAGGTCGTCGTGGAGAAGGGAATGTCGCCGCCCTCGACGACCCGCGTCTTGTCGCCGGAAGGGTTGATGAGGAAACTGCGCTCAATGCCCCAGTCCAGGAACGCGCCATTGTAAACAAATGTGTAGGTCGTCTCTGTCGACTTGGCCTTTTCGATCAGGCTGCTCCTGATTTCCGCCTTGGGCTGGAAGACGGGCAGGCGCTGATTGTGCTCGTTGGCCATGTCGGAGCCAAAGTCGGAGGGGATGAAGCGCTTGACGCCCGCGGAGAGCGCAGCGTCGACGAGGTTCTTCTGGGCGGCAATGTGCTCCGAGGAGATGGTGGACACGAGGGCGTCCTGACCGGCCAGGGCTGCTGTGAGGCTCTCGACGCTGTCAAAGTCGACGTCCACGACCTGAACATTGGCAGGGAAGGTTGACTTGGATCCGTGGCGGCGGAGGATCTTGAGGTTGAGGTCGCTGGCCGCAGCGAGGCGTTTGAAGACTACGACGCCAAGACTGCCCGAGGCACCGGTCAGTGCAACGTTTTTGATGGACATGGTGTTGAAAGGGGTGTAATGGAGGTTGATCTCTGGTGTTCTGGATGGGTGGTGCAGGTTGAATGATCAAGGTCAGAGTGGACTGGACGTTGATTCCAGTTGCCTCTGAAGTGGTCGTCTGGAGGTGTATATATACTTGGCGACGGGACCACGGATTGTCAATCAACCAGACTCATGATACCACAGCCACGCCATTTCTCATGGCCATGGATTATTCAGACGCGGCTTATTGTCCTCGCCTCGGACTTGGACGACGAGTGACACGAGTCAACAGCGCCCAGGATGGTTTAGTGCGTGTCGGTGCTCGAGTGGGATGCGCCGGCGTGTTGTGTGGGATGATGACCTCCCATCTTATGCCGATGGAATGTGGGCGCTTCAAAGTCCAAAACATCGCCTTTAGGACCAAAGTTGACAAATCCGTCAATTCCATTCGGTTCGGAATTAATTGAGAACCCGCAAAGCCGATGCCAGGCCCCTTGACACGTCAGCAAACGGCCGTACATGCCCTCTCCACCACCTCGCACTGCTCGCAGCACCCGCAGTTCCCCATCTATGCCCTCCTCCGCAGCGCCAGAGGCTGCTCCATCGCATGCCTGCCACTGCGGCAAGGTCTTCTTGCGCAAGGAGCACCTTCGTCGCCATCAGGCCACCCACTCTCAGCCGTCTTTTCAATGCCCCACGTGCGGACGCTCCTTCACCAGGAACGACGTACTCAAGCGACATCTTGTCGTGCACGCCTCGCGCAACGGCAAAGGCTCTGCGAAAAGCTGGCGAGCGTGTGATGCTTGCCACGAGAACAAGACCAAGTGTGATGGAGGCACGCCTTGCGGATTCTGTGTCAAAAAGGACCTGCGCTGCACCACGGACCGCCCTGGAAAGGATGACTTGACGCGGTCGCATGAATCTGAGGCTACCGGAAACCTAGCAACAGAAACACCCGTCCAACAAGAGGGCCGGGACGAAAGAGCATCAGAACCTGTGTCACAAGATGCAGATCGAGAACCACTGGATCAGTCGTTCGTCGAGCAGGGTATTGCCCAAGCTGGTCTCTCCTGCATTCTCAAGGCCGTGTCATCTATATCGGCCGGCGTTGAATGGACCCCAGAGTCACGGCCGCACGAGCGTTATGATGAATGGATGTCATGCTGCTTGGACCAATATCTGGGCAGATTCCACGAGAGGTGGCCTGTCGTCCATTCGCCGACTTTTGACCGCACGACAGACAATGCCTTGCTGGTCAGTTCAATGACCATGGTGGGTTCCTGGTATCACGACGGCTTGCTCGTGAAGGACAGCTTAATTGCTATCAACGACAAGATCACGAGCCACGTAACCAAGTTGCTGGTAAGACTTGTACCTTGCCACTCTGCTAGTAGGTTGCGACACTGACGAAATTCGCCAAGGCCAACGATGACTTGGACGAGAGCAAGGCCTGGCCGTTCGAAACGTATCAGATTGGTCTGCTTAATATTATTTTCGCTTTTGAAACCGGTGTAAGTGTGATCCCCCATCTGGATACCGACAAGAACGACTCTTTGTATTGACAGGCACATAGCAACGGTGGCAGTTCGCCCCAGCAAGACGACTACTCAATCTCATCTTGAACTCTTTCCGGCACCGCCGCATCTTCGATCCAGATTCTCTCGAAAATCACAGAAAAGTACATCATCCGGGGAAATTTGAACCTTGGGTTCACAATCAGCGGAGCCAGTGGAAAAAGTAGGTTTGCTTGCATCAGGATATCGTACTAAAAGCCATGGCTAACACGACGGCAGCCTCTCTGCCGTTGCATTCAAAATCGACACGTATTTCGCCCTCTTGTTCAAAGATCCACGTATTCTTCATGCCGAAGAAATCGAACTGAGCCTCCCCTGCACCTTTGCTTCCGAGAATGCCGCGGGCATCGTTCGATTCTTCCAGCGTCTCAAACGAGAGCCGCCTGAGAGGGAGCACATCACCGTGGCCGACTATGTGCTCTACCCGGAAAGGTTCGAGGAGCAAATGAGTCACACCGCTCTCGAAGACATCAACCTCGGACTCCTTGGTTGCTACCGTGACATCTGGCGACATATGCAAAATCGAAGAAGTCATTGCCAAATCCGGATGGTCTTGGCAGGGCCACTCTCCGAGAGACTCGAGCTATGGAAATCAAAATTAGACACCATTTCACGGACACTAGGCGGAGCAAGCAACACCGACGATACGGACAACGCCGTCCGAAGCCTCGCCATGTCCTACCTATGCCTGGAAGAACCAGGCGACCCGGGCTGGGAGGCGTCCGTGCTGGCGCGCATGGCAGCGCACTTTATGAACGCGACAATGCTGTACCACATGCTGCACATGCACTTGAGGATGGATGGGCGCGTTGTCTATGCCTTCGCCATCGGCCGGTGGAGTCTTGGGAACACCGCCCACGTGCCCCAGAGTCTGTTCAACACGGCCGCGTTGCAGGTCTGGGCTCGTTTACCGCCTGGCAGGGCTGCTGTCGTCCAGGCACTGCTCGCTCTTCGAAGCTACGAGAACGGCGCCGCCATGACTGCAGGTGGCATTAACCTGTGCTCGGATCCGATTGCGCACGTCACCTTGGCCACAGCCGGCATGGTGCTGCGAGCTTGGTTCCAGGGGAGGGACGTTGGCTGCTGGTGCTGCCCCGATAATACTATGGCGCTTCCCGAGCTGAATCTGGACGATGCCCATGGCTGGATAGAGCATGGTGTGTCCGTGGCCGTGGCGGGCGTGGCCTTGTGCCGATGTCAGTGGACATACTGGATGGGGAGATGCGTGGAGGCTCTGGTCAAGGGAGCTGCCCTGTGGGAACTGCGAGCCGATGTGATTGAGGCTCTGCAGAAGCCGATACCATCTTGTTCTTTGGATTCAGCCTAGGCTCAGGGGAGGCCCATGTCGCCAATTACTCTGCACGTGGGAGCTCTGGTTAACTGAACATTTCATCACGGAACGTTGCCAACATATCAAGTCTGCGCCTGGTGACTGTCCTGCAACAAATTCAAATTTTCTTCTATTCCTGCCAGTTCTCGGTCTTCCTGGACCAGACATACGATCTTTCCCTTCCCGCGACTTCCCAGAAGCCGGCCCAAATCCATATCTCTTCATCTAGGATCATCGCTTCCGGTATCGAACCGTTGCCCTAGTCCGACGTAATATCCATGCAGACATTGCAAAACGCCAACACGCCCTGGAAGTGTGCCATGCATCCCTTGCACTTGGAGACCAGCTCCATCGAGTCAGACATCGGAGAGATCTCTGAGGAGATGTTTCGATCTTGAGGATACACATCTTGCAGTGCCCGATAATTTGTGGTCATATGGCCATACACATGCGGTAGCGTGTGATATCTGAGAGCAGGTCCATCTCCCGAGAAAGATCGACCACGACGTACTACAGCGTCCGGCATTGGGATATCTCCCTGCTCAATCGTCAGACTAGCCATCGTCTCGGACAAGTCTTGCAACAGCCACGAACCGTACAGGTAGTTTTCCCGTCCATGGAGGCCGATGTCTGGATCATCAATATCCAACATCCAAACGTCCGCGATAGAGACAATCGAACGACTTTGGCCAGAGGCTGACAGGCAAGAAGAGCCTCCTCGATAAGCGACAACGGTGCTTTGGCCGCTACTACCCTCGGAGCAGCGACGCGTCCTATAGTCCATGGGCACTACACTCTGCGCAGTGGGCGTGGGAGGGGAACGAGGGAGGAATTCATACAGGTCCCATCGCTGGTCCTCTGCTCCTCCTATCATTATATCCGTACCCAAGGCGCCAATATCTCCAGACTCATCGTCCACGAGTAGTGTACCTCCGATCTTGGAGTCGTCGTCCAGAGCATAGCTCATCATAAGGGCGGTCGCTAGCTCGTCCCTATCCCCATTGACATCTTCGCTGAGCGCGAACGAGTCGATGGAGAGCTCACTGGCGGCGGGAGAGGAGGTGTAGGAATCGTCACTTCCAGTGAGAGCCTCCGGTTCAATCTCTGGTCCTGTGGCTTTGGGGGTCTCAGCTTCTTCCTCTGACTCTTCATCATACACGAGACAGTATGTCTTTCCGACCGGTGTAGATGCGATGTCTTCGTCATCAGAGGGGTCCACTGAAGTTTTTTGGGCCGACTCATGGCTCTCAGGGATGCAGTCGAGCCCTGCGCTGTCAGGTGGCGGCAATGTCGGCACCTGAGCTTGCTCGCCGTTGTTCTGCACATCGATCTGTAGACTTTTCGTGAGATGTTCAACCTTCTGGGTAAGTCGCTGCAACGCTGTTTGAGAATCAGGCGAAGATGGGCTTCCATCACGGTCCGAAGACTCCTGGGGCGCATCTTCGTGGACTAGCATGTCCTGCCCTGGTGATAGGCAGCCGGTGTTATCGCCAGCCTCGCCTTCACCGCCTGTAGCAGTACCTTGTCCCAGGTGGTGATATGACTCCGGAGATGCGCAAACATCCTGCGTAAAGCTGCCCAGGAAGTCAGTTGCATCTGAATCAGCTGCCACGTCTCCAAGAGCGTTTTTCATACCGTCTGTGCGAAAAGTAGAGTCAGCAACCGAGCCAGCGGTACAAGCCTCTGCTTCCCCCTGATCCGAAAATGAATCGTTCGAATCGGTCTCGTCAGCAACGGGTTCATTCGTGTCAACGTTTGTTGTCTGGTCTACTTCGTCAGCTTCTGGCTCGACTGAGAGATCGTCAGTTGATGGATCTTGTGAAACTATAGGTGCCGGGTATCGGATCGCGACCCCAACAATTTCTGGAGCACCAGTCGCAAACAACACTTCGTCCTCGTCGCCGTTATTGGCTCGGAAGAAATGTACAACACGTCTAGCGGTAGGGCCTTGACCGCCCTCCATGTCCGTGTCGCCATCCGAGGTAACACTGGATGTCCTGGCCTTTCTCTTCCCAAGATAGGGCATGGTCCCGATCTTGTGTAGTGGTTCATCCGGGAGATCAGGTCGAAGCAGCCTCATGATCCTCTTGGCAGGCGGCACCGCCCCTGATGCGGAGCCATCAGATTCATAGTCGGAAAGCGACGCTTCCGATGCTGTTCGCTTCTTACCTGTGCCAGCCATGGTTCGCAAAGACAGCATCTGCAGTGTATCTGATCCTGAGTCGAGAAAGGGATGCAACTTGGATCTGGGTTCACTAAAGTCGACGCACGCAGATGTATTTATGTCGAGAAAGCCTTCCTGTTCAATTCTGTTCATGTTCATCGTTGCGCAAGTTCTGCGTCTCAGCTCGTAAACGACGGTGAACTACCTCTCATCGCCACGAACCGCAGCGACACAATGGCCCAAGCGGCGCGAACAACACGTTATGCCGCAAATCTCGGAACAGCCCATTTGTACACGTTCTCTGGATCGAACGTCTCCTTCAACTCCCTTGCCCTGGGCCACTTGTTCCCAAAGAGCTGTTCTGCTGTTCGGTCCGCTGGCCTTGTTAAAGGAGGATACGAGCCGTCGAGCAGGGCCTCATCTCCCGATCCCCGCAACTTGGTGTATAACTCATCGTTCCACGATCTTGCTGCTGCCAGGGCGTCCTCGCTAGATGTCATGTCGGAGAAGGAAAGTAGCATGTGTGTTGCGGCCCCAAAGCAGTTGGGCGGTGATTGAGCGCGCTGGGCTTGGATCGTCATTGACCAAGCAATGTTGACCTGCGGTGGGATGACCTTCAAACTGTCCATCAAGATGTTGATCAAGCCTGTCGACAGCTCCTTGACATAAATGGAGCGCTGGCAACCCCATGGCAGGCAAGGGGGCCTCACGGAGTCGAAGTATCCCACCAGGCTCTTCGACGCGACCATATTCATCTTGGGTGGGGGAAGTCGTGTGAGCAAGCGGTCAAGAAACTCCTTGCCCTTCTCATGATTGTCGCTCGCCCAGGTGAACGACATTGCCACCGATCGGCCACCCGCGTCGATGATGAAGTAATGCATTGTTGCCTCCTTGGGAACCTCCAGCTCAGCCTCAGCCTCCACGATGGCGTGGACATTTTCTGGGTTCGCCTCAAACATGACCATACCGGATAGAAGCTAGAATAGTCAGCATGAGTTTGTGTGAGTCGGAAAGCACGCAGTATGTGCTTACTTGGAACTTGGGATAGATCCGGATGATCAGCTTCGTGATGACGCCCAGGTTGCCGCCCATCCCCCTGATGCCCTCGAGCATCTCCTCACCAGCCTGCACAATCTCGCCTCTTGCGTTCACCACTTCAGCACCGACAATGCCCTCATAACCCATGCCGAGCTTATTTGTCAGAGGGCCATATCCTCCCAATGTGGCCCAGCCCACGTATCCTATTTCACCAGTGTTACCGACTGGGCAGATGTAGCCATCATCTTCGAGTTGGCTTGCCAAGCTTCTGGCCGTAACTCCACCGCCAATTGACGCGGTCTGTCTGTCATCGGAAATAGCGACGTTGTTTAGTTCGCGCACGTCAATGATGAGTCCGTCATCAACAACATAACGACCGTAGAAGTCGTTCCCGCCGGATCGGACGGTAAAGTCCACACTGGACGAGGTCCCTCATCGCACGATAGCCGCGACCTGCTCTGCATTTTGGGGGATGGCAATACCAAGAGGCTTCAACTCCTGTCCAGCACGTCCTCTTGTCTCACGGCGCGTAGCCCATCCCTCGTCTTCTGGTCGAAGAAGGCGGATGTCCGGGTGGGTTGCCTCGAATGACTCAAGAACATCGATGGAAGCCATTTTGACGGAGGTTCGGCTGCTGGAGATGATATTTAATTTTCTTCCACCAACAATGGTGAGTGAACAGCAGCTTGAGATGTTCTGTAATACTTATATGTAAGCTCGGCGACTTCGTCTGACAGCCTCCAGGGTTCAACAAAGTCTCCGCTGACATGTGCCGCGCACTTCGGCTTTCGCAGACGAATCGTCACCTCGTTCGCACCACCTCGACTTACGGATCAGGAATATAGGCAAGCACAATCCCAAAGGCCAGCGGAAGTCGCGGAGGGGAATTGCCAGTTCAAGTTGTCAGCTATTCGTCTTTGGAGCGGATTAATCGCAACTAGCGCGCCGTGAGAGATCCCACTCGACCTACTACTAGAAACAGTAACGCCTCGTGGTCTTCATCATTATCATCATAATGCAGGTCCTTCCCATGACTCCCTTCGTAATCTCACGTACCACGATTGCTTGTGTGGGAACGACACCTTCTTCTCCTTCGCGAAACCGCAGGCATCGAGGTGTTTTAAGAAACTAAATTTTAAGGTTAGTGACAGGCACGAAGCAGCACAGCATAGGACTTACCCCTCGTTATCCACGCGTGGCTCCAGGACCACGTTCATTGTTCGCTGATCGGCCGTGAGACACCAGTGGACGAGGCCCGTTAACCATGCCGACACTCGCCCGCGCGCCCATTCTTCACCAATAAAGACATGCAGGCCGCGATCCCAGTCGTCCGCCTCGCTTCCTAAATGACGACCGAGTATGTCCTCCTTCACCCAGTAGACCTCGAAATACCCAAACGGCACTCCGTCCCAGAGACCAATGACAGGGAACGAATGCGTCTGGCTCAAAGCATCGTTCAAGAACTGCGGGTGGTACTCGCCCCAGAATTTCTTGACGCGGGGGTTGGCCATCCACATCTGCATCAGTGATGTATCGCTCAGGGTACACAGGTGAGAGTGTTGCGGCGGCTTGGGCCCGACAGGGCCAAGGTGAGGCACAGGCTTGGGCGAAGCTGATGCAATGCGGAAGGATATATACTGCCCTACGCTGGGCACAAACCGAGAATAGAAAGTCTCGCCCATGCGCACTGGCTTCGGGCGAAGGGGATGCCGGATGCCATTGGTAAAGGTGTACTGCAGCGGCGGCGGAGGATAGTATGTGGGCAAGTGCGAGGTCGAAAAGAATGGCCCTATAGGGTACCCTGACGATTGGAGCATAGTCGTCGGTATCGGGCCGCCTGGCAGATCGAACTCGGCTCTTGTGCTGGTAGGCAACGGCGACTGAGAGTGAGTCTGCCAATGGTGCCCCCCATGAGGCGGTTCAGTTCTCGTCGGGGAGGCGGACCGGCTACCAACAGGAGACCCAGGATACGAAGCCAGAGATCTGTTTGGCGCAAGGGTGAAGAGGAATTGGCGTCCGGGGATCTGCCAAAACATCCTCCTCGAGACAAACATGTCTGACCATTCGTCGCCGTTATCGTCCAAGCTCGTGCCCACCGAGGTGTTGTGGGACGCAATGAGGCCCATCCTCTCAAGCTTGGGTATGAGGTTTTTACTCCTCAACACGCCGTCCCTCTTGATATGCACGATCCACTCCCCTTTCGGCTTTGCTGCGTCTGGGGTGTCCTTTGAAGCCTCGCTGTCAAGATGGAGTGGCGGTTCCGGCTGGTGAAAGTACCAGTACAAGGTGACCCATAGCATCATGGCGATTTGGCGTGTAGGGCTCGCGGCAGGCTTGAACTCACTCGACGACGGGTTCGAGATGGAGGAGATGAACAGAGCGTCCTGGTTCAGCGTCGGCTTCTTGAAGGGGTGCACGTTTGCTGGTGCCCGTAGCGAAGCTGGCAAGTATTCGTCATCGTTGCCCACCGCGTTCGCATCATCCTTGGGATCCTCTGTGTGTAGGATGATCGTCCACCCGGCCGGGAACGCGTGGTGATGGTTGCTGTTCAACTCATGGCTTCTGAAACCGACGCCTCCAAATATCGCCATTGTGGTGAAAGTCTGCCCATCGGGCAGCCGCATCGTCTGTTGCGAAGCCATGGCTCATGAAGCTTCCAGATTCCAGCTCGGGCGCCTGTTGATCTGCGGGGGTTGCCTTGGCTTCCAACGCCAGAGCGGGTAATTCCACGGTCCTCCGGGAACTTTCCCCGGACGAAATATGCAGCGCAAGTCACTGTGATTGATACTCAATGTCCTTGACGGTATCTGGCCATTTTTCGGATTTCTTGAGTCGCTCGCTGCAGTGTGAATGCAATGATGTTGACAACATCGCTTTATCGTGTGTTTAGCCAATTATCAGCCCAGAAGCAGTGCGGAATAGTGACCGCACTGTAGCCCATTTCGGTCGAGTAGCTGTGCCTACCCTGTACCGAGCGACGTAGTTCCTGTTGCATGCATTGTGCATGTTATCGTCGTTGAAGAAGTTGTATATGAGCAATGTCTGTTTATTCTGCGTCAATAGAGGCCTTGGGGTCTTTCTCTGAGTGTCATAGAACCTGGGATAGGCTTTGACGCTGCAAATGTGACATACTCAACTACGTGGTAGTCATGAAGACCCGTGTTTGTTAGTGAGGGCTGGGGTATTGAAGCCCCGTGGCTTGAACTTTAGCCAAATGCGTGATAAGAGACTTCTAAGAAATTCGTGACTATTTGTTGATGGTATAGCTTGATAGGTCATAACCTTCGTAAGGAGCGGATCTGGTGTTAGGCTGCCAGCTCAGAGCCTCAAAGGCCAAGGCCTGCCAAGCTGGTCTCGTAGCTTAGCCTACACCATCGCTGGCAGCTGCAGTGCAAATCAAGCTTTCCAAGGCGTTGGCAGGGGTATTTGATACTGCCGCAATTTCGCATATCTTTGATAGCGGGGGGTACTGAGCTCCTGGTCAAGTTTGTCTGCCAGCTTTAGGGTCCCAATGCTCAACTCGGCAGGCACGTATTCGTCAAGAATGTGCCTGCGAGAACAGTTAAGCTAGTCGGGCGAAACAGTGTACGGTTTGTATTGGACAGAGATCTACCAATAACGTGTGCTGACGTTGCTGCTGCCTCAGTGTCGACGTGATGTGGATTTCGTGTATCTGCACTGCCGGGTTGTAGGATTGTTGGTATTGAACCCCGTAGCTTCTGCTCCGGAAAGCTTGACGTCATCAGCATGTCGATGATGGATTCCCGACCAAGCAGGCATGTCAGCTCCAGTCCCTGAGCCTCACAGGAAATGAAGCTTGACCGACCCGGTGTCCTAGGAAGGTAATAAATCCACCCGGTGTCTGGCGTTCCAGCTGCTCCTCCCATCCTCACTACATTTCCCTCCCGACATCCTCAAAGCTGAGTACCGCCGACCTGCGATGAATGGTGCTTTCCGGCGCGTCGCAACACGCGTGCCAACGGCGGCGTTCAAAAGTCCAGCCTTGGCGGCGACGAAGCCAAACTTGAGTCCGTTCCTGGCCGCATCAGGCACCCGCCATGGCCAGGTGACATTACCCGGCGCTAAACGGTGCTTCACCAACGTTCCATCCTCAAGAAGCTCCGAGGCCGATAAAAAAGCGAAATCGTTGAACAAGAAGTCAGCCGACGAGGCTGAGCGCGAGGTTACTGCTAGAGATGACGCGCAGCGCAAAGTCGACGACCGACCATGGCAGCGTGAAGAAACAGGAGAGCACAGCCAGCCGGCGACCACGTCGCCGGATCCTTCAAAGGGCGACGAGGCGAGAGGTTCGTCAAAATCCCATTCTGGAGTCGTTGCACCACCAAGCCTAACATACATTTGCAGGACGTTTACTGACGACACCCACCCGACTACTCAAGTTGATCCTGCCGTTGCCATTCCACCCTGATCAAGTCTACATCAACCCAGAGAAGGAGGCGGAACAAAAGTATGGTTCTGAAAAGGTTGAACCTCTGGCACTACTTGTGCACCCTCAACAGCCGCTGTCATATCTCGAGCGACTGATCCAGGCCGAAATCCCCCCGCTGCAAGTCAAAGGGCACGAGAAGCTGCCAGGCATTGTCTTCCGCGCAGAAGCCGACCGAGAGGAGAGCAGGGACAAGAAGGGCCCAGCGGATAACGTTGCGTCATACTCTGGATTGGGTCACGAGGCCGAGAAATCAAACGAGGAGAAGAACTGGGTTCGATGGAGCGGCAGCACGGAGGTCGGTGATTTCATCAGGGACGCGGCTCGTGGCCGTGAATTTGCAATCGACATCGAGGGCCACGATGGAGAGCTGCGGGTCGCCGTGCCCAGCTTCAAGGACCGCACCTACTACATGCGCATGCGCCTGCGGAGGATGTCGAGGCAGATCAACTCCATGGCGGAGCTGAAGAAGGAGTGCGATATGCTGGCGCACAAGGGCGCGCACCGGATTGCGCAGAGCGGCTTTGGCGCTTTGGTGACCTGGTGGGGGATCGTGTACTATGTCACGTTTCACACCGAGATGGGCTGGGATCTTGTCGAGCCGGTCACCTACCTGGCGGGTCTCACGACCATCATGGGTGGTTACCTCTGGTTCCTGTACATGAGTCGCGACCTCAGCTACAAAGCAGCCATGAACGTCACCGTCTCGCGAAGACAAAGCGCGCTGTACCAGGAGAGGGGCCTCGACCACGGGAAGTGGGAGCACGCGGTGCAGGAGGCCAACGCTCTTCGCAGGGAAATCAAGGCCGTGGCGGCAGAGTACGACGCGGAATGGGACGAGATGAAGGACCTCGGCGGCGAAGAGGTCAAGGAAGCTCTAGAGCAAGAGAAGGAAGGTAAGGACGAAAAAGACGATAAGCAGGCAAAACAGGATGCCGCTGACAAGGCGAAGCAATCAAAGTAGAGAGGTGAGCGATGCGCCTCGTCGATCCGACGCACATCGCGGACGTGCCGCAGTCACATTCCATTTGCATTTAGCGTACATTTGATTCCATAGACCGACCATGTTGACAATGTATCATTATTTTGTACTATTACTATATGTACCATGATTGCTGCTGGAGGACTGGCGATTTATTAATTTGCATGGCCGCTATTTTAGCTGCCAGGGACAGTCCAATGGCAGCTAGACTTGTTGCGCAGGGTCCAGGGTGAGCACCCCGCACTCAACCGCCCTGGATCGTGAGTGTCAAAAATACGCCGAACAGAATCAGGGCGAATTGGGTGTGTTGGCTCGGCGCCTTTTTTTACTACCAGTGCCCCTCATGGAAATCAACAATACCTTACTCGAACTTAGCTCCCCCTCGTCGACGAGCCGATTAATTCTGCTTGCTCGACATTGAAACCCTTGATTCCGATTGTCTTTGATCAAGAGAGCGACAGACACGTTATCGCAATGGCCGACAACAAGGTATTTCGCGCGAGCACCACCGCGCCCGTCAACATTGCTGTTGTCAAGTACGAGCCCCTTTCATTGCCCACCGCCTCCTCTCGCAGACAATCGCTGACTACCACCCCCCAGATACTGGGGCAAGCGTGACGCAAAGCTCAACCTGCCAACCAACAGCTCGATCTCCGTTACCCTCTCCCAAGATGACCTGCGAACGCTCACCACGGCCTCTTGCTCTGCCTCGTACTCGGGCGACAGCTTGACCCTCAACGGCCAGTCCACCGACGTGTCTGGCGCGCGAACCCAAGCATGCTTCCGCGAGCTGCGCGAACGTCGGGCGGCGATTGAGAAGAATGACCCTTCGCTCCCCAAGATCTCGACGCTGCCATTGAAGGTCGTCTCCGAGAACAACTTCCCCACGGCTGCTGGTCTCGCTTCGTCGGCGGCTGGCTTTGCCGCCCTTGTACGGGCCATCGCCAATCTTTACGAGCTGCCCGACTCCCCGGAGGATCTCTCGAGGATCGCACGTCAAGGCTCCGGATCAGCCTGCCGCAGTCTGTTTGGTGGCTACGCTGCGTGGCGCATGGGCGACAAGGACGATGGCAGCGACTCGCAGGCCCAGCTGATTGCACCCGCCTCCCACTGGCCCAACATGCGCGCCCTGATCCTCGTCGTCAACGCGGCGAAGAAGGACGTCCCATCAACCTCTGGCATGCAGCAGACCGTCGCGACCTCTGGTCTCTTCCAGCAGAGGATAGCGCACGTCGTCCCCGCTAACATGAAGCTTATGGAGGAGGCCATTCACAACAAGGACTTTGCCACATTCGCCGAGGTGACCATGCGCGAGTCCAACTCCTTCCACTCGTGCGCTGCCGACACCTACCCGCCCATCTTCTACATGAACGACGCTTCGCGCGCGGCCATCCGTGCGGTGGAGGCGCTCAACGCGGCGGCTGGCAAAACTATTGCTGCGTACACCTACGACGCCGGGCCGAACTGTGTCATCTACTTCCTCGAGGAGGACCAGGAGACTGTTATTGGTGCGTTCTACAAGTTCTTGAGTGGAGTGTCTGGGTGGAAGGACAGCGCCGCCAAGGCCCAGTCCGCTGTTGATTTGCCCGAGAACATCGTGTCGATCCTCAAGGATGGCGTTGGTCGTGTTATTCAGACCAGTGTGGGCGAGGGCCCTCAGAAGACGGAGGAATACCTGATTGACGAAGCCGGCGCGACGGTTCAGCGATGAGCATTTTGTTGCATTTAGAAGCAGAGTCGACATTTAGACGAGACACCCTATGAGCAAGGCCCTTGACTTTGTTTAACACTCTAACCACGGCTAATGTGCGTATCAATGCATTCAAATTGAATTGCTAAAGAAAACCACGTCATAGGGCAATTGATAGGCCCAACTTCGCTTCGTGTAACCCCGAATGCGTGGTTGTTGTGGTGACACCGACCTGAGCTTCACTGCCCCTCAACTTCACCTTTCCAACTGCACTTCATCCCAGGCGATCTCGCACTTTTGCTTGTATCAAACCTGAAAAAGTCTACCTCGTCTCCCTCAGATCGCTCTGCGAGCTTCATTGATTGAGCAAGAGCTTTTCCTAGTTTCGTGCTGCATGACCTAGCCGCACCGAGTTCTCCCCAAACCATGGACGACCATGAAGAGCGCAAGGACCCCAGCATTTTGGGGGAAGGAGATCTGTCTTCTGAAGGTATCTCTGATCTACTGAAGCGAGGAAACGAAGTCGAGGTTTTCGAGTGCGACAGATCTGGAAATGTGCGCTCCAAGTGGCTTCACAAGCCTGATCATACAATCTTCTCAGTGAGTTCTCATGGCAAAGCTTGCTCCTTGCTTGACTGACACGCCAAGACTACTCATGACAGTTCGTCGACCTACTTCTGGCTGTCTATCTCTGCCATCCGTCAGGCAATTTACGACTCATTCCTACCTGTCGGGTACCCTCACTCGGTATCCGAAGACTACCTCGCCTACCAGTTCTACGATTCCCTGCAAGCCTTCTTCTCGACTATAACCTCGCTCCTCGCCAACCGCGCTCTCCTACAGGGCCTTGGCGTCGGCGATGCCAACTCCTCTGCCACATTTGCCATGATGCTCACAATCCTCAAAGATGCGATGTCCAGAATCGCTACGATTGTGTTCGCCCATCGCTTTGGCCTGCGCATCGAACCAGACGCCAAGCGATACCGCTTCTTGGCCGACTTGTTCAACGACACGGCCTTCTTCCTGGAACTGTACAGTCCTTACTTTGGACCTTGGGGCAAGGTTGTAGCCCTGAGCACCGGCGAGGCCCTACGCGCGCTGTGCGGTGTCGCTGCAGGTGCTAGCAAGGCCGCTTTGAGCGTGCACTTTGCCAAACACGAGAATCTCGCCGAACTCAACGCCAAGGAAGCCTCACAGGAGACAGCCGTGGGATTGGTGGGCCTGCTCGTGGGAACTGTCGTCGTCAAGTTTGTGGAAGGCCATTCGGCCGTGCTGTATCTCATGGTGGCCTTGGTCTTTGGTCACTTGTGGGTGAATTACCTGGGTGTCTGTTGTGTTGCTATGAGCACAATCAACAGGCAACGGGCGACACTCATATTTGAGCAGATCCGGAAGAATGGAACCGTCCCGTCGCTTCGTGAGGTTGCGCAGAAGGAGAACATCCTGTTCTGGAAACCTGTCTTGAAGAACCAGGATGGGACCGTCGTTGGTACCTTGTCCATGGCTGAGAGCTACGGTCAAGCTCTCTCCGTACCCCCTGGCGGCCAGGTTAGGGTCATTGATGGTATGGGCTTTACCCTGTTCGCCAACGCGCATGCGCCTGACGGCCATCTCGACTTGCGCATCCTACTGCACACCGACAGCACTCCCATGCAAGCCCTGGAAGCATGGTTCGCGGCACTGGAAATTGGTCTGCACACCAAGCTTTCCAACCCGCACGCTGTTCTGGCAGCTCTTCATCAGCCCAAAGGCTACGCAGCTGCTTCGTCGCACGCGATAGCTCAGGCAGGATGGAACACGGAAACCCAGTCACTGGAGACGGACGCGCCTATCAGGCTTGCCCTGAGGGCTGCCCACCACAAGGAGGAGTAACCATGAGGTGACGATGAAACTGCTCATCGAGTTCGGTGGCTCTGGTAATGGAAGGTTTGCTAGAGCTGAGATCAGCAATAAGAATACAGATACGTACACGAAATGGCCGTCGTAGAATACATCCTTCCCGACCCAACAATATGCCCCAAACGCCCGCAATGCTCTATATGCAGCTTTATGTTATTGATACATCCGTCTTGGTGACCTAGCAGGCATCATGCCAGGCCGGTCCACCTCATAGCCCTCATTTTGACGCCCTCCCACGTGTTCAACTTCGGTCTCACATCGAGGTAGAAGCTGGGCCCTGCCTTGCCGTCTCCCCGGCCGGAGTAGAAGTCGATGACATAGTCGACCCTTGTGCCACAGCGGTCAATGACCCAATCGTGTCTATCAAAGGGGGCTGTATATCCGAGGACTGTGTTGATACGGGCTGTCGGTGTCATTCGCTCCATCTTATTGGCGAAGCTCTCCAATTTGGGGCCGCCGCATCTGCCATCGTCAGCTACCTGGCGTGGTATGGAGGATAGTCAGACTTACTGTGAGGAAGCAAGATATGGCTGTTCCCATTTCAAGATTTGCGCCCATGCCCGCTCGTTGACTGCATTGTGTATTGGGACCACAGTCTTCATGTCTTTCGACCTTGCATCATACCCTTTCCTCTTCATGGCGTCAAAGAACATCTTCTCAGAGGGGTACACCCAGTTCCCCGATGCATCCTTCCCCGATTCGATTTCTGCATTGGCAGAGGCGCCGTGTTCCACTGGGCAAGCAGACGGGTTCGAAGTCGAGCGTGGGATGCTGGAGACAACGCGGTTCGTGTCGAGGCCATTTGTCGGTTTAGGGGGCGCCGTGCTCGATTGAGGCTCTGGCTGAGAGGACCAGAAGTACGACGTGAGACTTTGGGTCCATGATCGAGTGGGTGGCGCTGAGCTGTGATCGACAGGGCACGCGGATGGCGGTGGTTGTGATTGTGACTTGGCCTTGGAGGCTTCCGCTGCGCGAGCCTGGGCGAGCCACTCTTCGCGAGCTTTGTGATCGACTGGGCACGCCGATTCGTCACCGGCCATAGTGAGTGCTGTAGAAGACTCCGCGGAATTGACGTTCAAAGGAGTGGTCGAGGAGAACTAGACTCTCGATAAATCCAATGCGACTGGTTACTACGACGACGACAATTGTTTCTCGGAGTCGCGATCTGAAATTGTTCTAGCCGAAGTTCTGCCGGCGCATCACCAGTGCCATTCCTCGAATTCCCCATGCAGCTTGTCCTATCTCGACGAACCTCAACTATGGCGACTTTCAAATTGTCTTGAACGACCTCCCTCCAAGCCAAGACTTCCACCCCTTGGCCCGCCAACTGCCATCGCACACAGGTCTCCGAAAACCTTTCCCCTCTGTTCTTCGCTGTTCCGCCGGCAACTGAGTGATCTGCTGGGATTACATCATTGGCACTGAAACCCCACCACTTTACTGGACCCTTCTACTTTGACAGCCTTCCGCCAAGTCGCCCGCTGTGAACCTTCGCTCACCTAACCGCCGCCTGCCACCGCGGATCTCGATGAGGACCAAAACCTCCGGCGCTCAAATCTACGCCATAGCAAGCAATCCGTTACACCTTTTTGAGATCTAAACCCCACCATGAGAGCCAGTGTTGGCTCCGCTCAGGCCCAAGTATGAAATCATCAAGCCGATGGCAGCGTCGCTCGCTCCAACCGTGAAGTCATTCTCAATGACGTCCTGTCCATCTGAAAACCTATTCTCGTAGTGAGCTATACTTAAGTAACATTTCCACGATCCTTCTCAGTTTGGTCTTCATCACAACCCAGCTCAAACAAACACTTGTATCAAAATCATCAAACCAACCATCCCACAACCACAACCACAACCAACAATCTTCACAATGTCTTCCTACGAGCAGATCTCCAAGCAGGCTGAGCAGGATCTCGGCACTGAGCAGAACCTCACTGGCAAGAACCGCCACGATGGTCTTGCCGAGGCTGGCGTGAACTCGTACGCCGAGAAGAAGTTCTCCGACCATGGTGCTGAGCTCCTGACTGGCGATGAGCTGAGCACCAACGCTGGTTACAACAAGCGCATCCCTCCCAGCGAGGGTGGTGTCCTTGATGACCGTGGCCGGTACGTCCCCCCTAGCTCCCGTTGCCGTAACATGGCCTAACAGACTCCAGCCAAACTCGTGGCCAGCACTTTGAGGGTGAGGGCGGTCCCCTTGACAAGCTCTCAGAGCGCGACGGCGGTAAGAACGACAACGATGTCGTCCCCGCCAACGTCCCCAAGGTCGACGGTCTTGGATCCGCCGACGACATTGCCACAAAGGGTCAGGATGCCGCCACTGCCAACGTCGGCCGCAGCGCACCAGGCGCTGGTGGTAACCAGTACAGGGGCAGCGACTTCTACAACCCCGAGTCTGTCCCTGACAGCATCTCAGCCGAGGGTAACGTCGCTCCCAGCAGCGTCGTCGAGGCCAGCCGGGAGGCTGAGCAGCCCGAGAAGTTCGGTCCTGCGTAAAAAGTGTATTGTTGATGAAAAGCGAAGGCAATTTGGGCGTTTAAGGGCATATTTGGCAGGTTACATTATGAGTTACGGCATGATCTGTACGATCTCTGAATGAAGACGAAGAAGTCTGGCCAGAAAGGATGATTTCCAATTTTAGTCGTGATACGTATTCGAACGTGATCATGTCAGAGCTTGCATCGACCCTGGGGAGCTAAGCGCGGTGCTTATCGCGGCTTATCAGTTGTCGCGTGACGTCTTTCCTGGCTGCGCCTGACCATTCAGCTAACCTCCCCCCAAATACACCTGGCTCCCGCAGACGGCCACGAAGCCTCCTGCGATATGGGTCGAAACAGAGGCCCCTTGAATCGCGAGCCATCTCCATCATGACGAATCGCACGCCCTCATCCTCGGGGCTGCTACCGATGCCTGGAGCACCCTCTTCCTCCTGGGCCGTGTACACGGCCAGGCTGCAGTCACTTTTGCGACACCCCGACACAAAGGTAGTCGTTGCGTTTTGGCTATTTGGTAATACCAACAACGCTCGTGAGATGTTTCTGGACTAACAACAACGGGCAGGCCTCATCAACAACGTTCTCTACGTCATCATCCTCTCTGCCGCCCAAGACCTTGTGGGATCTGTCCCTAAGGGCGTCGTGCTCCTCGCGGACGTACTGCCATCGTTCTTCACAAAGCTGATCGCACCATACTTCATCCATCGAATCCCGTATAACATCCGAGTCCTCGTCTTCATCGCCCTCTCCGCGGTGGGCATGCTCATGGTCGCGCTTACACCGCCCTCCAAATCCGTGGCTGTGAAAATGGCTGGCGTGGTGCTGGCCAGCTTGAGCAGTGGGGGCGGGGAGCTCAGCTTTCTTGGATTGACACATTATTACGGGCAAGTCAGTCTCGCGGGTTGGGGTTCTGGAACAGGTGCAGCAGGGCTTGTGGGTGCCGGCTTGTACGTGGTTCTCACCGAGTGGTGGGGTTTCAGCGTCAAGGACAGCCTGCTTTTCTCCGCCTGCCTGCCCGTGGTGATGTTTGTGAGCTTCTTCGTGATATTGCCGAGGGGACCGTTACGTGATGCCACGAGAAGGAAGGAATACGACGCCCTGCCCGAGGACGAGGACGACAGCTCGACACGTGCTCCGCCCGAAACTGCCCTGTTGAACCCCGAGCCAGGTGCCGTGATTGCAGCGTATCCCACCGGACAGCATCCCGGAGAGGCACATTCGTTGGCCGCAAACCTCAAGCGGGCCAGAGCCCTAGTCGTGCCTTATATGATGCCGCTGTTTCTCGTCTACGTGGCCGAATACACCATCAACCAAGGCGTGGCACCGACCCTCCTTTTTCCGGTGGAGGAGTCGCCTTTCCGGGAATTCAGGGGCTTCTACCCTTTCTATGGGTTCCTCTACCAGCTCGGGGTCTTCATCTCCAGATCCTCGACGCCATTTGTGCGGATACGCCATCTATATGTGCCATCTTTTCTGCAGATCGGAAATCTCGCGCTTTTGATCCTGCATGCACTGTACTTCTTCATACCCTCCGTCTACATCATCTTTGTGGTCATCTTCTGGGAGGGGTTACTAGGCGGAGCGGTGTACGTGAATTGCTTCGCCGAGATACTGGAAAAGGTGCCCTCGGAGGACAGAGAATTCAGTTTGGGCGCGGCGACTGTGAGCGACAGCGGCGGCATATGCGTCGCTGCCTTGATTGGCATCGCTCTTGAGCCCCGGCTCTGCGCCTACCAGGTGGCCCATGGGAGGGACTGGTGTCGTCAGATCAAAGCGTCACATTCATAGATCATGACCTGGTGACTGAATCCATCACCTTCGGCAATGTCAGACCTTAGCCTCATTGCGTTGTCGTGCTTGCGACACGGACGCCCGTTAAGCTTCGTCAGCAGGTGCTGTGTGATCCTGTCGCGTCCAACTTTCACATCAGATGGCCGCGCAAGTACAAGACGACGTTGGCTGATCAGCCGCATGATGTTCTCCTGGTCTGGTGCGTGCACATATTCAGAAGTCAAAAAATTATTAACAAGTTCCTTCCATTTATATTGGGCGATGGGCATTGGACTCTGCTTCAGTGAGCCAAGGGTTCTCTCCTGGCACCGACCTCGTATTATCCGTATAGACTATCCGTATAGAGTCCCTGTTAGTGCGTCTAGATTGAGTTTGGGCGAAATGAGCACAGGATCGTGACCAATCAGGGGGGCCCGCTGCCCTCCCTTTCGGGTACCGCTTGGCTGCTGACAGATTTCGCAAGGGGTCTTCCGCCTCGACTCTTGACCCTAGCCAGACCCACGGTGGCAGATTGTCAGATTGACTTTGAGTCGAAGACGCAGGCCGCACGCGACTGAAACGACCAACTTCAATGGCATGCATTCAGAGACAAAGTGCCCTAGTAACGAAGGATGGCTGAACGAGTCGAGATTTTTGCCATGCAAGCAGACTAGAGCCAAGTCGCGTCGCCCGTCACTGAACGCGGCCGATTGAAAGCCTGGGATCTGAGGGTACTGCCATTCAGCCCAATCAAATCCACGTGCACGCCGCCTTTTCTCCCTTGGCGCATCCAAGACGCCTGTAGGCTGTAGGCTGTGATCGTGTCTCCAGCGGGAACGCCGGACGCTTCTACTAAGGGCTCTGCAGCCCGCGATAAGGCAGCCGGGTACTGGACCCCAATTCCAACGGCAACGATTCCAACCACGACTGGGCTGACTGACATGGGCCAGGCTTTTGCCAAGGCGCCACTGTGCCCCAAATTGCCATAATCCGGATGGCATACGCCCTAGAGTCGCTCTCGATCTTTTTCTTCGCCGCCCCCTTTTCCAACAAGTCCAGTCCTCGTCCAGAGGTCCGTCCCTGTGCAGCCTTCTCACCCTCGACTCTGCCTCTCGTCTTCCTCGGTCGTCAAAATCATTCCTTCTCTGTTGCAACTGCTTTCTTTTCGTACCTACGCTCTGTAAACATATCTCTTCTAATATTCGCTGCGAGGGGACTGCCGATCGCCTCTGCGCCCGCATCGACTGTTCGCACTGATTAAGCACCTCGACCTTGGGCGCTTCCACGATCACCACGACCACAAAGCCACGCGATCGCCACAATGTTCGGCGCGCAGGCCCGTTCTAATAAGGCGACAGTCCTCTTCGTCGGGGCTGTCGTCTTCATGGCCGTCTTCGTCGGCCTCGTCTACAACCACCTTGACTACTGGTCCGCCCCTGCTAAGTACGCCAAGCTCGCCGCGCGTTTGAGATGACGCCGCAGACCTGTGCCTCCTCCGTTGCTGACCATGATCCAGGACTGCCGCACCCAATGTGCCCGCTGTTGTAGTCGAGGACGACAAGAGCAAGACACCCGCGCCCCCCGCGCCCCCCGCGCCCGAGTCCGAATCTAACGCGGAGGCTCCCGCCATTCCCGAAGAGAGTTCTATCACCAACGCTCAGCTCCGCCAGACGTATCTCAAGGACATCTACAGCCCCAGCATCAAGCCCGATGCGAAGAAGTACAAGCCCTGGGGTGCTTTCGAGTGGGAGCTTCCTGGCGAGGCTTTCTTCAAGGAAGGGCTCGGCGAGGATCTGTGCATCATTGATCTCGACAGCCGTGGCTTCCTCGAGCCTGGTCAGGTCTTCCACGGTGATCAGCTGATGAGCTGGGACCACGCCGACAAGCTGCACGGTCTCTCCACTGGCATTCTCAACCACTGGGTCTATGGTACGTCACTGTACCCGAACGCCTTTGCAAACTCTGCTAACCACGCACAGCCCAGATCCACGGCTACAAGTACTACTACATCGAGATTGACGAGTACGAGGACCGTCGCGACTCCTGGAAGAAGCCCCCCATCATGGCCGAGATCCTCAAGGACCACAAGACGTGCATCTACATGGACTCTGACGCCATCTTCCACCACATGGACCTTCCCTTTGAGTGGCTCATGAACTACTGGCAGATCAACCCTGAGAACAACTCCATGGCCCTCGCTTTCGACCCCGTTTCCGAGAAGAACACGGACAAGTTCGGCCAGGTGTACGTGAACACCGGCTTCATCGTCGTGCAAAACAACGAGAAGACCTTTGAGATTATGACCGAGTGGGAGGACTGCGCAAACGACGGCGGCAAGCACCCCGAATGCACCGAGTTCCGCACCAACGGCCCCGGCCACCCGACCGACCAGGGTGGCTTCGGTACCTACACCCGCTACGACTTTGAGGACGACATCAAGCAGCTCCCCTGCACCGAGGCCAACGGTTTCCTCGAGTCGCACTCGGGCTGCGCCGGCATCTTTATCAAGCACCTGTGGACCGGCAAGAAGGATTGGATCAAGATCAGCATTGGCGAGCAGCTCCCCGGCCGATACCTCGAGGCCTTCCACGAGGGCTTCCTCGCCGAGAAGGAGTCCTACTACTTCACCGAGAAGGACCTCTTTGACGGCAAGACGCACCCCCAGGTGGCGGCGTCCCCTTGATCAGATCATTGCTTTTTTTGTCTTGCATGTATGATTTGAGAAGGTCCGGTGTATATTTTGGCTCATTTCGTCACGGCCTATGATTTCTCACACTTGTTCACGGAGTATTGCCGCCATCGGCTGGATCACAAATTTGGGAAAAAGTTGTCCGGAATCTCGCCCACACAAAAACATTTGATCTGCGCATTTAGACAGCGAGCAACAAATGAGCCCGCTTTTTCATAATTAACGGGGAAGTGGAATATGCGTGGTGGAAAGGAGAGATCTCCTAACATTCTCGGGGTGGACGTAGGGATAGGCATTTCGCATAGCTGGTCGATCTATGAATACATGTTTTACGGTTACTCGGGCGTCCATTGATGCGCCTTGTTTCCCTGCCTCTGACATGTTTCAATGTCCCACAAGCTCACGCGCGCCATTTCGCTGCCAGCGTTATTCCTCAAAAGTACGCCATCGGTGGCTGCCCAGCGCTCCAATTCTCTGCCACGCGCCCCAGAAAGACTTCTTTCTCCCATGGTCGTCCCTCGTCTCGCAGCAATGCCGACACATGATGCCCGTTATCGCAACATAAGTTCCTCTTTCGTAGATCCCCAACGCACACTTGACGCCGCGGGGCAAACGTGGATCGATTGTGCCACGTGCACATGGAACAGCATTGTGGTGTCTGTAGTTGAAGACAGTGAGATCGTGGCCCTGCGTGCATGTTGAGCAGATGTTGTGGGGAGAATAAGACAGGCACATGTCTAAAGGGGCTTTCTTAATATTCTGGCAAAGTCCAAAATATGAGAATGCTCATGGGAAGGCTTAGGGGCTGTAGGACCTACAAGAAGGGCACTGTGAGTGAAGGTGAGTCCACGGTGTGTGAGTGACAAGCTCCCATTTCAAAATGAGGAGAGTCAGGCTCTCTATACGTTTCACATGTCTCATAGAATGGTCGTTGTCGGTTGTCGTGATCAGAACCCCCAGTGGACTTTGCATTGTTCTCAGCAAGCATCGGCGAGTACAATCTTAGCCACTCGGGCGCTGTGACCATTCAGAGATGTGGTGATGGCAGTGCCTACAATGGGCGAGATCAATCATGGACAGCATAGATAATTGGACAATTCTTTTCCCGACTTGCACGAACAGCTTCCGGCGCAACATGCTCGCATATAGGCTCACACGCGTGTCGGAAAGGCGAGGCTTGGACTCCACGTCGGTAGATAGCTTGTACACGAGCATTGAACAGCTTATGAGAGTGATGATCCGCATTGGGACGACGTTGGGACTAGGTTTGAAGGGTCAGACCGCAAGCGCCAAAAAGAAAGCATCTAGCTTTGTCTTTGACAATAGCCCACGTGGAATGCCACGAGCTATATGTAACTTCAGCCCCCTTCCAGAGACTAGAGGCCTAATTGAACTTTATCTAAGAGAAGCTTGTTTCCCAAGCTACATCTCAAACTTCAGCACCAGAACCGCCCTTTGTAAAGTGAATGCTGGCCCAATGTGACGCTTGTAGGGGCAATCAGAATGCTTCCTGGAGTCAGACAGCCAATCCTCGTGAGATGAGTCCTCCATGGCACGCCCTTGACTCAAGCAGTTACCATGAGTATGTGAAGAGATTCGAGGTCACCATCAGTCTCACTCGCCTTTCGGCCCCCCTGACGTCTCGAGCTCGCCGTCCGCCCAGATGACAATGTTCTTGGGACAGTCCTCCATTTCCTTGAAGAACCCCACAATCTCCTCCTCGCTGTACCGCAGACTAAAGTGCATCAGCACAAAGGTCGTCTTGGGCCACTTCCGAATGACCTTTTCCAAGTCTGTCCATATCGTGTGCTTTGTCCGCGTGGCTTGCTCTCGATGCTCCTCGATGAGGAAACTGCATTCTGTGATGACCACTGAGATTTCATTCTGCAGCCATTCTGGATCCGAAGCCAGGACCGAAGTCGAAGTGTCGCCCAGGAAGGCAAATATGGGCACTGTGTGAGGGTAGGTGATTTCAGTGCCCGATTCTTTGAGCTCTTTCAAGTCATGCCCTGATCGCTCCTGGAACTCCTCCTTGAGCTTGTGTCGTGTGCTACAAAAGACGTAGCCCACGCATGGAACGGTGTGGTCGCAATTGAAGACCTTGACCGACATGTCTTTGACTCTGTGTAGTTCCAGGACGTCGCCGTCCCTCACGCCATGTGTGGTGTGCGTATTCAACCAGGCTCTCTCGTTGGCAGTTCGACCCGGGTCATCCTTGTCTTCTTTCCCCTCTTGTCTCTTTGGGTCCATACCCATCTGTTCTGCATCCTCCGCTTTGATGTCGCCCCCCAGATTCATCATGGTGTCAGCGAGAATATAGTCGTTGAACGCCTTTTTCATCTGTGCGGGCACGTATACATCTGGCGGGTCATCCCGGCTCACAAACGCCGGTGAGAGAAGCGTATGGTCGTTATGGCCATGTGTGATGAATAAATGCCTAGGACGTAGTTTGTTAACACAGAGACCAGCGTCGAGCAAGACGTCGAGCTGTGGTATCACGAATGACGTGTGCCATGCGGCGCGAGATCTTCCGGTGAGGACGTAGTTCTGATAGGGCTTTGGGAATTGCCATTCAAGAACATTGGATCTGGGCGATTGCGGTAAGGGTGTAGCAAAGTTCTTTTGAGGGTGCGCCATGTTGATGCGCCGGCAGCAATGATGTCTGGGTGATCTGACAGAGGAACCTGCTCGGGGGTGGATGGAATCCGAGCACGGCGTCCAGGCCAGTCGCGAAACACGAGCAACGAATGTGGAGGGGCGAGCAAGATCAGGGAGCCACCACAACTTCATATGCTTCTATACGGTTGAGATCCTAGGCATAGATCAGCAGTCGAGATGACTTGAGGCTGAAGGAGCTAGACGCGCGCATCGATTAGTTGCGACTCCATCGGCTGGGGGCGTGTGGGATCGTCGCGGTGTAGGGCAGGTGGGGTAACACTCAGAACTTCAGAACACACTGGATTCTTGGAGTCTTGAGCATTTGCTCCGCGCGCCGCGTCTCGACTTCCTTCCACCTGACGAGCGCAACCACATCACAATCAATTTCTGGCAAATGTCGTCATCGCGCGATTGCAGGAGTCTTCATGTCGAGAGTCCTGTGGAACTTTATTCAACGTGCCATGCACCGTCACAAAGATATCGAATAATTAGCCCGCCAACACGACCCAGACGCGCCAAAGTCGACACGTGCTTTTTAGCGATGCTCTATCGCTTGTTCATCCACACTTGATATATACGTCTTTCGTCTATCATATACTCTTCTGAGACTTAATTGCGAGACAGACGGTGCTGCTCTAGACCTTGATCTGCTCCCAGTTGTTCTCGGGATCGAGGTAGTACCACCAATTGTACTCCTCGGGCTTCTCCGCGGCAGGGAGGATCTTCGACTCGGTGGGCAGCTTGAAAGCCTCCGTCGTTTCCTCCTTGGGGATATAGGTCGAGCAGAAGCGCGCGTTGGAGGTTTGGTTGCGCACAATCTTGCCGGGTTTGCTCTTGCCCTTCATGAGGTCCAGCCAGTAGTCGTGCGACTCGCTGAGGACCTGCTGAGCAAAGGTGGCATTTTGGTAACCATCACCCATAATGGTGTTGGTGCCGCTACCCTTGACCACCTTGTAGTAGATGAACCAGTCGTACATCTGCTGGCGGACACCAGGGCGGTACTTGTCGAGGTCCTCCACGGCTATTGCTTGTTAGCGACTCGCTGATGGCGCGTTACAGGGAAATGATTGACTTACAATCGATCTTGGAGGCAACAGGGTCCTCGACGTCAATGGCAATGACCTTCCAGTCGGTGGCCTCGTCGTCAATCATGGCCAGGGCACCCAGCACCTTGACCTTCTTGACCTGGCCAGTGTAGCTTGGCGGCAGCTCGCTGATATCGAAGATGTCTACCGGGTCGTTGTCGCCGGGGAACCCAGTGAACGGGTGGTCGTGGTTCTTGTCCTCCCATGTCTGGGGAATGGAGCCGTAGTTGAAGGGGTAGGTCTTGTGAGGCCACACGCTGTAGACGAAGCGGGGCAGGTCGTCCTTGTCATCGTGGAAGATGGGGTTGAGAGGCTCATCGCGCTTGGTCTCAATCTTGCCATCGGTCCATCGAGGGATCTCAGTGTAGTAGTGGATGATGCTCTTGTCCTCAGGATCGGGATACAGAGGAATGTCATGCCAGAAGGAGATGGGCTCGCCATCCTGCTCGAGCCAGATGCGCCAGTCAAGAGTGTTGCGAGCACCGACCTCACGAAGCGAGAGGTCCTTGATGTCAAAGGGCTTGCTGGCAGCTGCTGCTGCGGCAGGAAGAGCAGCCAGCAGGCGGATAATGTTGGTTGTGGTAATCATCTTGACGGATCGATACTCGGCAGGGGATTGCAACTGAGATGTTCGAATAACAGCCAAAGATGAAGCAATCTGGCACACGACAGCGTCGAGGGAGTGGCCAACCTTATTTAACGGTAATGGATGTCAACATGGCGGGCGTCCACCCGCCCAGCCTTGCGGATCTCGCCCAAACCGAGATGATCCTGCCAGTCTTGGCCTCGCGCGACTCCCAACACGTCAAGCACGTACATGGTTCCTCAGTCCTCTCCACGGTGGATGGCAACGACTACGAATCAGTGACAGCTTGTCCGCCCTCGTGCACGTGGGCTGGTTCCTGACGACAAGGCAGCGGCATGCCCAGCGAGGAGAATCCGCTGTGGAGAAAGATCGCAGGCTGTTTGTCTGCGGCCATGTCCCTGCAGCAGTGCAGACCCTGGTCGTCTCGATCCCCCACTGACATTTGGAGGTGACAGCACGTGGGGTCCAGCTTGAGCTCGAGAAACAATGATGCGCAAGACAAGGCTGCCCAAAGAGGAAGATCGCAAGATCGGGCTTCAGGAGCGATGTGAGCAGCCTGCAATGCAACATCAGTGTAGATTCCGTTTGGGTCGTCTACGAGCAGGGCGTTGCTCTCGTTGGAGATGTGAGCAAACATGTTCATCGGCGCGCAAGAAGTTTGTTTGTATCCGTCCTTTGTGCCGAATTCGGTCAAGCAGCGGAAATAAAAACATCAATCCTGACAGCGACTGGAGCGAGTCGAGGAGATCCAGCTCACAGCCAATCTCCTGGCTGTTGCCGCTAACCCGGGCCAAGAAGTCCACGCCTTGGGGCTCTCGTTGCTCGTAGAAGCACCACGTGTGAACATGGCTTCTACATTGAGTTACTGACCCCCACGAGGCGACCGAACTAAACAAGTTCAACTGCAACTATTATCGCGGACATATCTAGGCGGTCAGAACCCCTCTTCGTCACATTCAACTATTGCTATGCTTGCTTCGGCGCCGGTGGGAACGGCGAGATCCGCCTTCTCACCCGCGACTACTTTCATTCTCATGACGGCTCAGAGCGCACGTGCGCCGCCAACAATTTACGCTTAATGACTGGTGTGTCTCGTTAGGCTTGGGGGGCGTTTCCTTCTTCAGCTCTTCTCGACTTGTTCCAGAAGATGTATGCAGCGCGGCGTGCTGGGACCCAGCCGCGTATCTTTGATCGAGCTGACATGAAAACTAGTGACGCTCGTGCAGTTTATCGAGCAAGGTTGCAGGAGGTCTCAACGCCCGCATTCATCAAGCGAAGAGAGACGAGATGGGTCAAGTGGCAATCATTTATCTGCAATTGCCATTTGATCAATCTGGCCCATCTATGCAGTTGCAGTGGGCATGGTTGACGGTTGACGTAACAACGACAGCGTCCGTCACTAATAGTCTCTCCATGCGTCAACTTCACGCAGTTGAATTAGTCTTGGGTCAGGACCTAATTCTTACCATGCATGGCAGAAGGGCTCTGGCGAAAGGAGCCTTTCTTGCGGGTTCATTGACCGAAAGATCCACCGATGAAATTGCCCTTTGTTAAGTCATTGGCGTGTATGGGAATGACGCTGAAATTGGCATCCTTGATGTACACGAGCCCGTCTTTGAAGAGGGAGCCAAACGCATTGGCATTCCTATCTATTCTTCTAAGTGCAAACAGGTTGCTCACAATGTCCTTAAGAAGACATATTCCTACGGCTCACTCGAACGCCCAAACGACCCGACCACCTCCCCCGGCTTTTGCTCTCTCAACCACGTCCTCTCAACCTCCAAACTGCTTGTCCCCAGATCTTGCCAGTCTAGCTGGCTCCATTTCTCTGGCTCCTCCATTGCCTGGTGAAAGTGCTTCATGGCGAGGACGCACTGTTCCGCCCAGCGCTGCGGACTGACCTTTCCAACCCCGGTGGCAAGCGGTGTCATCAGAATGCTCCCAATCTTGTGATTCGGATTGGCCTCGTTGTGGTTGGATATTGTGACGAGAAGAGACCAGATGCAGTTGTATATAACCTCCCGATCCCAGCGCACGTTGGCCGGGACACGCATGGTCGGGCACAAGGCAACACTCTTGGTACCCCAAAGGTTCCGGCTGCGCGTGCTGAACTCGGGAGGAATCTCAACCAGTGTGCACGTTCCGGGCGGTGCGTATCCCCTCCATTGCTGGTACAGCACCCTCTGCGCGGCGCGGGTCAGAGCATAATAGTCATCTCGAGGGGAGAAGGCGCGTGAGATGGCGTCATCGAACGCGCCGTCGAGTTTTCCATACGAGTTTGCGGGCGAGACAACCGTGTCGAATTTGACACTCTCGTCTAGCCCGGCGAGGGTACAGTTGTGGATCGTGATGTCGATGGACTTGTCCAGGTTGAGCTTCTCACGGGCGGCGTTGAATGCGCCGCCGTCTGTAGATTGCCTGCATAGCAGGTGAATCTTGGGGAAATGCGGATTGGATGACATGCCCGTTGCTTGGGTGCGATTACTAGTAGTATAGAAGCCTGGGCACGAAAATCTTCGAGTATGTGAGTGAATTCCAGGTTGTGTTGTAATGTTGGGACTTGTAACATCAGAGCGCAGAGAAGTGCGAACCGTACAGTTTGAGTATGCCGCAGTGGCGGGGAGAGCCAGAACAGTACACGTATACATTCCGGCATTCGGGACCTCACTTAGGCAGCCATGTCTGCACATTTTTGAATGAATTTCTTCATCATGAGACCTGAGATCATTTTCTGTTGCACACGCCACCCACACTTGACGACGGCGGAGGACACTTATACCCCAGCCAAGTGTCTGGTTGGTGCACCTGCGCCAACATCTGCTTTGGAAGCCACTGGTTGTTGGCACATACCATCCAATAAAAAACTGTGCCCCTTCTTCCGGCAAGCAAAAGAACGTGCCTTATAACAACTAACAGGCCTTGCGTGTTGTCTCGGGCAGTCTATACTGCGTACATGTGCTTGACCCCCTCACGAACGTTTGAAGTCGATTCTCTGCTGGACGGGCTGCTCCACGTCCCAAACCTCAATGGGCAGCATTTCGACTTCTGCCATTTTCTCGCCGTTCTCGTACAAGGCTGCGTGAATGGTCCATGAGGAGTCGACGGCTTGCTCGGTGAAGCAGACGTTGTTGAGTCTGAACTTGTAGGCACCCTCGGGACACAGCAGATGCTTCTTCCCCGTGATTGCGAGGTCGCCTCGTAGAATCTCGGACGTGGGATCGTCATAGGGCTGCGCGCTTCGTTTTGAGATTGTTAGAACGAGTGTAGCTGGTGGGGAGTCGTAGGGGATAGGTTCATCGCGCCAGTACTCGATGACAGGGACCGGCAGGAGGGTCTCGTTCGCGTGCCAGCGCGCGGAGGGGTGGTCAACAATGTTGAGTGACATCTTGCTGTGCGTGAGTTCTCTCTTGGATTTCTTTCGAATGCTTCTTGGTTGTACTCGGCGGATAACATGTCCATGAGCAGCAGTGTTGTGTGTGTGAAAAGGGGTTTTATAGCATGTCACAAAGGGCCGACATCGGCGCACCTTGCTAACCAAGGGAAAGAGGTAGAATCAGGGGTTTTGGACTGATAATCGGATGGCGTGCTTCTTCTGCCTGTTGGACCTGAGCTTCGTCCGATCAATAACATGGCCCAAACGCAGGACAAGTGTGGTCGATCTATTGGCTCCTTGGGCAGCGTGCCGGATCACAAGAGTCGGAGGCTGATCAGCATATAACTGAAAGTCACGTCATCTCATTAGGTATGCCCCTGAAGTCTGTGTAGCTCCTAGCAAACAGGGCATCGCATTCTGCGGGCCGGAGCTCGTGCCAGGCAGTGTTGCAAACACTCGCCGATATCGTGGCCATATAGATTCTGATTGTGGCCATTGTTCCTCAGCCGCATTCTAGCATCTGTCGTTGTTTCATATCTTCCTCTCAAGGCCTGAAAATGACTCTGTGGCCCTGAACTCTTTGGCCACAAGAGCGATCCTCGTGGCGGTAGTCAGGAACAGGTGACTACCCTGCACAACATGAACCCTCAATCACGTATCACCGCCAAGACCGCCGATACTGGGACAATGTACAGTAATTGTTCCAGATGTGGGTGAGGAGGAGTGAGTAAGGTGAATTAGCTTGACCCATCGCCTGAAACAAATGCTTCTCTTTGTGTTTGTTGAAAACGTGTGAAGTGTTCTACAAAAATGAAGTGTTCAATGAGGCTAGATATTGACAAGACAGCATTCATGGAATCTTTCCCCCGATGAGTTTCTGGTGACGTAGCAGAGGCAATCCGGATCCATAGGATAGCAGTCAGCAATCGAAGTTTTACTTCGATAGAACAATCAAAACATAGGTACCTTCAAGTTGGTATGCTGCCCAGGGTGCTGCGATAATGACGCACGTGATACAAGTGGGGCGAGGGACCGCGGGGCAGATCCCGCCCGAGTCAACCCCTCCAAAACTTGACAATTCGACGAGGGGCACGCGCGCAAGCTTTGTTCTTCCGAGTCAAGCTCTTCACAATATTCCGACACCAGCAAGATGGGCGCCCTCGACATTGAGACACTCGTCCCGGCCATCGTTGCCGCCGACTTCAAGACCCTCGAGCCGCACCTGCTTACTCTCGAGAAGCATCTGACCCTTCGCACCTACATCGCCGGCTACGACCTCTCCGACGCCGACAAGAAAGTCTGGTCGGCCCTGCGAAACAACAAGGTAGCCATTGGGCTGATCCGCAAGGGTCAGTTCGCGAGCGTGACGAGATGGTTCAACCACATTGAACAGGCGCATCCCGAGGTCAAGGAGGAGGCCGTACCTAAGCCTAACAAGAACAAGGGTGGCGCCAACTACAACATTCCTCTCCCTAATGCTGAGAACGGTGTTGTCACCCGCTTCCCACCCGAGCCCTCAGGCTACATGCACATCGGCCACACCAAGGCTGCCCTTCTCAATGACTACTTTGCCAACGAGGCCTTTGACGGCAAGATGATCCTCCGTTTCGACGACACCAACCCGAGCAAGGAGAAGCAGGAGTACCAGGACTCCATCGTGGAGGACACCAAGAACCTCGGCGTCAAGATCGATCGCATCACCCACACGAGTGATTACTTCAAGGAGATCTACGAGCATGCGCAGAAGCTCATCAAGAGCGGCAACGCCTACGCCGACGACACCGAGCCCGAGATCCAGAAGGAGGACCGCATGAACCGCCGAGCGAGCAAGTGCCGTGACCGTCCTGCCGAGGAGTCGCTGGCCATGCTGGAGGAGATGAAGAACGGAACTGAGCTGGGAAGGAAACACTGCATCCGTGCCCGTATCCAGTTCGACTCGAGCAACGGTGCCATGCGTGACCCCATCATCTACCGCTTCCCCAACTGGGCCGACAAGGCGCCCGCACCTCACCACCGCACTGGGTGGGAGTGGAACATTTACCCGACCTACGACTTTGCCTGCCCCATTGTCGACAGCCTCGAGGGTGTCACCCATGCTCTGCGCACGACGGAGTACGCCGACCGCAACGAGCAGTACCACTGGTTCCTGAATGCGCTTGACATTCGTCGCGTCAACCTGTGGGAGTTCTCGCGCATCAACTTCATTCGCACATTCCTCTCAAAGCGCAAGCTTTCCAAGGTTGTCGACAGCGGCAAGGTCAGCGGCTGGGACGACCCCCGCATGCCCACCGTCCGCGGTATCCTCCGCCGTGGCCTGACGACTGCCGCTCTGCGCGAGTTCATGGTCAAGCAAGGACCCAGCCGCAACATTGTCAACATGGATTGGCATGCTCTGTGGGCCACCAACAAGCGCATCCTCGACCCTGTCGTGCCGCGCTTCACCGCGATCGAGAAGCAGGATGCTATCCTGGCCACACTGACTGGGGGACCCGAGGCTCCTTACTACGAGGATCGCCCCCGTCACCAGAAGAACCCCGACGTCGGTAAAAAGTCTGTACGCTTCAGCAGCAAGGTCTGGCTCGAGCAGGCTGACGTGCTGACCCTGGCTCCCGAGGAGGAGTTCACCCTCATGCAGTGGGGCAACGCCATTGTCAAGGGTCTCGACAAGGCGTCGGCACCCATCAAGGAGCTGCAGCTGCAACTGCACCTCGAGGGTGATTTCAAGAAGACGGAAAAGAAGATCACATGGCTGTCGGAGAACCCTGACCTGCTGGAGGTTGAGCTGTGGGACTTTGACTACCTCATCACCAAGGATTCGCTGGATCCCGAGGACAACCTAGACGATTTCCTGAACCCCAAGACGGAGTCCATGAGCCTCGCGCTCTGCGACCCCACCGTCAAGGAGCTCAAGGCTGGCGAGTTCCTGCAGCTCGAGAGGAAGGGCTATTTCCGTGTCGACAAGGCGGCGGGCGAGGGCCCCGAGGGACGGGCTGTTTTGTTCAAGGTGCCCGCTGGTGGAAAGTGAGGGTCATGTTTACAGCTTAGATGAAATAAAGATGTCCAAAGAAGCCCTCTGCGCTGCTTTAATTAGAGATCACTGGGGCTAAAGAACGATATTTCGACAACTTTCCACTCATCGCCACCAAAGGCAAACGTTTGTCCCTGTGAGAGGTCATTGGCAGACAAGATGTGGTGGCATGGCAAGCTACCAGCGCCCATGTCCAGAACCTTTTCCCACCCACGTTCACCAAATTGCCATCTCTCCACGCTGATTTCTCCCGCTTTCCTGAGGAGGCCTTGACAGTACTGCCCTGCCAGAACCACCGAGCCCCTGGTGTCGTTGCCATTGTCCATCTGCACCACGACACTTCGAATCTTGTCGCCCGACACGGGCAACACTTTGACATCTCTCCACAGCTCTTCGTATTCCGTCTCCTTGCCCGTGGCAGGATTGAGCATGACACCCTTCTCTAGCGTTGTGCCATCGGGCTGTGTGTAATTGTCCCCTTCATCCGCGACGCCGTCGGTGTCCGTGGTGCGCGAGTCAATCCAGTGCGCCCAGCGACCGCGTGTGTGGTCACCTGCGGGCTCGTAGGTGGACGTGCCCGCGATAGCCCAGTCAAGCTGGTCGGGCATCAACTGGACTGTCTCGGCGGATGGTGATGGCCAGTCTGCTGGTGCTGAGGCGGGGCGGAGGGCGCGAATGTCCACAAAGTGACTGCCGGGGGAGGTGACGACAATGGTGGAGGTTGGCTCGCTGGCGTCGTCGGGGAGCCAGCGGATGTACTCGCGCAGGGATACGCTCATGATGGTTGCTGATCGGTGTTTTGGGGATGGTGAGGTGAAGTTGACAAGCTGTATACTGCGAGTCCCACGTCACTGTCAGGTCGATGTGGAGATGCCGCAACTGGAGTCTCGACTCTCGAGCAGCGACATGCAGATGTGGATGTAAATATGAGTGACTGGCCGGGTTGACCCTTTCACACCATGGGAAATATATTTTCTTCTACGCGGTTTTTGACTCGGTCACCATCACATCATTGCTACAGTTTCTCGGGTGCACCATGCACGCAAGCTTGCCCCTGCCGCGCGGGTTTCCCTCTCTCCGATTATCGAATTTTTCCTGAAGAAGACACGACGAGAATATGAAAGGCATCAAAGAGACCTGGAATGTACCTTGGACTGGCTCTAATTCAAAAATGTCCTCTTGCCATTGCTATTGCCGGGAAACGACGTTCATCGGATACCACTGCACCAGATTCTGAACGATCATCAACTTCACAACGCGAGAATGAAGATATTCAAAGGAATCGAACATGGAGAGCAGCATGGAGTATCAATGTTCCTGAAGCGTTTGTATTCATTGCAGGCTGAAGCCAGCATCCGTCGGATTCAATTGAGTGATCCTGTTCCGACAGGTACTTGGCATGCCAACGCTGCGCAAGATACAAGCGTCAGCCACACGATCTTGGAAGAGACTTTCAGTCAGTGACTCCGAGTCTGAAGTACCAGGCTACGAGAGAAAATTGCGCTCACTGACATTTATGAGAACAAAATTGATCTAGCCTGTACTGCTCAGCCTGATGCCGAGTCTGTCAGGGCCCGGGGCACATTAGATGGCCCTCACGTCAACATGGGGTTGCGAGTCGCGAGTCGCGAGTCGCGACTCTTCCTCCGCTAATGAGCACGGACAGCTATAGAGACATTTCCAACATCCAGTCGCCTTCCGGGTGTGGCGGTCTGCCGGACATCCTGGGGTCCTTCACGTGGGGTATCAAGTGACTATACGGATACTTGGAGAAACGATAGACCCCGCAAAGTCGGCACTCATGATACGGATGAGGTGCCGTCTTGCCCAGCTGCAAACTAGACTGTGCACGATTAGGGGGGTCTGCGACTCTGCAATGCCCTGGAGACGTCAAGACTCAACGGACCCAAGTCCGAGACAAGGGCTGGCGATGAACCCGGATTCCGGAAAGGTAGCTAGGCAGCTTGGCCCGTCTACGGACCTCTGGAGTATGTGATCGGCTTTCTCACCGATCCCCAACCACGTTCTTGCACAATCGGACTCTATTGCGGACCTCGCCCCACGGGGTTCATGTGGGGTAAGCCGTAGACCGTGGGTTCCCCAGAGGCGGACCGAAAGAACGGGGGTTGTTCACGAGTCAGTCGAGGGACAACGGCTTGGTTTGAATCCATTGTACATATAGCTTCCTCCTTCTTGACATGTCGAGGAGAATTTCGATCCGCTCGCCCTCTCATCACTAGCAGATAGGTTGATCAGCCACTGCAATCAATCTTGGTCTCTTACTTCTTCTCGCACCGCCAGACACACAACTGCCAGCAACCATGGGTGGCGGAACTTCCATCTGGGCCTCGCCCGATTACAAGAAAGATCCCAGGGAGATCTTCAACAAGAGGCTTCTTCTTCTGGCGTTGACGACTGCCTGTGCAGGCTGCGCTTATGGATTCGACCAAGGCAATATTGGCGGTGTCCTCACATTCCCTGCCTTCCGCTCGACCTTTGGATACGATGAGCTCTCCGCTCAAGCTGCGGATGAGAGAGAAGGCGTGGTAGCAGGCATGCGTACGTATTTCATCTTATCCTGAAGAGCGTGAATGCCAGCCCTTTGTGCCATACTGACTTTTCTTCTGTGCAGTTTCGGCCGGCGGCGCTGGAGGTGCCCTCATTGCGGCCCCCCTTGCTGACTTCCTCGGCCGCAAGTACGCCATTGCCATCATGAGCACTGTCTTTATAATCGGCGCTGCCCTGCAAGAAGTCCCTATCCTGGACGCCATGTATGTTGGCCGATTCCTGGCCGGCCTGGCTATCGGCGCCACGTCCATGGTACGCTTCCTCATATACATACCCCTGGCACGATACGTCTGCTAACAATCCGACCAGCTTTCACCCCAGTTCCTGGCGGAAAACTCGCCCAAATCCATCCGTGGCACACTGACGACCTCATACAACCTCATGATCATCATGGCGCTCGCTCTTGCCTTTTGGATCAACTACGGTATCAGCCGCTGGCCAGAGGAGCAGTTCAAGACGAATAGATCTTGGCAACTGTCCCTCGGCATCCAGATGATACCAGCGGGCTTCGTCATGATTTCGATTTGGTGTACGTTTAAGTTCCCGTGGAGTTGTCGATCCGCACACTGACAGTAGCCAGTCCTCCTCGAGACGCCGCGTGCTCTGATCGCCCGAGGAAAAGACGAGGAAGGACTCAAGAACCTCTGCAAGCTCCGCCAGCTGCCAGCTGAGCACCCCTACGTCCAGCAGGAATACAACGAGATTGTGGCCCAGACCGAGAGCGAGCAAGGCAGCGCCAGGAGCTTCAACTACATTGCCGTGTTCAAGTCCCTAGCAGGCAGTGCGACCAACCGACGTCGCTTTCTCCTCTCTATGCTGCTGTTCCTCTTCCAGAAGCTGACCGGCACCGACGCCCTCAACTACTTTGCGCCTCAGATCTTCACCATGATTGGTGTTCCGGCCGGTTCCAGCTCGCTTCTGACTGTTGGTGTGTATGGCATTGTCAAACTGACGGCCACCATCATCTATGTGTCGTTTATTGTCGACCGTGTCGGCCGCCGTATCCCGCTTCTCGTCGGAGGAACAATCCAGGGCTGTGCTATGCTCTACATGGGCCTCTACCTCCGATTCGGCAACGTGGAGGCTGGCGCTGGGACCAACGCTGGAGGCATTGTCGGGATCATCTTGTAAGTCGATACGCTCCAGAATGGACGTGAACATGTGCTTACATCTCCGCAGTATCCAGCTGTATGCCATCGGCTGGTCTTTCGGCTACTCGGTCGCGCCCTACGTCGTCACCGCCGAGATCTTCCCGACACGCATCCGCTCCGTCGGCATGTCGCTGTGCTTCTGCTTCAAGTGGCTCGTCACCTATGGCATCACCTCGGCTGTCCCTCACATGATGCGCAATCTTGGCTACGGCACGTTTCTCTTCTTTGGATGCTCGACCCTGTTCGGCGTCTGCGTCTTCTATGTGATCTTGCCCGAACTCAAGGGCCGCAGTCTCGAGTCGATGGATGATCTCTTTGAGCGCCCTCTGTACAAGATGTGGAAGCATGCCTATCCCACCGAGGAGGAGAAGGTGTACCATACCACTAACCCGGTTTTTGAGGAGAAGGAGGGTTTCGAGCACGTCACGAATGTCGAAACACGCAAGGGAGCCGATGTCTAAATGCTTCTCTTCTCATGGATGTATGCGAAGAATGGGTGGGATGTGAGGGAACGGCTTATTGTGTTCGTGAAGAGCGTGAATACAAATTTTTATCCAATTTGATTTTTGCGCGTGACATAGCGGAAGCTCCTATATTTAAAATGAGCCCGGGAAAACTCATACATGGACAGAGCTCTCGGAGTGACATAGAATAGTGCAACCCTAGGAGTAGGACCTTGACATGTGCTGCTCAACTTAGCAATGCTAAAACGCCTAAACCCATTGTTTGTTTACTGTTTCATTACATACCAGTACTTAGGGACGCTCAACAAAGACTGCAACTCGATACACTAAATTTCTATCTGAAGTGGAACTGGTGTAAACTCAACCGCGCGCTCAGTGTTAACGCATGCATCGGACGTGCCTATTGGATCGCCGACGCGTCAAGGATTTTCATATTCACTTCAGATTGACAGTACCAGAAACTCTCTATCTTTGCTAGATTCTTTCAGAACTTGCTCACACTCCTCGAACGCATACCATCCGTTCTCTCTCACTTACATGCTCCTTGATCGCCACGCATCATCCTTCTCCTTCTCCTCATCAACCTACAGGTACCAACGGTCACTATGCAAGACTCCGACCTAAGAAAGATCATGAAACGGTAATTCGAGAGTATCTACGACGTCTCTATTGACTTACCGTGAATAGATACCAGGAGACGACGCCGAAGGATTTGGTAATCGTCTGCGGCTCGATGGAGTATCACGTCCACAAGTTGATCAGTGCTCTCTCACCATTCTTCCAGAAGGCTTGTGAAGGGGAGTTCAAGGTATTTTTTGGTTCTCGAACAAAGATTTGTCGACTAATTCAATCCACACAGGAGGCTCGTGAAGGCAGGCTTCACCTTCCTGACGATGACCCGAGGTCTGTCGACGCTATGGTTCAGTGCGCTGCCACCGGCTCCTATCAGCTAGCATCACATACGGTCGATGGAGGAACCTTGCTTGATCATGTCAAGGTCTGGGCACTGGGACAGAAGTACGAGCTCCGAGGATTTCGAGACGCTGCACTTGGTGGATTTCGTGGCGCCTTTGGGAGCTACTGCCGTTCATATAATCTGCGCGACAAAGAGACGGCATCGGCTGTTGCTGAAGATTTGATGGAAGCTGTCGACTACGTCTACACAAACACAGTTGCCGATCAGATCTCGTCCACCCGGAGACAGCATGATACTGTCTGGACTAATCAACTGCGGGAGGAGTTGGCTCGCCGACTTGCAAGGAGTCAAAAGGCTGTTGTGCGTGAAGAAGCTAGACGCGCTGCCCAAAAACATCATGCCTTCGCTTTTGAACTTCTCATCGCCCTCGAGGAGATAGCGGGCGGCCCCCCTGAGGATCCTACCGTCGAAGGTAGCGACAGCGCGTCCAGTGCCAACTCCACTCCTCATGAAAGCATCGAGCAATTCAGGGATGAAGCCCAGAGCTGTGCCCAGATGTAAGGGCCGGGTGTGAGAAACGATGGCCATGGACAACGTCTTCATCCATGGTTCAGGACTTTGGGGCTCGCGCGGGACAGGGGGTTGTTACGGCATGCTCTCTTGATACAGATCCTTCCACAATCAGATCGAATTAATTCATCAACTCGAAAAGGCAACTTCGAGCATCAGCGTACCTACTTCTGCAACCTCACAATCTTGCTGTTGGCATTAGCGGCCTTCAGCTGCGCGACCAGGTCACTTGTGTGCGAAATTGCGTCTCTCGCTCCATCCCAGATCTTCTTCTTTTTCTGAACTTGACGCAAGACGTGACGCTGAAGTCGACCTTGTACCCAGTGCAAAGCAGGAGGACGTCGGCGTCTTTGACGGCCTGCCCATCGGAAACCCCAATGCTTCTTCCGCCGAGGGATCCCTTTCCTTGCGCATGGGCGTGATAGATCCATCTTTTAGGAGCGGGAAGATGTCCTCAAAAGCTTGAGAAAGACTCAAGCCGACAGGGAGACCTGTCTCGTCGGGAACGTGCTACGCGTGACTATGAGTTCTGAACCGCCTCATGGCCGATTGGATGACAAAGAATTGCGAGGCGCATGTGCAGTCTGGGAAACAGGCTCTCCAGGACTTCGGCACCGCGTTGTCAGACAAGGTTAGATGAGAGCAAAAGAAGGCACCGACGTTCCATCACATCACCATGATAGCGCCGCGCCGATGGGATACTTCGACTTTCGACGCACACGGGATAGGAAGAGGGCCAATTCCACACGCGGCCGGGCCCAGGCAGGCCGCTAATGAACATGAAGACCTTCTCTTCCCTCATGGTCTCCCGGCTATGATGGGTCGTCAGTGGCTGCCAGGGTTTTGTCCAAGACCTTTTCACTCTCTGAATGACCACGTATCGGGATCTTCCCCGTGAAATTCTCCTGCCTGATGACGAACCTGCCAACATCGCGGTATAGCTGCGCGTTGTGTAATGACCTCTCCCGCGTCCAAGTCTCTTCATCAACTTTCTCCCAGGCAGAATCATCCTATCTCATGCGCATGTATCTCGAATTGAGAGACTTGGCCAATATGCTGCGGTACTCTTGCAATAGAAATTGTGTCTTTGGAATGTTTGAGTTGTTGGGTCTGGAAGGATATGAGGTCGGGGTTGTGCTCTCTGTCTGTCAGGGTTCTGGGCCCCTGACGTGCAACATGAACAGGCATGGAATACTCCAGAGCTGGATTCCGAGTCAAGGGTCTGAGGATTGAGGCCTGCAAGGTCTTGGAATAGACAGGGCAATTCCCACAATATGAATGGTCATGACTGGGTGTATGTTCTCCATCTTATTGAGAACCTACTACTTCACTAGGTCCCTGCTTAAAGAGATGTGCTTTTCATTCGGCAAACTGTCTTGAATTCCTCCGACGTCCCCACGCCAGGTATGCGATGCTGTATGTATGTCACCAGACTGTTGTGACCAACACGGCGTCCCATAGTTCGCACAGAATCCCATGTTCACATGTATCCATGTTCCTCCCTGACTATGGAGGTTGTGATGACAGGGGGAGACAGCTGGCAAGAGAAATCCTAGATGTAGCAGAAGCTCTTGAGTAGGACCCAGAGGCAGAGGAGTACAGCTACTACGAAGGAAATAAAATGGGCAATCCGCTCCACCTTCTGACCAGCTTTGCGCTTCACCAACTCGTCGCAGAGAGAACCACACAAGTCAGTGGCCAGGGATGGGACATCGGCCCAAAGCGTTTCCATTGCCCTGCGATGCGCCAGGTTGTCGGACGCCCCGTGACGAGCCAGTGCGTTCACTAGCAACGAACGCAGTTGCCTTCCCTTTTCCGGCGTCGTGTTGCGGTAGATCACCGACACCGCGTGGTGGAAGAGCGAGCGCTCAACGTGTCCAGGGAAGTCGTTGATCATTTCTGAAAAGTGCTTCAGGGCGAGAGCGCGCAGGCCCGGGACATCGTACTTATTAGCCAAGATGAAGACGTGCGAATGGAGGGGCAGTCGTCGGACGGCAGCTGGGGGTTGCTGCGTTGCCCCCCAACTCAGGAGCAAGTAGTTTTTCAATCTTCGTGTAGTTCCCGAAACACGCGTACTCGACCAGGGCGGCGATAGCCGTGGGGTCGTCGTCCGACAAGTCGAGGATGGCCTCGCCCAGTTTTTTGGATTTGTGAGCGTGATACTGCATTGTGGGGAAGAGAAGATACTTACATTGACCTTGGTCTTCTTGTTGTCAAAGAGATCCCTGAACAAAGGAGATTGCGCGGCGAGAATAGACTTACGAAGCTTGAATTCCTGACCAGAGCAGGTGATGGTACATTCGGCCCCGAGTCCATCTCGAAGACTGAGATAGGTCAGCTTGGTGGTTTCAAGGAATGTGTTTGACACTCACGCTTGCATAGAAACGACTAGAAAATGACTAGCAAAGTCTACCAAGGGCTCTGCAACGGAGGATTGATTCTTGGGCATGGTGGCGGGTGTTGCGAGGGTTTGCTGAGGTAACTGACGAGTAAAGAAGGTCAGGGCTCTTGATGTAGTAGATGATGACGAGAGAAAAAGAAGAGTTACAGAAGAATACAATCTCTAGTGTACAAGATGAAATTCAGGTGTGTGACCGAGGAAGCTGTCAACGAGGCAAAAAGTGCTGCCTCCTTTCGCAAACAAATAGTCTTCCCGTGGCCCCACTCTGGCCTCGTTCACCTCAACTGATGCTGACCAGTGACCAGACCAGAGCCGTGAATTCAGATTCACCGCATTGTGGGAAAAAGCTAACATGAATCTGACCGTAGGTTGAGAGATGTATCTTGGATTACGATCAGCGTGTTCTCCACAGTCTTGCGGTTCCTGGCTGCATTTCTCTTCCTACAATATCACACTTTGACACTGCACTGCACATACACACCCACCCTGCTCTACAAGCTGTGCAAACAATTCTGATTCTATGTCCGACCACAAAGAAGAGTCGGGTGCGGGCACCAGCCCCCCGCCAAGGACCATCGAGCAATGGACCTCCATGCTCCAGAAGTAAGTCATGCCTTCACCTGCCGCTCGCCGAGGCCCCTGGTTGAATCAATGCAGCCTACGACGTGGAAAGTACGCAGATTGTACGATCCAGAGCGTTGATAGAACGTATCGAGTCCATAAAGCTTTGTTCTGCTCCCAGTCCAGTGTTTTCGAGGCCGCTCTCGACGGTCCATTCAAGGTAATCCCTCTGACATTGTGAATGATGCGCTACTAAAGAAACCAGGAGGCACAAACTGGCGTGCTCAACCTGCCTGAAGACCACCCGCAGGCTCTGGAAGCGCTTATCGACTACATCTATCTCGGAGACTATGACGCGAGCTCCTTGATACCCACAGAACCAGATAGGAATCAGTCCCAGGAACAGGAACAACAGACGGTCGATCATGCCTTCGATCACGCTGGTTTCGTTTTACCTTTCGCTCCGACCATGGCTGATCTGGAGCAAGTCCCACTCCACGCGGAAGTCTTCATCCTCGCCGACAAATACGACCTCCGAAGCTTGTGTGGTTTTGCGTCGGAAAAGATTCTCGCTCTCATCGCAAAGAATCGTGATCATATAGTTGACGAAAACTTTCTGCAGATCATTCCTCTTCTATATACGCATGAAGCCTTCAAAGACGAGGAAGAATTGCGCAAGGAGGTGGTCAAGGCATTATCCTGGGCACCGTTGGCTAACGATCCAGAGCGAGTGCGGGATGTACTTGCCGAGGTTCCAGAGTTGGCCCTTGACTTAGTCTTGTCTCTTCAAAAAAGCCCCTTTCCGCAAAACGTGGTCCAAGAGGCGCTTGAGCGCCATCGATCTCAAGTTCGAAACCACATTCGTTGTAACTGCGGTCACAGGATAGCATTGGGATACTCAAAGCTTGCCGGAAAGGAAATTAGTTTCGCTTGCCGGAGATGTGGCCAGAACTTGCGAGACTTCTCTCACACGTTGCGTTAAGCAGGCAGACTGTCAGACGCAAGAGCCACGAGTGTAGAGCTGAGGCTATGGTCTCAGGGAAACACGGACTTGCTCGCCTTGAGAGATTGAGACAGACTTGAGATAGATGACAATGGGGGCGCTTCGGATCTAAATAACATTTCACCAGTTTCTAGTGACTTCCGATGCTCAAATCGAAAATGGCTCGCCAGGCTCGATTCTCAGGTGTGACAATGTAACCCGTCTAACCGTCTGGCTTCAAATTCGTGAACAATATATAAGGGATCACTATGAATCGCGGGACGTTCATTCAAACCCTGGAAGCATTCTGAGGTCCGGGACGAAGTGTCGGCGATGAGTTCCCGGGAAAGTTTGAGGCAGCCTACATGTATGGACCAAATTAGCATCCAGCCATACAGTTGGCCGCTTCAATGGCCCCTGATATATACAAGACGCTCTACTCAATGAATGCAATGCCTTCTGGCTCCTGGCCAGTGGCCTGAGGCGCAGCACAGGACTGGTACCGACCAACATACATGTTTGAGACAAGCAGGGGATCCACCGTGGACGACCGGCTGGATTTTACCGCCGATGGTAGCTGAGTGATCTCCCAAAAATCAACATTAACCTGCATTTGCCAAGCCGGGCTCTAGGATTGAAGAGTTCAATCAGTTCCGTACGTCCACCGCTAGCAAATGCATCGGCCAATCTAACAGGGACAGGGGAGGAAGGAGAGGGTTGCGTCTTCTATTCCTTCATCAGTCTTGTGCCAGTGAATCTTCAGCATGAAGCATGAAGATTCATTCGGAAGAATTGGACACAGGACCTTCGGATAAAGCAGATTCCCGTGTCGTCAATCAAGTCCCCTGATCCTCGACTGCGCTCCATTACCGCGCCGCACCCCTGCATTGGCTCAGACTCTCTGGCAGACGCGGTCAAAGAGCGTGACCGGTCAGGCGGTTCTCCAGCTGGCGCACTTACATGCCTACTATGCTCGAGCCTGCTGCAGACTGAAAGACGGGCCGGAGACTTCTTCACCCTCCAACATCGTGCCGCCCCCTGCCAGGACGTGGAAGTCCCCTGTGTGTTTATGCGCCTCCCGATCTTTGCACACCGACAGCGAGGCATATACTCAAACTACACTGTGATTCAATTGGTCTTAAAGAGCCCCAAACCCACAATGAGGTTGTAAATAGAGGCGCGGAATCCGAAGCCCGCCAGAACAACAAGCTCGATCACGACTGAACGGCCACTCTAGTATCTATACATCTCCTACTGTGGAATTCACGATGCTCGAAACGCCCAAGGAGGCCGTCGTGGTAAGCACAGATCCCTTCATCTGCCCAATGGCACCGTCGCCGCCTGCTGCCCCAGCGCATCTAGCTAATACGACACGTCAACAAACAGTTTGTCGAGTCCATCCTCCTAGCTCTATCACTCGCAGCCGTGGTAGCCCGACTGTTCGTCCGCCGGGTACACCAGGGGCAAAGTCTCACTGTCTGCGACTGGCTTCTCGTGGCCTCCATGCTCGACGCCATTGCCCTGTTCACGACCGACATGTTAGCCTACAAGCTCGGGGCCCTGGGACCTTGGCCAACATCGGTGGCCGATGAGATCAGCTTGAAGAAGGTCACGTTTGCGGGCAACTACTTTTACGACACGGGCATCTACTTCCCCAAGTTGGCGCTGTGTGCGCTCTACTTCAAGCTCATCCCGCCCACGATGCCGAAATTGCGCAAAATCATGCACGCCACGAGCGCGTTGACGGCGACGTTTGCACTCACTACATGCTTCCTAGACACATTCTGGTGTGGCACTCGACCCTCGGTGAACTGGAGCTTGGGAGAGGGAGCCTGCAGTACCTACGATTCCAAAGAGGTCTTCCACATTGACTGGGTCATGAATATTGTGTCTGATGTTATCAGTAAGCCACATTGCAGTGTTTGAAGGTATTCAGGGGGTACCCAGTTGACACGCTCTCAGTCTTCAGCCTTCCGTTCCCGCTTCTTAAAGGATTGCAGCTCAAGCCGCGCTACATCGTCGGTGTCGCTGCCATCTTCTCTGCGGGCATCATCACTGTGGCTGCCAGTGTGAGCCGCTTCGCCACGGTTGAGGTTATTCACAACTGGCCCAACGTCTGTACGTTTTCTCTTCACTGAAATCTCCTCTTAGCGCCCCAAGACTGACAAAAGACTGCAGATATCCTCTCCATGGCCGAGATGGCAGCAGCCATCATCGTGGTCTCGCTCCCTGCCCTCAAGCCGCTCCTGCGCCGTCGCGGAGAGGGATCGACAGGACAGTACGGCACTGGAGCGAGCGGGCAAAGGGCGACCACGTCGAGCCACGTCAAGCTATCCTCCGGAAGGGATCCTTACATGGCGACGGCACACGTGGGTTCTGCGGAAGATTCAGGCAGCGACGTGGAGCTGCGCAATGTCGGACGCAGCAACATGATCTACAAGACGGCCCATGTGAGCGTAACGTACCAGACGCGTGAGGACACGGGGGAAGGTGAAAGACAATCCACGCCGAATTGACGACCTGTCATTTCACATCGGTCTCTTGCGTTTTGGTCAGATGGCTTGGCTTGGATTAGAACGGGAAGAAGAAGGGCTAGGAGCCGAAAAGAGAACTCGGGACCCAGGTATTAGACCGGGGAGCGTTGGCCCGAACACCCGGAGCAGCGCAAATCCCTGACCCCTGCGGGAGGTGCATGCATATAGGCAGTCACAGATCAACCAACACTTCTTTGAAAAGGTCCGAAAAGGCCGGAGCAAGCAACGGCGCGAGAGGCATGATCTCTGAGCTTCTGGTACCAGATTGTGGCGGAGCTGCCCGTTTCATGATATTTAGTCGTCTGCAAAACAGTGAGTCTCAGAGTGTAGATGGGAATATGCCACACTTCTCCATCTGCAAGTACATTGACTGGACCTGAGACACCTCATGCGCGCTGACTGGTGCTGAATACAAATTTATCATCATCAGATAATGGAGCAATTTAGCCGCCACACAAGCTTTTCTGGGCACGACGGCTATTCAGGGGCGGCATAAGCCACAGGCCCTCGCAAGCAGCCAAAGTTGCGGGAGGCTTGGCTTTGTATTTAGATTAAAATGCTACTCTGACTTGTATGCACCGTCCTTGATTAAAATTCTGCGGATTCAGGGCCAGGTGTGGCATCCTTGATTAACCATTTCGCGAAGCGAGTCGACAGGCCTCGCCAACATCTACCAACCAAGTCATCATGATTGATAGCCTTTGCTTATATAGTGGTTTTAGTTTTTCTAAAGATATGCTGATCAAACAATCAGTAGTATTATTGCTGATAGCAACATTGGGTACAACTTGTCTGACACCATCCAGATCTACTACCCCTTTCTTGTATGAGGGCGAGAAGATTTGTCGAGAATCTGTGTCAACCTACCATCGTCAGCAGCGACTGATTTCAGATTTCGCATGCAATACCAAAAGAAGGCTTTAGACCGGCCGTCTCGCTTTTTTCGAGGGTTCAATTCTGCCGTGCCGTGCCGCCCCCAAATGTGCATTGCATATGTATGTACGGGCAAGGAGGGAAGCCAGGGATTCATGCGGCGTGGTACCAACAGCTCGTATCTTCAACTGTGCGACCTGTCCAGCGTCACCTTGAGCCCCTTGGCTCTTTGAGGAGGCCGGGTGGTTTTTCTCCGAGTGCGAGATATATCAATTGGAAGTGCGGTTGCGTCCCTTTCCACTACGGAAGCCGGCACCATACCACGTTTCTCTTCATTCTTCCTCGTCTGGTTTGAGCCGTTTGTGCCGCTTCTTTGTGACAAGATGGCATTTTTCATTGACGGCAAGGACTGCATGGTATGTATACTTCTGTCGTGTTGAACTCTTGCTGACCAACGTAGATCTCCGAATGGATCCTGCTGGCCATTTCTTACGTTTTCGTCGCCTTGCGCGTTTACACGCGCCTCTTTCGTCTGCGTGAGAAGCTCAACTGGGCTGACTGGCTGCTGGTGGCCTCGGCCATCAACGCCCTTGGTCTGATCATCTGCGACACGTTGACCTTCCAACTGGGGGTCATGGACGCCTGGGCGTCTTCGGTCGCACTGTCAAAGGTACGAACGCAGAGGAGATATAGCATTCAAGCACTGTTAGAGAGACGTGATCCATAGCTGACCACACTCCGCACAGATCAGCTTCGCCTCCAACTACTTTTACGATGTCGGCATGGGCTTCCCTAAGCTGAGTCTCATTGCCTTTTACTGGGCGTATTTCCCGACACACGCCAGCCCCGGCATGCGCAAGGCTCTCTGGGGCATCACCGCCATTGTGATAGCCTGCTATATCACTATCCTGTTCGACGACACCTTCTTCTGCGGCTCTGATGTTTCGGTGCAGTGGTCCCAGGAGGATGGCGCCTGCAGCGTCTTCTACGCCCCGGAACCCTTCATCGTCAACTTTACCCTCAACTTGGCCTGCTATCTCGTTGGTTCGTAGCAACAGCCTGCTTGTCAGAACACAGCTAATCCGCCTGCCACAGTCTACGCGCTTCCTCTCGCCCTGCTGATACAGGGTGTTCTCAAGCCCTCCAAGGGGGTTGTCTTGACTTTTGTTCTCGGTGCCTTGACCATTGCTACCACGATGATTCGCTTCATCACACTCAATGTCGGGACCGGCCAGGTCAATCTCGTCTGTGAGTCTGACAGCTTTGGCTGCTCCTGTTCATGTCGGAAACGTGTTACTGACAGCCGTCTTCTCCAGATCCTCTCAGTATTCTCGAAATGACGCTGGCCATCGTCGTCGTCGCCCTGCCGGGCTTAAAGCCTCTTGTAGATGGCTCCGCTCGCCGCCATCCCCCGGTCCATACTGTGGGAGTGAACCACCACGACAAACCATACTCATCTTAGACGCTGGCAGAGGGTTTGCGCGTAGAGTGTGCAATTGGCAAAAGGGGTGGTCGATAGAGCGGCGGTTGTGAAGACATGTACATGTATGCATCAACCCCTGAGCGGGGAGCAAGGAGGGAAAAGAATCAATCAATGAGCCTAAACGCAACCTAACACGATTCCCCCCTGAAGTTACTTCCCGAAAAAAATTGATCCCTATTAGTCACTCGACGAAATCCTCCCTCGCGCCAGCTGCCACCGCGTCGTCCGTCAGCACCCGCCACCCTAGCATCGCCATGCCCTCCGCGCATGAGAGCGCAATATCAAAGGACTCGCGCAGCGCCGCAGCCAGACGAAAGTCAGGCTGGTGCGGCAGCGCCCCGTTTGAACCGGAGATACCAAAGGCGCCGTGGAAGCTGGGTACGGCAAAGGACACGTTGCCCATGTCCGTGGAGAAGGTAAAGGGCTCCTCGCTACGCGGGATAAAGGTGACGCCCCGCTGGGCCATGAGCTTGGTGTACTCGTTGCTGAGGGTGTTGTTGATCCGGAGGTTCTTGTACGTGGGCGCGCTGCAGGGGTCAGTCACCTTAATATTCGAACATGGCAGCTCACTCACTTGATGTAGTCCACGGTACAGCCGGTCGACGTAGCAGCTGCTTCAAAGCATGCCTTGACCCGGGCAAGCAACTCCTCCCCTCGCTGGACCGTGGGGCTGCGAATGTAGTAGTTCATTCGCGTGTAAGCTGGGATCACGTTGGGCGACGTCCCGCCCTCCTCGATCACGCCGTGGATCCTCTCGTCGGGGTGGATCTGCTGTCGCAGCATGGAAACGCTCGTGTAGGCCGCAACGGCAGCGTCGAGGGCGTTGCGTCCATTCCAGGGGGCGCCCCCGGCGTGGGCGGTCCGTCCGTGGAACTGGACCCGTAGCTTGAGGCTGGCGACGAACTTGACACCCGCAATGCCCCTGATGGGCTGGGGGATGACATGTGCGCTTGTGGGGTGCATCATGATGGCCGCCGCCGTATCGTCTGGGAACGCGCCGGCCTCGAGCAGCTTGACCTTGCCGCCGCCGCCCTCTTCGGCTGGCGTGCCGAGGATGCGGACCCGGCCTTTGACGTTGGACGCCGCCTTGAGAGCCGCCGCGAGGGCGAGAAACCCTGTAACGGACGAGGTGGCGATGAGATTGTGGCCGCAGGCATGGCCAATGTCTGGCAAAGCGTCGTACTCTGCGCAGAAGATGACGAGGCGTCCACCAGAGCCGTACTCTGCCTCGAACGACGTGGCCAGCCCGTGGGCATGTCGCGTCACCTGGAATCCCTCGTCTTCCAAAACTTGTGTGATTGTGTCATGCGCGACCGTCTCCTGGTAGCCCAGTTCGGGATGGCTATGTATGGTCGTGTTCATGACCCAAAGGGCGTCACTGCGCTTCTGGATTGCCTCACGCACATGATCAAATGCAGTGTTGTCCATCTCGGCCATCTTGTCAGTAACTTGAAAGCCGCCTCTGTGTAGATGCAACTCTTGAATTCGATCAGGACATTTCTGGGTGCGACGTGCAACTTAAAGCTGGGCTGTCACGGGGCGTCCCGCTTCTGCATTCCATCAGAGACAACAAGGTTCGAGCTAGTTGAAGTTCAGCGCCCACATGAGACAAAGGAGTTGATTGAAGAGCGATAATGAATTATCACCAGTAAAATGGGGAAGGGATCGTGCGGTTCCTGTGGGAGTTGCAGGGTTCAGCCGAGGGCCAGCCGAGCTCAACTGTAACAAGTGGAAGCACATCACAGCGACCAGTCGTTTGGAAAATTGAAGTCGAGCCGTCGAGTTGCTGAGATCAGTTCATCTTGCCCATTCCGGTCGCCAAGCGCAACTCGACCGGTTCCGTCGACGGCCACGCGATTGATTCCAGTGTCGACCATGTAGCAGTTGGAGACCTCGACCGCTATGAGACTTGAATTATCCAGTCTGCCCGCTTTCCTCCACCCTTCGTCGCACGTGTGACGTGTCTCCTGAGTCATGCCGGCGTCAGGTAATCCCAGAGTGATTGTAAGGCGCTTTGTGCTAGGGAGTCAAGTCCATTTGATTGCGCCATCACCGCTAAGGTCGATTGCTGATCAGGAAGACCTGCCGGTAGACGGCATTTGTTGTACAGGGCGACTCGCGTACTTATGCTTCCATCCGCGCACTACTTGCTGCAATGCTATGTAGATAGTTCCAAAGGCTTGAGGACGTGCTATTATTAGCACCCTGCTTCATGTACTACCTACAGCTTGGGAGCGTGCATATGTGCCGGGAAACCAGCCAGGGGGCTAGGTAGGATGCTCCTATTCCAGTCCTTGTTCAATCCTCGATATACTCTTACGAATGTGCGCAATCGGACGGGGGCAAATTGCTGTGGGCATCATTATCTTGCAATCTAGGGAAAATATGGAAGAAGACAGACAAAGATACTCACTGCTGCGATCCTATGTACAAATACTATATGATATATGTGGATAATTTCCTCGTCGGGCCCGCGAATTAACAATCAAGTGACCAACCTTGAATCTTGATGGGATCCTCGTTTCGAGAGTCCGCCACATGTTATTAATGACAATCATTCTATCTGATGTCGTGTAATCCCCCTCACACCTTGTTCTGGGGTCGTCCTCGCACTCACACAGAGCATCATGCACGACACAATTCGATCGAGTCGATGCATCCGCCTGTCGTCCAGCTGCCTGCGTCAGCCTTCCGGTCACCTGACATCTTCATCAATGTCTACTCTTATCGTACGTATGTCCTGAGCATCATTGACTTGCGCGCCTCTCGATGGCATGGCTGATGTGATCAGCAGTCTCCTCGTCCGGGGTATCCACGCGCTGCTACTACTACAGCGATGCCTTGGCAATCGGCTCATGCAGCCAGCCCATCGTCCCTCTTCCCTGCCTGTTCTCTCGGTCGTCTTTCCTGGAAGCACGCGACCTGAGGCCGGAATCGCGGATCGCGGCATCGTCCACGATTCCACGCGATAGCCGAATAGGCAGGTCAAGACTAGCGCTGCTCGATAGCAACGGACTCTACGTGCATTTAACTCTACGCAAAAGCATAATCAGAGCACGATCTCCGGGGTCCCTCGAATTGGCCTCCACCCCGGCCATGCAGCGTGCCGTATTGCCGGCGCGATTGTGCGTTTGGTTCCTTGAATCCTTGGTGATGGAACTTTTTGCCTACTCAATCAGTGAATCACACAGACCATGAACAAAAGGACAGCTCGGCACTCCACATTTGTGTACCTGGGCGGTCGGGGACCTTTGTTTGATGGACTCATCGAGTCCATGGTTGGGCTGTTTGCTTGCTCGACCCCTGCTGGCCGTCTGTTTGTTTCCTGATGTGGAAGGTCTGCTATCGCGTCCGCCTCGTTGGTGGCCATGTACCGATTGTATATAACATAAAGGCAGTGTCGATTCGTTTACGCTGGATAAGCCTCGCAGCAACGCATTGTCCACCGCCTTCACAATGCCGTCTCTTCACGTTGCGGCCGTCGCCTGGCTGGCCGTAGGCCTCGCTGAGCACGCCCTGGCCCAGGACTTCCGCGCCAACCAGTACATTGTCGAGTATGCGTCGCAGAGCAACGCGCTGCGGGCCCGCGACACCCTGGCCAGCATGGGCGACATCCGCGTGCGCAAGACGTACAACAGCGCCGTCTTCTCGGGCGTCAGCATCGAGACAGAGGCCTTTGCCCTCGACGACCTGGTCGCCATGCCCGACGTGGCCAACGTCTGGCGCAACCACATTCACAGGCTCGATCCCATGCAGATGGCGGCCGAGGCCGCCGAGTTTAAGGAGCTCGACGGCATCGTCCACAACACCACAGGCGTGGCTAAGCTCCACGCAGATGGAATCCTGGGCGAGGGCGCCCTGGTCGGTGTCGTGGATACCGGTACCTGGTATGAGCATCCGGCTGTGAGTACTTGGAGCCTATCCTGTATCGAATCTGAGCGCTGACCCTCCACAGCTCGGTGGCTGCATCGGTCCCGAGTGCAAGGTCACCGGCGGCTATGACCTCGTAGGCGACGATCCCTGGCGTCCTGGCCTGGAGAAGGAGCCCGACTCGGATCCCAAAGACAACCAAGGCCACGGCACCCACGTAGCGGGCATCGTCGCCGGCGAGAACGACTACTGGAGCGGCGTGGCGCCCAGGGCCAACCTGCGCTCGTACAAGGTCTTCTCGGCCGCCGACAGCCCCGAGTCGGACGACGAGACGGTCATTGAGGCGTTCCTCATGGCCGCTGACGACGGCTGCGACATTATCACCTGCAGCATCGGCAACTTTAACGGATGGCCGCAGAACGCCTGGGCCGTCGTCGCGGACAGGCTGGTCAGCGAGGGCATCTTCATCTCCGTCTCGGCGGGCAACGAGGGCGCTGCTGGTCCCTTCTTTGGCAGCACGGGCTCGTCCGGCAAGGATGTTCTGGCTGTTGCGTCCATCTCGGCGGACAAGCTGCCTGCGCGCTCATGGACGGCCATCTACAGCGAAGGAGACGAGGATACGGAGGTCACCGAGGCCTATCTGCCCGCGACCGACAGCTTCCCCGAGTCTGTCAACGGGTGGGAGATTCGCCCGCTCAACTTTGACACGACCGTCGTCGATGATGCCTGCTCCCCGTATCCTGAGGACACCCCCAAGCTCGACGGCGTCATCCCCCTCGTGCGTCGCGGCACATGCGCGTTTGTCGTCAAGGCTGAGAACTTGGCGGCCCTCGGAGCCAAGTACATCCTCTTCTACAACAACGAAGGCACCATCACGACGCCACAGAGTGTCGAGGGTGTCCTGGCGGCCATGCTCACGGCCGAGACTGGTGCTAAGATTATCGAGACTGTCAAGGCGGGCGGCAATGTCACGGGCGACTTCGCCTCCGACTCGGATATCCCTGCCTTTGTCGACTGGCCCGCCGCCGGCAAGGCGAGCGACTTCACCTCCTGGGGCGCCCTGAACGACCTAACTGTCAAGCCAGACATCGGTGCCCCTGGTGGCCAAATCTACTCGACCTACCTGGACAACGGCTACGCGGTCCTCTCAGGCACCTCCATGGCCTGCCCCTATGTCGCTGGCGTGGCTGCTCTGTGGGTTAGCCAGAACGGTGGTCGCAAGGCACTCGGCAAGGAATGGGCGCGCTCTCTCGGCCGCCGCATCATCAGCAGCGGACAGCCCATCCCCTGGTACCACGCCTCGGTGACCTACCCCGAGTTCGAGGCCCCCGTCGAGCAGGTCGGCACCGGTCTCATCGACGCCTGGAAGGTCCTCAACTACGACACGCAGCTCGACTTTAAGACCATTGGCCTCAACGACACGCACTACTTTAGCCGCTACCACGACGTCGTCCTGACCAACGACGGCAAGAAGAGCATCGACTACACTTTCAGCCACGCACCCGCGGCCGGCATCGAGACGTACACATGCGAGGACGACGACTGCCGCGTCAAGACCTGGGCCGAGCTCGAGGCCATCCCCCTCGAGGTCGACGTCAACCTCCCCCGGTCCTTCACCCTCAAGCCCGGCCAGAGCAAGAAGGTCTCGGTCAACTTTGAGAACCCGGACAAGAAGGGCTGGAACGCCGAGGCGCTGCCCGCGTACAGCGGCAACATCCGCATCACGGGCAGCAATGGCGAGGAGCTGGCCGTGCCCTACTTTGGACTGGCCGCCAACCTGAAGCAGGTCGTCTCGCCCATCTACCGCGCCGGCTACCCGACGGCCGTGTCCACGCCCAACGACACCTCGATCGAGGAGGACGCCACCTTTTCGTTCGACAACAGTGACGACGTGATGGATTTCCCTCGCATCGTCGCCCGTCTCAAGTGGGGATCCGCCCAGATCCGGTGGGATGTGAGTTTCTCGGTATCATTATCCTTATGATCCTTTACTAACATGACATGCCCCAGATCTTCGAGTCCGACTGGACCGAGCGCAAGTGGTCCTGGCCCCTGACCCCCGGCGATAACGGCTACGTGGGCACCGTTCACGGCCTCGACAAGTCCACCGGCTCCGTCGACTACCCCAACATCACTGTCACCTTCCCCGTCGTTTGGACGAACCGCAACGGCGACGCCGCCGAGAACCAGCTCCTGCACGAGTACTGGTGGCCCCAGGGCCTGCTCGGGAACGGCTCCAAGATCGAGCCGGGCAAGTACATGTACGTGGCCATGAGAAGAAACGTGAAGGTACCTTGCTAACGTGTCGTGTAGAATGCGCTTCGCTGCGCTGAACCCGTTTGGTGTGCCGGAGCATGGCAACAACTGGAGCGTGTTCAAGACGCCAAAGATTACCATTGTTGAGTAGACGAAGCCTTCATGTTGGAGACTATGTATATATAGGGTACAGACATGTATGAAGCACTTCCTACCAGCCACCTTACCAAAAAGACGCCTCGACCAAGAATCCCACGGTTAGTCTGCTGTGCTGCAGGGCGTGCGCGTAGAACGAGCTGCGCGGCGTGTCGTTGGCGGTGTGAATGTACGGGCTGGAATCCGACATGGTGTCGGCGCACACGTAGGACGCTGGGTATCCAGCAGCACGTGCCGCTGCGCTTCACATGGTCAGCCTACTACTCAGTGGATCGGTCGGAAACATGGAGTGCACGTACTGGTCAGAGCAGCCGTAGCCGCATCGATCCGTGACGAGGCCCAGGGTCGTGTACACGGGCACCAGGCGCTGCATGTAGGTGGTCAAGCTGGCGTCAACCTGCAAAGTCAGCGTTTCCTAGTACATGGAGCGACAAGCCACGGAGGGCACGTACGTAGTCTGTGTAGACGGCAATGACATTGTTCGTCGAGTAGCCCGTCATGTCTTGGTTCATGACGGCCAGGACGTCGACATCATCGGCAGCGTAGCGGTTGAAGACATCACGCGCGCCAAGCAGACCACCCTCTTCACCGCCGTAGAAATGGAACTCGAGAGTGTTGCCTGGTGCGTATCTGGCGGCGGCCAGGGCTCTCAGAGCTTCAAGAATAGAAGCAACGCCCTGGGAGGGTTAGTATGGACGTGAACAGACACTAGACACTGAATGTGACTTACAGAGGCGTTATCGTCAGCGCCAGGAGCCCTGCCCGAGACACTAGCTGAGTTGATGCTGTCATAGTGCGCCGTGACAATCACCCTTTGTGAGGAAGTGCCCGGGATGGTGGCAATAACACTGGGCTGGTTGAAGGAGTGTGTAAACTGCTTGACAGTGATGGCAGGGTTGGTGGATGCTGCCGACCGGACTGCGTTGAGTACATAGCTTGCGCTCGTTGCAGCATAGGAGCCCCTGTAGTATCGATTGTATATATTAGACAGACCGGTGATTGTGCTCTGTACGTTGCTTTGAACAAGCCTGGCGATAATAGGGTTGGCAATGCTCTGCTTGCTGGGTGCAGGGTAGGGTGACTGGCGCTTGGCCAAGGCAGCGTGACGGCTGGCGCCGAGTTCCTCGAGTTCCTAGACACTGTGTCAGCGGCAGTACGAAAGGATTTCATGGGTGTAAGGCCTACCTGGGTTTCGGTCACGTCCATAAAGTGGACGTGCTTCAGCATGTACTCATGAATCTTCTCCTCTTCCGTGACCCACGTTCCTGGATCGTCGTCAGAGGTCTTGAGGAGACGCAGCGGCTCCACGTCTCCAGACGAAGCTGCGGCGGCCGAGTGGGAGTTAGAGGCTTCGAAGCTGTAATCCTCGGTGGCTCGGCATGCGTGAGACACCTGGACAAGAAAAGCGCCGGCGGCGAGCAAGACTGGGGTCCGCATGATGAGCTTGGGAACTATGAGTGTTGGGACAGAACAAGATGGTAGTTTCATTCAGTCCCAGGTCCTCTGTTGCTTCTTATACGTACAGAAAGAGATACTAACTACCGTGAACCCCCTCAATTCAATTATGACCTCTCGCTGTTAAGTAGATGCCCTTTTCGTGGTGGACCGTCCGGCCGACAGCGACCTCCTGGAATGGGCCTAGCACCGGCACTTCCAACTTCCCTTCTCGGGTCCAACCGAACACTCAATGTGACCACAGCTCACAATGCCGGTTTGCTAGCCACTCATAACACGAGGACGCTCTTATCTGCATGGCAATATCACTGCAACTGCTGCGAGGTGTATATGGCAGGTGACACGGGCGAGTTGCAGCAACGATATAAATTACCAGTAACCCATCCTCCCTATTTTTGTCTATACCCTCAACTCCTATGCTGTCTAAAAACTAGTCTAATTAGTATTGCAATGAACGTGTAAAATCAGTGTCGCTTGGGGTATATGCCACCACCGCACATGTCTAACAAAACACCCGATTCGCCGTTTTCTGTCCGTCCCACACGACCATGCCTAGATGCAGTTTGTAAAGGCAACGCCGGGCGAGGCAGGTCGCCCAATATGCAAGCGCTGCACGGCGGCATCAAGCGACGATGGTGGTGCCACACCACCCGAGGTCGTTCGTCTGTGCCGTCCGTGCATGCTCATCTTCCTCGGACGACCATTCTTCTCGGGAGACTTGGGCTCAGAGGAGGCAGAAGAGGAGACGGACGACATGGACTTGGCAGACACGGTGCTCAGCGAGGAGGATGTCCGTGACATTGTCGAGTAGACAGACGAACGCGTCGAGGATGCGCCAGGCGATGTGGGCGTGTTCGTCGCAAAGCTGTCGGACAGCTCGGACATGATAGTCTGGATCGAGTCTCGGTTGTCGGTGACCTTGCCCAGACGACGCTGCCACCATACCGTGTCCAGTTCCGGCGGGGAGTACTCGACGAGATCATCGAGGGCCTGCTTGATCCGATCCATCTTGTCCTCGTCAATCTGCAGAGGATAGTGTTCCGACGCGAGGTCCAAGAGGGCCGCCACGTCGAGAGCCTCCTGCCGCTTGCTGGCCTCCTGGTCCCGTAGCCCACATGCATCCGCCTTGAAGACGATCAAGTCGTCGAGGGAAATGTACGGCAGACTCGCCGTGTTGTCGCGCACCGCACGCGCGGCGTCGGGGAGATAGGGACAGAGCCAGTCTGGGATGAGCTTCACCTCGACTTCCCAGCGGTTGGGTGACTTGAAGAAGACCATGCCCGACCGTTCGACGAGAGGACTCATGGGGTGGCCTACAATCTCTTTCCTCACCCGGCCGGGCGAGGACGACTTGCTGATGACTAGATCGATGCTCTACAAACACAGCAATGTTAGTCGCCAGTGTTGATTCATTTGGACTCCTGTACATACAGCTGTCCGATCACACTCTGGTAGATGATGGCGCAGCGCAAGGTCGCCCACGACGGCCATCTTGGTGTTCTCCAGCCCAGGCGTGTCTCTGATGAGGCGGATGATGTGGAGGGCAGCTTGCTCCAGCTGGGCAAAGCTTGGCGGCTGCTTGGACGAGGCAATTGTGGCTGATCCCATGGCTTCGTTGGGAATCAGTATGGGTGTGATTTGGCAGAGTTCGGCGCAGCGGCTTCAAACGACTGGTTACTGGCGGTCCTGCAGATGCGCGATGCAGAAGGGGCACCAGATCGCATTCCGTACGTGCATGCAGGTCCTTTTCACCCTCTCCATCAACCCGACGCGGCCAGCCATCGGGCATCCATCGTGCGGGCCAGGCCCGGAAAGCCAGGCATGGCGAGACGTGAAGCCATGGTGATCCGGCGCCCAAAGATGCCCAACGGACGAGGCTGGCTCCAATTAGGGAGGGCGAGGGCGGCCGGAGTGGCCCTATGCAATTTTAAATCCAGAGGGATCATCCCGGCAGGCCTTTATGCCATCAGGCTGGCCCTGCGGAGGATGGGGGAAAATTCTGCCTTTGCCAGCCATGCCGCTCAATGTTTCATTTCGTTCGGAGAATATCAATTACAATGACTTCATACATGTCGAGTCGGCAATGCCGCTCAATGCAGCCCGAGCGAGTGTGGGACGCGACTGGAACCCATCACGAGTCGCGACAGCTTGCCGTTGGTTGTGTCCAAGACGTCCCACCATATAAGCTCTTTTCCTGCCCGTATTGGGAGGGAAGTGAGTTGAAGTCTTGTTCGGCGATGCACCAGAGAATGTTCTGGTGGTGTGTATCCCCATGACAAAGACCATATCCTTACACAACGCGCACGCGATCCGATCAACAACATCCAGTGCACAAATATCCTGCGTCATGCGAAATTCACCGCCTCATGGTGGATGACTCACATTGATACTACTAGTATACAAGAGGGACACCGACTGTTCTCTGCCTCTCGATTCGCGACCATCGCAATGCTCAGCAACAATCACCCGCCGCCTGCTCCTCACAGACCCCAAGTCGGCAGAAACACGACGAAGTGATAGACACATCCGCCTCTGCCAGCGCCAATTTGAGCTGCTGCCTGATGATATTCGCCTCCGCCTTGCGTCCCAACCGACCCAGACACTCGTGGTAGCCATGCAACGCCCAGACGTTATTCGGGTGCTGGTGAGCGCGCCCTGGCGTTGGTGTCAGACCCAGATCCTCTGCGTAGGCTTGTGCGGCCTGCTCGACCAAGCCTTGCTCCAGCGACAGAGCCGCGAAGGCGTGGCGCGCAGGCAGCATCCATCCCCACGGTTCGGCAAATCCCAGTCCGTCTTCGAGGGATATGGCCTCGCGGAGCCTGGCAAACGCAACGTCGTAGTTGCGTCTTCTGTACTCCAACTCCCCGTCGAGCATCGCGGAGGCCACTCTGAGTATATCGACTACTCTGTTCGGGAAATCGAGGCGTGTAGGGGGGACACGCTGGGCAGCAAGCCTGAAGAGCTCGCGCGCGCTGTCAGCCTCGTCCAGCTGGCCGGTTGACGCGTAGGCGATCGCCTTCCCGTAATACCTCATGACATTCGTCACGCAGTACAGGTCGCCATCCTCCAACGGCTCCAGCTCCTTGAGTTGGTCCCACATTCCGAACCGAATCAAGACGTGCACGCGGACCGCCATGAAGAACTCCATCCAGTTCGCGAGCGCGGGCGTCTCGGTACGAAGCGCATCCTCTGTGATGGTGGCCTCCATTCGATCTGTCGCCGACAGCGCCGCCTTGGACTTGCCGGCCAGCATTGCCGCGTATATGAGGGAGTGGTAGTCATGGAGACGGTAGTAGCCGTAGAACGTCGGGGCGCTGCGTCGCGCGAAGAATTTGTCGTCGGCCACCGTGGCTTTGAAGTTATACTCGACGGCCCGTCGATAGTCTCCGATGAGCACGTCGATATGCGCTGGCATGTGGTACGTGTGGCCCGTGTCGGGGACCTGCTCGCGGATCATGTCGGCTGCGGGAAGGGCTGCCTCTGGTGTCGCTGACATTTCCATTAGATGAATGTACATGTGCGCAGGCCCTGGGTGTTTCTCGACGCCTGGTAGCGTCAATGCTCGCTCTAGAAGCTGTCTGACCTCCAGGACAGGGGAGGCGGTGATGGGGAGACCGGTAGCAGTGTCGAACAGGTTCCTCGGGGTACAGTTCATCAACGCATCGGCAAACAGGGTGATGAGGTCGAAATCATTGGGATCAAATTGCCGGTACACCTTTCGCATGGCGTCCGCGTATGCCCTCTGGCAGGCGACAAAGTCCTTGTCCAGATCATCGTCGGGATACCGCTTGGCAAGGGCCTCGATCAGGGCCTGCTCCCAGTCTGTCGCCTTGCTGGCATGTTTGAGCGCCAGCTGCGAGTATCGGTAGCACGACCGCACAGCATCGATGCGGTCTTGCTCGTCAAACAGGGCCCACGTCTTGTTGTAGTTGGGGCCAGAGCAGAACGCGACGCCCCAGTACGCGAGTGCACACCCGTCGTCGTGGAGCAGGGCTTGCTTGTAGCAAAAGATGGCCTCGTCGTGGTTGAAGCAATATGTCCAGACCAAGCCTCGATTGAACCACGCCTGGGCTTCTATAGATCCTGTCGTCACTGTGCGGCTGAGCTTGCCGAGGTCGAAGTAGGGTTCGCCGATGGCCTGTTTGGCGGGCAGCGTGGGTGGTGTGAGGGATCCCATGCTGCAGACGCAGATGCGTGTTGTATGGAGGAGACATCTAGGCTTGCTTGGTTTCAACGACATGTACTTTGCCGAGCAGTCCCGTTCGGGACTGCTCTTTGCGGGGAATCGGGGATGCGAGCTCGCTTACTCGCGGCGGAGTGCCAGTTAGTTGGAGCACCATGTCATGATGGCCCCAGAGATTGACGGAATGCTCAGAATCCACATTGTGAGGGGATACCAGGTAAAAGCCCCCCTAGATCTGAGTATTTCCTCAACCTGAAGAGGAAATCCCATCATTGCGCCATGACTCAGTCAATCAGTCCTCAAGAGCTCCGACGACATTGGATCACTCACAACGAGATCGCCCTCCTGGACGTCCGCGAGGAAGGGCCCTACTCCATCTCACACCCCCTTTGGGCCCTCAGTTTGCCAGTCTCCGAAATCGAGGTCAAGCTGCCCTCCCTGGTCCCTCGACTGTCGGCGCCCATCGTCGTCTATGACGCTGGCGAGGGCTACGTGGAACGCGCCGTCGCTCGCATCAAGGCTCTGGGCTACCAAGATGTCGCCATCCTGGAAGGGGGTCTATCTGCCTATGCAAAAGTGGGCGAGGTCTATCGCGACGTCAATGTCCCATCCAAGGCCTTTGGCGAGCTTGTCGAGGCCATTCGACAGACACCATCCATTTCTGCCGAGGATGCAGACAAGCTTCTGGCGAGCAATGACAATGTCGTCGTGCTAGACGCCAGGAGATACGAGGAGTACCATACCATGAGTATCCCGCATGGCCGCAGTTGTCCCGGTGGCGAGCTCCTCTATCGCATCTTTGAGGCTGCGCCCTCCCCCGATACCACAGTAATCGTGAACTGCGCGGGCCGCACACGGGGACTCGTGGGTACGCAGTCTCTGATGAATTCCGGGGTGCCAAATAAGGTGATGGCGCTACGGAATGGCACCATTGGGTGGACGCTGGGTGGATTGCAACTCGATCAGAACAAGGCTGTCCGAGTTCCTTTGCCCTCGCAAGAAGCTGGCGTGAAGGCACGCCACCATGCTGAAGCCTGGGCGAAGCACGTGGGTGTGCCGATCATCGATGCCGATGAGCTGTCACAACTTGTCCGAAACAGGGCCTCTCGGTCGTTGTACCTACTGGACGTGAGGGATCCGGAGGAATACGCGAGCGGCCATGTCAAGGGCTTCACTTTAGCGCCTGGCGGGCAGCTGGTCCAGGCTACAGATGAATGGGTTGGTGTTCGAGGGGGGCAGATCGTGCTCTACGATACGGACGGGGTGAGGGCCCGGATAACAGCTACATGGCTCCTTCAGCTTGGCTGGGAGGTCTATGTCCTGAGTGATTTGTCCTCAGTACCAGATATCCTCCCACACCTAGAAGCACCCTCTTGGCGGGCACCAGAGCTTCCAAGTGTCACAGTGGATGAGATTACAAGCATGGACAATGTGACAGTCGTCGATCTCGCACGGAGTCCAGCCTACAAAAAAGGCCACATCCAAGGTTCATGGTTTGCCTCGGGTCCAGAGCTTGTGCGCGACCTCAATAGCCTGCAGGATGCCAAGGAGAATATGGTTGTCTTGACTTCTCCGGACGGAAATATTGCCGCCGCAAATGTGCAGCATGCAAGAGACATGATCGGTCGGCAAATCTCATATCTAGTGGGCGGAACGCAGGCTTGGGTGGCAGCTGGGAGACCTCTGGAAACAGAGTCTCGCTGGCTCTCCCAACCGATTGATGTGTACAAGAGGCCGTACGAGGGGACCAGCAACGCGCGCGAGGATATGCAGGCGTACATTGACTGGGAACATCAGCTCGTTGCGCAGCTTGCCAACGACGGGGTGGCCTGCTTCCATGTGAGGCGAGGGATGGGTGATGGTGGGGATTAGGTTTGATTGATTGATATCACGTATGGCTGAGCGCGAGGGATGACCCGTTCATGTGCAGGAACCGGTTGTCACATGAATGATCTTCACTTCCAATCGGCAGGTGGAATACTCCCATCCACAAGAAGTTGTTGCTACTCCATTGATCCGTCTCAAGGGATGCGGAAACAGACTACGACAACGATATCGAAATGGGCCCAGCGTCTGACACCACCGGACGCCATTCGATGTGACAAGGCAGCAAGACCGACAGGGCGTTGCGCGAGTGCTGTCGGACATCAATGCTAGACGTGCGAGGATATACTTCCACATGTCATTACAAAGACGCTGCCCGCTGAGACTGCGTTGTGGTGTACGACGGGAAGTCTGTGGGCTGGGCATAAATCATATTTGCCTGGACCGGGCGAGATGTATACAGAACCTTGTTGTATTATGGCAATGGGTGGCAATTTCTCTTGTACTTGTCGCTGTTCCAACTTTATACAAGATGCCCGTGGTGTCGTTACAGCTCAGCTCAGGCTATGAAGCCTCAGTGATCATCGAGGCGGCAGCGGTGGTTCGATATTGGGTGGAATTTCTTGATAGTATTATATATGAAGTAGGTGCGTGATGAAGATCAATCAGTCAGAGAAAGTCGGCTGGGACTACTTCAAGTCGCCATAGATGAGCATTTCGTCTCGTCATGAGACGCAAGGACTGGTTCGCTGCGTGATGCTGGGTGTTGTCACACGAACGGGCGGAAAATTCCACAAATTCATTAAAAAGGCACACTCTGCATGCATTTTACAGGAGCACTCTATCTTCTCTGTTATAATGCCTTCCCCATTCTATGATCTCATCTTCCACATCTCCATCCTCCTTTGGTCTAGATATCTCCATCCTCCAGATATCTCCATCCTCCAACAGATATCTCCATCTTCCACTGTTATTTCATCATTCAGAGTTTTCTTCTCATTACCCTCTTCTACAAGTACATCTTGATTAATCACTCTTCTTCCTTCATACTCTTCACTGCCTACATCATACATCTGACATCAAGAACGCAAACATGGCTCCAACAACCCCTCCGAAGAAATCCCCGTCAAAGCTACCCAGCCCTCCGGCCAACAAAGCAGAGTCCCCAAAAGAGGGAACAAAGGCGACTTCATCATCACCACCGGTCAAGGTCAAAACTGAAGACGACTCTGAGCGCGACTCATTGTCTGCCGTTCCGCCCCCACCCAGCACCGCTGACCGGAGAACCTTCAAAGTAGAGGAGCAGACTGCCGCCGAAATAGTGGTCGATGTCAAAAACCTCATCCCCAGTGAGATTCCCGCAACCTTGGCAAATGAACAGCACGAGTCTTTGAAAACGTACGTGGTGGTCTTGGGATCCCCAGCGGAGAGCTTGCTGACATGAATGAACAGCTTGTACTGCGATACGTTATTTACGGATCTGACCATCGCCTGCAAGGACCAAACATTCAATGTGCACAAGGTCGTCGTATGCACGCAGTCAAGTGTCCTTCGACGCTATGCCATGGACACCGCCAATGTATGTTGCCTTCTCGTGAGTATGTTCAGAGAACGTGGCATAGTAATCTTGAACAGTTTACAGATGGGTTCCTGGTGATGCGCATCTCCCGAGCTGATCTCATGCAAGCGGCCATCCAATTCCTGTATCTCAAGGTGTACGAGCTGCCTTCCCCAGCAACTGAGAAGAAAGTGTGGTCCACGAGTATGAGCTACCATATCTTGCAGAAGTCCACATTACTGACCCTCTTCTAGAGCCCAAGCACAGCGTGGCCGAATTCCTCTTCAACTTGGAGCTCTATGACTTGGCCGACAAACTGGATCTGCCCAACCTCAAGACCAGCATCGTCCAGCAACTCGCCAAGTGGAACACGTACAGGCGCAAGGTGGTCAACTTTCCCACGTTCCACAAGGCGATCAACTTTATTACGGACAACATCAGCAACAAGAACGATCCCATCCACGACGCCGTTGCAAACGTGCTCGTCCGCAACAAGAAGGCTTTGCGGACGAATGACATGCTAGAGTGGCTGAAGGTGCGCCCGGAGATGATTCTGGATCTCTTGACTCGCATTTGATACACATGGGGTACGAGGAAATTTCCCGCGGAACGAGGCAGGCTCAGGCCAATTGTAATAAGTCCAACCTGGAATCAGTTCAAGTTGGTAGTTGGTACCCGTCCGGCGAGAGGAGCAGGATTTGGCGTTAGTTGGGACTCGGGGGACACCCAGTTCATGGGAACATCAAGGTCTCATACAGTAATGCAAGCCATTCTCATTCCTACCAAGGTTTGCGATAACGTTGATTTCCGTACAAGTCCTCGCATTTGACTCCCCTTCTACCTCAAGGCGCAGCCGTCGCAGCCGCAGCCAAGACGCTCGAGACACTAGTATACGCAGGCTTCTTGTTAAAGTTCTCATCCCAAAGCAGCGCAGCTCCCGTGCCAGGGAACGTGCCGGGTATCCACGAGTACTTGTCCGTGTAGCCCCAGACCGTGACGCCGACGCAGCCTCCCACGTCGAGGCACGAGCCGACGACGTTGGCATAGTCATCTCCCTGCGTGGCGAGAGCCTGGTCACTGGGTGGCATAGACTCGTGGCGAATGTCCAGCTCCGTGTAGGCGACGTCGACCCCGAGGGCGGTGAAGCGGCGCAGTGTGTCGGCGAGCTGCTCGCGGGTGGGGGTAGTGCCGACGATGAGGTGCCCCTGGAAGCCAACGCCATCAATGGGGGCACCCGCATCCTGGACAATCTGCACAATTTAGAGGGCGCGCTCCGTCTTTTCTTGGTTGTACTCGAGGTTGTAGTCGTTGTACCACAAGCCAGCATCAGGGTCGGCAGCCTTGGCAGCGTTGAAGGAGATGGGGAGGAAGTCAGTGCCCAGGGTATTGTAGAAGACGCTGCTGCGCCAGCCGCCGCTGTCGTCGGCCGCCTCATTGACGACGTCCCAGTGGTAGCACTTGCCCTTGTAGTGGCCGACGACATTGGCAATGTGGACCTCGATGACAGACTGGAGTTCCTCTCGGGACCAGCTGCGGCTGGATACTGTTGAGGGTAGTGTACACGTCAGTAAGCTCGTCTTTGAGAATCATTATGGCAAGGGAGGAGAACTTACCCCAGCTAGGCAACTGCGAGTGCCAGGTCAGAGTGTGGCACCGGAGAATCTGGCCATTGCGGGCCGCTACATTGGGCACAATGTCGCCGTTGTCGTAGTTGAACTGGCCCTGGTTGGGCTCAACGCTGTCCCACTTTTGGCCGTTCTCCGGGGTCAGCTGGCCAAACTCGTCCGTATCTGAGGCAATGCTCATGTACTGCGAGTCGCCGGTCTGCCCCTCGCCTAAAGCGGTGCCGAAGTACTCAAGACCAGCGGCGCGGGCCAGGCTGTTCAGCTGAGCTTCGACCACAGCCGGGCCAGCTGTCGCCAGGATGGCAAGAAGTGATCGTGTGTGCATTGCGTCGGTCTAGGTATGCTTTGGAAGCTATAGACTCAGAATGTCGAGAAACAATACCCACTGAAAAGAAAACAGGTGGTGACGGCAAGTGGACTTCAAAACCTCGGGAAATGAGGAAGTCTTTTATACTAGGAACGAGTGAAAAATTACCTCATCCTGCGCCTCTGGCCCGCGAGTCCACGACAAGTCTCGTGTGAAGTTTCCACATGCCGCCCCAGATTCACCACTGCCGAGCCAGCATTGTTTGCCAAGTCAGGGGTGCGGAGGGAGATGCCTCCGGATCGGCAGATGAAATAGGCTAAATGTGCAGGCCAGCACCCATGATCTGGGGAAGTGATCAAGCACTAGCCATGCATAACAATCCGCCTCCTTCTTCTTTGTATGCTTTACTTGCCTAGAATAGTACAAATGCGCAGATGCGTGTGCTTTGCTTACACAAGCAAACGAATGCTGGAGTCGGCCCAGCCGGCTCATCGGAGGTTGTTCCACTTATTTCCCCGTGTCCGAGTCCGAGCCGTTATTGTGGGGGCATCGGAGCTCCGCGTTCGTGCATGTGATCGATTCATCCATCAGACCGACACTCTCTCCCCAATGTCGATTCCAGAAGTTTGCTTGCCGATCTCTTCAAAAACGGTGTTTAGCCTAAGCTTGCTCCCCATTCTAACATTGCAGCGTAGTCGCCAGGATCAGAGGTGAGCTTGCCCTTGAATTTCTTCCCACTGACGTTGTTTTTACAAGTAGGTCCTAGCCAAAGTCTATGGAAACCATATACCACTCGAGAGAGAGAACTAGGCTGTAAAGGTGTATCTGTGGGACAGACCCCAACATGAGTCAAACAACCAAATCTCACATCTATAGTGTCCTTCCACAATGAAACCCGTGATCCAAGCCCAACGCCCAACGCCCAACGCCCTGCTAAAGCACAATTACGCAGAGTCATCATACGAACCAATTCTTCCAATCGCTATACAGACGGCATATTCCAGTTGGGAGCCCAGAGAATGGTGCCCATTATGCACCCTGATATAATACCCGTCACCGGCACGGTGATGATCCAGCCCAGATAGATCCACCCCACGAGCTTGGGGTTGATGCACTTCCAGTCACCATTGGCGAGGCCGACACCCACGGTGGCGCCAGTGATACACTGCGTCGTGCTGACCGGCAGCTTCAGTCGCGTGGCCATGAGCACCGTCACGGCAGACGCCAGCTCCATGCAGAAACCACGGCTGGGCGAGATGAGGGTCAGTCGGTTACCAAGCGTCCGCATGACGTGGTATCCAAACGTCAAGAGTCCGAGCACAATGGCAGTACCACCGAACGCAAGCACCCAGGCGGGCACGTCCAGCGAGTCGACCACCTCGCCGTGGGACCAAACGTCGTAGGCTGTGATGAGGGGCGAGATGGCGTTGCTCACGTCGTTGGCGCCGTGCGTGAATGAAGCCGCCGCCGCCGTCAGGATCTGCAGCGCAGAGTACATGTACTCAGCGCGGTTGTCAAAGTGCGCCGCGCGGGCATGCATGTCTTCGATATCCCACTTGAGCACGATGTTGCGCTTCTGCATGCTGACCACGTCCGCCTCGATCCCGCGCAGGAGGAAGCGGTTGATGCGCCAGCCGATGACGGGCCAGCTGTTCCACTGGCCTGACGGTCGGGGAGGGATAAAGGCATCCATGTTGCTTCCGTCTACTTCCCGGGGCGGTGTCGGCTGGCGATTACGTGGTGAGTTGGACTGGATGGCGGGCATGGGCAGCTCCAGAATCTCGGGCACATCGTTGGAGGGCGGCTGGTCATCAGGAGTCTGCACAGACTCGAGGAGTGTCTCGGATGCGCGGACGGAGGCGAGTTCCTCGGCAGTGAGATGGCCGCGGTAGTAATCCCTAATCTGTGGCTTGACATAGCCAAACGGCGTCGGGGGTGGCGGCTCGCGCTTGAGCAGCCACGGTCCCTTGAGGCAATGGTACCATCGCAAGGTCCAGTCTTCGCGCATGATGCGAACCCAGAGAAAGGGCATGATGAACCAGGCCTGCAAGGCAACGACGCCGGTCGCGGGCGCGAGGACGGCTACGATGATGAGAGGGGTGGGCATGTCCTGGCTCTTGGCGCCCTTCCATGCGACCAACATGGCGATGGCGCCGACCGTCACAAAGGTGAAGAAGGGAATCGTGTAGAAGGCTCGCTTGACGGCCGTCGGCTTTGTCAAGACGAGCGTCTTTGTGAAGAAGAACATGAGGCCGCCAATGACGCCGGCGATTCCTGGCGCGACGATCCAGGTGGCAAAGATCTGGGAGACACCGTTAAAGCCCCAGTGCACCTTGTCGATGCCGACACTTGCTGTCGCGGCGCCGACAATGCCTCCGATAATGGAATGTGTCGTGGACACGGGCATGCCGTACCTCGTGGCAAAGGTCAAGAAGATGGAGGACGCGATGACGGAGCACATCATGGCGAGGAGGAGCACCTGGGGAGACGCATCGTAGAGGTGCGGGTTGATGATGCTCGTGCGGATCGTGTCGGACACGCGGTCGCCCACGGCAATACTACCTCCAAACTCGCAGACCGAGGCGACCAGCATGGCTTGCTTCAAGGTCAGCGACCTCGAAGAGACGGACGTTGCGAACGAGTTGGCAACATCATTGGCGCCTGTGATGGGAGCAAGGTCAGTCAGTCAGTGGCCTTGCTATCTCATGTCTTACGCAAGGAGTGGCACCCACCAATGTTCCATGCGTCGAGGAATGTGAAGACGACGGTAAGCGCAAAGATGTAATCGTACTGGTGAAGCACGGTCATGATGCAGGCAACCCTCGAGGGGAGCCATGCGGCTCAGGGCGTCTGCCTGCGTTTGCGCCAACGGTGCTGTGAGGTAGCTATCGAGGACAGGTGCGTCACTATTCGATAATGTGCCTTTGGAGCGAGAGGGCGATCATCCAAGATTGCATTCGTCTCTGGGTGGTTTGGGACGCGGCGGCTGGTGTTGTCTGCTAGCTGTGAGACAGGGGACGATGTAAGGGCACGTCTGGGGCGGACTGTGGCATTATACGTGATGGACGCGGATAGAATCTGCATGCGTGGATGGAGGCAGGACAGCGATACTCGAGAGGAAACCCGAGCGAGCGAGGACCCTTGGACTCGGTTCAACTCGAACTACTAGTCGGTCGACCCACTGGCTGCCGTTGCAAGCGTGACAGTTCTTCGGACAGCTGGGTGCCCGTGGCTCGATGCAAAATCCACCGAGACGCTCATCCTAGTGGCCGTGCTCGCGGGAGTTGTTGTGATTCGATGGTCTGGGGCCTGGGCATCGCCATGCTCGAAGGCCGTCTCGAGTCTGGCGGGCACTTGACATGCAGCCACGCCACAGCGAGAGCAATGAGGCCCAGGATGGCGCTCTGGGAGGGAACCACAAGCGATAACCCTGCAAAAGAAACGACGGGCGGACTGCGCAAGGTTCGTCGGGTTGCCCATAATTATCGGTGTTGGGCTGGTGCTGAGTGCATGTCGTCGTGCAGTCGCGGCCAATTATATGCAGATCATCGCCCACGAGGTCTCGACTTCGACGCTCATAAGACGGCGCCGCAACAACAGGTTCAACCTCCACAAAATGCCTCTCACCTTTCTCCACAATCGACAAGTGAGTGCAGACTGCAGACATGATCATTCTCAATGTCTTCTCTATCGACTGTGTGAGTCTCAAGTTCACGACCAGTGACGGGCACAAACACTCCCATCGGCTGCGTTCACACGGCACTAGACACACGATTGGAAAATGGCTGGGTCTAGCAAGCCACACCAAGCGGCACGAAGTCCGACAACAAGGTGTCGTCAGCTTCCAGGATCATCAAGCCATCCCGCCCACGTGGACCGTCCGGTTAGCTCCCGAGACTCGGTCGCGGAAGGCCTGGCGCTAGTGCCTGTGGCCGTAGATGTTGGACCAGGTACTCTAGGGCAAGACAGGGCAACAAGTGTGCAAAAAGGCTGTCAGTGATGGCGGGTGGCCATCTTCTCGATGTAGAAAGCCGTCTAATGTTGGATCATGTGGACGTGATGCCCAGACAATGTGCGTATGAGGATGAATCTTCGAGGAGCATCCGGGCACGTGGACGACGGTTGCAGCCCCTGGTATCTTCAATCTGCTTCCTCCTCGCCACGGGCTGCTCGTCGTGTTGGGGTGGTAGGGACGGCAAGAGTCTTGACTCTTAATTACTACACCTTCAGTCAGCGTAGGACCGTCATTGTCTCGAGTCGGGTCGATCCCCCACCCCGCGGATCATCGCCATCCCCCCACGACTCTCCACGGACATCGAAACGAGGGCAGTCGTAGAGGTAAGGAGGATCAGCTATCCTTGTATGGGGCATGCAGACCTGCTGCCTTCCTCTGCTTGTACATATACATAACGAGGCTCTGACTGTGATGGACCGCCACTGCGCAAGGGCTCACCACCGATGGGTTGCATGCAAGTCTTCAGTGCCTCGCGTGTAACAGCCCCGGAGAGGTTTTCGAGAAGACGCCCGCGCAGATCATGATTCCAACCCCGTGCGTTGGCATGATGGACAGGGACCCCAAGGCCTCATGGTGGGGAGAAGAACATGAATTACCCCAGTACATGCCTAGGGCATGTTCTCTATCCTTTTCAGAAACCATACTGAACCGTCGTAGCGAGTGCAAGGGCAATGCTTCCTGTAGTCAGTAGACTCAGTACTCAGTAATGTGCTGACGCGACAGACTGAGCAGCTTCGAGCTGCCCTGGATCCTCTGTCACCACCAGGGTGGATGTGGATGTTTGAACCATCAAAATGTTCGGGCTCGCCCAAGAAGAGCGCGGCGACAACCTCGGTGCAACCCATGGAGGACCTCTGAGAGAAAGTTGGTTATTCACCATTGACAGATGGAAGTGTTCAACATGTCGAGATTGTGTCTGCCAACGTACTTTCCTTTTTTTGTGGGGAACCCGGCCCTTCGCGCCTTCCCGTCGCATTCCGATCCTCGGCCCATCGCAAAATGTCATCATCACCACCATCTTCACCCATTGCCACCATCACTCCCTCACGTCTTCTTCCTTTCCCTCCGCAACCCACCACAATGACACGCCAATTACTCCAACGCGCCTTTCCCCGTCTTGCGCTGCCCACGAGGGCAATCAGCATACGCACATACGCCTCCTCGTTCCGCCCCGGCCCCGCGCCCCCCAAGCTGCCCGCCGAACAGCAAGCCGAGTTTGAGCGTCTCCAGCGTCAGGCAGCCGTCTCGTCAGCCTTCAACCCGCCCACGAGCGCCGACGCCGCATCTCCAGAGTCCAAGACGTCAGAGACTGCCGCTGCCGCCAAGGGTGGCGAGGAGGAGGAAGAGGCCCTCAACCAGGGTCTCTTTCGCGGCGCGAAACCAGAGTTCAGGGGCGACGTGAATCCCAAGACGGGCGAGGTCGGCGGACCCAAGAACGACCCGCTGCGATGGGGCAGCTCCGGGGAATGGACCTACAACGGTCGCGCGACGGACTTTTGAGAGAAGGATAGGTCCTCTTCGGATCAACGACGAGCGAGGCAGATGATCGATAGGTCGGCGATTCGTGCCACCCTGAACTTTGCGCCACGCGTACAAATGGTACTCTACATTCGACATAGAGAGCCTACCAGCCGTCAATATGCCACGGTCATTATCCGCACCAGGCCGACGTTGTAGCCACGGTGGAACAGCCTCACGGCATAAATACCCGCAAACATTGCAACATGGTCCAAGACGACCAAGATACGCTGGGTCTAGATGGCGTGGCGTGGAGGAATCGCAACACTTGGCACCATGTAAACCATGTATGATTACGTGTAATAATTCATATCGACGGGATATATCGCATACCCAATCACCCAGGCTCCGTCGCTGCAGACAAGCATAAATCATATGGGCTTTTCCAATCTCTCAACTCCATGCGCATGTGATGTTTCGTATCGTACAGTCTCAAATTCAACTTAGTCCTTGGCCCCGGTAGACCCGTCAACGGGCGCCTCTTTCATCTCCACGTCGGGCGCCTTGCGCTCCTGCTCCTCGCTGGGCTGCTTTTCCGGCGTTGCGTGCTCGCTCGCATCTCGATTCTCCTTGTTGCCCTCAGTGTTGTCGTTGTCGTTCCCTTGCTCACCGGTCATCTCCCCGGTGGCCTTCTTCTTCTCCTTGTCCTCCAACTGCTGCTTCATCCACCCATCGCTGCGGATGCGCTCCGTGCGCCCAGCCTGTTGCGTCACGCGTGTCTCCTGCATGGCCTTCCGCATCCGCTCCCGCCTTGCCTTGCCCCGGAGTCGTGCTTGGGGCTCTGCGCCGTTAGCCACCCAGCGTATTCCATGAACCATGAAGCTCAGTCCGTCGTGGGTGATGTGTCGCGAACCATGCTCGCCGCCAAACTCGCGGCTGCGGATGCCCCATTGCGTCGTAGCAGTATACTTGGTAAGCCTCGGCAGTATGAGAACGTTAACGTGGAGGTCGCGCCCGGCAGGAATCGGCATGGGTCCGGCCTCAGGTGGTGCGCTGACGAGCTGCTCCGACATAAGCTCATCCCGCGTAAAGTCGCGTCGCTTTCTCTTGTCGCCCTCGGGATCGATCAGCGCCATGTCGACCTCCTCATTCCACTCCCCCATGATCCAGCCACCGTGAATGCAAGCCGCAATCACGTCCGAGTCGTCCGTGTACACATTTGTTCCCCATAGGTAGCCTCTGGCCGTGATCTCCTCGCGGGATTCTCGGGACAGGAATACCCTCGGTACCTTGACCGTCAAAATACTATTGACCTTATCCTGGATCAAGCTCCACGGAAGCGGAGCGGGTCTTGAAGCGAAACCCCTGTAATTCTGCGGTTGCGGCACCAGTCGCTGTGGCTTCAACTCAGAGCTGTAGATAAAGTCCCCAATGTGCTGTCGAGGAAACTTGGCGGCCGCCTCCAGGACCTCCTTTGAGGACACCTTCTTCTGAACCTTGGGCGGGATGGGGGGCATCGTCGGTTGAGCCGCCTGTTTGTTCCCGTTACGCTGGGCGTGGTGATGGTGGTGGTGGTGATGATGATGGTGGTGAGGGAGCCCGTTTCGCTCGGTCGCAGGGTCGGCCGGCGTGCCACCTTTGGCATTCTTGAGGGGCGCATTCGCTCGCTGTGCGGCCTCCTCTTGCGCCCGGTGGTGATGGTGGTGATGGTGACTGTACACGTTAGCGGATGGTCAGCTCAGGCCACAAGAGACATACTGGTGGTGATGATGAGGATGACCCTTGGCCTTCTTGGCTTTGTGGCCGGGAGTCAGTCGCCCTGAACTGTCATCATCGCGACTCTCGTCATCCTTGAGCTTCCTCCTCCTGCCTTTGCCTTTGCCAGCCTCTGTACCAGCCTCAGCGTCCAGGTCTTCGCGCTTAGCAAGCGAAGCATTCGTGAACGGCCCCGAGGATCCAGTTATGGGGCTGGAACCACCGAGCCCGCTCACACCGCTGCCAATTCCAGAGAACATGCGTCCGAACTCATTCTTGATACCGGGCTCGCCAGCTGGACTTGGTTGCTGTGGTTGTGCGCCCTGGACAGCTTGGGGCAGAGGCGATAGGCGGCCCTTGCGGTTCTCCTGCTGAATAGCCAACAGATTGCGCTGATGCCCCATGCCAGCCGTTGCGTCCTCGCTGTTCCGGTGCCGCGCGCCGTCGTACAGGCCGTCTCCTTGCACATGGTAGGCGCCGGGCGGTGGTGCTTGGGGCGGTGCTTCATCCCCCGGTCTACCGCGCGGACCAGCGTGCGCGTGCGCGTGCGCGTGCAAAGGCGGCTGCGCCTGCTGGTGCTGCGGTAGTAGGCCCATCCGGGCGCGCTCGGGTGAGGATTCATAGGGTTGTTGTCCACCAGGCGGTTGGTGGCCCTGAGGCTGGGGCTGAGGCTGGGGCTGGTGCTGTTGCTGTTGGTGCTGCTGGTGAGGCATATGGTTTGGTGGAAAGCGATCGGGGGGGGACGTAATGTGGCTCCCTTGCCCTGGAAACGGCGCCGAGGTGTTCGGCGGGTAGTCGGGCGCTCGCTGATGCTCCATGGGAGCCCTGAAATTTGGGTCACCTTGCCTGGGACCCCATCTGGCAGCCTCCCGGGGATCGCGATACTGAGGTTGGCCCCTTGATGCATCATGTTGATGGAGTGGATGTCGTCCCGAATCACTGCCCGAATAAGCACGCTCTCGCCTCTCCACCTCTCGACGCTCCTGCTGCCGTTGCTCCATCTCGTACTGCCGCTCGCGCTCGGCTCGAAACCGCTCGTCGTGTGGGTAGCCCGGTCGTAATCCTACCCGCTCCGGATTGTACTCAGGACCTGGGTAGGGCCTGCCCACCTCCTCTCGTCGGCCATATCGATCTTCTGGCCGCGGAGGCATCCCTGGGTACTTGGGCTGACTGTTCGGTCGCGGGGGCGGCCCAGCGATAGCTCCTGCCATCCTTGCAGGGTCGCGCGATGAGTCGGCAGAAGCCGACATGTGCCGTGCATGGTATGTCGCTTGCGGTGTATTATATCGGGGGACGTCGGGCGTTGCGTACGATGGCCCACGTGGAGACGGCGCAGCGCTACCCCGAGGGTCATATGGTCGTTGGTGATCGGGCGTTTGGGGGCGTCGAAATGATGGGAAGTCTGTCGACGCGGACTGCATCTGCGGCGACCCGTGCGCCGGCGGTGCGAAGCTCGAGGCTGACCCAGGAGGTGGTGCTGTCGAATGAGAATACTGCCCCTGCTGAAGATGCGAACCACCCAACAGGGAAGAGATAGACATGGAACCTCCAGGAAGTCCATGCCTTCCAGTGAGTGAGCTTAGTGCAGGGAGCTCACGTCCGCCTCCGAAGGACGACTGAGGCCCGACTGTTAGGGACGGCGCCCGAGGTGCAGGCGGACCCGAACCATAACCCGGCATGGCGTGCGGCGGTTGTTGATGAGGGTGATGTGGATTGTGCGCGCCCTGCTGGGGCGGTGAGTTTGGCTGCGCCATGTTGCGACCAAGGTCGCGGTCTCTGCTGGCTGTCAGAGACGCGGCGCGTGGATGATTCGTCGCCTGGTCGAGAGAATACGATCGCGTTGCGGTCGGCGGTGGTTGTTGAGGTGCGTCAGACAGTCGTCGCGGACGGGCGGACGCCTGTGAATCTAGCGCCGGGCTTCTTCGGGCATAAGGCTGATGAAATGGCGGCGCAGAAGCTGCAGGTTCTGGTGGAAAGGGGGTTCGCGAGGAGGCTGCGTTGCTAGAATTTGGATGTGACAACGAAGCCGAGTGCCTAGGATCCATAATACTGAAGGCGATCGGGTTTTCAGGTCACAGGCGGTTGGTTGGGCGGACCGTGAGTGGATGACGGCGTGGACGGCTGCAGGCCTTGAAATTCCGGCAGCCTCCAGTCCTACCTGCAGCTGCGACAAACAAGGGCCGAAAAACTCGGGCGGGATTGGGCAGGAGCTTGTTGGACAGTTGGAGGCTGGGCTGGGCTGGGGGAAGCTTTCTCCACAGTCCAGTCCTCGGATTTTGATGCCAGCAATGACAGCACAGCGCAGACCCTGTGGAGCTGCTGGTCTCGCGATAAGGCAGGCAGATTGTGCTGTAGGTACGCAGATGCGCTTGGTCGGTCAGGCACCTCACCGCCAGAGGGAAAGCGGTGTCGCGCGACGGTCGAGACGGAGCTGCAAAGCGCTGGGTCGCAGAGTACTTGTTGTCGCAGACATGCGGTGAGCAAGCTCGATGGTTTGAGGTCTAGAAACCTACTAGGCTGGCGTGTCGTGCAGGCAATCGTCGAGGGTTCGCGCGGCAACCCCGGTCGCAAATTTGGCGCGCGCGCTTGAGCCGTGACCAACAGGACTCAGTATTGATTGACGCTCCCGAATGTTCTCCGTCGCGGTGATATACGCGTTCAGGTGCGTATTGTCATATAAGACGACGCCGGAGATGACTTTGCAGGCTTTCGCGATGATCGAGTGGGAAGAGGTGCGTGCAGTGCAGGATGGAGTGCGGAGACGGCGGACAGAGACATGGAGAGACTGGCGAGAGCTCTCGTTTGTCCCGCGGAACGAACGATGCATGGATGGATGGGATGAATGGATGCACTTCAACCCAATAGCGCCGCCGCTTGCTCACTTTCAGTGCCAAATGGTTTTACTGTGAGGTACTAATATATATCTGCTTCACGGTGCGACCACTGACCCTGGATAATATCTGTTTGACCGCAATCTTGTTAAGCGCAACGAACGCAAAGCGCACCGGCACAGGGATACCCTCCTCCGCGGCGGGCGGGTGTGGGGTGAGGTCACCACCAAGTTTTTGACTTCTTGAGACAGCTCCGATGTGTGGCTCGTGACAGTTGAGGACCCTGGCATTCCTCCAATCCCATCGCGCGTTCTGAGGAATGCGATCTACAATTCCCGATATGATCAGAAACAGCATTTGGTCGCCCACGAGCGCGTTGATGGAGAGGTATCCTTTCGGCCTCATACATTCGCAGAAACGTTGTGTTTCAAGAATTCGCCTTTGCTATCACAAACGGCTCTGTTGAAAACATCTAAAGTGTTACCCATGATCTTGTGAGTAAATATGCAGATTTATTCGATTTCCCCAGCTGTATCGTTCATACGATCACAATTCTGTCATCATAGATCAATAGCGCGTGTGGATTCTACTTTAGTGTAGGGTAAGCCTTTCAACAGAACAGCCGATGTGACAAGTGTATATACTGAGCCATCAAACCACCAATACAAGTCTGCATTAGAATTTAATAGGTCAAACCGCCAAGATTTATCACACGCGCATTCGCTGTTTGCGCATAGTCAGGTTGAACGACATGGAATAGTCCAATTTGGGAGGTGTTACCATACACTGTTGGGCGATGGATAGATGCACCATGAAAAGTGCTGCCTCGAGATCTTGTCTAGAGGGTGGTTTTGATGATTTCGAAACTTCTTAGTATGTAAATTACGAGGCTCTATATTCCTATGGGTAGCCGAAGAGGAAAATTGACGGCCAGCCTGAGACTTTCATCAATCACTGGACCAAACTACAACAACCGGCTTACATTAACATGAACTATGGAATCACTTGCCATAAGATGAGGAAAACCACTATGGCTGTCCTGCGGACTTCTCTATGAATTGTACGACTTGTCGACCCGGTGTTCAGGGTCGTGCTGTAGAACCAGAGAAACTCTTTCCTTCGCCAGTTGTTCAATGCTTTCCAGCTCTTATTGGCGAACGAGACAGACAGGTCCATCATGTGCGTCTATTTAGCATTAAAGAGACCATTTCTTAAGCTTATTATCATGTTTCGACTCGGCTATCAACTTCTTGACGCGCTCCTCACTTCATCTCTTGGAGCTGCTCACCTCGAGCTCACTTTCAAGGCCGAGGCCGAGCTAGGCTGTTATCCAGCTGCATAGTAACTCACAGCCCCATCTGCAGGACTGAAACTTGTTGAAGACTGAATATGCTGATCTTTTTCGAGCGCCTATGGAAACATGAACGCTGCACTTCAGGCGCAGAGAATCGCAAGCCAACACGCAGCTTCCGCTGTAACACATCCGGACCCCGAAGAATTGTCTCGGCGTTTCCCAGATGCAGGGACATTGTAGTGAAGTTGACTGCAACAACAGCTCTGCTAGTTCTGGTACATTCTGATGTGCCAGCATCTGATGTCTCGCGCGAATAACCAAGCCCAGAAGAACATTTCTCTTCGTCCAGACTGCGGCCTTGCCGTAGTTTGTGTGTTATAAACCGGCATTCTGCAAAAATACTTCGATTCCCAAGAACATACCCTTCTATACCATGGCACAACCATCTCAGAAAGGTATATCTTTAGCCAACCTGGCTGCTAAAGCGATTTCGTCTCGCGGACACGAGCGCTTTCCCAGCCTCAAAGGAGAGCCGTCGCTATGGGAGCAGCTGTCGGGCGTCCAAGGTCCGACATTATCCCCTAGAGGAATCAACACCATCATTGTCTTTCCGGGCTCGTTCAACGCCCCCCACAAAGGCCACAGAGACTTGCTCGAGCACGTCATGAGAAACGCAGGCGAAGATCTGAATGTCCGCGCCGCCATCATCGCCCCAACAAATGACGAAAGACTGGCCCGGAAGATGAAGAACGACCCCCAGGCACCGCTGCTGTCCAAAGCGCAGCGGGTGCTGCTACTGCGCATGTCGGGAATGGGGGAGGGTCATTGCTGGGCATGTAGCGGGTCCCAGAGTGACCTCGGGGATCTCATCGCGGCCCTGAAGGCTGAATTTCAAGAACAGGATATCCGCGTACAATGGGTCATGTTGGCCGGTCCAGAGAATTTTGGGGAAAACGGCGTCCCAAAGCCGCTGTTCTGGGCCTGTCCTCATGTCATCGCGAGCAACGTATCTCGTCCTTGCGAGGCTGCTACGGACGGGTCACTTCACCTGAAGGACGTCTGGGGCTTTGCCGAGTGGAATAGGGTCGAGTTCGATGAAGCGAGGCTGTTCAAGCAAGTCAAGACCAAGGCCCAGATGAGAGGGGTTCGCGCGGACTCCAGCGGTACGTGTGGCCTACCTCGTAATACCTCTCCTTCAGCAAGACCTGATAAAACACAGAGATGCAAGCGGTGGTGGAAGCTGCCGTGACCAATATGTCAAGGCTGAGGCAGACTCGCCCTCATCGAACCCCCATCAACAAGGGCACGGGGTTCATTCGCTTTGTGTTTGCCCAGGATCTCAGCAACGGTCGGCCCGACGCCCCAAGCTCCTCGAGAATTCGAGAGCTTCTGAAGAAGATTACTGCTGGAGATAGGTCGGACGAGGTCGTCGGGGAACTTGGCAGCATGTCGCTTTGCACGGACACGCTTGTATCATATATCAAGACGTATCAGGTCAACCCAGAGCTGAGGAAGATCGAGGAGTTAGCGAGGGAGAAGGCTACGAAGCAATTGGAAGTCGAGTGGTGAGATTAGACATGGATGGCAATGACCTTGGAGATACCGTCGGTTGTACTGCGTAGGGAGGGTTCGGGCGAGAAGGCGACCTGCGAAAAGACCACAGACCAGGGGATAACTGCTAGACTACCTTTTGCTACATCTGGGCCGGTCCTCGAGCGACAACCGAAGCTACCCATCCCGTTGCAAATTTCGCTGTCTCCGAGGGTTGCACGGCAGCTCTGCGATGCTTCTGTCGGCAGATATTCTCACGAGTCAGTCTGCATAAGTAACGGGTGAAGGATGAGAAGAGTAAACCAGAGTGGCGTGAGGAGGTATGTCGGGTCGCAAGACGAGCCCAACTTTGTACAAGCGTTTCGATTTGTTCAAAGTTCTTTGCAGCCAAATTCGTCTGTGCCGGCGTCCGAGACAACATCTGGACCGGACACGTGCCGAACAGCAAGTTTGGTCACATTTTCGTCTTCGTATTTACCGTTACCTTTAATTATGCCAACTGGCGTGATTGCGCGAATCGTGTAGGTGCAACATCCTCCTGTACGTGGTGGTGAGAGCGTGAGATAACTTACCCGACGGCAGGGAAGCTTGCGACACTAGCTGCTAGCGACCACGCTTACCGTCCGGGCCCAGGCGGTCCGGCGCTGACAGATGGAGCAGATGGAGAATTGAGAACCCCTGGTCAATGTAGCAATGTGAAAAGGTGATGTTAGGACCGACCGAAGCGGTCCAGGGACTAATTAATAGCGCGGCTAATGCTGTAATGATGTGTCTCAACTTTGAAGAAGCATCGCGTCTGCTGGCAGTGGGAAGTGTGTTGCTATCGACGACTGCGTTGTGGCGTATAGACAGTGATACCTCTGAGACATTCAACTTGGTCTGTTAGCTCAGTTGGTTAGAGCGTCGTACTAATACGCCATAAGTGTATCAAGTAATGCGAAGGTCAGCGGTTCGACCCCGCTACGGACCATTTCTTTTGCCGTCTTTATCCCATTGATATGACAAAAATTTTGCGTTGCGAGACCTCACTCACTCTTTTATTCTTGTTCGTTTTGTCAGTTTTTGTCACCGAGCTTTGAGGTAAGAGGTGCGCTTGTAAAACGTCTGCCTCGTCTTTCTCCCACTTATTAAACTACCAATATTGCTTGCATATGAATGAATCCATTGCGTCTCCAACTAACTTGGTTAGCACGTCCCAAGGAAGCGTGCTTTCTTTCGTTCTGTCAAATTTCCAGGAGCAAACATGAAGGCAATGTGATTTTGCTTCATTACCCGCTCTTGGCCTATTTTTGTAGGCTTATTGCCGATCACGCCAACGGTATTGACAGGATGAAATTGGCATCCTGGGGGATCTCCGACCGACCCATACCATATCGCCGTCGCGAATGCAGGAAGCCCACCGCTGGACCGGTGGTACGGGACGTTCCTCGCGCCTCCAGGCACCAGGTGCCAGCCGAGTGGATGTCCGCCGGGACGGCCCACGATGGTGCTGAGACTGAACAAACTGAACAGAGTCCGGTCATCTGACGGCGTCTGGTGATCACCACGTCGGCCCTAACTGTCCTCCGCTGCGAGGACTCAACCCCCCTCGCCAAGCCCCGCAACATCGTACAGCCTGGAGGAGGCTTTGATCGGCGCACCTTGCTGGTCAGGGACCGACTTGACCACTGACAGGCAGCGACGAACGAGGGCTTGGGACGGTCCAGTGAGTTCACCAGCTACGAGTCTGCGACTTTGTCTTATTGGGAGGCTTTGTTGCAAAGCGGCCATGCAGCTGTCCTGAAGGCTACATACCTACGGATTCAGAATCATACAAGATACCAAAATAGCTGGCACGGGCATCGGTATGGGGTGCCAAATCCAGGACCATGTCTCTGGGACGAAACCCTTCAGACCTACATTAACCATAGTTGGAACAGCCTGTCATTGGCTGTCCCAGCATGCAAGTCCATACCCACCTCCTGTTTGATTCACGATGATGCCTCTCTGGGGCCGTGGAATTAACAAGTTGCGGAGCGATGACACTTCCACGACGGGCGCAGGATCTCCAACGATGCCTGTGTCAAGGGACCATTCATTCTGTGTCGTCTGACTGGACGCAGCGAGCCCCAGGAGTCGGTGTACGGAGTGGGATTGACAACAACGGATCGACAGGGCCAGCCAGGGCAACCGAGCCCTCTGCACGTACGTACATGTCACTGTAGAATCCATCAACGACGGACCCGAGCGCTGGCCAGTCCAATTAGACACACGCGAGCGTGCCCACGCCAAGCGCCACCGTTAATAAAGGGTCCATCGGACATGAGCCTGGTCCCGCCGTCAGTCATGTCCAAGGGGGGGTGTCCAGCTCAACTCTGCGCCGTCTCGTCGTGGAGACGGAGACGTCAGTGTCCATGGTAATGTGGGAACTGGACGACTTGGCTTGCTCATTGATGACGGCGGATCGTTGGCAGCACTGGTTGGTGAGAAAAATGAGGTCCCATTTGAGACGCTGCGTTATGGACGAAACAAGATGCGCGCACGGCAAAGTGCTGTACCGAGGCGCTGGGTGCCGTCCGTGGAGAACCAACAGAACTGGAGCCCAGGACAGGGGGCGAACGATGGAGGACGGATCGAGTCGACTGACCATTTCAGCCCGGCTGCTAGTCTGCAAGCAACTCAGCTAATCAGTGCTAAAGCACAATATTCCCAGGAGTCCTTCTGACTCATGCAGCGGGCTGGTTGGATTGACTTTGTTGACGTGCAGGTATTGGGTATCCGTACCTGGCTGGTTTGAACTTTGAACGGCGGCCAAGAACCGCCATAAGTTTCACCAGCGACCACGCAGTCCATCCATGTCGGGATCGTCAATGTCAAATCACCTTCTCAGGTGGTCCGTCAAAGCTGGTGGACAGGCTGAAATGGGATTCTTCCTTACGGACCTTTGTTGATTAATTAACACATATTAGCCTTTCAGTCTACTGCACAGAGGGGGGAGTGGACGCATGTGCGCAACGGCCCCCAGCCAGTTGGCTGTCAGACAGCCACCAGGCCACCCCGGCTCTGGCTCCATCCACGTGCGTGTTGACCGGTTTCTTCATCGGGCAGGCCAGGCGCCCGGTGCAGCAGATCACACACAGTTCGAAGAATGCAGTGTGATTGACGATTGGGAATGCCGCTACTGCTATCATCCATCGTTCCGCGGAATCGGCACCGCCTGGGCAGATGTCGATGCCGTCGTGAGCCGAGGAGCGTCGCGAATCTTCTTGCGAACTACAGAGTCTTCCGACATTTAGGTCTCCGACATGGTAAGCTTCATGGTTGTGATGAATCTGATTGCTGTAGCGTAGGTTACGGGGCACAGAGGCCGGCAATTGACTCCAGCCACGTGTACGCATGTACTTGTATGCATGGGTAAAGCGGGCCGCTGTCGAATTGTTCATGTTGGAGTGCTGTCACTTGCGGCAGTGAGCAATTTGGTGAGACGGGAATAAAAGTCCACCAAGAGGATGATTAGCCCCTGTATATTGCAGCGCACATATCAAGTACGTAGCATGAGCAACGAGTGGCAGAACGGCATCTGAAACCGACAGACTGGCCAGCGCTCTGACTTCGGTTCTGGCAGAATGGCGTCACCTGCTGTGCGTCAAAACTCACAAGGATTTGGATCGTGTCGATTCATGATGGCTTGCGCCCATCCCCTGCCTCCTCCATGTTCCTCGACTCCTAATTAGTGCCTTGTCGCTCGATGCTACCCTACAGTTGCATCGCAAACATGCTCCAGAAGCAGCTGTCAACTGTCAATTCGCCTTGAATTACGTTTGGCCAAAAAGGCCATAATTTGGACTAAATGTCAACAGATGTCTGCGACAAATTAGGGGGCTCGACACGTGCGCGGGATGGCTGCATCCTCCAAACGTCCACGTGAAACTTCCTCGCTCCAGGTCTGTAGTGGCAAAGGAAAAAGGGCATTCAGATGAGCGGCCAAACGGGCTTCTTGTCAATTTTCAAAGAGGGAGATAAAAAAAAAGGTTTGTACAGGGGGCAATGAAGTTCGGCGCAGGATTACGCTGACGGATGCACACCAGACCCGACCCCACGCCTTCTGGACGTTTTCCATTGCTGGGCACTTGTCTTGGATTCAGCAGTAATCACTACGTCCTGTACACTAGGTTATATTAGCATGTCAGGCGGGACCATCACGAGGTTAATATGGTTGCTGATGAGTGATCAGGCTGGCTTGTGGGCGGAGAACCGGCGACAGCGTACGTGCTGGCGAGACAGCCAAGGCCAACTCTGCCGTGCCATGCTCATTGATGATTGATTGCCTGCCGCTCTGCGAGTCTCTGGACGCACCTTGATGCTGCTCATGGACTGAAGCCGGCCCCCGCGGAATGCGTCTGGTCTGAGAAACCCACTCCCACCTCTCCATCTGGCGACTCGTCAGGTCCAACGGTATCCGGTGGGTGGGCAAGTAATCAAATATGTGTGCAGCGAATCCGAGCAGGCGGGTCGCAAGGCAGCCACAAGAATCGTGAATAAAATGCCTGGGACACTAATAATAAGGGCTCGGGGCCAGGCCTTTTTGTCCGGGGGAGCGCGAACGCGCTGCTTCATGTCCATTTGGAGTCAAGGTCCCGCTGAAGTAGACAAGGACCAGGCCCTGACCGAACGGCTGGATCGTATGCTCTCAGCCTCTCACCGGGCTTATCCAACTATTCAGACCGAGCGAGGGTGCGGGCAGCACTTGTCTCGGCCCATTGATTGGATGTCGAGGCCTGTCCTTCACCGAGGCTAATAACTCAATCCCCATCATATCATATGCCCAGATTTCGCGGCGGCGGTAATGTCCTCCTCGTGTTCCGGGCCTCCAGTAGGAATTCACAGCTGGACGACAGACTCATGAATGTAATAATATCTGTCGGGCCAACAGCGTGGCTTTCGGTGAAGCTCCGCGTCCACTACAAGTCGTAATCAGCCGGGCCACCTTGATGGCGGCTGGCAGGGCAAACTGGAGGGACTGGAGCAGGCATGATCCCTCGCAGCCTGCAATGCCTGGAGAAGTGTGCTTCATTGGTGGAGGTTGCTCTCTCTCGAGGCCGCTGCCGCAATTTTGATCCTTTTCCCTGCCGCGAGTGGCAGACGCGTTGGCTGACCTGTTGCTCGATAGACGCGGCTATTGCTCAGGGACAGACGCGATGCGTCCGCCAAGTTGCCACTTCCTCTGACATAACTCCAGTCAGTAGGAGACCAACAACACTGCTCTTCTGATCCGGTTGTTGGCCCATAATTAGTACTGGCGTAATGAGACCGCTCAACCCTCGATTCAGCGGCCGCACCCCTGCGACCGAGGCCAAGGCGCGCGCAGCTCACGGTACGTACCAGGTACCCGTGTCGTAGCTGTCAATCGGGCAGACACGCACCGCAAGACGCACGCCCTCCAGTCTCTCCACGCCTACCCCTGCTTGGCTTGGACCGTGAGCTCAGGGACCTTCCCCCCCCCCTCTCTCTCTCCCACAGTCCCACCACGTTCGGTTGTCGCGCGCTGGGCGGCGTGCTGTGCATTGTCTCGCCTCACTGTTGTCCAGACACACGCCATGGTCGTACGCGCAGACAACCCACCCCCGTCCAAGGGACCACCGGCCATCTGGCGAATGGCACCGGTACGTATCTGCCAGACAGGGACTGGACTGACGGGGTTGAAACCTTTGAATTTTCGTTGGCCTTGCAGGGCAGCCAGGCTAAGGTACTTAGCTTATGGTTCTGGGGGTCGGACCGCCTGTCCTGACGGTCCCTGTGCAACGACGTGCCAGGCACTTCAAGTGTTATTAAACCCAGACGTCACCCACCTTCTCGACCTTGGTTCCCTCTATTGACATTCCATTATAATAACATCATTGAGGCTCTCGCCAAGCGGCTGAACATCCTTCTGCATCTGCGTCCACGTTTCATCAGCAACACCTTCCGAACATTGAACCCTGCGTACACCGACATCGGCAAACAGCGTGCCGCCTCTTGCCATCTACACCACGACCACCTTCACGCACATACACACAACCACAAGGCGACTTTGCGAGTGATATCGTCATGTGCAACTACATTTACGTATGTGATCCAAAACATCATCGTTTCCTCCAATATACTGACTCTGTACAGAAAGAGTTGAGCTGTCAACATCGCTATCACCTGGTGGAGTCATGGTGTCCTAAGTACATTGAGACGCAGAAGCGGTGTCCGCCCACCATTGTGAGCAAGCAATACTGGTATGCTCTTTTCTGACAAACACACTATTCCTAAACATTAACTGACTCGAGACTCAGGGGAGACGATATTTGTGGTATGTAATGCGGGTACAAGTCATGTAATGATCATGCCGACTGACTCGCCAACGTGTACAGCCGCCTGCCGTGAGCGTCGTCAACCGAGCAAAGCACCCTGGGCCAAGATGATCAAGCGTCCCTCGTCGAGACGCCTGCCGACGTATCCTTCGTACCCTTATCCACCCTCGTGCCAGATCTCTGCACGATGACTGCGTGACCACGCCGGCGACGCTTTACCATCAACACCGACAACAGCACCATCTTCACCACCAGCAGTCAAAAGGCGACGCATCTCCTTGTCATAGCGAGGAAACCCGCCAGAGAAGACACCAAGACGTCTACAGACGCATCGATCGATCGACCGATCTATCTTTCCACCTACAGCATCATTGATTACCAGCACCAGCATTTCTTCTTTCCCTGATTGAACAGCATCATCAAGCGGGCGAGAACACAACTCGGGTGCAAGCCCACAACCAATCGAACACATCATTCCCTCGTTGGAACGGCAGGGACACGGCGCGCGGGGTCTTGTTATCTCATTTCATTTCTTTTCGGGTTGGCAGCTTTGGCGTTACCATGTTACGGGTCAGGTCTACACATCATTTGGAGGAAAGGAAGGGTGTTTCAGCCAGGACGGACGGCACCGGGGGAAACTTGTCAAGAATACGGCCAGGGTGCGGTCATCAGCAGCAGCAGCAGCACACACATGCGCATGCAAAGCACACGCAAAGCACGCGCAGAGAATGCGAACGGGGACGGGTCATGACGAACAGGCGCGGCAGGGCAGAAGAAAGTGGTGGACCGGACTTTGTTTCAACAGTTCTAGGCTGGTCACATCAAATCTCATCCCACGCGCCACGATTGGCAACCATGCATACCGGTCACTCACTCACTTACACAGAACATGTATCTTTGCAGATATCACACAACAGGAAGGGAAACCAAACCATAATTCGCTCAGCTGTCTACCTACACTCTGGTCTTGAGTGATTTTCCTATAACAAGCCTAAAGTGTCTGCGCAGATCATATCGGGCTACCATTTGATTTATCAATCACACACATCTGTACACCGCGCGCGCACGCACGCACCCCACACACACGCACAATACGTATACTCACACGTGCATCTTGTGCTCCTTTTCACTCACCGTCTGGTTGCTGCTGACCGCCTCGTGAACAAACGATGCTCGCTCCAGTCCGCCACCAGGCAGACCCATGAGCAGCAGAAGCAAAGACAAGGCGGGACGCCGCCTGCGGACGCACAAAACACCAAGCCACAAGCATGCTCTCGTATTGAAGCCACAGGTCATTATGAGCGCCAGGTACATACAGTACCTACACTGACCACGGCCCGAGACGAGTGGCCCAGGTCCGCTGGCGGGCTCGTCCGTCCATTCGCCCGCCGCCAAGCCACGAATCACTTCCAGCGCGAGCGAGCAACATGATGCTCGTGACGCACCCTGCGGGCGGTGACCTGCTTGTCCTGTCCTGCCCGACATATGGCACTCTGTGATTGACTGCATGCTGTTTGTTGGTCGAGCGCGGCCACTGGATCAATTGTTTGCCCATATCACACAGAGACACTGCATGCGTGCGTGCGTGCAGTGTGTGTACGTACGTACGGCCTTACGGATTGCCAGAAGGATCAACAACAATCCACCCACCGCGCGCTAATCACCCTTATTGCTGAACCCAAAAAGCCATCAAACAAGCCACATGAGGAAGAAGCGCGAGCATCCCGCGCGCGCTGAATGCCGGCGCGAGGCGCTACTGCAGGCCACACACCGGTGGGCGCATCCTTGTCGAGCATGCCGCTCATGTTCGCCCGCCCGTCACGGTCTCTTTGGAAATGAACAAGATCATAAAGAAGTCATTGCAACAAGGGAAGACAAGACCGGTCCGCCAAGTTCCCGCGCCGCTGACTCGCCATTGAGACACCTCGACAACGACCGACGGGCGCGCGGAAACGTGCCCAGCCGGCGGCGAGACAACTTCTTCGCAGCGGCGGTGGGCTGAGACACCGGACACACAGGAGAGATGTCTCGACTCGGGGCCTTTCAGCGAATGAAGGCTGAGACTGAAGGCGGTGCCACGAGCTGCGGTGTTCAAATGTCGCCGTGTCTTCATGTCGTCTTGGACCGCTGTAGCGTCGAAAAGCCCCAAGGTCACCGTGAACATTTGCTCGTCCCTCATATTGCGGTGCAATAGTAGTGCTTCCACACGACAGGGCATCATTATTCCAGGCTTCACTTCATCGATGAATCATGATAGCCTTCAGGCTTCATCGAGCATGGGGTGCTCGCAGGCGGGTCGACCTCCCGCAGCCCCGAGACCTGTCATTTGCTTGTTGATCGTCGGCGACCCAAATGCGCGGTTCGTGAGGAATCCTGTCATCTCTTGCGCTCCGGACTTCGGAGCGCAACATTGGCTGTCCTGAGGTTGTCATTGTCTCACGTCCGGCGCAGGCGAGAGGGCTTTCAGGCGCTCGTCCATGGAAGTTGTCTGGTGATGAACACGCAACACACGACGCACAGGCCCGCATGTACAATGGAGATATCCGGTGCGTGTTGCTGGACAATTGGGGAAAGTATTTCGTACGTATTTTGGTCTGAAAGGTTCCCAGTCCAGTCTCCAACGGTCGCAATGTCGGACTCGACCCATTCTCTTCTCCACAGAAGCTGCCACTTCTGCTGCAACCATGGTAGGGGTGTGTCCTGATTCACCACTTTGAGTTTGACTTTGACAGACGTGGGTGGCACTGGCAGGGAGGGAAGTGGAGGTTTCTCAGGACACGAGCTCGGCCGACTCCACGGCTTTCCAACGTCAGGCAACATTGAGGGTCGGTCATCTGATTCGGCAATTCATGCTTCTCGGTGAGCCAAGTGCCAACATTTGCAAACTCGAACGGTGAACAGGGTCCTCCGCTGCCAGGAAGACCCTGCGGCCGACACATTGTCGGTCGATATTAGACCGAAGTCCAGCCCTGCCCAGCCCAGCCCCAGTCAACAGCAACAAGGTTCTTGACGTCTCGATGTCGATCGAACTGTCAAAGGGCGTCCCCGGTTTCATTGACGAGCGATCAACAATGCTCGCTTAACGAGGGGTCATTGGATCATTGTCATGATGCGCGCGTGACGAATGCATCCATCCCCTCGACGCAACGTCCTCCAACTGATTGAAGCTTTTGGATCATGCAAGGTACGCTGTACACAGAGACGCACGCAGACTTGCCGTGATGGCTCATGAATAAGCCTATGAAACGACGCGGACGAGATCGACGATGCACCGGCGCATGTACGTATGTACCAAGAATGCTCCGGTGCCATTGACACAGATGCCTCCTCCTGCAAGTTCCTTCATTGCATATGCCGAGGTGCAGGACGCCATGCACTTCCATGTCTCGGTTGACGTCCTTCCGGTCGCAGTCTGGGCCGACAATCGTCGTTAATTGAACGGTGTTGATTCATGCTGCTGCCGAATTGATGCCCAAGGCTTCATGGCCAGACAAACGCAAAGAGGATCATCCCGAGGGAACGAACGGCTGTCCAAATGTACGGAAGAGGCCGCCTGCGCAAGCTCATCTCGGACGCCAATTGCCGCCAATTGCCGCCAATGGAAGAAGAAGAAGAAGATCCATGCCATCATGTACAATGGTGTGCCTGTCTTCTCCAAGAGGGACGAGGGTTTGGAGCTGTCAACAGTCAGACTGCCACGCACGGGGAATCAGGATGCTCTTCCGGTCAGGGGTCTTGGGGCCTGTTTGTCCTGCCCCCCGGACCATCCGCAGCGGCCACAGGCCACATGACCGCCGGCCCTGTTCTCAGTCATTCATTGAAAACGCCTTGCCAGGACATTCGTTCCTGGCCGGCCAACGGTCGAGGCGTCCGAATGGGAAGTGGCCGTACAATGGTGCACCAGGCAACATCGTCAAAGGCCACGCTATCGAGCCGCGAACCTTTGGAAATTCAATGCCCCAGCTAGGTTCCCATCCATCAGCCAAACGTGTGAGAAGTCGACTGTGCAAAGGTCAATTGTAGTCCTGTCACAACTTGTGCACTGCATGACTCGCATATGTAATGCATTTTGGTCTGGGGGCCACGCTCGCGTCTGAGCCCGCCGCCGACCGAGTGCATCGTGATGAGCAGGGAAGCGGGCGCTTATGATTAGGCTCGACAATCTTTGCACTCCTCTGTGACGACTGTCACATCCGCTCCTGGCAGGTCCTTCGCGATGGAGTTGCATGCTGTGGTAGCGTTGGTCGCTCAGTCGAGACTCGAGGCAACGTTATGTACAGAAAGCAATAAACATGAACATGGACCACCCACGTTAATCGGCGAGGCTGCTCCCCGACACCAGCAGGGATGACGAATGACCAGCGCAAGCATGCTGATCACATGATTCTTTGATGAGCACCTGGTCCCATGCAATGCCGATCCTGATTGACTGCCAAGGAGTCTGACAGGAGTTTGACAGGAGGTTGACAACCAACATGGACACTGCCGCCGCTCACGCCACGGCCCAAGGCTGTCGGTTGACATGTAGACCATCAGGGCCAGGGCACGTAGGCAATGCCCTGTCAATAGTGAAGCTGCGGACCTGCGAGTGTCTCGGGCACGGATGCATCAGCAGCTGCGCAAGTACAGGTACATGTGTGTGCTTGTGTGGCATCGTGCATGTGAATGTGATGCGCAAAGCACACTGCCAATGACTAGGCACGGAGCGGCCCGAGACACTGGTTCATTGCGGCGGTGGTTATCTCCAGATTCTCCACCAACGACCAACAGCCTAGCCTGCGCCTACGGACTCGCGGAGTACAGCCTGGACAGGCTCTTGCTTCACGCCGTCTGGGATGCCAGACGCGTGGCTGTTGGCTATTGAGGCAAAGCCGGCGATAAAGACCGGCCATGAACTATCCTGGACGTGCGAAGATTGACGCACTGCAATGAGCCTGTCGGTGATCATTGGCAAAGTATTCCTAACGGTGCCGACTCGACGTGGTAAGCAGCTGGCAGCAACTTTGTGGCAATGGCGAGATGCTATGTAGAATGGTATAATTTGATCTTCCCACCTTAGCAAACTCCAAAGAGCCCCATGTCTATAGCTGCAGTCTGCCCCACGAGGTGATATGATCGTGATCGTCAGCCTCGAATGTCATGATCTACGAGCACACTCCCTCTTGCGCCCGCTGGACATCAGGAATGCTTCTTGGACGCCCTGGCGTCCCATGGCGCAATGACCGTACCGTCAGGGAGTACCTCCTCCGTCGCCTGCACCTGGGCCAGAACAAAGGGATATATGAGGTCGCATATCATTGTAACGCCAACGATGGTGCAGGACGCTGGTTGAAGCACGAACCCATGCGCTTCAGGCCAGTACCACCACAGCAAGAGCGTCGTGACGGGTAGGCCCATCATTGTACCAACGAAGCGGCAGAACCTAGAAGAGAGGGCTGAATTAGCACAGGTCAGAGAATGAGCTTGCGCATCGCGTGAACGCAGTGATTGCCCGATCAGAGGATCGGCATCTGGGGAAACGGTGATGCGTTGGCCAAGCGCCGGCCCCCCCTATGTGTGATTGATTTGTTTGTTGCCATCAGCCCCCAGGGTCTACAACCCTGTCAAGAATGTCGAGCATTTCCACACCATGCGCATCAGCCAGCAGAATCGACCAGAGACTCACCATATCGCGTAGCTTTGGCCACCAGAGTGCCCTCGCTGGACAAGCATGGACAACGCGCCTACGCTGAACAGCATTTGCGCCACGCCTGCGGTCCAGTAGCTCAATTCGGTCGTGTCGCGCGCTTCAAGCTCCTTCCAGGTCTTGCCCCATTTGATGCCGTAGCCGCGATGCGGCTCGGCCAACCACCAGTACGAAAAGTACGCAATGGACGCGGCGCTCACGACAAACGTGAGGCCCACGGTCTTGCCGACGTTGCGCGCCACCATGGGCTGTGATGCGAAGCTGGCTGATGCATACTTTGCCGTGACGAGCAGGACGGGAATGTCGAACAAAAGCCAGAGCGCGAAACCGAGGTATTCAAGCCAGGTGTCGCACACATAGGCGACAAAGACACACTCCCACGCGAGATTGACGCCAAGGGGGAGGAGAGGGACGGGCGTCGCTCGCGTCGCGTGAGCGCGATGCACCATGAGGACGTACGTGACGAGCCAGAAGAACACGCCCGCGCCGAGGCATCCATTCGCAGCGTCAGTCAGCCAAGGCGGCGCGCTGGAGGGCGGTACGTCGCTTGAGCCCATGGCGTCGATGTCAGCTCACGTTGATGCAATTATGTTGGTGCAGGAACGGCAGATGAAGTTTGGTCTGGTCGTACACACGCGGAGGTGGAGGGCCTTCACAATTGGATCCTCAGAGCTTCTGGGCCGAGACAGCATTCATACACAATGCAAGAACGGAGGGCAGCATCTCGGTTCCTGCTGATTCTTGCCTTATCCTTCGTGCTGACGCAACAAGTGGCAGTGGAATCGTACGATGGCAGCAGCCCCGGCGCAGCTTCCCTTCCGTCATTCAAAGAACTTGCCTACCCTACGTCTCGTCTGCGATATGATCAGACTGAAAGTTCAAAGCACCATCAGTTCCTCACTATCTGAAGTAGTCAGTACTGTCAGTAAATACAGTATACTCCGATCACGTGGGTACTGAATGACTGGAGAACAGCTGTATTTGATGTGGGAATCTCATCCGTTCATCGGTGTGCTTTTTGGTTGTTTATGATCGTCCAAAGTCCAGACTTCAAAAATCCCAATTTTGGCTTATATCATGTAACACAGTCGAATAAACTGCTTCGCGACTTCAACTTTGACTTTAATTCACCGGCAGTTACTGCAGAGTACACTGTCCACGCATGCAAACGGCGCCCCCCAAACCCGAGCCACTTGGGCCCCCGTCAGCCTCTGGATCTCCGTGTAAGGATGGTAATCATTATACCAGAGCTATCACGGTCAGCAATTTTCTTTTTCACACAGCGTGGGGGAGACTTACACATCCGCCGTCCGGGCTGATGCACATTGCGTCCGACGCCCCATATCTCTGCGGGTTGTTGATCGCCTCGTTGAAAGGAGGGTGCGTGTCCACGATGACACCACGCACGCCTTCGTTGGCAGCCTTAAAGTCGGCCAAGAGAGTATCGACGCGCGAGTTGAAATCCGCAATGGCATCAACCAGAGGCTGGCCGTTGCTTGACATCAATGGGGTCTTGTCGGTTGCTGTATCGTTGGTCAGTTCATCCGTTGCAGAAAAGGAGAGCAGCGCCATGCAAGGGGTATAGGAACGTACGCGGCACATTGAGGAGGAAAAAGTCACGCAGACCGGCGTCGTAGAGGATCTGGAGTTGATCAGAGTAGACAGCCATGACCCTCTCGTAGATCTCGTCGCGGGTGGCCTCCCACCACGAGTTGCCAATGTCGTTGATGCCGATCCAGATGCCGACGATGCTGTTGTTTGCGGTCCACGGGGCATAGTCGGGCTGAGGGACGAGATTGTCGGAGAAGATGGCAATCTGCTCCTTGAAGCTGACGACGGACGGGTCGTAGGGGGCAATAATGTCTGAGTCTACCGTGGCGCCGCCGTAGGCAAAGTTGTAGGAGAGGACGGTCGAGGTGTTGTACAGGGACACCATGTAGCCGACCCAGTTGAGACCGCCGGATGTCGTCCACCCAGGCAGAGGAGGATTGCCGACAGGGTTTGCTGCTGAGGGCTTCTCCCCCGAGATTTCAAAGCCTGTCTGGGTGTACGAATCGCCACTGAGAGATTGTCAGACCAGGTGCGCCTCAGCGAGGGGGGAAAGGTGAGGTTACAATGTGAACAGATAAGTCACATCTTGGGCAATAGCGGCCCCAAGCAGGGCCGTGAGCAAGGAGAGGGACTTGTACATATTTAGGGGGGTATAAATGTAAATAGTCAAAAGATAATAGGGAGTGCAAGATGTGACGTCCATGCTGGCAGCTGCGTACGTCCAGACATCTTATACAACTCTCGACGGAAAGTCAATCCTCCGTTTGCCCGGCATTTGGGGATAGTGTTATGCATTGTCCGCAGTTAATATCGCGATCTCCAGTCAATGCGACTCTCTGTCCCCAGGAAGGGGCAACGCCGTCCGGGGAAAGTGGAGACAACGGAGGGAAGTTGTGCGGATGCCCAAATGGGCAATTCGACACGGAAGTATATAAGTACTGGCAAGTTCTGTTAGAATTGACGTGATATACATGGCAGTACGTGCTAGGGCCGGTCATCCCAGTAGCTGCGGTTGAATCGGCCAAGCTCCTCTACTGTCCGGCATCCAGGATGCCAATGATCACGGGGGGCGCCTATCGGCCACATGGCGACGAACAATGTCTGGTCTGGAGCGCAGACTTTAGGTCGAATCCAGGTAGTCCAGGCCAGAGTCTGCATCAAGCTCTGGAGCAAAGGCCTGCTCACCTCAAACGCATCTTCCAGCGCGCCCTTGTCTCCATCTAGATTGATCTGACCCTGGAATCTCTCGTCTTCACGGAGATACGTGTAGAATGTTGAGCGCATCGTGTACAGGATGTAGCATATGTCATCCATGACGGCCTGCAGGGAGGTGTAGATGAGGTCATCCTCGATGCTCCAGTGCTCCTGGTCGATGAGAACCGGCAGGAGATAGTGGTCGCTGCATCGGTTCATGGCCGCCTCGGTTTCGTTCTGAGCCTCATGGTCATGTCCGCCATCATTGTTTTTGATCCCCGAAGCATCCACATAGGCCAATGTCAACGATTCGAGTTCGCTGATGAACTGGGTCACGGAAGTGTTTTCAGACCCCATCAGTGCGAAGCGGTCAGCATACCGCGCGACAATCATGTCGACGACCCCTTGCCAATGGACCGTGAACCGTCTTGGTTGCGTGGAGATGTCTTGCAAGTAGTCCTTAATGTCCTTCAAATCTAGCTCCGAGGCAGCTGCCAACCGGATGAGATCGGGTCTCTCGTCTGTTGTGCTGCTGATATTGATCGGGAAGAAGAATCCCGAGACCATGGACGAGAAGTCAATGTTCAGCCGATTGCCTCCAATACCGTCATATCTCTGCCCGGCTGCGCGTGCCCATTGGAACGTGGACAAGCCATGCTCGGAGAGTCTGTCTTCCTCATAGAATGTTTGCAAGCTGGACACCTGCTCCAAACCATTGTCAAAGTCGCATTGGATCACTTCGAACCCAATCTCGTCCCGAACCAGGCCATCATAGCCCCACGCGGTCACAATGTCGCACAGATCGTTTGCCCGCTCCCGCTCATCCATGAAGCCGTTGTCGGTGGTCGACTTGCCGCGCAAGAGCAGGTCTTGAGAGTCGAGAGTCCCAAGATCCGTCTTGCCAGCCGACATGCCATCGATATAGAGCATATTGAGGTCTCTAGTGGCAACATAGGTGTGAAGGTAGCCAACCTGCCTCCGAGGGGGCCCTGGGTGGCCTGGTTCTGGGTGGCCTTCGTGGGGTGGCATCAGTGGTTTCTGGGGACCCTCAGCGTTGTCGACACCATCCGGTCGGTGCATAGGAGGTGGTCGCGGACGCTCCCTCCAAGATCGGCCAAAATTCTCGGCATGCTCGATCTCGAAAGCGAGCCATTCCGGTTCGCTAGGGGGCTCTGCTTGACGACCTCCGTGGTACAACACGGTGCCCCTGGGCACGGCAGCTGGGTATAAACTAAATCCATTGTGGATCACGCTGGAGCCCCATTGCCGCCCTGCAGAATGAATAGCATTGAACACATGGAAGGCGTTGTCGCTAGCAGCTTGGTAGCTTGGCTCCATTGGGGTATGTTCTGATGCAGCCAAGGCCGCGAGCGCCATCCCGCCAGGGACGATGGACCTCAAACGAGCCATATCGGTGATATTCCAGTTGAGAAAATGCTGGCGCGCAGATCGGCTGATGAGCTTCTCAAATATGCAGAGGCCATGGGCAAGCTCTGATAAGAAAAAAGTCGGAGATTCAATGCACCTCCGACTCCTCGATCGCCAAACCTGGCACAGCCCCATTCGGATTCGTCACCGACGTTGATTGCTGACGCACGCAGCCTCCAGCCGTTAATTACCTCGCATACGACAGCACACGAATTGCGCGTACGGCGATAAAGCCCAGTGCAGCTTGACTAGGTGTGCGTGGATGTCCACCCTCGACCGCACGTTTGGCGATGCTCCTCTCACTTCAAGTCTTACCCTTGACATACCGCTCTCTGCTGTTCTGGCGCGATATCTTGCAACGGAAGAATGCTCGTCTCGCTGTCATTGTCGGCCTCCGCAGCCAGAGTTCGTAACTCTGTACCCTTTACGTCTCTGTTGCTCTGGAATCCGCTGTGTTCGTTCGATTGCAAGTATCGGCCAGCCGTACGGGAGCTGGAGGAGAAGTAGGTCTTCCTTACATCGCGCAGCAGGATGCGCAGGACGGGAATACACGCGGCAATGAGCGCGGCGTTGGGCTCTGCGTGAACTAATATGCTCAGCCTGGCCAGCTTATAGGAGACTGTGCGGACTGGAATCAGCAGGTGCAGAGTAGCCTTGGGGAGACGGGGAGAGGCACAGTCGGTACCAACAGTCGTCACCACTTTGGGGGCTTCGACGGCTTTCATGATGGCGACGGCTCCAGCACTGCGGTCGTGTCAGACTTTTATTCGGCGGTCACTGAGCAGACACCTTTGACTTACAGTATACCGATGGCCATGGCGGCTGCCACGCCAATCTTCTCGCGCCGGATCATCTGCAACTTCCAGACCACCGCTGCCGGGACCAGGGACAACACAAGGTCGCCAACCGCGGATATGACTTTGGATGACGGTCAGCCTTTGGACAACATGGACACGAGGTGCGAGAACGAGTGTATACTTGACCCTATCATATTCATCCAGATACCACTGTCCATCGGCCAACACGGCTCAAAGGTGTACGAGTCCTCCACACCGCAGTTCGCCCTCCAGACGAGGATGGCATGGCTCATGTAGGCGGCATCCGTGACAACAGTCACCACAACGACAACCCAATGCAGCCACCCCGTAGCGAAGCCACACAGCGTGAGTGCAAACGACGTCTTGATGAGGGCCAGGGACAACTTCATCGACGAGTCGCTCCCAAGGTTCATGGGCCCCATGACAGGCCCGCCCAGAGCGGTGACAAGGTATCCATCATGAAATATGCATGTTTGCAATATCAATGCGTTCACCAAAAATACCCAGCCTGCTATGAGGAGGTAGTCATCCCACCAAGACTTGGCGCGCGATATTCGACAGTACAAGCGGAGGGCTAGGAACACCGTCGAAGTGGATGCCATCACCCATATGGAAACGAGGACCGTCGTCGTCACGGCCGGATCGCCCGTTGGTAGTGGATAGATCATACCGGGATCTGCTGACGCATCTCTCCTATTGCTCGTTGTATACGCTGCCATGTTGGCGATTCTGTCGTGGATCTGGCAATCAAACCCGAGCGACGGACGGTCGAGTGGCAGGTATCTCTGGAAGGAACCAGAATGGATCAGAATTCCCCCAAGGCTCATCCGGACAACAGGAGCAGCCCGAGAGTGCGAATAGCAGCACTTTATCATAATAGCTACGCCCGCATAGCTACAAAACCTGCGAGGCAGTGGCAATGTTGCCCGTCATAGAATGATCCCGCATCTCTGGTACATCATGAGATTACAAGCGAGCCGTCTGCACCAGAAAGTCTCTAATACCCTCGTTCCTGTGTGGCTGGCTGCTGCGGCGATTGGACCAGATGTGTTATATTGATTTCCAGGATTCACGACCCATGGCCCTCCTGCAGGTGAGGTGCATATTGTGCTTCAATCTTCAGGATGGTTCTTGGCCAACAGGTCGGAAAGTTCGTCCGCCTCGGGTTAAAGGCCTCTGTTCCTTGTTTCGCAACGCTGTCACAATTTCGGACTGCGTTGCGAACTCGCGATCTCTTTGCAGCCTTCTTGAGATTATCCGACAGCCACAAGATCGAGCATGGAATTCGCAAACGCTCAAGATTTTTTCTGCTGGCAGGTTCTCGCTTAACACAAAGATGCATGCATTCCAGGAAAAGATGGTTGAGACCAGGATCTTGTCTTGGCATCTCTTTGATGGTATACGAGTACGACGGTCGTCAACATGAAGTACAAGATCATCCCACCCACATCGGGTTGCCCTCGAAACCCTCATTGACAGCAGGTGCACGCCGACTCTGACCTCTCTACCAGTCTTTTATCATTGTACTGTTCGAGATGAAGCAAATTCTGCATGGCTATTCTCTCCCCTTTCTTTTGCTCCGTAGTGTGGTGGGAGTTACGTCTGAGAACCTGTCTCGTTCCCTCAGCGAGAATGACAGAGTAGGAGTCCGAGCGGTGAGTCGTTGAAAATTACATGGCTGGGACCATGGAAAAGAAATTCAGATTTCACACGATGCATATGCTGACAGCCCAGTGCCGCGCGTTGAGCAACGCTGGCCTTTCAGAAGTACTGTACTACCCCGAGGACGATGAGTACGCCTCGACACTCAGCTCCTACTATTCTGCCGACGTTCAGGACATCAAGCCTCGGTGCGTCTTGCAACCGCACTCGACAGCACAAGTGTCGACAGCGCTCAAAGCTCTGAGCGAAGAAGACGGAAAGTGCTGGCTCGTTGGAATCCGCAGTGGCGGCCACTCACCTTTCCCGTCCAACAACGTCAAACAAGGCGTCACCATCGATCTTGGCGCTTTAGATGAAGTACACTATGCCCCAGGACCGAATGGAACCGCTGAGGTATGTCTGTATGTCATTAGTATCCCCAGCAGAGTTCATTGAAACCCATTGTTCAGGATGGCACTGTTGTCGTGGGAAGCGGTGCTCGTTGGGGCGAGGTGTACGCCAAACTTGAACCACAGGGTGCAATGACAACTGGTGGGAGAGAAGGCCATGTCGGCGTTGGTGGTTTCCTGCTCGGTGGTGGTACGTCCATGGCCCTTCGTCGCCATTGTCATCTCGCTCACACATCTGATAGGTTTCTCGTGGTATTCTGGAAAGCTCGGTATGTCTGCGGATAATGTCGTGAGCTATGAGGTGAGGCCCATTCCAGATTCTTCTTCTGGGGGCGATGCTGATCACCGCACAGGTTGTCCTGGCTGATGGCACTGTCGTGACGGCAGATGCTTCAGAAAATGCTGATCTCTTCAAGGCCTTGAAGGGTGGTATGAATAACATTGGTGTCGTGACACACTTCAAGCTCAAGACGTTCGCCTCACACAATCTCTTTGGCGGTGTCATGGCATTCCCGATAGCTCAAGCTCCAGCCATTGCGGACAGATTTGTCGGCATGGTCGACAACAGCCACGTGAACCCAGCAGAGACGGGCTTTGTCTCGTACTCCTGGACACCGGCGACAGGTTCGTCTGTGGCTTTCATCACTGTGAACACGAACGATGTCAAGAACTCCTCCTCGTTTCAAGGACTTGAGGACTTGGGTCCTCTGGTCGATCTCCGCATGTCGCAGCCCGTCTCGGGAATTGCACTGCAACTGCAAGGCACTCTCGGACTATACAATATCTGGTTCACCCTCACGTTCCAAAACACAGTCGACATGGGCCGCAAGTTCCTAGAGGTCTTCAACTCTCTCATCGCCGACATCCAAGGCGACATTGACGAGTCCGTCAATATCATCTTCGTCATGACGCCTTTGCCGACTACATACAAGAAGGGCGGTGACAACATCCTCGGCCTGAACGAGAACCTCACCAAGAACTCCATCGTAGTACAGTTCGAAGCGCTGATGCCTTCGGACAAGTACAAAACTTTCTTGACGAGCAAGCTGCGCGATGCCACCGCCGGGGTCCAGGCCTATGCGGAGAAGACAGGGCAAGACAACAAGTGGCTCTACGTCAACTATGCAAACCGCGAGCAGGACGCTTTGGGTACATATGGGGAGGAGAATCTTGACTTTCTTGAGAGGGTGGCCAAGAAGTACGATCCCGAGGGCTTCTTCCAGGATAGGGTCACTGGCGGGTTCAAAATCACAAGACGTAGCTAATCCATGCTGCATGCGTGCTCATCCTACTTGGAATACATATTACTCGATAGAGTCACGGAACAATACATGTAGCCTTCGAGTTAACGTCCAGTCAGATCTTCATATACCTAGCTGCGTGGATGGCACGCAGAAAGGCTAGAAGGAATGCATGAGAAGTCAAAAAGAATCATACGCATCATTCATCAGTTTTGTGATAATCGTAACCTGCTTTGCCCTTCATCTACGAATGCCTGGTCGAGCGTGGGAAAACAAGGTTCCCCCTAATGCCCAGGATAGAGGGGCGGGTAACGACACCATTCGATCATGGTGGTGTATATCCCGTCACAGCAACATGCCGACCATTCAGCTCCGTTGCTTCCATCACTTCTTACGTCAATGGCAGGTCAAGCAAGCAGGCACTGTAAAAGCGCTTGCACTGGCCAGTTTGTTCTCACGGCTAGAGCCTCAAGCTCTCGTGCGCCTCCATAGCATCGAAACCTTTCCAGTTGCTTCTTCATCATGAGAGACGCAATGCCTGATGGAACGGCATCTTCGGGTGAGCCTGGCCGTTTCACGGCCAGTGAGTCGCATCACCATAAGCGACGCATGAGCCTTGTGGCCAAGGGGAGATCACACTTTGGCCCTCCTCTCACGGTACCCGAAGCTGTCCCCCGTGTCTCCGTGGGATGAACAAGAGCGCTGAGACCTCCAGATTTTATACTTGGGTATGTCAGTCTCGCTGACAGATGACGGCGACACGGCGAACCTGGCCATAGCCGCACACGACGCGACATACCTCCTGGACTCCTCCGAGGGACGCGTCCGTCTGCGCTCGCACGATCGGAGTGACCCTGTCACCTCCAAGGACCCCATCGCCGAGCACGTCATCCCAGCTCTGGAGAAATATGAAAAGGACAACTTCTTCAAGGTTATTGGCGCCGGCATACCGATTGCGCTGCATGAGCTGAGTCCCACCCTGTGCTCGAAATTATGGCTGGAGCTGGATATTGTGCCCATCGTCATGGAGCCCGAGGGCGCGTCTCGACACAGCGGATTATGGAATGTCAAGAGCCTCGACGAGCAAGCCGATTCCATGGGTCGCAAATGCATCATGTGAAGTCAAACCCCCCTTTGATGCATCGGACCTACTAACAATAATCCTCAGGCACTTTGGCCCATCACTAGCCCCCCTTTTGCATGTAGGCTTCAAGGGCCGCGTTCAGACAGATGCTGCATTCCGGGCTTGTCTGACGACCTTGGAGAACCATAGAGATACGTGTGGCCCAAAGACATGGGACAGCATGCTGCACTTTGCTCGCCAGCTCAAGGACGGTAACACGCGGATCGCCTTCTTCAGCAGCACGCCTCAAGGCGGTGGAGTGGCTTTGATGCGCCATGCGCTGGTCCGCCTCTCGCAGCTCACGGGCGTTCATCTGCGCTGGTACGGTGAGTTGTCTCGGCTTTGCTGTCCCAGCACGCGGCGGCTCTCTGACGGGGAACAGTGCCCAAACCGCGAGCAGGCGTCTTCCGCATCACCAAGAATATTCACAACATCCTCCAGGGCGTGAATGAGCCTGGACAGCACATCACATACCAAGAGAAACAACTCATCGTGGATTGGATCGTCGACAATGCTAATCGATACTGGCTCTGTCCAGGGGGTCCTCTCCGACCACCAGGGGAAGGCGGTGCACATGTCATAGTTGTAAGTGCTCTCGTCCACGGATACTCTTACCGTGCTTTTTCTAAACCTTTGGTGGGTAGGTCGATGATCCTCAGATGCCGGGATTGATCCCTGTCATCAAGAAGTTGACGCCTGATCGCCCTGTCCTGTATCGCTCGCACATCCAGATCCGCTCCGACCTCGTGGCTAAAACCGGCTCGCCGCAAGAAGACGTGTGGTCGTACCTATGGGAGAACATTCGCCACGCAGACATGTTCATTTCGCATCCCATACCTAGTTTTGTTCCCAAGGTTGTGCCCAAAGAGAAAGTGGCATACCTGCCTGCGACGACCGACTGGCTGGACGGCTTGAACAAGCCTTTGAACCGTTTTGATACAGGATATTACGGACATCTGTACGACATGCAATGTCATGAACATAGAACGTATGTATCGACCGCCTAGTCCGTCTCGCGGGAGATTGATCAAGCGCTAACAACGTATCCTAGGGCTGAACTTGCGTGGCCAGCTCGTATGTATCATTCCCTAAAGGGACGTGGAATGAAGTGCTGACGGGTGTAGGAAATTACATTGTACAGATCGCGCGCTTCGATCCATCGAAAGGCCTGCCTGATGTCATTGCCTCTTATGGAGAGTTCCGACGTCTCTGCGAGCAGGACGGTGTCATCGACCCTCCCCAACTTTGCATGTGAGCAGCACTTCAATAAGAGGAATTAATGCGTGGTAACCAGATATGCTTAGCTGTGGTAATGGATCAATCGATGATCCCGACGCATCCACTGTCTACGACCAGACGATGACGCAGCTCGAAACTGACTACCCAGATCTAGTCCCGGACTGCTCCATCATGCGACTCGAACCCAATGACCAGCTTCTGAATACTTTGGTCGCGAATGCCCACGTGGTCCTGCAGCTGTCCACGCGGGAAGGTTTCGAGGTCAAGGTATCCGAGGCCCTTCACGCAGGACGGCCTGTCATCGCAACCAAGGCGGGTGGTATCCCACTGCAGGTCAAGGACCGGGTGAATGGCTTTCTGGTAGACGTTGGCGATCACAAGAGCGTAGCGCAGCACCTGCTCGAACTGTTCAGTGATGACGAGCTGCACAAGAAAATGAGCCTGGAAGCCAAACGAGGTGTCAGCGACGAGGTCGGCACGGTCGGTAACGCTCTTGCGTGGTATTATCTTGGCGCCAAGTGGAGGGAGGTTGGCGCTCGCGGGCTCAAGGCCCATGGGCGGTGGGTGAATGACATGGCCAGGGAAGAAGCCGGGCAGCCATACCAAAAGGGCGAGAATAGGCTGCCCCGGAGCTTCACCGAGCAAGCTAGTGCGTGATTTCGCTGCAGCTACAACCAGATAGAGTATTCTTGAATCAGTAAGGTATTGAAAACTAGGCTGTAGCTGGCAGATGGTACAAGTGCTATTCACATGGTAAGCAACTGGACGCTTCACTTCTCGAAGCGCTTGGCCACGTTGCCCCAGTTGATGACCTCCCAGATGGCGCCAAAGTACTCGGCCTTGCGGTTCTGGTACTGCAGGTAGTAGGCGTGCTCCCAGGCGTCAATGCCCATCAGGGGCTCCAGGTTGCCCGACACCGGGTCCTGTCCCATCCTGGTGACCAGGCCGAGGGTGCCGCTCGTCTTGTCCTTGACGAGCCATGCCCATCCAGAGCCCTGGATGCCGGCCAGCGCGGCGTTGGTCTGCTTCTTGAGGTTGTCGAACGAGCCAAAGTCCTCGTTAATGGCGGTCAGGAGCTTGCCGGTGGGCTCACCACCACCGCCCTTGCCGTTGGGGGCCAGGTTCTCCCAGAAGAGGGAGTGGTTGATGTGGCCTCCACCGTGGAAGTTAAGGAGGGGAGCCTGTTTAGCAGCGGCCTGGGCGTCGCCCTTGGCTTGGGCGTCGCCAATGGCCTCGATGGCCGCGTTGACTCCGTTCACGTAGGTCTGGTGGTGCTTGGCGTGGTGGAGCTCCATGATCTGGCCGGAGATGTGCGGCTCGAGGGCGCCGTAGTCGTCTGGTCTGGTCAATACAGTGGACAGTCCGGTGGTGAGTAGTTCTACGTACAAGGAAGGTCGGGGAGGGTCGCCTTGCCGCGGACGAACGAAGTCGAGGCCATGCCGGCCATGGGCTTCGCGGCGCTGGCGCGGATGCCAGCGCGGAGGGCAGAGGTGCGCAGGAGAGTAGCAGACATGATTGCTGTTCGTGTCAGTCAATTCGATTGTCGCAGAGAATCAATTGGTGTGTTCGAGAGAGAACTTTCAACGGGGACAGAGCGTACCAATGGTCTATGTATCCGTAGTCGTGGTGGATGGTGGAGGTGGAAGATCTCGGATGATGTCAACAAAACGACATTTCGAAGCTCGGATTGCCGAGAGCTAAATTACGTCGGAGGATCCACTAAATTCCAGGTTGAGTTAGTCCGGTAACTCGGAGTCCGAGTCAGCCACTCAGGCACCGATTGACACATTCTGCTTAACCTGAAGCAAAGCTTCGCCTACCATCTTCTGGGCGATGGTGTCCGCGAGGAGAACATGGCATTCGGATAGTCCAGTGATGCTCTCCAACGAATTCAATATAGAGCACACGAGCAGAAGTAAACTTAGAAGCATACAGTTTATGACTTCCATTGCCCCCACAATCCATGACGAAAGCCATTTCAATGCTGTTGCATGACCGCGAGCCAACTATCTGCACGGACACAAAGAGCAAAGCCACATAGATATATAGAATGTATATCTCACCACGGAGTAGAAGCTCTGCTTTCTCTCAAATAACTACTTAGCCATCAGCGCGCGACTGCATCGTGCATACTCCGTAAATGGTAGTGACCAGCAGCTCCACTGTTAATGAGGGCGCCTGACGCTGCGCACACTGCGCGTCTCAACCCCACGACGCGTCTCTCGGTTCCCCTCCACGAGCAGCACCATGTCACAATGTCCTACTACGATGTCGACGCCATCTTGACAGACGGGGAGGTACAAGCCCTTCTAAGCACCTCCAATTCCAAGAATCACATACTGACCCTGCGGCAGAAAGTGCCCTGCACATTCGAACTCGAAGTGCCCTACCTGGGCCACCTCAACAACGCGCCCTCGCAAGTCCTCAAACCCGGCACCCCGTTGACCCTGCCTCTCTGGCTCGCCGAACTTCTCGCGCTCGCGTCATCAGGCGATTCCTCCCCCCCGCTCACCCTCAACATTCCCCCGTGCCTGGGAACGGCTGTGCTGTCCGCGCTCAAGGCCGATCCGCGGGCGGTCCCACTGCGAGACCAGTCTGTGCACCTGTACGGTGTCGGCGTGCGCATGCTCGATCTGTTTGACGAGAAAGAATTGAGTGAGGTGCTGCGGCGGACGTGGACTGTCAGAGCAGGCGACGTCGGTCTCCACGCGAGGAAAGCGGATGAGGGCGGTCTGGGTGGACAGCAGGAGGAGTTCCTCCGAGGCTTGGAGGAATGGGAAAGGAAGCTGTTCAGAAGAGCCCATGAAGGCGTCAAAGGAGCGAAGGAGTGGACCGAGAGGGTGAAGAAATAACGATAATGATTAATGACTACTGCTATGCTTCTCTCACTAGCGGCCACCGCAGCTCTGCCACGCGCAGAGACACAAGCAAGCTGGCTAGAAGGCAGTATCCCAAAGTGATGAAGATATCGCTCATCTCCAGCCAGAGAAAGTACTTGTTGGAGAAACGCACAAGGTGCACCGTCACGCCCGCGACGACTGCCCACCCGCTCGCAAGGAGCCAGCGCCCTCGGATCAAGGGTAGGACTGAACGAAGGAGCCTTTCCAGCACAAGACAGAGTTGCGCCATGATTCGCCATTTTTTCTCGTGAAGCAGAGTGACGATAAACTGTCGCTCTATGTCCCCGGCACCGAGGAGAGATGCGTAGGCCCAAAGCTGGGCACAAGACCACGAAGCCCGGACAAATGTGCTTTCCATGCTCAAGATGCATGTAAAAAGCCACAGCGTATACCATGGATCTGTGAGACCGCCACCGCACAAGTCCAGGAGCCGCCCTCTACCCTCCTTTTTTGAATGAGTGCGCAACCTAGACCACACAGAAAGGATCACAGCCCCCAGAGACCAGACCACGAACCACGACCAACGAAAGTCGGCCGCCGAGTCCAGGAAGTAATGAGGCGACGACTTGGCGGTCTTCATGTCCGTCAAAGCATGAGGCCAAATAAAGACGAGGTCGGGCAGTACGATGCGTCGGAGATGAGAAAAGTATATCGCTGTGAGCAAGCAGAGGGACAGGCGTGGAGTAGACAGGGCCGTTGAGGGGGTTGCAAAAAAGGTCGACAGAATCGCATCGGCGAAAGTACCTCGACTGTGGGATTGAACGACATGGCGACTTGACTCGGGCCTTGTTTTTCCTGGAGCCATCGGGGGCACTGTTGAGGCTGCCTCTGGCCGCTCCTCGAATCTGGCCAGGAGTTGTGCAATGTCGCAGGAGGACGTCGGATTGACGATGACCTCCGCAGGACGCAGACTACTGACAGTAGTGGAGTCTCATCACACCACACAATCAACACTTTGGATCTGGAACAATTGACTCAAAAAGTGAACAGAGCTCTGGAGCTCGCGTGTACATTGTTCTCTTCGCCATCGACAGAAATGGCCCGAATCCTAGTAACATTGACAGCCGGCATCCCGCCGTGATAATCCCACAAAAGGCCTGGCCAAACCCATGGCCGCCATTCCCAAATGCTCATGATGAGCCCGAAGCGAGCCCCCAAACTCCAGCGCATGTCCAAAGTATCCCAATACAGGCCCATGTCAGTAGGCTGTTTGACCATCCAAGAATAATAATCAAAACGCCCAACCGAAGCGATTGCAGCTTGTTCCCATCCCAAACACCTTCATAAGTCGTGTCGCTAGTCTATATATGTTGCCAGAAGAAAAGAAGAAGAAGAAAAGGCTCCTGACCTTGCACCGAATATTATGATGCAGCAGGCATGTGCGCCAGAATCAAGCCGTGGTGTGCCGCGATCCACGCGGCAGTGTTGGTAGATGTAGATGTGCCCAATGACAGACATGCCGTCGGGGACTTTGAACGTATCCCCCATCCCTCTCCCCTCGTTGTCATCGTGATCAGTACAGTGGGCTGACAGACCAGAAAAGAAGCGAAGAAACAATTCGCCAGCCCCAAAAGGAATTAAAAGAATAAAGGAAAGGAAGAAAGAAAGAAACAGGCTCCGTGTGCCGACGCCAAGCAGAGCAGGTAAGCAAATGTTTTTGAGAAGATCGTGGAAGACCTAGTATGGTTTTGAGAAGAGAAAAATGTGCGAAGATCATGATGTGAACCAAACGCACAAGCGCAGAGAGAGATGTACGGGAGCAGTACTCAGTTGGAAGGAAACATCGAGTCGACCAATCCAAAAGATGGTGCGTGTGCGAAAGTGCCGAGATCATGATCGGCCCATGGAGCGGACTCGAAGCTTGCGGGCGAGTACCCTATGCCGTCAATGACCGGCATTGTCGACCCGTAGTTGAAGTCCATGAACGCACCCGCGACAGTGTAGGCACTGTGGTCTGGTGTCCCGGTTCCAGTAGGGTTGGTCTCGGACAAGCCAAAAGACGCAGGGCCTGATTCCTGAGAACCAACCTCCGCGTCATCTGAGCTGATCATCTCGTCGTCGGCGCCGGCGGCAGGTTCCAAAGGACTCGAGGTGGCCGAGGAGGAGCCCTTCTTGGCATCCTCCTTGGACACGCTCACCTTGACCATCCAGAGTTTCAAGTCGTCCATGGGAGGCCAGTGCCCGCCCGCGCTGCCGCCTCGCTTCTCTTGTTTCGAGTTGCGGCGGTTGCTGCGGGCCTCGCGCGGCGAAAAGTGCGCGCGACGAAGGTGTGCTGCGGCATTGTAGTATTGGCCGTAGAACTTGCCGGCGTCACAGCTCTTGCAGCCGGGTAGGGGTACTTTGGGCCGGTCCGTGCAATTCACGCCCTGTGCGGCAGGGTCGCGACATTGCCAGACGGTGACGAACTTGTTGTGCTTGGCGTCCATGTGGCGTCGGAGCTCGTGGTCGCCTCGAAACTCGGTGTAGTCGGTGCATTCTGTGCAGCGAAGCTTCTTGGAAGGCTGTGGCGCGGCCTGCTGCGTGGACTTGTGGAGGGCAACTGGGTTCTTCTTGGCGTCGGCGTTGGCCTGGGGTGGTTGCGGCTTGGGTTCCAGCTTGGCCTGCGCTTGACTGTTGCGAAGGACTTGCTGCTGTCGCTCGCGGTACCGCCGCTGGGAGCTGGTGCTGGATGTGCTCACGTTCGACCCGGTCCTCTCCATGTCGGCAGACTGGGCGGGATTCGCATTCGCAGCTTCCGTGTCATTCGACGTGTAGTCGCCGTGGGGCTTGAAGCTGGCGCCGCAGCCGTCGAGCGAGTCGAAGGGGACAAGAGAGTCCTTGGTGCCATCGCCATAGGATGCGAACAGGTTCATGTCTGGTCCGTATACCATGCTCTGCGCCGATGTCGATTGAACCATGGGTGTGCCCACATGCACTGCGTTGGACATGGTGCTGTTCCCTCGGGTCATGGGCGCTGCCTCGGGCATTGTGGAATCGGAGATCATTGAAGGGCATCTCGACTGCGGGTCGGCGTAGTAAAACTGGTCGAAGGGCATGTTGCCCCAGCCGTGAAGGCGAGCAGACAGAAAGCCCGATTCATCGGGCTGACCAGCAAGATAGTCGGCGGGACTCTTGCCAACGCCCTGAAGGACGTCGTGCTCGTCAACGATGGGGAGCGGCTGCCCCGTGCTGCTTGGGTGTCCCATCTGCCCACGCATGAGGTCTGGCTGCGCCGACTGGGAGCGATTCATGGGAACGGCGCTGATGCTGGCAATGGGGTCGCCCTGACTTGTGAACGGTACTGCAACCCTGTGGCCTTGGTAGTGTTGTTGCGGGTGCTGGGTCAGAGCCTTCTGAAGCGGCTGCGACTGGATCGCCTGCATCAGCATAAGGTTAGTGGTCATTCTATAGAATAGGTAGCAGGCTGGGAGACGTACACCAACTGTTTGACTGAAGTATTCGTCAGTTGGGACGTGAGACATGCTTCGAGCAAGCATGGCAGGATCCCATCCAGGATTCGACAAGCCGGGTTGGACCACAGTACTGTGGCCGATGGCGAACAGCAGCCCTGGCTGCTGTGCTGCTTGATTACAATTGCTGGAGCCACCTATATGGTCGTCGTCGACGGCTTGGGCGACGGGACTCGATTCGAAAACCATATTGTTTGATGCGTAGTGGTGAGGAAGAAGATGGTATGGTGTAGCCGGGGTATGTGTATCCGAAGTGGTGATGGATAAGGTCGGGTATCGCTAAGTCGATTTGAGGTGTACAGGAGTAAGTGAAGGGGGTACCGTAGGGCTGGCTGGCTGGCTGGCTGGCTGGCTGGCTGGCTGGCTGGCTGGCTGGAGAATTGGAACAATAATTTGACAGTGACGTGTCCATACGATGGTGGGAGCGAGAGATGGGTTCGACGGGATAGATCCAAGGGATCGAGTAGGAAGAGCAGAACGAGAGTCTTCGGCCCAGGTGTTTGAGAGGGATGAAGGGGCTTAAAGATGCAGCTAGGAATGAGAAGCACGACCAGCCAACGATTGCAGCAAGGCGAGTGACAGCGCTCCCCACTATGTCAAAAGGGGACATATCCTGGACGCCCTCATGCATGGTTGTTGGTGGGTGGTGGCCCTGGTGGGTGTCCAGTCACTGGCGTGGTGTTGGTCCACGGCCCAGTCGCTGTGAAGGCACTGAAGTTAGACTCTGGCAGCGCATGCTGGCAGGCACACGGCGGCGGACCAGACCCCGAGGCCGTCGTGGTGCGCCCGGGGCGGCCAGACCCATCGTTAGTGCGTCGGCAATAAGCGTGCTCGTGGCGCTAACAGCTCTCGAATCCTCCACCTCCAGCGCCGCGTGAGAGCTGCACAGCACATCGACACCGCTCGAAACGGGCCCGCTGATTGGCACATCGCCCGTCCAAGGCCCATAATTGGACAAGGTAGTGGAGCCCAACGCTGGACTTCATCCACGTCCTGATGCGTTGTCACTTCTTGGACTCGTAAGCAGGCCATCCCATGATTGAGACCGACGCCCGGCTGATTGTTTGTCCTGCGATTCCGTCAACACCGAGACAACATCGTGCCTGTCGTCCCGCATTTGCCGTCTCATGCGAAGTACAGTTATGTACTCCGTACGTACTACGTACTCCAGCCGTGACGCCGACGACGCTGGCTGCGCCTCTCTAGCGGTCAGTCAGTGTAAACGACAAGACACAGCAGCGCATGCATGCATGCACACACGATATGGCTGTCACAGAGCTTGGAGACGGTTGCTCGAGTCCATAAACTAGGCCCCGTGGCGATCTCGGTCAATTGCGTATGAATCAGAACTTGCGACCTGTTTGTGAGATTAACACAATGCACATCATGCTGACAGCCCAGCCGGCGCGATTAGCGTCCAGTCTTGCACAATCTCCAAGAGCTCGGAAGAAACTGAATCAGAACTGTCTGGTCCTGCTAATTATCAACTCGTGAACATATGAATCTCAGCTATGTGCGGCGGCGATCAGATCTGCGCATCCTGTGCACTCCAGGTCCAGGGACCAGCAGCCGTTGCAAAAGCTATGCATTTTACCTGTCATAACATGCCACGGAAAAAGAAACAAGCTTCCTGATCGTCAGCACATCATTCCTCCTGCGCGAGCAAGCGGCCGAGGTTCGTCGCTATCCCTAATTAACCACCTAATGACGTGTGGGCCCTCTGCCTTGTTGCAATTGCAAAACGATCAAGTGGTGTTGCTTTTTTTTTTTCGAAACGTCATGTATCTTCATCAATCTCACATGATTCATAAGACGACTCTTGGGCTTCTGCCACTAATTACAAGACGCAGCATTAGGCAAGACCTAGTGTATTCAGCTAGATATAGATAATTACTTATTACAGCACTGTGGAGGCCAGTAAGTCACGCGGTGCACCGGCTTTTCTGCTCGTCGGCCAAGTCAATTATGTTGACATTGGGCATTCATTGCACGGCACATCGCGATGCCCATCATTCGAGCACAACGATCGTTGTGTCGGCGCTAGCATTCCAGGCACACCATCAGCCTGCGTGTCACTCATCTGGCTCAGGCTCCATCTCACTTCATCCCACGCAGCCAAGGTGCAACCCTGGAGATGATCACCGTCGATTGGCTCTGGATGTCCGGTACAAAGTGAGGCGAGCCCACGAGGATCCACCGACACGCATCCTCCTGGTCGACATCCGTTTTGGCATGTTGGTGGGGTCGGCTGTCACCACGGTCAAGCATCCCGCCTATATCACTGTGATGTTAATGTTCGCAAACGAGTGGAAAAGTCGATTTTGGCGATGCAGTCTGGTCCTCATCCGGCTCCTCGCATGGCGGGAAGAGGACTGTCGTTGGTTTGGAGCGAGCCTTATTGCACTTCTCGACGGCTAGCTGCATGCTCGGTCACAGACTCAATGAGTCCATGACTCCATGCCGGCCTTGCTGGTATTATATGTAGCTAAAGACGCCTTCTACACATATCCCCTACTCCGATCTACTATAATTTACGGTCAACCGCGAGCCGCACTATTATATTAGCCTTGACCAGCGGATATGAGTGCCCCATGCCCCAGACTCGGCGTTAGCAAAGTGTCTGTCAGTCGAGCCGGGTTTTATTGTGATGTCTGGCTACTTTGGGGCTGACTCGACCATGCATTGACTCGCTGCTCTTTCGTGTTACACAGCATCATGGTGCCTCCTCACCTGAGCATTGCTTGCGAGGTTGATTGGTGCCCAATATCAACTCTGTCCGTGGGAGCCTTGCGCTCGCTTGGCTTCGTCACGAGCTCGTTGCCTTCGAGCAGTCGGACGAGAAGGCACGAAGGGCGCTAGACAACTTACGGTAGTCTGATGGTGGATGAGAATGGCAATTGGGGTAACAGTCTGTGCCGCCTCCTGCCGTGTTCTTGATGAGGTGATAAGGAGAGACGATGTATTAGTGGTGTTGATGTCGCATGTTGGAACTTGTTACGAGTAGAAGTGTAGGTCTCCGAGTTACCCTGGAGCTATACCATTTCTGACTTGTAGGCGGGCACCGATGTCGAACAACCAAACATGCACTCGATGAGAAAATTTCCGTGGCAATTGTATCAGAGCTTCTATCAACGACTTCTAAGCAAGAGCCTTAACAACCGTCTCGGATCACGAATTCTTGTTGCTCGGGAACTGGCGCGCAGCAGTGAGGGCCTTGGACGCGGCACGTGACATCACCCCAGCCATAACGGGACTGGGATCGGGGACCGGGGCCATTGACCCCGACGTTGATGGATGACAGATTGACCTTAACGGTCGGAAGCCATCTACACAATGGAATCCACATGAGGACCACATATCGTCGCCTTTTCAGCTACAGTTACACGACACACACAACCCTTTGCTGTCCCTCTCTGGCTCAGAACCTTGGGCACCATGCGCCGCCGCAACGCTGCGCTACTCGTCGCGTCCCTCAGGCTCGGCGGAGCTCAGGCGCGAAGCTTCAGTGTTCACGAGGATCTCCTAGCGTTTCCCCAGGTACGACACTCGCGCTACTCGGTCGCTTCACTTGGCTAATCAATTAAGTTTGATGTCGTGTTTGATGAGCAATGGATTTCAAAAGACGATGCGCAATCATTAATAGCTGGCGATGCTCCCCACGCGACACAGTCGACCGACATTTCCCATGCGACAACCGAGGGCAACACCGGCCCGCCTGAACATGACGATGCAGGCAAGGAATTCAAAATCATGAAGCTCGCCGCACAGGAGTACCTCTGCTCGATACCCATGCTGCAACCCGACGCGCCCGAGAACGAAACAGCCAACGAGCTTGCAAAGGCGGAGGAGGCGCGGGAGCTGAGTCGTGCCACGCTCAGTGGCTGGGAATTGCTCGGAGACCTGGCACAGAACTGTCTCTACTTTGGTTCTGGGTGGTGGACATATCGTTTCTGCAACAATGTCGAGATTGTGCAGTTCCATGCTGCTGCGACGCCACCCTTGGGGAGGCCACCGATCCGCGACAAGTCGACTGCCGAGTATGTCCTTGGCGCGGTGCCGTCACTGCCACATTCTACAACATCACGCGAGCAACTCCTCGACGAGGACGATAAGCCGGTGCCAGCAGAAGTCCAGACAAAGGCGGACCAGAAGTATCTGGTGCAAAAGCTGGAGGGCGGTACGGTATGCGACCTGACCGGACGAGAGAGAACCATTGAGGTCCAGTACCATTGTGTCCCTGGACTGAGAGAGCCGCGCATCTCTTGGATCAAGGAGGTCACCATCTGTGCCTACCTCATGGTGGTGAACACTCCCCGTCTTTGCAAAGACGTGGCTTTCCTGCCGCCCAAGGAGATCACGGCGAATCCTATCAGCTGTCAACTCATTGTTGAGAAAGGATCGTCTCCTCCCTTGCTAGGCGAAGAGCAGACGGCAGATGCCGATGGTGCGAATGGATGGATGCCCCAGAAGGAGGATCAGAGTCCTCTCAAGGCGCCATGGAAGAAGCAGCAGGTTGTCGGGGGCGTCGTTGTGGGTGCTCGAAACATCCTGTCAGGCGGCGACGAGCAGGGCAAGCCGCCAGTGCAACTCAACACACCCCGCAACCACCTCGGAAACACCTTCCATGAGGAGGGTCTCATTGAGCTCGTCGCCAAGCGCGCGAGCAAAGCTGAAGGAGGCAAAGTCGAGGCCATGGACCAGGACGAGATGGAAACATACGAGATTGACCCGCAGATGGTGGAAGAGATGCGCCAGGAAGTCGAGCGGCTGGCGGGAGACCTGGGCTGGCGGATAGAGATTGTGGAATTGCCCAATGAAGATAGGGAGCTCAGAGGGTACGTGGATGATGATCAGAGCGGCGAGACTGGCGCGGAGGACGAGTCGGGCCAGACGACGACAGACAAGGGCGATGAAGAGGGCAGCGAGGAGAGGATGAAGGACGAGCTGTGATTGAGAGACTCCTGGCTGGGGTCGAATGGGTTTTGTTATGCATGAAGCATCAGCGTTTGGAATTTGAAATGATCACGACTAACCTCATTCACCTACCCTGTCTGCTTTACTGCTGGGCTTTGGAACCACCTTGGCACCACGTGAAAGTGTGCATTTGGGTGATAATTGTACCCATTGTGTCTCGCTACTGCTGAGATTAATACTGACTGTCCTCTCAAGCAACGACTTGCCTCGATGTTCGGGTTGGAAGTTCTTGGAGCAAGGTTTCCTCACATGAAGTGCGTAAACTAGTGGTGGACATGGGGCCTAAGCTGATGAATGACTTACTATCATCAAAGGGTTGACAAGCATTGTTCATCGTACCGCCAATGGATTCATTAGCGTGGTAAAACAACTTCGTACCAATAAGTAACTTTACATATAAGCTAGACTTTGGTACTTCATCGTTTCACGGACTGACCGAGCCATCATGACCCACACGCGGGCAGAACAAATGTCTTGTCTGAGAGTCAACGGACGAACACGCGGTCTACATTGCAAACCCCGCGTTTTGTGAAGAGGACTTTCCTTGTCTGAGTCCTGACGGCTTTCATTTTGTTATAAGCAGGCCACTGTCGCGAATCCATGGAGGCAACGCGCGTTGGACCTTGTGAAGCAAAGCTCTGGTTGGGTGAGGATGTGACGACATGGAAATGGTGCCAGGCTTGGGTGGACGGAAGTGCATCCGCGCCCCTGGACGGCACTGCCGCCCACAGCACCGGAAAGCGGGCTGATTGGTGTGATGAGAGCTGGGAAGAACAAAGTGGTTTGCGCTAGGTCAGGGGACGGGCTCATCTTAGTGGAGAAGATTGTCGTCTCTGTTAAGGCCTGGCTTGCGGCTTCCAGTCATCCGCAGTGCAGTCAACTACAAGCACACGAGCATCGAGAAGGCAGCTCTCGCGATAGATGGCGGCACTCTAGAGTCCAGTCGTAGCAGGTGACTGGAGGCAGCGCAAGGAGCCCGCGTTCAGTGGGCTCGCATTGCCCGCAATCTCACCTGTCCTGGCAGCGCAGTCGTGCGTCTTGTGCCTGGCCTCGCCGACCTGACTTGTGCTCCATGTCATCAATGCCCACAGCGTCATTGGGCTCTGGGCTCTGGTAAACCTCTGCCTGCCAACGTACTTGCTTATCGACCGCCTAACATTGCATCTCCGTCCCATATGGACCATTCATTATGGCCTTATGCACACCGGCTGCAGCGCTACTGCACCTGCTGTAACCCCCTGCAGGGCCTGGGGCCTGCCATCTCCAGTCCAGTCCTCCAGCAATTTGACGATCGTCCACCAGACCAAACCATGAACCGACGACTTCTCACCACTCGCTTCCATCCCTCCTTTGTTCACTTCTGCTTCTTTGCTTGCAAGGCCTACACAATTAAACAATCCTGCTGTCACGGCCTGGCCAACCGTTCATGAACCGTTTCTGCCGACGTAGGGAGTAGATCTGGCCTGTCAACCTCACGCACCGCTCTTCGCACGCACGATTCGATCATCCGGACTGCACGACGCCTCGCAAGGAATTGTGACCCTCTCCAAACACGTCATCCTATCGTGGTCTCAAGACAAAACCGTTATCTCGCCATTTTGCAGCCCGCAATTCCATTCGTCCACGCTCCCACTCTACGAGACACGTCCATTCCTCAAAACATACGTGGGGAGCACAGCAGTTGGCCGATCAACCAGTGGTGGCACGTTGTGTTGATCACGGTCGCTATGGTCGAGCATTCGAGTTCTTGCTCTATGCTTTTCACCTGAGCAAGCACAAGCAACACCAGCGCCTCCGCCGCCATGGAGTGTCAGCCGATAGTCCGAGAACGACCTTGTCCAGCTATAGAACGAGTATCTCGCCCATCCGTCAACGGCAGGATGCCAACCGACAGCGCCGCTTCCTTGTCATCGTCACACCGGAGCTCTTCACCTTTCAACCATGCACACCGGGCTCACCTTGCCAATAGCGCGAAGCCCGCCTCTCCACGTCCCGCGCAGAGACCGACGCGTCTATTGAACCGTGAGGAAAGTACGGAGTCAGGCGGAAGAACGCCTGTGTCGGCATTGCTGCACGAGAAGCTACAGACCCAGCGTCAAGTCGAGGGCCACAGGGCCTCAGCAGCAGCGTCGAATGCTTCGAAATCCAGCAGCGACATGACAGCCTCGATCGATGCTAGTAGCTTGCACCAGGCGTGCTCTAGTAAATATGCGAGCTCCGACGCTGGGCGTCAGACATTGCGTACGGACGGCGAAACGGGACAGCGCAAGGGTCTGGCGTTGAAGGAGATGGAGCACGTCGTCTCGGGACTGCACAAGCAGAACTTTGACCTCAAGCTGGAGCTATACCATCGGCGCGAAAGACAGACCGCTCTTGAAGAGCGAATGGAAGCCCTACAAGCGGAGAAGTCTGAGGTCGAGGATATGAACGACAGACTCATCGCAGAAATGGAAAAGAGAGACAAGGCTGTGGAAGAAGCCGTGGCCATGATCATCATGCTGGAAGAAAAGGTCGATACTCTTACCAAGGAGCGGAACATGGTTCGCCATGTCGAAGCACAGAGCTTATTCAGCGCGGCCTACCGCCCGGTTCCCGAGGACCCCTCGTACCGAGCAACGACACCCGAGCGACGCCCTGAGCCCGCATCGCTGCACAGAGTGCCAAGCTTCATGTCAGACCACAGTGAGGCAACGGAGAATCTTCGCAATGTATACACTGGCGTGAGAGGCAGCGTCGTCAGCCTTGCCCGCGTTCCTGAGGGGACTTCTGACTTGGGCGACACCCCGGGTCCTTGTCTTGAAAGTCCTTCGCTGAGTGTTCTGAGCAAGAGTTCCTTCGTCAGCGTATACCCGTCGAATAGGAAGAATGGGAACGCACCTTATCGGGTTGATGGTTCGCCATCTATCAGAGGTGAGCCCACCTCTTCGCCATCTCAGCGGTCAGTCGCAGCCAGCCCCAGCCGCCGAGGTGCAAGTAGTGTACCTCCCAGGTTTCGTACGCCAGGTCGACTCGGCAGTGCTGGACAGATCCAACCTATCACAAGTGTCATCGAAGACAGCCCGTTGCAGCGCATCGAGCGCATGGATCCTTCGTACTCGCCGCGGCGGGACATGTCACGACAGTCGAGCTCTTCGAGACCAGCGACCGCCATCGAACAACCCAAGCTCCAACGCATGACCAGTCGTCGGGTTCTCCGCGCCGAGAAGCGAGACAATTTGGCCAAAGTCAATACGGACGCAGCAGGTGGCGTTAGTCTCTATGAGCAAACTCTTCCGCCTACGCCTGACACGGTCGCTTCATCCACTTTGCAGCGATTTAAGAAGTCGACTGATACGCTTGAAAGGAGACAGAACGGCCTGAACGACCGTTCTAATGATCATGTGAACGTTCCCAGCAGCAATGAAGGGGTATCATTAAGGACTCAAGTGGGCAGTACACCTATGCCGGCAGACGCTCCTCCGACCATAAGGAGGACCGAAACTCTAGGGAACAGCCTGAACCAGATACCAAGGTCGATCCCGCAGAGGCCTCGGTCAGCTGATGAGTCCACAATCTCCTATCGAAGAGACAGAGATTACGGGTTCGACACTGAAGACTCAGAGATTGACTCCTTCGCATCGAAGCAGGAGATGTGGGAGCGAGCGGGACATGACAAGAGAGAGGAGCCAGATCTGTTCGGCTTTGCCTCAAACGGGATTGCATGGGGCCACAACGCTGGCTTGACCTATACGAGCAGCATCAGAGATCCGCTCTCCCTGAGCTTTGGCATGGAAGGTGCTGTCGTTGGTCCCACCAGTGATCAACTGTATGATGCTATCCCGGCAGAGGCCTTACCGGCGGCTCAGCAGACATCTCGAGCAAGGACGAAGCCGGGGCCGAAACAGGCACCTCAGCAGAGGGGCGCAAAGAGCCATGCCCAGCGACCGCGACGCAACAGCGACAACGCGCAGAATCGGGACAATATGAAGACACCAGTGCAGCAGAGCTTCGCGCCACAGGTACCCGATGCGGCGACGGGCTACAACAAACAGTATCCGCCGATTACGACTCAACGGACCCGCGATGCCGTGAAAGGCTTCTGGCGTCGGTCTTTTGGAGGAGGACCCCTTCCGCAGAACACTCCCTCGGCGTCAACAGCAACGGACAGCCAGGACCAGGGGAACGCGCCACGGCCGGCTGCTGGAAAAGTGCAATCAGACCAGAGCATGGGTGACGACCCACCGAACGACGATCTGTCACGAGCAACACCAGCGCCAATTGGCGACAAGCGTCCGAGTTACAACAACGCCAACTACCTCACAAACCTCGACAGGCCTGCAACAGCCACCACGGGCGTGACAGCGCACACTGAAAGAGGGGCCCCGCAAGAGCCGGCAGCAGGTGGTGGCAACGTGAGCAACGCGACTGGAACTCGGAGAAGCTGGGTAAAACAGCGTTTCAACCGACATCGTTCTAATAGTATGAAAAATGGCTAGGGACTATGCAACGATTGATCGAGTCAACACGACAGTCGGCTTTTGGGAACGCTCCCAGGGGAGGAGGATCCATTGCTTTTATGAGAGCGATCATTTTCAGTTTCTTAGGAGTTGGTGGCCCAATTGTTATTCGGAGTACTGCTTATTTAGGACGGGCAAACTGGCGCCAGTATGGCTTGCATAGTAGATGACCCGAACCACTTCAGGAAAGGCGAGGCGTTATCAAATCTCAATAGCCGGTAAGGCACAACAGCATGAATTAGAACAACGACATGGGCACCACTGTCCCTGTGAGCAATACATCGACTGTGCAAGCGGAGCATGTCTGGAAATTGTGATTCAGCACTCTGATTATAAGTTCCTAGCCTATACCCATTCCCATTCAGCTTGGGTCCGGCCCACACCGAGACCACCAACGGCTTGTTGGAAAGCTGCAGGCGAAAGGTCAAGATCCCAATGGTCGCAACCCTCGCAGCGGTCGACGACCCCAACCACGACATCGCCCAGGGGGCTCTTGACGCGTAATGGTTACCACAGTATTGGGGACGGCGGCTGTCGAACAGAGGAGCCAAAATGGCGGTTATGAGGGAGCCGTCGTGGTGATTTTGGCCACAAGCTCCTAGTCCCGGGTGGAAGAATGTGAGTTGCCCGGCGTTCATGTTCCCTCTGGGGACGGGGCTTGCCGCGGACAAAGAGGCAAGGGCAAGCAGGATGGGAGTTAGGTAAGACATAGTGTGAGGTTTTGTGTGGTGTAAGGTTGGGTGTCCTTGAGAAGAGTTTCGTGGAGCAGACGATGGCGGGATGGACTCGGAGGAAAGGGACTTGAGAGCTTTAAAGTTTACAACGAGAAAAGACGAGCATACGAAACTGTGCGGATGTGATCTTTTTAACTCAGAAAGGAAGAGGGGGGAGGAAGCCTTTATAGACATTCATCAAGCTAGTCCTAGACACGCATACTGTCATCTCAGATGTTCCCCCCATGAGCGAGAACGCAAGGCAGCGAGGCGAGATTCTCATTTCACATGTCTCAATCAAGCTGTCTTATCAGCTTGCCGGTCTTTGCGAAGAATACATTGCAGCATATGCACGTAAATGCAGTGGCACTATCACAGCTAGCATGAACCTTGCTGCCACTTTGCGTGCTTGGGTTCCATAATTCACCCGCTAGGACTGTAGATACTCACGTACTCGGGTCATAACATTAGACTTTGTGCTCGCGTGGCGGCGTGCGTACCTGAGTTCCGAAATCTGGGGAAATACAAAGTGGCTTGTCTCAAGTAGAAAGGGTCTTGGTTGCCAAGTTGGCCTTGTACCACTTCTCCCCCCAATGATCTGCCTCCCATGGAGCACACTGAGTGTGGAAGGGCGGCATCCTTGCGTTCGGGTGGAAAAGGCGGATGCGAGGTTCCGATCTTCAGGGGAGATGCCGCTTCTGGGTATACTTGGCTTGACTCGATGTTGCTTGAGCAAGCGTCAACGACGTCGTGGCAGAGTGGAAGTCGATGCACCTGGCCGCGAGACTTTGTTTCATAGACATAAGTGGCGGGATGTATATGTGACTTCAAGTGCCCTTGAATGAGGGGTTCGTGCAGGATACCGCAAAAGTCCAGCTGGATCAGGGCCGTCAAATCTCCTCACGGATTGCATCGTACCATATACTCAGCGCTGGGTCGAGATCCAGTGTGCCTTCGTCGAAGAACGTCGAGACATTGTTAATGTACGCCTCAAAGCCTTGATCACCTTGGCTGAAGGTGTCCATATTCATGTCAAGACCACCCAAACTTGGCGTTGACCCAACATCATGCTGCGCCAGAGGTTGCGGCATGCTACTTCTGCGCCCTTGGTGGCTGTTGTACACCGTAAGCCTCACCTTCTGCAGCAGCTCCTGGTATTTCCTCAGGCTTGGTTTGTTGATCTGTCGGATACCGTCTCTCAGAATATCCAGACAGGCTGCCACGTCGTGCCAGTGTCGTGCATCGCTTGATGCGCTGGCCAGTCCATGTTCCTGAGACACCGAAAGGAGGCGCCTGGTGAACATGCAAGGTAAGCAAGGTCCCCAGACGAAACGGAAGTGGCTTTGACTCACCAGTCACAGTACAAGGCAGCCAAAGCGACTATGAGGACATTGTGGAGCTGCCTGAAACTACTGCAAATCGCACTCAGGCCATATGAGGTGCGCAGTTGTATCCATTGACGGACCGTGCTCGATACAGTCTTGGAGCACGCAGTCATCATGGCCGTGGATGGTACCATGAACGTAGGACTGGGTCGGTTGACCAGAAGCACAAGAAGACAGTACTCGACTTTCAACTCAGAGTATTCTCTCGACGGTTTTAGATCAGAGTTATCGAGATCATGCTTCCACTGGCTCAACTCGCGCCGTGACTCTTCTGATGTCGTGTAGATCTGCTGGAACGACGTTGCGTACGCCTTGCCATCTGGTCCCCGGCCGATGTAAACCGACTCGAGCACACGGCCAGCTAACTGACGCAGACGGATCATGAGCTCGAAGGGTCGAAGACTATGTTTATGGAAAATAGCAGCCACGCTGGCCTCGCCTTCGCTCAAAACATCCAAGCTGCTCTGCTTCGGTTGCAGCGCATGGATGGCGTGGTCCCTGATCGAGAGCACTCGGCCTGTCAAAACGGCAACCTGTCTCTCGAGAACATAGATGCACCACCAAGTGCGATTCCGTGTCTCCAGCTCGTCGGGAGAAAAGCCCCAAGCGGCATTGTGGCGATGCAATCCGCTCTCAATCGCTGCGGACATGACATAGCGGCTCAAGTGCCAAAGGTCGTTGCAGTGACTGCTGGAGGATGAGTTGAGCATCCAAATCGAGAGTAGAAGCACGGCCTGTATGCCAAAAATATCTCGCGGATGGTCGTAGAAGCTCACAAAGAAGCGAAGAGCAGTGTCAAAGTACGCCCTGGGCTCGTTCATGTCTAGGAGGGCGCCGTACTCGGGGTCGTCCTGCGATGCACTGCTGGCGAGGGTGAGTACCATGAACACAACGAAGCGATCAGCGCTACTGGTCGCCCTATGATTCCCATACATGGACTGGAAAAGCCGTCGAAGCACTGGAAGCTGCAGGAATGGCCACCAGGTATGCAGGCGAGCAATGTATCTCGACAAAAGGAACCTTGCTGTTGCCCACGGTGGCAGCGAGGCGCCGATGGTGTCTGGTAGAGGATCCAAGTCCATCCCGTTCCGTTCCGATTCCTTCAGATTGAGCTGCTTGAAGAAGATGCGTGCAAAGGTTGATCCTGCTGCGCTTCCCACTGCAAGACATTATCAGTCGACGGTTTCGGTTGATCTGAAAAGGGGCCGTACCATATTGATCTTGGGTAAAGCGACTAGGGCCGCCGATGGATAGGACTCCGACTTCCTCGGCTTCCTTTCCAGGTAGCGACCCATTCACGTCCTCATCAGAGGCTTGTCTCGGAAATCGGGATCCATTATCTGCCCTCGGGGGGTCTTTATATGTCTCAGATGCTATTTGTGTCTGTTGCAACCTCGCTTTCAGATGTTCAATCTCGGTTTGCAAGGCAAGGACTGCACTGTAAGGATACGAGACACAGTCTGTAATGTTGCATTCCTCATTTTGACGAGTGCATGCTGCGCAGCGTGGCACCTTTTGGTCGCACTTTGGCTGCTATCAGTTCGAGACCCGATGTGATAGGGGCTCGCTGGGTCAGATGTCGCAAACTCACCTTGACCTTCCTCGCGTGACACCGAGCACAAGCCTTTGAGACCGAGGGCTGAAGGGTATAAGTTGGCAGTGTCTCCATGACAGCGGACTAGTGGCTATGCTCCTTGCACGGATATCGAGGGCCGAGCGGTGTTATACGAGTGTTGTCGTTGGGCCTCGGACAGGACCGAGGGACGTTATCTACAGCGCGCCAAGTGCGGAGAGATAAGGTTCACATAGCCTGGCGCCTGATAACGACAGATACCAGCTCGATGGCGTGCCCATTCCTGATGGAGAAGTTTATCCCCATATTTTCGGGAATGACCGAGTCATGAAGTGATCGAGTGCCACTAGGCTCGGTGTGTGCCGAATGAGCTCGCGTATTTCATCGAGAGGGCGAGCAGAAGTCAATGTCCTCATATTCTTCGTTGATTTCGTGATTCAAGCTGATACACGCTGAGAAGTCGGAGAAACGCGGATTCTGGCAAGCATTGCGGATCGAGATGTCTGCGAAACACCACGAGCAAGGCAGCCATGCCGTCGTTCCCAATTCGAAAAATGACAATATCTTGGTACAGTTGTTGAATCCAACTTGGACACAAATGGCCACTGACAATACTGTCTAATCAGGTCGGGATGCGCGATGGCGTGAGTGGTCAGTTCCGCCTTGTGCCAAGGGCAGAGGCGTCGGTCTCAGTCTTTGACTCAAACTTTCTTGTTGGTGATGGTATCTGGGTGAGTGATCACAGCCTTGAACTTCCATCTTGAAACCACCCTAACTCTGATTCAGGAGGGCATCCGTGCCAACAACGGAAGGGTGCAATTTGCCCGTGAACACATCAACCGCCTCTTCCAGTCAGCCAAGGCCATGTTCATGGAATTGGGTCTCAGCAAGGGTGCCCTTCTGAACCTCATCCATCAGACTCTGGACGCCAACTCCATGCAGGATGAACCTCATGTTCATCTACGCCTCGTGGTCAGTCGCGGCCTAAAAGCAACACCGTACCAAAATCCCAAGATCAACGTTGGGCTGCCACTCATCGTCATCATCCCTGAGGTCAAGGCCGTTGCGCCATCGGCCAAGAACAGGGGGCTTCGACTGGGAACTACGTGGGTACGACGTGGTCCTCCCGACGTGAAGGACGAGCAATGGAACCACATCTCCAAGGCGACAGACGTGCAAGCCTGTATTCACGCCAACTTGATGAACGTGGACGAGGCGTTGATGCTGGACTTGCGAGGGTTCGTCAAGACGGGCAACTCTGTCAACTTCTTCATTGTGCGCGGAGACGAAGTGTGGGCGCCCACAAAAGACAACCAGATGCAAGGAATCACGAGGCAGAAGACCATTGATGTGTGCCGTGCCAACGGGATCAAAGTGCGGGAGCTCGACTTTGCTCTGACCGAGGTATACGGGGCGGACGAGGCTTTCTGCACTGGCACTTTCCCCTCGCAGATTCATGTCACGGAGGTCGATGGCAGGACGATTGGGACTGGCAAGAGGGGACCCGTCACGGAAAAGATACAGAAATTGTATGCGGAAAAGGTCAAGGCGGATGTCGAACGACCACGATCTGAGATCCAGGCTGAGGTTGAGGCATCGAGGGACTTGAGTTTCCTCGCCAAGCTGTAGTCGACGTAGATCATGTTGGGCAGAAATTCAATATGACTCAATGAGATGAAATTGTTTGGGAGAATCCGATTTTCAATTCATAAGAATCAATGAACAGTCTTGCGGTGATCACTGGTCGTCATGTCATGCGGCGTGTCCCAAGGTCAGTCCATGCGACCTTGGCAGCTCAACTGTCTACATGCACTTGCCACACAGTCCTCTGTCATTAATTCTTATCATTTTGGTCATTCTGCCTGAATATATCCCCTATCTCTGTAATCAGAGTCTCGCTAGATATCGCTTCTCCATGTGGCGCTCTAGTTCGGTAGCGTCCGAGATTCCTTCGGTGGCGCCCGAGCTCGCCTCCGACGACATCCACCCACCATCCCTGCGAGACTTGGATGCTCACGTATATATCAAATGCATCCAAGACAGAATCCAGGAGGGTGCCGTTGCACGACTTCATCTCGCTTGTCGAGCTGAACTCAGGGAAAAGCTCCATTTCTAACAGCGACTCTCCGTCACGCTGTGTTCCATCGGTGGACCACTCAGGCTTTTTTACCTACACTCTCCAAAAGATCGCCAACATGGATAACCACTCCGCGTCCAAGCCAGAAGACATGGTTTCAACGGAGATTGGAAGAGCATCTCCGGGTCCAGGTGTAGTTGAGGATCTGACCAAAGCCCAGGCACGGCGGCTTGTCTTGAAGACCGACCTCGTGGTTACGCCATTGGCGGTTTTAGCCATGACCTTGGCTTTCTTGGACAAGGTAAGACTCCAAAACACAAGCGTTTAATCTGAGGCCATCACTTACACCTGGCGGACAGAACGCCTTGGGATACGCCGCCGTATTCGGAATCCGCGACGATGCCAACTTGAAGGGTCAGGACTACAGTTGGCTTAGCAGTATCTTCTACTTTGGGTACTTGGCCATGGAGTTTCCCAACCTCTGGCTCATGACAAAAGTCCCAATTGGAAAGTACATTGGCGTGTGTCTGACCTTGTGGGGAATCTCTCTCTGCTTCATGGGTCTGTGCCACAACTTTGCGGGCTTGGCCACGATTCGTTTCCTGCTTGGTGTGTTTGAGGCTGCCGTGCTGCCATGCATGATGCTTCTCAACTCCATGTGGTACCGCAAAGAGGAGCAGCCGCTACGCACTGCCTTCTGGTACAATACCTTTGCTGGGGTTTTTGGCGGGATCTTGTCTTATGCCATTGGAAAGATCAACGGATCCCTGCCGACTTGGAAGGTAAGGCAACGTTCACTGACTAGGGACAGCGTCCTATCGCTGGTACAACAATGGGCTGACAAGAACAGTACATCTTCATCATCTACGGCTCCATCACCATCTTCATCGGCGTGTTGATCTTTTTCGTCCTCCCAGACTCGCCATCCAAGGCTTGGTTCTTCACCGATCAGGAGAAGCGTCTGGCACTTGTCAGGCTCGCCGAAAATCAGACTGGAGTAGAGACTCATCAAGTGAGTGCGGCGTCATCCCACGCAAGTCCGTTGACTGACGAGATTGGCAGAGGTTCAATGCGAAGCAAGTGTTCGAAGCACTCCGCGACCCGAAATGCTGGTGCATTTGGCTCTGCGCCCTGGGCTATGCGGTTGTCAACGCAGGTGTCACCAACTTCAACCCCCTCATCATCGCCGGCTACGGGTTCTCGCAGACCAAGACTGTTCTCATGGCTACGCCCCAGGCCGCGGTGGCCATGGTTGCGGGTGCCACCTTGACTGCCATTACCTTCTGGGTGCCCAACATGCGCTGTATCTTCTGGATCATAGCGTCCCTCATTGGAATGGGGGGTGCCATCATGGTTCACCTTCTCAATGTTGATACTCACAGAGACGCATCGCTGGCCGGTGTGTACCTCATGGGCTTCTACAACGTGCCCTGGGTGTTCATGCTGAGTTTGTCTTCCACGAACACCGCTGGCGCCACTAAGAAGAGCTTCATGGGAGTGTCGATTGCTGTGGTTTATGGTACGAGTCTCCTGAAAATCCCCAAGAATACTGTCGCTGACCCTCTGTTATAGCTGTCGGGAATATTGTTGGACCCCAGTTCTTCCTCCAGGAGCAAGCACCACGCTACCCGCTCGGGATCGGGAGTATGCTGTGTGCTTTTGCGATGATGGCAGCCGCTGGTATTGCTTACTACGCCCTTTGTGTGGTGGAGAACAAGAGGCGCGATGCTCAGTACGGGAAGCCTCAGGATGTGGTTCAACATGGTTTGGAGGTCAACAGATCCGACGAGACGGACAAGCAGAACCATACTTTTAGGTACACGTACTAGGCCAGAAGGTCCTCAAATCTGTTTATTTCGCTTCCATAAGTTGGCTGTAGTCTTTCAGTTAGATGTCATTCCAAGCTCATCTATAGTACATGTTTTTTCGCATCTGAACTTTAAAGGGGTGACGGTCACTGGACCTCATATTCGTAAGTATAAGACAAGAAGCCTCCTCGTCCAATCCTTGACCCGAAAAGGATTGCCATCGCAACTCGACTGTAGCAATAAGCTGGATATTCCATCCTACTTAATCTAGGAATCCAATGGCTGTTTCAACATTGGTGATTAAGGAGCATTGTCTGCCTTGGAAAGGCAATTAGCTATATAAGTTATAAAACTTGAGACATTTCCATCATCCGGTATGGTGTAGTGGCTAACATTTGACGCTCTCACTTGCTTAGCATTTTCGAGGTTCCGTCAAGCCCAGGGTTCGATTCCCTGTACCGGAGATTTCTTTTGCTTTTGGACGAACTTTCTGCAGTAGCATTTTGATCTTATTACTCAGACACTGTATTCGTTTTGGTGCCTGCTGTTTTTTTTATTACATGTACACATCGCTGTGGATGGTGAGCAACTCGGGCTGTGCTTCACCTCAACACTAACCGGCTGGCGGTTCTTGAATACAGTAAGACTTGAATACAGTAAGATGTAGTTCACGCATTGCATGATTGAAGTATGATCCTTCTTATGTTCATCTTGTCTGAGCAATGTCTAAGCTCAGCAGTAAGTATATACAAGAATCGCCCATAGTCGAGAAATGACCAGAAATGTGTCACTATCTATGAATGCAAACCGAAATCACCCTATCACGCGCAACACTCTACGAGGTACCCTCGCAGGCAACAAAGGCATTGCCAGAAGCGCCGGTATGGGTGATGGTTCCCGCGAGGGCGCAAGAGTCCTCTGTAAAGACGACGCGATCAGCACCAGGCGAGCCTATATAAATAATTAGCACTGTTTTTAAGCTCCTTGGCTGGCGAAACAACTACATACCTCCAGTGTACACGCCGCCCGAAATGATGGGGAACTCTTGGAACGGACCGTCCAGGCCCTTGAAGTCGAAGCCCTCGTAGTTGCTATAGCGGTGAGGGTAGCTGTTAACATCGGAGCCGCTCTCAAAGTAGGAGCAGCCTTCATCGATGGCATCAGAGACCTGCTGAGCGGTGTAGGACTTGCCACCGCAGTTGGCGGGCTCGTCGCGGGTGACAACAGTCGGAGCGGCGCTCACGACGGTCAGGCCGAGGAAGATGGCGGCGAGAGAGAGCTGCATTCTTGCGTTGGGTTGTGGAGGAATCAAGTTTGTGGGGTCGTCGAGAGTATGGCGACACAATGCTTGGATGATTGGGGTGGCGGCGCTGAGAGAGAAAGTGACAACTATTCACTTGAGCGCTTGAAGACCGTGTATTTATACATGATTCTCCCATCTCAGGAGCTGAGGAGTTCATGGACAAAGCACACATCAGTTCAAAGGTGCCGCAGATCTTGCAACGCTGCTAGGTCTCACCAGCTCAGCTCTGTCCAATTCAAGCCAATGTCGCGCATGATCGACCTCTCACAATGGAACTTTGTCCATTGGGGATGTCGCGTCGTCACCATGTGAATGGGGATGATCCACGCTGTTTCACCGTTTCACGGGAGCTCGTCGCGAATGCGGAAGGTCGTGGTGCTGAGTCGACCGCTGACTCGTCAAAGCCCTCGAGCGCCATTTAGGGATCGGCACTGACCCCGTCGTGGACTTGATATGGCGGCTTTGCGATGCCGTGATAGATTATGGCACCATGGAAATCTTACTCTGGGGGATGTCCAGACGGCAGCTATCGTGTTGGCGTGGGCTGGGTGCCGGGGGTGCAAGATATGGGGTTCTCCCCCGTATGGATTTTGACGTGATGTCGAGTGTCATTTGTATCTCGCCTCGAACATATTGAGATTAATCGAATTTGAGGATGGCCAAAACTCGAGAGCGAGGTCAGCGGTTTCGGACGGTGAATGGTGCATCTGCATCACGTTGTGTCGTGTCGTTCCTCGTGGGGGCTCAGAAGGTCTGTCTTAGCCGACTGGCGGTTATGATGCTCCAGTTCACCAATCCGCAACATGACGAGTATGGTGAAAGGAGAACCCAAGGTGGGCCGCGTCTACGCAGCTTCCAGAAACGAAAGGATATGCCGATCTCTGCAGCATTGGTGCTGTTTGAGGAAACCCACGGGCCACAGCTTTCGGCAGTCGTTGGCAGCTGCTAGATAGGATGTTGTGGCTTGCCCCCACGGGTGTACCCGACGAATGATGTCTAGAAGTCGTTGCTCGTCAGGGACAAAGTGAGTCAGGTGTGCGACATCTTTATGTCTCTCACATCGCCAATGTATGGATGAAGTACGACATAACTGGTTGGCGGGCGATAGTAATCAATTGCTGCATCACATGCTAATTGCATATCGGAAGCGCGTATTTGGAGGTTTCCTCCAGCCGCGCGAGTCCACGATGGGATCTCAAATGCTGGACGTATATGCTCTCGTTAAATAAGTACATTAAGAATGTTTTTTATCTTTTTGTTCCAGCGGACGAGTGTGAGACTGATTAGTTAGATTTGCCGTCTAATAAAGCTATTAGGTCATAAAAAGCATCGGCGCCACCTGCTCCGAATACTTCAAGGACAGAGACGAGTCAACTAGAGTCATTTGTTTATATCTAACCAATATCGGCGCTTATAAGTATATCAGGAAAATGCCTAAATAGTAGGTGCCTACGGCAAATCCTAAGATTATAGTCCTAGGTAGAAAGGCGGCTGCCGGACTAATTGGTACAGGGTTAGCGAAACCCAACGCGCCTTATCGATCACTCAAGCGTCAATCAATCACCTCGTTTGCTCCATAACATCATGTCCCCTTGGCCATGGCTCTCGACAGTTTCACTCGCGCGCAACCGGCCTCTCAGAAGAGCCGTGTCTTTTCGGCGCCGAGAGACCATGGTAATTTTTACATGAAGCGCCGGGAAATGCCCTCACCGACAATCCAAGGAAAGCAGCCCCAGTTGAGGGCATCAAGATTTATTAAGAAACGCAGAAGGTCCCGACGCGTGAATGAATCACGGCAAATGACATTTCGTCAGGACCACTGGGCAGGGAATAGGGTTGGACGTGGCAGGGCTCTCTAATACTCGCTCTGCGTGGTACGACACGACTCGTCCACATACTTGATCAAGATCAGAATCGATCCCCGAAACGTCATGGGCGAGCTCCCGAAAGTTCACTTTCTGTCGGCGACGGTACGTGCGCGCCAATCGACCCGGTCGAGCTCTGGCTCCGAGACAAGCGGTGGCCACAAGAATACTTCGAATCAGACAAAGGGACTGCATACCGTTCACAAAGCATATTCACGCTATACGGATGCCGACTCATTTCTTCAAGAGGATATGTGCTGTCATCGACCAATTGCCGTCCGGCCTGGATTTTGACAACCGTAGAGCCAGGAACCGGACTATCGCAGGACGTGGAGAGCTAACATCTGTCACAGTCGGTTGCCGGCGATACCTAGATTGTGGGGTCCCAAGACAGTCGAAGAGAGACTCATGCGTGTGCCCTCACGATCGCTATTGTCTTGTGGCCGCGTCAGCCCTGCAGTTGGTTACAATACTTGTTGGCTCGGGCACTTGGTAGCCTGCAATGCCTGCATCAACCCGTGCCCCAATGCAGAGCGAGTGATCAAGAGTTATGGCGATGTGGCCCGGTCCAAAACAACTGAAGCGATCAAAGGTCGTATGACTAGGTTTCAGTCGTGAGCATGGACGAGTACTCGGTAGCTTTTGGCGTTTGTGTCGCGAGTTCATTCTATGTCCAGTCTTGAGCAATGAGACGCCATGCCGTGCAGTCGCTAGGGTTTCTGGATCAACCCGAGGGCGAGAATGGCTCAACTGGTGGGAAATCAGCTTTAAAGAGCATGGGCGGTAAAGCCCAGACTCCAATGCCAAGTCAATTATGCCTGGGGCCTGGGTGATTCCCAAGTCCCTTCGAGCTCCAGGCCAATCCACGAGAGCTTGGCTGCTTGGCAGGCCTTTCAGAACTTAGACCTCACATGGTCTTAAATACCACCTTGCCGAACCGTGGGCTCATCCTGAAGACTGGATATTTTGAGTCAGAGCTTGTCCGTGTAAGACATACATCTTCATTTCCCTCCATCCTTCCTTTTCCTTCGTACTGCTCACCAACGCCCGGAACACAAGATGCGTCCCCGTCCAGTCCTGCTCTCCACACTCACCCTGGTCTGCGCCGTTTCCCCCACAGCCCACGCCTTTCAATTCACTGGCCCCGACTCGGTCGACAAACTCGACCTCGCCAATCCCATCACAGTCTCATGGAGAGCGACAGGAGGATCTCTCAACGAGCCAGAGGCCCGCTCACTCGAACTCTGGTTCCGCGCGCTCATCGGCGATAGTGGTGACCAGGCTGGGTGGCAACTTGCCGCCAACCTGTCCATCTCGAGTCCCACATCGTATGAGTGGGATCCCAGCAGCATCGTGGAAGGCATCCAAGACAACGACCTGACTCTCTCGCCAGAGGCGGTGCACACATTCGAGGCTAGGCTGCTTGATGGACATGGGACGAAGCTGGCAACGGTTCAGAGTGACAAGTACGCTGTCGAGGGCTTTGATTTCATTGAGAGCAGTGACGGCGGCGAGGGGACGCGGGATGCGGTCTACATGGCCCTCGTTGGTGCGGCGGCTGGAGTGGTGCTTGGGGTGCTGTAGACGCGTTCGGGACATGAGGACTGCAACTTGAACTGGATCATTTGCAAGCAACATGGGCGTCCGAAGTGAAGGGGCCGACACCACACATGAACATTCAGAAAGCTGGGATGGCTGGAGACCTTGCACGATCACCGCAAGGAGGAGAGAATTGCAAAAGATGCGGGTGACGATGGGAGTATTTGCTAGGTCGCTGATGAACATGATATCGTAACTTGGAGGCTGCCCCTGTGTTACTCAACCCTAGTGGCAAAACGCCTTTATAGTGTAGTAGTCCGCAATATTGTAACAAGTGCTTTGTCCAGTGTAGACTTGCTTTTCCGCGCCCGTGCAGTCCTTGTTCTCATAGATAAACACTGCGCCATGGTGAGCGTCTGTCATTTGGCTAGGAGCAAGATGTAAACGTACCACGGCACGTCTTTGTGATTGAGTCAACACTCAACCATTTTCCGGGGAGACTGACGCAGACACCGTCTGAAATCCAATAGTCATCCTTTGACGATGAGCAAAAGATGGAACGGTTAGTTGAGAACCGGACAGCGACAGGTTCCGTCACTTGGCAAGCTATGGGCAAGGCCATGGCCATGAATGAGATGACTGTCGCCTTAAGCATGTTGAATACGCTGTCAGGTCGAGGTTCTTGGGGTTTGATAAATTCGGTCGAGGAAATGGCGAGTGCTGTGTGTGATTTGAATGTCCTCAAGTCCCAGCAAGTACTGCTTTTATACTTATTAGAAATTGCAAACCGGACCATTACACCACATTCTGGTACCGGACCACAACCACATGCTCTCGAGTCTCTTGATAGCTTCACTTTTGGTCGAGAAACAATATTGCGGAGTAAGCGCTAAGCCGCCTTAGTCTCTCAGCCCCGATGAATCCTCACCTGATTGTCAGCATCGGTCTAATGTTGCTTCCAATATTATGCAGCAGACTGGAAGTACAGCCTCCTGCCTGTCTGATCTGCAGAGAGACCCAGCGGAGCCTGACGTGCTTACATCAAATGGCACACGATAGTCGGAAGTCAGGGGAAAACTGGCGAAAATGCTCAGCTATGTGTCATGTTCCTCTCTCGGTATTTCAGCAGAGCTCGCGTTCTAGAACATCCTAACTGGATCGTCTTTCTCGGCGAGTGCTATTGAATACTAGGCCGTGGGCCCTTCCGTGGGGCCTCCCTACATATATGAGCTTGGATCACGGACTAACCGTTTATATGACGGCTGGCCCCGCGCATTCTCTCCAGCTGTCATGCAGGGCTCTTCATGGGGTTGTGAATGAGATGCAGTCCAATTGGCGTGGCCGTGAGGCCTTCACGTTGTGTGACCAACAAAACTGATGCTCCAGGATGTGGCATAGACCATTTTGCCCCTTATGACCTTGTCGGATCGAGGGCCTAGACCCACGTACATATAATATGCTGTTGTGGCTAACAGCACAGGCAACCTCCGTGTTGCTCTGTCGTCCTGTTGAGCTTGAGTGAACATGCAGAGATTAATGGCCTGCCTCCAGAACTGCCTGGATTCAGGCCGGCACTTCTACAAACACGACATCACCAAGCTCTCCTAGTGTCACGATCCATTGGCCATCATTTTAACGGGACTGTACATGCCAAGTCACCAAGATATGTCAATCACAGTCCAGTTTGGGAGATTGTCACCCGAAGCTGGCCTGACTGGGTCCTCCTCGTGCGACTAGACAGTACAGCCAACTTGAGATGCAAGATACATATAGGTGCCCAAAGCAAATTTGCGACACAAAGTGTATATACGAAAAGTTTTCATTTTTCAGACTAGAAACGCCGCCATCCTTAAGGTCTCCGCTGTACCTACATGTGAGTTTACTATCACCTCTAGTGGCTCCTTAAATCAAGCTTGCGAATCCTCGCCGCATTCAAGAACTCCGGGGCATATACAACCTGCTCATAGAGAAAGGGCTTATTCCGAGGACAAGTTATGACTCTAGTAAACATACCCGAGAGCATCGCGTGCGGGAGTTGCCTCTTTTCAAGCTTCAATCCTCTGGTGAGATCTCCACAGGACGGCCTTGACTCTGTGTGGTGTAGGGAGCATCCCGTCTGCCTTGTGAGCGTGAATGAGGTCTGCTCAACTTGGAGCAGGCAACATCAAGGTGGCCAAAGGAGATCTACCGTATTGTACAGATTGCCCGTATCACAACTCGCACACCAGTTCGTGGTGACGGCATGATAGGCTTCGATAGTAATGGCACGAGATCCTCTTCCAAGGCAGACAATCCCTCGCTGTTTTGCGTACACGAGGGACGGTTACGAGGCGCGACATGAGACTTATCAAAAGCTGCATCAGTTGGTGTCTTGAATGCACAAAGGTGCACGGGAGGAGGACCACTGTTTGTTTGTAAGACGTGGAGTATGGAAGAACCCAAATGCACATGCCACCATGTCTTTTGAAGATGATGGCGGATCCAGGAGGGAAAGAAATAGGGAAGGGCGTGATCCAGCATCAGGACCAACGCACATGACACACGCCTTGTGAGCATGAGATCTCCCTGAAAGAGCCGATGTTCTGTTTTTTGACGCTGTGCTTTTCTGCGGTGCCACAAATGTGGCATGTCCAATTTCTGGTCCGAAACCGCCGGCCGGGCCTTGCATTGCATGAGAACTGATGAGACTGTTACTTCTTCCACTGCCACCTCTGGGTTCTGTCTCGTCATGCATGCCCATCTGGGTGCGAGATGCGGGATGTGGATGCGCGCTGCCGGCTCGGGCGCCATGGCCAATTGTTCCAGGCACTCACCTGGCACAAAAGAACAAACGGCGATGCCCTTCCGGTCGACCGAGTCTCTGGGTGATCCTACCAGCGGAGTGGTCTGGCCAAGAACCCCGGCAACGTGGCTGTGGCAGCGAGTGCGTGTGCGCGTGCCACATGAGGCCTCCGTCTTGACTTGACTCTTCCGTGTCCATGCCTCCAACAAATGCTCCATGCGCCCTCCCGGGAGCCTGACGGTCCCGACTCCACAGAACAAAGTTAGGCTACAAGATTTAACCATGAATTAGGCTTTAATTGGCAGATGTGCCGAATCTGGGGCCCCCAGGCGCCTAGAATATTCCACACTTACTACGTACTGTATGTCGTTGAACGTTCCCCATGGGTTTCCACTGAGTGTTTCCACTAGGCTACAAGTCAGTATACTCCGCACCTATTGTTCACTCATCTTCGCAATTGAAGCTGTTTCACAACACCGTGGGTGAACTAGCTTGACATTGGAGATAAGCATGAATTCGGGCGATTATGCTTACATGTATCACAGATTCGCTGGCGTCGAGGCCACCCACCTCGATGGTCCAGACCCTTTGCGCCCTGCACCACTGCGATCGTATTCGATGCCGGATTTCCGAAACGCATACTCAGACGAATGAGCGTCCGTGTAAATAGATTGCAGCCCTACATGCACATGCACCTTGGAAGCAGCCGCCCTTGCTGACAGAGTCTGGCCCTCGCAATTTCCATCCTAGTGAGTGGCAGCGCAACAACAATCGTCGACCCGATAACACGACACGAACGTGGACATTAGTGCAAACACTGGAGCTAGTGCCATTCCCGGACATACGGAAGAGTCGCCAAACAGAGGCTTCTCGCATCGTGGGCCAGAGCTGCGAGGGCATGACGAATAGAGTGCGTTCTGACCAGAGATATGACGTGGGACTGCGAGATCTAGGCGGCGAACAAGAAAAGCACATCTTCTAGAAGGCCTGGCTCTGAGGCTTTGGTCCGGCGCTAGCGTTAGCGTTCGTGCAAGGGTGCCGTCTTCACCACATGTACACATTCTGGTCCTGAAACCTGCGTGTAAGATGGCTGACTCGTGAGGAGGAGAAGAAACGTTCTCAGACTGCGGGGAAGCGGGATCGAGCTCCATAGACTGGCATATCTAGTCAATAGTCTAATCAATCTCCACAGAGCAAGGCTAGCCGTGCTCATTTGAGTAGGCAATAGCCTCGACTATGCCTGAGACTTGGCGGCTCATTGGCGATGCATTCTGCCGATTTGGACTGCCGGACCAAGGGGTTCCAATTGCAAGGGTGAGTAGAATTCCTCGGGGAAGCACGGGGTGATTGATCGCTCGGATGACGGGGGTCTGGGAAGTAGACTAGACTCGGTGTGGGATAGGATGGTCTCATCAGTCCGCCCGTGTGTTCAACCCAGGCTGGGTCAAGGGTCCGAGGTTGCACCAGGTTCGAGGCAGGCAGATAACGCATGTCGACGGCGGGTTGCGTTACGAGGACACTTGCATATAGAGCAGAGTCCCATCGGCCATCGCATGGAGCCCCCTCTTCCCTTGAGCGTTCTTGTGTAAGCGATCTTCCCATCTTTCTGCTTCTCACTGATACTACCATCTTCACTCCTTCTTCGAGTGTTACGCTGGCACACCAGAGAAGCCTCGCACTGGCAAGAAAGATGGACTCGACTGGCATCCAGAAAAGGCCCGAGGGCGACGCCAACCTGGAGACGTCCTCCACCGAGAAGAACCTCCACGACACAGATGTCGCCCTGGGCTCGACCGAGGTCGAGTCGGCCGGCTTCGACTTTGCGCGGACCAAGAAGCTCCTGCGCAAGTGCGACAAGGCGCTTCTGCCGTTCCTGGCGCTGTTGTACCTGCTCTCGTTCCTGGACCGCACCAACATTGGCAACGCCAAGTTGGCTGGCTTGGAGGAGGACTTAAAGATGGATGGGAAATGGGATTACAATGTTCGTCTTTCTCTGACTGCTCCATGTGAAAGACATGTTGGAACTGACACGAGTGACAGGTTGCCGTGTCCATGTTCGTGATTCTCGTGTGTCTCTGTTGGCAGACGTGAATAGCTAACAGGTCAGTTTTTTTCCCTTTTACGTCGCAGCTGAAATGTGAGTACAACCACTCCTGCCGGATATCGAAAGGAATCTCACAATCGACAGCCCGTCCAACATGGCCATGAAGCGCTTCCGCCCATCGATCTGGATCCCGTCCATCATGGTCGCCTGGGGCTTCTGCACCATCATGCTGGGCATCGTGCACAACTACGCCGGCCTTTTGGCATGCCGCGCTGCTTTAGGCCTGGCCGAGGGTGGTCTCTTCCCTGGCATCACCTACTAGTAAGCGCAATGCCTTTTCTCGAGACGCTGTGTGATACATGTTCACAGTTGGCTGACACGCACACGGCGCAGCATCACCATGTGGTACAGACGACACGAGTGCGGCCTGCGCATGGCCATCTTCTTCTCCGCCGCCACCGCCGCCGGCGCGTTTGGCGGCCTGCTTGCGTTTGGCATCATGCAGATGGATGGCACAGCAGGTCTCGGTGGCTGGAACTGGATCTTCATCCTCGAGGGCATTGCGACGTTGGTGATTGGTACGTCGGGGCCTTTTCCGTTTCTCTCGCTCGGCGTGTAACACACACTGACAGCAGACATGCAGCCATCGCCGCCTTCTGGGTCATGTACGACTACCCGGCGACCGCCAAATTTCTCGACAGGGAAGAGAAAGCCGAGATTGTGCGCCGGCTGGAGCACGACCGCAGTGTTCTCTCGGACGAGTTCAAAATCCAGTTTATGTGGGACGCCTTCAAGGACTGGAAGATCTACGTCCACATGCTCATCACCATTGGCATCTACACGCCGCTGTATTCCATCTCGGTTTTTATGCCGTCCATCGTCAAGGGTCTGGGCTTCAGCAACGAGATTGCGCAGCTCATGACGGTGCCACCGTACTTTGTCGCCTGCCTCTTCACCATTGGCGGCGGCTGGCTCGCTGATCGACATGGACAGCGCGGTATCTACATGATGGGCTTCTGCCTCATGGCGTGAGTTTTCCGGTTTTAGGTCATTATGTTCGTGCGTATGTGCTGACTTGCTGGTAGGATGATCGGCTTTGCCATCCTAGCGGGCGCGGACAATTTGGGTGCCAAGTACTTTGGCTGCTTCCTCATTGCGTCGGGCATCTACCCCAACGTGCCACAGGGTGTCGCCTGGAACGGCAACAACATTGGCGGCTCGCTGAAGCGTGGCGTCGGCATTGCCATGCATGTTGGTTTCGTAAGTCCCCCTTGGGAAGCCTGGAAACTTGAACGTATAGGCATGGGCTAACGATTGGTAGGGCAACCTCGGAGGTGCTGTCGCAGGCTTCGTGGTGCGCGCGCAAGAGGCTCCTCACTACCGCTCTGGGCACCTCACGCTGCTCGCCACCACGACCATGAGCTTTGTTCTCTCGGGGTTCATGACGTGGTATTTGCGTCGGGAGAATGCGCGTCGGGAGCGCGAGCACAAGGCTCCCACCGAGTACACGTACGAGGAGAAGCTCATGCACAAGGAGGACGGCGACAATGCACCATTTTTCAGGTACACGGTCTAGCGCGCGGGTGGTGGCGATGGTGACAATGACGGACTGGTGACGGTGGTGCTACTGTCAGAGATGGTTTGGCGTGTCTGTAGAGGCCGGTAGACGAACAAAACATGCTTGGAATGAAGTCGAATTGCTTGGCGATGATCGGCGCTGCTTGTTTTCGACAAGCTTGAAATAAGGTTGGGATGCGGGCGGAGCATCTCCTCGGACTGTATAGGGTAAGTGAAATGGTCTCGGTCACTTTGCCTACCCGATACATCATCTTTCCTGGTCGCCGATGATTGGCAGTTGTGAAAGTGGGTCTTTCAACCCGGACTTCAACGTCCAACAATCGCGAATCTCATCATCATCAAGGGTCCTTATCACACCATCAGATCCCACAAAACGCGCGCCCGACCGGAAATTTAGCATGTCCTCCACGAGAGACATTGCCAGAACAAGATGACGTCCTCACAAGAGGACTTGGACCCTCGCCAGGCCTCCGACGCGTCTCCCCTCCTCCATGACCAAGCTCACCACCACGATGAGCCAGACTCGCACAATGGCGACCTTCTCACCACCGCGGAAACACGCAACCTCGCACGCGGTCTCTCCCAGCGTCACCTCTCCATGCTCGGCATTGCCGGCGCCATTGGCACGGGTCTCTTCCTCGGTCTCGGTGGGGCAGTCCAGTCCGGCGGTCCTCTCGGCGCGCTCCTCGGATACGCGACCATCGGCCTCGTCGTCTGCGCCGTGCAGTTCGCCCTCGGCGAGACGGCGGCTCTCCTGCCCGTCACGGGTAGCTTCGTCCGGCACGCCGAGTTTCTCGTCGACCCGGCGCTGGGCGTCGCGCTGGGCTGGAATCTCGTCTATGGCAACTGCCTGTCCATCCCGAGCGAGATCACGGCCATCTGCGTGCTGTTCCAGTTCTGGACGGATGCCAACCCCGCCATCTTCATCGTCCTCTTCATTGCGCTCACCGTGGTCGTCGGCTTTGCGCGCATCAGGGTCTTTGGCGAGGTCGAGTACGTCTTTGCCTGGATGAAGACGCTCCTCGTTGTCTTCCTCGTCCTCCTCGGCGTCATCATCGCCTCTGGCGGCATCCCGGGTACGCCCGCAACAGGATTCAAGTACTGGCGTGACCCGGGCCCGTTTGTCGAGTTCATCGCACCAGGTCGTCTTGGTCAGTTTCTGGGGTACTGGCAGGCGTTGACCGGGGCCGTGTTCTCGTTCGCGGGGGTCGAGAGCATCGCCATGGCAGCGGCCGAGACGCAGAACCCGCGCAAGGCGATCCCTGCCGCGTGCAAGCAAGTCTTTCTGCGCATCTTTCTGTTCTACATGCTGGCCATCTTTGTGGTGGGCCTCCTGGTGGCGAGCAACGACCCCCGACTGGATGGATCCTCGGGGACAGCTGCGCAGAGCCCGTTTGTCATTGCCGCGTCGGCAGCTGGAATCCCCCTAGTCCCGTCTATTGTGAACGCCGTGGTGATCACCTCTGCGTGGTCGGCCTCGAACCAGGCCCTCCTCTCTGGGACGCGCGTGCTGTACGGGTTGGCCCTCAAGGGCCAGGCGCCGCGTGTCTTCTTGCGCACGACGAGGTGGGGCACGCCGTACATGTGCGTTCTTGTGTTTGTGGGTGGCATGATGCTCAGTTTCCTCAGTCTGTCGAGCGATGCGATTACAGTATTCTGGTGGTTTGTGGACCTGACGGCCGCTGGGGTGCTGGTGAGCTGGACGGCCATCTTGGGCAACCACATCAGGATGAGGAAGGCCTTCAAGGTGCAAGGGATACCGGAGTCGAGGTTACCATGGTATAATTGGTGGACAGGTGAGTCTTGCTTGGTGACATTCTGCGGAGACTGAATGGATGGCTGACATTGTTTACAAAAACAGAATACTCGTCCCACGCAGCACTTGTCATGTGCGTCACGATCCTGTTGACGAGCGGCTTCGCCGTCTTCACGCCTGGTAACTGGGACGCCAGCCAATTCGTGTCTTCCTATCTGTAAGTCAAGGCTCAAGTGACAGATTCGTCGTGGCACGCTCACTGACGGTGTATAGGGACATTCCCCTCGTTGCCGGTGCATACTTTCTGTGGAAGAATTGGAAGAAGACACGCATCGTGCCCCTCAAGCAGATACCTATATCCGCCGCCTTGGAACAGGCCGAGGGATCGGTATAATCCAGCAATGCATATAGGCCAATGGACAGCGTCTCGGCCGCTCTGCCCGTCCGGCTGCACGTCTACATCTTCCCACACGCACGCAAGCACGTGGCATTATGAAGCTGCGTCTCCGCAGCTCTGGGTTCAGTATCTGGGGAAAATGTTCCCGATGAACAAATAAGATCTGCCGAACACACCTCCTCCTTTCTCCCACGCGGAGAAAAAGAGGAGCCAAGACGGGCGGACCCCGGCCTCCCCCCTCCATCACCTTTGTTGACCTTCGGCCAGCGGCGCCGTTGACCGAAGAGAACAGCGGCGCCCTGCCCGCTTCAACGGCAGTAGCGTCGTCGCTCATCTCCACGTCGGTCAATGCGGCCATGGATCCCAAGCTTGGAGGGAGACATGTTCAGAGATGAGGGAAATCCGGGGTCGGTGTCCCTCTTTGCGGGGAACAATTCAATTCTCTATAAGTTGTCCTTCTCCTTGCTGACACTCGCCTCTGTTTTCCTGGGCTCATCTGCATTGCCATCTTTGCCCGACAGAAGTGTGCAGCTATCATCCCAGTCACCATGGCGGCGCACCAAGACAATGACCAGCGCCTAAGCGCAGAGCAGCACCAGCTCCAGCACCAGCCGACCCACGACGTCGAGAAGCTTCACTCGTCGCACCAGGAGGATATCATTGACAAGAGCGAGCCTGTCCGCGAGGGCGACTACTCGGGCGCCGTGGCCAAGTCGTCCGCCGAGGAGATCAAGCTGGTCCGCCGGCTCGACCTCTTCCTCATGCCCACCCTCTGGATCATGTACTTTCTCAACTACCTCGACCGCGCCGCCATCACGCTCGCCCGCCTCAACGGTCTCGAGGACGACCTCGGCCTCGAGGGCTCGCAGTACAACACGGCCGTCTCCATCCTCTTTGTCGGCTACATGCTGGGCCAGATCCCGTCCAACATGGCCCTGACCCGCGTCCGCCCCTCGTGGTGGATGGGCTCCTTTATGATCGCCTGGGCCGTCGTCAGCGCCCTCACCGCGCTCGCCAACGACTACGTCAGCATCGTCCTCACGCGCTTCTTCCTCGGCACCGTCGAGGCCCCCTTCTACCCGGGCGCCCTGTACCTGCTCAGCATCTTCTACACTCGCAAGGAGCTCGCCACGCGCATCTCGGTCCTTTACAGCGGCAATATCTTCGCGTCAGCCTTCTCGGGCCTCATTGCGGCTGGCGTCTTCAACGGCCTTGACGGCGCCATGGGTCTCAAAGGTTGGCGCTGGCTCTTCATCATACAGGGCATCGTCACCTTCTTCTTCGCCCTCGTCGCCTGCTTCACGCTCCCCGACGCGCCGCTGCAGACACGCTGGTTGACCCCCGAGCAGCGTCAGCTCGCACACGACCGCGTGCTCAAGGACACGGTTGGCCAGCGCACCGACGCCTCCATGTGGAGCGGCTTCAAGGAGGCGCTGCTCGATCCCAAGGTGTGGTTGTTCATCTTTATGCAGCATGTGCACCTGGGCACCAACGGCTTCAAGAACTTTGTGAGTCTCTCTCTCTTCTGTGTCAGGAAAAGGCTCTAACCAATGTAGTTCCCCACCATTGTCAACACCCTCGGCTTCAGCACCACCGTCACCCTCGTCCTCACCTGCCCGCCCTACCTCATCGCCGGCGGCATCTCCATCCTCTGGGCGACCTCGTCCGGCCACTTCAACGAGCGCACGTGGCACATTACCATTGCCAAGTGCGTGGCCATCCTGGGCTTTGTGCTCGCCTGCGCGACCCTGAACGTGGGCGCGCGGTACTTTGCCATGGTCGTCTTCACCGTCGGCACGTACTGCGTCAACTCGATCCTGCTCGGCTGGGTGGGCAGCAGCTGCGGCGAGACGAGGGAGAAAAAGGCGGCCGCTCTGGCCATTGTCAACGTCAGCGCCACCCTGAGCTTTGTGTGGACGTCGGTAAGTTCAGCCGGCCATGGATGAGAGAAGACTCACGCTAATCATCCCGCAGTACCTCTGGCCATCGTGGAATGCCCCTCGATACACCATCCCCATGATCTCCAGCGCTGGCCTGGCCTTTTCTTGCATTGTCGGTGCCTGGATCATGAGGTGGATGCTCGTGCGGGAGAACAGGAAGATTCGTGCTTCCAACTCGGAGGCCAGGCTCTTCTACGCTTATTGAGGGAGCACTCTGTTCTGTCATAAACGAGTTGAGAGAGCGACTGGAGTCTAAGAAACGACTCTGTAGATGAGGCTGCGGCTCCAGCTAGGCAGCGCATCAAGCAATCCCAGTACCTGTACTTGAAGTGATCTACACTCTTGCTCCAGTCCACCATTATCAACGTGCCCCCCGGACTGTTCCCCCGGGAATGTCGCCGGTCCCTCGACTCCATATGCCAAGCCCATCCATCTCTCCACAGTCCCCGTTGCAAATCCACCCCATGGGCCATGGGCCCCTCGGCCTCAACCTCCGTCCTCGGACATCTCGACCGCCCTCCGTAGACTTTCCCCCTCCCACAACTCTCCCCCCATGTTGACTTGCAGCAGCAGCAGGACGAGACATGCCGAGCTCCACAGCTGCCTGCGAGCGCTGCCACCGCCGCAAAGTCCGCTGCGACAAGACGCAGCCCTGCCAGCCCTGCACGCGCGCCAACGTCGCCTGTCGCTACACGGCGAGTGAGAACGCGCTGCGACGGCAGAACGTCGTACGCCTCGAGGACAAGGTCAGGGAATTGACGGCGGAGAAGGATGCGCTGCAGGACGAGCTGAGACGCCAACGTCAGCGCCAGGAGCAGCAGCGCCATGACCAGAGCAGCGGAATCAGTCCAGAGACGACATCAGCCTCCTATGCTGCGACGTCTTCAACACCGCAGGGCGTCGAAGGAGACGTAGCCGATCAAGTCGTCCACTTGTCCCTCATCGCTGGAGGAGGACAGCACTTTGTCGGGTCTACCAGCGGCCTTTTGCTCGCAAATCTCCTCCAGTCGCGCCCACAGGGCCCTTCATCCCTCGACGCAGCGTCCGCCTGGCAACCCTCGCAGAGCGATGGCCACGCGACATCCAGTCTTCCTCCCAAGCCGCTGGCGCAGGATCTCCTCACGGCGTACTGCAGCCACGACCATCTCTGCTACCCCTTTCTCTCCACAAAGGCCCTCCATCGGTCCCTGGATCTCGTGTACGACACGGACAAGCCCGACCCCGTGGACGCCTTCTTTGTCGACATGACACTCGCCATTGGCACGGCGCAGGTGCGCAAATTTGGCTGGAACGGCATCTATGACGCGGAGACGCACTACAGCCGCGCCATGACCCGGCTCGCTGACGTGCTCGCGCGCGACGGCATCGCGAGGGTGCAGGCGCTGCTCCTCGTGTGCCAGTATCGCATGGGCACGACGTCCAGCGACACGACGACGAGTGTGTGGCACCTCATCGGCGTGGCAGCGCGGACGTGCCTCGAGCTCGGCCTCCATCGCGCTTCGGCGTACGTCCTGCGTGAAGAGCAGTCTGACGGCGCCGCAGCGGAGGAGATGGAGGTCAAGAGACGTTGCTTCTGGAGTCTCGTCGCGCTGGACCGCGTGACCAGTCTTGCTCTGGGGAGACCCTTTGCCATACAGCTGGATGACATTGAGGTTGACCTCCCGCACTCTGATGCGTTGCCAACATCAGAGGTCGTTGCCGCACCGCAGAGCTCCTTGACAGGCGCAGAGTATGGCACGCCTCAGTGGCATATGGCGACGTCCATCTTTGCCCATATTGTGCGCTATCGCCTCATCTGCGGCAAGATCATGACCTCGCTCCATCGCAATGCCAACAAAAAGCACAACACCTATTCCTCCTCGAATCACACGGATCACGAGGCCGTTCGCGAGGCGCTCTCCCAGGAGTTGCAAACTTGGCTCTCGCAGACGGCTGATCTTCCACTGGTATCAGGCGCCGCTTCAGCCCCAACATCTTCTTCGTCATCTTCTTCAACATGGCAGCAGCGAGGTCAGGTCTCCAGCTTCCGCTCGGAGGAGTGGTACCGCCTCCTCTACCACAACGGCATGCTCATGGTCTATCGTCCCTCGCCTTGTCTGAACGACGCTACGCGCAACAGCGTCACGCTGCAGCACGTGTACACGTCCTCACGCGAGTCGATCCATCTCTACGCGACGCTTCACCGTAGCAGGGTCTTGAACTATAGCTGGATCACCATGCAGACCGTCTTCATGTCGGGGCTGTCGTACATCTACGCACTGAGAAATCACTTGCAGGAGGAGGGAGCCCGTCTGTCGAGCGAACCCAGTATCGGCCAGGTGGTCAACGATACGAGAGCCTGCTCAAAGGTTCTCGTCGCCGTGTCCGAGCGGTGGGATATGGCGCGGACATGCTCGGAGCTGTTTGATCGGCTGAGCGATGCAGTCATGGCGGACGTGGTCGAGGCCAGAACGTCTTCTTCGCATGTGCCTCCTATTCCTACCACGCCGCAACAGTTATCGATGCTCGCGCCCGCTGGGACATCGAGGGGGAATGGTAGTGGTCTGGATCTAGGCACGGCGATGGCACAGCAGCAGCAGCAGGATGTCAGCATGTACGGCCAAACAGCAGTGGCGCCTGGATTCGTCAACATGACCGTGGACAGCACCCTGAGGGATTGCTACCCCGATCTACAGAATCTGGGGTACGACCAGTACCACACCGATGCCATTGCGCAGCTATCACAGGACTGGTTTTTTGGCATTGGTGATCCGGACGGACGGTACTACTAGATGAATAGACGCTCTCCTGACATTTGATACATGTCCATCTCTGTCTATATTCGCCCCCTCTCTAGAAACCTCTTTGGCACATCAACATACCGGCTCCGCAGATACTCTGCAATGCCCTTGCCAAGCCCATCGATGCGATCCGACGACGCGATGCCACCGTGCAGGTTGTCCATGATCCGGCTACACGTCCTCTGTCAGCAAGAAACCTAACCTCACATCACATCATGGACTCACAAATGCACAGCGTTGATCCCCGGAAACTCAACCCTCTCCACCCTCCTCGTCGTGTCCCCCCGGAACCAGTCCTCGCCAAGGAGGCCCTTGAGTTTGCTCGTGCTCAGCAGCATCCGCAGCCACGGGTACTCGTCGTCGTGCCGCACAAAGAAGCCCACGTTGGAGTTGTCCGCCTTATCCCCCGACCTCGCGTGCACGACGTTTCCCAGGGGCGCAAACTCGCTCGGCCCGTACGCCAGCAGGTCTACCGGCTCCGCCGTGTCGCTCGTCGGCCGCACGGTCGGGTACACCCTCGTCACCTCGTGCGGCGGGATGGCCATGGTCTGCCCGTCGCTCAGCGCCACGCGGTGGTCAATGTCCGCCAGGCTCATCACGGCCGGGAACATCTCCATGAAGGGTTTGGGGCTCATCGTCCGAAAGTCGAGGTTCATGTGGTACCCGGCGTAGCTCTGCATCCGCAGCGCGTAGATGGGGATCTTGAAGCGGATCTCGTCAATGTCCTCCTTGCGTCGTGCCTGGGCGAACACACGCAGCGAGACGGTGCCTTGCTGCTGCGACGACGGGTTCGACGCGGGTGTCCCGTAGAGCTCGATGCTCAGGCGGGAGAAGTTGCTGCCCCGGAAGACGTGCGCCAGCTGTGCGCGCATCATCTCCGCCTTGGCCGCCACATCGAGCCCGTTAATGTAGAACGTCGCCTCGGCCTGGAAGCCCCCCTTGGCAGCCACCATGACCTTGGTCGTCGGCGGTGGCGGCAGCCCCTTGACGCCCGTCACACGCACGCGGTTGGCAGCCTCCTCCTCCACCCGTACGCCAGATAGATCGGCCACAACATCTGGGTTGAGATACAGATGCCCCTGCAGCTCGTACAGCAGCTGCGCCGTGACAGTGCCCCTTGTCACCCGTCCTCCTCCCTCACTCGTCTTAGTAATGACACACCCACCATGATAGTCAATCTCGGCCACGGGAAACGCCAGATCAACGAGCTCGGGCAGAAAGTCCTTGAACCCGGAGAAGTTGGCGCCCACGACGTATGGCCCACACTCGATCAGATGCGCCACCAGCAACGACCCAGCAAGCTGCTCGTGCGACGACGAGACGTCCCAGTCATGCCACCACGCGGCAGCGCCCATGACGGGGCTGGCATCCGTCACACGTCCACAGAGCACGATCTGCGCCCCGGCACGCAGGGCCTGTGTGATGCCCGCGCAGCCAATGTACGCATTGCCACATGTCGGCTCAAACCCCCAGTCTGCAAGCGACACGTGCTCCTTGTCGAGATGGTGCAGCGCCCTACGCCGCGTCGGATCCCGCACGAGATCGGACACGTCGTCGCCATAGACAGCCGCCACCACGACGTGGCCGTAGCCACGCGCCTCGAGCAACGTCTTCACCTTGATGTACAAGCTCTCCGTGTTGAGCGCCCCGGCATTGGTCACCACGCGGATGCCCCCGCGGACAATATCGTCCAGACAGTCCTCCAGCTGCACGTAGAAGCCATTCTCGTAGCCCAGATCGGGGTCCACCTCCTGCTTGGTGATGGCGTTCCACGCAATGTTCATCTCAGACAGCCAGTCGCCGGTGATGACATCGCAGTGACCGCTCGAGACCATGCGGCGCATCGCGTGGGGGGAGTCGCCTGTTGCGCCAGAGACGTTGCCCACGCGGACGGGGCGCTTGGCCATGTTGACGTGCACATAGTCCCCCATTCTTGGCTGTTTCGTTTCTAGTTTCCTGAATCAACAGACAGATGACGAGGGTTGGCGATGATGAGAAGGATCCTGCATATATAAAGGAAAGACAAGGCTAGATCCGGCTCTGCCCGGTCTGAGCCTTTCCAGCCACCGCACACAATCGCAACATACTCATCACTCCACTTAAAGTAAGGAACGGCGTTTGTAGCGTCGAATGTGAGAGCATTCCCCGGTTACAGAGAGTCCAGTCGGCGGCTCGTACTGTTGGGGCGTCGGCGCGGAAGGCCGAGCGGCGCGGTCTCCGTCGCCGAAGTCTTCTCCTCCACATCAAGTCAGTTCAGGGGGGCGAGTTCGACACATCCTCAACGCTGTATTCGTTGTTGGTTCCGTTCCCGAACCTATAGTACAAATGATATTAGCGCAAGGTAATGGTATCTATGTTTCTCATACCCGTCTATAGCCCAGACATCAATCGCCGCCCAACAAATGCACCGTATTACTGAGTATATATGATGGATGAAAAAAGCCCAACGCACGAACAAGATTCGGTATACCTGCTCGCCCAGCGCCCTCGCCATGCTATTATGCCATGCCATGGTACACATGGTAGACGTGCCATGCCCGTCCTCCGCGCCCACCCGCCTTGCGTGCCATCCAAAACCAGCGCCGATGCTTCGCTTCGCTCCCGTATAACAACAAAAGATGATAGAAAAATCAGACAGACGCTAGCCAAGGCCGTATAGTACAGCGCCCGATCAAAAGCCCACATCACGGCATCACCCCGTGCCGCCACTGTTCCACCCGTGTCATCGACGCGGGACTCGTGTCACCAGGCATCCCCATATGCCCTGGTAGCTGCATGTTTCCGTGGTTGTAACCACTCGTGCTCCTTATGTGGTAACCGCCGAGTGGGCCCGCAGCCCCCATGGGGTTGACTGCGTATGGGGTCTGTGGTGTCGGCATACCGTACGCACTCATCGCCGTCGTCGACCGTTGATTCTTCAGTGCATGCATCTGTCCTTGGGTGTGGACGGCCGAGTACGATCGTGCGGCCTGGTTGTTGCCGCCATACCCATCGTTGTAGGCGCCGCTTCGAAATCCGCCAGCACGCATCACGCTGGGGCTCTTGAGAGAAGTGGGCATGTGCGCTCTCATCGCGGCCATTTGAGCCTCCCGAGCTGCCTGGACTTGACGTTCCTGCTCGACACGCTGCCTCTCCCTCTGCGCACGCGTGTCCGCCTCGCGTTTGGGATGGGCCTGTAGGATGTCGGCCATGCTCAGCCTACGCGTGGTCGCCGAGTCACCAACGAGGTTGTTGTAGCTCATCTCCCGCTCGCGGGCTTCGCGCTCCGCTTGCAACCTGCGACGACGCTGGCCAAGAGTTTCCTCCTCCTCGGCAGCCGGGGACGTCGACCCAACCTGGCCTTCACCCTCTCCAGCGGTGCCTTTGCCTTGGTCTAGGTCGCCAAATTGGCTGAGGAGCTCGGCGGAGAATGAGCTGCTCACTGGCCGGGCCTTGGGTAGTTCCTGGGCCTCGAGCCGCTTTTTCCGCGCTCCCAGTGTCTCTTCCTCAATCTCAGGCTCTTCAAGCTCCGGAGTTTTCATCGGTGTACGCGGGAGGCTCGATGGTGTTCGAGCGTGCCCTCCCAGGTGCGCGGATAAACCAGACATGCTTTGTCGCTTGGGCAAGGCCAAGGACATTGGCTCTATGCCTTGGAGACGGGCACGGCGATGGCTCAGCGTCTCATTGTCATCCAGCTCGCGCCGCTCCAAGAGTCCAATCGGGCGCTCGAGGTCGGCCATGTTCTTGGCCCCCTGGTGCTTCGCGGCAATGATTGCCAAGGGCACATCTTCGTCATCAGAGCCATTCTGGGCAGCGTGCGCCCCCGGCTCCTCCCATGCCAGGTTGATACGTTTAGATTGGCGGTGCTTGCGCTGCGTCTCAGCCACCGCGTCCATCTCGAGAAGGGTCATGTAGGTCCCCTCCGTAGTCAACCGGGGTTGCGTCCGCTGCTTCTGCTGCTGTTTGCGCAGCTGCAGCTCAGCCAGAAGCGTAGTGGGTTGCCCGTCCAGCTCCGCCTCGCTGTCAGACGACGAATCTTGTTCGTCCGCATCCTCGCCCTCTGCTTCGCGTGCATCCCCTTGCCTACTCTTCTCATCTCCACTCGCGGCGAGTGCCTCTGTCTCGGTCGCCGCCGTATCAGCGTGGACGTCGCCCAGGGCTGATGGGCTTCGACTCCTGTGAGCCGTTGCCTCGTCCAAATTGCTGCTGCTGCGCCTCATGAACCACGAGCGCGACGAGCGTTTCTTGGTCGGCTGTTTGGCGGCGGCTTCAGGTTGCAGTGACGCACTCGAAAGCTTTGACTTGTGCTTTTTGGCCTTTTTCTCCTTGCCATACACCTCATCGCCCAACTTGCCGCCGTACCCATGGTTCGTGAAAGCACCGACTGGCGCGTTGGTGGAGGCATCGAGCATGTTGTCTAGCGTAGCCATGGCAGAGCCGTCCTGAATCTCCACCTTGTTTTGCGTCGTGGGCATGTCAAAGAACGCACTGGCGCGCAATTGGGGCGGCAGCTGGGACTCCCTCTTCTTGGCCTTGTCCTGGCCGTTGTGAGACAGTCTCTGCGGGCGCCTTAGGAGCGCCGCCCCGGGCTCAGCAGGTGGTGTCAGGTCCCCCTCGCGGGCTCCCTGCTCCGGCGAATCGTCTGGGATATCCTGAGACAAGGCGATAAATGACCCGCGGTGACCCGCGAGTGGGTCCGGCAGCCAGGATTCGCGCGAGGTATCTGGCATGCCAGACCGTCTCCTAGGCTGAGCCGCCTCGTGCTCTTCCGCGTACTTGTCAGACGGTAGCATGGCGCTGAGGACCCTGGCACGGCGCTCCTGGCGTTGCTCCGTCTTGGGTTTGTTGGACAATTTGGGCGGCAGGTTGAGCATGGCAGGTACACGCGCAGGGTAGTACAGCATCTTTTGGCCCGTTTCTGGGTCCATGTAGGACTGCGGTCGCGGGTCTTTGGAGCTAGCCATGTGGTACTTGAGCTGTCCTGGCTCTTGCTGCGCGTCTTCGTGCGACATCGGGCCCAGGTGCTCGAAACGGGCGTCAGGTCGATCGCGTTCGTATTCGTGGTCAGCGTGCTGATCCATCTCGGGCTGCCAATGCACGCCGTCAAAGTCGCCAAAGGCCTCCATAGCCTGCTGGAACGTGTTAAAGGAGCGGATGCTACTTTTGCGCATGACTGTGTCTTGTTGTTGTGACGGGGTCGTTGGCATCGTCTGCTGCACGGGTGCTTCGCCCGTTGGCGTCGCATACTCGTCGGTTCCCAATGGCACAGCCGTGACTTCCTGAAGCGAGGGGTCCACCTCGATGGGAGGCGCGTTGTCAGCGGCATCGAGCGCATCCTTGGTGAGCGAGGTTGGCTCCAGCTCTGTAATTTCAGCAAGTGACATCTTGGCTGACCGGACGCTCCTGACTGAGGCCTTCCCAGGGCCATGGCGCGCCATGGCCATGGGCTCAAAGTCGAGATCCGCTGGCCGGCCGCTCGAGTTCTTGGACCCCGAGCGCAGGCGGCCGGTCATTGAGTTTGTAGGGGACATGATGAAGCCCGCGGGCGAGTAGCCTCCGTAACGAGCTGCCGCGTTCGTGGCAACGATCGATGAAGAGTTGGAGAGGTGCCTCTTGAGCTGTCCGACAGGCGGTAGCTCGTGGGGATGGTCGTCGTCTTGTGCGGCTCGGAGATTCGCAGCGAGTGTGGAGGATCGTCGGCTTTCACTCCGCTTCAGACCATCGTGTAGATCACGAATGGCGTCTCCGATGGAGCTGGTTCCTGTAGAGAGTCTCTCGGCCGTCGCTTCGAGTTGCGCTACGTTGCCAACAAACGCCGAATTTCGAATGTGCTGTTCAGGGAGGTCGTGCAGGTGTCGGGACAGGGCACGCGAGCTGTGCTGGCTCGTGGGCAACGGGGTGGAGCTGGCGGAGGATGGCAAGGTGATGGGCTTCGGATGGGCAATCAGAGTGTCCGCGTGCACAGTGGTGGTCTGCAGTGGAGGAAAGGGGATGTGGCCAGGCGAGGACGGTGAGGATGGTGAGGATGGCGACGATCCAGGGGCATATGACGGCGGCGAGCCCCAGTCCGTATTCATGGCGACGATAGCGTCCAAGCTGTTGTTATTATTGGCGCCCGGAATAGGTCGTTGTGGCTTGACGGGGTCCACGTCCGGGATTGATGAAAGCGTCCGTCGAGGCGAAGCACTGATTGCGGCGGGACGATGGAGGGGACCGTCGCATTTTTGCTCGCTGGTTTCGTGGTCGAAACGGGCAGCGCCATGCCCGTTGCTGTTGCGACTCGAAGAAGAAGTCTGCGCCCTTGGCAATGTGCTCTGCGGCGTGCCTGTCGCTGGCGGTTCATGCGAAGCCACTGGTGCAGACTCGGAGCCTGTGGCGGCCTGCGACATGATCGGCGGCGCTGTTGCCTCAGCGGTGCAGCTACCGTCCGCAGCGCCACCAGCAGTGGTGCACTCGCCAATTGCTGCAGCAGAGGACGGTCTCGCCCGTGCGTCCTGGCATTCGTCGGCTGAGCTTTCGGGGGTCAGGAGGATTTGTTGGCGCGGCTGATGGCGAGATGCAGAATGAGATGCGGGAGAGAGAAAAGACGTCTCGGGACTTGAGGTGGTGGTGGTTGTGCTGGTGGAGGCAGTGGCAGTGGAAGGAGTCATGCGCGGCAGCAGGAGCGATGCAGATTGCTGGTGCTGGTGCTGGTGCTGAACCTGATTTTCGATCTCCATGTCCCTGTTGGCACCACGCGGCGCCTGCCCATGGTCCGACACTGGTGTTGACAGGGAATCCATCACGACGCTTGCAGACATGTCTCGAACGCGCTCGCGGTGGAGACTAGTCTAATAGTCCAACAAGCCTCCAAGGACCGCCTCGTATTTCGATGGCGAGTTGGGCGAGAATTTTCCCGACGCTGCAAGCAATCGGCCAAGCTTGTAAGATCAATCGTGCTATGTCGCAATCAACGTCGCCCTTGTAGGTCCGACCCTCTCCTTGCTGCTGGATCCTGATCGCAATCGAGACTGGTGGAGCTTTCGCAATGGCCGAGACATTTGGCGACGCCTGGTGTGGTCTTGACTCTTGGACAGACAAAGCTATCGCACCGGAGCTTTTAGCTGTGAGTGAGCAAGACAAGCAAGCGCCTGCCTAACGTTAGGCTGTTAGCCACGTATCGGCAGAATAAGAATTCACAGTGGCTGGGCCATGGAAGAAGAACACAAATGAGGTGGGCCTGGACGGCCAAAGCAAGAACATGCGGGTAGGGATGGTGGTCGATGAATCAAACGTGGCACACAGCGCGGGATGCACCTTGCCGTTCGTTTGATTGACAGCCGACGATGAAGGTTTCCGACGCCCGGGAAAAAGCATGCTTTCAGTTGCACGAGGCTTCTCTGCCGGCTGTCTCAGCTTTCCTCAAAATCGGTCGTGGAACGCCACGATCCGTACTATGTAGGGGCATGTTAGCCTGAACAGTGGACTATGGTACACGACGATGATGTCCACCATCACTTGACGACATCTGTTGGGTAATTTACCTACCTCTATCCGTACATATGTCTGCAGTGCCAACTTGGGCATGGATGCTGATAGTGTTCCGATGCAGCCAACCTGCAGCCGCAATCACGGTGCCGGCTCGATTCCATCCCTGTCAATCGCTGTCAGTTGATAACACCAGATTCCCAGACCGGTCAGCGACAATGTACGGTAGCAGTGGTTCCTCCAAGTTCCTCCAGCTTGGGATCCAATCTCCACACTTGGAGAATTCAGGTCCGCAATTACTTTTGTACCCATCGAAGCCAGTTGATTTGAACGATGCATCCTGTGTCCCTTTTCCAGACCGAATGCAATTAATGTGTGTCTCAAGACATGCGGTCCTGTCATGTTGGTCGGAAACGATGCGAACCTCGCGACCTTATTACCACAAGTGTTGAGCAGAGCCAATCAACTTACTCCAACAGGTGCTAGCGGCCGCTGTTGAGCTAAGGGACGCTTTGGGCAGCCTTTAGCTCAAAGATGTGGGTTGCACTGTTGCTCCCGTTTACCTATAATTAGCGATCTCGAACAAACACAGCCAGCATGGAGACAGCAGTTGGGCTCGTAATCATCTTCTTCGGTTACTGGTAATAGATAATTCCGATGTTTAATTGTTCCAAAGGGATTTTTTGGCTGTAAATGACTTTGGAAGAGGTCTAATAGTAGTAGTTGTGCTGAACACTGAGTTTCAACAACTCAGAAATGAGTACATGCCTCCAGCTTGAGTACATGTATACGAAACGAGGCTATAAAAACGGCTACTCTGTGTATAAGAACATGATTAGTCTCTCATTAATTGAAATCACAAAAACAGGATTCGATGCATTAATTCAGCAGTGAACATTTCACGACCTTTCTCCATCGTGCGCGTGACAATAGCGACATTGAACTCTGTCTGTCGGGTAGCGCAAACGGCGACGAGAGCTGTCCCGTGATGTTTTCGACAACCTAGAGCAGCAGTGCCAGCGCACGCTTGCGTGTGCGTTTAAATCTCACGATAGCTTCGTCTCGTAGCTGCATCTCTCATTGGGACGTGGAGACAGCTGGCAGGCGGTGTGCATTGAATACTTCGGCAAATGTCCGCGGTTTCCACCATTGGAGACGGGGGTTTCCTCCTGGGACCTGGACTGCTAACAGTTGAGGATACCCTCTCATGTGCCATACCGGGTTGCGTAGGAGTAAAGTTTCTTCGTACACGGCGATGGCAGTCGAGGACTAATTAATAGACGGACTAGTCTAGGCCTAGTACATGGTACGGGGCAGGGTCAGTTTGTTGAGGTTTGTGTCTGGTGGCTGTCAGCGGCGGGTTCAGCCTCCCCTGAACTAATCATGGGCAACATGCCACTTGATAGCATGGACTATCAGTGACTGCAATCGACAATCACTCTGGAGCTTCAAGTGGAGGTCAATTCTTGTCGGAGCGCAAGTGCATCTGATGATTACCATCTGACGCTTAAAGGTCCCTTGCATGGTTCCTAGTACGGAGTAAGGCAGGTCACAAACACTATCGGTATCCGCGCCGGGTGTGCGACTTCGGACCTGGCGTTAGGCGCAGAGCAGCACAGTAGCCTTCCCGTCCATGACAGAGAGATTCGACTGGAGTCTAGTAATCCAGCCCAAACTTGAGTTGCCTGGTCGCCCATCAACAGACCGAAACCGCACAGGTCACAGCTGGCCACGGATTATTGAAGTGTCGGTGAGTATTACATGTACCTGCGAACGTGGCGCCGGGGAGCCATGCTAGCTCTCGCGGCTGGCTTTGCAGATATCTAGCCTCACATGGTCCGTCGACTTGCCTGCTTTACCGTCTTTTGCCATCACATGGTCCAGGTCCGAGCAGCGCGTGCAGGTGAAGCTGCAGGCTCTGAACTGCAGGTCGAGAGTCTAGCTCGTCGCGCTCTTGGCTCTGGGGGAAAAACGGGGTTCAGGCTCTTCCAGGATGGATGGAGATCACGGAGACAGGCGGGCCACAAGGATTGCCATTGGCAATGAAATTTGAGCAACCCCATTGCGGCGAGGGTCAGGTACACACCGTGCGAGATCCCCGTCGCCTCTTATCCCGCGCCGCTTTCGGCAGCCGTCGTGGCGGAGCGTGCCCAGGCTGTACAGTGCTATCCTGACCACTACGCACGGTCGCTACATCCTGCCCCACCAACCGTCAGAAAAACATCGTGAAGTCCAGACTCCCCAAACCGGCGCCGCCGTCGGCGGTTGGACATTGCAAGCAAGCAAGTCCAGTCAGGAGCACGCACCTCGCCTCCTCGCCTCGTTCGTCTTCAACCATGGCCGACCCTCGCCAAATCATCATTTGACATGTTTCTTGTGTCACTCTGTCCTTGACACCACCTCAACAGCCCTTCACTGGCTTTCTCGTCGTCATTCGTTTCGTTATCACAACGCATTCGTCTCCCGCCCAGCTTCCTGCCCCGCCCACTGGTCGTCGTAAGGATCAGCACCATCGTCACTCTGAGAAAGCAGGAAACCCCTTTTGGTTCCCTCCCACGCCGTGTTGCGTGCTGACGGGTGCCTTTTTCCTCAATACTTTCGACAATTCCCACGCTCTTGACGAGAGGGGGGCAACTTGATCATCCATCTTTCAACATGGGGGAACCTCACGAGACAAAGCGGCGATTCGCCCCTGTGCCCATCGAGACCACATTCCAATCGAACCGCGCGACACAACGAGTTGGCCCTACCGCAGAGCTCACTCCTGAGGCCTCGCCCGTCTCGGCTACCCCTCCCACCCGCGAGTTTGGTGGCGAGCGTCGTCGGTTCGCTCCCCAGCTTATCGAAACATCACGTCGAGCGTATCGTGTCGGTGACGCGGGACCAGCGACCAAGCCTACCGACAAGACCGACATTACACCTTATACCAAGAATATCTATAATGCGACAAAGCCCAGGGGCCGGAGGAGGCTCGACTCGATCAACAGCGATGGCCCGTCCCTGTGGACCATGCCTCCCACACGGCGCGAGACAGAAGACCCCGCCGTTAAGAACTATCTCCTCGAGCTCGCGGCCAAGGAAGCAGATCGGCAAATTCAGGAGGCTGCGTTGGCAGCCTTTCCCAACAGCCGTGCACGTGAAGGTGGCGTGGCTCATTTCTACTATCGCGAGAGCTCTGGCAGCGATGAATCGCCAGAGGAAGCAGGCCTGCCAGCCTCGGAGCCAGCCAGGGACCACCCAAGCCGGTCGCGACGCAAGTCGTCAAATCTCGGGATGACCTGGTGGCATAAGCACATGCAGGATCATTACAAACAAAAGGGGCTGGACCGTGGTGACGAGGAAGCTGTAGTAGACACAGACGACAAGGATGTCAGAATGGTGTCCGATGCTGAGCTCGACAACATGGAGTTCACCATGCCGCCCGATGCATTGTGGACGACGAGTGGCAAGGCATCACCGGTGACTAGGAGGGATTCGGGCGAGGTTGCGGCGGCTCGTGCCGCCGCCGACGCGGCTCTGGGTGCGAGGAATGAAGATGCCGTGATGAGAGATGCGCCCCCACCGGTGATCACCAAAGCTCCGGAGCTGCCGTATCCCAAGTCGGCCTTTAATAAACCCGCAGCACAACCTGCGCAGAGTGTTGGACGACCGTTTGGACAATTTGCATACAAGCCTGATGCGTCGCAGCTCGCCAAAGCTAGCCAGCTCCAGTCGCCACCCATGCTGGGCAAGGACATTCGGTTCAGGAGGTGCCCGTCACCAAAGCTCACCAAATTGGAGCCCAATCATCCTTTCTTTCATGATCCCGATGAGTCGGGGAACCGAGATACGTCTGGAAAGGGCGGTCTATGGAACGGCTACTGCTTCAATTCTGGACGTGATGCGCCGAGGCCGGCACACCAAACTGGCCCGCGCATGCTCGCGACTCCGGCCGTTCCGGGCTCGCCGGCTGAGCCTGCCGACGCCGACTCAAGGTCAATTAGCGAAGAGCCCGCATCCCTATTTTCGACTGCTGGTTCTTCCATTGACACGGCGAGCTCTGCTGAGTATCGACTCAAAAATGGTCAAGTCCAGGGTCTGCATAGCGTCGACGAGCGACTGCGCCTGGAGAAGGCCGAGGCCGAGCGCAATGAGAAGATTGCGCAAGAGTTCAACGACGAGTTCATAACGCAAGTATTCAACTATCTCTCGCTCGGGTACCCAGCAACAGCCTGTGTCTTTGACGAAGAGCTTGCCAAGGTCAGCCACACCTCGATAGACGAACTGCGCTCTCAGGACGAGCAGCAGAACGCCAAGGGTCACATGTTAGAGCTCCAAATCGGCGATACAAAGGAGGAGGATAGATGCCCGAGGTGGCGGGCTCTGAAGACGTATATTCTCGAGTGGGCAAGGCAGCACCCCAACCTGGACAACCTCGACCCCCTGGCGTGGGGTGTCCGTGAGAGAAGGGGCAGTTGGGCCTTCTGAGCTATATCGTACACTCATGCTTACACCATTGCATTTCAGCCGGCGAGATTTCGACCTTGTTTGCGTCCTGTTTTCTATTTCATGGTTGGCGTTCACCTGCACGGCGCATTGTTGCTTGGCCCAAGGCCTCACATTTGAAGAGGTGGGACGGGAGAGACTTGGCATCAGCGAGGATCTCTCGCGGGAAGGAAAAAGACAGGAGCGCTCAGTTTTCCCCTTCTTACTTTCTATAAGACACGAACACAGATGCCTGACGTTGCTACCCTCTTTCATACGGCAGGGAAGACATACATAATCCAGAACTTTGGCTTGATGACTCCATATCCAGATCTAGACCGCAACGCCGTGTATACAATGTATGTACGTGAATGCATGCATGCAAAAACCTCCTCCCTTCTTCACTTTCTTTTGCCAAGCGCCTTGCCGACCTTCTGCACCTTGGCAGGCGGTGCCGCCTCGACGTCACTGTCCTCATCCTCGCCCATGGACTCGTCCACATCGTCGTGATCAACCTCATCCTCACCCAGCGACTCCTCGCCCTCCTCATCCTCGTCATCTTCCTCGACTTCATCGTCCTCCTCGTCGCTTGAGTCGCCCATGACGCCGTTGAGCACGGGCTCATCGTCCTCATCTTCCTCCCCAAGCCCCTTTCTCCCGGCGGCAATGCCATTGGCGGCGTCCTTCTCCCTCGTCTCGCCCTCAACCCAGACGACGTTCTCGTCCTCGTCATCCGAATCGTCCTCACGGATCGCCCCCGTGCGCTGCATCTTCCGTCGCATGTTCATCTGGCCCTCGAGGAGATCCAGCTTGCCCTTCAACGCGAGCAGGCTGTTCAGACCCTTTGAGCGCTCCGCTAGCACCTTTTGCAGTCCGCTGAGGTCGTTGATGACCTTGGGTTGCGAGGCGAGTGCACCGCCGTGCGCAATCAGCGTCCATTGCACCCACGTCATGAGCGTGCCGGCCCGACCAGGCCGTCTGTGTAACCGCGCCGCCAGCCTCGTCAGAAGAGTGCCCGCGAGGGTGCTGTCAATGTTCTCGATTGTGTTGCGAATGGTGTTGAGATCGGTGGTGTGAAGACACGACTCGAGGAGGTCGGTGTCGTCTGTTCGGAGCGCTTGTGTGAGGACGGTGGTGAGGGACTGGTGACTCGGGGGCGCAATGGCTGTGCGGGAACGTTGCGCTGCCGCAGCACCGGTCGTGTTTGCGTGGAGCATGGCCGTCACGTCGATCCCGTCGGCGTTGCTGCGGAGAAGCTCTCCAAAGGAGGGAGATGTCGCCTCTTCGTCTTCTGACTCGTCGCGCTCCTCAGCATCTGGCGTTGGCAGGTCGTTTGACTTGTTGCCGTTGACTTTGGGCGTGGCGCGTTTCCCGTTGGATTGTGCTGTCTTGTGCTGTTCCTCCCCCTCAACGTCGGACATGTCTTCGTCGTCATCGCTGTCGGCGTCGGAAGATATCTCTATCATCTCCTGTTGCGACGCCGACAGGAGATCTGTGTCTCCCACTGTGGCTTTTGACTCATCAATGGCGCTTCGGGCTCCCTTCTTGGCGCTCGCTTTGATTGTTGGGGGCGCCAACTTGCCGGGCGCTTTACGCTTGGTCGACATTGTGTGGATGTGGTAGCACTATAAGATATCGAGCTGGGTAGATGGTTTCTGGTAGGATGAGAGACCGAGCGTAAAAGCTTGACGCTGGGCTTCGATAAGAACGTCTGGCCAATGCTTTTGGCAATGGCTGGGGTGGAATTACTTGATCGTGGGATGCGCTTCAGTGCACTCCGAGTTGAACTTTTTTCGACCACCGGCGCTGGAACGTTCAGGCTGGGCGGTCTAACTTTTTTTCTGAGGCCCCACTGCAAATGGCGGCAGAATTGATGACATAAGCAGCAGGGATCTACGCGACCAGACGTAGATGGTAGGCACGTGACCCATCACCAAAATTTCCTACAGCAGATTTAGGTCGAGGCGTGCATACACTCCCACTACTTTGGTCACTAACCACCCAGATATTTTATGTGTCTCGGGCATGTCCAGGACAATCGGATCCAACATCATGTCAAGCAGCTTCCGGGGTTCCGATTTTTGCGCAGCTTGGTCATAGGCCGCGCTTGGTTGTCACTGCGCGGTCGTGCCCGACGACACCCAGCATCCAGCACGAAATCCAATACGGAAGCCCAACACAACAGTCGAGAGCAAACTTTGATCGTCATCTCGGCTGCGGATAAGTCTAGCATGACACCACCGCGAAAGCTGGGTCCAGTGGTCATGGTGGAACTTTCCTGCCCCCTCGGCCGGGTGCAGCGAGTATTGGGCAATCCGTATAACGTGACTTGTACTTCTGTTGTCTGCCCCGGAAAGTCAGAATCCAGGCCTGGGACTGAGGACTGATTCAAGGGCTCTGACGAAAGATGCCAAACATTGGAATCGAGTATTACCACTTGCCCTCGCCGTTCTTGCAGCACAGTTGCACCATGTTAAGGTTCGTGGGCTTGGGAGGCACGATAAGGTGGGAGTGGAACCCCTGTATGCAGCAAGGAGAGTTACCGAGCAAACGGGTCCCCCCAAATACCCACGCCCAGCCACTCCCTTGCTCCCATAAATACTCACGCGCCTCGCATGTCCTAATTGGAAGAACCGATTTCGCGTTTTTTCTCATCGCCGTGACGGACCCTCCACTCGCAACGCGCTTCCGACCGCACAGACCACGCGACTTACACCCGCATTGCGCGCACTACTGAACTGTAAGTACCTTTTTGCCGACGAGTTTTTCCGGAGGCTTTCATCTGCGCTCCAGCGTAGCACCCAAACAACAATTTCTCGCGATTCAGTGCAACTTCCACCAATACCCGCGCATTCCCTGGCGTCATTCGGCCTTCATTTACCAACGTTCACTTACTCACAACACGTTATAGTCTACTATTTTAATCAGCTGACCGAAACGAGCGGATTCGCTGTCTGGAACGAGCACATACGCGCTTGCGCATTTGTTGCGTCACTTCCCCAGGCGCATGTCGCGAAGCTAACGCGCATACCAACCCACCGACTATCTTCGCCAGCTACCACCCGTCGCAACCCACCGGAGCATCGCGCACAGGCGATTATCGATATCAACATCCTTTTGGGAGTTGCTCCTACACTCGGCACGGATATCACCGCGACCAGGCGACCTTCCGTCGCAAGTCTTGCGGATCACCTCACCTCTGCCTCACCGTGCACCCCCCGCCTACTCCGACTCATGTCGCGCTGATCGGTTTTCCATCCCACCCACACTCCAATACTTCACGACTGAGTCGTCACCTTTGTTGAGACACGATGACATCTGCGAGCCCAGACGCGCCGCCCGCCGTGGCTGGCGCGCAGCCCGAGGTCGCGTCGACGGATGCCAAGGCTGAGCTCAACGGGTGAGTGATCTTTCTCTTAGCCGCTCGCCGGCCGTGGATGCCCATCCCAAGTCTTCTAACACCACGACCACAGTTCTGCGCACAACGATAAGCTCGCCGCAACTCCGGAGCTTAAGAAAGCCACATCGCCTCCTGCTGTTAATGGTCACGGAAATGAGGGCGAGGAGGAGGTTAATGGCAAGCGCGAAACACCGGACAAGAACGAGCAGTCGGGCGACAAGGATATTGTGATAGAGCGCAGCGAGGGTGCCGCGGACCAACCCAAAGAGACTTCTGCGCCTACCAACATTGACAGCCCCAAGGATGTCGAGATGGAAGACACCAAGGACAATGGTACAAACGACAGCGCTGCCGCCGAGCCCTCCAAGTCCGCTGAAGACAAATCAGAAGTCAAGTCGCAGGATGTCGCGGACTCCATTGCGAAAGGGACGGATAGCGCTGCTGCCGAAGCCCGAAAAACCGATGACGCCCCTAAGCCCGACGAAGCCCCGAAAGCTGCCGAGTCCACCGCCCCCATCGAAGCGCCGGCTTCCTCGAATGACACGCACGCAGGACTGACCAAGACTGAGTCTGATCTCCAATCGGTCAGTGTCTCGCAACTCAACATCGATGCCCATGAGGGCGAATCATCCCCTGTCCAGCCCTCTGTGGAGGTGTCCATGTCGGACGCACCGCCTGCTGCCAAAGTAGCGCGTGAGCGCGAAGAGGACGACACCGACGAGCCTGCATCGAAACGAGCGAAGACCGAGCCGAAAGAAGACGAGGCTGCCCCAGAGGCACCTGCATCTGCAACACCGGCCACGACCACGCCTGCGCCTGTGCAAACTGATGCCGCCCCGGTTGCGATACGACCCAGCGATGGACTCGACCTCCCATTGGCGACTTTGCCACATTGGAACGACGAAGCTTGGTTGTCCAAGAAGCTCGAGTCCCACCAGCTGCGGGGTGTGCGCAAGTCCCTGGCGCGTGTCAAGAAAACGAAGAATGGTAACAACTTTCGCGATTCGGTTGAGCGTCTTTGGCCTGGGCTCTGGAGCAAGTATTTGGCACTGGTTGAGAAGCCTATGGATCTTTCAGAGATCGATCGCAGTCTGCGCGATGGCCAGTGCACGACATTTGCTGGCGTTCGCAATTCCCTCCAGCTTCTGCTTGAGAACTCACGCGCCTTCAACGGTCCTGACCACTACATGACCGTAGCTGCAAAGGGTGCCATTCAGTCAGTGTGGGACGACATGATGATGATTCCCGAAGAAGAACCTCAAAAGTCGAAATCGGCCCCGAAAGCGAACCGGATGAGAGAATCGCGCAGCTCCCTGACGAAGGAAGAGGCCGATGGCATCACCGCCGCTCAGGCGAAGACTGCTGACACGCCCAAGCACGTCGCTACCGCTGTTCCTCCACGAAGGGCGTCTTCCAACATCGATGCAGACCGCCCCAAACGCACCGTTCGCCCGCCGAAGCCCAAGGAAATTGACTACGGCTCCAAGCAGTCACGCCGCAAGTTGAAGCCTGAGCTGCAGTTCAGCGACGAAGTGCTGTCGGAACTGATGAGCCCCAAGTATCACACCCTGAATCAGTGGTTCATGGAGCCTGTGGATGCCGAGGGGCTTGGCATCCCACACTACTATTCTATCATTACGCACCCCATGGATTTCGGCAAAATCCAGCGAATGATTCACGAGGGCGAAATTCACAACACTAAGGAGTTTGACAAGAACGTCCGCTTGGTCTTTAGCAACTGCTACAAGTTCAATGGCCCGCCAGTTGCAGGCAGTGTTTCGGCTCTCGCCAAGCAGCTGGAGGATATCTACACTGCGCAGATGAAGAACAAGGATGCTTGGATGGCCAAGCAGGCCAAGGCTGCCGCTCCTCCACCTTCCAACTCCGCCGCTAGTGACGAGGAGGACGAAGATGAAGATGACGATGCCGGTGTGGAAGACTCTGGCGCTGTCGCGAGCATCACCAGGGAGATCAAGGATCTTGACGCCCGGTTGCGGGAGGAAATGGCCAAGCAAGCCAACCTCTTCCAAGCTGACGACCCCAACCAAACCATGATTGCTGTTCAGGGCCAGGTGGTCACCATGGTGCAGCAAGCGCTGCTAGAAGCTAAGCGCAAGCTGAATGAGGCTAAGCAGAAGGGCGGCAGCGGCAAGGCCAAGAAGGCCAAAGCAACCAAGGGGAAGGGTGCGGGAGGTGCCGGGTCTCGCAAGTCAGGAGGCCCAGCTACCACTAAGAAGGCCTCTGGGGCCAACCCCAAGAAGAAGAAGAACCTATCGGCGGCCGACAAGGATAACATCGCCAACGCTATTAACGACCTTGAGGGCTCACACCTTGACAAAGCTATTGACATCATCAAACGCGACACTGGTCAGATGGTAAGCATTGCTCGGCCCTGACTTCATCATTGCATTAGTGCTAATTGAGACAACAGGAGAGCGAAGACGGTGAGCTTGAGCTGGACATTGACCAGCTCAGCACCGAAGCATTGTTGAAGCTTTGGGAGTTGTGCAAGCGAGTTCTGCCCGGATTTGGCAAAGATCCAGTCCACCACCCACCCTCTTCGCCAGAGGCTGCTCGCCCGGCGGTTGCGGCGGCGTCAGCTGGATCGGCCAAGGGAGCCCCGAAACCCAAGAAGAACAAGCCCATGACAGCTTCTGAGCAAGAGCGACGTATTGCAGACTTGCGCAAGGTCGAGGCTCTGTACAAGGAAGGAGGCGACGCGGCGGAATTGGCTCGCGCTCAAGACTCCTTGAATGACCACATGGCGGTCGATCAAGACGAGTCCAGCGACGACTCCTCTGAAGAGGAGTGAAGCACCAGCGAGCTTTGGGGAGGCTGCGTGTGTTTGACGGCAGGAATTCTGCCTTTGTTACGTTCAGGACTAGAACATTCTTTGGATCAAGGGGGTTTCCATGGGTGATGACTGACTGCCCTGGGCAGAGACACATACACCCTGGGTGGGGGGGTTGACAACGGCTACATCGACAATACCTCCGTCTGCTTGCAGAGCGAGACGGGTCGATTCGACGAAGAAAGGCAACCCGGGAAACGGAACTTGCTATGCTATAACTGATGACGTCGGCGTTATGCGGAGCGTTTTGCTCTCCTGAATGGGGGAAAAAGTCGATCAACTTCAGGGAGAAGGGACCATTTCGGGATCGGAAGTGAGAGGGAGAGGGAGAGGAAGAGGGAGGGGAAGAGTGACTGACTGTACGTTAGCTGCGGGGAGACTGATGGGAGGATGATACCGAAAGCACGAGCCGGGCGACTCGACTTATGAAAGTGACCGTCGTCTCGTGTGTAATAATACTACTCCGAAAGCCGCCAGTCCGAGTGGCGAATATGATGCCGTCTCCTGTCCCCCATTGCACAGTGGAACTCTTTCCGTCCGCGGGCATCACGAAGCCCCTGCGCGGATTGGCACGGGCAGCCTCCTCCTCAGGCGTCGACAGATCTCAACATACATGCCCTCCCCTTCCGTGTCCGCCGTGACATGGCCATGCCTAATCAGAAAATCGACCATGACAGGACACACGTTGGGCTTGAACTCGCCATCGACCATGCGCTGCTTCATCTCCTCCACATCCATGAGCACAAATTCCTCCACCTCGTCATCGCCCGGGCTCGGGACCACGTCCGCCGGCAGTTCCATGTCGTACACGTACAAAATCTCGCTGTGGAACAGACCACTCTTGGGATTCCGGTTGGCGAGCGTGAGCACGCCCGTCGCCTGGGCCGACCGGTGGACCAGTGACGAGGGGAGAGATGCCTCCTCCATGGCCTCCGCGAGGATGCAGCTCGTCGGGGAGTCGGAGGCCTTGACGCCACCGGCGACTGTACTATCGAGCTTCCCCGGGTGGGAGTAGAGGTGCTTGCTGCGCTTGGCGACCCAGATCTTGAGATCGCCGTCCGCCTCGGTGCGGGTGTAACAAGTCATGTGGGCGCCTCTGGTGGCGATGCCGAACAAAGGCGCCGCGAAACGCTCGAGCTGCACAATGTCATCCTCGCCTGTGGCACCGAGGATGCGAAAGGGCTCGCTGTGGGTTTTGTTGAGGTTAGGGAAAGTGTTAGCTTCGATGGCAGAGTCGACGACTTGTTGTAGGGCGGCGTTGATGTGCTGTGTGGGTGATACGCCAGCGAGGGGGCCGTCGAGAGTCACGGTGCGGTTGTCGTGGGAGACGGTGAATGTAGGCGGTAGTTTGAGCTTGGAAAGGGTCGCGGGATGGATGTATCCGTGAGGGAGCTTGTATGATGGTGAGAGGAAGAGGCCATAGTACGGCTCATGGCTCACGGCAGAGAAGTCCAACGGGACGCTTGGATAGGTGAACAAAATCAGCCAAGCACAGGGGTGGGAAAGGCGAACGGCTTACTTATCAACCTTGTCGATCAAATCGAGGAATCTGTTTGCACTCATGATGTAGAGATTTGGCTACGCGTGGTGCTTTGTGAGAGTTGCGAGTTGCCCTTGTGTGAGGAGGTGGGTGGGTGAGGAGACGACCAAGCCTGGTGGGGGCTGTCTAGGAGAGATCCCTACGGACTACCATTGAGCATCTTAATGAGTTCTAAGAACAGCCAGTCCTTTCTTTGACCTCTATATCTAGTCAAGTATTTGATTCTGGGCGTGCCCAGTTTCATTTTGGATCCATTATCACCTAGCACATGTCGGCCACTGTGAGTTATGCTGCCTCCTCCTCCAAGCCCATCGCTTCTAGGGTATTTTCCAACACTGCCCGACAACGCCGTCTATACTCCAACGCCAGTCGCTGATTCCTTGTCAAATCCCCCTCTTGACCGTCTACAAGCTCCACCTCCGTCTCTTCCAATCTCTCCAACTCTTGCATTACCTTGTGCTGAATGATACCCATGGTATGCTCCAAGTAGGCATGCGCCTGGGAGCCTTGTTTGACATCGCCACTAAAGAACTGTCTCTGCCTGGCCACTTCTTGTTCCTCTAGGGTTGCGGCGTCGCTGGGCATTATCTGAGCCCTCTCCTCCGGCTGACAAAGGGTGCAGAAAATGTCCCACACCATATCTGGCTGTACATGCTGGAACGTGCCGATGATGGACTTTCCCTCGGGTAGCTCCACCGTCAGTTCTTGCCGGTAACGACCAAGAAGTGAGCTGGAATGGGCCATCGGGCGCCTTGAGATGTAGTATTCCTCTGAGGCACTTGGTGAGCTCGTTCGCTTACGAACGTGCGTGTAGTCGTTGTGCAACTCCTCCGTGGGCGGGATCATGAAGCCATACCCGAGCAGGAGCTCAGCGTTCGTCTTCATGCTGTAGTTGTTGAAGACCTGCTGGCCTGGCTGGAAGCTGCGCCCAACTCTGAGCTCGCATGTGTTGTGAGGTTTCTGTTGCAGTTCCCACCGCACGTCTAGCGTCATGTCGTGATTGCCAATGTCAAACAACGGCAACAACACCGAGAAGTCGTTGATGCCGATGCCGTCTGGAAGTCGCGTCTGCTCTTCCTCCGCTAGCACGAGGCTCGGCTTGAAACTCCTGCTTGAAAAAATGCAGTATGCCCACTGATAGAGTTTCATACTGATTTCCTTGTCTTTTTCATCGCCGTGCTGCTTTAGGAGAGCAGCTGCAGCTGCGTGTTCTTTGCGAACATCGGCCCTGATCTTCTCCAACCCAACCTCGACATTCGTGCCCTCCAGCAGTTCAGCATCGTCTGTAGGCCAGAACGGCGGGAGACACCAGCTGTCCTCATCAGCTGGCTGCGGTAGTGCCTGGATGTAGGGCCACCAGAATGAATCCCTGCCTAGTAGGTACTGTTTGGCGAGGAAGAATCTGCCAATGACATGAGGTGGCGTTTGAGAGACGAATTCAGCTGGGAATATGGGGTTCGAGCTGGCCGCGTGAATCACATCCAGGTATGATAGCGAGAGTCTCGTCGGCAAGCTGACAACTTGATCCCAGGCTGGCAGGGGATTTTCACTGGAAGGCTTGACGCGGAACGAGAATCCGGTTGTTGGATCATCGTACACCTCGACGGAGGGATGCAAAGTTGCACCGTGGTCGGTGGACCAATCAACCAGTGCTTTAATGTCTTCCATGAGGGATGTGCTTTTGGTGCAGGAAAAGAGCGACTAGGTAAAAAATAAGGTTGGTTTGCTGTCGAGGATCTACAGTTGCTTTAGAAAGACGTTGATCCTGCCCCTCCCCCACCATGACGTACCAGGAGGGTTGTTGCAGGGTAGTCAGATCGCGGGACTAACATAGCCATAGACTCATCATCAGTAAAGTAGGCAGCTTCTTCACTATTAGATTATGGCAAACAGTGAATACAGAAAAGAATTGGCGGAACTCTATAAGAATGCTCACCCTTTTAACCAAAGCCCTCCCAGGTTATCTTTTTCAAAAACGCCGTCCAAAGTTCTTCTCAGTGGAAATCAGCTTCCACCCTTCCATACCTCACGCCGTCCACCTTGAGCTCAAAACCCAATCCAGCGCTGTCGACAATCATCTCCAGCGTAAAGTCCAGGTTGTCAAATTCCACGCCTCTGGTCGTAGTCAAACGGGTGAACAGACTCCTCGGCACAGCGTTGAGATCTGTCGTCAGTGTGCAGACGTGGATCAGGTCGCGCGTGTACGCCGCCGGTGGCTCTTCAGCATCGCAGGCAATCAAATCGTCCGTCACAATGAGGGACTGTCCAGGTCTGAAGTTGCGCGTGTAGTGGAATGCAATGGGCGCGAGAGGCGATAATGATTCCCCCTAGACAAGTTAGCCTCGCGTAGACACTGTGGCCAGACAGAATACTGACCTTGGCAATGTGCCACTGCATCCGATCCGATACCATCCACCGCTCCCAGAGCGGCGACCAATATCTGTCTGTCACGGAATGCCGGTCCTCGTCATATACAGTCGCATAGGACGTCCCATAATGCATCCTCGACTTTCTCGAAATGACCATGTTGCCCTCTAGCCCCCGCAAGACCGCACCCCGTACCACGGCCGTCCACGCGTAGACCGGCTGCATGACCTCTATCGACGAGGCCTCCTGCAAAGAGTTGACGTTGGCGTGCGTCGGTCGCTCGCTGTAGGGCGGCGGGGCCGCGTTGTTGAAGTGGCTCTTCAGCCGTCGGTACAGGTAATCGCTCTGTCCAAAACCACCCACGAGGACGATGCCGGAGACAATGCCGCCCTTGGCGCGCAGGCCCTCGACTTGACCTTGAACCAGATCCGTGACCTCTTTCACCACCGGTTCGAATATGTCCTTGATCTGCGGCGCCGTCATCACCAGGAAGCCAGAGTCGAGGCCCGCCTCTTCGTCGTCGGCCAGGCCGGGAAATCTACACGCGGTCAGTTAGTCTCGCAGACGCAGATCTACCGCGCAGCACACGTACGGAATGTTAACCTCCTGATGCTCATCCTCGTTGAAATTACGTTTCACAAACTCCTCGAAATATCGCAGGCCCATCTGCCACGTCTTTCCCTTCTTTTTCTTCATGTCGTCGAATCTAGTCTTTCCAAGGCGGTGTCGGACGTGCTCTTCAAATCTATAGTTGAGGAATGCGCTGCCACATAGTCCACCGGTACCGACGGCGGACTCCTCCACCCTCAGGGGTTTCAGTGAAATGATCTTGTAGGCGATCAAGCTGTTCGCACGTTAGCATAGGCTCGTCAAAGAGATTGGCTCGCAGTTCTGGCTTACTCGACAGTTCCGCCACCTGCATCGCAGACGATAAAGTTGTCCCCGACGTTCAAGTGGTTCGGCTGTATCGCCTTCAAGGTATACACTGCTGCGGCTTCGGGCTCGCTGATCATTTGGAGATCAGATCGGCTACCCATGCCTGCCCTTTCTGCCGCCTGCAGTGTGGTGTTCTTCGCGGCATCACTCCAGACAGCCGGACAGGTCAAGACAAACTCGACGCGTGTCGACGCCATGAAGGACTCTCCGTACCGTCGGGTCAATGTGTCCATGGTGTGCTTGTAGATCTGGGTCAGGTAGTCACTGACCGCATCGACGACATTCTTGTTGAAGCGCTTGAGTTGAGAGGCCGTATCTTGCGGGCTCACGTAGAACGGCAGCTTCTGTGAGCGGTCGAGGAAGAGCTTGATGCAGCGCAGGCGTGACTCCTCTGGCTTGAACTGGAACCCCCATTTCACCGTGGGGTCCGCGTCTTCCGGTGCGTCTGGTAGGTAGTTATAGGCAATCTCGGTCGGCACCTTGTCCGAGGTGATGCCATTGCCACCAGGCCAAGTCTTGATAATTTCAACATCGTCGGGTGTCGACGTGTACACGGCAGCGACGCCTGAGAACGTGGTCCCAAAGTCGACACCAACAATGAGCCGGTCGCTTACAGGGGGCAACTCTCGTGTTGGTTCCCTAACCGGTCCGTTGATTGCTTCCGTCGAGCTTGGCGGCGTGTAGCTTTGGAAATAATTCCGGCTTTCCTGGTTCCTTCTGCTCGGCGTCGGCGAGGCCACGGTGGTACTCGTGTTGGAGGTCACGGGTCTCAAAGGGAGATTCAGGCTCATTTTGAAAGGGCGAGGCGTCGTCTCTGTCTGGCGTGGGAGGGATACGAATGCGGTCGATCCACGCAGTAGTTATCAATGTTGCTGCAGTGCTGAAGTCCTGATGTCCTGCGGGGTTGTAACTTGCCGCCGCTGGATGCTGATCCCCAGATTTCAGAAAGCCTATTCTTAAGACACGTGGGCACAATCTTGAATCCTCTCCAGGACCGACAGCAATCGACTACTCAAGAGACGATTCCTTGCGCGAGGTCAGTCCAGTTGCGAAGATGTCGGCGAGGCCGGCAATTCCACCCGTCATGAACTGAATGGAGTCGCCCGCATGTGAAGCCGGGGCGCGCACCTCGGCGCTGTTGACTTGCCTGGAGTTGTTCGCGCACCAGTCGTAAAGATATGACGTCCGCAAATGGTCGTCTTGCAGAGTCCACGAAAGGGGTTCGTAATTGTTTTCTGTGCTGTAGTGGGTGCGTCGTGGTCGAGCAAAGGTCTGGAGTGCGATTCGGAAGGACCTCTGGAACTTGACGCGTCTTGGAGCCTAGGCTTGCGCTTGACGATGCTTTACACCTTTTGAGGTCTTGAGCACGCAGCCTTGCTTGGCGTTGTGTCGCAAGGCGTCCTAGAGCTGAGCTCGCTTTCTCGAGTCCACGTTTGAGGTCTGACGATATTGATCGACTGGCCGGCGGGGGATTGGTAATGCGAAGCTCTCCCAAATTCACGATGCGCCTGGCGTCTGAGAAGAGCCGCACTCGAAGGAACCGATGATTAGTTGGGGCTCTGAGAGTGGCAGCGGCGGGAATGGCGGATCTGTTGCAGTGACAGTTGACCTATCTGGAAAGGCGCATGCAGGGCAAAGATTGAAGTATCCGATGGCGTCCAAGTTCAACTGAAGCGGGCGAGGGGCAAGCGACTGGAGGTTGAAGTCGCTGGCGGATGGTGAGAATGCAAGTATGCGGGGTGCCTCCGACTCCAGTCCGACTTCTATCGATACAGTACCTAATAATTACTCCACGTCCCTGGCCCGTTTGTGTCTGCTGCCTGCCCTCTTTCGTCTCCAGCTACGGTCACTACTGCACGTCTGACATTGCGTGCGCGAATCGGCTGGTAGCCAAGCACCTGCGTTGACGGTTGCCTAAGCAAGATTCTGGTACAATTTGAATGGCTCAGACTTGGCGATCAACCCTGAGCCCTGTAGCCCTGCAATCGAAAAGTACCTTTGGACAGCTTACGCACGCTATCAATCTATCCAGTCAACTCACCCTCAAGACATCAAGCACGCAGTGGAAAGAAATTGGACGAGGTGTGACGACGATTGGGTCGCATGTATTCAAGCTCCTCTCCTCGCCAAGGGACACCTCCCTGCTCTGCTCTCAAATCGCTGATAGACAGTTGAGCGACCCCAATTACAAATATAGATCCGAACCGCCCTCTCGTCCACTTCCTGCAAGGGGGTTGGTGTAGTATAGTATATAAATGCCGTAAAGATTGGAAGAAACATATGTGCCACCTTGGACTCCGGTATCCAAATTCTGATGAACCACCGTCTGACATAGGAAATCTTTGTTTGCTGGTAAAACGCCAAAGCTGGCCGTGTGCGAATGGGAGGAGGTCAAGAACGCTCACTCCTCCCGGTCTATCAAAAGGGTATTGCTCGCTGAGGCCTGATGAACCACGAGTAGGGGGAAAATAGACAACAACGATATAGCAGGGCACAAAAGCTCCGCTTCGTGAGCCTGGCCGGGTATTTTGAAAGTATCTGATGGGCGCTGAATCGAAGGCATAGAGTGGGTGGTAGAAATAGCGGGCAAGACAATCGTCGACTGACTGTTTGTCGCCCGCATCAAATGTGAAAGAGTGACGTGCGTGGCCATGTGAAAGACAAAACACCAAAACACCGTGATCATGCAAAAAATGTACAACTTGGAGCGCACCATGGCGCGTCCACACTGTGGCGCAGACTTAGAACCTGCTCCCAGCAGCCCAGATGCTGGCCGAGGCAGAGGCTGCCCACTCGCTCTCCTCGTACGGCGGTGTCGGCCACTTGCTCTGGCCAGCGGCGGGCTTCTTGCCGAGATCTAGAGGTTTTGGTCGTAGCGCCTCGTTGCCGTCTCCAAATAGGATTTGATTTCCACCGGCGGACGGCGATGGCGTAGGATATGGGTTGCTGAGCCCCAAGTTACTGGCAGATTGCCGAAGAGCCTGGCTGTTCTCGCCGCTGTTCATGTGTTTCATGGCAGTGTGCGTGGACGTCAGGACCTCATCGAGCAACTCGTCTTCCTCTGCCGGGGCCTCGTACTGCTGGACGCCTTGAGCAGCCTGTGCTCGTCGTGTCCGGCTCGAAATGGGCCCTCCACTGCGGGCAGCACCCAGAAGGTTGTCGACAGAGCGGTGCTGTTGCTGGGGCAGTGAATGGTGACGCTTGAGCCCGCCACTAGGTCCTGCCTGGTGCATCGGGGGGACAGATGTCTGCGCCTGCTGTGTATCGAGGTTGTTCTGCACATTGCGTAGCTTCATGTCCAAGGAATCGTACATGGCTCCTTGCTGTTCCAATGTGATCGAGGACCGGTTGCTGCCAGCCCAGGGCGCACAGCCAGCTACAGCCTCAACATCCTCGTACTGAGGCGAAGATGGGGTCTGATGACGACCCGAAAGCCGCCGGGCTCGCTTGCGAAGATGGGAAAAGAATCCTTCCTTCTGTCCACTGGGGGGCGACGCAAGGCCAGAGTTGCCGTTCAAGGCACGCTCGGCTTGTTGGCGATGAATCTCAGCGTAGTGGTTAGTGCTGGAGTTCACTGAAAGCTGGCGGCCAATCTTTTTCGACTTCTCCTGGCCAGCAGCTGCCTCGGCTGCGCGGAGGTTGGCGCGGGCGTTTACGTCAGCTGAAAGGGGCGAAATGGGGCGAATGGACGGCAGAATTGGCATCGGAGCCATGTTGGAGACCCCGTTGGTCCATGTGCTCCGTTTGCCGGCTCCAGTACGTTGGATACCGGCGGAGATCTCGGTCTGTGTGGTCGATTGGAGAGGTGCAGGGCGAGCTGCTGCGCTCTCCTTCGACTGGGCTTGGTTGGCGACAAGCTCGGGTGGTTCAGTGCGCCCAATGAGTGACTTGCGGAACCAGGAAGGTTTCGATGATGGGACAACCGGAGTAGGGGTAGAGCCACGGGATACAAGGTCAGACTGCTTGCGGCCGAGAACACGCGAGGCGGACGACTTGGGCCTCAGCGGGTCGACAGCATCGGCGAAGTATTCGTGGGCGAGAGCCTGTGTCGAGGTGGGGCGATTCTTGGGGTCCCAAAGCAAGCACCAGGTGACAAAGTGTGCCAGCTCGCGTGGCCATTGAGGAGCTTGCAGGATAGTCTCCATCGAATGGGGTGCCATCTTTGGGAACGAGAAGCCCAGCTTGCCCGCCAACCTCGTGCCTTCACGCCAGTCGCCACCGCCAACTCGACTGCCGGACTTGCTGTACCAGTTGCCGGGGCTGCCCATTATCTCGCAGACCCTCCAGACCTGGTCAACTTCGTTGCCGCCAGGGAACAGTGGCTTCAGCGTAGCGACCTCGACAGCCATGGCACCAACGGCCCAAATGTCGACTGGCGCCGAATACTCTCCGGCTCGGAGGAGCACTTCAGGAGCACGATACCATCGAGTTGACACATAAGTTGTGTAAGGAAGCTTCGAATGTGTTTCACGGGCCAGACCGAAATCGGCGAGTTTGACTGTATATGTCGGTGGTGTGGATGGTGGTGTGACGAGGGCTGAGTAGCGTCGGAAAGCAGTCGATGGTTCGTTGTACGATGATGTCGAGACGAGGATGTTTTCGGGTTTGATGTCGCGGTGGAAAAAGTGGTGCGCGTGGATGTGCTCCAAGCCTTGCATGATCTGGAAAAGAATGCTCTTAACGCTGGCGTTGTCCAAGCACTTGTGGTCGCGGGCCTTCATCAGTTGATAGAGGTTGCCTTCCATGTACTCCATGGCGATATGGAGCTTCTTGGTGTACGGGTCGAGAAAGATGTCTAGAGCTGGTACGAGATGTGGGTTCGCAGGAAGCGTCCGCAAGAAGACGACTTCGCGAAGCTCCAGGCATTGCGAGAATGAGCCGAACGTCTTTTTCATGGATTTGATAGCAACCTGGACAAAAACGTTAGGACCGACCAAGCATGGAAGTCGTCGGGAATTAAATCCAAAGCACTCACCACTGTACCGCGGCGGGCAACGTTCGCTCCCGCGGTTCGAACTCGCGCCAAAACGACACTACCAAAACTACCGTCGCCAATTTCCTTGAGCACTTCGAAACGGTCCTCGAGTGCGACATTGTTACCGTGGGATGACCCACGGTTTGAGGAGTCGCCGGCGACTGTCATTGTGGAGTGTTGTGCTGAGAGAGACGCGTCGGGTCTGTGTTCCTTCGCTGGTATTGACGTGCAGTCCAGTGCCCGAGGGATTGAGCCAGCAGTCAAACTCGGTGCAGCGATTCGAGACACAGCGCGACCGCGAATAAGAAACCCACAATCAGCGTAGATTGTATTACAGGGCGATGCTCTTCAGAAGAGCGCGTGAATCTTTTAACGGAGCATCCAGGTCGAAGAGTGTGCGCGTATTCGGTTAGGTGCTTCTACGCCAGGCGGGACAATCCAAATCCTAGCAGGGTTCGCTGAGTAAGTAGATGATAGGTCAGGCGCTGGCTGTGATTCAAGATAATAACAATAGCAAGCGGTCAGGTCGGGATGGATGTGTCGTGTGTAGGAGTATCCAGTGTATGTTCAAGATGGGGGATAATGAAGGAATGAATGACTGGAGGTGAGTGGGCGGTGGGCTTGTGGTGAAGAAGAAAGCTGGAAAAGGAGAATGGAGTGAGCGGACAGGCGAGGACCTGAATCAGACGGATGGAGCTGCCCAGTGATTAGTACTTTGGTAAGGTACGGAGGACAGTGGTAAAGGGGGGCGGGCCGGGCTGTCTGACAGGTACCTCCCGCTCGGTCCCTGGGACTGGGTTGCTCTTTCCAAAGTTACCACCATGGTTCCCTGAGGGCTGAAGCCAGCCTGAGCGGATCCATGTGGGGCTCCAGCACTATTCAGTCACGTCGAGTCTGTTAGGCGGCGGGGCCACAGGCTCTCTCGGACGTACACCACCACTGTCAAGGACTGGCGGCCAGCGCTGGCTCCAGTCGTTGGTGGTGAGTACAAGTATAGTAGGACTGAATACATCATGTGCTGAGTTTCCTCTTCCTGGAAGCAGAGTTCGAGAAGGTGCGGCACTGCGAGAAAAGCATCGATGCGCGGGGTGTGTACTACCGTGTTATGCAGGCCCAACTGGGCTTCATTTGTTCACTAACAGCTGCCCACCATGTATTAGCGTCTCAAACACTCTTCCAGTCGGTTGATATCCACAACGTTATTTGTGAGAATGAAAAAAAATTAGTCGCTGTCTATCAGTGTCTGAGCTTCAGCAAATCTTCATCGTTCTGCACCAACAAAGTCCCTCCATCCACTGTCTCTGCAAGTCCAGTCCCCGCAGCCAGTCATTCCCGGCGGTGAAATGAGTCTCGCGACAAGCCCCCAAGGGTCGCCTGACGGGGGCGCAAAGGGGCCCTAATTCACGGGTCTCCCGTCCTCCGCGCAGTACTTGAGACCCCTTCAAGGGGCGAACCAATTTTACTAGTGGACAGGGATGCATGGGAGAGTCAAATTGCCCAATTTGCCTACTGCCAGTGGGGCCAGCAAAAGGAAGTCAAGGAACAAGAAGAATTGAAGCGGGACCTGGAGCTGGGATAACGCAGGTACCGACCCCAATCGGCGCAAGCTCTGTTCCTTTGACCTTTTCGGGCGAGGGATCAGGCTGCTGCTTGCTGCAATAAGTAATACTGGTCATCATGCAGAGGATCGAGCCGCATTGCCTTTGGTACTGGGCAGAATGGCATGGCATATCACATCGAACCCAAGCATTAGCATCAACAGCGCGGAAACACTTGTGCGACTGTCGACCGTGTGACGGTGATGGATGAATCCCACCGTGATATCCGAACCTCAGACTCTTCTGATGCCAGCTCACGCCACAGAGCCAAGGCTTGCCAGGGTCGGATAGTCTCCCATTCGACGGGACCAATTCCCCGTGATGGTCTAAGCCAGATCAAGCCGGAGGAGCCGACAGCAATCAATCAACTCCTTGGATAGCGAAAGTGTCTGTGGGGATCATTTGGAAGTCACTTCGCAATCTTTTACCTTGCGAGTTGGTCGCAACGGCAACAGGCGCGAGCACGAACTCCTGGGGCCACAGAAACACCCCGCCAGCGGGCAACTCGTTTTGGAGCCCAACGAGGGCGTGAGAAAGACCTGGGTTTCAATTGAAGAGGGGGGAGGGAGAGCCGAGGCTGGCTTTCATAGCTCACAAATGTCTCGCGATCGTCTCCGGAGTGAAGAAGCAGCTACGGATACCCATCTCAGAGGTTGTACTACGTACGTACGGAGTAGGGAACGCGTCAGGGCCGTCCATTGTGCTGGGGTCAGGTCGCGAGAATTTGCCACTATGCTCGCTCCCTGATGATCACATTCACGCCGTGCCGCGCATTGACGTAGCTACTGCCACATTGGCACACGCGTCGCGCGTCCTGGTGCTCCCTGTAACAAGTATACAGGTAATGTACGAATCAGCCACACAGCCACCGACAGGCCGACAGCCAGTCAGACGGTTCGGAGGAATGCAGAGCCAACGAAGCTCAGGCTTTGCTTGCTCGAGATCACATGACGCTTGTCCCAGGGTCGTGGCCAGAAACTCAATTACTGTGTGAGTCTGCGCACAAGCATTTCGCGATTCACGGTCCCTGACTCCCTCGTGGCAGGCTGGCAGCTCAAGTATTCCACTCGTTCTTCTGCTTAAAAAAAGCAACATCAACGGTCCTAAAAGCTTACCGCACATCATCTGCAAGGGTGCCGAGCTGCATTGCTGCATTGACAGGCAGGGTCATGCACGGGATCGAGCCCACGGGCGCGGTCGACCGCCGGAAGGTTGAAACATGACGCCCTCGTCGTGATTGAAAGCTGCCCGCCATCAAGGGCTTTCAGGGCTTTTGTGCAAGTCCAAAGGGTCCAGCACAGACACCAGCGTCCAAACGCATATCATCCTGGAGTTGACATTAGCTGCGTTTTGGCGCTCGATAGTCGCGGGCGCTCTAGGTGCCTCAGGAAGGCAACGGACCGCGCCGCAGCCGCCCCCACCTGTGAAGTACGTTAGAAGTAGGCGTATGCGTCAGGTTGTCCGTTGACGGTTGGCGTACATCTGAGTGAATATCGCACAATGGCGCAGGAATAGCAAGAGTGATTGTTTCTCATAATAGAATGAATACCAAGATAGCTTGGTTTCCTGCTCAAGTTCAACAATAAACAGCGCAGCGCTTGAACTTGCGTGGGCCACGATAGGTGAGCCCATGAAAGAGCGGTGAGCGGCCTACCCGGTACCGGCGTTCTTGTCACAAATCACACTCTAGCTGTCTTGGTTGTGATGTCCGCTCTTGACGATATATTGCTAAGTGAAAGCATGGCTCAAGTCTTCTCATGTGTCTACGGGGGAGGGAGTTGGGGTGTGACCATGTATGAACCAGCATTGTTGTTATCTGTCAGCCATACACGAAAGCATATTTAGGTATCTCGTTTACTTTCATGAGGAGCTTTCTAACGTTCAGGCTAATGATTAAATTCTGTAGCACCCAAATTTTGAATGTGTTAAAATTTCAGCGCTTGGAAATTAGAAATATTAGCGAAACAGATTACTGATGTGCATCATGTGATGTAGTGAGCGTGCATCTCACGAAAAACAACCTGCCCGTAGAGCTGGCAACATGCAAGTAGAGATTGGGCATCAGGGCATGAGTGCCCAACAGAGCGGTTCAACGGAGCATCTCAAGATGATATATCGCTGCATTGCGGGGAAACCATTGATTAATGACCAGACATGTCGTTTTAGTCAGGACCGCATACAGCGAATCGGCTTGGTCCCTTTAGATATCAAAACAAGTGTAATGTTGTTTAGTAGATGGCTCAGCCGAACGCCCGGTGCAGAATTGGGAATGACCGTGGTTGTTAATAGTTGAAAGATGCCATTTACTAGCACTAATTAGGATTGCAGTCGCGGAGTGGGAGAGGAACGATTGCCATCTGACGAGAAGAATGACACCAGTCCACCCCCTGGAGGTTGCGTACCCTTAAGCTGGTAAGCTTTGATGTTCTAATTGAAGGTAGCTTGGGCGAGATGATACGTTACTGCTTTGCAGCTTCTCGTTGCTATGGACTGCTGCGGGTTGGCTGAATACCGTCTGAAGTGAGGACACGATGGCAGCCATGGGATCCAGCTCCACGGCAAGCAATGAATAGAATCTGCCGGATGCACAATTCCAAAACGCCTTGAGCATATGACGAACCGTCTGATTATCATATCAAGATCAGATCAGCGTGCGAGTGACCGCTGCCTGATCTAAGTCAAGGCAGCAAGCTCAACACGCAAACATCGGCTGAGAAGGAAGGTACGGCGTTTGCTGTTGCCTTCAGGATACCTAAAGTACTAGTATATAAGGTACTGTTATATCTCACACGGCATCCAGTCTTCTCTCCTCACATTCAACTTCGCCCCTTCAAGTCACTCAACACCATTTCCCGAAATCCTCTACCACCGGTCCTCACTATGCCTGACGAGATATCCTGTGACCAGTGCGGTCTTGTACTGCCCTATGATCAGTTTTCCAAGCAGCAGCGCAAGATGGACGACCCAGTCAGTTTGAATTCCAGGGCCTTCTGAGAGAAATCACTAACGCTACCAGTGCTGCAAGCGCTGCGTCGCTTGGACCGAAACACAGGAGCCCGAGATTCCCTCTTGTCCTTTGGCTACGGGTCATGTCTCCTAGGAGGAGGAACAAGGCCTAGCCTGGGGCGGAAGCGAGACAGTTTGGAATGAGCAGAGCCTGGCACCTCTGGTATGTAGGACGATTGACACACTGCTCGAGTACGACTAACGAAAGGATAGGCTTCGGTGACCAACCGCAGCAGTGTCGGCGCAGAAGATCGCGGCAAGGACCCCGTCGACGAGCGTGATGATCGAGTGTCCAACGCAGGCTTCCAAAACTACGCAGGTAGCACCGCCAGCGTGAGCAGCGCGCCCGCTCGCAAGCTGCCTCCGCACTTGCAGAGCCGCGTGAAGAGCAACGCCCCCTCGACCGCTGGATCGGTCGCGAGCTCGGAAGCCGGGGGCGCGATAACAAGCACGGCCACCAGTCAGCAGCGGCTGCCGCCGCACCTTCGTAGCATGGGGGCGAGCAGTATTTCGACGGCGACGACCGTGAGAAAGGAGAAGGACGACATCAAGAATTGGAATAGCCAGACGTACAATGCATACGGCCCGAACGGCGAAAGTCAACAGCGTGTGCGCCAGCCGTCGACAGCCGCTTCAGCGTCTACATCTGACTATACTCCGTCCATGAACTCGAACGGAGGCACTGGACGCCCAGGTGAAGCTGCCCCTGGCGGTACACGGACGACGACTCCTGCCCAGGGCAAACCGCAGGGCAGCACGCAGGCTGACGGTGCCGAAGATAAGCCTGGCAGGAAGTGGGCGAAGCCTTCAAAGGCACCCCGTGGATACTATGGTTAATCAACGATAAAGATTGGAACCGCTTGAGCGCCCATCAATCGCAGAGCGCAACGGAAGCAGTAAGAAATCTCAACATGAGAGGGAAGAAGAACCTCTCGATCCTCAGTATTTCGTGCGGATGTCAGCGAGATAGCCTGCATGATTAGGTTGAGCAATGGTCGTGCGCAGAACGAAGGGGGCGATGCAGAAAAAATAGCCAAATTCGAACCTATGAGTTCCTACTCACTTGCTCCTAACGCCTGTGGACCAGCTCCTTGCCACCGAATCCCCCCTCCGAGCTTCATCGATTTGTGTATCCCCAAAAGATAGCCAAACCATGCTGTTGTTGAATGATCCTCCCCGACTCATGTCATGTATCAGCCAACCCATGCTTCGATGACGCCGCCCACGTGTAACGCGGTCGAAGTGCTCTTTGTAACAGGCAAAAAATATGTCCCAGAGCCGTGGTATATATTTACACACTCTTCTTGTTCTTTGTAATGCCCAGGAGAAGATGGACGTTGCTGTCGCTCGAGTGGGCGCGTGCGCTTGCCCATTGACTCACTTATATGACAGCCTCATCCCTGGGGCCGGGTTCCGCGTTCACCACCGCCTGGGCATCGCCCACCTGTCTCCGCTCCGTAACTTCCCGGTCTTTGAGTCGTTTGCGTAAGATGAGGGGGATCGAGGATGCCCCGGCGGTGTATAATTCCTATTGGAGAGGTTCCGACGACGAGGAGAGTCGGTTGAGGTGGAGGTACACATCAGTTCCGTAGCTGGTTGATCAATCTTGTTAGCCGTTGCCCACGAGCGATAATTGATTGACTGAAAACTTACCCCTCCATGCTGATCAATTTCAGATCACCGCCAAAGTACCGCGCGTACAGACGCGATATGGGTAAACCGTAGCCGAAGCCAGCCATGGGCGCCTTGAAGTCGCTCTTGTCAAAGTCCGGGTCTAGGCTGGGCGTGCGGTCGACGGTGGTGTACATGTAGGTCCAAACGAGGGGGATTGCGCTGCGAGGGATGCCGCCCCCCTCGTCCGAGATTTTGATGGTGATGTCTTCTTTTCCCTCGGCGACAATGACCTTTGTGACAGGGAACTCCTGCTTGTCCTCGCCGTGTGCCTCGACCACAGCGCGAAGCGAGTTCTTGAGCGTCTCAAAGAGCATGTGCGACAGGTGGCCCGGGACGTACATGAAGTTGAGGTCCGGGTTGCAGACGAGCTGGACACGCGGGGCCTCAAAAAGGCCGTAGTGGTCTTCGCACACAAAACGCGCATTCTCAATGGCTTCCTGGGCGAGGTCCTGCACATTTGTCTTTGTGCAGATGACGCCGACGTAGCTGGGGTCGCGGTGCCGACTCTGGTCAGTGAGGGCAATGTGCTGGCCGATGAGCATGCGTATGCCGATACGGGACATGTAGAAGCGGTCGAGGAAGGACTGTATGGACTCGTTGATCTGCATGCGCTGCCGTTGTCGCTTGTACTCGAGGATGCCCTGGGCCATTGTGGTCACGACGCCGTCGTGCCTCCTCTTGATGCCGTGGAGGGTCTGTGCGAAACGTTGATTATATAGCTGGAGCTCGGGAGGCCATTCGGAGGAGTCGTCGACCATGGCAAAGTAGCGTCTCGACAGCGACTTGGTCTTGTTGGCGCCATGACCGTTGGCGCTGGCATGGAGACCTCCCCAGCCCGATGTGTCGCCCTCTCCCAGGGACGGGTTCGGAGTAGCCTCGGAGAGTTTGAGGGTATTGCGGCCGTAGTGTTTGGCGGGCTTTGTGAGGCGTGATCGGACGTCCGCTGGCAGGTTGGGCCGCGGCAGCTGTGTGATTTCTTCAAAGGACTGCGCATACCAGTCCTTGACCTTGTTGACCGAGGGCATCTCATTGAGGCCATCGGGGAGGTCGTCGAGCTCCTGGACTCGGTGCGCCAGTCGGATGGGAAGCTCCTCGGCAAGGAACTGTGAAGCGCGGAAGAGGGTACCCGTGGATGGTCTCTCGCCGAATTGGACCATCTGTCGGAGGCTGACACCTGTGGCTGGGAATCTGGCATAGTGCCTGATGGTGTCCATCAGGCGCTCCGACGCCTTCCACGACATGGCGGCTGGTTGGCTGGTTGGCTGGCTCGTTGGTGACTGGTCTTCGAGATGGGAATACCCGAAACTACCCGTGCGGCAAGGTCTATGATCTCGTCATTGGAGCACCGAGGGCGGACTCGTCTTCGAAATGGAGTGCGTGCACAGGAATCCGAGCGCGCAGGTAAGTCGCAATAGTACAATGGTGCAAGATGTAACTGTTGTGGGCACGGTGTCGCGTGCACTCTTGTGGGAGTTGTTTGGAGTCGAGGTTCGGCCCCACGGCAGCAGCTGCGCTTGGAAAGCCGAGGCAGTCCACGGACGGATACGGCTTGGACTGGACAAATAAGGGACACCACGGCGTCGTTGGCGAGAACAAGAAACGACTCGCAGCAGAGGAAGCAATCGAGATCAGCGACACAAGGCAATTGGTGAAAAGAGCACGGCGGACACTGGCACGGAATGGCGAGGATTTGAAGGTCCAGTCGAGAGGGATGAGTCGTCCACGATGGGCCGGGACCGGGGAGGACAGGACAGGACAGGACTGGACGGGAGGGATGACGCTGCGGGCAAGCGGGGGTCACCTGGGTGGCTTTCTACAGCAGCTGAAGTGCTGAGCAGTGAGGGCCTCCATCCGTCTAGCTGGTCTCGGCCAGCACGTTCGGTGCGCTTTTCCTCGGCATGGATAGTCAGTCCATGTCGATTTGCCCCGGGCTTTCACCTTGTCCAGCGTCATCCATCCGTAACATTAGACTGTGAGGGCTCCCGTTTGCCTTGACCGACGGCTTAAAAGCTGGCGGGCTGCCTTGAATGTATCAACAGCCCATAACTGGAGGAGGAGAGGATAGTGTTCCAGCCCTCACACACCCAAGATAGCTGGGCAAAAATCCCTTTGTACTTCATTTCCCTTCACTCGTTTTCCAGATGTTGGAAGAGTGCTTGAATTCATGGTGCTCGCCCCATGCTGTTAACAGGCTTACCCCAACTCAGAGTCACATTGGCCATCGTTGATGAGATCAGACTTTATCCGCAAACAGCAAAGACCAGCCCCGACTGACAGACAGCATCAATGGCTGCAGCACATCGCCGGCTGAACGCATCCTCCAGTCCTTGGACTGCACACCGTCTTTGCACATGATGAAGACGTCCATATGTCAGGCGATATGACTCGAGCGCAACTGAAGGTTTCTCCAACTGCTCGACGGGGACGGCTCCCCACAATCACGTGTCAATCCCGACGACGCTGGGAGATCATCGCTATCACCTTGGCGTTGAGCGAATGCACACGCTGGGGCTAACGCTGATGCGCATCGTGATGAGTGCGCTAGGAACTAGTTGCATGTCTATTGCGACCTCGAAGTGATTATATTTGATCAGTCGCGATGAATTGCAATAAGCATTTCCTTGACCCAAGTCCAGCTTCCTGTTAGGATGCTACCTCATACTGCAGAGACAGAATAATGCGTGCGCTTGTGTGGTTCTTTTGGCCCAGATATGTGCAGCTTAATCTTGCGACCAATGGTAGCGCCAGCCGCTGTGCCTATAATTCCTCAGCCACTGGTACTTGCTGGTATTTGTCGGTGAAGTGACGGGACAATCACATCCATCCATCCGTCTCTTCCAGCTTCAGGCTCCGCACAGCACCACGCGCATCCGCGCATTCATTGCCCTCCTCGTCGCCTGGTGCGCCGTGCTTTTCTTGCGCTTTGTCCTCTGTATACCGCTGTGCTCTCTCATCGCAAAGCCTAGCGCAGCAAATGTGGCGCCGTCAGGTCACCACCAATGTCTTGCCATGGATGACCGCCAATCCGACCATGATCCTCCACGATACTCGAGGCAAAACTCCCTCCATGAGCAGCGCATGACGAGGCGAAACACGGCGACGAGCTACAACTCTGACGGCAGCAGCAATGAGTCAAGGATCAATCACAATGGACCGCCCGCCACGCCGCCGCCTCGTCTCATGTCGAGCCCTAGCGCTGGCTCGTCCGCCGGGGCTTCTTATGGCGTGATGAGTCCCTTATGGCGGGAGCTGTCTCTCTCGAACTCACATGACCAGCACGACGGCGTGTCGAGGTCGTCCAGCCGCTTAGCCTTGGCCCGACGGTTGAGCCACCTCGCTCAGCAGCTTACCAGCGATGGTGAGATTGACGAACATGTCTTGACAAGTCAGCTGGATCAGATGGAAAAGGCCGTTGCGCAGTCGCCGCCTCGGAGTAGATTCTCTTCACCGCATCACCGCCGACCGGGCAGCTTTGAGTCGGAACGTGGCGTGGTACGGAGCCATAGCGATCTTGGTGGCTCGATGGTGAGCTCACCCGCCTCGTCATTGTACCGTTCACGATTCTCCGATCTGTCGGCGTCCCTCATGATGAGAGAATCAGAGCCTGCGCCCGAGCCCGAAGTGACCCAGGAGGTCCAGAAACCGGGCTTAACACCACGGCAGCTGAATAAGATCATCGCCGAGGCTACAAAGCTCAATGAGGAGCTTGCCAATGTCGTTGGTAACCTCAAAGCACGGCAGGAAGAGTCAAATGTACAGTTGGCCTTATATTTGTTGCTTTTCATTATTGACTCATCGTGCGATAGCATATTCACGATCTCTTGATCGAGCGCGCCGAGCGCGCCGCCCAACGCATCATGTTCTTACAAGACCGCATATCACACCTGTAAGACGCGCCTATTGGCATCATTTGTCACCGTCTTCTCCGTTACAGACTCCTAACACGCAGACAGCGAGGGGGAACTCCGAGATAACGACGACGAGATACAACACCTGCGCATCTGCCTCAAAGCAGTCGAGGTACAGTTGCCGCCAAACCCCGATCCAGATATCCAACGCTGCATCGCCTCTTTCAAGAAGGAATACCAGACCTTGCGGAAGAAGCGACTCAACCGCAGCATGGAACAAGGCTATCATAATGGCCACGGCGTAGGAGACGTGACGCCATCACCGACACGATGAGATGTTTTACGATACCCATTTGTATGACTGGCCCGAGTGACGAATTTTCTTCTCCTTCTTTCTCCCTCCGGCTGGCGTTATGTTTATTTCACGCACGCCATGTGTCTGTTCTTGCTTTGTGCTTTCGGACGATACCACGAACATTCGACTGGGGAGATGGGAATGCAATGACAGACTTTTGATATAGAAGGAATGGACCTGGCGTCACTAGAATGAATAGCAGCTTCTATTCGTGGAATTGGTTCAGTTCATTTTTGACAAGTCTCGCGATATAAGCTCTTCGCGAGTGAGCCAGCAAGATTGTGTGTATGACACGTTCACGGCAATAATGCTTCTGTAGAACAAGACGTTATTGTATACTGTATACTAGTCCTACACCACATAAGCCATTTACCAGGAGAACTAGCGCTCGCAATAAACAAAAAAAAAAAAAAAAAAAAAAAAAAACATGTCCCCCGCAGTCGATCATACTTTGAACAGCAAATCCAGGAAGCCATTGGCGAGATCCACCACGACACTCTTGTTCGGCAAGGATCCAGCTACACCATAGAGAGCTGCCGAGTCGCCCACGGCCTTGCCCTTGGCTCCCTTGCCCTCCGCGATGCGTACGCGCTCCTTCTCGCGCTCCATCTCCACCACAGACTCGAGGTCTGCCACGAGTCTCTCCCAGATCTTGGCAATGGGCAGCGTCACAGCCACGTGGATGGCGGGGGGGTTCTGCAGAGCGTTCAAATGCCATCCCTTGCCGCTCATACCGTCGGCTATGTCGTAGACGTCGAGGTTCTTGGCCGTAAAGGCAACGACTGACACCAGGGGCTTACCGATAATCTCAAGCTCGCCACCCAGGATCGGGGTCTCGCGAATCGCGTCGGTGATCTTCTTGGTCGTTCCGACAATCCTCACACACGCATCCATGTAGCCGGACTCGCCAACCGACATGAGACTGGCCCAACAGCCCGCGATAAGAGCGCCAGGGCGGGACCCGGCGATGCCTGGTGATGCGTAGACGCCACCAGACCAGTCAGGGCAGACAAAGTACTGGTATGTGCGCAACTCAGCTGTGCGATACAGCACGGTGGAGTTGCCTTTGGGCGCGAAGCCGTACTTGTGCGTGTCGCAGCTGATGCTTGTGACACCCTTGAGGCGGAAATCAAATAGCTGCGACTCGAAGCCGGCCTTTTCGAGGAAGGGCACGAGGAACGAGCCCAGACAGCAGTCGACATGGAGGCAAAGCTTCTTGCGCAGCGCGAGCTTCGACAGGGCAGCAATGTCGTCGATGATACCGTGGGGGAAGTTGGGTGCCGACCCCACGAGCATGACGGTGTTGCTGTTGATGAGTCTCGACACGGCGCGGACATCAACCTGGTAGCTGGGCGCAGGGCAGGCCACGAGGTGAAGCTTGATGCCAAAGTATTGGGCGGCCTTGCGGAACGCGGTGTGGCCAGTCTCGGGCATGATCATCTCGGGCTCGGTGATGCCGCGCTCGACGTACCCACGCTGCCTCGCGGACAGACAGGCCATGAGGATACTCTCCGAGCCACCGGCGGTCGACACGCCGGCCGCGCCTGGTGGCGCATTGAACAGGTTGAGCACCATGCTCACAATCTCGGCCTCCATCTTGCGCACGCCGGGGAACACATCAGGGTGGATGGGGTTCGCGACTGTGAACTTGCCAAACGCCTCCGTCTGAAGCTGCATCAGTTCCTCCTCGCCATGATACACGGCGCCAGAGACGAAGCCGTCCTCCCACCGCGTATGATCCATCTCAGCGAGCTGCGTGAGCTCGGCTCGAACAGCGTCCTCGTCCATGCCCTCCTTGGGCAGTACCAGGTGGCGCGTCAGGTCGGTCGTGGTGAGCTTTTCGGCGACCTTGGAGAGCGACTCGCGCACTTGCTTCTGCACCTGGCTGCGCACGCCAGGTGCGCGGAGAAAGTAGCCGTATGCGATGCGACGAATGTCGTGATACAGCTCGAGGATGGCGCCGATGATACCGCGTCCCTTGAGCTTCCACCAGGTGCGGCGCGTCCATCGTAGGACGAAGTAGAAGAAGACAATGTTTCGAATGCTGCATCTGGTCAGAAGACATACCAGAGGAACGGACACCAAGAGACTGGACACTCACAGATCGAGGTTGATCATGTCCAGCGACAGGGACGACATCTTGGGCTTCCTCTTTTTGACGGACTCAAGACTACCCCGAAGACTGATAGGCATCCTTGAAGAACCCGGCATTTTTGGCAATTGTTGAAGCGGTACCGTTATGGGGTTTTAGAATATATAGAGTTCGAGCTCGTTACATGATGTGGTGAACGTTTAGAAGAAAGTTGGGAGTGGGGAGAGGCTCGCGGCCTTGTAACCATTTCCCGGCCGAGCACCATCAGGTCATCACATGCGCCGGTGCCGGCTAACCGAGGGTTGCGATTTCAAAACAGGGGTTTAAACGCATGCAATACGTAGAATAAAGGGCCGCGATTGTATCAACTCATCATTACTACGACGGAGACGCCACTCGCGGTGCGCCGCGCAACGTCGGAACCCGCGGGCCCCGGCGTCGGGGCCGCGCGCGCAAGACGGATGGCTGCAGAGCACGTCCAATATCAATCTCTGGAGACTCGCCGCAGGTTCCCGCGGGGGCCTCATTCCAGATCTCCGGGGTAGGGGAGTTTTGATCATCTGTTGGGCAATTTCAAAGGCTGGGCCGCAATGGGCCGTCTACATCTGGACTATCAACTCCCGAAACCGCTGCCAATACCACTGGGACTCTTTCTCGCAGCTGCTCTCACCCGCGACAGTGCATCCCTTCAGCATGACTACAAAATCACCCTCTCGGTAGCCCTCTCCCAGGTTCGTGTGAGCGTACGACGCCATTGTCCGTTGGGGGACCAGCGCAATCTTGGACAGGACCGTTGGGTGCCATTGCACAATGTGCTCCTGCGATATCGTGTTAATCAGAGTGCTTGCTGGAATCCAATGGGCCTTGAACTTACCAGCGCATGCCTCTCTGCCTTCTGGAAGTTATACGACATGTACAACGGATCCATCCACGTCTCCGTTACGTATCGCGCCCAGTCGCCAGTCTTCAGCAACACACTATCTGCGACGAGTCCGTCGTTGTCCTGACTGATAATCATGGCGGCCTCTTGGCCCTTGAGATGCTTAAAGGTCTTGATGATGCTGTCCGGCGGCACGACTGGGTGGTCCCTGATCATCAAGCTTTCGAGGACGCGAGGATCAGCAACGACCTCTTCCACCTTGCGCGAGGGCTCCATGATGAAAGCATCCTGATCGAGGTGCCAGATGTAGTTCGCATTCGGGTATTTCGACAGCGCATGTCGCATAGCCATCACCTTGGCCCAGGATTGCTGGTAGCCCTTCGTATCGTAGTCCTGGGCTTCCACAATGAATGTCTCGTAGCCTGTGCCCCATCAGTCCATGTCCTTCACAGTAGCGCGCTGATCATACCATGCTTCTCTGCGTACTGCCTACGGTTCTCTTGCACGGACCTCAAGTACGATGCGCTGTAGCTCCGGGGATCGATGACCGTCACAATCACGATGGGAGGCTCCCCTGTGGGAACATGCTCCTGGTAAACCTCCTCTTGACTCCGGCCGGACAGTAGCCAGACGAGCCCTAGTATCGCCACAAGTATCAAGCCTATCGTTCGAAGTCGCGCTTTTCGCAATAAAGGGAATCTCGTCGATCGTGGCCGAAACGGTGGGGGATCCGAGCTCTTTCGAGGGGGGTAGGCAAAGTGCATTGTGTGAGACACGCCCGACGGTGTCGGCCTTGTGACGACTCGCCGTTCGAGGGTTCTTTCAACAAAGTATTCAGAGATCGACGCCGATGTCGCGGGATGGTTTCGCACCAGAGGGGCTGCTTTGGGGAGGCGGCTCTCAGCGTAGCGTTGATGACGACGCCCGATGCCAGTGCCGGTTGACTAGATAACAATACGGTCGGCTCTGGCGGAATGTGTCAAGGTACGGAGTCGAAAAAATAGCATGACACGTCAATGTGAATTCGTTTGTCCATGTTGCGTCAGGAAGCTTTTATGCGACAGCCCACCAGCAGCAGGTCGCGGTTACAATGAGATTGGAGGTTTCGGGGTCCACTTTTCGCATGCCAGCTCAGGCTTAGGTGGCACGAATAACTTGCGCCCAGCAAGATTGTACTAATAGCACCTCGGGCACACATCATAATGGCAAAGAGCACGGATCAAATCGCAAATGCATTGATAGTACATAGATACAAAGACGCTCATGAAAATGTGTCAAGCCCAGAAAGAGGCCATCCGCTCACCGCTCTGTACAGGTGTACCGAGTGGATGACTGCTGTCTACGGACGGATAACGACCAAGGTCGTCAGTCACGTTGACGGACTTTGACATCTCCAAATCTTGCTATCGGACAAGAGATCAAAACGACCCGAGTCCAAGCATGAAAAGAGCCTTGATCTCTGCACACAGACACGTCGTCTCGATACGGGAGCGCAAGGTCGAGACAACTTAAAGGTATGCAGGGCGCCCAAGGGAGCGCGCGTAGTTGGATCCAAGTTCATTGAACCCTCTCCTTCACTCATCTTTCTCGTGTTCGTCTGCTTCATCGTCTGCATCGTCGTCATTTACGTCCATGACTCGCTCGCTGACATTCTTCAACAAGCGCTCGCTCATGGCTCCGACGAACCGCCACGTCGCCATCAGGAAGGTGAAAGCCCCGATGAGGATAAATAACCAGCTCATATTCTCCGCCCGGGCTCGACCTGTGCCTTGTCGTCGGCCGCCCATCATACCGCCGCCGCGGTAGTAGAACCACTGCCAGGGTGACATGGCAAACATGCTCTTGACGAGGCCGACCAGCCCGAGAGAGAAGAACCCCTTGGCAAAGTGCTCTGTCCAAGTCTGTGGCGCCTCGGCAAAGGGCTGGTTCAGGCCCTCAATGTCGGTCACCACACTTGCAACACCGTCAGTCAGAGTACCCAGAGGGTCAAACCACAAGTCGAAGAGCGGATCCGCAATGTATCCCAGCACAAATAGACCAATGATCAACACAGCGACGGTCAGTGCTATCCGGGTGGACTTGTTACTCAGGGCGGTTGCCCAACTGAGCCGGGACATTCGATATGTGAATTTGCATGTCGGGCACTGCCAGAAATTCCGCGCCGCACCTGGATTGGCTAAGCGCCACGCGTTGAGGCAGCCTTCGTGGACATACTTCTGCGAGCCTTTGCACTTGCACGGCGAGAGCAGACGTCCGAGCTCTGGATCGTCGGATTTATAGACGGGCTTTGCCGAACCGGAAGATATGCCCAACGTGGTGAAGGTTTCAGGAAACTGTGGATGCTCGGTTTCGAGACATATACGGCAGGACCGCGGACCGTAACGTTGACGATTGGACCTCGCACGTGTGCCCGTAGGATGAGGTTGGTCGGCTGGTTGTTGCGGCCTCGAGCTCTGATGGGTTGTAGAGGCATCATTCAGGCCATCTTGCGCTGTAGACCAATCCCAAGTCGGCTGGGTGTCCATATCGGGAGGCTCGAGTCTTGCCAGAGCGTGGGAGGTACGTATTTGTAGCCTGCGAGAGGAGGAAGTAAGAGTGTTTGTGCCGCGCGGCCTCAGCGAACGCGGCGTGAGGACATGTCAAAGCCTAGAGAACAATGTGAGAGAATGCGAAAGAGGAGACGCAGCTAGAGGTCGGTCGTGTGCATGCATGCAGGTCGTGTCAACAGAACACGATGGAGTCGGTCAGAACAGACAAGCCACCTGTTTTAGGCAGTTGCTCGGTTTGCTGTTTGGGAAGAAGTGGTCGGAGAGATTCTACACCACAATTTGCGGGCCGCCAATCACCAGCTGTTCCGGCACCTCATGTAAGCAGCGAGGCAGCAGTGAATGACATCAGGTATCGGATAAACCTCGCTTCCGGGCAAGCTCCCAGTGCCTGGTGTCCCGCAGTCTGTCGCCGTTGCGGTCCAGAGACGCGGCAGCTCACTGCCTGTTGTTACTGGCGGATTGGAGAGCTTCACCTGCGTTTGGGCAAATACCAAAGCTGCATCTCGACTTCATCACGCCCAGCCTTTGCGACCGCGACACCTTCTCACAGATACAGATTCCTCACTGATCATGGCGGACCGTTACTCTTTCTCTCTGACCACTTTCTCCCCTAGGTATGAGCTCTCACAGAACTACCCAGCTCATGACCGCATCCTTGCTAACATGACAATCACAGTGGAAAGCTGGTACAGATTGGTATGGGCATCCCATTCCCGGCACAGCGAGCCATCTCGACGACGCATACTAATCGCACTATAGAATATGCGCTCAATGCTGTCAACCAAGGCATCACTGCCCTCGGCATCAAGGGTTTGTCCCACGACCCCTCCATGCCCGCCATTGCTGACCACGGTCCTAGCTACCAACGGCATCGTCCTTGCGACTGAGAAGAAGTCGTCTTCGCCCCTCGCAGATCAGAGCTCTCTTTCGAAAATCAGCAACATAACGCCCGACATCGGCATGGTGTATTCTGGCATGGGTCCCGACTACCGAGTATTAGTCGACAAGGCACGCAAGGTGTCTCACACGGGCTACAAGCGAATCTACAACGAATACCCCCCGACTCGTATATTGGTGCAGGATGTCGCTCGCGTCATGCAGGAGGCTACCCAGTCTGCCGGTGTCCGCCCTTACGGTGTCAGCTTGCTCGTTGCCGGGTGGGACGAGGGCATCGAGCCTGACGTAGAGGCAGAGGTTGAAGACAAGATGGATACCGAAGGCGAGAAGAAGAAGACCACAAAGACGGGTGGGATTCACAAGGGCGGGCCTATGCTGTACCAAGTAGACCCATCTGGCAGCTACTATCCGTGGAAGGCGACCGCCATCGGGAAGAGCGCGACCAAGGCCAAGACTTTCTTGGAGAAGCGGTACTCAGAGGAGCTCGAGCTGGAGGACGCCATTCACATCGCCTTGTTGACGCTCAAAGACAACATTGAGGGCGAGATGAACGGAGACTCGATTGAGATCGGTATGTTCGATTCTGACTAGTGGTCATAACCCATGCTAATCAGGAGTAAGGCATTGTCGGCGCACCTGCGGATCATCTGCTTGGAGTGGCTGGAGTAGAAGGAGCCCAGGGCCCGCGGTTCCGAAAGCTAACACCTCAGGAAATTGAGGATTACTTGACGAGTCTATGATACGTTTGACGACACAGCGCATTGGGAAATACATGGCAATGTAAAATAGAAAGAGTTGCAGTAGCTCAACAGAGCGTGCGTTGCAATCACTCTACGGATCAATCGTCCCCTCTTCAGTTAGGAGAAATGATGATCGAGCGCCAGCAAAAACGCCAACTACACGCTCATTCTCACGAAGAGGAATATCCAGCTTTGTCCATGACGAAACATGGTCTGTGGCAGCTTGTCCCAAACCGAGTTGGCCATTACGGTTGCCGCCCAAAACGAACACCTCGCCTTCGGTCGATAGGGTTATAGCATGGCACTCTCCAACCGCGATATCCTGAATGTCCACATCACCGTCCACTTCCACATAATTGGGAACTCCGTTGAGGGCAGCGATGGGAAGTTGTTGCCGGTGTGAACCAGGTGCTTGCGCTCCCCACGCATACAAGCCGCCTGATTGTGTCAAGGCCATGACGGTATAGCCCCCAGCTGCCACTTTTCGAACAGGCTCTCCCAATCCATCCAAGTCCTGGACCTTGGCGGGCCTCTCGGCAGGGCTTTTGTGGTCAGCTCTCATGCTCATTAAGTAGTCCACTCACCCGATACGTACTTTTCTGCTGTGACTTCTCTGCCCAGGCAGTCCGCAAATCTAGGATCGCCAACCGTGCCTACCGACCCGTCGTCGAACAGAATGACCCAACCCACATCGTATGGAGCGACCTGCGATATGGTCTTGTCAAAATCCCATTGGCCTCTCTGTATGTCATCTAGAGCTGTTCCGAAGGTTGTAAAAATGCGTATGCTCGACCCATGTGTCTTATTCTCAAATTTCAATCCTTCCCCGGCTCCGTTCACAATGATCTTGGTGAATTCCGTGACATCGCTCGGCTGGATGGTTGAAGCACCAGCTTGTTGCAAGCCTTGATCTGTTCGTACTTCCCGAAGGTTAGTTAGGCAATCCGAGGTACGGATGTTGAGATTTGGAAATGCCTTACGCAACGTGTGGGCTGGCCAAATCGCAATAACTTGGACATTTGCGTTTTCCAGAATGACTTCGGCCTCGGTAAGGTCTTCAGGCTCGCTTTTTATCAGGCTTGGGTCAAAGACCAATTGATTCCAGGTATTAAAGCCTGCAGCAAAGAGCCTCATGCTATCGTGCGTAGCTCATGACAGAATGATCGAGGTGGTCATACCGGGTAGGTCGGGTGGTGGCTAAGGTTGCTGTTGACTTGGCCCAAGTCCAAGAGCGTGTGTCGTCCGTCCCAAAGCTCAAATGTCACCTGTCGTTCAATCCTCTACAGCTCAATCAGATGGCGAACTGTGAACGCTCTGCGGCAACTAGCCAACCGATTCACGGGGCGCAGCGCTCCACACAGTCATACCTGGCTTTTTGATGACTTTGCCCGGCCTCCTGCAGCTCGTTTCACACAAGATGACGACCGTGCCTCAAAGCGAGTGCTCTTTGCTCAGACTTCCGCACCGTAGTTTGCGTCGAGTCCCTAGTCTAGGTATCAAGATTCACTGTCTCTTGCCCCGCTCACTCAAATGCATGCTACTTTCAGCCGCCGAGACCTGGTACCCGCAGACCTTCATTGAGTCTAGGTAACTAGCAAATATGTCCCTCCATATCTGCACCCCCGTTCTTGAGGGTAACTCTACAGAGTCTTCCCGTAGTGAGAGCCCGGACAGAATGTCTTTGGACAGTCCGACGCTTGAGGACCCCGGAAATGTGGATGGGGACTCGTCTTCCAACCACAGCGCCGGCGAAACCAGCCTTGTTGAGGATCCGATGCCAGAATCGCCAGACATGCGTGCCTACCAGCAAGAAATGCTTCTTGAGAGCATGAAAGGCAATGTGATTGTGTCGGTAAGCTACAAAGAGCCTCCTTCTGGCGGCCCTATCTGACAACCACAGATGGAGACGGGGAGCGGGAAGACAAGAATGTAACTACTGCCAGCACGTGTGATATCGTGTAAGATAATGGCTGATGATTATTCAGAGCCATTGAGAGAATGCAGAGGCAGCTCGAAACCGGCGATCCACGACAAGTAAGTGTACGAAAATTGAATTGAATCAACAGCCACTAATTAAGGGCAGATTGCCTGGTTTCTCGCCCCGACGGTTTTGTTATGCGCCCAGCAGTGCGAGGCGATCCAGCGTTCGCTGCCAGCGTGTTCGGTAAAGTTGCTGACCGGTGATCTCGGGCTCGAGACTTGGACGGTATCCACATGGGAAGCAATTCTGGGCGACGCGCAGGTCATTGTGTCCACCCCGCAGGTTCTCTACGACGCGCTGTGCCATGGAGAACAATTCGTGTCCTTGGGGCGTCTCTCTATCCTCGTCTTCGACGAAGCACATAAATGTGTGAAGAAGGATGCCGGGCGGAAAATCATGCTCGGGTTCTACCACGAGCGCAAGTGCGCTGGCAAGTCGGTGCCAGTCATCTTAGGCCTGACCGCGAGTCCGAGTATCAGAGCAACTATAGAGGGAATCGAGTATCTAGAAACGACCTTGGATGCTCGCTGCGTTTGGCCAACGCTTCATCGAGCGGAGCTGCTGAAGCATGTCAACAAGCCACAATTATACCCCATTGTCTTTGAGGAGCCCGAACACCAGGAAACAACACCCTCCATGCGATCTTTGCAGAAAGTATGGCATGAGCTTGATTTGAGGTCTGACCCATACATTCTCAAATTGCTAAGCGACCCTTCGGAAAGGAACAGCCAACGCCTCGAGACCGCAATCTACAAGAATGATACATATTCACAAACCGAACTCAAGAGCACATACGGGCGCTGTGTCACTGTCGCCAAGGAACTGGGCTTGTGGGCGGCTGACCAGTATATCTGGCGAGCCACCACCGAGTTTCTGAGATGCCTTGATGTACAGCCTCAGATATTTGACGAGTGGTCTTCACAAGAGAAAGACTACCTGGCGGCCGCCTTTCGCCGCGTGCATGCGCCTGAACCACCTAAATGCCCAACTCATATCTCAGGCAAAGCAGGCTTGCTTTTACAAGAGCTGCTGCAGGTTCAGCAGATTCACGATCGGCCGGTTTGTCTGATTTTTGCGAGAGAAAGGGCGACGGTGAGCATGCTATATGAGCTACTTAATGCTTGCCCCCCGATCAAAGAGAGATACCGCATCGGCGCTGTGGTTGGAACATCGAACCACCAAAGCAAGAAGCAGAACATCTGCGACCTTCCAAGTAACCTCACCCCGGGCCTCTCCGTTCTGGAGGATTTTCGAGTCGGAAAAGTCAACCTTCTGATCACCACGAACGTCCTCGAAGAAGGCATTGACGTCCCTGACTGCAACATTGTCATATGCTTCGATCCCATTGAGTCACTCAAGTCTTTTGTCCAGCGCCGCGGCCGCGCGCGCATGCACAGCTCCAGAATCGTTATCTTCACGGACAAATCACCCAAAATGGCCGAAAAGTGGGAGATCCTGGAGGAAGCGCTGAGGCTCGAGCTTCAGGCCCAGGAGCGAGAGATCAAGGAGCTTGAGATGCTAGAGCTCGTCGACGAAGAGAGCAGCCAAGAAACGCTTCGATCGAGAACAACGGGAGCCAAAATTGGGTTTGACGAGGCGAAATCTCATCTCGAACACTTCTGCTACAAGCTTTCAAAGGGCGAATATGTGGATGCTCGTCCCTACTACATGGTGCACAAGTCCGGCAAACTCATGTCATGCACCGTGACCCTGCCGTCTTTCATCCCGCCTCATGTTCGCCAAGCTGAGAGCATTCGATCGGACTGGAAAAGCGAGAAGAACGCCACCAAGGATGCAGCTTTCCAAGCATATGCGGCTTTATATCGCGAAGGTCTCGTCAACGAAAATCTGCTGCCATTCGAGCCAGAGCAGTTGCCGGGGCTGGAGACTAGAAAGCCGATGGCTTATATCGAGCCCCCTTTCAAGCCTTGGCAGGACATTGCGAGAGCTTGGCAGTCGAAGGACGACAGATGGGCATACACATTCACTTGCTGCAATGAGCATGGTGACGTTACAGGAACATACGATGTTGTTCTCCCTACCCGTATCGACCAACCTCGCACAATGGTCGTCCATAAGAGTTATGGTGTTGCCTGGGAGTTGCGGGCGACTGCTGGCAGACGCTTGTCCTCCGACGAGGCGTCGTCCGTGCAGGATCAGACATCAGCTCTTTTAGCCATGAACTTTGGTCACAGATGGGTTGTTCTCGACAAACCTCACGTCATTCAAGTCAGCGCAAATGACGCTTTCATAATACTGGAGCACAAAGGATCTCAGACTTTTGTCGGAGAGCCGTCTGAGGATCCAAGCCACTACCTGCTTCGTGATGGCTCAGGTTTCCCTTGGATCTTTGAGCAAGTCTTACCTTCCAAACCGACTATAGATTTGGTCCAGCGTCCTTTCTTGGATTATGAACTCGCACCCGACAACGTCCCATACGCCGTGGTTAGAAAGTGGTCACGGTACGCCGACTTCCTGCATCCTCAACTGGCTTGTGCTGCAAATCATGCCACGAGGACAAAGCCGTATGGCTATGTACTTCCGCTACCATGCATGAGGGACGAAGTCACGATCAACCACGTCGAGTTTGGACGGCTTCTGCCTTCAATACTGCACGAGATGGAGGTCATGCTGATCACGCAACATCTGCGCAATAACTTGTTGAGCTCGATCGGCATTTCGAATCTCGAATTGATCCGCTCAGCTATAAGCACACGGAGTGCGAACGAACCATTTCAGTACGAACGATTGGAGTTCTTGGGTGATTCGATTCTGAAATACTGCGCAGTAGTCCTGGCAGCTGCGTTACGTGAGTTTGCAGATCATCACTCAGACCTGTTGCTAACGCATGACAGACCCCGACTGGCCGGAAGGATACCTTTCGCACTTCAAGGATCAACTTGTCTCGAACGCTCGATTGTCACGTGCTGCTCTTGAGAAGGGCCTTGCTAAATACATCCTGACACGTCCTTTCACGGGCCACAAGTGGCGACCTATCTATCTTGATGAGGCAATGAGCAATGAGCAAGAGCCAAAGGCCAATCACCAATTGTCAACGAAAACCTTGGCAGATGTTGTAGAGGCGCTGATCGGTGCATCATACTGTGAAGGAGGCATTGAAAAAGCTTCCAGATGCCTGGCGGTCTTCATTGACGACCAGAAATGGCCACATCCAGATGTCAGCCGCCTCAAGCTCTTTGAGCTCCAGCCTCCCGTTTTCATCAATGAAGGCCACTTCGCAGAACTCGAGGCGCTTTTGGGCTACACCTTCAACAAGAAGTCCCTGGCAGCAGAAGCTCTCACCCACCCTTCCTGCCCATCAAGCGACGCACAGCGCTCATTGGATCGACTTGAGTTTCTTGGAGATGCTGTACTTGACAAGATCATTGTCTCCCGGTTGTTCGAAGCCGAGCCGTCCTTGACACATGACCAAATGCACCTCCTCAAGACTGCTACAGTGAACGGGGACTTCCTAGCTTTCCAGTCTGCTGAATTCGGGTTGTCAACGGAGCAGACGATAAAGCCCAAAGGTTCCGATCTCCAGACGCAAACCGTCCTGAAGCCGCTCTGGAAGTATCTGCGGTTCGACTCTATGATTATCGGCGTGGAACAACTAGCTATGGAAGAGCGCCATGCCCGACTGCGCTTGGATATACTTGACGCGATGGAGAACGGCACCCATTATCCCTGGGCCCTGTTGGCAAAATTGCAGGCTAAAAAGTTCTTTTCAGACGTTGTCGAGTCAATCCTGGGAGCAGTCTGGCTCGATTCTGGCTCGATCGATGTTTGCGCGGGCATTATAGAAAGAATGGATATACTCAAATATCTCGACCGCCTCATCCGCGATGGAGTCCACGTCCGACATCCCAAGGAAGTCATCGGCATGCTTGCTGTTGAAAAAAAGGTCAGGTATACTGTCGAAACAAGTGTCGAGGAGGCCGGGAAGCAGACATTCACTTGCACGATTTGTGTGGGCGATAGAGAGGTTGCGCACGTCGTTGATGGCGTTTCCAAAGAGGAGGTCAAGACCAAGGCAGCCACTGAAGCGGTCAAGATCCTCGAAAGCGAAATGACGACCCCTAAAGCTGGAGAAGAAGCTGTGGCAAAGGCCACAGAATAAGGCTTCATACTGGAGGGCATGGGCCTATGACTGATGATCTCAACGCATTTATGAGTGGTGGTGAGCGTATAGGCGTTCTCGAGGGGGCCAAGACTTTAGGCCCTTGGTCATTTGCAGATTTGCATTGGGTTTTTGTGGGCGATCGACATCTCATACATTTATGATAGCGTTGATGGGGGCCTTTATATCAAAACTACTCAGACTTGGCTCTTTTTCAATTCGTCAAGCACCACATTGGCCGCCCATTTCAGAGTGCTCTCCAAGTCTCTGTCAGCACCCGCACCCTTTTCCACGCGAATGTTTTCTTTTGCCAAAGCGTCCTCCTTGAACTGGTGCTCTACGTCGCCGTTCTCAAACATCCACGCATGCTCTTCCACATAGTTAGGCCAGACAATCTTGTCAACATATCCTGGTGGGTCACTCCAAAATCCCTCGATCGTAACGTAGCCATCCCTTCGTTCTCTTCGCATCTTGGCTTTCTCATACGTTGTTCGCAGAAAGATCTTGATGTCAAGATAAGGGTGAATGGGGGACATGGATGGCGGGTAAAGGAGAAACCCATCCAAGAGACAGAGAGATAGTGCCCCGGTGCGCAAGGGATGATCCGGTGGGATGGATGAGTCAACGCTCGACTTGAGGGCGGCTATGGCGGAATCCGACACGGGGCATTCGCCGATCGAGTTCTGGTCCTCCTTTGACTCGAGATGTGGCTTCGACTTGTTAGTGACCGTGGATTAAAGGGGACCAATCTCATAGCGTACCGGAAAGGCTGCATTCTGCCGGATGTAAGCGAGGGACTCTGCCATGCCAGGCACATCGATTGCGCCAGCACAGTCCCAGTCTAGCAATCCATTCTTTGTAGGGAGACTTTAATTTTGTCAATGAACCGTATAGTTGTGAGCGCCTAGGATTGACTTACTCCTTCTCCTCTTTGTAGAAATCATCTTGATGCAAGATGAAGGTGTTGGGGAAGACATCTCGAAGTATGCGGGCGAGGGTGGTCTTTCCGCAGGATGAGCATCCGGAGATACCGACTATCATTGACTTGCGTTCCGTCATATTTGAAAGTTGAAGAGCATGAGTGTTCCAAAGACGAGTCTCTGACTTGGTCGTGAGACAAGTGATGCCCCTCCCCCACCACTGGCCCTGATGTAAGGTACCTTAGATACCCTAGCAGATAACAACAAATGTGCGCATATATACCAGTTGGAATGTATTCAACCCGGCATGTTGCCAACGCTTACAACGATGGTTGATGGATATTGTCATCAGGAGAGAATCTGACACAATCTCAAAGCCTCTTTGATGAAATAATACCAACTTTACAAAAGATACGCAGTGCAAGAAGAATTGCACTAACCCGGTTAGGCAACCATACGTCAGTCTAAACAAACTTCATTCTCGACAAGTTGACGGCTTCCATCCAACGAAAACACAAGCACCACGAATCCAGCAAAGCACTCCCCAGCCCGCAAGATGTCGTCCGTCCAGGGTGGCCAACAAGTAGGAATCATCCTCGTCACGTCTCTTGCGACATTCATCTCAGGGTTCATCCTGGGTGTCTGGTCTATCAACGGCTACATTATCTCACCAGCGGTCCGCGAAGAGCGTCGACGATTCCACGGCGACCCAGTCGAGAGCGAGGAAAGCGACATAGACGAAGACGACACGACTCTGGATCATGCCCCGAGCTGGAGCAATGGGATACAGGCGGATCAGAAGCAGGGCCTAAGGGCGAGTGCGCCGGCATCGGCAGCCGAGCCAAAGGTACTGGGGCAGCCCAACGAGGAATGCAAGCTTGTGCTGGTTGTGCGAACTGATCTGGGCATGACAAAGGGTATGTCCTTGCAACTGAAGTATCCTGTCAAAGACTAATGAGGTATAGGCAAAATTGCGGCGCAATGCTCCCACGCAACCCTGGCCTGCTACAAGGCGCTCGCCCGTCATCCTCCCAAGTCGCAAGAGGCATCTATACTGTCACGGTGGGAGAGGCTCGGACAGGCTAAGATCGCTGTTCAAATCAAGTCGGAAGAGGAGATGCTCGAGCTGCGACGCAAGGCTCGCAACGCAGGTCTGACAGCTGAGGTGATCCACGATGCTGGGCGCACGCAGATTGAGGCGGGAAGCATGACCGTGCTGGGTGTCGGTCCTGCGCCAAAGAGTGCTGTCGACCAGATCACGAGCCACCTGAAGCTTTTGTAACGGATGACATCAAACAAACACATGTACGACAGACGATAGACGACGACGACAACGCAGACATAGCAGGGCACCCCAGAATTACGTATAGATATGATGCTGCACTCAGTGAATGGGTATATTTTAGCATGACCATTTCTACTCTCTCCGTGCGAACCTTGACAAGGCCGGGCCAAGATCTTCTTCCTGCTCCTCTCGCTTCTTGTTGTTCTTCGCTTGCTGCTCCTTCCAGATCTCGTCCACCTTCAATCGCTTCTCGTCGATGATGTTCTTCTTCCTCTGCTTCCTCAGATACTTCTTCAAAGCACCATTCTTGCCTCTCGCCCTGTTGCGGATCTCCTCCTCAATGTCTGGCGCCGCGGCGTCGAGATCTTGCTCAGCCTTGCGCTGCTTATTCGATCTCAAGTCCAGGTTACCAATGAAGTTGGGGTCCAGCGCGATCATGTCAGGCTGCAACTTGTTCAGCAGGCCCCTGACCTCGGACTCTTGGCGTTGCTTGGCCGTCTCGAATGGGTTGACCTCGAGGGCGTCGAAGTTGGCCTCACCAGCGCCTGGCACAATGATGGAGGAGAAGCCCTCATCATGACCCTGTCCGAGAACATCCTCAAAGGGGCACCACTGTACCCGCTCCATCCGTTTGCCCTCTCCGCCATACGCCATATAAGGGCTCTGCACCTTTTCTTGGACGGCCTTGTTCTTGTCAAAGAGGCCTCTCCATATCGTTGTCTGAGTGCCCCAGCCCACTGCAGTCAAGCCTGTGTCCGAGATGTCTATCGATTGTGCGGGTTGTCGTGTGAAGTAGCTGTTGACCTCTTTGAACATTCGGATATCCCATACAGCCATCTTCTGGTCCTGTCCTCCGGACACCATGTACCGGCCTTCACGGTCGATGGCGAGAGACCGCACGGGTCCTCGATGCGCAAGCAGCTTGACCAAGGGTTCTGCCGAGTTCGGCGACCAGAGGGTAACTTGTCCATTCTGGTGTCCGACGTGCATAATGGCGTTGTACGGGTTCTGGGCGAGCGACACAGGTTGTCCTAATCGGGTGGGAAGTTCGGCGACGATGTTTCCGGTCGTGACGTCCTGGTACTTCAGCATACCGGTTGTACCCTGCCATTGTTATTATTTGAACCACTGATATCCCGCATGTCGCATTTGACTTACAAGAGTCGCCAGAATGAAGTGATACGGAAGGAATTCCATGTGCGTGACCTCCTGGTGCTTCCTCAAGCTGTGGATCTCCACACCGTTCTTGTCGTAAATGTAGACGTGCTTCTTCTGCGCAACGGCAAAGTATTGGTTGTTGTGAAGCCACTTGACGTCTCGCACAGTCTCGCCTAGCTGAAGCTCGCATCCCAACTTGCCGTCCCGCCAGTCCATGGTTGCGACATGGCCTTTGCGACCGCCGAGAAGAAGCTCTCTCCCATTCCTCGAATAGTCGAAGACGTAGGGACCCAATTGATCAAGCTTGAGCTCGAATTTCTTATGAGCAGTCTCCAGAGCAACATCATCCACAATATCCTGCTGCCGGACCTTGTACGTCCTTTCAAGCTCGTGCTCTGGCTCAAGGAAACCGCTCGTGTTCTCGAGTAGAATCTCAGCATCTTTCGCCCTGACGTTCGCAGTTTGGTATTTGCCCTCGAGAGTCTTGAGGTTTCGCCGTAGTTTCTTGTCCTGGATGTTCTTGGTGTTGATCTTCTTGCCGCGACCGTAGGCCTTGTTCGCTTCCTTCAGGCGCCGAATCTTCTCGCGCTCCTGTTGAGGCACGAGTTCTTTGCGGGATGTGTCGACAGGCACAGCACTGGTATGCTGCACCTGCGTTCTTGGCTCGTCAATCGTGTCGACCTCCATTGCTGCTGTTGATTGGAGTATGTGGTGAGCGAGTCGGCGAGTCGCAGATCTTCAGTTTGAGCCGAGAAAAAAAATCCGTTATCGGCCTTATCGATTGTCCCGCCACAACCTGAAATTTCTTGATAAACCCCACCATCCTCTTGTCGCAATCCCTACTTTCTGGTCAAGGCGTCGCGAAGAATTCCTGGAGAATTAAAACGCATTTCCGAGAGGCTAGAGAGCCGACACCGAGACAGTATTCAACCTGGCCTCATTACCACTTCGCTTCAAAGCAGGCGGCGACGGCAAGATGCCCGCCACCGTCTCCCACTCGCACCGGCCGACGACCAAGGTGGACCACAAGCCGTTCAAGTCGAAGGCGGCGTCCAAACACGAGTTGCGAGATCGCGCCAAAGGTATGGCATGCGTTCAAACATGCGGCAAGCTTCTTATTCTAACAACCAACAGGCCGGGTTCCCAACGAGAAAGGCTCCCGCAAGACACCCCACCAGCAAGTTATGAACAAATTCGACCGCCGGAATCAGGCCAAGCAGGCCCGCCTTTCAAAGCATAAGGAGCACTTGAAGGAGACTTCCGTATTCTCTGGGAAAGATGGAGCGCCGAGAAATGTGGCTGTCCTGCCTCTCTGTCCCGGCGGCGACGCCAATTTTGCGATCCAGCAACTGAACCAGAGCCTTGACCTCGATTCCAACTCCGAGAACGTTGCGCACCGCGTCACGGTCGATCGCTTCAAGCAAAAACTACAATACATTCCCCTTCAGCGGGACCTGAGCGCTTGCCTCGACGCTGCCAAGGTGGCCGACTTTGTTGTCGTCGTTCTCTCCGGCACGGTCGAGGTGGATGAACTAGGCGAGTTGATCCTGCGCAGCGTGGAGAGCCAGGGCATGTCCAACCTCTTCACTGTTGTCCAAGACGTGGACAAAATTGAACCTGCGAAGCAACGCCAAAGTGTTCTGGCTTCTCTGAAGTCTTTCATTTCACATTTCCACCCGGATCAGGAGAAGCTCTACAACCTTGATAACCGCCAGGAGTGCTCAAACCTCATGCGATCGCTGTGTAGCACCACACCAAAGGGTATCAACTGGAGAGACGAGAGGAGCTGGATGCTCGCGGATTCTGTGCAGTTCGGAAGAGGCGTTGACGAACCCACCATCGTGACTGGCTTCGTCAGGGGCCGAGGGCTGAAAGCTGATCGACTCATCCAGGTTGGCGACTGGGGCGCGTACCAAATAGAGAAGATCGTCGCTGCACCTTTGCCGAAGGAAATCAAGAGGAAGGGCCAGGAGGTCAAGATGGACGAGGCAAGCGAGGAATTGCTCGAGGAACCTTCCACAGACCAGGATGATTTGAATGAGCTGGCTCCCGACGACGTGGTCATGGACGCTGATGACGACGATGGCATGTCTGTTGCCACCACGGCCAAGAAGGGTGTCCTACTAGATGACCATCATTATTTCTCAGAGGGTGAAGAGGAAGAAGGTGGTGTATCGACCAGGAAGTTGCCCCGGGGTACATCACGTTACCAATCAGCGTGGTATCTAGACGACGTCTCTGATTCAGGGTCCGATCTGGAGGACATGGACATGGATGACGAGGCAGAGGATGATGAAGGCGCGCCGGAAGATGGCATTGAGGGCTTTGCTGAGCCTGAACCAACAGAGGGAGGTCCTTCGGAATACCCGCAGTCAGAAATGATGGATGTTCCCGACGAAGATGAGGATGCGCAGCAGTTGCAAAGGTATCGGGCGAGCAAACGTGACGAGGCCGAGGACGATAGGGAGTTCCCCGACGAAATTGAGCTGCCGCCCAATGTGCTTGTGCGGGAGAGGCTAGCTCGGTACCGTGGACTGAAGAGTCTGCGGACAAGCGAATGGGAGGAGAGTGAAGACCGCGCACACGAGCCCGAAGACTGGCGACGGCTGCTCCAGGTCCCCGACTACGGGGCTTCCCGCTCTCGCGCCACTCGCGAGGCACTCGTGGGTGGTGTGGCTCCCGGCACACGAGTCCAAGTCTACATCAAGGGCATCAGTCCCGAAGTCGAGAAGGCGCACGACCCCAGTTCCCCAGTCACCCTCGTCTCCCTCCTCAGACACGAGAACAAGAAGACGGTGGTCAACTACCTCTTCAACCTGAGTTCCGACCACACGTCTTCCATCAAGGCCAAGGAGGAACTGATCGTTCAGTGCGGACCACGTAGGATGGTCGTCAACCCTGTCTTCTCCCATGGCGGCAATACCCCCAACGATGTCCACAAGTACTGTCGCTTCATGCACCCTGGAGGTTCTTGTGTTGCTTCCTTCATGGGGCCAATCACTTGGGGAGCCGTCCCGGTTCTCTTCTTCAAGCGCACGTCCCAAAGTCCCGAGCAAGGGCTCGACAGCGGACTATCACTGATTGGCACAGGGACGTCGTTGCCCCCTTCGACATCCAGAGTCATTGCCAAGCGGGTGATTCTGACTGGTCACCCATACCATATCCACAAGAACGTTGTCACCATCCGGTACATGTTCTTCAATCGCGAGGATGTCGAGTGGTTCAAGGCACTGCCTTTGTGGACGAAGAGAGGACGAAGTGGGTTCTTCAAGGAGCCTTTGGGTACTCATGGTTACTTCAAGGCGACGTTTGATGGGCGGATCAACCCTCAAGACTCTGTCGGCATCAGCCTGTATAAGAGGGTATGGCCTCGTCATGCTCGACCTATCCAAGGGTCGTTGATGGAGGCAGACAAAGTTCCACAGCTAGTGCATGATGGAGACATGGAGATGGATGGGTAACTATATAGATTTATGACCATAACGATATCCCTTTTGTCCTGCTTACAGCGAAGAATGGGCCCAGAAGCAATCGAATATTGACTCACGTGCTACGGAGTACGGTTGCCATGTTCTTTAATTACTTGGCGAGCTGTTCGAGACCTTCTGTTGGCTTGGGGCCGCCCTTGCTCTTCCTCTCTTCCTCTGCGCCGCTAGCCCTCCAAGCGCTCAAGATCAAGTTCACAATGTGGTCCACAGCGACATTCTTCTTGACTTGAGCAAAGACGGTCGGGCCGCCTTCGCGCATTTTCCGCGCATCGCGCTCCATGACACCCAGGTCCGCTCCAATGGCCTCTGCAAGATCCGTCTTGTTTACCACCAAGAGGTCACTCTGCGTGATGCCCGGGCCTCCTTTGCGAGGGACCTTGTCACCACCGGCCACGTCGATGACATAGATGATGAAGTCGGCCAGCTCACGACTGTAATTTGCGGCCAGGTTGTCGCCGCCACTCTCGATGAGCAGGATATCTGTGCCAAATTCGCGGTGCAGATCCTCCAGCGCGGCGAGGTTGGCCGAGATGTCCTCCCGCACAGCAGCGTGGGGGCATCCGCCCGTCTCAATGGCTCGGATTCGGGACGGAGGCAGAGCGGCATGGCGTGTGAGGAATTCGGCATCTTCACGCGTAAAGATATCGTTTGTGACGGCAGCGAGGTTGTATTTCTCGCGCAGGGCGAGGCAGAGGGCAAGCATCAGGGCGGTCTTGCCGGAACCGACAGGTCTGTTTGTTTTGTTAGCGAACAGTTTGTGTTTTGTTAAGCATCGCCCTTCTTGGGAACTTGCCCGCCAATGCCAATAGTGAAGGCTCGATCAGACCAGTCACGCCCTTCGACTATGGGCATCTCCCGGCCAAGATAGCTCCCCGGTCCGTCGAGAATCTCGTGGGAGTGGCCATGCTCTTGCGCATTGAACCCCGAGGAGTCATGGGTATGCGATGCTCCGCCGTCGTGGGAATGTGATTGCGCCATTGCTGCTCTGGTGTCGGTCTGCAGTCGGTATTGCCTTACCAATGGAGCAAGATATCTTGAGGAGGTTGGAATTCAAAGTCGCGAGCGCCTGGCTGGGGAGGGGCTATCATTGCCGTGGTGGCGGCACGTGCCGATTCGACATTCCACGTCAGGTAACCTTGAACGATGGGGAGGATAACCAGATAACCAAATTCTTGTAATACACAAATAGATCTATCCAAAGATCACGAGGCAAGTGGCTATGACCAGCTCCGCAGCTTGAGCTGCTCTTGGCTATTAAACATACAGTAGTGCACAGAGGCTGATACTCATACAAAAACCTTCTGGTCCAACCCTCTATTCGGACTTTTCCACCCCAGATACACCAGAGTCCTTCAGAGACACTGCTTTGGTCTGTGCAATGATCTCTCCCAGCTTCTCCAACATCTCATCCGTCAGTTCGGGTTCGCCCTTGGCTTCCTTAAGCGCGTCCCTTCTGATGCGTGCCTCGTCGCTGGGCGTCTGCATCTCCTTGAGTAGCTCGTTGCGTCGGCTCTTTGCAGCCGCCTCGTGCTCCTTCTTGGCAATGTACCAGTCCTCGTGGCGAGTTCGGAATTTGGAGTACTTGTTGCGCAGCTCATCCAAGACTGCTGGTGGCATGGGCGGCGTGAGAAGGTTGTAGAAGAACGAGCGGCTCTCAACTTGGCTGCGAACGGTGTCGCAATCGTGGGTCCGGTGGTTTGGTGCTTCAACTTCGGGCCAGGGAATGACGATGTTTGCACCTGGGACGAAACGGTCCCATCGCTTGCCATGGTCCCAGCGAGCGAGGGTCATGTTCTCTGACTTCATGTTCGCCGCAGTGCCCTTCAGTTGGTGAATTATCGTGTCCTTCATAACGCCTGTCTCGGGATCCAAAATGGGGTAGACAAGACGAACGGCATCGATAGGTATAGGCAGAGAGCTCAGCGTGGTCATCTCTTGCAGGGCCGATAGATGAGCGGCCTAAATTGGTAAGCTCATGTGCACGATGCTCGCCTACAGAACATACCTTGTGAATGTTTCGGAGGGTCACCGTTCCAAATGTCAAGTCGATGGTCGCAATGTGGTCGATCCTCCCCTTGTCGACGCCTTCCATGATCACCACCCGATCACCGACAGCCAGGTTCAAGCGTTTGACGCCTCCCGCCCATGCACAGCGTTTCACGACAAGGTCGCGTTTGGGCGTGTGCGCTCCGTCGACGCTGGCGTCAAAGTGCACCGTCCTTTGCAGAAGACCGTATCCATTGACGCCGATTTGGCGCCTCGGCGCGATAGGGCCCATTTCCCATCGCTCTTGACGGATCTTTCGGGCGAGCTCCATGTTGCTCTTGTGCTCTCGGCCGGCGTCCCTGAGTTCATCCCTGACCTGGATGCGCGTTCGAATGCGTTCTCTGTGTTCGCGGAGTTTGGCTCGGCGGACGACCTGCCGCTCGGCCTGGCGTGCCCTTTTGAAGATCTTCTCCATGGCGAGGAGGATAATCGATCCGCCCAATGTCGAGCGCCGTAGTTGTCGGATGTGGAGTGAAGCGTGCTTGTAATGTCGAATTGCCTGACGCCTGGGAAATTCTAGAGAAATTCGGGTCACACAGTGTGTAGTGCGATTAGCACGAAATGGCATGTATTCACACTGTACTGGGAGCTTCCACACTCCATGTCCGCAGTACGGTTTGGCCTCGTTGAATACCACATCCTACTAGTACCTTGATCACTCTCGATATGTCGCCACGACTTCTGTGCATGCACCACTGCACTTCAGAATATGTCCGTCGCAGCACTGATTTGGGTTGCGCTGGTAATGGTTGTGATCCGACTTACAGCCTCACGGACAGCACGCCTGTTAGCAATTCGGGACGCTGATCCCGATCGATTTGCGCACAATGCTTAGATGTAGATCCTTAACAGCATCGACGAGATCTAGCTCCTATTCCCATATTGTCAAAGGACGCAGTGTTTCACGTGAGTGATCCATCAAGGCATTGTCTAAAGCAGACCAACATTTCTTGAGTCATGGCAAGTTCGTCATAATTTGGCAAATGCTACTTATCTCGATGGCTGAGGATTGGAGATGTCAAGCTGCAGAGTCCTACGAGAATGCCCCATAGGTAGGACTAAGGTAAGGTATCTACACACCTCAAAGACACGGACATGGCGTTTGGGATGGTCACGGAGGCGATACCGCAGCTTGCCGTTACTTTAGGGGCTCGGATCTACGGCGGAATTCCTGAAACGCTAAGTGATTAATGAAAGGCCACGAGCCAACGCGGCAGCATCTTGATAAGCCTTCCAGTGGTCAGGGCGCAGGTAGAGGTGGTGGCATCTTGATGTTTGTCACTCGCAGTGGGTGCCAGCGCTTGCTTTGCTGTTTCTAGTGATATCAGCTATCAGAAATCCTCTTCTCTGAATAAAGAGGGCAATCGCTTTGTCCGTAGATCAATTGCTTGCTCGAGTTTGACTTTTGATGCATCAGGCTTCATTCAATGCTACTCAGCAATAGCGTACGTAACCTTTGTAGGTGCGCGCCTCCATACCGCTCGCCGGATACGTTCAAGCGATTACGAACATTGTGCCATTGTATTCGCGTCAGGTTGCCAACACGAACAAGGCCGTCGACATTACCACCGTCGACAGGTTCATCTGCCTGGCCTCAGCCACTCTGAGCGCTACGGTGAGCACGTCTTCCAGCAGTCCAAGCTAAACGTCAATGGTGGGTAAGAGCAACGGGAGCTTCCCATTCGCTGCCAGCATGGCCTGTGGCCCAGCAACCCGCTGGAAACACAGACCGATCCACCGCACCTCAGGCGGCGAACGGCCATGGGGCCTCAACCTGGGTGCCGCTAATGTGGCTGACGCAGTGCCTCGCTGCGTCTGGTTTGATGTCTGGGATGCAGGTGGTCCGCCCATCCAGTCAGCTGCGGCCTTCCTGGCCCCAAAACCCCCTTCTGGCTCCAGTTCAAACCTGACTCTGCCTCCATTCATCACCACTTGACGTTGACAGTGATCCATCCTCGGATCTTCTACTCACTGCATCTCCAGCCTCGCCATCCTCACACTCACCGGTCGCTGTTTCAACATCGCCAGCCCATCTTTCGTCCACCCTCCAACCAACAACCCATCTCACACAGACAACATGGCCGAGATCCGCCGAAAGCTCGTTATCGTTGGCGATGGTGCCTGCGGTAAAACCTGCTTGTTGATGTAAGTAACCTTTGCATCACAGCCTTGATCCATCATTATTTGGATCTTCCGCTACTCTTGCGGAGTTGCGCGTGCCTTTCTGGTGCTAACATGCTTTCAGTGTCTTCTCCAAGGGCACATTCCCTGAGGTAAGCCGCCACCGACCGTCACCGAACAATCCCCAAAGGCCCCCTTTCCCAACAACAAATGCTATCGCTTCCTTTCCAAAGCCCACGAGACCAGTCGTCAGCATTGTGCGCGACGGAGTCGACATCCTCTCGATGCGACACAGATAGATGCCCATCCCTTGACGCGGCTTACCAGACTCCTATGCAATACCGGCCATTGGCACCATCACTAACCGGAAATCACACAGGTCTACGTCCCCACCGTCTTCGAGAACTACGTCGCCGACGTCGAGGTTGATGGAAAGCACGTTGAACTCGCCCTATGGGATACCGCTGGCCAGGAGGACTACGACCGTCTCCGACCTCTCTCCTACCCCGACTCCCACGTTATCCTGATCTGCTTCGCCATCGATTCCCCCGACTCGTTGGACAACGTCCAGGAGAAGGTACGCAGAACATCAGATTAATCGGCATGTGGCAGCCCCAAGCTTACACTACACAGTGGATTTCCGAAGTCCTGCACTTTTGCCAGGGCCTTCCCATCATTCTCGTTGGTTGCAAGAAGGATTTGCGCTACGACCAGAAGACCATTGAGGAGCTGCGAAAGACCAGCCAGAAGCCGGTCTCCCCTGAAGAGGTAAGTCAGAATACACAAGGAACACTTGGTCAATGCTGACGTCTGCAGGGTGAGGAGATCCGCAAGAAGATCGGCGGCTACAAGTACCTCGAGTGCTCTGCCCGAACCAACGAGGGTGTCCGCGAGGTCTTTGAGCACGCCACACGTGCTGCTCTCATGTCCCGCAGCAGCCGTGGTGGCAAGCGCGACAAGAAGTGCCTTGTCCTGTAAGAAGAGTCTCTTGGACTCTTGGCACTTGATAGTCTGTTGACGTTGCGCGTGACTAAATATCCATTTCCTCTCGGATGACCTGGGTTCAACGTTCGGGCTTTGTTTAATGGACGTCGGGTCCGGTTCTTTACTGAGGAGTTTGATATCGCATTGAGTCTGTGTGCACCCACGCAAGCTCATATCTCATCAACGTCGACTCTTCCCAGCCCGAGGACCTGTCGTCCTGCATATCAACTTATGTTTGGAGCTAAGGAGGTTGGAGCTGAAAGGGGACCATCGCCTTGTAATGTGTCGACAGCTCACCAGGCAAGCGGGTCTTGTTTTTATGTATCTCTTGTGTCGCGCCACTACGGGGGAGGATAGGGCGGACCTCATTTTGGGACATGTGCTTTGTTTTCCTTTTTTCTATGCGTCTCGAGACCATTATTGCGGTGAATGTGAGAGGCCAGTGTGAGGAAGTGGGAAGGAGGACGAGGGGGACAAGGAGCTTTCAGTCATGGTTACACGCTGCGCTGGTGGTCACGTTGTGATCTGGCCAGGAACACTTGATAAATGTTCTTTTCACCCTTCTTCTGTTCCTTTCCTTACATTGCAGTCATACGCGTCCTGTCCTTCTCGGCTTGTCGTTTGGGTCGTCTTTCTCCATCATTGTTCACGCTTTCTATTAGATCATGGTAGCGAGATGCGGCACATGCTGTATAAGTAGGGAGCATTTGGAAACATGTCTACCTTATAATTCTCCAACATCCCAGCACAGGAAGATTAATGACGTGCAAAGCGTCTACCACTGACTGGACAATGCTGTGGTTCAGATTGCTATCGCAAGGTAATTCAGTTACTGCGTCGAGGATCAGTGCCTTCACCACGAGCCCCCCATTCCCCCGTTTCGTCCATCAACTCCCAAACTCATGCAGACTGTATCCTCGTTGTGGTCGTATTAGTTGGGGCACGACTGGTTCTTGGTTAGTGCTCCATCGACTTGTAGAACAGGCAGTGAAAGCTTACAGCGCCGCAGCTGCCACAAGTCTTATCGGCACCTTGGATGGTGGCACTGCACTTGGGGCAGGTCGTGTGGCTGTTGACGAGGGGCTGCATGTTGATTCGTTTGAGTCTGCTGATGGCCTTATGGCGTGTGTAAGGTAAGGTTGATTCGAAGAAGGATGTAATCAGTTTCTAGTGGTACGGTAAGGTACTGTAGGAGGAGGGGAAAGCGAATCCAGTCCTACATCTTAAGAGTCCTTCTTAGTTTCTTGGGAAGCGGGGGTTCGTGCTACGCCCCCACTCTGGCAGTACCGTGACCGTGACCGTGACTTATCACATGAAGTGCCATTCTCACAGGAGCCTGAGATTGTTCCCTTGTCGTGCTTGAGGAGTGGTTGGCCCCGCTGTGCATGAGATCGGACGCCTTGTGACGTGGGACGAGCGCAGCGCGGGGGGTGATGCTACACGAGGACAATGTGACCATGGGGGGTGTATGTGGAAATGCGGTTTCCCTTTCTCTAGATTCTATTGGGACAGGTATATACATGAAGAGGAAACGCCGTGTTTCCTTGAAGCATGTAAGGCCACGGACAATGCTATCCAACTCATGATCCTTGCGGATGGCAAATCGTATCGTAGAGCTTCTCCTCAAGTACATTTCGCTGGCTCGTCGGTGCCTGATAGGTTTGGTCAGTAAAAAAGAGACCACTACGAGAGGATGGGGTAACCCACCATACACCAGCTTATCGATGGCCTGGAATGTGCTGATCACCATGACCGCCGCACCAAATGCAACAACCCCATACGCCAGGTAGGTGCGCCAATTCCGCGTGGTCAACTTGATGTAGCACATGGGCGGCATGACATATGCCATGGCCACGGCACTTGTTGCGCCAACCAACTCAAACACCGCGCCCAGATCGCAAGTGAGCAGGCTGATGAGTGTTGCGCCGCCAACAAGACCAGTGCTGAAGAGAACATGGCGCCGCAAGCTAAAGGGGCCGTCGGGGAAGAAATAAGTCTCCATCACTTCGCGACACACAAAAGCCTCGAGAGGCAAGGTCGTCAGCATGTTCAGACCGAAGCAGAGACGGGCGACGTTGACCATGATGTTGTCGGAAGGGAAGTTGTTCAGGACATTGCCAAGCGTCTTGTCGCCGAACACGAGGAACCCGGCAAGGGCCATGGTGAGGCACGCCACCGTCGAGGCTCCCACGGACCAATGCGTGACGCGAGAGAAGTTGTCAATGGTCGGTGTCTTGAGCGAGCCGTAGATGAGTAGCGAGTTGTGATGGCAGACAAAGGCAAAGGAAATGACGCCAATAGCCTGGAAGATACCGCCGTTGATCGTCAGGGTCGGCAAGTCAAAACCACCCCTTTCTTCCTTCGGCACCATCACACCCTGCACGAGCACCGTCACCACAATGACCGCCATGCCTATCAAGGCGAGTGTGCTGGCTTTTGCCAGTTTGGCAATGTCCCGGTACAGCGTAAGGGGGTAGCTCACTCCCATGCAGAACACTGCAATGGCTATCCTTCGATCTGTCAAAAGCCCGATAACAGGCACATTCGCCATCCCAGGCCAGACGGCCAAAAGCACGTGCGGGATTGTATCGCCAACAATGACACCAAATGCCACCATGCCGCCAAACGCAAAGACCCATTGCGCCAGGCTGATGGCGATGAGCCCCGGTTTCCCAAAGCAGTATTCGACCGTCCCTTGAAAGTTGCTCGTCCCGCTGAGCTTGCTGTTGATCACAATGAGGCGGATCGTCCAGTCGATCAGGATCGTAAGACCGATCAAGAGCAGCGTGCCAGAGAGCAGGCCAGCCTGTCTCATGGCGTACGGTTGCCCGATAATGCCAGCGCCGATAATGGAATTGGCCATGTTCATAAATGCGCTCTGCATGCCCGACTTTGGTCGTCTCATTTCAGCCTGGAGGGTCTCGGCGTCGTCACCACCGAGTGCATTGGCGACCGCGACGCTCGGCGCCTCCATGTCCGTCAACAGGGGAACCCTGTGATGGTGCTGCTGTCCATCTTCCATGTCGAATTCGCTCGAGAACCTCCCGTCGTCGCTGCCCATGATCTCTGGTGTCAGGTCAAAGTGGACGCGGTTCGCGGATCGCGGCGGATGGGCGATTTCGTTGCCATCCTTGTCATAATCGTCTGCGTCGTGTAGCACCCCAAGGTCGTTGTTGTCGTCATCGTAGGCATCGCGCACAAGGAGACCTTGACCTTCTTCGACATGGCGCTGCCCTTTGGCGTGGCCATTGGCGGTCGTGGCGGTCATTGCGGAAAGGAGAGGGTTGAGTTACAAGGGAGGGAGCATCTTGCGCCGGGCGTAATTCCCTGTATTTTCCCGTGGCGGCTTTCGTGGTGGTAAGAGAAGTCAAATCGCTCGACAATACAATAAAACGCGGGGACAGGTGGTCTCAGGGTCGTCGTGTAGGTTGAAAGACGTTAGTTTGGTAAGGTAAGATACCTACGGAAGGATTGGAAATTCCATGTCTGACGTTGCGCTTCGGTTAGTGAAGGGTGCCTCCCTAACGAGGCTTGGCGATTTTAGCGAATTGATGCATGTCGATCTACGGGTACTCTCGATACCTGGTAATTAAAGTCACCCTTGAACGTGGCAGTTCACGTGCACTTGGGCGCGCTACGCAGCGCAACGCAAAGTCAAAACAGATTCCTGAAGCATACCTTATTGAGGTACCTTAGTTCCGTGTCTGCGAACCCTTCTCTGAGCCAATTCCTGATCCTTGGGTACAGGCGAATTTGCCGGCGTGCAGCCCTGGCGTTGCCACTCGATGCGACCCATGCTATCGCCAAAAGGGCTCTCGCTCAAACATGTACACGGTCCCAAATTCACACATGTCGCAATCTTGATCATCTACTATGATTATACTAATGTCGTTAAACTATTGACGCGCGAAGGCGCCAGAAAAGCTTGCGGTGCTGTGCTGTGCTGTGCGTGTTGTTGCCTGACTGACCACTGGGTATCATGATCTCCTTGATCCATATACGCGAAACCCTCATCCGCCAGCTAAGGTAGTATAAACAAATACCAACAATGCCAACGAAAGTACCCTCACTATTACCAATCCAAGTACTTCCGCCATCTAAAACATTAAAATGAGTGTGTATGTGCTCTAAATATGACTCTAGACGAGCAGAGCAAAAGCAGACGCTATGCAGAGAGAAGTTGCGAGTTTGACGCTCGCTATGTTGGTGGGCGACCCGTTCCCAGAATCGTTGTCTTCGCCGTCTCCAGACTCTTGACTGTCCGCGCTCGTAGTGGCCGCACTGCTTTCCTCACTGTCGCTGGACGTTTCCACCGGCGTGGTTTGCTCTTGGCCACCGAGCCCCAAGCTGGGCTTTGATGTGATCGTCGCGGTCATGGTCATCGAAACTGTGTCACTCGTGCTGAGGACGACAGTAGTCATTGTGGACGGCGCAACCGAGGCGCTTGATGATTGTTCATCTTCCGACGCTTCGTCGGCGTGTGCAGCAAAACCTGTGGAGTATGTTAGCACCCGGTTATTCAAATGAGTTGTGGCAACTTACCTATGCGCCTCTGCTCCTTGTCAAAGACGGTGTAGACGTTCTTGATGAACGCTGCACCGAGGAGCCACGCGCCCTTCACGACCTCCTGCCCGTATATATTACTGGTACACTCGCCTTTGTCATTCTTGGGGGAAATCCAATCCTTGGGCGAAATCTCGTAGTCAACCCCAGAGAAGGTGAATGTCAAAGTCTTGTCACTGTCGCAGGGGACTTTATACGCCATACCATCTGAGCTTTTCGCACCAGGTATAACGCTGTGAAAAGACTTGACCAGCTCCTGAGGGCCGAAAATGTAGGTAGTCCCCGTGTCGATGTAGGCGAACACATCGCCAGCGCCACTCGACTTGCCGTCGTAAGCCGTGTCGTCAATCTTGATGGCCCAATCGTTGTTCTCAGAGGCGGTGTCGGTGTACGAGATGTCACCCTTGTATTTGGTTTTGTCGGGTGATCCAAACTTGATCTCACCGTCGTTCATGTCCCCATCAGCAGCGCGGTGCAGAGAAACGGCAAAGACGCTCGAGTCGATCTCGCCGTTTGCCTTGAGCTCCTCCATAAAGTTCTGGCTGGACCCGTTGTTCATAGACATGCCCAGGATACCATCAAAGGCAAAGTGGACAAAGTCTTTCGAGGTCTCCTTGGCGACACCAAACTCGTAGGAAATACTCATGCCTCCGACAGTGAGAGTATCTACGGCCAGGCTTCCTTTCACGTTGCCCGAGCCGTAGGCCACATTGAAAGTCTTGTCCTCGGTCTTGAAGGTGTCAGAGTCGTCGGGGCCAAAGGTATTGTGTAGCTTGCACGCGTCGCTGGTACAAGTTGAGCCCATGACCCAGCTAGAGCCTGCGCCTGTGTCGAGCAGCATGTAGAGCTCTTTGCCCTTGGATCCGAGCGCAACCTTCACAAAATACGAATAGTCGGTGCCATCTTGATCGATCCCTGCTGTGCAAACCCCGCCGGTTTCCTCCGCCTCCATAACGCTATAGCTGTTCTGCCTTCGAAAGAGGTCAGGGTCGCCTCCATTGTATTTCTTCGCAAGACGTAACGCTTCACGAGCGGCTCGGGCGGTAACTGGGGACGCGGACTATGTGCAACGGTTAGTATGCAGTTGGGCTGGCGTGGGGAAGTGGCACAAGCTCACCGTGCTACTGTCCTGCCAGGTGGCCGAGTCAACATCCTCAGCCCTCGAGGATAGTGCCCTCTTCGCTTGCAATTCTTCCAGCCATGGCGGTTGGTATGGATAGAAGGCCTGGACCAAAGGTGCGCAAAGTACCGCGGACAGCAATTGCAGAGAGCGCATGATGCGAACCCAGAAGTCAATGCCAAGCCACAGTACTCTGGCCAGCAAGGTCTTGGGCTTTCTGGTCGAGTAAGGCGGGCTGGCGCGAGGGTTGAGGCGAGGAGCGACGCGCGAGACGCGCGGTCGGTTGATTGTATAGAATATTAATGATTAGGAGGGCATGCTGATTCGGAATTGGAAGGTCGCAGGGCTGTGCAAGTGCGGACTCGAAGACAATGCTCGTATGATGACCAGGATCGCGAAGACAAAGAACGGAAAGACGTAGCGCAGAGACGAGTTGTAGAGCAAAATGACAAAGACAAAACGCAATGTAGCAGTTGCAGTTACAACAGCTTGAGCAAGGAGAGGGGAAAGAGAGACTGAATTAAGTAGGTGAAGGGTGCGGTCTCAAGATGAGGGAGAGTTGGAGGGCCGTGGTGGTGGCAATGCGGAGGAGTTGAGGGACGGTTGGAGGGCAGACGGGGATCAGTCGCTCTAGGGTCGCGTCTAGCGCCTATCTGCTACTGGTTAATCATCTCGATACCCTGCTAGGCTGGCTGGGATCGTCCACTGCGGGTTGGCTTGGGCCGCTTGGCACGCTTTGCCAAATTACCATCAGCACCGGGGATCGTCATCAGCGAATTGCCGTTACCAGTGACCACCCAGCAGTTTTGCGCCTTTGGCTGCCCTCAACTTCTCACGAAGCCGCTGGGCCCTCCTCTCCGCAATGTTATGCCGTGCTTAGCGAGTTTTGGAAGTCCAAGTGATGCAACAACACAGTACGCTAGGGCCATCATGTCCACCGACGTCCCGCCGGCACGTAGTGCTGCAATGGCACGTTAGGCGTCCTGATGAAACCCTGTGAAGACCAACAACCAACATGTGGCCGCTTCATTGTTCACGACTACTCCTACGTTTTGACACGAAACATTGAACAATGGTGCTGGTAACCGTCACCATCTCGAGGCCCGTACGTCGTGATGTTAGACAAAGCTCTGTCCTGGAATGTTTACCCCTATCCACTAATAAGTTAGCCCCGGCCCGCGCATCTCAGTGCTAATCCGACAAATAAGATCGTCCAATTGGATACTTTCCCCGGGGACTGAACCTTGACGACATTCTTGGACGCTGTGGCCTATTCCCGATGTCGCCTGGCGGCGTTTACAGTAAGTCATGTCGCTACAAGCCTGCAAGGCTCCAGTCTGCGTCTGGGCAAACAACTGCCATTGGTCCATCGTCTGCGCACGAGCCTACCACTTTGTCGTCGGCCTTGGCTTGGTTACTGCACCCTAGCAGGCCGCAAGTGGCACAGCATGTTCCGATTTTAGATGTCGGGTTGTGCATGCGGTCTCGCAAAGTGCATCCGCTGACAGACCCGGCCAGGCAGGTCTCCATTGTGACAAAGAAGTATTCAACCAGCGACCAAGGGGCGCAATAGAGTTGGTGTGACTGCTCAATGCTCGAGAGTGAAGAGTCAAGGCAGGAACAGCCTAACAGGGGTTCGATCTTGGGACTCCACCCACTCCATGTCCTGATACAGGGTTCCCGTGCAGGCTACCGATCGAAGTTTCAAGTATCGAGGATCCAAAAGACGAACATTTAATATATGTATGTATGTAATTATTTCAATAATATGCCTTTCTGCTAATGACAGGGGCGCGGAAGTTCATGACAACATGATAGGTGATTCTCTATCTTAAACAGAGCTCTACTGTAGCTTGATAGTATCTTACATCGTTCTGCAGGCCGGCCAAGTACTAATCAATGGTGTGCCAAGTGCGAGCTACTTGGCGCTTGTACGTCGATTGTGATCGGCAGGAGTTGCTGTACTGGCAGTGATAAGGTAAGGTACTGTAGATACCTTGGAGAGTGCCGCGATTGCAAGCATGGAAAAGGCAACGACTTTGGTATCTGTACTATCGCAGACTCGCTTAACCTTAGTTTGGTGTCCTGTTTCACGTGGAATCTTACATATCTGTTGACGATGGGCGAATTTCGGGTTTTCCATGTTCCTAACAATCAAAAAGCGGACGAGGGTTCCAATATAGATCGTTTCACTAACAAAAGCCCCATTTCGTCGTGCTCAGGGTGACAGGATATGTCATCCCTCCACAGCAATGATCAAAGTCATCATGTTTCAATTCCTGTGTTTTGGCATGGCGTTCCTGGAAGCCAAGTTCTGACGACCCCGTGAGACAGTCTCAAGCCGCATCAACGTTGTCATTATCCGTAGTCACTAGTGACAAGACACCCCATGGCCACGCGAAAGTCTCCGAAAGGTCTCAAAGCAATCTCTTGGCTCGAATGGAGGGATGTGAGCAATTGCGTGTGGAATGTGCTGCTGAAGATACGAAGGGCGAGAGAAGGTAGTTCAATGGTCGCTGTTGGCCGATCAGTCGCCCACGCCTCATTTAGACCATTGATCGACCCATTGCAATGTTCTTCTCAGCATGCAGCTGTCGTTCACAGTCGCCCCGTCTTGAAGTTCGATCAAGGCTTCATGAAACTGCCCAGTCAGGCGACCCTGAGATGCCGCAGACAACACCAAGTTGCGGAGAAAGTACCAGATTGACTCATTCCGCCAATGAAATGAGCGTGCCAGCTTCACGGTCTCATCAAAAACATCTTTGCAATGTTCGCTGTCTCTCTCCAGCAGCCAAAGGAGAAACATCCACCCTGAGACGTCGTCGTGGTGACGGAAGCACCACTTCATGGTAGGATCAACGAGCCCTGAGCAAATCCGCAGTGGCGTCGGACTCGCGTCAATCAGTTGGCGAGCGTGACACCACGCGTAGTAGTTCCGAGGGTGCCTCTCTGCTGACACGTACACGACGTTTGTAATGTCCTGCATCGCGTCGATGGGCTGCCCATGCTGCGCAAACTGCCCCATCAACCAGCGGCGATGGCTCCATAGCGTCGGCGACTTTGTGTGGCGATGCAACCGACTCGTAAGCAGACTGTCAATGAAGTACTTTTCCTGGTTCAGGCGTTGTATTATTTCGGTACCCACGGCGTCTGCGCTGAGGAGCGTGCGCTTGCGTACATTGGCTGCTGTGAGGTGCTCTGGGTCCATGAGCATGATCACGGCCGTGGCTGGCAAGATTTCCCGCGGCACTCGGTGTGCATCGTCTTGACGCCTTTGTAAGACCTGACGAGCAACGATGAAAGCTTGCACCAGTCGCAGTTTTGGTATGGCAACTGCATTTTGTTCCTGGATGAAGTTTACCCCAACATTGAGCGGATAGGCTTGTCCGAGCAATTCTATTTCCAATAGGGATGTATGGTTTTGCTGAAGCAAGCCTGAAATAGAGACATAGACTGCCTGGTGATCGCCATTTTTCAGGGCCTCTTTGACGCCTTGGTCAAGCGCTCTGGACATTGTGTGTTGTGCTCATGGCGAGCTGACGTGACGTTCAGGGTAAGGCACACGTAAGGTACCAGGTGGAAATTGACCCGAGAAGTGGATTTGGAGGGGTGATGACATCGCCCACAAATCTGTCCACCGCAAAGCATGCCTGATCTTGCTTCTCAACCACAACTATCGTCAACCACTTGCGGCGTACCACGATGCCGTCGGTTCTGGTCATCGTCTTCCTCGTCGAGGTGACTGCGCGTCTAGTCAATGCTCTCGGCGCTGCAGCCATCAACGACTTCGTACGTGCCATGCTGTACCTTTGTAGAATCCCGCTGACAGGCCACAGCTTTGGACTGCGGTCAACCATCTCCCGATCTCGACGTCACAAGCCGCGGCGAAGCAGCGAAAGCTACAGGCCGAATATCTCAAAGTGCGATCGGAGCTCAACGCGACCAGTAGCCAGGACCAGTTCGCGAAATGGGCCAAACTACGTCGACAACACGATAAGCTCCTTGAGCAGCTCGAAGCCACCAGTGCGCAGCAACTCCTTCTATCATGAGATGATCGAATGCTAACGGCTTTGTGCAGAAAAATCTATGGAAGCATCACGCTCGAGCTTCGACCGATACCTCACCGGCGTCCGCATGCTGCTCACCAAGGCGCCCCAGTACATTGTGCCCTTCTGGTACGCCAAAGAGCCCATGTTCTGGGTGCCGCACGGCTGGTTTCCCTACTACGCGGAATGGATCATCTCCTTTCCTCGAGCACCTTTGGGAAGCGTCAGTGTCGCATCGTGGCAACTCGCTTGCGCGGGCATGATTGCCCTCCTGAGCGATCTGATCACGGGGATATATGGACTGCTGTTTGCCGCCTCCAAGCGCAAGGAGGAACCGTTGAAGTCCAAGGTGGCAGCGAGCGAGAAGAAGGAGCTGTAAAAAGCCCTGGTAGTCCGAAACACAATCAACTATACGTATCACAAGTTGCATTGGAGTGAAAATATGTATCTCTTAGAAAAAATTGACGCAAAGTTCCTAATTGCCGAAGCTGGGACTTTGTAACACGACGGAGAATAACCCTTGGCAGGGTATTTGGGGATTGCTCTAGGCAGGCTTTTTGACTCTGGTGACCACGGAATGAAGATCACCAAAGCTTCGAAAGCGCCAGTTCGATCACGGCGGAAGAGACGGAGACTGTGAAACGTGAGTGTGTATACATGAGGCTGTCTAAAGTTGCAAGAGTAGAGAACAAGTCGGCGCCACGTCCGAGCAAGGTGCGCAATGGTGGGCGTTGTGTTGAGGGAAAGGAAAGTGAAAAGAAATTTCGAGGCATTCTGCGGTTTTGATGGCTGAGGTGACCCCACGACCAAAACCGGCAGGGCCGCCCCACATCAATTGTCACCGCGACAATGAACGAGCGGCTAGCCTTGGCGCCACATGTCATTCTGCCAACCTGATGCCATGTCACCCTTGACGTACCAGTGATCCCTTGCTGATACACATCAACCGTCAAGATGGCAATCTCATGGGACTCGTGAGTTGAACAGAGCGCCGAATGCAGCGACAGCAAACTAACCTCACCCTCTAGCATACGCTCGTTTCTTCTCCTTGTCGGGCCTATACTTATACCCAAGCTGCTTGCATTCTATCGCGCCTCCAAGAACTCGAGGAACCGTGCCCTCCCCATACAGTCTATTCCCGTCAACGTTTCCGTCGCGTTGACGCTTCTCGCCTCTTTGACGATTCTCTATCTTGCCAAGACGATCCCTTATTTCGCCCCCGAAAATGTATTCTCCAAGACCGACTCGCGACTCCAGATACCAGTCGATGTCCTGTTCACACGCATCGCGTCGAGCCGACCAAACGAGACGCTGACAGCGGCCGATCATGTGCTGAGGTCCAAGTTTATCAACCTAGAGTCTCGACTCCTATACCTGCAGTTTGGGCCCGACGTTCTTTCTGAATGCCCCTTTTGCAACTCTGACGAGCCCCGGAGCTACTTCTACTACGCCATCCCCGCGATAATCTGGCCACACATTGCGAATACGGTGGCCATCGCGGCGGTTACGAGCCCGACTCTGACCGGGCGGCATGGCGCCCAGTGGAGGACCTACGCGACGATAGCTTCGGGCGTCTTGGGTGCTCTCGAGGTGTACCTCGTCAGCTCGTACAACTATCAGCTCAACTCGCGTGCCCTCAGGTTGCACCAGCTCGACATGTTCTTCTGGGACATGCGTACCTACCGCTACGCTGCACTTGCTGTGCTGAATGCCGGCCTCGCTTACGTCCTATTCCTGTCGTCCACCAACCGTGCATTCGGCACGCCCCCGAGCCCAGCCGAGCGCGTAGAAACGGCGAACCGGGCACTCGGTGCCGCTAGAGGCAAACTGAACGCCCTGGGAATCATCAGAAACACTACGGTGCGGGACGATGACTTGCGCACACGGGTACAACATTACTGGGCTCATGAAGTGCGCTTGATGGGAGAGGTCATGGAGGAGAGGGAAGTCGTCGAGGGTGTTAACGACGCACTTAGTAATCGTATCAAGATCGAGGACATCAGCCGAGACGCTGAGATGTACGCACAGAGCGTGCTGCAGCCTCTTGAGATCAAGAAGGAAGAACAGAGCTAGCCAATTAGGTCTGACATTATGAACAGACCAAGCTAAACGCGCCTGGAAATTGATTCTGGTTAATGCTATGCAAACAAAACCAATGATGCCTCTCTATGATGCAAAGTATCGCAAGTCGAGCAGCGAGCTCCGTTTCAATGCGCGAGTGTGCGGCCTCCACTAAGGCTTCGACTGCTCCTTTTCCGCTGTCAAGCCCGTAGCTACACTGCTGCTCGTGCTGTCTTTCCGAGCCCTGGGGTCCTCGCCAGCGCCTTCCTGCGCACTGCGTTCGAGGAAGCCAGCCCATAACTCAGCCAAGGATTCCTTGTCCTTGCCGCCAGAAGGAGAGGGTTCAGAGAACACGTCTGCGTTGAGTGACGGAGAACTTGGCGTGCGATGAAACGGGGACACCGGAAGACGTAGACTATTGCTTGACGTGCCTGGTCGCGCAAGGCCAGCTTGCTCGCGTTGTTCGTCGGTCCAGTTTAGATAACCAGCCATGACTTGGAGGACCTGAAAGCGTTTCACGTCTCCACGATCCAGAGTCAAGAACTGAAGAAGGTGGTTGGTGATGATTTGCCTAGGATATGAGTAAGCTTGATGGACGGTTAGGCAAATACCATTACACTCACCGGTCAACGTTATCTTCCGGTTTCGTCTTCTTGAGGTATCGCAGCGCTTTGGTCAAATGGTCGTTCAAAACGATAGCTTCATGCCTGAGCTTGCCGATGAGGAGATTCTTCTCCTTGACCTCCTTCTCGAACGGCGCAGTCCGCTCGAGTTCGGCCGTCAAACTAGCCTTGGCCGTCTCAGCTTCGCTGGCGCGGGCTTCAGCTTCCTGCGCACGCTTCTTGTGCGTCTCAACCTGTTGATCTGTTGACTCCACCATTTCGCGAAGTTCTCTTTTCCGGGCTTCTTGTATCTCGCGGAGGGCGTTTTGGAGATTATCGACCAAGGTTGTGTTGCTGTCCCGCTCTTGCGCTGCTGTCTCGTAGCCTTCCCTCAGCGCAGCCATTTGCTCCTCCAAGTCGGAGACCTTATCCTCAAGACTCTCCTTCAAGGATCGTTCCTCCATCGCAATGACTTCCCACTCGCCCATGGCGTTCGATGTTGTCTCCAGCTCTTCCTTGAGGTTCTGAACCGCCCTCTGCATGTCGTCTCGCTCCTTTTGCCAGTTGGTCGCTGAAAGGTTGTTGCGACTTCTCAACGTCGACAGTTCTCGTTGCGCATCGTGCAGCTCCTCCTTGAGCTTGGTCACATCTTCGCCTGAAGATTCTGCGGAACCTCTCAGCTCTTCGTTCTGCGCCTCCAGCTCCTCGACCCGTTCCTTGGCTTCCTCGAGCTCAGCCTTGTCTCGTTTTAACCTGTCGCTCAAAGTCTGCTTGATTTGGTTCACTCTCCCCAACAGATTTTGGTACTCCTCCTCAGCTGATTCTTTCGCCGCGTTGCTCTCTTCAAGCTCTGATTGGAGACGGGTGACTTCGGATGCGTGGTTCTCCTGTATGCTCTCCAGTTGTTTCCGCATTCGCTCCACTTCCTGCCGTAGTGTCTCTCGCTCGTGGCTCATCGCTTCGAATTTCGCAGCAGTGTTGGTGTCATTCTCCGCTGGCCCCGCTGCCAACCCGTTTGTCGAGGGTGGTTCTTCGGGATCATTTTCCTCGGATGTCTGTTCGGTATCGTTGTTTGTAGTGTTGTCCTGGTGGCTGGTATTAATGTCGTGTCTGTGACTGAGGTGTCCTCTACGTACAGCTTGTGAAGGAGTCGCAAGCTCTTCATCTTCGTCTTCTCTTTTCGAGTTGTCATTCAGGGGCTGTGCCGTGTCCTGTTTCTTGCTCGCGTTTTTCTTCTTCTTGTTGTTGTTCTTCTTTTGCGCTGCGCATCCACCGATGTTAGTTGATGCTTGACAGTGATGTCTGGAACAGACACGCCTTACCTGAATTAGCACCCTGCGTCGGGTCCGTACTGGCTGTATTTGATGACATGTTGACGTTTGAACAAGAGATATTAAGAGCTACATTGGGCCTGCTGAAGCGTAACAAACTCAATGGGGTCCGCGAGTTGTTCGTCGTTGGAATCCAGCTGTCCACTTCGTCGCGACGGAGGGCAACAATTGGTGATGCAAGCGGAAGCCACGCGACGCTTCAGCCACACCGTGACTGTGGTGTAGTGGAGTTTACGCCACGCTAGCAGCGCACGACTAAAACCTGCGCCTTTCCGCCTTTCTGGATTTTGGTTCTTCATCTTACAATCATCTTCGCTGTCACGTTATTGAACAAGATCGCTTTACCCATGACTTATTCACGATCTGTCGCGAAGTAGAGAATTTCAAGCGCCTTTCATAATCCCGCACGTTCACATGTTATGGGTGTCGCGGGTTCGCTTATGTGCGTACATATTTTTTCTAGAAACCTGCTGTTCGCAAAGGAAATGGAGTTTTCGACATCAAAACGTGAATATTGAACCCATTACGCCAAGTAGATAGATCCATCTAAGCCTTCGCTTTCCTTGTTTTCTTGCCCTTGGTCTTGGGTGCAGATATAGACTTGGTCTCAACCGTTGTCTCTGTCGGAGTCTCCGTGACGACTTCCGTCATAACTGCGGTCTCCCCTTCCGGGGCCTGGATCTCTGCCACTTCTTCAACCGGCTCTGCTGGTGGTGGAATGGCCTTGATTTCCGGTGCCTCGAAACCGTATCCGATTTCCTGGAGCTTCGCAGACTGCTTGGCCCGCTTCTTCTGCTCTTTGGAAACGCGCTTCTCCCATGTAGCCTCGGCCAGGGGCTTCTCAAGCTTCTTTCCCTCCATCTTGTTCCACGGCACTTTCTTGAACCTCCTGTTGGCGTCCTTGAACAGTTGAGCATGAACCTTCTCCTTGGGGATCACATGGCACTTCAGAATGTGGCCAAACAGAAGGTAGTTGTTCATCGTCTTGGCGACAATGTCTGCCGTGCTGGACTCAGCAAACTCGATGAAGGCAAAGTGTTTGCTGGCGCCGGTCTTCTTGTTGCGCGACAAACGGAGTTTGTTGATAGCGCCAAATTGTGAGAAGTACTGCTTCATTTCATGCTCGTAGAAACCGTGGGGAATGCGGCCAATGTAGATAACACCGGCATCGCCACTTGAAGTGGCCTTGGCCGCCTTCTCGACAGCTTGAGCGACATCGGGAATCACTCCCACCGGCTGTCCAGTCTTGTACACGACGTCACCCTCAGGTGTGTCTTTCTCCTCTTCAGGGTCAACCTGCTTGACGAGGGACTGTGTCTCATCCTCGACCTCTTCGTCTGACTCGGAGTCGGATGGCACCTCGATCTCGTCATCTGCGGCGGGTTTCGATTTTTTCGTGGTCTTCTTGACTTCAACCTCAGCTTCTGTCGCGGTGGCTTTTCCGGCGGTTTTCTTCGTCGACTTTTGAATTTTCTTGGGGACAGGAGACTCGGCATCAGCAACTGGCGCTACCACTTGTCAATATTCGTCACGACCGCATGGCTGAATTGGTGGCCTACCCTTGCGTTTGCCCTTCACAGCCTGCTTCTCGACCACGGTTGTCTTTGCGTCTCCATTCTTGGTCTCGGAGACAGCTGCCAAAACATTAGTACAATGTGGATTGACAATTGCGAAGGGCTTGCCTTTTCTGGATCTCAATTCGCGCGCCATCGTGAAAGATTGTGTAGCTGACCAAAGAGAGAGACGGTGTTCGCAAACTCAATCATGGAGGCTGAGGTTCCAAAAAAATAATTCTGCCAAGCGGTAATCAATATCGGGCTTATCGGTATCAGGAGGTGGGGCATCTCGCAAGTTAGCCCAGTAGCTCCCCAGTACACTGGCAGCCTGAGCACCAGGCGAGGACCGAGTCTTTGAAGAAGATGGCTCTTCATCACACTGATCAAATACTTTGAATCGTTCCACGAATACATCTAAATTACACTCATTTGAGCTGGTGATAACTTCGCGAAATTGGGAAAAGAATCAAGTATCGCAGTGCGCCAATCGTCAAAAATGGTCAAGGGCGAGACGGACCTTTCTCATGAAGAGATCTGGGATGATTCGGCGCTGATTGACTCTTGGAATTCCGCTCTTGATGAGTACAAGGTACAATGAGTATTTTTCCAATACATGGGGCGATCTGATAGTTTCTCAGAGATATCACAGCATCCACGCCAAGGGCGGCAGCCTCCAGGACCTTGAGAAAGTGGTTGAGGAGAGGTACGTTTGTGTGGTTCATTCAGTGAAGACTCTGGCGCTGACAACCACACCAAGTGCTGCCAGAAGAGAAAATGCGTCCGAAGGTCAATTTGAGGATCCCAACAAGCCCTCAGATCAATTGTCAGAGACCGCTGCCATCGACGAACCACGCCCGCAGAACGCAATTGGGCAACAGCAAACATCTCCAGGACCCTCTCCGCCCGAGGTACTCCTAGGCTCAGGTGGGCAATCTTTGTTCATTCTTGGACTATTTTGGACAGATCCGCTAACGTGAAATCCACTCGTAGTCCAAGACGAGAGTCTCAAGAAGCTGATGATGGCTTGGTACTACGCTGGGTACTACACTGGCCTGTTTGAAGGCCAGCAGCAAGCACAGAAAAAGCCTTAAGTAGCCAGCGCATGCAATAAGATTGCAGATATTCGCTGGATTTGGCAAGTCTATCAAGGGCCGAGGCCCGACATGGACCAGCTACGTACAAACGATGGAAGATGAGATTGAGGGCCCGACGCCGACCGTAGCATGCTCCTGGCACTGTAGGTACGACAAACCGCTTCCACAATGAATATGCCACTGATAACCGCCATTCAGGTTCGTACAATTACTAAGATAATTGCCGAACCAACCCACAGTGATAGCACAGGTCGATATGCGCGGATCTAAGCTAGCCTTGTCGCAGGTGGGTTTCACCTGAAGGCGAGGACTGACCACCAATTTCGGCATTAGACGTAATACGTACATACGAGTACGGTACTACGGATACCGAAAAGCCAAGAAAACACCCAAACCCCAGGAGACGCCATCAAGAGCTGCTGTTGGCCCCGACAAAGCCTTGCGGCGCCACAAACGGCCATAGTTGGGTTATATCAGTGGCGGTCTCGCACGTCCGACTGGGGTGCCGACAAAATGAGACACACGCCCGAGACGCATCTGTCACAGCGAACCCCTCGCAAATAGAAACACCACGACATTTTTGAAAACACACGGCCACTGAAAACTTGTCGTCCTCATCGGATAACACTCGAACCGTGTATTATTGCACGAGCGCCCAGAAGGTATGGTCGCGGCCCGGTTTCAAGGAAGGACTACTCAGCCCTCGCCAAGTTGGGGACGAGCGACACTCAACCCTGACCAGCCATGTCCAGAATGGTATTATAAGCATTCTGCGCGCCGTCGTCAATTGGCTTGTTGTACCAGCTCTTCATCACTCGGTCTTCACTCCAGTGTGCTTCTCTTTCACCTTGCGTCTTTCCTTCAAACTACTTGTACGAGCAGGCACTCGCTTCAAACGCATTACACATAATCATCGCTTGGTCGATATTTCTTGATACCCCATTCCTGTCGCTTCCAAATCAACTCGCAATCTTCCACCTATTCACACCATCATGAAGTTCGGCACAGCACTTGCTTTGGGTGTCGCCCCGGCTGCTATGGCAGCCAAGGTCCGCAACACCTACCCACCCACACGCCGGGCTTGGGATTATGGACTGAATGCTCGGGATGGTCACTGGCCCGCAGAGGCAGGCCAGGAGTCCGCGGTCAGCGAACATGTCTCGAACGTGGATCAAAGTCAGTGGTCCTGGCCGGAGGACATGTCTGTCGGCAAGCAAACCGAAGTCATCATCATTTGGCAGCACCCGGGCGGCCAGGGTCACGAGACTGTCAGGTACCACGACAAGGTCACAGTCACCGAGACTGTTACTGCTACGGCTCATCCTGGAGCGGCTCCCACTGAGATGCCTGTTGCTCACCCCCCTGAGGCCGCTGCCACTCACACCGTGACTGTCGGCGGACCCAACGGTCTTGTCTACGAGCCAGAGTCGCTGCCCAATGTGCCCGTTGGAGACATGATCATCTTTGAGTACCTTGCACAGAACCACACCGTCACTCAATCTACCTTTGATCTGCCATGTGACCCTCTTGCAGGTGGCTTGGACACGGGCCACCAGCCCAACCCCGACAACTCAATCGTGCCTGCTCCTCAAGTGGCCATGCAGGTCACCACGAGCGACCCTTTGTGTAAGTTTCTTCTTTCCTGGCATGCGAGCAACGGCTGACTAGGACAGGGTTCTACTGCAAGACAGGCAAACACTGCAGCTCCGGCATGGTTTTCTCTATCAACCCCACCGCGGAGAAGTCTCAGGCCATCTTCAAGGAGAAGGCCATGAACACAGACCAAGGCGACGGCGCAGCGGCTCCTCCTCCTGACGAGAGCGCGACGCCGGCCGAACCTCCCGCTGGCGGAGAAGCACCGGCTGAGGGCGGCGCAGATGTCACACCTGGAAAGGGGACCGTTGGTCAAGATGGAAGCTGCGTCTGCATGGTCACCTGTTCTGCTGGGGGCTTCCCTGCCAGCCAGGTCCAGGGCGTTGGCGCAACAGGTGGCATGGCTGGTACGCTGCCCATCAACATGGCCGGCCTCCGCTAGAAAAGGCATGGCAGCTTGTTGGTGTGGTTTGATGGTTTGGGATGGTCTCACTGGAATCCCCGGTTCATAGATTCAGGATGGGCGTCGACTATTGTGTCGATGAGTTTTTTTGTAGACTGGAACGGGTAGGTTCTTATGTATGACTGGGTCATACTCTGAGTCAATATGATTTAATGCACCGAGCAAAATGCCGCTGTTTCTGGTCGATGCAATCACAGAGTGAGCATGAGGAGTGCTCGAGAGTCAAAGACGAAGCTTCTTGAAATCCAACCTGTATCGTCCATTATTCTCCATTCGCCCATACTGATCCTAAAAACGATACTGTTCCCCCCGAAATAAAGGCGCCTATGCTATGTTGTGTCCTCATTCGCTTGTGCCATCTCGGTCGGTCGCAGGCCCCTATCCGAATCTTGCATACAGGGGGCGTCTCATTTCTTTTCGGCGGCAGCCTTTTTGGCCTCGGCTACAAGCTTGATCAGAAAGAAACCGTTGGAGCAAGAGATGTGACATACCAGCAGCTTGCTTTTGCCTCATGATCTCCGCGGCAGTCTCCTTGCTCCGCTGCATTTCCGTACCGCTCATACTGTTTCCTTTCTTCTGAATCCGAGGTCAGTGCTGCCATCACAGATCTCCCGGGGCGACATTTACCTGCGCGGCTTGTTTCTTGAGGTTCGCCTCGCGGGCCTTGTCGCGTTGGTTGCCGCGAGCCATCGTTGCGATTGGAGCGGTAGAGGGATCGAGATAAGCGCGGGGATTGCAAGATTCGAGTTTGGCGTGATGATGATGGAGGAGGACAACGCTGTGACAGTTGCAAGTCAGGGTGCGCACACAGAGCGTCTGACCATGGACGTTTGCGCATCGCTTCGAGACCGCGATGCTCGCTAGCCTATCAGAGGCCTCCATTGCTGATGCTTCATGAAGTCTGGACTCTGTTGGGTCCAGTCTGGCCAGCCGCCATCGACCAATAATGTCACATCAGCCATCAAAATATCGATAGTAACCCGAGGTTCGATTAAACATGTTGGCTCTCGAGACTGATCCGGCTCAGCTTCACAATCTATTGCGTAAAAAACCAGATCCGAATTCGAGCGCTCCCAATCTGTCCAGTGGCTGGAAACAACAGCCTGGATATGGCTACCCTTGGACTCAAGAACTACACCGACATTGATCGCAGTGGCCGGGGCCATTGAGGTTTACCAACATTCTGTCCTCAGATCAATACCATATTTTCAGGATCTCATATCTTTCCATGGAGCTAACATGTACCTAGTTGAATGGGTGATAGTTCTCCATATACCAGCTACAATAGATGCGTATAGTAAGCACGGCATTCTGGCGTGGTGAATTTTGGGTCAAGAAGGCTACCAACGTCACAGCTGGCGACAGCAAGGTGAGATAGAGCGAACACCCCAACTACATTCAAAGGGTTGGCTCTTCCGTCTGCTATCTCTCAGCCTACAAATGGTCTTGCAGGCTGATGCGACCGTCTCGAGCTCCGGAAGGATTCTCGAGGAGTGAGCTAGTGGAGTGTGGCGAAGGGCATCTCCGTGCGTGAGCGCCTGGAGTTGGACGGCCGTATGGGAAGCTCAGGGTCCTTCTTAAAGCACCGGATTTCCTGTAATCAGCTTCTCGAGACCAGCATGGAGTTAATCTTGTATAACGCAAGTGACCGCATTTCACGCCATGTCCGACTTGAAGAAGAGCGCGCCTGAAGCGCCAAAATACACTATCGTCAGGGATTCCAGTAAGCCACCTCCTTTCCAGCACTTAATGCGACTTATTCTGATCGCATAGTCATTTATGAGCGCATTTGGTATCTGGAATACCGTCTGGGCATCCGGTCCAATGTAGTCGTTGCTGCGACTTACAACCACCCTTCTGGCCAGGCGCTCACGAAGCCAATGGTCCTCAGAGCACTCAAGACCGTCATTGAACAACAGCCTTCCATGCGTCTTGTTGGCGTCCCTGTTACCAAGCAAGACAAGCAAGGGAAAGAAACGACAGGGCTGATGATGGCCGCCTTGAACGAGATCAACGTGGAAGAGAGCGTGCAGTTCAAGGAAGGCCAGGGCATTACAGAAGAGATGATTGAGAAGCTCCACAACCAGTGGGACTTTGGTGAACCCGATAAGCCATGGTTCAAGCTCGTTGTTTCGGGCTCGACTGTGTACTACGTCAACCATCACGCCATAAACGATGGTATGTCTGGGTACATCTTCCATCGAACATTCACAGCGGCGCTCAATGCGGCCGGCGCCAACTCGTCAACGGACGGAGTCACCACCTGGAGCAGTACATACGACCCTTCGACTATGGCCATTACACCTAGCCTGCATAGTGTTGTTCAGCAAGGTGAAGCCAAGGGGAAGCCATGGCAGGTCAATGTCTGGGAAGTCATCAAGCCCGTTCTGACAGCTTGGCTTCTGTACATGTTTGTGCCCAGCTGGCTTGTCTTCTCAGACCTTCCAAGTGTGAAGCCAAAGCCACATACTGCATCTACTGTAATCGAGGCATCCGACCGTGGCGTGACGAGGACAGTCCTCCGCAGGATTCCCGCAGAAACCATGGACAAGCTCGTGGCCAAGTGTCGCGAAAACGGAACCAGCGTAACGGCACTGCTCATGACCATGCTGACAGCCAGCATCATCAACGACTACTATAGCGACAAGACGTTCTTGCTCAGTGTCATCTCGGTGGACATTCGCAATCGCCTGCCCGACGACATGATTGCCCTGGAGAACAAAACCATGGGCAACCGCGCTGGTGGAGTCTACAGCTTCCAGAAGACGGGCAAGTACAAGGGTCTTTTCCCATCTGGTCAAGACAAGCTCGGCGAGCAGTCCTCGACGCTGAAGACGGATGAAATCTGGGCGCGAGCGAGGGATGCGAAGCAGTGGATGCATGCAGGGCTGGACCCTGCTGCTCGTACCATCCGTGCCTCAGCAGAGCAACCCAACGATCTGGACGCGGTCGCAAAGACATTGACGGCTGGAGAGGCAATGAAGCCAGCTTACAATCTTGGAAACCTCGGTCCATACGTTTCCGAGAAGAGTCAGGATGGTTGGACTGTGGAAGACGTTGCATTCTCTGGCCCTCCTCAAGGAGGGATTGGTGGTCCTCGCCCCCCTCTGTTCCAGGTCGGTGGTGTCAAGGGTGGTAACACGCATATTGCGACAAACTGGCAGGATGGAGGCATGCCGCGCGAGAAGATTGAGGGCATCGTAGATGGCACGTTGCGGAGGATAGAGCAGCTGGTGATCTCGTAGTAGTTGTGTCCATGTAAGAATTGATTGCAAGCACAAATGGGAATTCAAGGAATCGGTACTTTACGTCGGTCTGGATGCGTGTACGTGTTGTTGGAGAGCTCAGCCGATCGGCAATCAGCACCACAGTGAGGTGGGCAAGCCGATTTCCAGGGACCACGTGACCTATGCTAGCCGCCCGCTCAACTACAAGGTAAGCGCGTAACATAAACGCGACCTGCTGGTTCGCGCTTTTGACCGTGCAGCATTGGCCGGCATGTCTGGCCTTCGCAGATTGATACTAATAATAAAAGTCAGTCTGCTGAAAGCGCCGGTCTGGAATAGCTTTGCAGACGCCCCGCTATGATCCTCTCAGGCTGCGCAGTTCGTTGACGGCGCTTGACTGGTTTGAAACATCGATTGATTGTCGACGACCAATGGATGCGACATGACAACCGACTTCCGACATTTGCCCATGACCCAGGTGGTGAGCAAGGCCAAATGCCAAGCAGTAGCAACAGCTAGTTACCGCCCACCTACATCAAACTTGATGCTGCGGTCTTCGTCGACTGGCTCTGCGTTGTCGTGCTACAAGGCCATGAAGACGCGACCTTGAAACATGACCTGGCGCGAGACTGCTGCCCGACGAATCTTGCAATGGTTTGGTTTGGCATGGTTTGATATGGTTGACTCATCCGGAGGACTGCCTGTGCCGTCGAATCGTCGAGCTGCCGCTGGCCTTGTCTTGCTACGCGCGCGTGAATCTGGTCTCATGTTCCCTCCTGTTCATGTTCGCAAGAACAAACGACATGGGCCCTGCTCCTATTCTTGCAGTGACACAAGCTTGCTGAGATGGCATTGAACGGCTGACAATAGGAACATCGCATACTAAAGACAATGGCGCCCCCTCATCATGGTCCCATTCATCTTCTGCATGAATACATTGCATTTTTGTGCCCACTAACATCTTCAGTTGCTCGACGTTTCCTTCCTCCCCTCTCCTTTGTTATTCCCTTCTTGTCATCATCATACCTGTCTTGCCTCCTCAAAAGACTCAGCTGGCCTGGTCCCCTTATTGCTGTCTTGTGACATTTCGCTACTCCTATGCACGTATACACGTCTATCGCTCGCGCTTGATACCACTGCAATACCCAGTTCACAACCGTATTGACTGCCGGAAAGTCACATTGTATGTTCTATCACATCAACTGGTGGTCCTTGAGAGCATCGGCTGACTTTGCACTAGAAACTCCCACATACACTACAACGTCGAAATCATCACCGAAATAACCTCACCATGGTTATGAATCTTTTCAGTGGCTTTGCCGCCTCTGGCATCCTCATGATTGTGCTCACTATCGTCCGAGTTTGCACAATCATCACACTCGGCTCGGTCATGACATCCTGCTGGGTCCTTGCCATCAAAATCGACATGAGCAAGCCTTGGTTCTTCTTCGATGCCGCCTCGCTTGTCTTCATGAGCGGCATCTGCCTATTTCTGGTGCTATCTGAGCTGCCGTTTGGAAAGGCCTTCTTCATGAACCACTGGCCTGCCTTCTCCGCTAGATCTAGCTTGGGATGGCTCGGCCTTGCGCTTGTCGCTATTGGCTGCAACATTTTGGGCAAGCTCAACAACTCCAACGTCGAGCGGAAAAACATTGGCGGACCCTGGTACTCGCTGGTACTGGCATCTGGAATCCTCAGTCTCATCATGGGCGTGCTCAACCTCATTGGCACCCTCGCCAGTATCCCTAAGGGTGGTGCTCGCCAGGTTCGCTCATGGGGCAACCAGGAGCCTATTCCCGATGATCTCCCTTACCACAAGTCCATTGACGAAGAAAAGTCTCCAATCGTCAAGCCTCTCAAGATCTTCAAGCTGTTCCGAGGCCGCAGTAAGAACTCCTTTGATATCCCAGGCCCTGAGCCAACTTCAGCTTACCGTTACCCCGAGTCTAATGCAGCATCGCGTGGCGGCAACCCCGCGAGTCATCACTCCGGTCGACGGTCGAGCGATGATCTTGAGTTCAACCCGGTCTCTCCAACGGGACCTCCGCCGCCCATGTCGCAGCACCCTGCATTCGCCACCAACTATGCTGAGAGCGTGTATCCGGATGAAGAGCCGTCTTGTTCCAAGTCCAGCAAGCTGGAGGTGCCGCCAATGCCTCACCCTGCAGTGGTGGATGATGCTGCATCGCTTGCGCCCCCGGGTGTCAAGCACAACCGGTATTCCCTCTCATCACTGAACCGGTGGAGTCGGCAGACCAGGAAATAGACCTCTTTGCATTCAAATGGCGTTTGAAAGTAGGCAGGTTGCCACTGGTATATGGAGTCTGATTTAGTACATTGCGAATACCATGAATTCAAGTTGAATCACGTTCTCATACGCCTCTGAATCCCTCCAAATGAAATGAATAGATTTCTTTCGATGTCTTGAAGTAATAGTAAGGAGAAGGTAAGGTAGTACTGTAATTGGTTCAGAGAGCGCCTCAAGTAAGGTAGGTACCTTACCTGGAATGCGGTCCGGGGATGCACGTGACAAGAAATTTAGAATGGCTGCTTAGTCAGATAATCAAGACCCAAACGAGCTGCCCCGAACCGTTGCGCTCGAGTCCTTCCAAGATTGACCACTTCACCATCTCCAATCGACACCCGATCTCGCCTCAACACCAACATTCTCGCGTTTGAACCGTTTTCCTCCCAGCAATCGCAAGGGTTCACGGCTCGTGGTCTGTTCGGGTGCCTCATCACGATTCCCGATTCCAGCATATCGTTCGCGACCGGGCGCTCTCTGACGCGTGCTGTACGATCTGTAGTGCTTGATACCCGTCCATTCTACCTGCTTTGTTCTTTTGGCGGCGAGGGGCCTTTTTCGCAGCTTGTTGCGACTCGGTGTCAGGTGTTAGTGGCCAGAGAACAAAGACCTTTCGCTGGAATAGATTGCGCTCGCTTTGTACTGTGCTCTTGACACTGCCTGTCGCTTTCTCCTTTGTCTGCGCCTCGCATACCAGCGTGCGTCGGTTCTTTTCTTCACGGAATCCAAAAACGAACCACATTCTCATAGCCTTGTTCTGTTCTTCACGTTGCTGTTCGGTCGCATTCACTGGGACAGGACTTAGTTGAATCGTTGCTTTGGTCCAGCTGCAAGATAATCAAGCAACGCCGCACATTTGATATTGCGCTCGCTACAAGCAAAATGCCCACAGAAGCAGAGGAAGTGGCGGAAGACTATCGTCTAGCCTTGGAGGATTTGAGCACCAATGCTCGCTTTGAAATTAGCAACTTGACCGTGATTGCCCGAGAGAATACCGAGCATGCTCTAGCGATTGCTCAAACACTGGAGCAGCATATCTTGAAGGTAGGTTTGGATCGCATGCCCTTTGGGCAACGTAAGGTCTTTGAACCAAGCTAATCTTGCAGACTGCCCCCAACAAGAAGCTGCCGGCATTATACGTGCTAGACTCCATCGTCAAGAATGTCGGCACCCCATATACGCTGTATCTGGGTCGGAATCTGTTCAAGACCTTTATGGAATCATACACTGTTGTCGATAATCCGACACGAAGGCGGCTGGAGGAGATGCTCAAGACGTGGACTCAGCCTGTTGCCGGCTCGTTGGATACGCGTCCGGTCTTCTCGCCTGACCTTGTCCGACCGATAGAGAACGCTCTTATGAAGGCGAAAGCTGCAATGATGCCGCAGACGCAATTGCCAGGTCGACCAAGATCTGCTATGCCGCCCTTTCGAAACACACCTACACCACCAGGAGCACGAAACGGTGGGACGCCAACTCAACACCACCAAGCGCCACAGCAGTTCCCTTACGGGGTGCCACCAACTGGCCAAGCACACCATTACGGCCAGCCGAATGTAAGTGCGCCACCAGTTCATGACAGAATTCGTCCACTAATTTTGGAAGGCATACCCTCAGCAAAACGCACAAGTCTACCCGTATCAACAAGGCATGCCTTATGGGCAGAACGGGACGCACATGCCGCCAACTCAGGCTGGTGTGGACGTAGAAGCCTTGAGCAAAAATATTGCAGATCTAATCGCTGCGACGAGATTAGAGGCCGCGCAGAAACCATATGATGGTGGTGTGACGGCGAGGCTGAATGCCCTGCTGGATTTGCAACGAATAATCCAGAGCACTGCTTTACCGCAGGACCAGCTGGCCGCCATTAAGAACCAAGTAACAGACCTTGCTGCCGTGACTTTGAGACCAGCATCAGCTCAAAACCATGCATCCGCCTATGCTCCTCCAGCCCAGGTTCATCAGCCTGCGCCACCTGTCCCTGCGAGTTCTGTAGCTCCTCCTCAGGCTGCCCAAGGGACATTAAGTCTGGACACTCTGTTGGGACCTGGAGCACTGGCCACACTCATGGCGCGACAGTCCTCGCAGAGCTCTACTCCAAACCCACTAACTAATCCTGCGACCAAGTCGCCGCAGCCACCTATTGCTACGCCTTATGCAGCGCCGCAGTCAGCAGTGCCGGAACAGAAGCCGGGGCTGTCCTTGCTCGACCAGCTCCGACAAGCCGGCATACTCTCCTCAACTCCCCAAGCCAACCCCAGTAGCGCCCCTGGGCCGTCTCCTGCGACTCCTACACAGATGCCAGCGATCTCGGCTAGTCTTGCGAGCATACTAGCGGCACAAAAGGCCGGTGGTTTGTCAGCGCCCCAGCCTGGGTCTCACCGTGGCTTGGATACTGCGTCGTTAAAGCAACCGTAAGTTGTACAGATGAAAACCCAATCGTTGGCTGTTGAAACTGACACACGCAGCGCCCGGCCTGATACCATTTCACTGCTTTTCGAGAGACAAGGAGCGCCGTGCACGCAGTGTGGACGTCGATTCCAAACAGATGCTGAAGGCAGAAAGAAGAAGACAGCGCACATGGATTGGCATTTCCGTGTACATCAGCGCGCCAACGAAGCTGAGAAGCGCGGGACACACCGCAGTTGGTATCTCGATGCTCAGGTGAGTTCTCTGCGTTTGTACGTGTGGTAGTAGGCAACTGACATGATTGCAGGACTGGCTCAAGAATCGCGAGGAAATCGACACTGACAATCACTCCACCTCACCGTCTGCAGACGCTCAGGCAACCGCTGCTGCCGCCGAGGCCGCCAAGCCCAAGTATATCAAGGCGCCAGACGCGAATAGCGGCATCAACAGTGTTTGCCCCATCTGTCAAGACCGATTTGAGAACAAGTGGTTCGACCAGGCGCAGGATTGGGTATGGCTCGATGCCGTGCTCGTGGGTGGACGGGCGTACCACGCGTCCTGCCATGCTGAAGCAACGAGGGACAGAGAGGGGAGTGCGCCACCGCCGGCAACAGGCCCGGCGGGCGTACTGGGGAAGAGGAAGGCCGAGACAGGACTGGCGTCCCCGAAAGTCAGGTCGTTGAAGACCTTTGGCTGAAGCGATGTCTGGTTGGGAATCGTAGATGCAGGAAGAGAGAGAGAGAGGCATACATTCATGGAGTCTGGGTGCATTACATGGGGACGCAATGTTTTGGGATCTTGGGAGCACTCAAAGCAACTGCTTGCTACGCAATATCGAAACGATCCTTTTGATTTGTCTCAATTTCTGACAGTGTTTGCTGGTTTGAAGCAACAACCATGAGTGACGTGTAGCTGTCGGGGCCCCTAGACTGGTGGTCTGTCGCTGCAGTACCGACAGGCTCCAAGCAAGGTGCCTGGCACATTCGACTTGTCTCCTTTGTGCGAATATAGGTTTGCTTTGCATGTTTTAATGAGCAAGGTCACTGTGTAAAGGGACTGCTCTAAGGTGGTAGTGGTAGGCTCTACGCTGGTGGTCCCACTTGCCGGCCCGTCGCGTCACAACCACTTTAAAATGTTCAGCCAACGCGTCTCCCACCGAGACCTAATACATCATCTGCCTCACCAAACAGCTGCCCTAGTTCACGACGAATATGCCCGCCGGTCATGCCAGTTGAATGTCCCATCTGCTCGAAAGCGGTCAAACCGCACCAGATCAATCCGCACATCGATTCCAATTGCCAGTCGTACCTCGCTGGCGACCCTTCTCCTCCTCCTCCACCAGCGCCTCCCCAGACACAGACACCTAGCGCAACCGCACCAGCCAGCTCCGCGCAGAAGAGAAAGGCCGCTGATTTCTTCAGTACACCGGCTACAAAACGGCAGCATGGCGTGGAAGGGAGGGTCATGACCCCTCTGGTGGTGAATGGTGGGAAGAAACGTTCGTACGAGGAAGGGCCTGGAGACGGGGTAGTCACAAACACATCCGTTCCGACAGAATCGGCCCAGCCAGAGGGCCCTTCAATACAAGACGGCGACGAGCGAAGCGGCAAGCGCACCAAGACACGAAAAGCTGCTCCATTAGCGGAACGAATGCGCCCCAAGAACCTCGATCAAGTCTGCGGCCAAGAGCTTGTCGGTCCCAACGGCGTACTGCGCTCGTTGATCGAATCGAACAACGTTCCCTCCATGATCCTCTGGGGTGCGTCGGGCACGGGCAAGACAACGATTGCGCGATGTATTGCCAAGGTTGCCGGCAGCCGCTTCATCGAGATGAATGCGACAAGCACTGGCGTAGCTGAGTGCAAAAAAATCTTCAGCGAGGCTGGAAACGATCTTCTCATGACGGGAAGGAAGACGATTATCTTCTGCGACGAGATCCACAGGTTCAATAAGGCACAGCAGGACGTGTTTCTCAAACCCGTCGAGGCAGGGACCGTGACCCTGATAGGCGCAACGACAGAAAACCCGTCGTTTAAAGTTGCCAACGCACTATTATCGCGATGTCGAACATTCACGTTGAAAAGCCTGGACACAGAGGATATTGTCGGCATACTGCGCCGTGCGTTAAAAGAGGAAGAGGAGACATATCCCCCAACTGACCTCGTGGACGAGGAGATGATTACCTACTTGGCACGGTTTTCTGATGGTGACGCCCGGACGGCTATAAACCTCCTCGAGCTGGCTCTATCACTGACAACTTCACGGGAGGGCATTACGAAGGAGGACATCAAGACATCACTCACAAAGACCTTGGTCTATGACCGCGCCGGCGACCAACATTATGACAACATCTCCGCGTTTCACAAATCGGTTCGAGGCTCTGACGCGGACGCTGCATTGTATTATCTAGCACGCATGCTCCAATCCGGCGAAGATCCCCTCTTTATCGCTAGGAGGATGGTCGTCATCGCGTCAGAAGACGTCGGTCTCGCAGATAATTCACTTCTGCCACTCGCAACGGCTGCGTATACCGCGACTCAACAAATCGGCATGCCCGAAGCTCGCATCCCGCTTGCGCACTGCGCGGTAGCGCTATGTGCCGCCAAGAAGAGCACGAGAGCATATCGCGGCTTGAACAACGCGTATTCTGCGCTCAGGGAGCCAGGTGTGGCGAGCCTCCCGGTGCCGCTGCATCTGAGAAATGCACCGACTAGGCTGATGCGGGAAATGGGGCATGGCGCAGAATACAAGTATCCGCCCAACTACAGGGACGGGCGGGTGAAACAGACATATCTGCCCGAAGACCTTTTAGGACGGCGGTTCCTTGAGGAAAGGGATCTGGGGACAGAGGTGGACCCTGACTGGGAAATGGTGGATGTCTAACATGGCATCCGGGACAGGAGAAAGAAGATGTCGAAGTGTATTGGAAAAAAGCAGACCGCTCAGGAAGCGTTATCCATTGTTACTGTATAGTCAAGGCGCATGTGGACAATGATACTACCTCTCGGGGGCGACCCCTTTCCAGCCATGGCCAGTCTCAACTGACATGATATCATACTGTATTGTACAGTAGCACACCCTTAACGCCGGCGCAATGCAAACAGCCCAGTACCCTTTGCCAACCTTTGAACATCGGCAACAAAAAAGTCATGCGCTTATTGTACAGATTGATTAATCGTCTTGCGTGAGGTCAATGAGCGACACATCACTCTGTCGAAGTACCTTTTGACTGGAAAGTCCTCGACTCCTGAGCTTCGCTTCCTCAGTCGCGACAATTGCATCGCGTTGCTCTTCATCAACCTCGATCACCTTGAAGAATCCTACACTGCTGGTTCTCGGTACAAGCAGACGTTTCCTACGTGGCTGAGGGCTGGGGCTGCCATCCCTATGTTCAGGTGGGGGACCAACGCTGCACCGCTTACTAGGCGACAGAGGTTTAGCCGTTGGTACAATCTTCCCAAGAGGCGAAGAATGTGTTGGTGTGCGAGAGATAAAAGACGAGATAGGGGGTAGATCGTCGTCTTCACTCTCTGTGAGCAGCAAAGATGTGCTTTGCTCTGGCGCCCGTGGACCCGCGCACTCCGGTCGTCGTGTAGGCCTGGTACCCCTCGGGATGGACTCTGCTTTGTTGTTGGCGCATGATCCTGACATTACCGCCTGGGTGGGCGGTGGGGTATGAGCCTGCTTCGCAAACATTTCCAGCGTTGTCTGTTTGAAGACTGTGGTTGACGACGAGACGGTCGAGCTTTGCCTGTTATGTGGATGGCCACCTGAGGATGTAGCTGTCTTTTTCACTGCAATTTTGCTTGATTTCGTTGTTTTTTGGGGCTTTAACCCTTTCGAAATCTGGCTCGAGCGACGCTGCGAAGGTACGGTGCCAGTGCTGTCCTGAGAGCAAGAGGCAAGCGTGTGAGTTCGAGTACTTGTGGTCTCTGGCGAGGCAATTGCACCAACTGGGCTCTTGGCCCCACAGGGGCTCGACGAGAGAAGTATGGCTTCGATAATCGACCTTCCTCCGTTCCTATTCCTAGAGGGCGTACCAGGTAAGCGCATGTCCGCCTCGTCTGTTGTCTTGGCCATGCCACTGAGACTTGGCGGGAGCTGCTTACTTGATGGTCGTGGCGGAGGGCCTGGCGGAGGTAGCTCGGTGTCGTTGCGGCTCTGGCTCTTAGCCTTCTCCTTTTCCTTTTCCTTCACAGACGCGGTCACGGGCGGATTGGCGTGTTTTGTGACCCGCACGAATTTGTCCATGGCTCCCGAGGTGACTGAAGTCTTCGCTGCGCCTTTTGCTGTGGCCTTCTTTTTCTTCGGAGACTTGCGAAGGGCTTTGACACGCTCGGCGTCTTGCCAGTCGTGGTACGCAACTGGCGCCGTCTTCTTGACGACGTCTTCGAGAACCCAGGCAAGATCTGGTTTGCTCACGTCGAATATTTTGGTAGTTGGCTGCGAAGAACTGATCTCCTCGTCCGGTGCGTCGAGCTCGTCATCACTGTTAAGTGCCAAACTGCCCCGCGACTGGGGAATGTCCTCGTCAACTTCCTCGGTCAGGTCCACAGGCACGACATTCTCTGGTATAAATCTGAGCCGAAGCTCTCTCTGACCATCGGTGGTGAAGTGTGCTCGGCTGCCCGCGACTCTCTCGATATGTTCCTCGTTTCCACGCAGAAGCTGGCGGGTCAACAGTGCCGCTCCCAACACTCTTATGAACTTGATCCCGCCGACCCTATAGTCCCAACCAAAGGCAGTGCGAGCAAACTCTCTGAGATCATGTAGGCGGAGTGGCCGCTGCTCGTGGTGTGCCATGCGATCCTTTAATGCCTGCACGGTCGACAGAGGAGAAACGACCGGGTGCGTATAATAACGCAGGACTTCAATGTTCGGGAAGTCTTCTGGAACCTTTTGCGCGAGGGCACTGTGCTTGATCCGGAAGAACTTGCTCTCGTTTGTCTTCAACTCATGGATCAAGGAATTCCTCCAATCCGCCAGGGCCTGTTTGTCCGACGCCTTGATCTTGCAGAGTGACCTGCCGTAGCCGGCCTTAGCAGCTTCACAGGCCACCTTGACACCGCATCCTAATATTCCATCTGGCAAGTAATCGCCACCGCTCATCAAGGCCACCAGTACCATGCCCTCGCGGTCGAGGCCCTTTCCTGCGATGTCCATGGCGTCTATGTCGTACTGTGTGACGTGCGTTGGTGTTTTTGCCGTTCTGCTTTCAGCTGTCCAATTCCGCAAAGATCGGGTGCAGCCGAACATGATGGTATCAACGTCCTCGCTCAACACCGCATCAACAACCCCACGCTGTTGTAGCAGCGCGCAGTCTGCCTCCGCTTCGCCAGGAGCATCGTGTATCGGAAACCCAAGAAGCCTTATGAGTTGCTTGGCTTGGCTGATAGTGGCTGTGTCACCTCTCCCTGCACGCTTGTTCCGTTTGAAAGTCGGTTTGTCAGGGCCATCGAAGACGAAGACTGGGTCGACGGGTGTAGACATGAGTCGGACGAGTCGATAGAACAAGGTCCGAAGAGCTGGGTTGGTGCCACCTCGGGCCGCTTGGGACTGAAACTGCCATATCGCGAAATCGACGGCTATGCGAAGTGGTCGCCCATGATGTCGAAAGGAATCGGCCGCTAATTTGGATAAGGCTACTCGTTCGCCGGGACCAAGCTGGTCGTAAAGCCTGTGTGTGTCAGAGATAATAACAAGTAGCCTACAGTGAATCGCTTACCCCTTGATTCCCATGTTTTCATGGAGCGCACCATCCCGCTCGGTGTCATGGATGCATACGCCTGTGAAGTGATTGATGCTGCAAGCGTTGGAGGACCGTGAATTGGAGGATCACTGGGGTGACGGCTGGATTTGTTGACTTTGACTTTGGGTCGCGCTACGGCAGCAAGCGCCACGATTCGTCAGCCACAGAGAAGCCAAGCCACTATTCACAGCAGCAACTCGCGAACCATTGTTCTTTGTCCTTGACCCTCATCCCTTACCTCATATTAAACCCCGAAAGGGGCGCCAATTTTCTCCCAAACTATGCCTCCTTGGTTTGACATTGGCAATTGAGTTACGGTCCTGATGTCTTCCTCAGCGGGCTTCGCAGCGGCCCATAGGAGCGTCGCGAGCATTCGCTCAGGACCATCCCAGGGGCCTTCGACGCCGTCACGAAGTATAAGTTCAACATTCGGCTCACCGTCCACCATACGCGCCGATGATGACATTATTGTGATTGAGCTGGGCTCAAGACTTTTGCGCGTGGGTTTCGCGGGTGACCCGGTTCCCAAAGCGACCTTGCAATGCGGACCGGATGAGCAGAGGAGGGTGGGGGACTTCAGGGCCTGGCTGGATCCGACAAAGACACCGGGGCAGGCGTGGTCATCAGAATATGAGCTTTGGAGGTATGACCTCAGTAAAGTAGAACTGGGTTTGGTTCATGACAAGTTGGATCGTCTTATGAGAGAGGCTTTCTCAAAGTGAGTTGAATTGCCCCCGAGTCTGGGACATGGTGCTGACGGGGCCCTGAGGTTTCTCCTCATAGACTCCAAGCCGCGAAGAATGGCATTAGTGGCTGATCCATCTCTCCCGCTACCACTACTATCTACTGTCCTTGACACAGCATTTGGGCGCTTCCAGGCCCCAATGGTGTCCCTTCTCTCGCCAGCGACAATGTCTGCTGTGGCGGCTGGCGTCCGTTCAGCTCTCGTCATCGATATTGGATGGTCGGAGACGGTCGTCACAAGTGTTTACGAGTATCGCGAAGTTAAGACCACCAGGTCCGTCAGGGCTGGCAAATACTTCAACAACGAGCTATACAGAAAGGTGCTACATCCTCTCATCGCCGAGGACCAAGGGAAAGAAGCCAATACAGTGTCGGAAAAGTCTCATGGCCAAGAGAACCCGACAAAGGAGAAGATGGACCGTGACAGGGCCGTTGATGTTGAAAATGAGAAGGACCATCGTCTCAGTTTCGATGAGTCCGAAGACATCATGCGCCGTCTGGCCTGGTGCAGACCTACCAACAGAACATCCCAGAGAACGTCAGCTCAGCTTGAAACGGTTGAGGAGCAGGACGAGAATGAAGCTGAAGCGGGCAGCACTACTACGCCCGGGGCAGACAGGACGGCACACGTGCCGTTGCAATCTTCGACTCCCCCAAAGACAATCGACGTACCGTTCGAGAGGATAGCAGACGTCTGTGGCGATGTCTTTTTTGAGCCCTCCATGAACCTTGCCCATTTCGACGACCACGAGCTTCCGATACACCTCCTCGCATACAGGCATCTCGCCGAGCTGCCGGTTGATGTCCGCGCTATTTGCATGTCCCGCGTCATCTTTATCGGAGGCTGCTCCAATATCCTGGGCCTCAAACAACGAGTAATTGACGAGACGACATCGATCATTGAGACGAAAGGCTGGGAGCCGGCCTCTGGCAAAGCAGTGGACCAGTTGAGTAACAACTCGAAACTCAAGTGGAAGCCAACGAAGACGCCACATTTGGAACAAGACCGGGATGAGGAGGACGGCCTATTCTCAGAGCAGGCCAATGACTTTGATCAATTCGAGAGGGGCTTCATGCGGCCCCGAAAGAAGGACCCGCCCGTGCAAGGACATATAAGGGCGCTGCATTCCGTTGGGCCTTGGACTGGCGCAAGTCTGGCGTGTCAACTGAAGATACCAGCGATGGCAACGATCGACCGCGAATTATGGCTGCAGCAGGGCGTCAATGGTGCGTCGAGGCCTAACGACGTCGATGTCAAGGCGCAACAGAGGCAGAGTATGGGCGCAGGCGGTTTGATTCGAGGTAGCGGTGGGCAGCATACCAACTGGACGCTGGGGAAGTGGGGTGCTATTTGAGTTGAAAGTACGTAGAGATACCCAAGAAATTGACTAACGTGGAGCAATTTATCATGGCCATTGGGCATATACTGGCTGGTCGTCTGTCCTGCACTAGTCCGTATGAGAGTTCGGGGCATGCTGCAAACACCATCTACTTCATAATCTCAAAGAACATGTCCTCAAATTTTGGAATGGGGTCAACTATGCTTGTTAGTACATAGCAGCTAAATCGAATATAGAGCCAATATAGCCTTCCACTCTTGAATTGATGAATGTACATATACGGCATAACGTAATTGACTATTTGGTCCATACTCCTCCCTCCATAGGCCATAAATCACTGTGTTCGGCTACCCTACAGCAGCCAAGATAGACACATAAGCTACCGGGCCCTTGTCAATTAACGACCCACCTCAACCTGGAGAGCTTTCTTTTCCATCAACCAGTCTCTCACCTAATTCCTGGAGACCACAAGATAACAGAGAAGACATTATGCACCTTGTGTGTTAAAATACACACCACAATGAAGCGAGCATTTCCCTGCGTGCGCTGCCGCAGCGCCCGTCTCAGGACACCCATCCTCTCGAGAGCATTCTCATCACAGGCCTCAGCTGATCCCCCGATACCCAAACGGCCCAACCAAGCGCCCAAGCCCATCATTGACATCAAAGACATTCGTCAAAACCCAGAGCTCTACGCGCAGAACTGTATAGCTAAGAACTACACCCGCCAGTCCCACCACCCAGCCCGGATCGTCGAGCTCCACGCGCAATGGCAGGATCTCACACGCGGCAGTCGCGCGAATCGCGAGCGTTCCAACCTATTGCGCAGGCAGCTCGCAAACCCCGCGACCAGCGCCGACGATGGTGATATGGAGAGCGTGCGGCAGCTGACGCGCGAGGAGATCCAGGAGGAGGCGCGCAAGCTGAAGACGGAGCTGGCCGGCATCATGGACGAGGAGGCGAGGATGCAGGCCACCATGGAGCACCTGGCGCTCGAGATCCCCAACCTGACTGACGCGGAGACGCCAGAAGGTGACGAGCCCGTCCTGCTGTCGTACATCAATGACCCGCCGCCGGAAGAGCAGCAGCTCAAAGAAGGACCATCGCATGTGCAGATTGGCACGGACCTGGGGATTCTGGACTTTGCCGCGGCCGCCAACTCCTCTGGATGGGGGTGGTACTACTTGATCGGCGAGGCGGCTCAGTTGGAGCAAGCTCTGATCCAGTACGCGCTCGCGGTGGTCACACGCCACGGCTGGACGCAGGTATCGCCGCCCACGCTGGTGTACAGCCACATTGGCGCCGCGTGTGGTTTCCAACCCCGGGACCAGAACGACGAGCAGCAGGTGTACACCATTGCGCAGTCGGAGAGCGACAAGGACCGCCAGGTCCCCGAGCTCTGCCTGACAGGCACCTCGGAGATCTCCCTGGCCGGCATGAAGGCCGCGTCGACCGTGCACACGGACGACCTCCCTCTCAAGCGCGTCGCCGTCTCGCGCTGCTACCGCGCCGAAGCAGGCGCTCGCGGCGCCGACACCAAGGGTCTGTACCGCGTGCACGAGTTTACCAAGGTGGAAATGTTCGCGTGGACGGCGCCGGACGAGGACTCTGCGTCCGACGTGTACGATGAAATGCTCGACATGCAGACAGAGATGCTGTCCTCCCTCGGTCTCCCGTCGCGCGTGCTCGCCATGCCCGCGCAGGACCTGGGTGCGTCTGCGACGCGCAAGATCGACATGGAGGCCTGGTTCCCGTCCCGCGCGGGCAAGCTGGGCGGTTGGGGCGAGGTCACGAGCGCCAGCCTCTGCACCGACTACCAGACGCGTCGGCTGGGGACGCGGATGAGGGTCGAAGGCGGCAAAATGGGGTTCCCCTGGACGGCGAATGGAACGGCGCTGGCGGTGCCGCGTATCCTGGCCGCACTGCTTGAGAATGGCTGGGACGAGGAGACGAGGACCGTCACGATCCCGGAATGCTTGAGGCCTTGGATGGACGGCAAGGAAAAGATTGTTGGAGACGGTGCGACGAGACGTCGACAGATGGACGTGGATGGTGTGTAGCGTACTGTATAACTGCGTGGACATATGTATACTTCTAATAGCGCCATGAGAGGCTACCTAATTTGATCTCCCAGGATATCACCATCACTCGGCACATGATGTTCCTTGAGCTACACTCTTGCAGAAAAAGCCATATGAAAACATTGATTCTTGTAAAGTCTAATGTAATCACGCTGGATCGTCACTGCAATGGAGCTGCAGCGACTGATAAGAAAGACATGTGCTTCCATTCCCGGGTTCACTTGTGCCCGCAAAACGCCAAGATACCGTGTGCTACGCCCATGGTTCGTTGATAAAGAGAGGGCCAGGAAACCAAAGTGAAAAAAAGAAAGAAAAATCATACACCGCTTCAGCGACCTCTATGCTGTTCGTTCGTCTCCAAAAGTAGAGTGATAGGCGCCTGCCAGGTTTCTTTTCTTTTCTTCTTTGCCATCCCACTACCGGTTGGAACCGTTATGCCCATTGTGGTATTGATGCTCGTCACCCTCGTGGTGCAGCGTCACGCTGTTGAATTCGAGGAAGGGGTCGGCTATCTCGTTGCCGGGGGTCGCCAAGCCGCTGTCCAGGGGCACGCCCTTCATCTGTCTTGATCCAGAAATATCGACACTCTCGCTCTCCTTGACATTGCGGAAGTTGGGAGTGTCGCTGCCGCCCTTGGTGAGGCTGTTGGCGGGTACAATGGGCGGCTTGCCATGGCGAATGAGTGCCCACTGCGTGGTGCGGAAGAAGGGGTGGGATTTGATATCGGACGCGCCGGCACGCGCACCTAAGCGTCTGTTCTCATCCTTGATGAGGAGTTTCCTGATGAGAGATTTGCAAAGGCTGCCAAATGTGAGCATACAGAAAGCTGAAACGAGGAGCGGGTGGGACGTACTTTGTCACTGGCGGCGAGCCATTGTGCTCGGGGAAGGGGATGTCCTCCCGCAGAATGTTCGCAAACGTCGCGTTGCGATTCTTCCCCTTGAAGGGCGTTGTGCTGTAGAGCATCTCGTAGATCAAGATACCCAGTGTCCACCAGTCGACGGCGCTGGTGTGACCGCTCCCCTTGATAACTTCGGGCGCAATGTACTCTTCTGTGCCCACAAACGAGTTGGTTCTAAAGTTAGCAATACACGCGCGTGTGTCGATGGTGGGCAGCGCGTCGGTTCTCGCCCCATTCTTGCCAACGATCATGAGCGGCTTGCCTCCAGGATCGGACTGCTTGGACAGGTCAAAGTCCGAAAGCATGATGTGACCGGATTGGTGAAGCAGGATGTCTGTCGAGGCTGTCAGCAGGAGAAGACTCGGGGAGGAAAGGCGCGGAGCGTACTTTCGGGTTTCAAGTCACGGTAAATGAACCCCATGAGATGGAGATACTCCAGGGCCGCCGTCACCTCTGCGGCATAGAACTTGGCGTCCTCCTCAGCCAGGCACTTGCCCGGCCTGCTTTGCAGCGCGCGGAAGAACTCGCCACCACTGCAGTATTCCATGCAGAGGTAAAGATAGTCTTCTGATTGGAACGAATGATACAGAGTAACGATGAATGGGTGGTTGCTGGTGGCGAGGATTTCCTGCTCAGCGAGCGCTCGCTTGATCTTGTTCCGTTTGATCATCTCCTTCTTGCTCAGCACTGGGACTGGTTAGCCTTGAATTCCCGCCAGATGTTTGGTGTGAGATGCTTACCCTTCATCGCGTAGAGGCGATTGCTCTTCTTTTCGCGCACCAGATACACCTTGCCAACGTCACCCTTGCCAATGAGCTTGATCTTGTCGAAACTCGAGGGGCTGACCTCGACGGAACGGACCTTGATCGAGTTGGAGCTGTACGTTCGGCGAAAGGCCAAGTTGGCATTGGGCGCTGGCAACGCAGCCAGAGAGTCTTCCTCTACGGGAGGACTGAGCGATAGATGTTTGGCCGCCTCTGACTGAGCCTCGAGCAGCGAAAGAGAGCCTGGCTTGGAGGGGTCCTCGATGAGAGGATCTTTGCCTAGGTTTGCCGTCGCCGGACGTTCACCATCGGCACCCCCCTTGCCGCCGTCCTTCTTGAAGAGGAGCTGCGTATTGGGGGCACTAGCCACCCGTCTCAACCGCCTAGCCAGCTCTTCCTTGGTCTCGGCTGTAGCCTTTTGGCCGTTCTTGCCATCCTCGGGGCTGCTGATTTTGAATATCGGCGTGTCCGGCGGACTGGGCGGCACAGAGCCCTCGTTGTGGTGACGGAGGCCCGGGTGGCCTTGGTGGGCGAAGTAGGGGTTGGCATTGGCTGTTGGGCTGAGAGCCTCTTCTAGCTGGTTGCCTTCGCTCGCGACGGTTTGGGACCTAAAACGACCGACGGTGCTACTGTACAACCGGCCACGGAACGGCCTCGTGGGCCCGGACGCAGACGCAGACGCAGACCCAGAGCCCTGACCTTCGTCGTTTGACAATGCCTTGGTCGGGCTCTCCTTGTCTTTCTGCTTCTCGTCACCTAGGGTGCTTCCGTTGGTGGTATTATTAATGCGGAAGAAGTTGCGTAGACGATGGCTGACCTGGTTGCTGCCGCCGTGCCCCGCGCTATTGTTGCTGTTCTTGGAAGGCATGCCGGGTGTAGGGTCGGTGACGGAATCGAGGGTACTAGTTCCGGTACCGGTACTTCTGGAGAGGAGGTTGGGCGACGGTCGCGAATTGCCGCCTGGACGTGATGTCTGGCGGGAGCTTGTATCGGTGTGGGCTCGATCAACAAGCCGGTGCCATGTTCGGCGCAGAAGTCGACGTTGGCTTTTCGAAATGGTGCTGGCAAGGCTGGGGGCTCTGGGAGGTGCCGATGTTGGCGTGAGGCGACTCTGGGGCGAATGTGGTAGCCGGCGAGGGTGGTACGGGGTCGGGGGACGAATTCAATGGCGTGATCTGGAGTTGAGGATGCAGATGATGTTGGCGAAGCGGCAGGCTGAGGACGAGGAGATGAATTGGGGGGGGAATGCCACGGAGACTGGAGGCTGCGGTGGTAGAGGTGACGATGGCACTGGCACTGGAGGCGGCGGTGGTGGTGGATTGCTCAGCATCCAGTCGGCGGGTCTCGGTCTTGGAACTTGGTCCCGTAATGCCTGAGGCAGGACGATGATTGGTGCGTCCCCGATGGCTGTCGATGCTGCTAGAGCCCAGTTACCATCTGGGCCCAGTGGCCTGCGCCGCGCTAACAGGAGCTAACGGGCCCCACCAGCCACGAGGGCGGGCGCGTGTAAGAGGCACGCAAGTTGCAATCCACTGGGACGGATAATCACTGCGTGGTGCAAGGGAACCAAAATAGTTACGATTTGGCAAGTGAGAGGCCAGTGCTGGCTAGAAAGTCTTGATTAGCAGTGGTCTATCAGACCTAGTCTACATCCCATCAGCCCCTTGCGACTGTGTCCCCGTATCATCCTCCTCGTCAGGCAGGTTTCTCTCCCTCTCCATGAGCAACCTCCTGAGTCGCTTCCTATTCTCCTTCTCGGTGAGGTAATCTTCCAGCTTCTGGTCTCTGATCGACGGCGTGACCTGATGGCCGTCCTGATCCTTCAGATAGCTCGGTATTTCTTCTTCTGCCTCCTCGTCCTCCTTCCCATCATCAGACTGGTGGTCTTCCTCGCTATCCTCGCGTGCTTTCCCCTTCCCCTTGGGCATCTGTAACGTGTTCTTCGGTCCGTCGCCCACATGCCAGCCAAAGGGTATCAGATGGCGCTCCTCCACATGTGCAGGTAGTCCAGAACCACGATTCACCTTTGGGTCCATCCCGCGGCACTTGCCCCATCGACAGAGGCCGTCGTTCGCATGCTGTACATGCACCTTGGCCACGTGTCGTCGTAGGGTATCCAGATTCTGGAGCTCGGCTTTGCAACCCTCCCACTCGCACCCAAACACCAGGAACTTGGGCTCGAGGCGTAGATACAAGACCCGCGGCGGCGGGCTAGCCTGCTTGGGCGGTCGGCCCCTCCGCTTCACGATGCCGTTCCCGTTGCCCTGTGCTGAAGAGGCACGAGAAGGCGCAGACGAGGGGGCAGCATGACCGCGCATGGCCGCGTACGACATGCCTGGTTTCCATCCTTTGGGTCGGCCAACTCTGCTGACGGCCGGTACTTGCGGTATCGGCACAGGGGTCTCCTTGACGACTGTCCGCGGTGCATGGTGATGCGACGTGCTTGCATGTGGCCCTTCGCTGCGCTTCGGTGCAGGCTGACTACCAGGCCGAGTCGGCAGGGGAACAGGCGTTTGCTTTGCGGAAGTTGATGCTGATGCCACCGCTTCTCGTTTAAATTTCCTGGAGAGGTCTGACACTATGAGCTCATCGCTTGGCATTACTGTCGTCTGGTAGTCCTGCGGTCGGCTCGGCGACTGCAACACCACGGAAATACGCGATTCGGAAGATGTATGTGACCCCCCAACCGTGGGAGCAGGGCGTTGTTGACGCGCCTGTGGCAAGGAGAGGGGATCGGCGGTCTCATGCGATGGCCGTCGCTGTAGCGTGTTGTGAAGGTTCATCGCGCGCCGATTGCGTCGCGACGCGCAGACGTACAGGCGCCGGGCGTGATTGAATCAATTGCACTGTGAGCGAGACTTTAAGAGTTTCCGCGAGTTTTGGTCGCTCGAAATGGCACAGGCCATGCGGCTGAGTCTAGGAGGCGAGGCGAGATGATGTGAGATGATGAGTGCAAGATGTTTCTAGATTCATCAACGCGCAAAAAGACTGGATGGAGCCTTCAATCGTTCGCACAGTCCAACGCCAGTCGCAGCCAGCAGCCGCAATTAGTTCAACAACACGATTATTTTTTCACTTGGGAGAGTAGTAATGATGCACAACTTGATAGGAGCCGCAAATCTTTTCTACCAAGACCCTAATTCGAAATACAACGGGCAAAGACTTCTGCACAGCGAACGTGTCCTTCATGTTGGACATGTATCCGAACAGTGGTTCCAATTGATGTGAATCAAATTCAAGACACCATGATAATAAAACAAACCAGGCTAACAATGGAAACCAAGGCAACCGTCCAACAAACAAGCCAAGACAGCCTCATTTTCCCCAGATTATTCCTTGCCCACCTGCCAAGTGCAAAACGTCAAACTCATGAATCCGCCTCATCGCCCCTTCTAGACTTCTGTCTCTACATCGGGTTTGCGGCCGTCCAGCGATCCGATCGTCCTCACCTTGCGGAACGCGTACTTGGCCTCGTCCTTCGCGAACTTGGCGTTTCGCATCGGTCGCCATTGCATCAGCCCACGTTGCTTGCGGTGCAAGTCCCGACTGCGGCTCTTGTAGTCCTTGTACGCGCCGATGGGACCGTTCGACTTCTTTGACGAGGTCGTTGCGTCCGTCCGATCCGTTGCCGTGGAGGGACGGGGGCCGGCACGGGATGAGCCTTCGGAGGGTCTGGGTTGTTCTTGGTTGTCGGCGTCTTGGACACCCAGATCAGGCTCGCCATCTTCATCGTCATCATCATCATCGTCTTCGTCGTCATATTCGTACTGATCGTTCTCGTCGCTCGTCTGGCTGGGGCCGCGCTGGCGCCTGCCCATGAGCTCCGTGGGATCTTTCCCAAAAGCACCACTCCAGTCAGTGCCGTCCTTAGCCATCCACTTTTGCTTGTCCTTCTCGTTAGCCTGGGCGAGGACATCACGACCATCAGTCAGAGACTCATCGTGCAGCTTCTGGATGTGCTCCGGAAGCTTGGCGTCGACCTCTTGCGTGCGGACACCCTCCGCGTAGCAAGCCTCCCATGTCTCAATCGTCTCGCGCGAGTCGTTGTCGCTGACGAAGCGGATATGGTCCCGATCCGTTCCAGGAGAGAAACGACCCTTGAAGCGGACGCGTCCAATCTCCTCAATGTCAATGTCGGGAATGTTTTTGTAGTTCTCCTGAGTGATGTAGCTCTGCGAAAGGCGGACACTGTTGTCGACCCTGAAGAGAGGGACCTCAAACTCCTTCTCCTCGCCGTCGACGAGCTCGAGCAACCAGAGGGCTGCGAAAGCATCCGCATGCCTCTTGCCACCAGGGGTGATCTCGAAGAAGATGGGCGACCTGTAGCGATGGCGGACGGGGAGACGAATCGTTTCGTTCTGATCGTCGGATCGCTGCAGGTTGAGCGTCATGCCGTCCTCCGTCTTCTTGCTCTGCGCCTTCTTGACGCTGGCCGACGAGCCGCCTGTCCTGAGCCTGAGCTTGGCAGAGTTGTGCGAGTAGCCTCCGGTCACAGTGATCTCGTTCGACAAGAACTCAAAGGTGCCAATGTCCCAGCCAAGTTGTTGAGGAGGCAGTCGGAGCTCAGTCGAGCGGAAGAGAAGGGAGATGCGGACGCGACCAAACCCAATGCCACCATCGAGGGGGTACCAGCGGCTCGATTGACTGGCGGTTTGGAGGATGTCGGAGATCTTGAGGGGCACGACGCCGATGAGAGGGTCGTGCTGCCTGTTGCGCGAGTCGCGGACGCCAATCGTCACAATGGCGGAGCGCCAGTCGCGGATGAACTTCTCTGTGCCGGCATTGAAGATGGGCTGCGAGGAGACGACCTTGGTACGGGTCTTGTAAATCAGATCATCGTTCAGCAGGATGGTGCAGTACGAGCTTGGGAGGTTGCGGCCAGTCTCCTCCTTGACTTCGCCGGCCTCGGGACGCGCCGGCTCGTACTCCTTGCCCTTGCGCTTGCCGTCGCTACCCTTGATGTTGGACAGCTCAAGACCGACGATTTGGTGGACAATGACGGACAGGATACCAGATGGCCACAGTGGATCAGGGGGAGTGTGGATGACGTCGTCCTCCTCCTTGGTTTCAATGGCACCTTTGTCCTCTTGGAACTCGGGCTTGTCCTGCAGTTCCTTGGGCAGGTTGGGATCAGTACCGTCTGTGCGGAGAGCCTTGCGGAACTGCGTCTTTCCAAAGAAGCCAACCTCCCAATGAAGCTCGCCAGGCATGCTGCTCTCTGCCTGGACACCCTGCAGGTGGGATACCTGGGGGAACATCTTGCCCGGGTGCTGGATGAGCTTCTGGATGCTGAGCTCAACCTTGCCGACAACGTCGTCAGCCGATCCACGATCGCTGTCCCAGAGCTCCATGGAGAGCTGCTCGTCGGCCCTGATCAGGTCGCTCGTGACCAACAGGCCACAGCTCTCCTCGAAGATGGGGTTCAGGTTGTCCTGGATCACGCGGGTGCAGAATTGAGGCTTGCCAAACTTGCTCCAGCTGATGGTGATGTACGGGTCGGAACCACCACCACGGCTACCGCGCTGGTCCTGCTTGCTGAGGCCGACAGCCTTGTGGATGCGGATGAAGATGACGCCGAGCGCTTCCGTCTCCTTCTTGACGTCGTCTCCCTGCAGCATCTTGCTGAGGTCCATGGTCAAGCTCTTGGGCGCCACGTACATGGAGGCCGCCGCGCCAATGGCCCAGTTGACAAAGTTGGAGATGAGGGGCAAGTTCAGGATGTTGACGCCCTTCTCGATCATGGGCGTGCATCCAGCCTGCACCTTGGGGACGCCCATCAATGTGAAGGTGAGGACCTTGAGGAAAGGTGGCTCAGGCACCATCTGCAGACGGATACGTGCAGTCGCAACGAGACCGAGCAGCTCTACCCAGATGGGCAAGGGCACTCCGAAGAGGCCCTTGACGCCAAGATAGAAGACGAGCTGCATGCCCATGTTCTTGGCCTTGGAGGCTACATCGGCGCCCGATGGCTTAGCATGGTACGCAAGGGAGACCTCGAGATTGTAAAAGTCGCCGGCCTGCTCGTTGGCAGCCAACTCCTCCGGGTCGGTTTCATCCTTGGCCTTGTTGTACGCCTCGTCCTTGATGTCCTGGACATGGGAGTCGGGTAGGGCGCGCATGTTGAGGATGCGAATGGGGTTGTTGCCCTGCGAGATGTCGGCCACTCGAACATTTTCAATGATGCCAGGCACCGAGGCGGCCATGACGTCTTCCAGTGTATCTGCCACACTCGCAAACATCTCGGGGTTGATGAGCCCCCAGACGATGCCTATCATGGTGTTCATCCATTCCACTGACTCGGGGATCAGATTCGCGGTGGCAGCCTCACCTCGGTCCTGCTCGCTGGCCCACTCGTTGTCGCGACCCTGGCGGATGAGGTCTTTGATCCAGAGCCAGACGCCCGACGCCACGCAGGCCCCCAGGGGTAACAAGCCCAGGAGACGGCCGCCAAAGAACTTGCCAATGAAGACAATAGCAATGAAGATGCCTCCGCAAAGAAAGTTGCCACGCTGCTCCAGGTGCTCGAACATGGGCTCGTAGCTGCGCGATGGGGTCTTGTAGAAGAGGACAGACGTCTTCTCGGAGCGGATGGGCATGTCACTGGCGATGTTGGGGTCCGCTTCTGGGGGCGCGGAGATGTCCTGGGCCTGGCGGTACTCCTCGCCAGACATTTTCGAGTCGACCTTTAGGGGCGTGTCCTTGCCGATGTTGGCGTTGGGGACAGACATCTGACCTTGTTAGCATCTCGATCATGGGTCGTCCTGTGTAAGCACGTACCTGAGGATTCTCGACAATCTCCTTGAAATCGACCTTGGCATCGCGGATGCCCACATCCCGACCAGTGACAGGGTCCCTGACCGTCCGCAGATCCTTCTCCTGGGGCTTGTCGGCCACGTGGGTTTTGATCTCGCCCGCCTTCTTGTTGCCCTTGAGCTGCTCGTCAATGGCGGCGTCGCGCTCCTTCTTCTCGGTATCCAGCTGTGCCATAAACTCCTGGATGTTGGGGACCTTGTGGCGACCACTGTAGTGACCACCAGGCACCTTGGTGGTCTGCTCGGGTTGATCAGCCATGGTGGGTTGGTAGATTCAGTGTTCTTCGAGGATGCACTTGGAAACTATCACAGCCCGGGCCTCGTTTACGAGGCAATGGCAAGTGGACGTGAAGCAGAAGGGAGGAAGATGTGCGGTCGACGAAAAGAATTAATGAAATGTCCCGGACCAGCTTGAGGTGAGTGTCATTGTCTGGCGGCCAATGATTCAGCCGAATTCGAGCTCCATCGTCGATGACGTCGTTGTGTCTGACCGCGGGGCTACCGCGATCAAGATCAAGATCTAAGGTGGGCTGTCGTCGCCAGCACTTCAAGGCAAGCTAACAAAGTCGAGGCTGCTATCGGCGCTAGAGCTAGGAGAATGGCTGCTCATTGCGGGGGCCTTCTTGGTGAGTTTGAGCTAAGGTTCTCAATTGTTTCAAGCTTTTCCCAGCGCTGGCTATTGTCATGCCATATGAGCGGCCAAAGTCGAACCTAAGTAGAGACCGTTACACTCACGCATGTGTCCCAGCAGTGGAAGATGAAATTGGAATCTGCCATTGACAGGCTCCGAATGGGTGATGGAGATCTCAAAGGACCAAATCCCAGCAGATCGTCCCGGCGGAATCAGGATCGCCCGTCTGGTTGCGTCGATGGCTTGGGCCGCCTTGGGGGCCGCCTTGGCTGTCCAGACCACCACCCCTGCGACACCTTCTTTTCCATGTGGGATGACGAAAATTGCATTATTGGGGTCAGTATCTACGTAAGATCAAGATAGTGAAGATAGGCTCTGCGTAAAAAATGTACCTTACTGACGCTGAGTAGCTGTCTCGAGCTGTGCAGCTGTTTTTGCGCCCGCGCTAGCTACCCTACACTTTTGGCGTCCTGCCTGACAGCGTCCCCGAAAGGAGGGAATTGATTGAATCCGTCAATCTTCTTGTACTTCAAGGTATCCAGGTCAATGCCGTAAAAAGTGCGCACCTAATACATCCAGAGTCAAAAGTTGTCCAGAAACAAACCCCTCCCAAACATGTTCACTTACACTGATCCCGTAGGCCTTTCTTTTCGGGTCTTCGGCCTTGAGTCTTCGAAAGTCGATACCGATACTCACGCCACATTTCGGACAAAACATTTGGTCCTTCTTCTTGGTGTTGAACTAGACGGCATAAGTAATTCAGTCTGCAAGTTGTGAAGATATGCTCACCTGGTAGTTGACGCACTTTGCCCTAGAATCATCGTGCCACTCTACCTCGTTTTCCTCCGGATCTACTTGGGTCAGTCGCCATGTTCGCAATGACTCAAAGTACTATTATGCAGCACTCACACACGAGGAGGTACCCAGCGCTGCGACAGATGGAGCAGTTGCAATTGAGTACTTGGTGCTCGGGCAATGGAGGCGATAGAGTCACAGACAAGGTGATGTGGCCGCAGTGGCAGCCAGCATTGTACGTCGCGGACGATCCAGCTTCGGTAGTCATGATTGTGCTTCTGAAAGACGAAGAACACACTGCAAGAAGAAAATGATTCTGATATAAAGTGCTATTATACTTGCCTCCCATCCAGTCATCGGAAGCTTGCTTATAAATACTGTTACCATCTCCATGCAAGTGACTCAGACGGGGCGGTTGGAGGTCCTACAGGGATCATCACCACGATACCACGTCTCGTAAAGGGCGTGCCGCATGTGCAATAATTTATAGTATTGTCTGATTATTTGAATTATCTTTGTGATTAGTATATTTAGAATATGCAGCACCCCCTCCCGGCATCTCGGCACCATCTAGACAGTCTCCTTTGCGCCATTGGCATCGCCTTCCCTCAGGGGGGCGTTTGCCCTGGCCGCTGCCTCCTCGCCGTCCTTTTCGCCATGGGACTCCTCTTCGTGCTCCTCGGCGGGAGGCTCAGCGGGGGCATTGAATGTCGGTGCGTAGGCGCTCTTGGCGCGGATTTTGTGACCATACTTGTACAGGACAAACGGAATAGGCGCCAGGCAGACGGCGACACAGCCCAGGAGGGTGCTGGCCCATTGGATGCCCAATCCGTCAAACATTTGGCGCGCAAACAGAGGGAAACCGGCGCCACAGAGGGAACGCATAAAGGTGTTTCCGGCAATGGCCGAGGCGGCGAACATGAGGTAGGCATCGACGAGGTAGTTGAGGGCCTGGAGAAAGATGGACATGAGGCCGAAGCCGGTGAAGACGCCCGAGGCAGCGGGGGCCGCCCAGTGAATGTTGGGGTTGTATCCGGTCCTGTTTCTCAGGTTAGTACTGGCAATCCACGACAGGTTGGGGACATTGGCAAACGTACCATCCAAACCAGAAGATACCGATAGCAAAGGCGATGCCGCCGGCCATGATGCTGGGGAGACGCCACTCGGGCACAGGCAGGCCATTGTTGGCTGTCAGCTTGCGCATGTACCACGGCTGCTGCGCCAGGACCACCGCGCCGGCAATGACCTGACCGGCAATCATGCCAAAGAAGGTCAGACCGCTCTGTCCGGAGCTGAAGCCGTGGACACCGACAAAGACGAGCGGGTATGCTGTCAAGAAGAGATAAAGGATACCGTAGATGAAACTCATGTAGATGGAGAGGAAGAGGATGATGGGCTCGGTAAAGAGCAGACGCAGAGGACGCGAAAAGTTCTTGGTGACGAGCTCGCGGAAGTCGACCTCAATTTCCTCCTGCTTGGCGTGGATGCCCCAGTTCTTAGTGCGACGACGGAGTTCCGCGGCCTTTTCAATCAGGATGACGGGAGGGTACGTCTCCTCGAGGAAGATGAAATCGAGGATCAAAGCGGTACCGCCCATGATGGTGGCCAGGTACTCTGTCCAGCGCCAGCCGAGGTAGCTGTCGACGATGAAGCCTCCGATAAAGGGGGCGAGCAGGGGGCCAGTGAAGACGGCCATGCTGAAGAGGGTGACGGCGATACCACGCGTCTTGTTGTCGAACATGTCGGAGAAGACGGCGGCGACGACGGCGAGCGGGCAGGCACCGAAGAAACCGGAAAAGAAGCGGCAGATGAGAATGGTCTGGATGTCCTTGCCGGTCGCACAGCCGGCGGAGAAGACGGTGAAACCAAACATGGACAGGACGAGGGGCAGCCGACGACCGCGCAACTCAGACAGCGGCGCCCACAGTGTCGGCCCAAAGGCGAAACCGAGCACATAGAATGTCGTTCCCAGGAGGCCGACCTCTGTTCCCACGCCGTACACCCGCGACACCGTCATCGTAGCGGCGCTAAAGATGGAAGACGTGAACGCCGAGGTCATGGTCGTGTAGCCCAGCATGGCGGCCGTGAGGATCTTCTTGCGCAGCGCCCAGTTCTGCGCGTGCAGCGGATCCTGGGGCCCGTCAAACTCGACGACGTACTCCTCCTGCGCAGGCAATGGTGGCGGGTACGCCTTGCCTGCGCCAAACGGCGGCAAGGGCTTCTTCTCTGCCCGCGTGCTCGTCCGGCTGCGGACGCCACTGCCCACGGTGCTCTGGTGCTGACTCCTCGCGGTGTGGATGCGACTGAGCTCGGTGGGGTGCCTCTCGAGGTCGTTCTGCGTGGAGATGCGGCTCATGTTCCGTGTGAACGGGGGGTGGTCGGGGGCGATCGATGTGGACGACGAGGACGATGCTGAGGAGGCGGAGAGCACCCGCTCAATCTCGTTGGAGGCACGCCGGCGGAAGCGCTCAGGGGAGGCATCGCGCTCGGCTGCCATAAGGCTGAGGTCGACGTTGTCTGGTGGCATTGTGCCAGCTACGGTCGTTGTTTCGTTGTCTCTGGCGTGAAGGAGACTGCGTGCGTTGTGATGCAATGGGGAGGGGGGAGGGACACTGGGTTTTTAGGACCAAGATAAGTTAGTAGAGGAGAGGAGCGTCGCAGGATGGGACCGAGTAATGTCGTCAATTAGTCGAATCGCTAGCGCGGTGCTTGGGTGTGCTCTCGGGACGCGAGGTAGGCAAATGTAAGCGTCGTATCCGGAGTGTCTTGACGGATATAACGTGCCGGATGCGGGACTGGACGTCTTCTTCAACAGAGTCGGAGGCTTTGCGAGAGACAATGGATTGTTTTCAGTCTTAATCTAAGACAATATACGCGGAGAGGCTCATCATCCAAAGCGAAGTGACCATGGAGGACATGTCTACTGTATATAAGCATGCATCGCGAGTCAGGGCGAACTCGAAAGACGTCATGCATGCGATTGAAAAATAATTTACCATTGATTACAAGCCAGAAAACTTCGCCATGACCCCGGCAAGCCCCGGCTCCTGGTGTCGGCGCTGCAGTTCGCTAATTCCGCTCTGACAGCTGGCCTTGATTGGCCATGACATGTCTCAGGACGGGCCCAAGCGGCGCGAACCCCGTGCGCTGGCTTGGCTTTTGTGAAATATCCTCCATCTCGGTGTCCAACGATGACTCCCGCACCGAAACTGCTTACTGCAACAGGCCTCGGCATTAGGCGATGCAAGACCCCTAGCTTGCAGGAAACCACGGCATTGCTTACAAGTTGCCGTTCAAGCGCCAATGGCAGCATCTTCTTTTAGTCCAAGCGACACGTGTCGGGACCAGGAATTAATTACTAAGGAGTCCGTGATCTTCTAGGGGTCTGATTGAGCAGGCCCGGGCCGTCTGGTAAGCTCCTGTCGTCGTCAGTGCGGCTTTAGCCGGGTTAACAAAATTTGCAATGACCCATCCAGGCACTGCCGCATTGGCAACCCGACCTGTAGATGAGACAATGTCGGGCAGAGAACACCGAGAAGCCGCCCCTTACAATATGGCAGTCGAAAAAATTGTAATCTCTGGTGTTTGTTGATATAAATAGTCGACAAGACTTGATTTGTGGCGTCACGTCGCAATGCAGCCCACCTGGGCAGTCTATCCATGAAGAGCAGTGATACGCATTGTCATCAAGCAACACGGGGGTCGCGCTGGTGAAGAGAACTTCAGACTCTAAGTCATTGATCATCGAAACGACATTGTGTAGCAAATGGGTAACTTAATGTCTATCTCTACCTGGTGATACGCCCCAACCGTGCTCCAGCAGGGATGTCGCCTCTTCGAGGTTGAGCCCTGCTGTCTCGGGGTAGATCGACCAGATCAATATGTATCCCACAACGCATATCGCAGCGTACAGAACAAACGTCCACGACGGACTGAGGAGGTCCATGAGCGGCAGAAACGTGAGCCCTATAATAAAGTTGCAGCCCCAGTTGGTGGCCGTCGACACACCACTGCCCAAGGATCGGACCGCCAGAGGGAACAGTTCAGATTGCATCCAGGGCACATTCCCGAGTCCCAGGGCAAAGGAAGCCACGTAGAGCATGATGCTGACGAGGATGAGTGTCGCAGCGCTACCAGCCCCTGATCCATCTGCATCCTGAGCAGCAGCCTCCGCTGTGTCGCCCAGTGAAATAAAAGAGAAACCCAACGCTGAGAGGAGCAGTCCCAAGATCATGAAGGGCAGCGAATATAGCAGGATACGCCGCCGTCCAATGCGATCGATCAGCGTCAGGGCAACCATGGTAAAGATAAAGTTCGTCACAGCCACCGTGAGCGAGGTCAGAGTCGGGCTCTTGAACCCAACGAGGGTGAATATTGTCGCCGAAAAGTACATGAGCGAGTTCTGCCGAGGTTAACGTCTTTGCCATGCAAGAGTGCGTAGGTCTTCCACTTACAAATCCGCAGAGCTGCTGTAGACCCTGCAGCAGACAAGCAATGGCCAAAGCACGGCGATTCTGCCCTTCGCTAAGCAGCTCTTGCCAGGCACCAAGCCACCGCCACGGGCCGGCGCGCGCGTGCTCGCGTAGCCTCCGTGCTTCCTGCTCTTCCCGTGCTTCCGCCTCAATCTCCCGGATCACCGTATCGGCGTTGCGTGTGGATGCGGCCGCGCCGCCGTTGACTCTTTGAATCACCGACTTGGCCGCCGCAGAGCGTCCGACTTTGACAAGCCACCTCGGGGTTTCCGGCATGAAGAAGACCAAACCAGCTTGAATCACGGCGGGCAAGGCTCCCAGGCCCACCGTCCAACGCCAGCCCGATGATGGAGAGCCAAACGTCGAAAACATCCACCCGACAATGTACGCGACAGCTTGACCGAGGGTGATGAACAGCACGTTCATCGTCACGAGCCTCCCGCGATGGGAAGCGGGTGCCACCTCGGCGATATAGAGCGGCACAACAAAGCTCGCGGCACCGACTGCTGCCCCGACAACGCATCGTCCGGCGACCATGCCCGTCACGGTGTCGCTGTAGGCCTGCATCAGGGCGCCGGCCACAAACAGCACATCGGCGAAGAGGATGACTCGTTTGCGTCCAAATTTGTCGGCGAGTATGGAGGAGAATGGCGACAGGATAAGCGCAAAGAGAGATGTCGAGGATGTGATGATGGATTTGTCCATGGACGTGAGTTCTCGGTTCGACAGGGACGTGCCGATCGAAACCAGCGTGGACGAGATCACGCCAGTGTCATCTGTTGCACAACTGCCGTCAGAAAAAAGCCCAGGCTCAGGAAAGAAGAGGACATACATCCGAACAAGAGACCGCTGATGCCGGCCGCGAATGTCAAGACCAGGACGAAGACGCCAGGTTTCGCGTCGGCCTTGCTCGCTATGCTTCCCGCATCGATCTCCGCGTCGTCGCCATCGTACTGGAGTTCGCCGTCGCGCTGATCTTCCGGTATCAAGGGGGCCTCAGGGCTGTCCATGGCGGGCGCATTGTAGCCAGACGAGTGTTGTGAGTAGTCTAGAGTGTTGCTGTTGTTCGTTTGTAATGCTACGGATGCGCGGATAATGACTCAGCAGCTCGTGGGTGTTTTCAGGGTAGGCCGGAACCACACAAACTTGGACGTGCTTACGTCGCATCCGGACTGCCAGACGCGGCAGCGATCCATCCTCTGCCTTTCCACGCCTGAAATACAGCGCAGACTTTGCTAGCAAGGTCTCTGATGGCCTGCTAGAGATTGTCAGAATCGAGTGGGAGACATACCCAATGACCCCGATGTTTCACTGCTAGAAGCTGACAGGAGTCTGCTCCCGAGTCCTATGCAAGATGCCACTCACCTCGTAGGCTCCTCGGTATGCGCGACTGCGCGCATCGCGCCTTATCCAGGCATATGCAGGATGGACCCCAGGCAAGGCCACCTACACCGCCCCGCCAAAGGATCCTTCTTCAGGCACCGGGCGAGGGCCTTGAAATGATCGCAGTTGGCAGGGTGGGCTATGGATATCCTTATATAGGGGCAGATCCTCTGTGTTACCTCACTCGCACGCCCTTGGCGATGGTTTCGACTTGAGGCTCGCAATTGCTCTATAACGTGGCCACTGGATCAGACGAACCGAGGGAATCTGGTACGTCCATCTCTCAAGACTCGCCATGCCTAGAATCGAGGAGATCGATCTCCATCCCTGGGGTTGGGAGACTGACCCCGAGGAGGAGCGTTTCAGGCTGTCCACGCTTGACTACCTCACGACGAAGACCTTCACCAACATGGCAGTGATGTTCAAGGTAGAAGCATCCCAGAAGGAGTATGTGACTGGCCCCCAAATCCTGCTTGTGGTTCATCGCGTCTAATTCGGCACAAAGTATGGTCACGGAGCTGTTCAAGGAGAGTATTGCTCGAACCCTTAGCCAGATCAGACACATGATCGGGACCATTGAGAAGGATCCAGATGGCCAGCACTCCATCGTCAGGAAGAGAGGCACTACCACCAAGTTTGTGGTGCAGTATCTGGATGGGCCCGAGGACACTTACCCGTCTCTGGCTGAGATGGAGAAAGCACATTTCACCTCGGATATCCTGGGGGACGCCGACGAGTTGAGCTACCTGCCCATGACATTTGGGCCAAAGCCTGAAGCCGATCCCGACAACAGCCCCCCTGTCTCGGCTTTCAAGCTCAATTACATCCCCGGCGGCATGATTTTGATGCTTCCATCCCACCACTACGCGAATGGTATCATCGCCTTCACCTCCTTTGTGCACCAGATGGCGGATTGGTGCTATGCTCTTGCCAACAAGACGGAGCATCCCGCCTTTGACCCGAGGAATCTCGACCGTACTCTGTTCACCAACTTGGGCTTCGAGACAGCCGAGGCCTCTGCGGGACCAAACACAGAAACGAGTGGTTTAGCGCCTGCGCCTGCCCCGGCGCTGCCTGTGAGCAGCCCGCCTCGACACAGACGGTCTCACTCTTTGCTCTTCCATGTGCCCAAGAGCAAGGCTGCTCAACTCAAGAAACTTGCCACGCCTGCTGACGGGTCGTGGATCACGACCTACAATGCGATTTGTGCCATGATGTGGCGTGTCTTCTCCCGGATCCGCGAACCGCTCTACAACCCCGGCCGTGACTACACACCGACCTTTGGGACTGGCGTCACTCTCATCAAGAGGATCCCCAACATGCCAGAGCGCATGCAGGGCAACATGCAGTTCGACATCAACTCGACTACATCGCACCTCCCGCAGTTCACGCTGGGCGAGATCATCTCCAACGTGCCCCTGTCCAAGCTCGCCAGCTACATTCGCGAGATGACGGAGAGTGTCACGCCCGAGATGTTGGCGGTCGAGCTGCAAAAGGTGGCACGCATGCGCGACAAGAAGAACCTGTCCATCAGCGTGGATGCGTTCCCCTTGATGGCCCTGTACATCACAGACTGGCGCGGCTGCAACCTTTGCGACTTTGACTTTGGGTTTGCTCATCCGACTGCGTATCGGCACATGTTTGGCATTATCCCTCAGGGCCATTGCGTTGTCTATCCCGCACACCATGGGCCGGCGGGAGACGATGAGGGGATCGAGTTGCAGGTGACTTTTGAGGAAGAGTTGATGGCCGATCTCCTCAACGACCCCGAGTGGAACAGGTACTTTGAGTTTAGGGGTGTCGATATGATGGAGGAGGGCGGGACGAAGCCGAAGCTGTAGTCGACTGCAATGCTACTGACGAGATCTGCCGCCCATCATTGCCGATTCCCATGCCAGACGCCAATGCAAATGTCAGCCGGCATGGTTCTACTCAACCAGGGAATCATGGGAGATGGGGTTTTACTTCGTGTTCAGAAGTCATCGACGCACCCCTTGCTGTGTATCAGCCAGGATGACCGTGCTGCTGTCATCCTGCGGGCCATGCTGGCGCTCCATTCTTGTCGTCAGGAAGTAGGACTGCGCCTACGCATTGACTACCTTGCTATGCGGGCGCAGGATGACATGGCATGGCGAGTTCAGGGGCCTGTCCCCCGAAGCAAAGCGAGAGAGGGGTTCGTCGATGTTTTGAATGTGGAAATCTCAAATGCACACACCTTCCCATCCCTCCCCAAGTCTATGTCCTTGTAGTCGTAGCATGGGGACATGTGCTTACATGCTCACTGGCTGCAGGAGGCAGGCATCGGCTCGCGACAAGCTCGTCTTTTCACAGAACCAGAATTCGATCGACTGCAGCCAGGAATCGCCAATCGCGTTAGCAAGTCGGAGATGCTGCGACTAGAGGGGTCTGAAGGATTAGGGACATAAGGCCAAGCAGGATCAGGCAGGTAGGTGGGCTATCGCTCAAAGTGATGTGCGTCGACAGTCGCTAGCTGTAAGTACGCGAATCCATGGCAGTCCGCTTCGCATAACTGTGCATGCCGATTGTGGCTTGCAAGGCCATGTTAATGCCAAGCATTTGATGTTTTATTTTTTTCTCCGTTCGAGTCCCTGCCCTGGTTAGAGCGGTACCGTCCGGCCGAAACCGAGGTGCAGATGAGATCAGTGGCGCCTTTGAAGTTTGGCGGGGTGTCTGCTGCTGGGCCGCTAATTTAGGGACTATCCGATTGTGTACGCTGAGCCCCTGACTCCTGAGTGGGGCTTCATGTTGTTTGTTGAATTATTCACCTCTGGTTCGGAATCTGCCCCCGACGCACTGCACCTCATGCCATTGCTATGCGCTCGGCACGGATTCCAAGGTGCAAGGTCGTTCATCCCAGTATCTGTGCTTACAACAGCTGAGAACGCTAAGGAATCGCGGTTATCATCTCCAAGTAAGGATGCGTACAATCTGCACGCAGCACGCATGCCCCACTCATGCTATAACGTAGGAGCCCCTTATCTCACACCAGATGCGCGTTGAGTGGCTAATACCCAACCAGGCAGGGTTTCAAATGCGGACTGCAGCGGTGCGGTAGTATTGTAGCCATGGAAAGCAACTTGCAAACCTTCTAGAACATGGGCCTATGCCACGCAACACGAGGAGGAGCGTACGGTAAGGAGACAGACTCAAATCAGATTGCAGACAGTCGCGTCTACTGACTCACTGAGTGTGCACACATCCTGGTATACCAACAAGATAATTCCCTTGTCTCCCTTCCTTCCTTCCTAGCATGGCCCCGTTGATGCACATCAGATGCGGAAATAACGGACGAGTCGCATCCGCACGCGCCTTCCAAGGAACTCCCAAGCGATGCCCCGCAACCCCTCCATCCCTCATCATCATCCCTGGACCCTCATCCATCCGCGGATACAGAACGACTTCGCAGTACCTCGAGGGAGCATGGTCCCAAGTCTTTCGCATGTTCCACGAACGTGCACACAGCATCTCGCCTCTTCCGGCACTTCCTGTCTCCCCTGCAACTCCACTTGGACACGAAGCACGCCCACATCTCCCGTGAGCACGCCGCCGAGAGCCGATCAATTCTCACGCAGCTTGATGAACATTTCAAGTGGCGGCCGCATCCACGTCACGTAGCCCTTCTGGTCCATCCAGCCTTCCGCCTTGGGGCCTAGTCGCATTTCGAACTTGAGTAGGAAGCGGCCGAGGATCAGACGCCCCTCGGCGTACGCCAGCTGCTTGCCTATGCAGTTGCGCGGACCCATGCTGAAGGGCTGCAGTACATCGCGTCGGTCGTTTGGGAAGGCGTCCGGGTCGAGGAAGCGCTCGGGGAGAAATTCCTCCGGTCGTTCAAAGTTGAGCGTCGAGTGATACGCAGCGTAGTGGTTCACGGTCACGGACATCTGGTCCACAGGTTAGCATGCTGAAAGCTTGAATTCATAGAAGCGGACGAAGGCCAGCGAGGGATACGTACCCCACCAGGCACCCATTGGCCATCGATCATGGCGCCAGATTGGGGTACCTGACGCGGAAAGCCAGGCACAGCTGGTGAGTAGCAGCGCAGGGCCTCCTCCAGGACAGCGTCCATGTAGGGGAGTCGTGTTGTGTTCTCAATGGTCAGCTGGTCCTCGCTCTCAAAGGCATCTGTGAGCTCCTTCATGAGGAGCTTGTATGTCTCGGGGTATTTGCAGAGCAAGAAGACCGCCCCGGAGAGCAGGGTGGCCGTCGTCTCGCTGCCGGCCTGGATCAGCGTGGCCGAGTTGCTGAGCATCTCTCCAAAAGTGAACCCCTTGCCCTCTGGCTGGCGCAGGATGTGCTCCATAAAGTCGGGCCGGGGCGAATTGTTGGCCATCCGACGCTTGACCTTCTCCTCGGTGAGGTCCAAGTGCTCGGCCGCGCCCCTCATCGCGTCATTGGAGAAGAAGGTGTTGACGATCTTACGGGCGTACCAACCCACCAAGGGAGCATGCTGGACGACACGGATTCGCATGGTGGCCTCTTCGATCTGATTCAACGCCTGAAGCCAGTCTGTCTCGCCACCCTCCAAACATCCGAATGGCTCGCCAAAGGCGAGGTCCCCGATAATGTCAAATGTAACAAAGTTAAACCATTGGACCATGTCGACGGCGACCTCACCCTTCTCGCATTCCCTGGTCAGACCGCTGATGAACAGGGTCACATAGCGTTGAATCAGGGGCTCCTGCTCACGCAACGAGCGTGCCGAGAAGCCAGGCTGGTATAGTCGTCGGTATCGCGCGTGGTCCTCGTAATTGCCGTTGACGATAGACGGGGCGTTGGGGTTGCGGACGTAGAACTCGGGGTCCTTGATCATCTCCAGGTCGCGCGACTTCTTGTGGGCGTAGATGTCCTTCCATGCCTGGGCCGTGATGTAGGACAGGTTGTTGGGCGATATACGGACGACGGGTCCATACTGATCGTGTAGGTCTTTGACGATGCGATGGTGAGTTCCTCCCCACATGCCAACTAGGTAAGGAATCTTGAAGGCAGCTCGGTGTCGTGGGCCTGGGAACTTGGACAGGGGATGAAACCACACATTGTAGATGGCGCGGGTTGCAAAGTAGACGATAGTCTGTTAATGTTAGGACCCTTTTGTGAGGGACTCTGCTCACTTGATCTCCGAGTAAACTCACAAGTATGACGACACTGAACGCTATGCTCGCCCTGTGAAGCTTCAGGAGAGTCGCGACGGACACGAGGTCGACCGACTTCAAGTCGGCCCAATCAGGCATTATAAGGAACGACCGCGGAAACTTGAATGTGCTTCTTGACGGGCCTTGACTATGTTCATATGCTGTTGGTTCTCCTTGTACACAAGCCAGTCTAATGTATGTTGGTCGTGAAGCAGGGCCCGTTTAAGTGAGAACGCCATGCGATCTGCCTCTGACCAAATCCAATCTCCTGCTAATGTAGGAAATGAAGCAGAACCAACACTCTGCCGTACCTTAGCTAACACTCTCCACAACAGCTGCTACCCCGCTGATACTGTTTCGAGATATCTTTGACACTGTCCCACTCAATCAACAAAGCAAAGACGCTGTAGTTCCTTTGTCCTCTAGTGCCTTCGCCTGGACATCGTGAAGGCTTCGATCAAGTCAGTACTGCCAAAGCCGAGCTTGACCCCCATGCATCAGCTTCAGAGCATACCGGCCGACACGTCAGACCCCCTTCCAACTACTTTCTTACGTCTTCGTTTCTCAATACTCATCAGTGAATCGCCACTACGCTTTTCGTCTCGGCTTTGATCCTCCTTCAAGTGCCCACCTGCAAGTCGATCCTCCAGGAACCTTTGATGTGACCCCGCCCTTATCAACAAGTACCTCCGCGCATGAACTTGGCCAAGTCGCAAGTACTTGCTACATTTTACTACTATATGCAGACAGGGGGAGGGGGAAAAGGAGGGGCCCCGCTATGCCTATGCGTGGAACACAAATAGAAGCATGGGCTTCGTCTTCTTCTATCGCACCTTTCTCATTCGATTGTGGCATGGGGGCCCGGGGGGGAGTGTGCGTGGGCCGGAGGATTCTCATAAGCACACGGGTCTCGGTGGGTGACATGCATGTCTAGACTAAGTGGGTGCATATCATACCGGCACTCGCGTCGACGACACGTATAGTGGAACGGCGTACATGACGTGACAACGACTGGAGTTCTGGCTATATGATCAGTCGGCTAGCCAAGATTTGGTCACTCTGTTGGCACCCAGTGAAGCTAGATAGGGCCACGCATGGACATTTGCTTGCATTTTATCCACAGCTAAAGTATGTCCGCGCGTACGCGTCGTATGGCAGCTCCCCCCCTCTATCATCAAGGCAGCCACATGGGCACATGCAACGGTGCTGTGGGGTGAAGATCCATCGTGTCCGCATACCCCGACACATGCCCGCTCATTTTAGGCCTGCGCGTGAAGACAACGAGCATGTCTCTCGTGGCCGGGTACGAGTCATCCTGCTGGTGCACCGAAGTGACGCTGTGCTTGAACTCGTGGTCGACAAAGATGAGCGTGTCGAGGAGGTGCTGGTGGTGCACGCGGCCCTTGATGAGTGTCGGGTTCGTCTCCCACGTCTGCACGCCCGTCGTCTCCTGGTTGTCATGCATAAAGGTGACGGCGCTGTCGGCGCGCATGTTATGGCTGCCCAGGAAGACGGTCATGGTATGGTCGGAGCCGTCCGAGTGCACGCCCTCGAGAGCCGGCTCGCCAAATATGCCTTGGTTGCGCGCCGTGTGCGTCCGCGCGTTGAACATGATGGTCACCCAGCGCGAGGAGGAGTAGTCGAGCCGGTCTCGGGGCGGCACTTGGACTCCGTGGAAGATGAGCGCCTTGAAGAGCAGGAGGGCCTGGACGACCGTGTTGCCTTGCATGTCCGAGGGCGCTTCGTCAAACGTCCTGGGCACGCCCGAGTCATGGCGCTTGTAGTCCTCCTGAACGGTGAGAGTGTAAGGCTGAGACTCGAGGCGGCGTATACTGCGCGTCTCTGGGTCGATGCAGTATCGGCCATAGGTGACGGACCGGTAGTCGAGAGTTGGGTCGGGCCCTGTGAGGTCGCTGATCTGTTGGACCGACTCAAAGTCTTCCTGTCGGGCGCCCAGGCCGGAGAGAATAGGGATCATATCCTCGCCTTTGACAAAGATGTATCTGTTTCGAAGGTATGATGTGCGGAGCGTCATGATGGCCATGATGGCCTCGTAGAATTTCGGATCATAGCGTTGCTCAAGGACATTGAGAATGTGAGGCCCTCGGGAAGATGGTTTTGTGTGTCCATTGACACCATTCATACCTTTCATGGGCACATGGCCGTTGATTCCGTGCCCATGTACAGCGTTGGTTCCGTTGACTCCCTTGACGCCATTCATGTTGAGCGTTGTGTGCTGGGCGGATCGCGAGTGTATGGCGAGGTCGGGCAGGATAGGGAAGCGATACATGTAGCGTCTGGAGTCTCGTAAGATGGCGATGCTTCGTTGCTGAGAATAATCAAAACTGGGCATACATTTGTGCGCCGCTTCCTTTGTCAGGTCCTCCAGATACACCCACAGAGCACTTTAGACTCGTCGAATCGCCGACCTTAAATGACCGGGAAGACTCCAATGGCTTTGCTCGTCAGACTCGAACGCTCGCCTGCTCGTGCCCAAGGGATTGCCCAAGCAAGCCCCCCCCGCCCATCATGGTTGCTGCAGGACCTGTTTATCAATCATCGCCAATTTGTTGGCCATGACAGTAGCCGCGATTCCTTGCCGTTTACCCCAAGGAGTCCGCCCCGAACAGCTCGTAGGAGCCAGCTCGGGCTATGCAAAGTAGCATACATGTGCGTAGTCTTATCTGGGAAGGTCAGGGTGAACACTAGGGCCCAGCCTGCAGGAGTAAGCATCAAGCTCCATCGCTCACCCCACATCTTGATGGCGAGGGCGTGATCTCGCACCATGACGAGGAGGATATTGAGCATGGCCAATCGCCTCACGCATGAAAAGGTCGAGAATCTGCGCGTTCGCTGCACTCATCTATGCATGTACCCGACTCGAAGCCAAACAACACGCCCCTGTGCGAAGGTCGGTACCCATGCCACGCTGCCAGGTCCTTGAGCGTTTGCAAGTGCGCTCATGAGAGAAATGGGAGGTCTCTCTATAAGACTTGCTAACAGACAGCGCAGCCTACTCCCGTGTTGCGACAGGCAGAGGGTTGCAGACATATCTTGCTTTCCCTACATGTACCAGGCACAGCACGGGGGTTCCACCCGTTATAAGATCGAAGAAGCCTAGTGACAGAACCGCCCTCTCTTCGCTCAGAGATCGCTCAGCAGATAGCTCTTTGTCTCTATTCTGTCTCTCGACAACTCCATCCGTCGCCCGCCATTCTTGACACGCAATGGTTGTGTCCAACTCGCACCCATACCCCGTTGCGGTGGGCAACCCCAATGGCCACGGGCAACTGGCGCGTCGCTCAGATCTGAAGCCTTCCGAGTCGCCGAGGTTGTCTATCGCTGGCATGTGGGCTGTGCTGCTGTTGCGTCTCAAAGAGACGACAGCCACTATCAAGGAACGCTACGATAAGCGTGCCATTATCGAGAAGGAGATCAATGCTCGCATCGATGACTGGTGCATTGGCATCTTCCAAGACACCTACACTCGCATCGAGAGCTTGACAGCCGAATTCGAGATGCAGCTGGCGATCACCCAGAACCAGGAGCAGGGCCAGAGCCAGGCATTGGCGGCCTTTACGCTCAGTCCCTGGCAGATGGAGGAGCGCTACCGTGCTCTTGTCCAGATGCAGTCCTTTTTGGGGTCCTTCTTTGAGCGTGCCAGTCCTTCTTACGACCAGGCAAAGACGCTCTGGTGGTTTGACCCTTCGTACCACCTGTCAGATGGTCTCAACTACGATCGCTATGGCGCGCCGGACGTGCGGGCGCTGGAAGCCCGTCTGCTCCAAGCTTTGGGTCTGGGCAACGAAAAGTTACCTCTGAAGCTGCTCCTGACATCCAGTGGCGTGGCCGCGTTCACAGTCTTGCAGCAGTTCCTGCTCAGCAACGTCCTCCAGGCGGGCGATGTCATCGTCATCTCGCCATACCTGTACTTTGAGTGCTTCGAGCTCGTGCGACAGGTCAACCACATCCAGTTCATCAACTCAGAGACTTTTGACGCGGAGGATATCATAGCCACGGCGGAGAGACACAATGCCAAGGCCGTCTACTTGGACCCCATGGCCAACACCATCGGCTTGGAGACGACCGACATCCGCAAGTTCTCGCAGCTCATCTCGGGCAGAGAGGGCTGGGCCGACCGCCACCTGCTCATTGACGGCACGCTCGTCTCGGGTGGCATGGCTGTGTTCGACTGGTTCAGCGAGCCTAGCCACCCCAAGGTGCTCTACTATGAGAGTGCCCACAAATACATCCAGATGGGTATGGACATTGTCATGTGTGGCTTCCTCGTCTACCCCGAGGAGTACCACGACACTTTGGGCCTGATCCGCCAGGTCACAGGTCTGACTCTCTACACGCGCCAGGCGAATGTACTGCCGCAGATCGACTATGACATCCACCAGTCGCGCATGCACCATCTCACCTCCAATGCGGAAAAGCTGTACCATTTTCTGGACAAGAGGGCTTCCACTATTGCCAGGTTCAACTACCCCCTTCAATGGCGCAAGATGGGCTGGAGTCACGGCGGAAACGTTGTCACCATCCGCCTCTTCGGCGACGACCAGATCAACAAGCGTCCAAGCTTGGACGCGTTCACGAGCCTGGTGCTGCGAGCCTGCGAGGAGGAGGGCGTGGCCATGACCAAGGGTGGCGGTCTGGGATTCTCCGTGACGCGTATCTGGCCCTCGACACCATTCATCCGCAACGAAGACCCGTACATGCGCATCTCCGTGGGCGTGGACCCCGACGAGGTCGAGCCAGTAGGCAGGGCCATCATCAAGGGGCTCGAGAGGCACTACCACGCGACGCGGTCTGTGATGGCGCAATGGAAGCTGAGGGAGAATGGCATCATCAAGGCGCCGATTGGGGCACCAATGGAGGCGTAAATGGTGCGTCACACAATGGCGCACCGAACGGGTCGCATAGCGGCGTGCCCAAGTCCATCCATGCTCCTGACTCGCACAGCAATGGTCTACTCTCCAAGATTAGAGCGTTGGATGGCCCGGCAGATGGTGAACCAGCCAATGGTCTTCTCAAATCATACAGATAGCCTCGATGTAGTCGATGTAATAATTCAGGGCCGTTTTTTTTCCTCGAGAGAATATGTTGTCCAAAGGGAAGAGGAAAACCAAGACTTGTTGGGCAGCACGTGGGAGTGCACTCCATCGAATCAACCACTTCAACCAGCCATTGAATGTGCTTGTGCCAAGGTTCGTATAGAATTGTCGACATGTCCCCAGCATGGTCACCGCACAGACCCCTAGGAAGCAGAAGTCGTCGACCTTCTGCACAAACGGGCAACAATGCGCGAGAGTCACCACCGCCTGCGGGTGTTCCAGGCGTGGAATTGGCCGGTTGCTCGACAATGAAAGCAAGAACCGAGGTCGTTCTGTACAGTACCAAGTAGCAAGGTACACTCTGGCGGAGAGGGCAGCGAATACGAATCATACGACCTTGGACGCACTCCGTAACTGTATGAAGAGGCTGGAGGCTGAAGCACGGCCAGTTCGTGCAGTGCATTTCGAGGTTCCGAACAAATGTCTGTGGCAGAACAAAGTGTCCATTTGGGAGAATTCATCGAAAGAAGGACGACCCACGCCTTCGTTTCGTAGCTGATGAAGGTAGCAGCAGCTCGGGTGGTCGTTGTGATCGCTCTAGACGCTGGACTTCCATCTCAGTCTGAATCCAACATGAAAGGTATCGACGTATGAAGCATGGCTCTGTCGAAGGACGCAAGCTTTCCATTGCCCTGGCGAATTGCGATCTCGGTTCATCAAGTCTTCCAGCAAATTTAACACGGATCTTTCGCGAGGTGATCAGTCGATGTCCTAAGATACTGTTCGACTGACCAATTATCCCCATGTAGAGGGAATCGAGGACCTCACCCTCCATGCCATGGTGATGTACCTCCCGAGGTAACCCGGCAGGGTCAGCGAGGCTTGGTATGTGACTGCGGCTACATCCGCAGATGCGCTGATGGTGTTGATCCATGATACGCGTGCCGGGCGAGAGTTGATGTCGGAGGATTCGCGACCCGTAATTAGCCGCAATGAAACCCAATCAGATGCGTTGAAGCTGGTTCCTCATCTTCGCGACAAGAAACTACCCCTGACGCGCCCAATCAAGGGCTGAAGCGGCAGTAATCGGGCCACCTGATCACTATTACTCTAGGGTAGTGCACGCACAGTCGACAACGAGCAACCTCCCGACACTCCTATTGCTGTCGCATTCTGGCCACGTCCCTCGGTGATGTGCGTTTGCCTTTCTTCATCGTCCTCCCTTCGCGCACATTCTTGACCACGGGTCATGTCTGTCGTTCCCGAGCACAGATACCTGACTTAGCCTAAGCCAGTTGAGCGAGTCCTACCACCACCACCGAGCGGCCACGACGACCACAACCCTGGTCTCCAGTGCTAGGCTGGCCTGCCCCAGCCATCCCAGCCCAACCTGCGCAGACGAGATCAATTGTCGTCTCGACAGCACCTCGAAACCTACCGCGCATTGCCGACAATCGCAACATTATAGACACCGCACATCGCTTCAATCATGCAGTCGCAAGCTGGGTCCCAGAGGGGCTTCCAGCGTCGGTCGCCGGGCGCGGAGCCTGGCCCACCGCCAAACGTCCCCGTGCGCTCGATATCACCGGGCACACAAGGACGACCGCAACAAGGAAGCGTCTCAAGAGCGAGCCAAAGCAGTTCCAGGAGGGTCAACCGAGAGGTGAGTCAACGTCCTGCGGATGGAGCAACAGAGCTAATGCGAGGTGTCAGAACTCGGGCAGCGGATCAAACATGCCACTCTCGCAGATCGAAAAGAGCGTGACCCATCTCCTCGTCGCCACGAAGCAGCTACTCGAGACGTTGACGCAATGGTCGAGGGGGCAGGCAACCGATACGCAGGTCTCCGACGTCTACGTACGTTTGGGTTACGAGTTTAACATGGCGTGCCGAGCCTTCTCGGCCATCAACGTCGACGTATCCGACCTCGGCAACGTGCCCGACTCCTTGCGACACATACTCGAAGCGACGCTCAGCC